ACGGGTGCTCGTATCATTCAAATGGCAAGGGAGCTCGTTGAACGCATTGGGCGGCCATTGGAGCTCGATACCGACGGTATCTGGTGTATGCTTCCCGGGAGCTTCCCCGAGAACTTTACATTTACCATGAAAAACGGCAAGAAACTGGGAATCTCCTATCCTTGCGTTATGCTCAACCATCTTGTCCATGGAAGCTATACGAACCACCAGTACCAGACACTGAGTGACCCAAAGGCCTTCAGATACGAGACCTACAGCGAAAACTCCATCTTCTTCGAGGTCGACGGACCGTACAGAGCAATGATTCTACCCACCTCCAAGGAGGAAGACAAGAATTTGAAGAAGCGTTACGCCGTCTTTAACCACGATGGGTCATTGGCAGAGTTGAAGGGATTCGAAGTTAAGCGAAGAGGAGAACTGAAATTGATCAAGATCTTCCAAACCCAGATCTTCCGGTTTTTCCTTGAGGGGGAGACACTTGAGGAGACTTATGCTGCCGTCGCCCGCGTCGCTGATCGATGGCTGGACGTGCTCTACGACCATGGCACGACTCTATCGGACGAAGAACTCATCGAGCTGATCTCGGAAAATCGAAGCATGACAAAGACTCTTGAGGAATACGGAAGCCAAAAGTCAACCTCTATCACGACCGCCCGTCGCTTGGCAGAATTCCTAGGAGAGCAGATGGTCAAAGACAAGGGTCTAAACTGCAAATACATCATATCTTCCAGGCCGAGGAATACACCAGTGACTGAACGTGCTATTCCAGTAGCGATCTTTTCAGCTGAGGAGAATGTCAAGCGATACTTCCTAAGGAAGTGGCTTAAGGACGACCCTGGCGATATGGACCCTCGAAACGTCCTCGATTGGAATTATTATATGGAGCGACTGGGTTCAGTTGTCCAAAAGCTAATCACGATCCCGGCAGCTCTTCAGAAAATCCGGAACCCGGTTCCCCGTGTCGCTCACCCTGACTGGCTTCAGCGGCGGATCAACATGAAGGACGACAAGTTCAAGCAAATCAAAATGACGGATGTTTTCCAGAAGACGGAGAAAAATCCATTAGCCGACATATCGACCAACATTCTTGATCATCGTGTCCAGCATGTAGGCGATATCGAGCAAGCGATGGCAAGCTCAGCCGACAAATTGAAGTCGCCGGAACCCAAAATCTCACAGAAAAGAAAGCACCCTGAAAATGCCCCGAAAACTTCATTGGATCCTTTCGCTAGTCTCCCGCCCAAAATGCCGTCGATTTCGGACGACTATGTTGGGTTTATCCAATACCAGAAACAGAAATGGAAGATCCAAAAGCAAGCCCGCTTACGCCGACGTCAACTCTTTGGCGAGAAGGGTAATGCTGGCACAGACTCTTTAAGCCACCTCTTCAGGAACCAGGCCGAATTGCTATACATCAGTACTTGGCAGGTCCTACAGCTTTCCGAGACATCTAGACCCGGTGTTGTGAAGGCCTTCGTTCTAATTGACCGAAAGATACATACCCTGACTGTCAAAGTGCCTCGACAAGTTTACATCAACCTAAAGCAAGACTCTCTCCCAGATGTCGAAGTCCCAGACTGTGAGGTTGAGAAGGTGAATCATACTCTGCCCAACGGACATCCTTCGGTCCATCTTTTCAAGATGACATTGTCCGAGGAGACATGGTTACAAGAGGCAGAGAATATCGATGTTCTGTTGCAGCATCCAAGTGTAGAGGGTGTTTATGAGAAGAATATCCCATTGAATGTTCGGGCTATCCTTAAGCTGGGTAGCATTTGCACTTTTGATGAGGAGCAGCGAGGGGTCCTGGGCAAAGGTTTAGACCAAGGGTTTGAGCTTTCGTCTCTGTGCCGTACGACTTCTGAGCAGCCATATCTTTTGGACGCACATATGGCCTATCATTATCTATACCATGTGACTTCAGGCGATAGGCAGGTTTTTGCTCTCTTCTCAACAACGAAGAAGGAAGCTCATATTGTCATTCTGAACCGCACAAGAGATGTTCAGGGCCTCCCCAATGTGGACAAGATCTACTCGGAACTCCTTACACGCAGGTTGCAAAACATGGCAGAAGAGAAGTTACAAGGTGCCTTTGAGTACCCGGAGAAGATCCACTTCAGGACTACGCAGGTCACGACCAGAAGGAAGGCCCACCTGGAAGTTGGTGACTTGATCAAGAAGTTCCGCAATGAGGAAGTCCAGCCCACCGTCCTTGTCATACAATCGCAGCAGAGAGATCGGTTGTGTCATGACATCCCCATCCTGCGAGAATTCCCAGTGCTGCCAGTGAAACCGGAAGTCTCTGACATGGATCTTCCCCCACTGGGCTGGCAGACATTCATCGCAAGGCGGATAGTCACACACTATCTCTATCTTTCTGCATGGGTCCAACACTTGACTTTGCTTTCTCGATACGGCGATGTGCCTTTGTGCAACCTGGAAAGCGACGATCCCAAATATTTGATCGACATATCTTACGCCAGACGACTCCAGCAAAATAACGTTGTTCTATGGTGGTCTTTGAGCCCGAGGCCGGACCATGCTGGTTACGAAAAAGATGACGTTCTGGGACCCCTCGACAAAGTTGCCATGCCCTCTGTCAACGTTCCCAGTGCCTACACCACTGTATGCATTGAGCTCGAAGTCCGCAACCTTGCTATCAACACCATTTTGACCTCGTCAATTATCAACGAAATGGAAGGGGCCGACACACTATTGGCATCGTCGGAGCAGACTGCCCAAGCAGATGACTCGGGCGTTCTCTATTCGGAGAAGGCGTTCGCTTCTGCTGGGGCTTACGTGCTACGCGAAATGGTAAAGCATTGGTGGACCGAGGCTTGTGAGGGGAATAGTATGGCCGACATCATGGTACAACACCTTATCCGATGGGTTGAAAGCCCCTTATCGTGTCTCTACGATCAATCGCTACACCACTACGTGCGGATGCTATCTCGGAAATCATTCCAGCGGCTGATGGCCGAGTTCCGACGGGTCGGTTCCAATATTGTCTTTGCGAGCTCCACACGCCTCCTACTTCAAACGACAAAGACAGAAGTCGGCAACGCGTACGCTTATAGTCAATACGTGTTGAAGTCCATCAGGGCGAATCCCTCGTTCCATTTCATCGACCTGGAAATCAAGGAATACTGGGACTACCTGGTCTGGTACGACGAGTACAATTATGGTGGCAAAGGCTGCGAAGAGGTTACTGGGTCTGATGAGCAGGAACTCAAGACTGTTATGCACTGGCAGCTGAGCCGCGCCCTGCCAGCACCCATGCAGACCATATTCAATGACTGGGTGGTGGAGTATGTTGATTTGATGCATAGCCTCAAATATCCTGACACAGAGGATTCATCCACGCCTCGGATGACTCAAATTCCGATTGGACGCCCGAGCGACGAGGATAGCGAAGATATTTCTGCCACCCTCGCCGAGAAGTTCTCGAAGCCTCTTAAGAAGCAAATCGCCGGGCTGATTCGCCGGCAGCGTGACGAAATGCTGCATCCCGAACTCATATCCGACTACACATTCCCCGTTCTTCCGGGTGTCCTGTCAGACCCGAACGATGAGAAGCGCAATCCGGTCCTGGAACTAGTGAAGCTCCTTATGCAGGTACTCAGTCTGTCGAAGACCACGTCGATGGAAAACCGGCTTCTGCGCCGTGAACTCCTTGCGCTATTCGAAGTGCGGGAATTCAGCAAAGAAGGCCGATTCGAGAACCCGACGGCGAGCCTCAAATTGCCCGATCTCACCTGCGGTGCTTGTTGTCTAGTCCGCGATCTCGACCTCTGTCGAGACGAAGACCTGCTACCAGACCCGGGGACCGACACACGGAAGGCGGCGAGTAAACCGTGGCGCTGCCCCTTCTGCCAGACCGAGTACGACCGGCTCGCGCAGGAAGAAATGCTCATCGGCGAGGTTCAGAGCATGGTTGTCGGGTGGTCGACGCAGGATCTCAAGTGTACCAAGTGCGGTGGACTGAAGATCAGCGAGTTCATGGAGCATTGCTCCTGTAGCGGGGCCTGGGTGGAGACAATGGACCGGGCAGCCGTGGACAAGAAGCTGCGAGTGTTGGAGAGCGTGGCCAAGTTTCATGGACTCCAGCTTCTAAACACTGTGGTGGGAGAGGTCCTCGGGCACATGTGATGCTAGCTTTTGTTGGCCCTCTCCTATCTCTTTTTATGATCATGTTCTATGTCTGTTGTTTTCTGAATTATTGGCGGTTAGGTAGGATGTGATGGGATTGCATTGGACTAGGCGTTTATTAATCTTATTAGAAGTCATTGTACTATTTCAAACAATCTCATACAGTAGAAATCGATACTTGGAGACCAATTTGGTTAGTATGTACTGTTTAGTAGAATGTCGGACAATGTCCATGTCGATCGATCGATAAAATTGGTTCATCGAAATTCTAACCGCCCGAGCCAAGCCTGAGGCCGCCCTCCTTCGCCGTCATCCTCTCCACTTACCTCTCTCTCGTCCACACTTCTTGCGGCCTTGCTTCTTCCTCCTTCAGCCTGCATATGACACTGGTCCCTCCTTTTCTATTTGATGCCATTATATCCTACAAGTTTTCACGTCCTTTGTGCCCCTTCTCCCAGCGGAACTTGACAGTCCCACCATAATCACATCAGCCTCCCCTCGCAACCCCGCAGTCAGCTACTTACTGCTTATCATAAGCCGCCGTTGCAAGACTCCCAAGCACACAAGAAAGGCACGCGGTTGGTCGCCTTTCTAATCGGTTAGTCCGGAACCTTATGTTCTGCATGATAATTTGGGCTATGTGTCCCTGGTCCACCTCATGATTTTGTGGCTTTTACTCAAGGCTGTATAACTAGCGAGGCTATGTTTCTGACCGCACTACTAGAAAATAGACAATACACGATATTAGATCCCCCTTCTCCTCCCTCTCGTTGAGACGGCGAAGTTCTCATCGAGCTCTTTCCGTCTGGCATCTTTACGATATCCTTACAACGCCATTCAAGACGCCTTAGATGGCAGCGCAAACCCCACCGGCCGGCCGGCCTAAGGTCCAGCCTTGCCGATACAAGACGGGGAAGACACTAGGCGCCGGTTCGTACTCGGTGGTAAAGGAATGCGTTCATATTGACACCGGTCAGTATTATGCGGCCAAGGTGATCAATAAGCGATTGATGGCGGGGCGGGAACATATGGTACGTCTTCTACTCACCCCGCAATGTGCACGCCCACGGACAGAGACTGACAATGATGCCACGTTGGGGTGGATGCAGGTTCGGAATGAGATCGCCATCTTGAAGAGAGTGTCGATGGGTCACCAGAATATCCTGACATTGGTGGATTATTTCGAGACCATGAACAATCGTACGTTCTCCCTGATAAGCTGGTGTTGGTTTTGGGGCGGTGTCTGACTATTTTGTCGCTCTGCAGTGTACCTCGTCACCGATCTTGCGCTGGGTGGGGAGCTATTCGACCGTATCTGTCGCAAGGGCAGCTATTACGAGTCGGATGCTGCGGATCTCATCCGCGCAATCCTGTCCGCAGTGGCTTATCTGCACGATCACGGAATCGTGCACCGCGATCTCAAACCCGAGAACCTTCTGTTCCGCACCCCGGAAGATAATGCAGACCTGCTCATTGCGGATTTTGGTCTGTCACGTATCATGGATGAGGAGCAATTCCACGTCCTAACCACCACTTGTGGCACTCCGGGATACATGGCCCCCGAGATTTTCAAAAAGAGTGGCCATGGGAAGCCAGTGTATGTTTTTCTTAACGCATTAAAATCATGCTGAGTAGACTAACCAATCGACTAGGGATATCTGGGCTGTCGGCGTGATCACCTACTTCTTGCTCTGCGGATACACCCCCTTTGACCGCGACTCAAACCTGGAAGAGATGCAGGCCATCCTTGCAGCTGATTACGCCTTCACACCACTGGAGTACTGGCGTGGGGTGTCTCATAGTGCCCGGGACTTCATCAAACGATGCCTGACCGTGGAGCCGAATGCGCGCATGACCGCCCACGAAGCACTACAACATGCCTGGGTCAACCCACCTTACGACCCATCCGCGGAGCTCGGCACCGGCGAAGACCTCCTTCCCACGGTCAAGAAGAACTTCAACGCCCGCCGGACGCTCCACAAAGCGATCGATACCGTCCGTGCCATCAACAAACTGCGCGAAGGTGGTGGCTTGATGATGGACGGCGTCATGAGCGTTGACCCCAAGCCGGAGCGGGTAAACGGAAACGAAGTCATGGAGGAGCAACACCCTACCCCGCCGCAACAAGTCTACGACCAGAACATGGAGGTCGACAGTCGTGGAGATGCCCGCGGCCAGACAGAGCAACAGATCCGCGACCAGGAGCGACGGGTCAAAGAGATGGTGGCGGGATTGTGGACGCGGTCTGGAAAGAAATGACAGACAGAGAGAGCGGGAGTCATGAACATATAGACGTAGCGGAGATGCTTTTATGCTTTTTTATTGTTTCCTTTCCCTTCCCGTTTTTCCGAAGCGGGTTCTATCTAGCATATTTGTCTTTTCTGCTGAATACTACTAGCATTTTGGAATACCAAACCAACGAGCTTAGTTTTAAAAGCAGTTTGCTGATACTTCGATGTTCATTTGCTTTAGATTAAAATGGGATTCAGTCGTGGTTTTTTTGGACTTTATATTGTAAATAAAGTCTACAGAGTATTGTACGGTGGAGGCTGTTTACTTCACTTAATAGCTTATCTGAAGTATAAAAAAACGCTCAAATTAAATCAATCAATGACATGCACGGTCGTGGACATCTAGGAGTTCCGAAATGTGTCTAATGATACTGTCCATAACACGAAAGCCCAATAGATGAAAAACGCCATAACAACTCCATACTGTCCTCATAGACACCGTCATATCGTTAGATCCGTCGCTATAGATGGCATCCCCAGATCAACCAAGAAAGACAATCATAGCTCTTCGCTTTTGTCAGCCAGCCTTAGGCTTCCGGAGACAAAAGCTTGTCACTTCCGTCTTCCAGAGACAGAACCCACTTCCGCCAGTCCTGCCACTCCGCATAGGTTGCCGACGCCTTGTGACCTTGGTACTTGACAGCACGAAAATCCGAAACTTGGTCCCAGGGATTGGTGGAGGCGGTGCCTGCAGCGGCGCTGCTGCTGCTGCCTCGGAGGAACCTCCGCGCGGCGTTCTCGGTGGCGCCGTCCCAGCCGGCCTTTTGCATCAAGCTCTTGATTGTCTCTTCTTTGGTCCAGCCTTGTTCCACCGGGACGTCTGGAAGGTAGGTGGCGCCGTACCGTCTGCCGCGGTAGATGAAGGAGATACGGATCCCGTGCACGCCCAGAGTCCAGTCTAGGGCGTCGGTGCAAGGCTCAAACGTTCCCAGAAGTGTCAACGAGCACGACAGCGACGGTAACAACTGTTCCGGGATCGGGGAAAACCGAGTGTCATCAAAAGCGCTGTCACGCTGTCAGTGTCTTTTGGCTACTTTCTTGTGGTAGGTGATAAGGGGAAAGAAAGATCCTATCATATTCAGCCATGTCAAGGGACATATATCAATACTTACGAAGTGAGGGCATAGGACTGGAGGCCAGCAGAGAGTTCCTGCGCCTCAAAGGTTCCAATGCATCCACGCAGAGACTTGTGACCGCTCTTCGAGATGGTGTTCCACGTGACAAACAACGGATATCGCCGAACTTTCTCCCGGTGGGCAAGGTGACCTGCCGACTCTGGCTGTAGAGACTGAGAGCTGGGCGTCGTGTTACCCGTCAAGTTCGATAGGGCCGAGTGCGACGAATTGTTCGAAAACTCAGACGGAGTATTCGATGGGCTAGAATCTAACGACATCTCACTCTGAAGCCGGCGGACACCTGGTGGCTTGATAGCTGGTGTGTAGTCAGATTTGCTTGGATCGTCGTCTTCGTCAATGGTGCCATCCATGTTGTCTTGCAAAGCGGCTAGCTTTTTTAATTGTTCGTGCCTTTCCCAGAGATCCTCCACGGTCGAAAGACTGGGAGGCTCGAGGTCTTTGAAGGACGCCGCGAGAGTCTCGAAACAATAGTAGCATTGGGCTGGGTTTGCCATTTTCTTGCAGTCGATGTCTTGAACAAGTGCAATACTCGGACTTGGGGCCCAGGATGACAGATTTCTTCTTCCGCCCGTTGTGATTCTCAAACGAAACCGGTCTTCTTTGCTCCTAGGAATGACCCAAACCACCTGAGGCAGCTGTCTCTCTTGTCGACGAGTACCGGTATTAGATCAGTACTTTGCCGAAGCGTACTAGACCCTGCGTGAGTTGTCAGTGTTCGAATGATCTGAGAAAGCCCCAGAAAGCCAGCTGTGGGAGACCTTTGGTGAGAGCTGGCTTGAAGGCGAGAAAATCACAAGAACGTGGCGGAGGACGAAGATGTGAGAGAGAGGGAGAGGAGGAGGAGGGGAGGAGGCGCAACAAGTCCCCGATAAGATAACCCCGCCGTCGCCACGTGATCCAGCCCATGGTTGATTAGATTAGATAAGCGGCAATTTTTCTTTCTAGATTGATCGATTATCCGATCTGGTTTTCGTACTGCAAAAGCCGAGGCAGGGTAAATCTGGATCATTTGCCAACCTGCAGCATGAGCCTGGTTGTGTGTGTGTGGCAAACAGATTCGTGGTGTCTAACCAGTTCGCCCCATGAACAAAGCAATGACACCATAATTACTCAGCAAGTTATGCAAACGCGACTTTCAACCGGCCCGATGGGGAATCCGGGCGCTAGTCCTGATTGGGATGAATGTCAACATGTCGATCCTCACCGCCCAAAACACGGGTCATTGCCTCTATCCATCCCGATTATTCATGATTCTTTCCGTTGTCGTTGCAGTTGGAGACGCGAAATACCCCGGACATGATTGCTGTCTGAACCCAACATACATTTTCTCCGGATAACACACCCATTGATCCCTCGTCGCGCGTGTGTCCCCGGCGACCATGGCGTTGCCGTATATTGACACCCCGCGCACCGAAGTCGACGGAAACGCGACTTACTTGACCAACGGCTTTCGAAGCGCCACGCGGAACAACCTGTCCGCGCTCGATTCAGTCGAAAACTCGTTCGCGACCCCTTCCAAGGAGGAGGATATCCTCAAGGTCATTGGCGATGGCAGAAGGCGCAGTTCGGGGGGTTTCCGGCTGAGCACGCCGCGTGCTGGTTCTGGTCCCAAGTCCTCGTCGAGAAGCGCGTTTAACAACCGACAACAACTCCCTTCCGCCCCTCCCCCGAAAGGCGAATTCACCCCAATGATGAAAAGCGCCACCAAGAACAACTATATGAAAAACCTCTCCGCGATGCGACAAAACACCGGCGCCCCAAAGACCCCAGCCTACCTGCGAGCGAGCTATCGGAGCAATATCAACACCCCTGGATTGCCTCCTATGGAAATGACTGGGATTGACGAGGAAGATGTGACCGATGATCAGCCAACACCGCTTCCCCAGGTTGCTAGCAGCAGCGTGCAAAGCACGCCACTCCCGGGATTAGCCAGCCGAGATGGCGGAGTACTGAACGATGGGCAGAACATGATGACACTTAAAGAACAAGAAAAGGTGAATGGTCTTGGTTTTTCTGTTGCTAGATTCGTCCAATGTATACTGACCTTTTCAGATGATTGATAAACTGGATAAAGACAACTTTGGCCTCAAGCTGAAAATTCACTACTTACAAGAGCAGATAGAAAAGGCCGGCCCAGCATACAATCAAGCAGCCCTGCGAGAGAACACGGAACTAAAGGTGTCGAAACTCACCATGCAACGAGACATCGCCCGATATAAGAAGAACTTGCAACAGGCCGAACGTGATCTGGAATCATATCGCCAACAGTTCCAGGAGCTCAGAGAGAAGTCTCGGAGGCGGCAGACAGATGACACAATCCAACGAGAACTGGATTTGATGCGCGAGGAGATTGAGGGGAGAGAGAGCCAAGTGCGGGAGCTTCAAGAAGAACTGCGAGAAGCCAAGGATCGCCAATCTCGAGAAGTCGACAAGTTGCGGGACGATATTGAAGACTTAGAGGCGTCCCTTCGAGAAAAGGAGCGCATCATTGAGGAACGCGACGAGCAGCTTGAAGACCTGAAGGATCGGGATGATCAAGACAATAACGCCCTCTCGGATCTTGAGTCCAAACTTCAACAGGCCAACGAGCAGATGGAAGAATTACAGGACTCTCTCGATCAGGCGAGATCGGAGGCAAGGGAGGCAACAAACGTGGCAAGCCAGGCCGAACAGGACAGGGAGAAGGCCGAACAGGATCTTCAAGAGCTGCACGAAGAAATGGCGAACAAATCTATCAACACAAAAGGTCTTTCTCGGCAGCTGGAAGAGAAGACTGCCAGACTCGAAGAAGAGCTTAGAATCCTACAGCAAGAGAATGATACGATCAAGGACGAGCTGGATGCCAAATCTCACAACGAAGCTCGTCTGGAGGAGCGTTATCTTACCCTCCAAAAAAGTCTGCATGATAACGAGGACAAACTTCATGAAAATGCTTCACATACTCGATTCGAACTGGAATCGGTTCGACAAGAACGAGACCAGTTATCTGCCCAGTTACAAGAAGTCTTGGAGGATATGCAACATCGGACGGATGAAAAGGAACTCCTTCAGACTCGGCATCAAGCTCTGACAGAGGAGTCCAGCGGTCTGCAGCACGAATTGGCTCGAGCGCAAGCCAAGATACGAGACCTCGAGGACGCTCTTCACGACGAGAAACAACACGCATTGAACGATGTGGATACTGCCCGAGTCGGGTACAGGGATGAGATCGAGAAATTACAGGAAGAGGTCGATGCTCTTAACCACGAGATTGAAGACAAGGAAGGCCAGTTCGCACTTGAACAAGACAGGTGGGAAAGTACGAAACGGGCCCTGCAGCTGCAAAAGGACCGAGCCGAGGACCAGGCAGCTGGCTTCAAACGGACCATCGAGAAACTCGAACAACTTGAACACACCCTGACCGGGAAAGAGTCGAAACTCCAAGAAGTCATCGACAGCGAAAAAGCACGCCACTTCAACTCAGAGGCAGTCCTGAGCCGTCAAATCAAAGAGCTCAACGACGACTTGGCGACCAAGAGACAAGTGCTTGACGAGCAGCGAAGCGAACTTCTCTCGGTCAAGGAAGAGATGCGCCTAGCCAAACGAGCGGAGGTGGCAGTGAGGGAGAGGCTTCAGGGTCTGGAGGATGAGGTTGTTGTCCTGCAGGCAAGCTTGGAAGAAGAGCAAGAATATGCCAAGGGCCGAAGTCAGAAGGGTTCTTCCGACCAAGATGGCCAAGTGCAGAAGTTGATCTCTGAGAAGCAAAAGCTTCGGGACCAGCTGGCGAATGCTCACGTCGAGCTACATGACCTGCGAACTTCGGTGGTTGAAATTGAGGCAGAACGCGACGAGCTCCAAGGCCAGCTTGACCAAGTCCAGCACCAAGTTGACGACACGACACGGTTTGACCGGGAGAAGGTCGAACTCCGCAAGTCTGCCCTGCGGTTTGAAAGTGAGCTTAAGCGACTGAAAGACGACAAGTCGTCCCTGCTGGAAGCAAAGGAGGCGGTTGAGAAACAACTCAGCTCCGAGATTGAGCGAGCAACTTCGGAAGAGAACCGATTATCCGCCGAGATCAACCAGCTCCAGGACCGGCTACACATGACCTCTGGAGGACGAGACAGAGAGCTTGCTGTGACCAAGAGCAAAGTCCAGCGCTTTGAGCGTCGTGTGCATGAACTCGAAGCCCTTCTTGAACAGCAGCCCACTACGGAACCCGAACACTCCACCGCAAACGCAGACCTCTCGATGCTCCGACATAGCTTGGATGAAGCTCGGAAGCGCGAGAAGACTCTTATCCAGCGTGATGCTGACCAGAAGTCGTCCGTCCGGAGCTGCAAGGCACGGATCGCCGAGCTGGAGAGAGAGCTCCACGATGCTGTGATGAACCGATTTACATCACAGTCTCCTCATGGGTCACCATCCGATAAGATCCATGGCGAACTCCGGAGTTTACGAAAACAATTAGCTGAAGCCCATCGCTCGCTCAGGGAATTGAAGACGAAGAACCGAGAATTAGAGCGAGTAGCAATGAGGCAGGAGGACCAGCGGGATCTCCACGAATTGCTCAAGTCGTCCACTCTCGAAGCCGAATCGCTGGCTCTGCAAGTGTCGGAGCGAGACGCGCAGCTGAGCGATCTGAAAGCAGAGGCGCGCCGGATCCGCGAAGAGCGTGCCTTTTGTGCACGGAAGGCCGAGACGGCGCTCAAGGATCTGGAAGCGACGCAGGGTCGCTACAACCAGGTTCTGGAGAAGCTGGGATCAAAGACCGACAATAAGAGCAAACACGACAAGGAGATCCTCGGCTTGGGCAAGGAGATCGTCTGGCTGCGCGCTCGGTTGAAGCGCGAGGAGAAGTTCCGTCGCGATCTCGCCTGGAGTAAGGGCTTGATGGAGCTTGGTGAACGGGTCCGAGTCGCATGGTACGTTATTTCCCCTTTTCTTTCCGTGTTTCTATCTACTATCACTATGAATCGTCATCTAACATGCTTCCGCCCACAGTAACGACGCCGACCTCCGCATGATCTCCGAGATGGGCGTGAAGCCCCAAGGCCGCATCCAAGGCCGCTCGCCCCGAGAAAAGCTCCGAACTGGTCTCTCCATGGTCAAGGCCATCGTGCGAATGCAGCGGATGGGCCAGGAGTGGAAGAAGGCCCGCAAAATAGGCGAGGGTCTCAAGCGCGCCAAGAACGATTTGCTAAAGAGAAGGGCGAGCTCTCATAAAGCCATCTCGTGATCCGTCATGCCCTTGCTCTTTCTTCCGCCCTTTTACCCAGGAAGAAAGAGATGTTCTATAACTTAGCCAACCCCATCCCTCATGATTTCTTTTGCTTCTAAGGCCCCCTGTTAAGGCCGGCCAATACCTTGATCAAGATTCCCCATTGCGCTTTGTTGTTTTGTTTTGCATTATTTTTGTGTTAGGCGTGCATATCGTTCTGCCATTATCTATCATTGCTGTTCTGGCGTTTGCTCGATTCAGGATGTGGGGTTCGTTTGTCTTGTCTATCGGAGAATGTTGGAAACCTGATGCATATAGTTTTATAAGCCGGTATTCTCCTTGTATGCAGTTTATGCTTTGATTTCTTGCTTGAGTGATGATTAGAATAATATGACAAGAGATGTGAACTTTCAAATTAGACTCAGTTTTATAGTAGTAGTTGTTTGTGTTGTAAGAATGGTGAAGCAGATCGTTGGTTGTCTGGTTGTGGGGAATATATATAGCACCTATGATTATCCCGTGCGTGTGGTATAACTTCATGTTTCTTTAACCAGGGGATTTAGTAGGTGAGTATATTGGTTATTGATATGTATAGTCTTCCCTGGAATTATATCAAGTGTCTGCACTTTAATTATATTCTTCTCAATATGATGGTTGACCTTTATAACCGTTGATGGTAGTCTGTCACTGCTGTTACTATAGCTGAATTGCGGTGCGCAGTTAATCTATATAGACAGACAGCCTTGATATCACCACTAAGCTACTATCAGATTGTTTAAATTAAATTAAGTCCATATAAAGTATCCTAGAAAGCTTCTTTGAATGTTTTTATAGATATAATAATACGCCACCAGTGACTCCTATATATCCATACATTCCATACATGCACGCGTCATATCCTTTGTCCAGTCCAGCACACAAAGAAGGGGAGAAAAGAAAAGGAAGAGGCAAACCACAATAGCAAGGGGAGAAAAAGAGAAAGAAAGAAAAAAAGGGACATAAATCGTCAGACGGTAACCAAGCCCAACGGGTATGATGTAATGCGGATTGGCCATCTTTTTGGAAAGCAAATATCGCAGGAGAGATGGGCAGGTGACTTATGCGCCTTCGCTGCCGAATTCTTCGGTCCATTCCTCGTTCCTCTTCAGGTCGTCGCCACTGACGGTGGGTCGCGAGTTGCGGACAGCCTTGATGAAATCCTTCAGGACGAGGGGGGGTTCCAGGAGTTTGTCGCCGTCTACAGTGGTCCAGTTCATCTCCATGGCGCCCTCGTCGCCAGGGGAGCATGGCGTTAGTTTCTCCACGTTGTCTACCAGTACCTGTAGCGCGAGTCAGCCACCGCATATTATCGGTCTCAATTTCCAAGAGAACGGCCATACCTTCTTGTAGTGCGTAGCTGATTGGATTTTCCGAATTGGCTGCATCAGGGCGTCTTGGACTGCGATACTGATATCGCTACCCGAGTAGCCTTCGCTCATCTCCGCTAACCGGCGGTAGTCGGCCTGGGTCATTTCGCACGGGGTTGAGCCCACAGCCAGCATGAACATCTTCATCCGGGCATTGATATCCGGCAAGCTGATGTGCACTCTCCGCTGGAAACGACGCCGAATGGCAGCATCAAGTTGCCACGGAATATTGGTTGCGCCCAGAATCAAGACACCCTTGGAGTCCTTCCCTACACCATCCATCTGCACGAGCAGTTCTGTCTTAATGCGACGCGACGCCTCTGACTCTCCTTCGCCACGCGGCCCACACAGCGCATCGACTTCATCGATGAAGATAATAGCCGGCTTGCTCTCGCGGGCCATGTTGAAAAGTTGCTTGACAAGTCTGCAGGAGAGATTAGTCCCCAGATCTGCCTCAAAAATGGCAAGTGACACCGTACCTTTCACTCTCTCCCATCCACTTCGACACCAAGTCACTGCTGCTGACACTGAAGAAGGTGCTGTTGGCTTCGGTTGCGACTGCCTTGGCCAAATAAGACTTTCCCGTACCGGGAGGCCCATAGAGCAAGATACCCTTCCAGGGTTGTCGCTTCCCTGTAAAGAGATTCGGAAATTTGATAGGCAAGATAACCGCCTCCTTCAAGGCCTCCTTCGCACCTTCCAACCCGGCCACGTCTTCCCACTGTACATTCGGCTTGTCCGTCAAGATCGCACCTGCCAGGGCCGATCGAAGCTTTTTTGAATCCGCATCTTCGGCGTCCTCTTCCTTCCTGTACAAGTCCTACGTTAGCCCAGGAGTTCCAATTTCCCAATGAGCGTGGCCGTTCGTCATAGAAACGGAACCACGTAGGAGAGACAAAAGAGCGTCCACACATACCCTCCCTTTCCGCTCCCCTGCGCCACACTACCATTGGCGCCTACCGCGCTGGGTTTCTTGCGATCCTGCGAATCCAAATGGCTCTTCAGCTTCTCCGCACGAGCCATATACTCGCCGGCCTTTGCGCGAATCATCTCCTTGGACCGGGCGTTCTTTTCCCATTTCAAGGCGAGGAGGAATAGCTCGAGCGCGCTGTAGTACGTCTGGTAGGCCTTCTCGTATTCGCCCCCATTGTCCTGCTCGATCGCCTTCTTGACCGTATCAATCGCCCGCCCGAGAAAGTCGGTATTACTCATGTTGACAGGGTTCGTGTGGGAGTAGGTATCCGCTCGTTCTCTTGTCACTTCTGTAAGGCCGTCTTGAAGGGAGGGATGATCGAAGGCGGGGAGGAAAATGGCAGACGCCTGATTCGCAGACGGTGTGGAGAAATGCGGGTAGGGATGGGTCCGAGAATTCAAAGCAGTCAAGGTCAATGGACCTTTAGGAGGATTAGAAATGGATAATTGGGAATAAACAGGAAGGATAGTGGGAGAACGAGAGGTGAGTCTGACGGGGGAGGAGAGAGATAAGACAGAACGAGCAGATGGAGAGAACGAAAGGCGGCGGGCGGAGACGTTGATCGTTTCTCTCATTTTCTTGTTTACCCGTTCTTGGGGCCCTTTTTCTGCCCCTCCGCTCCGCTCCATTTTGCCATTCGCCCCGCCAACCATCATCGTATCGATCTATCTGAGAAACTTGAAGTCGACTCGTTCACGCACCACTCCATCTCTCTCGTCAGACCCCCTATTTCTCTATTATTTCATTATGGCGGACGCTCAGAAGCGAATGCAAGCTCTCTCGGAGGAGTTCCAGAAGCTCCAGACCGGTATGTCCGCTCCCCCATGCTGTTCCCCTCACCACTGGTATCACTATCAAGCTCACTTCGTCTCCGGTCTATAGACATGCAAGGTCTGGTCGATGCCCGCCAGAAGCTCGAGTCGCAGCAACAGGAAAATGAAGGAGTCCAGAAGGAGTTCGACTCGCTGGACGACGAATCCAGCATCTACAAGCTCGTCGGGCCCGTTCTGCTGAAGCAGGACAAGAGCGAGGCGGTCATGGCAGTCAAGGGACGGTTAGAGTTCATCGACAAGGAGATGTACGTTGCGCTGTGACTTTCGTTACAAGACAATATACTAACGAGGCGATAGTAAGCGAATTGAGGGGCAGATCAAGGAAAACGAGGACCAGAGTGACAGCAAGCGCGCGGAGGTAAGTTTGCGTCCCGGATGGTGCTGCAAGTGTGCTTGTGAAAAGGGGGGTCTGATGGTTCTATCTAGGTTCTCCAATTGCAGAGCCAGGCGCAGCAGGCTGCAGCGGCTTCTGCCTCTGCTTGAGCAGATCGCATACTACCTACCTAGCTCTGTTGGACGAGATGGTCCTGCGTGTCCAGCCAAGGCAACATGCATGGGTTACGGGAGTGTGGAGGGTTGGTAGCTGATTCCCTGATTAAGAGAAGCTTCAACCTCGGATTCGTAGCTCCCCGAGCATAATTGAGCGTGAAGTGGCCATGTCCTGGATGGCGGGAACAAGGAGTCACAGTGCAATTCGAAATAACCGTTTCGAAAGACCCATACAAGTGAAATGGTCTGCTGAGAATTGGGAGTGGAGGAATGGTGGTGCTGAAAGGGTGGGCAAGCTTGTGATGATAAAATATTAGAAGACGTCAAGTCACTGGGACGACCAACTGCCTTTACCATGACTTGTTCAAGGCGATACCCCTGATGAAAAATATATAATATTGCTAGTATTTATGGGTCCACTCTACAAATTCCAAACAAAACATCAGCTCAGATAATATTCCTTTATATGTAGTATATTCTCTGAAGCCACATCTGAGAAGCATCTCATCCAAACTCCATTACGATTCATTGACTTCATGAAACTCGCCCGCCCATCCTGTCTATTTACTCAATATCTTTTTCCTTTCCTTCTTTCTTTGTTTGTTTACGACTGGACCAGGAGGTTCTTGCCAGACATCTCCTCGGGCTGGTCGATACCCATGGCCTTCAGGAGGGTGGGGGCAACGTCGCCGAGCACACCGTCGTCCTTCAGGGACCAGCCCTCAGGGGCGTTGGCCATGATGAAGGGGACCTTGTTCGTGGTGTGGGAAGTCTTGGGGGTGCCCTTGTCGTTGAGCATCTCTTCGGCATTGCTGAGGAAATTTGTATTAGTTGATGGTCCACGCTACAAAGTCCCACCTTGGAGGAAAACTTACCCGTGATCCGCGGTGATGAAGAGGATATAGTTGTTCTTCTTGCAAGCTTCGTAGATCTCGCCAATGGCCTTGTCGGTGGCAGCCACACCCTGGATGGCAGCCTCGTAAACACCGGTGTGACCGACCATGTCGGGGGGCGCGAAGTTGTTCATGACGAACTCGAACTTGCCCTCGGCGATGCGCTCGGACATCTTCTTGCCCACATCGGCGGCGCTCATCTTGGGGTCCAGGTCGTAGGTGGCCACCCGGGGGGAGGGGATCATGTCTCGCTCCTCGCCGGCGAACTGCTTCTCCACGCCGCCGTTGAAGAAGAAGGTAACGTGGGCGTACTTCTCCGTCTCCGCAATGTGGCACTGCTTGACCTCCTTCTTACCGAGCCACTCGGCGAGCACGTTGCCCATGTGCTGGGGAGGGAAGGCAACGGGGAAGGTGTAGTCGGTCTTGTATTGGGTCATGGTGGTGAGGTGGATGTTCTTGGGGTAGGGGAAGTCGGGGCGGGGGGAGCGGTCGTAGTCGCCCAGGAGTTGGGTGATCTCACGAACTCGGTCGGAGCGGTAGTTGAAGAAGAAGAGGGTGTCATCATCTGTTCAGTAGCGTCAGCCGATGGTCAGGTGTCGTGGATGTATGGGGTCCTCCTACCCTGAACCCGGCGGTCCTTTCCGCCGAAGATGATGGGCTTCAGGAACTCGTCGTTCTCGCCCTTCGCATAACGGTCCTCGATAATCTGGACGGGGTCAGAGCTTTCCTCGCCCTCGCCCTCGACAATGCCCTTCATGGCAAGCTCGACTCTGTCCCAGCGCTTGTCACGGTCCATGGCCCAGTAGCGGCCCACGACGGTGGCGATCTCACCAACGCCAACCTCCTTGGTGGCATCGAGCAGTTGCTGCATGTACTTGGCGGAGCTCTTGGGATCAGTGTCACGGCCATCACCGAAGAAGTGAATAAAGACATGAGGGATCTCCTTCTCCTTGGCGACCTTGAGCAAGCCGATCAGGTGCGTGATGTTGGAGTGTACACCACCATCGGAGACCAACCCCAGCAGGTGGAGACGGCCATTGCCCTCCTTGGCGCGTGTGAATGACTTGTCAATGTTCTCGATCTTGTTGAGCTCGCCATTCTTGAGGGTCTGGTCAATGCGGACACTGTCCTGCCAGACCACGCGACCGGCACCGATGTTCAAGTGACCGACTTCACTGTTACCCATGAGACCCTCGGGCAGACCGACAGCCAGCGACGAGGCGTCCAGCTCAGTGTAGCCCTGGGCAGACTTGGAGTTGGCCTCGGCAAAACCGGACATGAAGGGGGTCTCGGCGGCGGCGATCGCATTGCCGTCCTTGGGCGATTTCTCGGTGGCCACGCCCCATCCGTCAATGACGACTAGAAGGGGAGGTTAGAAAACCGTCCGAGATGGGAATTGAAGGGATTGAGCTTACTGAGAGCGACCTTGTGATCGACCTTGGCCATGATGTCAAAATGGACCCCTATAGCGCGAGGTCAATTGCGGAACGAAGATTGAAATTGCGGAGTATATAGAGCTTTGGAGGGGTAGGAAGGGAAGACAACACTGCTTACAGAAAGGACAAGAGAAAAGAATAGGATGAAGTATAGAAAAATCCAAAGAAGGAATGAAGAGAGGAGATGAAGAAGAGGAAAAGGTAAAGGAGAAAAAGAATCCGATTTTTGGCGGGGGAGGGGTAGCTTGAGGCGCTCCCGGTGACGCTTTGTAGTAGGCGTACCTCAGGCACTTTACCGCCCCGACGTCACTCCGTCACTTTTCCCCCAATTCGTCTTTTTCTTCCTCTTCCCGTTCACGTCCGTTCTCGTCCGGTCTTCCCGACTCTTCCCTAACCAATTCCCTTATTCTTCGGAAATCGGCCTCCCCTGTTTATCGTCCAGAACCTGTTCCTTCCGTGTCCATTGGTTTTACAGGTCAATTGACATTCCCCTCTCCCCGCAATGGCCTTTAGAACCCCAACGGCGATGACTCCACTGCCCAAATCCGTCCCGGGCACGCCTGGGCTTGGCAAGGAGACAACAACAAACACGCCCATCCCACAGCCTCCCCAACAACCGGTTGATTTCCCTCCACCCCAGACTTTCGATATTGTCCCGCCATTGCACGGTCTCTTGCTTCGTCTCCTCTCTCCGCACGCTAACGCAGAAGGACCGTCGAACGGTACCAGAGCGGGTGAAGACACCACGGGGGCGGCGGCAGGCCCCAGTCAGACTCCGTCGCAGCAGCCGCAAGGTCAATCGCAACAACAGTCGAGCACTGGCAACGGCAGCAATGGTGGATTATTACCCGGTCCATCCTCTGCAGTCCCCGGCAGCGCGTCCGCTGCGGCAGAGATAGCGGCCCTCGCGTCAAATGCACCCCCGCCGCTGGACCTCAAGGATCTTCCTACGGAAGCTAGCTCTATCAAGATTCGGATACAAAAGGCATACGGGGTGGTGGACAGCTTGCCCGACGTGCAGCGTTCGGTTTCGGAGCAGAATGCAGAGATTGCCGAGCTGGAGGATCGAATTGCAAGGCTCAAGTCGGTCATTTCCGATTTCGGCAGAAGAGCAGACTTGGGACATTGAAATCAAGAACTACACCCTTTTCGATGACCAGCAAGCCTCGCTTTGTTACTATGGGGACACATTGGTCGAACGTTGGATGGTGACAGCCATGGGACCAACCCACGAGATATAGGGCCGAGAAAACACGGCACTGGTCATATGTCACCAGGAAGCAACACAGTTTCTTGTGACGGTGTCGACTTATGGGAGGCCAATTTCCCATACAGAGCAGGGATTGCACCCAGCCTCACCGGTCTACCCGATTCATGCCAATTCTCCAGACATGGCCCCGCTTCGTGGGTTTGACTTGCTTCCTCCGTCATCTTGCTCAATATGGATGATCAGAAGTAGTGGATGCCTCACTGGGCCTCGCACGAACATTGGAAGACAAGTCCTTTTTCTGTATCGAAGGTGCAGGCAGTTCAACGGTCACTCATGTCGACAAGAAAAAGCCCAATCAAGAAGTGTGGGATTATTCTACGCGGGATCTGGGTGCGGGGGCTGTTAAACCCCTGTTGTTACTCCGGTTCCTTGTTCCCATCCTCAGCAACCAGGACCCAACCATGAGGAAGCAGAACGCATTGTTCAATTTGACTTGGATTGATCGGATCAACCCAAATCATTTTCCGACCCACAGTCCAAACCATAACGGAATACGGACACCTCCCGATCTCCGCGGGTTTGTCATGTGACCATCGGACCCGAAGCTCTACAATACTACTTTGAAACAGCGTCATGGATATGCTTCTTTATATTACTCTGAGTATTATAATAGTAATTGAATCTGAACATCATAACTTCCTGAATAAAAGCGTAAGATAATTATAATAAAATAAAAATAAGCAAGGGAAATCCTTCCAAGCAAATCGCACCCACAGGAAGATCCCTCCGATGTCGTCTTGTGGAATCGGCAGAATTTTCGGCGGGATTCCTTCCTGAGGCCACCACCCCCCCCCCACCTGATGACCGTTCGGGTTTTTTCCTCCTTCTTTCTTCTCCCCCACCTTTAGCTTGCCTCATCTGCGCTCCCTTTTCTTCTCGTCTTCTTCTCTTTCCCTTCCTCTTCCTCTCTCATTCCTCTATCCAACTCTGTCCCATCTTTACCTCTTTTCCCCTCCACCGTCTCCATACAGCCAATCCTTCACAATGGCCTCCTACGCCCTGTCGCAGTCCCACCGGGAGGTGAGTATTCCTCCTGTATAGGTAACAGCTGGACCTCTGACTCATTCCAAATAGCAAATGGAGAAGACTCTCGTTGAGAGCGATCCCGAGATCGCCCAGATCATGGTACGTTTATTTGACAGGTTATATATCGGGCGATTGGTTTATCTGACCGTTTCTACAGGAGAAAGAAATCCAACGTCAGCGTGAATCCGTGGTCTTGATTGCCTCCGAGAACTTCACCTCCCACGCCGTCTTCGACGCTTTGGGTTCTCCCATGTGTAACAAGTACTCCGAGGGCTACCCCGGTGCTCGTTACTATGGTGGCAACCAGCACATCGACGCCATTGAGCTCACTTGCCAGGCTCGTGCTCTCAAGGCCTTCAACCTCGACTCCGCCAAGTGGGGTGTGAACGTCCAGTGCCTGAGCGGCAGCCCTGCCAACCTGCAGGTCTACCAGGCCCTCATGCGCCCCCATGATCGTCTCATGGGTCTGGATCTCCCCCACGGTGGCCATCTGAGCCACGGTTATCAGACTCCCTCCAAGAAGTAAGTTGACGAAAGCTCGGGATTGGTTTACCAGTTCTAGCATGGCTAACAATTTCCTCGCGCAGGATCTCCGCCGTCTCCACCTACTTCGAGACTTTCCCCTACCGTGTCAACCTTGAGACTGGTATCATCGACTACGACACTCTGGAGAAGAACGCTGAGATGTACCGCCCCAAGTGCCTGGTTGCCGGTACCTCTGCCTACTGCCGTCTGATCGACTACAAGCGCATGCGCGAGATCGCCGACAAGGTCGGCGCTTATCTCATTGTCGACATGGCTCACATCTCTGGTCTGATTGCTGCTGGCGTCATCCCCTCGCCCTTCGAGTATGCCGATGTTGTCACCACCACCACCCACAAGTCTCTGCGTGGCCCCCGTGGTGCCATGATCTTCTTCCGCAAGGGCGTGCGCAGCACCGACCCCAAGTCCGGCAAGGACATCATGTACGACCTGGAGGGTCCCATCAACTTCTCCGTCTTCCCCGGCCACCAGGGTGGTCCCCACAACCACACCATCACTGCCCTCGCGGTTGCCCTCAAGCAGGCTGCCACCCCCGAGTTTAAGCAGTACCAGGAGCAGGTGCTCAAGAACGCCAAGGCCCTGGAGGAGGAGTTCAAGACCCTGGGCTACAAGCTCGTGTCCGACGGCACTGACAGCCACATGGTTCTGCTGAGCCTCCGCGACAAGGCCCTGGACGGCGCTCGTGTCGAGGCCGTTCTGGAGCAGATCAACATCGCCTGCAACAAGAACTCCATCCCCGGTGACAAGTCGGCTCTGACCCCCGGCGGTATCCGTATCGGTGCCCCTGCCATGTCCTCTCGTGGCATGGGTGAGGAGGACTTCAAGCGCATCGCTCGCTACATCGACCAGACCGTCAAGCTCTGCAAGAAGATCCAGAGCGAGCTCCCCAAGGAGGCCAACAAGCAGAAGGACTTCAAGGCCAAGGTTGCCTCGGAGACTGTTCCCGAGATCCTGGAGCTGCGCAAGGAGGTTGCCGCCTGGGCCAGCACCTACCCTCTGCCCGTTTAGATGGGTCTGAGCTGTAACTGTTTTCTTATGTTCCTTTCAATTTATCTCTTTTTCCTTTTGTTTTTCTTTGTTGATTTGAGTTCAACATCATGCGAGTACCAAAATGGATTGTTGGGTTGCGTTTTTAAGGGGTTTATACAGGTCTGATTTTTCAACATGGGACATGGATATGCATCAGCATGAACTATAGCACTGGGATGGTTTCTTCAACACATTTCTTCAACAGGACACACCAGGGCTCACGTGGCTTTTGGTTATTACCCTCAAACAACCTTGAGGTAGTTAGAACAATTAATGATTCATGATTATTCATGATTTGATATTTTCCCTGTAAATTATACTATAGTGAAGTGTCTGCAATATTACATGTGACTGACTACATTGTGCAATAATCCAGTCTGTACGACTGACAGCGCGTTAGATGTGCTTGCACTCAACCAGCCATGAAACAACCAGGAGAGACAAGACAGGGATCTAGAACCGCCAAGTCCAGCGGAAACCTACGTGGAAGACTGAGGTGCATATAGGTATGTATATGACTTTGTTTGCTTTATATTGAGGGATATCTTGTAAAAAAAAAAAGATAGATCATCCAGTGCCCTGGTGATGACCAGCTAAGACAAGAAAGGAGGGGGGGTTGGATTTACTTGGGGGTGGTTTCTTTTTCTTTTGTCTTTCTTTCATTCATTCATTCAATTTTTATTTAGTAATTTTTTTTTTATTGATTATTTTCTCCACGATTTCATTCGATGATGGCAGCCGTCGTAAGTCATGCGAAGCAAGCAAACACAAAACGCCCGATGCGCCAGGTCCCGACTTCCCATCATCCCCTTGGGCTGATTGATTGATTGATTGAGTCTAGTTTCTTCCCCCGTCATCATCTGGGCTCCAAAAAGTTCCAAAAGTGAACACGGCCCCCTTGATAGCCAGGGCCTTGGGGTAAGAACACAACACATGAGAGAATAGAGTAAACAACATAGAAAGCTTGATCCGTAGATCTTCAAGCCAGTAAAAAAACAATTATGATCAAGAAAGAAGTGGGAGAAAAGATGATATGGAATATGCTTTTTCGGGCTCAGGTAGCCCCCTCCCAATGAGGGGATGGAGGGCCCCCCTCATTTGATATGAAAAAGGAATAAGAGGAAAAAGAAAAAGAGAAATCTCAAGCAGCCTGCTCGAATCCTCTACGGATCACACGGCCGAACATGTCAATGCCGACGCGCTCGCTCTTGACCTCGCTGCGGACCTCGTTCTCCTTGTTGGTGGGCACGCGGACGACGCCAGCGGCGTTGTCGACCTGCCAGCTGCAGACCTCGGTGGCGAACTTCTCCAGGGCGTCGCGGCTGCGCAGATCCAGCCACTGCTCGAGGATGTCGATGCTGATCTCGCGGAAGGTCTTTCCGATCTCGAGGGCAATGCGGATGCGCACGAGCTCCTCGAAGCCGGCGACGTCGGCGACCAGATCGGCGTACAGGTCGTCCGAGTTCAGGGTGGACCAGAACTGGGCATACTGGGCGGACTCCAGGAGGGTGGATAGCTGCGCGAGCTTCTGGACGGACTCGACGAAGTCGTTGTTCTGGGCGGCGGCTTGGCCGTCGGTGTTGAAGGGCTGGGTGTAGGCGGGGAGCAGGGCAAGGCAGAGGGAGAAAGCGGGCGAGGGGAAGACGGTGAGAGCCTTGGTGAGGACGTTGGTCGCCGTCTCGGCCTGGAGGAGGTGGGGGTTGAATTGGTAGCTTGCGAGGGTGAGATTGGTTAGCATCAATGTCTGTATCTGATGGGAGTGGTGGATAGCAAGTGCTTGTTTGGTTTGTATTTCAGAAGAAAAATTCGATTCTCGACATCCCCCCACGTGGAGGGTCAGTTAATAGGAAACGTGATAATAAAGAGGTTTCTTCATCATATAATCATATTTCTTTTCGTTGAACGAAAAAGGATCCTCGGGTAGGCAGGCGTTCGTTCTGTAGGGAGGGATATTTCGGGGAAAATGCAAAAGGATCAAGCAAGAGATGCACACGCTTGGACTTACAGCTTCAGGAGAGCCAGGTTGGCATAACAATCAAACGACCGGTCCTCGCACTGCTGGGCGACATAGTCTTGGAAGATGGTGGTGGTCTCGGGGTTATATCGGTCCAGGCCCTCGAGGATGGCGTCGATGTTGGCCGGCCGGGTCTCGCACTTGTCAAAAGCGGCAACCATTTTGAAATCGGTAGTGAGGAGAGGAAGGAGGAGAGGAGGAGAGGAGTTCGAGGTAGAAGTGGGAGGAGAAGAAGACGTGAGGTGGATCTTCAGAGAGGCGGGACGATTTGATAGTGGTGGTGAGTGAATAATATTGGTATTTTTCAGTGTGGTCATCCATGTGCGGGTCGGGGGTTCGGGGCTGGATTGGGTATGTTTCTCCGATTGGTCAATTTCCACTGTTCTCGAGACCTTACGGTTCAGGCTGCTCTATGATTTCCTAATATTTATTTCTATCAGATGTTATTATTCAAGAACGATACAGTCTATCGAAGAGCCCTTCCAATGATTAAATATATAGCCAAACACTACACCAGGAAGAGATTATCTAAATTTGCCACAAGGTCGATATCGACAAACGGAAAAAGGTAGCGAGAAGGGGATCGGCTCATACTTGGTAGACGGGCGAATTGCTGTCCCAAAATACATTACTCCCATTACAGGCTCAGGGTGTTCGATTCCAGGGTCCTATGTGTACTCTTGTGTCATGTCCATGTATTCATAAGGACTGGTTCATCATCTCAACAAGGTACGGGAATGTAATATGCATTAATTGAACCCTAACCGCCTGTATCGAACATGGAATTGAGCAGAAAATGCAGCGACCTCCTGTGTTTGCTTGACCCAACCCCCATAGAAAGTCCCCGTCAGCCGCAAAGAGAAAGAGAAAGAAAGCAAGACTGAAGATGAGAAGAATCTCAGCCATTTCCCCGAACAGCAGCAACCGCCTGCACTATCCCTGTCACCGACTGGATCAACCCAAAAACCAGCGCCAGCGCCAACGCCGCCACGGCTATCCAAAACGTGTACCGCTGGTTGGGTTTCCGCTTGTCCAGCACCCACTGTCTGATCGTGGTAGGCTCAGTCCGATCATATTCGTCTTTGAGTTCCCGCAGTCGCTGCCCCCAGTAGCGGTAGTTGCGCAGGTCGCGGGGCGCCCGCAGGAGGAGGCCGGCCTCCAGACCAACGTTTTCGCGCTCTTGGGCCCCTTGTATCCATTGGCGGCAGTCAAGGTGGGCGGCGGGGAAGAGGAGGGCAAGGGTTCGGATTGTTTCTTCGAGGAAACCGGGGGGGAATATTTTACTGTTTTTAATGGGTGCTTAGTTGGGATGGTCAAGAGTTGCAGTAGTGGTCCTGGGGGTTAGAGGGGGAAGGGAAACTGACTGGCTAGGGTTACTGTACGTGGAGTACTGTAAGAAGCAGGCTACATGAAATACGCGTAGCTCCTTTTGCGTCTGGTCACTGATGAGCGACAGGTGGTCCTGGATGCAGTCTGTCCAGACGACATCGAAGCCGCCGATACGGTGGAGATTGTACGCGTTGAATTCCAGCGACACCGGCGCGGCGACAACGCTGCTGTCGTGCTTGTCGGGGAATAACGCCGCGACGTACTCTTGCAGCGTTTGCGAACCCGCCCAGTCGTCCACCCCGACCATGAGCCAGATGCCGACCGCTATCTCCACGGCGTGCTCTGCGGACTGGGGTGCGGGACCCAGCCAGGTCCAATGATCATTGTTCAGCTGTGCGAGGAGGTCGTCGCGGGGCACGGTAGAACGCGCGCGGATGAACAAGATCAGGTTGACTACATCCTCATGGGTCTGGAGGTTCAAGCCGTACACTCTGATTAGGTAGCGTTGCGCCAGATAGTATTCGAGAAAGGCATCGGAGGATCTGAGGTCCCTGCCTGGTGTCGACGTCCATAAGGCTAGTAGGAGTCGCGCTTTCAACAGCTGCTTCTCCTCAGGACCGGAGGGTCGATCCGTCAACGACCAGTGGAGGGGATCCTCGATCGGAGGATAGTCTGACGCTGTCATGATGATCACATTTTGTGTGTGATAAAATCCGCACGGCAGCATGAGCCGGCCTTTCTGGGTGCTTATTTGAAAGATTTGGAGGCTCTTTTGGTGCCGTACCCGCCAAGGGTCAGGCAGGCGAAGCCTCTACCTACTTGCACTTCTGACGGTGAGGCGAGTCGGTCAGCTGGGGGCTTATACGAGAGCATAATCTATTTCACATGGACATTGAAAACCCGACTGGCTAAGACGCTAATAGATGCTTTGCATTTCATCCGTTTATCCACGCAAGAGTGTCACTGGCTGGAAAGGAATGACGACGTTGTGCGCCACAGCCTTGTGTCCCCTCATGGCATTGCGACGGCATTGCCGACAAGACCCCGCTCAAAATTTCCATTATGACGGCACAACATGATATCTTGATCTTGCATGCTCAATGTCGGCTGGAACAACCTTTCGTCGAGGGGTCCTCGGCCTAAAACAGGGAGCCTATGATGGAATAATACATGATACTAATGGTTAGTCTGATTCGATGATAACGCAACCTCTCTCTCTGGTCGCTTGTCTCACTCCAGGACGATCGGAAAATGAGCCCATTGATTGGAAGGTGGAAGATCGTACAGCCTGGTTTTTCGCCTCTTTCCCAGATCTGTGCTTCGCCAGTGTAGATCGCAAAGACGTGCGTTTGACGTCAATTGAGGGGTTGAGCGGGGATCTAGATTTATATCTGCCATTTCTCTCTTCAAAAGAATTTGCTTATTTCTCGAGATTTGTGCTTGCTGCAGGTTCACTTCACTGACAGTATACCTTCTAAACCCCCCCAAAATAATAAGAAAATATCATGGTAAGTGGTGTCGCATCCATGGAACAGACCCGAAACCGCCCGTGGGGATCGAACCACGGGCACGGAGACAGAATAATATGCGACTGACCAGTCATCCGCAGGCTCCCATCCTAGACAGCAATGTCCAGCCGAATATTCTCCATGCTCGCCAATCATCGTCCACTGAGTGCCCCAGCACTATCTCCGGAGGTGGAATCGCCGGCATTGTTATTGGCACTATTGTTGGCACGCTCCTGATCCAGTGGCTGATACGACTGTGTCAGCTGCCGGGAGCACGCGGGGAGGCCTCCCCTGACTATAAATATTCCACCCCAGTGGGCGTGGAGACACGACATCGCCATCGAAGTCGCCGTCGGCGCAGTCCGACATATGAGTATGTGGAGAAGCCAAGTGGTTCGGTACGACGGCCAGCGAAGGTCTATCTCAACTGATCGCACAAGTCCTGAACTAAGAGGGAGAAATATAAGTGGTTGAGTGGTGGTCCCGTCTGTTTCTTTCCTTCCTTGCCCTTGTACGGAATACCGCCGGGCTACGATGTGGATGCACGCTGTTCATGATGTCAATGGTTTATGATGCTTTTTTTTTTTTCTTCTGTTTTCCCTTAATGTCCTAGTAATGAGAGACGTGGAGATATGTATCTATTCCGGGATCAGTGGCGTTCGAGGACCCGCTGCTCAAAAGAACCGGAGGGCGTTCCAATGGATGGTTCTTCGAACTTCTTTTCATTTAGTTGGGATTCTGTATAGTTCGCAGTCGAATATCCACAATTTAAAACCTTGTCGGCGACAGAACTAGGCAGATGCATTCGCAATCCAAAATGCACCATGTCCTTGGTAGAGTGGATCTAAGATGAAGACCACGATCCGGTCCTCCTGTTCATTGTCGCATGAATCTCACAGGTCGAGGAAATAACCTCCGAGTAACATGCTCCGGCCTGTGTAACGCCCCTTTTCTAAATTTAACAGATTCCAGAATGCGAGTGCGCTTTGTACCTGAAAAAGTGGAAAAAGGGGACGATTGAGGACCTGATAGGGTGCGAGATATGGCCCGATGGCCTGATTTGTGATTCGGGCCCTAAAAGGATTGGCATTCACCAACCTGTTTTTTTCTCCGTCCTTGATCTCCGTCTCCTGCGATAAAGGGATCCATTGCTCCTCTGCAGACAGCTGGGGGCGTTGGGGCTAGTCTCACCCGGTGGAAGGATCGTCGGATTCGCTTGTACCAGCCAAGAGTTCTCCTCCCTATCTTTCTTTGTTTCTGCTTGCCTTCTATGTATTGTATCTTATTTTGTTTATCATTTTCGTCCGGTTCTTTTTCCCATCATGATTCCTCTTCCTTTTCTATTCTTCTTTGGCATCATTTATCCTGAACGGTATGTCATATACTTGTAGTCATTTAAGTACACTACAATCAACCCCAACAATCCGGAGCCCCTGCAGATTCTGCCAGATGAGGATGGAGTTCAGCGTAGGAGACTAGAAAGATAGACTACGGCCCAGTCGAGTCCAGTCGAGTCCATGGACGGTTCCAAAGTTTATGCGCTTGACCCGATCCAGCTAGCCTGTGGAACATGAGACCCCAGCTTCTTACCACATCGGGTTAGCCGAAGGGAAGGCTAACCTTGAAGCAGTCTAGCCCTTGCGCCGCCCGGACACGCCTTACTTGAATAGGAAACCCCCTTAACAACTAGCCGGGAAACTAGTGGTATAATGAACTGCAGAAAAAAACACCCGGGAAAATCCTACTTGGAACCTTTTGAGAAACACTCTGTTTACAGCGGAATTAAACCAGAATCATGCTACTTCGTACTAATAATAACAGCAAAAATAAAATTCAATTCAATTCAACTAAAATGAAAAAAAAAAAAAAAAAAACAAGTCCACTCAATCCAGTCGTCTCCACTGGAGAGGGCGTTAATTAAAGGGATATGGGTGACCTCCCCCGGTTTCTCTCTTCTCTCCCCCTCTTCACATCTTCTCCAATCCACCACCTTTCGCTCTTATCGCCGTTCCTGACTCTCTTTTGGGTGTGGCCTCTCTCCTCGTGCGACTCGTTCGCATGTCCATTCATTCCACCCCGCCTAGCCACTCATCCCATCATTCATTCCTTGAATCATTCAATCCGTGAATCAGTCATTCCTTGAATCAGTCATTCCTTCGATCAAATTGACCGTGGTTCCCATCCTAGTTTCTAGTGGGAGGCGGACATTCAATTAATCTATCTACAGTTCGGAGAGACAATAGAGTCTCCAACGAACATGTCATTCTTTTACCTGCTGGCCTTCTGGCTGGCTAGCCTCTCCCTCGTCTCGGCGCAGACATGGTCCGACTGTAACCCGCTCAAAGAGGACTGCCCCAACGACCCAGCCCTGGGCTCCGAACACTCGTGGACCTTCAATGAGACGATGAACGCCAAGCTCTGGAACACCACCAATGGCGAAATCGACTGGACCGAGAAGGGCGCCGAATTCTCCATCAAGGAGAAGCTCCAGTCTCCCACGTTACAATCGACCTTCTACATCTTCTTTGGCGTCGTCGAGACCCACCTGAAGATGGCCAAGGGCAACGGCATCGTCAGCAGTGTGGTGCTGCAGTCCGACGACCTGGACGAGATCGACTGGGAGTGGATCGGCTCCAACAACACCGAAGTGCAGTCCAACTACTTCGGCAAAGGCGATGACTCTTCCTTCGATCGCGGCGGGTACCACTACGTTCCCGATGCGGACACGGAGTTCCACAACTACACAACCTACTGGGATCAGGATAAGCTGGAGTGGTGGATCGACGACGAACTCGTCCGGACCCTGAAATACGCCGAAGCGAAGGACGGCTCCCGCTACCCGCAGACTCCCAGCAACATCCGCTTCGGCATCTGGCCCGCCGGAGATGGGGACAACAAGGAGGGCGTTATCGCGTGGGCCGGTGGCGAGGTGGATTATGCCGCTGGTCCCTATACCATGGTCATTGAGAGCGTGCGCATTCAAGATTTCCACTCGGGCAAGGAGTACGAGTACACAGATGACTCGGGCTCGTGGGAGAGTATCAACGTGATCAAGTATGTTGCCTGCCATAAGAGCCCCCATCTTGATGATCATCTACTGACTGTCCTAGGGGTAACTCCACCGCGGTGGAAGAAATCAACAAGCCTCCGCCCAAGTCCCTCTCCGAGAAGTGGGATGACCTACCGACAGGCGCCCACGCCGGCGTGTTCGTCGGTGCGGCCACAGTCGGAGCCATGCTGATCGCGGGCTTCATCTTCTTCATCATCCGGCAGCGCAGAAAGGGACGTCTCGAACAGGCCCTCGACGACACCAACTGGAATAACGAGCGCACCGAGCGCACCGAGATGAGCAACGCGCAATCGGACTGGAGGCAGAGCGAATGGCGGCACAAGGGCTACTCCCAGGTGAACTAGGTCGAGTCCCGAAGCCGCAAACTATGCAAGTTTCTCCCCCGACTTGGTCAACGACAGACATGAAACATAAGGGGGGCGAATCTTGTCCCCCCTTCCCTCCCGAGGAAACCCGCCGTGCATTGTGCCTATTTTGTTCTCGGCTTTGCAGGACAAAGTCATGCGGCTTGGCCGCCGGAATCACAATCGACTAATCCGTGAATCTCTTGGGTCGTTATTTATCCATTTGCATTTGCAGTTGAATTAATGAATCTTTGACCTTCCTCGCCATCTTTGTACCTTTTTCCATCTTCGATCATCATACCCAATTTATTACTACTTTATTTACTATATCTCTATTTTCTATCGGTGGTCTCGCGCCTTCGGGAACGATAGACTTTCGTTATTGTATATACCAATCCCACTATTTTCCGCTGCAGTTTTATGTTCTTTTGGCCATACGTTTGAGGATTCGGATGTTGATATGCTTCGCCTCTTTGAACAAAGACCAATCTTTCTGGTAATCGGATGCGATCTCTTCAACATCCATGGGCCTTCATTTATAGGACTGCATTTTACTACAGCCTGACCTGCACTAACCCCTCGAAGGGTAGTTGCATGAGACAATGCTTTGGTCACTTCTAGAAGTCCGCCCGGCACATCATTTATGCAGTCGCACAATGGCTTTCACTACCCTAGCGAGAACTTATAGTTCCGAACGTCATGAGAGAAAGAATAGTTCTATAAATTGCCTACTGTGGGTTCTCTGTATAGCACTTCCCGCCGTTTGTTCCACTATCTGGTTCTTATTGGGCTGTTTCTAAGATCCTGTTTATCTCAGCACTAAGAAACTGTCAGTATACTAGACCATGCCAATTGGTGTATATGTTCCAGTAGTTTGGTCATCAACTTATCCTAGGAAGAACCTCAAGTATATAGCAAAAGTCATCCAACACGCATCCACCCATCCTTCATGGACACGAAAGGCATCTGTAGGGACAAGCAACGAGAAGCCCTACCTGCGATACCATCGGTTTTTGCGCTCTGAAAGGTAGGTTTCATCCGCTGCAACCTTCCTGCGACCGGAGTATCTCATCTCCGCTTGCTACTTCTACAGAATGGGTTCGAGCGGACGTGATTGACCTAGATAAGATATCAAAGTGATGATTCTTTCAGCTAGCGCTAGGACTGACCCAAACAATGGTCCCTATTATAAGAGAGAGGCGTTTAGAATGCACTTTCTTTTTCTTCTGTTACATGCTGACGACTATTGGGATTGCTAGTGTCACCACGCTCTGGTTCATCATCTTTGTGATGGGATGGATGGGGCATATATCAGATAACGAAGAGTGATTTCCCATGTTTTGTCGGACGTTACTTAGTATGTAGTTCTATGCATTGTCAGAGGTGCTTAGTGCTTAGTGAATGAGAAATGGAGGGTCATAATAGCATGAATATTCCAAGTGACTGTATCAAACCATAGTTTCTTTTTAGCTATCACTAGTTCTGTCACTTGTTTACTGTCTCTCAGACACACTTTTTCTCTTCTTTTATTGTCTTCCTTCTTCTCTTCTTCTTCTTCTTCTTCTCCTTCCTACCCTCCATCCTCTTCATCTAAAACCCATCCTACTCTTACTCTCCTTTCCATACTTCATCATCCTCACTACATCTTCTCATCTGGCTGTACCGGGTGATAGTCAACATCAAATCAGCTTTGCCTTCTGAATACAAATCCGGGACAGAATACTACCTGACATCCTCAATGACCAATCCAGGGCATGTCCCAATCCCCAGGCCTAAAGGGGTCCCGATCCTGGGAAACCTGCTGGAATTCGACTCTGACGTTCCCTTGAACCGGTTGCATGAACTCGCAGATATACACGGTATGCCCCGTCCCCCGAGAGACAATCTAGCCACATTGAAATAGATGGATACTGACTCTCTGTCTACCAGGCCAGATATTCCGCCTGGTCGTCGCTGGAAACTCCCTCGTGTTCATCAGCTCCCAGGAATTGGCCAACGAGGTCTGCAACGAAGAGAGGTTCACAAAGTTTGTAGTCTCTGGTCTGAAAGAGCTACGCAATGGAGTCAGGGACGGCTTGTTTACTGCCAACTACCCAGAGGAGGAAAACTGGGCTATCGCACATCGCATTCTCGTTCCGGCTTTTGGGCCCCTCATGATTCGCTCCATGTTTGCCGGTGAGCAACTCCATACCTTTATAATGTTCTTCCCGAAACCAGAAGGTCTAACACTGTGGAAAGACATGTACGATATTGGAACCCAGCTGGTCATGAAATGGGCGCGCCAGGGTTCCGATGTTCCCATCGTGGTCACGGACGACTTCACTCGTTTGACGCTGGACACTGTTGGCCTCTGCTCCATGGGCATCAGGTTCAACTCTTTTTACAGCGAAGACCTTCACCCGTTCATCAAGGCTATGGGTAACATGTTGAAAGTGGCCGGCAATAGGTCCCGTCGACCCGGATTGGTGAACAGCTTGCTCAGCAACATACCCACCACCGAGGATAAGAAGTTCTGGACCGACATCGAGTACATGCGCAGTTTCTCGCATGAGCTTCTGGCTGCTCGACGGAACCACCCCGAAGACAAACAGGACCTTATGAATGCTCTCGTTCTGGGCCGAGATCCCCAGACCGGACAGGGTCTCAGCGATGAGTCAATTGTTAATAACATGCTCACATTTCTGATTGCTGGTAAGAAGTCTTTGGATTCCCCGGAGAATCTCGCTAATCCAGTTGCTGCCACAGGACATGAGACCACCTCCGGTGCCCTATCTTTCCTGTTCTACTTTCTGCTCAAGACCCCGCGCGCGTACAAAAAGGTGCGAGAAGAGGTCGACGCGGTCATCGGACAGCGGAAAGTTAGGGTGGAGGACTTACCCAAACTAGTGTACGTCGATGCAGCCTTGAAGGAAACCCTACGCATGAGAAGCACGGCGCCTCTGATGGCACTCCACGCCCACCCGACCAAAAACAAGGAAGATCCTGTCACTCTTGGAGGCGGTAAATACGTTATAGGGAAGAACGAGCCTATCGTCGTCGTACTGGGCAAGCTGCATATGGACCCCAAAGTCTACGGCGCAGATGCGGAAGAGTTTAGACCGGAGAGAATGCTCGATGGGGGATTCGAAAGTCTACCGAAGAATGCATGGAAACCCTTCGGAAACGGACTCCGGGCTTGCACCGGTCGCCCATTTGCATGGCAGGAAATGCTGCTTGTGGTGGCCTTGCTGTTCCAGAGTTTCAATTTCCAGATGGAAGATCCGAACTATGAGCTGCGGATGACGCAAATGCTCACCATCAAGCCTAGGGATTTCTACATGAAAGCTACCCTGCGCAGTGGCTTAGATGCTACAAAACTGGCTATGTCCTTCAGTGGCAGTGGCGATGTGGTTACAGAAAGATCCGTGGCAGTCGTCGACAGCTGTGCAAACAAGTCTGTGTCTGACAGTACCAGGACCAGACCAATGCACATATTTTTCGGCAGCAATACTGGAACATGCGAGGCATTTTCTCGAAGATTAGCCAACGACGCTGTCAGATATGGCTTCTCTGCGGAGGTCAAGCCACTGGACTCGGCGATGCAGAATGTTCCTCGCGACGGCCCTGTCGTTTTCATAACAGCCTCGTATGAGGGACAGCCGCCGGACAATGCTGCACATTTCTTTCACTGGCTCGATGGTTTGGAAGGAAATGAGCTAGAAGGTACCAATTTTGCCGTGTTTGGCTGTGGTCATCGTAAGTTCTCTCCACTTCAATGATCCGTCAACATCTGAGCATTTCATGTACTAATGACTGACAATCTCCTCAAGATGATTGGCAGTCTACTTTTCATCGTGTACCAAAGGCCGCCGACACTCTGATTTCTCAGCGTGGTGGAACTCGACTATGTGACCTCGGGCTCGCGGACGCAGCGGACGCAGATATGTTCAGTAGTTTTGATAGCTGGGCCGAGTCTGACCTTTGGCCTGCCATCGCATCGAGTCTCGGTGAGCCCATGAGCAGAGAAGGTCGAAAGTCAGCCCTTCAGGTCACAGTCAGTTCAGGTGTGCGACCTTCGACTCTAGGCCTCCAGCTGCAGGAAGGGACCGTCCTTGAGAATCAGCTTCTTACTGCACCGGGAGTCCCAGAAAAGAGAATGATTCGATTCAAGCTTCCCTCGGACATGACTTACCGCTGTGGCGACTATCTTGCCGTGCTCCCCATCAACCCCGCCAGTGTTGTCCGCCGCGCAATTCGTCACTTTGGCCTCTCGTGGGATACCACGCTCACGTTGGCTTCCAATGGCACTGCCAGTATTCCCCTGGGGACTCCTATGTCGGCTTTTGACCTGTTTTCGACCTATGTTGAACTCTCCCAGCCAGCATCCAGGCGAGACCTGATTATTTTGGCCGATGCAGCCGATGGAGATGTAAGCACGCAGGTAAAACTGAAGCATCTTGCATCCGATCATACCACATTCGCAGAGGAGGTTGTGAAGAAACAAGTGAGCCCACTGGATATTCTCACCTGTTATCCTTCTATCAAAATACCTCTCGAAGTGTTTTTGATCATGCTTCCACCCATGCGTGTGCGCCAATACTCCATCTCATCTTCGCCTCTGCCAAATTCATCCGAGTGCACCATCACGTTCTCGGTGATCAACACTGCGCCCACAGCAGCCGCCCCTCAAGCGCACCAGGGTGTTGCATCAAACTATCTTTCCGAGCTGAGACCCGGCGAACGCGCTCAGATCGACGTCCGCCCATGTCATTCGGGCTTCCGGCCTCCCCTGGACCTAGAGACACCCATGATCATGATATGCGCGGGAAGCGGTCTTGCTCCCTTCCGCGGCTTCATCATGGACCGCGCCGAGAGAATCCTTGAGCGTCGCAACAACCCTGGCTTCGAGGGCGGCAGTAAAGAACCCGCCAAAGTAATCCTGTACGTTGGCTGTCGCACAAAAGGCAAAGACGACATCTACGCCACAGAGCTAGACGCCTGGGCCCGCCTGGGGGCCGTCGAAGTAAAATGGGCCTACAGCCGTCCGTCGTCCCCTGCTGATCCCCCTGCCGGACCCTCCTCATCCGCTCTAGCCTCAAGCCCACAACGCTTGGCTGAAAGCTTGGACCGCCGCCAGCACGTCCAGGACCTGATGGGAGCGCAGGGAGACGAAATCTCTGAGCTGATGGATCACGGCGCGAGGGTCTACGTGTGTGGCGGTATTGGGGTGGCCAATGGCGTGCGCCAGGCTTTCAAGACTATTTACCTGAAACAGGAACGAGACGCTATCCGTCAAGCGATGGAACGTGGCGAGAATGTCACCACCGAGGCTGACGAGGACGCACTGGCCGAAGCATACCTCGACGGTCTGAAAGTGAAGGAGAGATATGCGACGGACGTTTTCACTTGAGACTGTCGAGGCTGTGTATGTGTATGTACGGGAAGCGAAGGTTTACTGTAGTCTACATCAAGGGCCGCTAGCGAGGTATCCTTTGGAGAAACCCAGTAGGCATGTGATTTTAACAGACGTCGTCGAGATTGATTCTGCGATTCTTTCCATAACTTTCTAGTCTCTACCAACCTAACCTACCTGAGTAGTAGATACATAGTACACCAGTTCCCAGATCTATCTCTCCAAAGTACGTAGTATCCGTATTCCCGCCTCAACCGTCCCACTCCCAGAGTCAGACCCACCCATTCATCAACGACTTAATCACGACGCATATATTAAGCCCACATCAAAACACAACACATCAGTATTACCAAACCAAACAGTCAATACTCACCACCCTACATTGCGGTGCGAATCAGGTTTCAAGAACGGCTCGAGATAGATCACCGCCGATCGTGGCCACTGCCCACACGGGCCCAGATTATAACTAGCTTTCTTTTTTCCCTTTTCTTTTCTTTTCTCATCTTTTCTTTGCTTTTCTTTTTTCCTTCCATAATCAACAGGGAAAATCTGTGTATAGTAGGTGCTATATGAAGCAATATAAATATCAAGGCCTAGACCAGTCATCCCGCCTCCGGCCCCGTATCATATATTAAAGCTCCAATGTGATGAGATACATGTATTGCTTTTTTGTCGGTGGGAACATGAAAGAAAGGGGGCCGTGGGATTGTGAGTCAGTGTGTTTGACGGTGGTAGGTTTTGGTCTGGTGAGTTTGGGGGTGGGATTAGTCTTTGGTGGCGTTCGGGTGATGGGGGAATAATGGCTATGGCACGATGTAGTTCTCTGTTGTGGTCCGTTTTTCGGGGCTAGTGGCTTGATGGTGGTGGGTCGGCGTGTTTGTGAAAACCTTGGTACTTACTACCTAGCTATGTATTGAGATATTCCAATGTAAAAATTTTTCACTTCTGTAAGTATGGTTATGGGCCATAGTATATGCCATAGTATAAGGTTGAAAGGCAGGGTTGACCTGCCTGCTACGTACTTTACGTTGTGAGCAGAATTAGGCATGCATATGTAGAGAGATAAGAGAATGAATTGAAGAGTCCAACTTCCTAATGACAACCTGTGCCTTTCAAGAACCGCTGGGACTATGTAACAACCGAAACCCCATCCAATGTAGGACAGATATATGTGACAAACTTTCTAGCATCGCATCTTCCCCATTCACACTCAATGCCACCGCTTCACTCGGATGGCGTATTAATCCCGTCATTGCCAGCCACTTAAGCGCCGAAAGGCAGGCCAGTGGGCAGAGGAGGGAAGCCCGTGGGGAGGCCAGTCGGGAGGCCAGTCGGGATGGGCAGGTCGGTCGGGAAGGGGATGCTCGGGAGGCCGGTGGGAAGGCCGGTGGGGAACAGGCCAGTAGGGATCGGGAGGTCAGTCGGGAGACCAGTGGGCAGGCCGGTGGGCAGGCCAGTGGGCAGACCAGTGGGCAGACCAGTCGGGAGGTCGGTGGGGAAAGGGAAGGGCAGGTCGGTGAGACCAGGAATATCCAGGGCCGCGCGCTTCTGGAAGGTGGCGCCGGTGGGCACGGGCGTGTTGGTCGGGACGGAGGTGCCGGTAGGGTTGGGCACGCCCGTGGCGAAGTCGCCGGGAGGCTGGAGGACGCCAGGAGGCAGAGGGAACGGCGCCTCAAGGCCCTGGTGGCGGATGTAGTTGCGGATGGGAGCGGGCAGGGAAAGGGCGCAGCCCAGGAGACCCAGCGAGGCGACAACGTTGAACTTCATGGTGAAAGAATGTGGTTTGTTTTTTTTAAAGAAAAGAATGAATATGTATCAGATCAAAAAGAAAGTAGAAAAGACACAGAACAAAAATGAATACCAGATTCAATTGAAAGAGATGGACTGCCAGGGCCCATCGAGAATGGGGAGATCAGCTTTCCTTTATAGACTACATGCTATGGGACCTGACAGCATCTCCGAGCCGAAAGACTGGTACTAATCCGCCCAGGGGGGGAAGGGTCTTCGGTTCGTGTCACTGATCAGGGAAAGATTTCTGTGGATCCCGACTTGTAAACGTTCAGCTTCGCTTACCTTGATACCTGAATCAGAAAATGGACGGTCGTCAATGGTGGAGCCGTGGAATTTCCATGAATCAACCACCACAGGAGATAGGCCTACTGACCGGTATTGGCTTCCCACGACCTAGGCCCGGTGGACTGATAATTAACTAGGTATCGTTTAACTGCCGCAAGCCGGGGTTTGACTGGGATTGGTATGAGCAACCCCTGTGTGAGAGATATCCTGAGTTTCAGGTTCCGTTGTAGTGACCAATGACCGTCGATCATGGAGTGTAGATGGCCTTCACCTTCCTAATACAGATACTCTTGACCCTGCTATCACGGGGTGATAGAGAAGATGAGGCGATCGCACGTCATGCATATACCTTAGAGACCTCAGCAAAAGAAGGTTAGGAGTTGGGATATTTCCATGATGTGATATGGAATGATACCCGGTACTCCGTAGGCCGTCCTGTAGGTGCCGGATAAAACTTGAACAATGCCACCCTTCAAGACAAGTTAGACGATCATTGCTCTCTCGAGCTTGGCAGCTTCGGGTCCCATTCAATCCCAAACCTAGCTCATCCTACGGGATTAAAAACGTAGATCTCTGTGCCGGTGGAGACCTGACCCACGATTCGTATTGCTGATACCCAATCACCCCGGGTATTCCGGCGGCACAGAAGCCTTCATGGCTGAAAAGCTCTGTTGTGGGAACCATATATGAACCATCAGGATCGTGCCGTTCTCATTGGAGGTCACCGGACAGTACCTTGGTCGAACCGCGGGAAGGTCAGTCAATGATCTTTGGATAGGGGATCCATTTGGATTTCGCCCTCGGGTTCGAAACGACCGTGCGAGTGTCGAATAGGCTGCTAGTTTGATAAGAATTCGTTGGATACCGCTAACGTAAGATTAATGCGAATACCACATTGTTATCCGTTAGACCCACTGAGGGTAGTGGGTGTGACCGTTCTCTGCATGGAGTCGCGGCGATCAAAATCCTTCTGCTCCGTACTCCGTAGTTAGACACGGCCGACATGCTGTGGCTGAGTACGGTGTCAGGGCGGCGGAACAGACGCGGGAAAACACCAGTATAGTATGGTAAATAGTAGAGTGGCCAGGCCGAGAAGGTCTCAAACAAATTGAAACTTCAATTGGAGTGAAACCGGATGGAACGAACGTGGACTCGTCAACCTCTGGTCTGTTGTGGATAGAAGAAACTTCGCGGATCTTGTGTTGCGCGGAAAATTCACGCACGGCCGGCCTCAGGCAGCCTATTCCTCCACTTAGACTTTTTCCCGTTTCATCAAACTTTTTCTTTTCATCTTTCTCCACACCTCACTGTTTCATCTTGCTTCCAGCCCTGTGGAGCAGCTATACGTTTTTTCGTGTCTTCGTATCCCTACGGAGTAATTCTACAAATATGGATCATGCGCATGGACGAGCTCACTTCTCGCATGAAGAGGATTATGAAGTATCAATAGTTCCAGAATGAAGGATTCGATTTAATTTCAGGATCGATTGGCCTACAGATGTATAGCTATTGCCAAGATGAGGGGGAGCTTTACATGTGTCCATCCCGGGGACAAGATCCCGCGTTCAGCCACCATGGAATCCCACGTCAGCTATACCATTAAAGTGACAGACGAAGAGACGCCACTGAATACACTTGAACGCCCAACGGATGTTTGCTAAAAGTGCGAAGATGGCGAAACCCGTCCCCACTGGTTCTTATCAGATCCGTTCGAGTCTTTTCGAGGCAACAAGTCCACCCCTTCGCGTTTACGTCAAATCTTTGCGTGTTGGTCTCGAGGTCCGACGCTAAAGTACTGACAGGAATGGACAGGCCAAGGATCGTGTCGGAGTATTACTGAACAGCGAAAGGATCGGCGGGAGTGCTTAATAGCCCCGCTTGGGCCAAGTGAGTTTCCAAGCCCATCCGGTACTCCATAGATAACTATGGAGTATGTACTTCCAACGGGGATCGACTCCGCCTTGAAACGACTTCATTTTGGAGGGCTAGATATTGCTTTTAGTCATAACCCACGGCCAGATCCTCACTTTGCCGAGTACCGAACCCAGGGGAAGATTATGTCCATGAACAGGACAACAAGAAGTATCGAAATGTTTGGATATCTTGTGGCACGAACCCGGCAATTGTTTATCCGAGGTATACTCCACAACTATCCCGGTTCGGCGTTTGATACTTTGTCGTGCGACTTGCAGGATTTTGGTTGCACAATCCCACGACTGTGTCATCCTTTACGAAAGCGGAAGCGGAACGTTATTTCACCTGATAGGTGACTGGAACGGGTTGTTGAGTTTTGCGAGATCTTCTGCTAGTTATCCTGGGCAAACTCTTTGATCACTGGTGCTGACATTTGGTTACTCGTAAAGCGTGTGAGATTACGTGGGGATCCTGACGATCATGGCTCTAAAATAGCCAGACATCCGCAGTGGTCATACATCGGGGATTCGCCCGTGGCAACTACGTCAGTTTTGTAAGGCTGATCATTCCTTCGTCCCGAAATGCGAAGCAATAGTTGAAGATTGAGCTCATTGGAGCCGATCGCTGCTTAGTTTGCGTTCATGGAACAGGTTGCTTCTAAATCACTGTGGGGGTAAATAAGCAGAGCACCACTGCGCTCGTGTGTTGTCCCCTCCATCCTACTGCTGAACACAGCCATGTCGATCTAGAGACGACAAGTTCGTAAGGCGGCGTCATTTGCCACTGGCTCCGTTCTCAGTCTCGTTAATACCATAGCCAAGAGCTGTTTGGTGGACTTGGCATCTAAGCCATGTACATCCGGGAGACATTATATGCCGTGGGCTCACCGTTTGAGATTACCTTACCTGAGGAAATCACTGGACGAGAGTAACAAGGCCTTATAGGCGATATCTCTAAACCACCATTATTGGGACAGACAGCGCTACTGACGATAAACAGGGACTCGAACCACCTATCATGGTTCTTAGTTGAAAAGATGTGATGCACCGACAGAACATGTGCCGTTGCAGGTGAAAGGGACCGTTAAGATTGCTGCTATAATCTATCCAAATCAGTCGATGGAAACGATCTCATAGAAATCATGCCTATCAGAGTGGCCCATATCATCATCGAACCAGCCGGGAACAAATGCTGTTCGGACCTTTTCAAGATCGTGTCACGTCGCATTTGCCTCAAGCTCGCCTGGATACTCTGATCTGACCTCAATCTGCACTATGGACACTCAGCAAGGATAAGACTCACCAACAAACAGTAGAGCGACTCAAGTCACTGTGCTCTTTCCGGTCCCAGACCTTCGGGCTCAAAGTTGACCTTACTAGCTATCGTGCCGATCCGATCATGAAATTGGAAATGGATGAAGCAGATACTGTCGTACACGGTCTACCGGATCGTGGCTCTTTTCGGTCAAACGGATCTTACACGTGACCACTATCTAGAACCTGGCCGATATGCCTTGCTTGGGCATTGCTGGGCGATGGAGCAAGAGAGGGCGGTGCTTCGATGGTGGCCGCTATCGTAGCTATAACTGGGTCTACCCCGTACATTCAAGAACACCACTAACACTGCGGACGGGAATAAGGCAGTAAACGGATGAAACGGTCGTGCCGTTCTCTATAATCGACGCGCAGAGGAAGCCGCTGAACTTATGTACACCGTCTGTGCGACGGGACAGGTATCTTAAGCCTCCCCTTGCCACGGTCATAAGTTTGAACAATACGTAAGTCGTTGGGTTACCTTGGTAGTAAGTTGTTGTGAAGCTTCTCTAACCATGTGCTTATCCAGACCACGTGTGTCGCGTGGGTGGCCACCAATCAGCTTCCCGGAAACTGCCGGTTCCCGATGAGTTTAAATAAGATACTCGGTACTTTTGAGGTAGTACAAAAAACTTCCTGTTCCTGAATTAAATACTTCATATAAAAATTCTCTCTCTTCATAGACTTGTATACCTTAACATGCATACGATGGCTCAAGAACTGCAGGACCAAACAAACATGCAAAACATCGGACCTTAATTTATCTCGGTCGAGAGCGCCAGAGAGTCCTGATTGGGGCCCACAAAGCCCGAAGCCACGCCTTTCACTGGTGTCCGTTGATGCAATCGCCGCCCAAAGTCGCATCAGCTTCAATTCAATTCGCTTCAAGTCGATCAATCCCTCCACAAGGAGCTATGCCGTATCCCCGGTAAATCCAATCTAAACTTTCTTAAAAGAGAGAGCTCCCGACTACTTGGTTCCGACATTTCAGCCGCGCTTCCAGTAACAAACATACCTCATCAGACATCGGCTATTTCTTCATCCGCAGGCGGGCCACCATGTCGCTCGTGAAAAGGGTAGCCGTTATCGGCGCAGGTCCGGCTGGAGCCATTGCTGTTGATGCGCTCATGCAAGAAAAAGCATTCGACGTGGTCCGGGTGTTTGAACGACAGGAGAAAGCCGGTGGTTGCTGGTAGGCGGTGCCCTCTCTCTTTGCGCTCCGCGATATAAGTCAACGATCATGACGGGATGCTCATTATATTGCGTAGGGTTTCGCGAGAGAATGAAAAACACGTCCCTCTCGACATTGAACGGTTATCCAACCGGACCGCAGACCTACCGGTTGCTATTCCATCAGATTTGCCCCGGCATGCGCCTGCGCTCACGCAGCATCGCTTCACCGATTCGCACATCTACCCGACGCTAGAGACCAATGTCGATGTCACGACCATGTGTTACTCCCAGGAATCGATCCCGACCGTCCGCACAGACAGGACAGTAGCCCTCCACGGGCCGGACAGTCCATTCCGCCACCACACCGTTATCCGACAATACGTGGAGGATCTCCTAAACCGGAACGGATACCAGGATCTCGTTGAGTACAACACCACGGTGGAGCGAGCGACTAAGGACCCTCGCACCGGTCAGTGGGTGTTAGTATTGCGACGCGCAGGCCAACCAGGCGGATACGACTACTGGTGGAGCGAAACCTTCGACGCCTTGGTGGTCGCATCGGGACACTTCTCAGTCCCGTATGTCCCGGCCATCGAAGGTCTGAAGGAGTTCACGGCACGGTATCCTGATCGCGTGGAGCACACGAAACAATACCGTGGCCCGGAGAAATTCCGCGGAAAGGTGTGTATACGCTCGTCGCAAGCTTACTTGCCTTCCTTCCGCGGGCCCATGAACTAACGCCAGTGCCCCATAACAGAAAGTCGTCACCGTCGGAGCGTCTGTCTCAGCAGCCGATACGGCAGTCAGCTTAGTTGACTCCGCGCAAACACCCATCTACTCCGTTGTGCGGGGCAGATACAACCCCTACTTCGGCGACGAAGCCTTCAAGCACCCCAATATCAAGCGGGTGCCGTCCATTGCGCGAATCTGCAGCGACAACGGCGAGCGCACCGTGCATTTCGAAGACGGGACCTCCGTATCGGACGTCGACCACATCATCCTCGGCACCGGGTTCACCTGGACGCTGCCATTCCTACCTGACCTCCCGCTGCGCAACAACCGCGTTCCCAACCTCTTCCTCCATGTGTTCTACCAGCACGATCCGTCCTTGGTAGTCGTTGGTGGGGTAAGTAGCACCAATTTCATACTCTCTTCCCTCCGACCCTCCCCACATTGCAACCAGCTAACAAAACCCCCAGGTCGGAGCGGGCCTCACCTTCAAAATCTTCGAATGGCAAGCCGTAGTCGCAGCGCGGGTCCTAGCCGGCAAAGCCTGCCTACCGCCCCTAGAAGAGCAACAAAGATGGGAGAACGAGCGCATCGCCGCCAAGGGTGACGGCCCGGGTTTCCTGTCGGTCAACCCGGAGTTCGAGCCTTACTTTGAACACGTCCGTCGGCTGGCGGGGAACCCCGCGGAGGGTCAACCCGGTCGGAGACTGCCTCCCTTCGAGCAGTCGTGGGTGGATGACTTCAATAGTGGGCACCAGCGACGTATTCGCATGTGGCGGCGGTTGAATGCGGTGGGTAAGGATAGTCGGCTGTAGGGGGGGGTTAAGTATATATATTTCTATGGACTGGGGGTAGTTGTCATCGTTGCTGGATCGGGATATCCGTCAAGGGTATCAACTAATGCTATGACTGACGTTATAGTGCGTGCGCATGCGTCTCTCTGCGTGATGAGGGCACGCTTTTTTGTTAAAATTCTCGAGTATATATTTGTATCGACTACCTACTATACCTACTATACCTGGATTAGTGTCAATCAAGAGTCCCCGCAGATCGGAATCGGCCGGCGCAATTTAGCCGGATTCTGGCAAAACAGCACAGTAGTACTGGATGAAGTGCGGGGAGCTCTTCTAGTCCATAACAACACTTTATATTGTCTAGGTCAAGTAAATTGCTACTCCTACTGTTACACGTCTACCTACGCTCAATCTTCAACACTATGGACTCCGTCAAAGACAAGGTCTACGCCGTCACCGGCCTAGCAGGCATCGGCCTCGCCGTCGCGCAACGCCTCCACGCAAACGGCGCCCTCCTCTCCCTAGCAGACATCGACGAGAGGGCACTCAACACCGCCGTCGAGATCCTCAACGCCTCTCCCTCCTCCTCCCCACCAACCGCAGACGGCCCGGCGAGAATCCTCACAACAGTAGTCGACGTCGGCTCAGCAGCCACCGTCAACAGCTGGATCGAGAAGACAGTGCAGCACTTCGGCCGACTGGATGGCGCAGCGAACATGGCGGGGGCAATCGGCAAGAAGCACGGCGTGGGCGCGCTGACGGAGCAGGAGGACGACGAGTGGGACTTCCTGCTGCGGGTGAACCTCACGGGCATGATGTACTGCGTGCGGGCGCAGCTGCGCGCTATCAAAGAGACTTCCCGTGCCGGCAGTATCGTCAATGCGGCGAGTATTCAGGGGGTGAGGGGGTTTGGGTTCCATGCTGCTTATTCGGCGACGAAGCATGGGGTTGTGGGGTTGACGAGGAGTGTGGCTAAGGAGGTGGGGCCCGAGATTAGGGTCAATGCTATTGCGCCGTATGTTTTCCTCCTTTTAAGCTTTCTATATATTTTCTTTTTGTTGTTGTTTGTGGGATGGATGGGGAATGTTCTTTATAGGAGAACCATACTGACTGCCAGCAGGGGCTCTATTCAAACACCCCTCCTTGACAAGGCCAAGGTCATCCAGGGCGGCGAGAGCGCCAATCCCACTATCATACCCCGTAACGGCACGGCGGACGAAGTTGCCCAGTCTGTGCTGTTCTTGCTCAGCGATGCGTCGTCGTACTCGACGGGGATGGTTCTGAACGTGGACGGGGGTTGGGACCCATGATTTGAAGGACAAATGATGTCAACTTGTTCAATCGAGTCAATGGATAGAATGAAGTGCATAAATCGCAGGATATCGAATAAGGAATGCTGTCGAATGAATAAATGCCAACCATATATGCGCCAAATGTACTATCGCTGTTATATAATCCAAAACTCCGTAAAGGACCAGCCAAAGCGGCTCTATGTTCCTGTTGTATGTAGAAAACTCTATGTGCATGTCGTGTGCGGGTATCAATTGAAGAAACAGTCCGGTGGTGGTATCAGCTGCATAGCCAAAGCAGCGTCCCCGTAACTGCCACTGATTGTAAGTGTCAATTCAAATGGATGGATGAGCATAGGGACCTTACAAAAAATAGCTAGGAGGTGATAGGAGAGGCTCGGTCGAGGGGATGTGTTACTGTGACGCAGTGAATCAGTCCGTGGTTCCACCATGACATGCAGGTCAATATACTGGCTGGGAAACAAACCTCGTAGTTGAAGGCCACCCGTCTTCATAGCTGAGGTAGCTATATCCGAGATAGGCTTCCTATGGATATGTAAGCGAGGTGCATCTTCGAGCGTATCAGTGACATGAGCCCACTCACATCTAGACTGATAGATGCGTTGACTGTAATACATTAGCCCCATCAGCTCACGCTGGGATATGTGCATACATGGCACGAGAAAACATACGGTAGTGATAGTACAAGATATCCGACGGAACGGACGAGTTGCCTGGCAAGACACCAAGACCACCAGGGGCATATGTAACTCCATTGTTGGATCCGTAAATGATAGAACCGCCCCCTTCGGTCAGTTTGACGCCGTCCTTATCCACAAACGGCCCTCGCACGTTCCGCGATCGACCGACGCGGATGCTGTATCTGTAATTAATCGTCAGATGGATATTGACTTCACGGGTTTGTCAACAACTGAAGGAACATACTCCTGTCCCGCTTTGGGGAGATCACCGTCGAAGTGACAGCATTTGCCGTGGCTGAACCAGAGATAATAGTATGGCTCATGGTAGCTCATGAAAGAACCCTCGTCGGGTTTGCGCTTGCGCTTTGGCAAGTAGACCAGGTTCTTCGCGTCTGGATGATCCTCATCTTCCACGGACAGGAGGTCGTCTGCCAGCGGGACCTGGAAGATACCATGCCAGAAACTACCAAAAAGCAGGTATGGCTTGTGCGTTTCTTGATCCTCGATGTAAGAGGCGTCAATGGCATTGGAAATCGTATAGGGCCAGACATCCGCTCGGGGCCCCTTTTGAGTGTTGATCAGGGCGCCGTGGTCCTTCCAGCCACCACCCTCAGGATTATCGGACGAGGCGACTCCGATAGCACTGTCGCGATCGCTGCGAGAGCTGACCGTGTAGAAACAGTAAAAGCGACCATTGCGCTCGATCGTTGTCGGAGCCCAGGGCCGGTTGCTATTCCCCTTTTCCACTATGCTGGGGCCGTCCAAGATGGTGCCGACCATTTCCCACGGCCCATCTAGCGCAGGGGCCTTGTGGATGGGTAGGTGTACGCCGCCCTTGTACATATAGAATGCGTTGTTGTATTCAACGATGTTGGGATCGTGCGCGCGGACATTGCCCTGGTTGGGTGGCGGGTATTTGGTGGTTGATGGGAAGACGGGCTGTTTACCGGCCGGGGTGGCATTGGCGGTCCACGCGCATAGTATGCCCGATATCACGAGTAACGATGTCCACATTGGCAGATATCGTGGGGCTTTCCAAGGGTGAGGGATGAAGGTTAGACGGGAGGAACCAGTCCTTCTCTATGAATAGAAACGTGGTAAACAAGCTTAACTGACTAGTCCAATCCATCCAAAGTCTAGACTCTGGGGCTGTGCACGTGTCGCAGTCACATGACAAAGGGGCTTGTATTTGTTATGACGTTATTTGTTGATTTATCCAGTCAACCACTTCATATCAGAGTCCTCAGTAGAGCATTTATGCGAAGATTCGGTCGGAACTCTTCTTATTTAGATTGATCTATACTAATGGGTATCGCACTCGAATCCTCCGTCTTTTTTGATGTAGGCCACTCTCCCGACGCCAGACACGCGTCAGTCGCTGCGGGTCCCTGCACGTGGAAGATGTCGACAGCCGCAGATTGGATCCCAGACCGACTGGCAGCGCTAATCATCCCATAGATAAAGAACGAGGGGGGCTATTGCATTTCTGATTACCTGTCATTGATGCATCCCTAGAGGTAAGCAGCAATAGTGTCAGACGGTCAGACTCAAATTCGGGGATAACAACTCGGGGTATTCGGACTCGGATGCCATCTCCGCAATCCTGGCCCTACAAGAACCATGCATCCAGCTCAACATTATGGACGAGAACCGTCAAATACTTAGACTCTTTAGACAATTAAACTTAAGCTCGGGCTATTCGCAATGTTTCGATCTCTACTTTCCCTCCGAGCCGTCAAATCCAACGCCGACTACATCTTCCCCACGGTCAATCCGAAAGAGGATGGTCCCGACTGCCAGCGAGACTGCGCCGACTGCACCGTCCACTTCCCATCCAAAGTCAAAATCGAGACGTCTAGGCCTCTCTATGGAAAGACAAAGGAGTTCCATTCCCATGTTTTAGTGGCTACTGGTAAATCCGATTGGAACCAACATGCCGAGCAGGAGAAGGGCAGCCTAATGGAGGCATTTGACCAGAGTGCGTATAAATCGCGACATGGCGTATGTCCTCTGCGTCCCATCCAGAGTATTGTTCTACTCTAGGGATAGCTGGAATGATGCTAACCAAAGCAGCGCCTCATGGTCTCCGCATCGAACCTCCAACCCGCCGACAACCAGGACACCACTGACGATCAAGCGAGGGATAAAGGAACGACCGTGTTACTTCTACCGTCGTTCACCTTTGTGGACTTCGTAAAGACTCGCGACATCCAAGAGCTAATCGACAGCTATATCGACGCCCCACAGTTCCAGTCACAGAATGGCACGAACCCGCCGTCAACGGACCAACAGCCCATCCAATCTCGACTGACCTCGCGACCCTGCGGGTACGAATATGTCATCCTGCTATGTTCGCACAAACGACGAGATGCCCGCTGCGGGATCACGGCGCCTCTTATCAAAAAGGAGCTGGAGCGACATCTCCGACCACGGGGACTCTACCGGGATGCAAACGATGAACGACCGGGTGGTGTGGGCATCTTTTTCGTGTCCCACGTGGGAGGTCACAAATTCTCAGCCAATGTATTGGTTTATCGAAAGAAGGAACAGCAGATGATCTGGTTGGCACGGGTGAAACCTGAACATTGTGAGGGAGTGGTCAACTATACGCTACTCCAGGGGAAAGTGGTGCATCCTGAGACCCAGTTGCGAGGGGGGTTTGATCGACAACGGGGATTGACGAGTTGGTGATGCAGCCAATGAATGTTTAGAAATATAATAGAGAATAATAGAATGGTTGATCACGAACTAATTCTAAGTCAGTGGATGGTTTGAAGACATAAAAACACTAGTGACGCGCTACGTCACCCGCGGATCGAGACCCGCGTTAATTGATTTCGCGCAACGCGCCGTCTCTCTTTGATCCTGCCCTGGCACTACCCCATCCACCGTCCTCACGTCTCCCCAATAACACCAATCGACTTGATACAGCCGGCAGATATTCTGCAATATGAAATAATGGCTAGTGTCGCCATTCCAGACATTGTTTCCCAGTCGACCGACTTGCGCGCAGAACTGAAAGAATGGGAGAGAACCTTTGCGGCCGCCAACGGTGGGCGCAAAGCCGACCGGGGCGATATCAAGAAAGTCCCTGAAATCGGTATGCCTATTAGCTCTTCTGATGCCTCGTTGATTTCCTCCATGGTTAACGTCTCTCCTATTCAGCCGCCAAGTACAAACAATACTCCCGTCTCAAGTCCCTGGAAACATCCGCCGACCCCGACAAACAATCCCACCAACCAGCCGAACGCGAAAACCCTCCCAAGAAACGAAAACATGCATCTCCCACCGGACCAGAAGTGACAACATCCATATCGACCCCGCGCAAAACCAACAAAGGCGGAGCCTTTACCACCCCCTCCAAGACCCGACTCAACACCACCCACCCCGCCGAGGTCGACCCCTACGACTCCCCCTCGACCCTGCGCAGGCTATTCAGCCCCACCACACACATGCAACCCTCGCCATTGAAAAGCACTATCGGCCCTACACCGCAACGCGACGGGAAGGCCCTAGGCTTGTTCGACTTGCTATCCGAGTCCGGCGGCAGCACGGCCACGCCGACAGCGACGCGCCTAGCGACCGTGCGAGGCGCAGACGCACAGACGCCGTCAAAGCGGAGAAAGCTGGACACTATCGCGGAGGAGGACGAAGAGGAAGACGAGGAAGATACCTCGCGGCTGGAGCGCACCCCCGTGTCGTCAGGAAAGAAGTACATGCTGGCCAACCTTTTCGCGACGCCGATCACACTGCGGTATGCCTCGATGGTGGAGGATGGAGACGGGGGCGCAGCTGCTGCTGGGGGTAACGACGCACTTGCGAACTCGGCAGAAGATGATTCCACACACCAACCGGCCGGTTCAGATACCCCGTCGTTTTTGCGCCGATCTAATCCCGGTCGTCCTCATGTAGGGGGCAGTGGAAGCGGGCTCAGTCCCATCGCCGTGCGCAAACGACCGCAATTCGTCGGTAAGGGGTTATCCGCTCTGGTTCAGGGCCTGCGGGACATGGAAGAGGAACGGATGCAAGATGACATGGACGTGCTGGATGAGATCGAGGCCGAGCAGTACGCGGCCATGATGGGAGAAGAAGAGGCGGCGGGCGTGACAGACAGCCAGGCCAACCCAACCGAACCATTCCGTCGGCCGTACAAGAAGAAGGGACAGAAGCGAACAACACGACGCGTCAACATGAGGCCCGTTCTCTCGAAACCGAAGACCAAGTCCAGCTCGCCGGTGTCTGATCTCGGTGCCGACGACGACGATGACGAGGAGGAACAGGAAGACCACACCGGTGAGAACGAACCTGCGGCGGTCCCAGAAACGCAGTATCAATCACACGCACCAGCCAACGAAGACGGGGCCGACGGCTTTGACGACGACGACGACGCGGATTCCCTGCACACAATGTCAGAGCCGGACATGGACTCTGACGACCCCGAGTATGACGAGAGTGAGGATCGCCCGTCGCTTACACGGGGCAAGAGCTTCTCGGAGAAGATGAGGGAGGCTATTGCGGAGAGCAAGCCGCAGTCGAACGAACCTCCTCAGACCAAGGAAGCCAAGGCTCCCCGGGCGCAGAAGCCAAAGGAGAGCAAGAAGCCTGCGCCTCGCAAGATTGACCCCCAGGCGCATGCGAACTATCGCTCTTTGAAGATGAGGAATAAGAACACCAAGGGTCGGGGTCGCGGCCGGTTTAGGAGATAGGGGCTGTTTGAAACGTCTCCCGGCTGGGATAGTATTTACGAGCAACGAACATAGCGCATCGCATCGCATCACATTTCATCATTCATGGAGATACCCTCGAGCGAGGATTGGTATTATTCTAATTCTATATATATACAAACATGGTTTTTGGAAGATTCATCGTGCATCACTCATAACGTCGTAAGCAAACCCGTGATATCGAGACTGGCAGACAGTCAATCCGGGATATACCGGTCCCGTGCGTACTGCACTCTTCTCGCCTGCGTCAATGCATCTCGACGGCCGCCTTGTTGACGAGACCCCCGCGCATAGGATGGCTTCGACACCCGGCCACGATTAGCCCATCGACCACCACCCCGACCTCCCCGATAAATCGGCGTAGATGTGCGATCGGACCCCGCATTAGGGGTGGCGGAACCCGGAGCCGGCTCATCGTACTGGACGTGCCGGTCCCAATCCTCCAGAGACATATAAGGGCTCCGGAGAAACGCCTGAAGCTCATGCAGGAACAGGCGCGCATTATCCCTCCCCAGGAAATCCCGGAGGAGCTCCTCCGCCTGTCCCGCACTGCCCTTGACGTCCACGGTGCGGAGGATTGCAATGATATATTCCAGGAGGAATTCGGCATTGTTCCCTCGACGGTTCTCGAGTCTGCGCTGTCCCGGGCGGGTGACGTGACTTGGTTGGGGCTCTTCTGGGTTCAAGAAAGCGAAGACCTGCAGCTCCCGCCGGATCCATTTCCGTGCGCGTGAGACCAGCGCTTCATCGCGGTTGAACATGTCCGGTGACAATTCGCAGTATTGCGAGAGGCGGTTGGTACCCACTCGCAGTGAGTACAGCTGATGGCGGTAGACGTGCTGGCGTCGTCGGAGCGGATCATCGGGTTGTTGTGGCGGGCGCGGCGGGCTTCGAGGACGGTGTGGATGCGGACGACCGCGTCGGAAATCACGACCAGGGAAACCTCGATGGTTTGTAGAAGGTGCCTCCGGTGTCGACGGGGGTAGTTCAGGTAGTTGATAGGTCTTAGGAGCTTCGGGGCCTTCGAGGTTGTACGTCACGGAGGTGACATGGCTCTTGCCTAGTCGGGTGTATGTTAGACGGTGGAACAGAATCTCGTTCGCACAAGATACCATACATACAAAGCGGACAGTTGCGACGCTGTTCCAGCCAGCTTACCAAGCATAGAAAGTCAAAGTTCGCATGCTTGCAAGGCACAGCGACGGCCACTTCGGAGACGGGCTCCAAGCAAATCACACAAGGATTGGCCGCTTCATGATCCTCCTCTTCCTGCGCTACCTCGCGAAGAGTTCGCTGCAGTATTTGCTGCTGCAGGTCGACATCTTCGGACATCAGTGTGGCATCAAATGACTATGAATGTGCCGTCCAGCGAGATGGGTTAAGGTGGGGGGGAGTGAAGAGATAGATGTGGCGGGGAGTGTCGGGGTGTTGATGGCGGGTGAGGTCACGTTGGGCAGGAGCTTGTGTCGGCGGCCGAAGGCAAAAATTCCGCGGCGAAAGCTGCTGTTGCCGCCGACCAACACTATCATCTATAACCTCCATCTTTCTATCGTTCCCACTGCATGGAGTGATGCTCTGACAACCACCGTTCATGAATCACATCAATAAGGTGATATACTATGCGATCTGCTAGAGCTGTGGTAAAAGAGAAGTCGCGAACAGCTGCCGCTATGGCGCGTGGACAGGCGAATGTGGCCGACTATGCCCGGTCATCGTCGCGAACGCTGACAGGTCTGAGACGTTGGTCGATCGCCAACAGGGAGCTACCTCGTAAGATCCTGCGCCCTCTGTTTCTGTTCGTTCCCTTATTTTCTGACACCGCATTGCTGACTTATTGTTACCTCCCCGCCATAGCTATCTCCCAGATTAAAGCCATTCACGTATATGACTTTGATAACACCCGTAAGACCGGAACTTGGCGCGACAAACGAACCCCTCGATGTTAATTCTATCCAGTCTTTTTGAGCCCGTTGCCGAACCCGCAAATATGGAACGGTCCGACTATTGGATTCCTGCAGGCCTATGAATCCTTTGCAAACGGCGGTTGGTGGCATGACCCCAACTTGCTTTCCGCCACTGGGGAAGGGCCTGAGAAGGAGGAACCCCGTGGGTGGGCTGGGTGGTGGAATGAGCAGATTGTGCGGATTGTATTCCCCTCTGGATGCGGACATGTTCGCTGACATGCTTAGGTTCAACTGGTCAAGTTGAGTATGGAACAGAAAGATGCGGTGACCGTCCTCTTGACCGGTCGCGGGGAAAGTGGATTCGAGGACATCGTCAAACGCATGGTCAAGAGTAGAAACCTGGAGTTTGACTTGATCTGCCTGAAGCCGGAAGTTGGTCCGAACAACGAACAGTTCTCGACGACCATGGAATTCAAACAAACCTTCCTAGCAGACCTGATTTTCACTTATGAGCAGGCCGATGAGATACGCGTTTACGAGGATCGCGTCAAGCAGTGAGTCGCATGGTGGTAGCGCACTGTCACTGATTGGGTGTGCTAACCATTCGATAGTGTCAAACACTTCCGCGATTTCTTCGAATCCCTCAACCGGGGGTTCCAGTTTTCTAACCCAAGGAAACCGCTCAATGCTGAAGTGATCCAGGTAGCGGAAGGAGCTCTTTATCTCCCCCCTGTAACTGAAACAGCTGAAGTTCAACGTATGATCAACGCTCACAACCTGTCCATCCGCAATCCGGCGCTCAGCCGGATCAAGTCACCATATGGTCGACTGCGCATCAAACGCACCATCTTCTACACCGGCTATCTGATCTCTAATGCTGATTCTAACCATCTTATCGGCCAAATATTGAACCCAATGCTGCCGCCAGGGCTTGCTGAATCCAATGATCTGAAATACATGGCTAATAGCATACTAATCACCCCGCGCCCCGCGCCCCGCTCCATTCTGGACAAGGTCGGTGGTATTGGGAAAAAGCACAGTTGGCAGGTCACCGGAACTGCTGTCTTTGAGAACAAAATCTGGGCGGCTCGGCTGGCGCCGGTCCCCGCAAATGAGAAGTTCTACACTGAGAATCCCCAGCCTCTAGTGGTGCTGGCGGTCCGTAAAGGTGCTCGTCCCATAGACGCAGGCAAAATTCAAAATTGGCACCCTGTCCCAGCTGACAAGGCGTTGAAATTTGACACTGTCGTCGGGGAGAAGGTCGTTCTTCGCGTGGAAGAAGAGAATCCCAACGAAGGCGAGTGGGAGAGCCAGTTCTTAAACAAGAATAACAAGCGGCGCCATCAGCCCGAGTTCGGTGACGAGCCGCCCACGGGGCCCAGTAATTATGATGGCCCCCATCACCCAAGGGCTCACTATCACCCGCGTCACGGAGGAAATCCTCGTCACAATCATCACGACGACAGTCCTCGCCGTGGCGGGGGACATCGTGGCCGTGGCCGTGGCTCGGGTCCTCGGGGTCGAGGTCATCCCGGCCGGGGTGGGCGTGGCAGAGGCCGTGGACGTGATGGTGGTCCTCACCCAGGGTATAAATCATTAGATGACCATGGGGGTTACGAGGGAGGGAACCACGAAGAAAGACCCGGGCCTGGTGGCGGAGGGCCGGTGATGAATTACTGAACATTTCTCCCGTCTGCTCTTTTCTGTTGGTCCATTTGTCTGGCGTTTCCCTTGTTGGTCTGTTTCAATCAGTATTCCATTGTGGTCCTTATTCTATGTACCTGGTGGTCACAGGAGCGATTGTTAGTGATTGTTCTCCCAAAGGTAAATTTGCATTTCTTTCGAAATCTGGTGGAGTATATCCACGTTGCATATACTTGATAAGCTTTGCTATAAACGTGCGTGCAGCCAATGTACTGTTTCTCTATCTTTCTCCCCCAAAACTGTCCTTCAGGCAGGGTTTACTGGTGGGCAGTGTGTCCACAAGGCTAAGTCCCACTCCATAGACTTATTCGAACATAGTAAAGTTACTTATCCACAAACCCCATGACACTAGAAACTAGCTAGGGCAAAGGCCATACCAAAATAGGGCCAAATACTGGAAGGATGGGAAGGAGCTAGTCCGTACAAAATGAGAACCATTTTCAAGGCAAGAACCCATCCTGTTCGGGGCCAGGATTGGGAAACCACGCCCGTCAAAGGAACCCGCATCCATAGGTAGCAAACCCATCGCTTCGGATTGCCCAGTTTCCATTCAGGCGCCCCTGCAGGATGTGAGGAACGGGTCAATTTATAGGTCGCTCCTACCATCCGGCAAGGCTTGGGCCCGATGGACCTTCCCTATATAGGATAAGTGAGGATCCCGGGGGTCACGCTGTATGGCTCTTGGTAATTTCCCACCGCAATCCCACCACCGCCCGTTCATGTGAGGACTATTTATTGATTTTGGTTAATATATAAAGCCATGCCGCAGGTGACTCGGCCTTCTAGGATAGGCCGTGCTCAAAGGTCACTTGGTTTGTGCGCCGGAAGCATGTTGTTGGCTGATAAGCGCCAAGTACTATACCCCGCCTAGTACAGTCGGTCTGGCCGGTATTGAAATTATTCAGAGAGCGGTCTGATCTAGGGAGTCGGTCGCTTTCAGCATAACAGAAAATACGATGGTCAAACACCTTACGGTCCTTTGGCTCGTTGCCTCTGTTGCGCTGGGTCTGGATCTGCGCGGCCGTGACTCGATACTGCGTTCTGTTCCAGCGACCAATGAGAAATCGTCATTGACGCTGCTTTATCAGAACAGCTTGAATTCGACTGATGATGAGAGTCATGTTGGAGTCATATTGCTGGGCGCGTTAGCCCCGCACGATATCGATGAAGCTTGCGAGGAAATCGGGGAGTCTATGGTGTCTTTCGCAACCATTGAGAAACACGTGGATGAATTCATGTCCTATTTCTCGTATCTGGTGTTTTCTGGCGGAGCGCAGCCAAGCCAGCAGTATTATACTCGCGATGGAGTTCTAGCCGTGAGTCAAGGCTTTGATGAGCTTAGCTTGTGGCGGTTCGGGGGCGAAGATACCAAGCTTCCCGTTCTTTGTACTCGCACAAGCGCCGAGCGTACGAGGCATTCTCATGGACGATATAGTCGTGACGCTGTGCGTGTCGCTTCCGAAGGAAACACGTATGTTGGGCTTCGCGATCGAAAGTCATTCCGGTTTCTGGGCATCCCATATGCCGATCCACCCCAGCGATTCACATATTCGGAGCTCTATTCGAAAAAGACCCAAACGATCAAAGCCACGGAATACGGGCCCAGCTGTGCTCAAGTTGGCCGTGGTAGTGAAGACTGTCTATTCTTGAATATCCAGACGCCTTACATCCCGAAGAAGGGCTCAACGAACGGCCTCAAACCGGTGCTGCTTTGGATCCATGGCGGTGGGCTCGTTGAAGGATCGGGCTCAGATCCCTTGACCGACGGTGGCAATCTGGCTTCGCGCGAGGATATTGTGGTAGTGAGCTTCAACTATCGTCTCTCTACTCTGGGCTTTTTGGCCGTTCCCGGGTCTGATATCCGTGGCAACTATGGAATCGCAGATCAGATAATTGCCCTCGAGGTTTGTTTACACCCCCGTGAATGCGTGGATATAGTACTAAACCATGGACTTAGTGGACTATTCAAAATATTGCCCAGTTCGGTGGTGATCCGCAACATATCACGATTGTTGGGGAGTTTACTGACACTGGATCTGCCAGAGTGCTGCTGGAATCGTCTCCTGCTGTAGGGAAGTTCCACGGTGCTATTGCGATTCCAGAAGTTGGCAGCCGTGGGGGTCTAGGGCATCAAAGCGACATTAATGCCACACACGACCAGTATCTGAAGCCAGAGGAGTCGTACAGAATTGCTGGTCAACAAATATTCTCCGCAGCCGGCTGCACTAGTGAGCATCTCGTCGAACAGATATCATGTCTAGGACAGGTACCTGCGTCCACCCTCGTCGGGCTAGATACCGTTGCACGCTACGTCGTCCAGGACGGCCATTATGTCAACACACGCGACCCTCATGAGGTTGGGGAGGAGCATGGCTCTGCAGATGTACCTATCATGTTTGTCGTCACCGCCGATGACGCTTCTTCACGTCCTTCATCTTCTACCCAACATAAGCTCGAAATTCCAAAATCAGTTCTGGACGTCAAGGAAGGAATCGCTCAGGGTCCTCCCGACCAAGAACTGTCCTCATATGATGAACCCGAGGGCATAGCATCAGGATCATCTGATACATTGAAGCAAGGCACCCCTGATTTTGGAATTCAATGCGTCAACCAAGTCACTACGTTTGCAGATACGTCCTCGCGGGTAACCAACCCTTCATACTTCTGCCATATGGGAAGATCCAGTGCTGAGTCGGGCCCCGCCGGACTTGAGGTTTCATCAGCAATGGCCGAATTCTTGAGAGGCGCTCCCATTCTGCCCTACTTCCGTCTGCATCGTGGCGATCAGCAGCTACCACTGATATTTGGAAATATGTCCCCACGACGCCAGGCTCGAGATCTGCACTCGGTCCAACTTGCATCGGCTTATTTTGGAGAGTTCGTGCGATCCGGCCGACCAGCTCCGTCACCAGAGTATATGAAAGCACGAGGATACCTGAAACCTCATTAAGCTTGTCACTTGACGTGACCAATGGCACCTTGAGTTTTTCACAAGTGATAAGAAGACGTTCCATCGAATTTTCTTCGTCCCTCATTCTGTGAAAAACCTTACAGCCCGACCCTCCAGTGTGGATACCCCGGTTGTTCACCGGACCTGAATGAAAAGTCTGGCTAGATTTATATGAGACAGCGTCTTCTGTAAATAGAACGCGACAGTGGATGGTTGTGCCTTTGAGATATATCAGCACAGCCAAAGAATAATGACAGTACTAATAATAATAATTCCAAGAAAAATCTAATTCATCAACAAGCCAAGACGTAAAAGCTATACTTTAAAAGCTATAGTTTGCGATTAGCATGCCATTCCCTGTTGCTCCAAATGGGTCCTGATCATATCAAAATAAGCCCCAGGACGCGGCGTTGAATCTTTAATTCCCTCGACCTTGGCCGCATCGTCCCAACGTCGCATAGCAACCATTTCATCCCGAAGGGGATCCTGCTCAAAGGCAACAAGCTCCGCACCCTTAAACGGGCCCCCCTGACACTCCAATGATTTCTTCGAAGCCGAAGATAACGAGTCCCAATAGGAGTTGTTCACGGCCGTCAAATACCTACATCAATATAAGCGTTCTACACAATAACAGAAATCAAAAGAAAACCACAAAAAAAGAGTAGAATGAGGACAGGACTATACCGTTTAGCAGCAACATGACTCCCAACCAAATGACACACATCCCGACTAAACCCAAGCGCGCGCAAGAACTCAGCTCCTATCATCTCGTGGCCCACACGGCCGAGATCCTCGGTGCTGTTCTTGAGGGTCATTCGTGCTGCTTTGGTGGATTCTAGCGGGACGATCTGGCCGATGTCGTGGAGGAGAGCTGCTATTATGAGCTCGTTTTTGGCTCCTGTATCGTAGTAAGACTTGAGCTTTTTGGAGAGGTGCTAGGAAGTTATTTGTTCATGAATGGTGTTTTGGGTAGGTACCTGACGTCTTGGCTTGATTGGCAGCTTGCAGGCAGTGCTCGAGCTGGCTGATGGATTCGCCGATGTAGTCGCTTTGGCCGTTCTCTTCTAGAGAGGTGACTAGGTATTGGGCTTTTTCTGAGGGCGACTGGAGATTCATTTTGGTGGGTGATATGCTTGAGTGGTTTTCGATGTTCAACGTGAAAGTGGGAGAATATATGGTGGGTGGAGTGGGAGGAGAGTGGAAAACAGAGACCGGAGAGAAGAGCGAGCGGTCTTCAAGCCCAAGGCAAACCCTTGCAACACGTGCCTACTTTAGTTGAGCTCTCTCGGAGATTCCAAAGTTATTCCAGGGTTGTTTTCATCTTCCTCTAATGTGGAAATCTGCACAATTTCGATAATATGATAATAGCATCCAGAGCATTCTTCTTAAGTGGCCTGTTACGTCGATACTTCTCCATAGACTTTCCCAACATTCAACCACAACTATTCCTAGCGAGCTACATTAGATTCTGTCTAATTCGTCCTACAATTCGGAGCACTTCCAAACATCCTACGCAGCAGCCTGCGCCTGAGCCTGGCCCTCAATGGTAAGCATCGGGGAGCCATATCCATAGCGAAGCCGGCCCTCTTCATATGCCTCGCCCTCCTCTCGCAGATGAGTCGGAGGCCACAGTTTTCGGCGATCCTCATAGTAATCGTCGTGGAGGTCCCCCTCCGCTTTGCAGTTGTACGTCGCGTAGATTGCACGGCGATCCTTGTCGCTCAGGTTCTTTCCACTGCGGTGGGCGAGATATGATCCAAACACGAGGATGTCGCCTACGTTGATAGTGTCCGTGTTAGATCTACTTTGATTCTGCTAGGAAATGAAGAGTTTTCGGGACCAACCTGGTTGAAGATCACAAGACGTCCACTTCTGGCTTTGGACCCAGGAAGGCTCGATACATCGGTCCTCGCCCAGCTTGATCTCCGTCAGATGGCTCCCATCTACGACCTCGAGTCCGCCATTTGCAGAGCTCATCCCATCGACGGCAGCGAGGACGGTTAGGTGTTTGATCATCTTGACGTGCGTGTATGCGTTGGCGTCGATGTGAGGGTCGAAGCCACCTGGCAATCAATCAGCACATTGGTTGTAAGTGTATCGAAGCGCTGGGACTGACCACTCCCAGCAAGCTTATAGTTGATCTTTTCCTTGAAGAGCAACATATCTTCCCCGGCAAGTTGCCCAAGAACACTCAGGATGCGCTGGCCACGGAGAAAGCTATCGAAGCCGGAGTGGCTGTTGGCGTAGTTCTCCGTGCGGCAGAGCACTCTTTTTCCCTGAGCATTTACTTCCTATCGCAGCTTTGTTAGATCCGATCCCTTCGTGATGAATGAATTGTCCGTAGCCCTAGCTCACCTCGTAGGGCATGTATGGCGCATCTGCAGTGCGGGGAAAATCGTGGACTTCCTGCGTCCATTGTTGCAGACGATCTGTTTCTGGCTCGTCGAAAAAGTTCCGGATAAGCAAGTATCCTTTTTCGTTGTAGAATTGGATTTGATCCTTGGTCAAACTGTAGTGGCTGTTCTCCATGGCTGAGGATCGCGGCGGGCAGATTTGGTGTGTAAAAACAGGGAAGATATTTTCAACAGAAGACAGTATGCGACAGGATCAACGACACATGCAGATTAGATGGTATCTTTCCAATCTCTTGAACAACAGCACCCTCGCTGGGCAGCTTTTTAATGGCGGCCATCTCGGACGTGGAAGCACAAGGCCGCAGGTAGACTACGGTGTTCGCACCGAGGTGGGGGCGCAGGCTGCAGCTTACCCTGTAGGGCGGAGAAGACATCCACAAACAGGACGAGAAGACACGCACATGGACCCATGGGGACATTCGAGCTAAATCTACATGTGCTGGGGAGTGTAGATAATGTCTAGATTCTAGAAGCCTACCCACCCAGGCCGGGGCATCACCTATTGATACCTGAACTTCTAGTGTGGATTAGTTTGGTCCTCTTTCTCCCTTCTCTCTCTTGCTTAGAGTGTCTAGCTGTAGTACATTCCTATCATAGATTCGTCCTTACATCTTTCGCTATCAATATTGGCGAAATTGACTACAGTGATGACACTATATCTAACAAAGTCAGCTATGCCGATACAAGTCCGATACGCATTGCCGTACCGGTCTTGTATCGGGGTTAAGTCTCCTGAGAGGCCTCTGACAGCGAGAACTCGTCCCCAAGTGCTCTCATGGCTCAATATCAGCAGTGAAACAAGCAAAATGACTTAAGTAAGGATACTGAGTCTGCACAATATCAATTCCAGCCCAGTGAACCTGGAAAGCAAACTCGAAGGAGCACTGAATCCATACCGGTGTTGATCCAGTGTCGTGACATGGAGATACAATAAGTCCAGCCTCCCAGGTGATTGAACATGTCAGCACCCACAACCAGACGCAATCGTTCCCTGGCCTCATGTGAACCTTGTCGAGAGAGAAAAACCCGATGTGATCATGGCAAACCAGTTTGCGCCTCCTGCCAGCGTCGCGGGCTCGGCTCTCGATGCTATTACCATCCCTCACCTTTGACTAAAAATCGGAGTGCACAACGACTGACCATGCCTACACCACCCCGATCACATCTTGCTACGCCATCATCAAGGAAGAAGAGCGCAAAAAGCTGCCAGTCCCATCCTAGACGGTCTGCGGCTGGACCGCCCAAATTTCACACATGGCCTTTCATGTCGACCGTCTCTGACACGCTGCCACAGACACCCACACCGGGCTCGCATGGCATCAAAGCTTATGAGGCCCACCTAGCAACCATGAAGGAGATCGTGTCTCAATTGAGATACCTCCCAATCATTGAAAAGTGTCTCCATCAATACTACTCTTCTAAGCATAACGCACTTGTGCCGAAGCCGGTCGTTCTGCCACTCTTGGAAACGCTCCGTACAGACCTGGTATCTTCGGGCCATATTCTTAGAGAAGAGGGAGAGAGAGTCGATTTGGGCAATACCTGCGAGATATCAGAAACTGTGCTGCTGTCTTCCTCTACAGAAGTCGTCATCACCCCATCCTTAGACCTGCATGGTTTCGTCTCCTTGTTCTGTGGCCCGAATCTTCGAGTCGAGACTATCGGTCTTTTGTATACCATGGTTGCTCGTGCCTCGGCGTGTTTTGTTGACCGCGACGAGGATAAGGATGACGCATTTTTTCAGGACATGGTTTGGTATAGTACGTTGACCTTACGACTAGCTCGTGACCTTGCACCGCAGTCAACGGACGTCATCATATGGTTGGCGAATGAGAATGCGCATCTCAGATCATTCCTTGAAGGGGATGCTAGTGAGTTACATCATGCAAGTTGTGATTGCGGGATACTGATTGGTTTTAGGCCTCGGTGTGTGGCGTTTAGTGGGCGATCTCACGACAGATTTATTGGCTCTGGGGTTGAACAGAGAAGCGACATATTCCCCGGAGAGAACCCCCTTTTTTCTTGCAGAATGCCGGAGGAGATGCTTTGTGACTGAATATTATCTCGAGAAAATGTTCGGCCTGGTGTTCAATCTACCTCCTCGCATTACCTCTCGATACGTTGACGTCAAGCTCCCCCTTGATCTGTCAGATGACGAACTTTTTGCGCAAACCCCCAAGGAGCTAGAGGAAGCAAAAAGTCGGCTCACGGAAGATGGCTGGAACACGGATGGGAAATTCAGGGCAGCAACCTGGGCTCGACTACGATATATTTTGAGCCAGTTTCGGGAAGGAATTGTGGAATATCATTTTCAAGCATCACCAACAGCTGACCCGGCCCAGCTCAGGTATGAATCATTTATTGGAGAGATGCCGAATGGTCACTGACAACCAAGTAGAGAGCTGTCTTTTCGATGCCGTCAGACCTGGGATGACCTGCTTCCCCACCTGAGGTATACCCAGGATTGTTGGGAATCCGACATGCTTCCAATGGATTGTTACATGCATGCGAAGGTTCATCTGGCCTACCTCCAAATCCATTTCCAGATATACCACCTCCTTGGAGAAGATAGCTCGTCTCCGCTTCCCGAACTGCTTGACGTGTCTGCAAACATATTGGAGACAGTTGTGCAAATGGGAAAATCTCGCAGAAAGGGTGCCTTTATCTTCAATGATCTGCCTGAAATCGTACGTACTCCCCTATCTTACCGTTCTATTACCTTTATGACATAGCTGACACGGTGAAGCTTCTGTCCTGCGGCTTGCCCTCTGCCGCCGTCCTTTCGACTGCACTAAAGAATATGACACAAGATCCTTCGAAAGTCCTCCCGCCTGGTATAAAGACGTCGGCCGTGATTCGTAACCTGTCCGTACTGGCATCGCAACTCGAAAGTGTGTCTAGCTCTCGGGAAAGAAATCAAGCGTTCTGCTTGCAGGCCGCAAAAGCCATCACGACGAAGTTGGACAAGATCTTGGACAAGTTTGCGGCATCAAAGGTTGAGGCAGCTCCCGATGTCGCAACAAGCACTGCCGTGAGCCCGATGTCAATTCCGACCCCTAGTATTGACAGTTCCCTCGCTGGCGGAGCTGGGGCGATTGGCGCTATCAATCTGGACGATTACGAGAATTTCGATCTAATGTCTTGGGCAATCGATTTCGACCTGGGAAACACGGCCAGCAACTGGGCTGTGATGTAAAATCAAAATTATTGAAGATAAGATACTAGTGGATCAAAGATATATAGAACCAACCAAACTGTAGATGTTGCAGTATACAGTCCTGCTCGCCATTTGACCCGCTTGTAAAATTGCAACAGTAGACCAACTAGATTAAATTTTCAGTCTGGATTCCCTCGCTCAAGACGCACATGCGCGCATCAATATCAATTAAACTAGACAGGCAAATAGTATATAGTTCACTAACCAGTGACCAGACAAGCCTCAGTCTCAAGTAGAGACCACCCACCAACCAACCTAACCACTTCGGGCTTAAACCCTGCGTGTTATCACAGCTTCATCGTACACCTTCCATGCAACCATTTCCCCTCTTCCCTGCCCACAATCAACCCTACTGCGTGCCTACCCATTGACGAAACAAACAGAGCAAGCAGACTGCCATAAAAAAAAACCCCCAACACCCACCTCGACACCTATCACGGCAAATCGGTAATGCCCGCCGACACCACCACCCAACAATGGCGGAGTCCAACCCGCCCAGACGCTCCTCCGCAGTCCGCCGCAACGGAACACTCCAATCCTGCGAGCCCTGCCGCAAGGCGAAACTCCGCTGCGACCACGCAAAGCCCGTCTGCGGAAGATGTCTAGTGAAGAATATGGCTGCGCGCTGCTTCTACCATCCTGCGCCGATGACGAAGAGGGGCGTTTCTGCTTCTGCGAGGGCTAGCCCTGTCGCTGAGGAGTCGGGGCGGCAGCGGCGGCGGCGAAGGTATGTTTTTTTTTTTTGACAATACTGTCAAGTTTAGCACCCTTCTTGATCGTAGGGTCGATAATCAAACGGGACTGACTGTGTGCTAGGCTCGACAGTCCTGTGCCGCTAGTGACCTCGGAGGATGTCTCGCTCAACGTCACGCCCTTAGACTCCCCGGAGCCGTTCCTGGGGTATATGGGGTCGACTAGCTACTCTGCTGTTCTACAGGAGCATAGAGATGACCTCCCGTTTGAGCTGAATAAGATCTTTTCAACAGATACACCTACTCGATCATCCGACGCCGTGCAATCGACCAACCCAGCGCGTCTCCAGTGCGGCCTAGATCTACTAAAGCTCCTCTACAGCCTCCCCATTTGCGAAGCTTTCATCCGCAAGTTCTACGCCTGGTCGCTCGTCGCTATCGTCCCTTTGATCTTACTGGAAGCTATTATGGAGTCGTTGAGAGTAATATTCGACAATCTAGATACAGCGAGCGATGTCGAAACGCAGCTCCGAGCTGTCGCGCATCGCATATTCGAGAGATCGTCCCGGCCTTTGACTAGTAATGGCTCTATGAGTGTCAGAGAGTACTGCGATAGTTTCACCGGCGATAATCTCCGCTGGGAGGCGTTGGGGATTATCTTCGCGACGGCGGGGATCGCATCCATGGTCACTCCCGATAGTGATCCCGAGTTTGTGGACGCGGCTGCCGACGGCCGATCCAAGGACCGGATTCGAGCCCAGATCGTGGAAGCAAGTAATGTTTGCCTGGAGCTGTGCGATCACCCAGCGGCCGTCAACGAACTGCTGGTCTTTTACCGATACAACGACGTTATGCTGAAGACTCAGCAATACGGCGATACCAGTACACCCTAGTGCCATATCTAACACCTTCGAAAACCGCATCGCTAACGACCAATCCAGGTTTCCAAGCCTGGCGCCGCCTAAGCGACCTCGCGTCGACAGTCTACGCCGCCGGCCTCCACCAAGAAAGTATACGAGCGAACGACTGTCCGCCCTTCCTGCAGGAATGGCGCCGGATCTGCTTCGCCGCGTCGTTCTACGCCGACAAGTGCGTCTCCACATTCACCGGGCGTCCGCCGTGTATCAATTATCGATACTGCACGTTGACGCCTCCGCTGGACGTGACAGAGGATGAGCTCGTAGCGGGGGGCGACACTTTCACCCAGGCGGTTTCGCAGTTGGATATGGCGGGGTGGCATCCCCGTAAGGAGTATACCCGGGCGGGAATGATCCGTCTGCGATTCCTGGTTGCCGTGTTTCGGGAGAAGGCGCTTGAGATTGCCCTCGGGACATGCGAGCACTGGGATCTGGTGCATAAGGCGAAGTAGGCCGTCTCCTGTCCAAGGAATTATGACCCGAAAACCGCAAGCTAACCGCGGTGGAAACCAACAGCGAAATCATCGACAAAGCGCGCGCAACGTGGGAAGCATGCCCCGGTCGATTGCGCTACGATGCGCGCGCGATGCACGATACTGAGCCGTACGTCGAATCCTTCACACTGCTCCACATCTATCTAGACCACCTGCACACGATCTTCCTTCTGCAGCGGTCGGTGGTCAAACAGACGAATTCCGGCCACGACGCACTGTTCGGTACGTCGCGACATGTCTTGTCGATCATCACGCGCATCAGCGCCGATAGGGATCCCGTGATGGATATGACGCGGCATTATGCTTGGATAGTATGTCAAGCCCTTTTCCTTCCTCGCGAATATCAAGGCACTACCCACTGACCGCACGACAGACACTCTACTACGGCCTCCCCAGCGCCAGCGTCCTAATGCTCGAACTCCTACACCAAACCCGCGACGTCGGACCGCGGACGGCCGTGCTTCCCCGCGCCGAAGTCATCCGCAATCTCAGCATCTTCGTGTCGAGTCTCTCGTGGGTGGCGCGGCCGGGGCAAGGGAATTACCACACGTGCAAGGAGGTCGAGAAGAAGCTGTCGCATATCCTGGACCAGATTCTGGACCCGCAGCCGATCCAGGGGGAGGTGTTTGACGATGCGACGTCCGGGTTGTACAATTTTCTGGACTGGTATAATCCTAGTGGGTGGGATTTTGGTTGGGAAAATCCGGCGTCGGTGGATGGGTTTTTATCGCTGGATGGGGGGTTGGTTGGGGGTAAGGCGTTATGATTGTTGATTGTTGATTGTTGATTGTTGATTGTTGATTGATTGATTGATAGATATCGCTAAGGGGTATCGCGTTCAAAATCATGATTCATCAGAGGTCGGTCGTGGACTTCTTCAGGAGACTGACAGACACTGTGCGCAATGAGAGACACAAAGTGCATCGGGCAAGGGAGGGAGCAGAGAAAAGCAGTACCAAGAGGGAAAAAAGGAGTATTGCGATCCATGTTGATACATCGGCAAAGCACCAAACGCCGGAGATGAGCTAAGAAGAGGATAATGCAAGGAACAATAAGAGAGCAACAGGCGAAAAAAAAAAATCCAGACATCATTCATCAATCATACCATCCATACAAAGTCGGTCGTCGGGTGGGTCTCTTGGATATAATATGCGCGATAGCAGAGCGGGCAATTGAAGTGATCCTGCAGATACCACTGCTCCAGGCATTCCTTGTGGAAGACGTGCAGGCATTTGAGTTCTCGGATCTCCTGGGATCGTAGGACGGACTCGAGACAGACAACACTAAAAGATAGCAAAGTCAGCACATATACTTAAGCTTCCAACTAACGGCCCCGAAAAAAGGTTAAAAATAAATGAAAAGATCAGGAAAGATCTCTAGATAATAACGCACCAGACAATATGCCCATCCGCGCCCTCAGAGGGCAAAAGCGGACCCTTGGCCCTCGACCACCATTCTTCGAGGGTCCGGGCAGGCGATACGGCGTCCAGTTTGCGCAGCTTATCGTTCGAGTCGCTTTTACTGTTCTTGAACAATGACCGGCGTTGACGGCGGTTGACAAACATGGTCAAACTAGGAGGGAGGAACCATGTTAATTGGAGGAGCCATGCTTCATGCGACAAAACGGGGGCAAGACAGGGGGCGGATGAATTGCACGGCGGAATTTGCCAGGAATGAGCAGGTCCCTGCACAGCCCAGGGTGCTTGTGACGAGCCGACCGTGGAATTCACCCCTTGAGTGGTCGACAAGAGCGAGAAAGAAGGGGAAAAAAAAGGTTATAATGGAGAAGGGGAAAGGGAGAGCCCTTACAGTAAACACATAATGATCAACGAGACGACTCCTAGTCCAACACCGAGGACAATGGCCACACGAGTGCTGCTGGTGTTTAAATGTTTTTCATCCGATGGCAACCCCATGTTCCTCCCGGGGGAGGAAGGATGTGCGGGGCCCACAACTGGCCGCCGGGCGGTGGGTTGGGTGGAGATGGAGCAGAAAAAAAAAAGGTAAAGCGAGATTAGGTCCCTCCTTTAGTTCACGTAAGAAACCATGGAAAGCAGGTCGGTTATTAATAGTCTGTGGCTCAGTGGACCAGCTCAACACCCTTGAATTTGATGGTTAGTCAGATGTTGGGAGATGAGATGGACGAGAATCTTTATATTGGATCAGGCCGTCCGTTTGTTTGTCTCATTCCAGTACGAAGAGAGGGGCCGGGGCGTTTTGGTCCCCTTGCTGCGGCACTGCTAATCACTGCTGATGTGTGGCGGTTGTTGCTGTTGTTGCTGATGATCGTCGTTGGTGGTTGCTCCTCAGCGGGGTTTACTGTCCAGTGTCCACCACGGGGACCTTGTGAAGGGTTCACTATTGATCAGACCATTCTGGCTAGAGGTGATCATCTGTCTAGCAATGTTGAAACAGTGGGGAATCTGTCAAAGTGGGAGAGAAGACAGAACTTTGAATCTCCTGGGAGAGAGGGAGAGAATAAAGAGGTAAGCTGAAGCGAGAGGTTGGAGCAGCTTCAAATATCTGGGGGAAACTAACTTCCTTGGCGCATGGGCAGATCCTCATGGGTCTCGTGATGCTGGATTTAGTATCCCGAGAATGACGGAGTACCTTCTTCCCCAGTACATAGGTACCTAGTGTACTGTTAGTAGGCTGTGATCGACTAAGCTTCCCGCTGTCCAACGGCGAGTGATGCCCTAATCTCTCGTCATATTGCCATCCCATGCATGCCCAGTCATGCCATGTCATGCTCTCATGCTGGATCGGCGGGGATCAACACGCTTTCGATCATCAGACCATAACATCATTTTAATTCCAATATTACTGGAAGGGGAGATACACATGCACTGAGACATCGAAATAATCCTTCATCTATCTGTACCGTGTTCTCGTAAGATTCTACTCCTAAAACTCTAGTCATGAATGACCCGACCGACAGACCGACCGACCCAAACCACTTACACCCGATTGTCTTCGTCGAACCTGCCCATCCTGATGCCCCTCTCTCCGGCGTGTTCCCGTTCCTCGGCCGTTGGCTTGGCTGTGACGTCTTCCGGTAGTGTGCCTAGCGCCCGTCCGCCGAAGAGAATGTCAATCTCCTCCAATGACTTTTGTTTAGTCTCTTGGAAGAAAAAGTAGATCACTGGAAGGCTGACGAAGATATCTAGGCGGCGAATGTCAGAAAAAAAAAAGAGAGCCAATATAAAAAATAAAATAAAAAAACAAAAAGAATGCTCTTTTTGAGACAGAGACGGAACTTACTAAATGCAGCAAAGACAAAATAAAACTTCCACTTGATCTTGTCGAGTGCGATCGGCGAGACCTGATTCCACAGCGTGCTCACAGCCCAGTTTCCAACGCCGGTAGCGAAAGCGTTCCCGCGACCTCGGATTTGCATGGGCATAACCTCCGCCATATAGACCCTGGACGGAGAACGAGTCAGTACGTACGGTTACTCTTGAAAAAAAAAAAAAGCCAAGAAGACCCACCAGCTGCACGGTCCAAACGACAGTGAAAATATCACAGTCACGCAAAAGATGAAGAACACCCCGCCAATGCTATACCCGCGGTGAGTGCCATCTTCGTTCTGGGAATTCAAGGCCGCTTCGCAGATCAGCGCCAGGGAGATGCCGATTGCGCCGAATATCATGGGCTTGCGACGCCCGACGCGATCGAGGATGAAGAGAATGAAGATTAGGTTTGTTACTGGGCCCACACAGTTGTAGATCCCCGCCACGAGCGTAGTCCGGCTGCCAGTGATACCTAGCGAGTTGTACATGATGGTTTGGTAGTAGTTGATCACGTTGACGCCGGTCATCTGGGTGAAGACTTGGACAGCGACTCCATGACTATATATTCGCAATTACAAGCGTGGTTAGACTCGTATTGACAGGGAGAAGGGACGAGGGCAGACGTACAGCAAACGGGTTCGCCACTGGGGTACCTTGAACATAATGAGCCACCCCGGCTTCGTAACGGAGTTCTCGGCATCAATCGTTGTTCTAATCTCCGTGTACTCAGTCTGAATCCAATCGTCGTTGGTGCCGTCATAGTGCAGCCTTCGAAGAGTTTTCATCGCCTCGTCGTAATGCCCTGTCTCAATCATATACCGCGGGGTTTCGGGCAAGAAGAACATGCCCACCGCCAGTAGCAGTGCTGGAACGGCCTGGAACGCCAGTGGAAAGCGCCATTGGAATTCGCTCGTGACTGGGGCATGGAGTGATCCGTATCCGACCCATCTGTTCGCTAGTCAGCTTGGACGGATCCCTGGACAGATCACAGTATAGAAGGAAGACTTACGTGCTAACAATGAAACCAACACCAATCATCTGCTGTGACAATCCAATGATAAATCCACGGGAGCGCGGGTGAGCGCACTCGGCCTGGTAAACCGGAACTGACATGGACAAGAGACCGACAGCCCACCCTGCTAAGATGCGGCCGACGAGAATCATCGCCAAATTCTGCGCAGCGGCCTGCAGGATGGCGCCAACAAGACAGATTAGGGCACCCATTTGGATGGTGAATTTACGCCCGTACCGGTCCATCGTCAGCCCTCCCTGAAGGGCGCCAATGGCCGCTGTATTCCATACATGTCAGCGGTGGAATGGTCTAGAAGGGGGACAGCAAAACACAACATACCTCCTCCGGAAAAGGTGCTGTTGATGGCACCGATGATGTTCGATGTCTTGGTGGTATTGAAGAAATTGAGAAAGTTCTTCGAGTCGATCACATCGGTCATGACACCGCTGTCATATCCGAACAAGAACGACCCGGTGGCCGCGAATACGGCCAACGAGACTGTGAAAGACCTGCCCATCCTGACTGGTATGGAAGTAAGGTTGTCTGGTAGATCAGTAAATCATCCAATGTGTTTTCACGGCAGACACGGCTCGGGAGGAATCAGACCGGCAGAGGGAGAATCATGGGTGTCACAAACGTATTAAGACATCAGGGGGGGGGGGCAGGATGCCTTAACCCCCCTATATACCATATAGGGACAGACGAGGATGTGCCACGACCCCTCCAAATCTCTTTTCGCCCTTTGGGACTAGAACAGAGCCATTACTGACACCCCAGTCGAGGCGAAGCGAGCCGTCCAACTGATTGGAAGACAAAAATGGCCCGGTGAAAACGGGCGACGGGGCCAACGGAGAGTACGGTAGAAATCTGGTGAAAATCCGGGGTTGAGTGGCCGACCCGCCGCTAAAAGTCATCGATGTTGTTCTTTGGTTCTTCTTAGTCCCGCCTAGCGATGGCAGATACCCTAGTTGGGTTTCTGCCACTATACCCGAATGCCGCGATCCTATTCATCGAGCCGGACACTCCAAGGCTGCGCCATAGTAGTGCGGTATTGGTGGAATTCTACAGGGGTCAAAGCGATTTCTCCGTTAGCCGATGCCCTTGCTCCCAGCGACCAACCGGGTTTTTCTTTTGCATTTATCCACGGCCTTCTTCGAGTCTTCCAAGGCCTTACTAGTCCGGTCCAACGGGCCCGGCCACCGAATGGAATCCTGCCACCCTTGCAAGGGCACCGATCCTAATGTACTGTGTTAACCCCAAGTCTCACTCCATCAGCTCATGATAGACAACATTTGTACCTAGGAAGGGGGGCGAATGAAGATCAACGGAGGAAGCAATTTGCCACGGGGGGGTATAAAGAACATATTCGCATGTGAAAGGCCAATGATGTCTAGATCAATTTCCTGAGAGTGTGATAGTCATACGTTGTTTGCTTAGGGCTGGCTACCTTGAATGATACCCCTTAAAATTGAGCGATATACTGCATCTCTTGACAGGCGCTAGTCCACTTTCTGGCAAGACGCGGGGTTTAGTACCACGCCGATAGGATTCGACCACCATGGACCAATTGACGGGACAGAACCAGAAAAAGGCCTAGACAGTTTGAGTACTTGAGCAGCAGCGATAGTAGGAGTTAATGTCCCGGGACATCCGCCCGTGGGATTCTGTGGAGTATAGAGACGCACCCTCGCTATGGAATAACATATCGAGCAAGTCTAGACGTGGCGACAGTGGACAAAGTGTCGAGCTGCTGCAAAAGTACCTGAGATCATCCTCAAACTAGACAAGTAGTAGACACTACCAAGTACCAGCTAAGTCAGTACATAATAGGTAGGCAAGGTGGGTAACGACGCAAGCGAGATGCCCTTGGTTGAAGTTGGGTTTCTCCAAATTCATCCTGGGGTTCGGCCATGTCCCGTAGTACTGTAGGGCTGTAGTTTGCGCCGAGTTAGCTTATACGATGGTGAGAAGCGATCTGATAACTACTGCTCAGCCACAGGGTCACTCGATGGCCTGGCAAGAGTAATCTCAACTGTCTTGAGTCCGGCATCCGGATGGTCTGTGGACAGGCTAAGCCCTAGCGTGCCAGAGTTACGAGAGTCCACTTCATCATCGTCTGCGGAGTATAGAAGGAGCAATGCATTCTAATTCGCCGCGACTCCGGCCCCGGGCCAACCTTTAGCAGTTCTTGTTTGTCAACGCTCTTCCAGACTTTGAAACACATGACGACGCGTGTTCGTCGATATCAAGGTGGGGAGGAAATGGCCAAAGTTCTATGAGAGCAGGCCTTTCGTTGGAATGGCGACAGCGTGCCCAAGTATCATTAGTACTCAGGCTGCAAAGCTGCCGTAAACCCTCTCCTTCGGAGCACTAATAAGCAGCCATGTAAGTCCAGGTGTTATCAAGATAGGATGTGCGAATCCAATGTCCGAAGACAGTAACTGATCTCTTGGGTCCTTTTTCTGCCGTATATTCTGGACTAGGGCCTCCAAGTGTTCACATTTAGTGCCAGAAAGGGTATCCTTAAGTCTTCTCGAGCGCAGTAGTTAGTTTGTTGCGGTAGCCCTGATATAAGACCGCCTCCAAGCTGACCGTTCCAGTCTCTATCAGCCTGGCCATTATGCCATGAACTGCCAATGGCATCCGCTGCAGCGATGACCAGCACGATTTGGTAGAGCTGACATATTGCCCACATTGCAGGTCACGTGGTGAAAATGACCAGCATCCAAATGCTGGCGCGGCATTCCATGATCGGCGTCACGTTCGATATAATTCCTGTTTCTTCCAGGTAAGTACTCACGGGGTTCTCCACTTGATCCTCAACACCTAGGGTATAAAAAACAGGATACCGTATCAATGACTTAGTGACACATTCATTGCAGAGGCATACTATATGCTCGAGATCATAACGAGACCGTGGGATAGTTCCAACACTAGTAAGCTCTTTCGATATCACAGGTTCCCTCGAATGCATGTCAATAGTGAGCCAGTTTCTGTCATCTGGATTGCAATTTATGCAACCTCTCTAGTCATATTGCCTGACAAGAACAAGAACTCAAAGAAGTCTAGGGATAATCATCAGATAATCGTGTATCAGAGGTATAGTCAGTAGTCAAAATGAGCGGACTGTCTCATGGCGGGGATATGTACATATCACGTGAGGACGTGTCGAGCGCGTCGGCGGGCAGTTTTAGTACTGTTACTACTGTACAGAGTACAGCACTCGCAGCGTCGGCCCCCACCAACGCGAGCTATAAGTCCGCCATACACGGTGTAGGTACGAGTTCAATGAATTTAACCAGAAAACAGTATAGATATCCCAAATTCAAGAATTTCATACAAAGAAGAAAAGTACCAAAATATAAATAATGTAACGTTAGAAATCGGCGAAAAAGAAGACTGTCAGTCGGGGCAGCTCGTGCCGGACGGACTAGATCGGCCGAACCACACCGGGCGGGTCTTAGTAGTGTTTAGTACAACGCCTGCACGTCGTCCGCGTCCACATCGCGACGCGATTAGATGAAGCGCTTCTTTTTCCTCACCCGTTGTCTGAGAAGGAAAAAAAAAAAAAACCACTACTCCCTCCCCAAGAATTGAATTCCGATCAGACTTCCCTCCCAATGTCCCATTTCCTACAATTCTCCTCCTAACTCACGCCCTCTTCCCCTTCCCCTCCTAATCCCTCCATGTTTCGGGCCTGATACTCCCCGAAACCCGCCATGTCTGATCCCGAGCCCTCTGTGACGACCTTCTCCTCGTCCCCGCCGTTGTCCACGCAGACATCCGAATCTGCGGCTGCCCTTAATTACGCATTTTTGGTGCACTCCCAAAAAACCCTCACCCAGAACCTCCCGCCGCGGGTGGACAACAAATTGCTGGCACGGCAGAAACGTCGTCGGACAAGGTAGGCTCCAAAGTTGATGCTGTCCCCGCCGATCCCGCTATAGATCGCTCACCCACGCGTGTCTTGTTCTTATAGCCCGGAAGACCATGCCGTTCTTGAAGCCGAGTATCAACGCAACCCAAAGCCAGATAAGACGGCTCGTGCCAATATCGTCAGTCGTGTTACGTTGGGGGAAAAGGAAGTCCAAGTGCGTATTTTGAGAAGTCCGACATTTTTAAATGACGCGTCTCCTGACCAGCGTTCTCTCTCCCACTCTCCAGATCTGGTTCCAAAATCGCCGCCAGAATGACCGTCGGAAGTCCAAACCTCTGCAGCCCCACGAACTACTTGCCCCGCGGGTTGGTGCGGACGCGTTGAAGCAGACTTCTAGTGATGACAACGGGCCGTCGGAGCCTGGGTCATCCAGCGGGAACGAGCAAAACGATGACTCCATTGTCGACCATAATCCAGGGATCCAGTGTTCGGACAATGGCTCTTTAGGGTCAGATGGGGCGCACGCGGATAGGCACGAGGGAGAACAGCCGCTATTGAGCTCCCAAACGAGCCTGGCGACAACAACAGAGATACATGGGGATTCCAAACAAACCACCAGTGAAGCTCCAGCAGTGCCGGAAGCGCCGCAGTCACAAGACAGCTCGCAGCAAGACGAACTACAGCCACATTCTGCGAAGCGGAAACGGTCCGCCACAAACCTTCGGGAAGAGATGCTATCAGGACCAGTCATGTCAACACCGGATGGGGCGCAGCATGTGAAATCGCCTCCATCCTTGCGGATATCCATGTCATTCGATGGAGAGGCCATGGTGCGGAAGGAGGGAGAATTGACGCCGTCACCTCCTAAAGGGCGAAATGCACTCCGCATCGCTATGTCCTCGGACGGAAAGGCCGTGATTCGGGCGGATGGCGAGCCGTCCCCATCGAAAAACCGCATTTCGATGTTCTCGTCGCGGAAGCCTCGTTTTGCAGGGCTCCGAAGGAGCAACAGTGCCGTGGTCCTAGGGACGCCCCGATCGGCTCCGGAAAAAGAGCGGCCCTTTGGCAGATCGCGGGACCCCCGGAACTGGGAATCATTCGTTGATACAGATGCACGAAGCGCCCTGTCAACCCCATCTGGTTCTCAGAGTACGCCGAATACTGGCTCTCCTGGCCTTTTCCGGTCTGGTAGCCAGCGTTCATTGACCCGAAGCTTCTCAGGGAGACAGAACAACTCATACGCCTCGGAATACCTCAATACCCCGGTTCCGCAGGAGGCAAGGGAGAAGCGGCGGAAGATCTCGCGCACCGTCTCATCTCTGGGCCGACTGGAAACTGGTCGGAACGCGCTGCACGAGAACCCTACACCCTATTCAGTGAGAGCCTCAAAGATCCTTGGAAATATCTCGAAAGACGATGAAGACCTGGAATTCCATGGCGACTCCGACAAGGAGAACTGGGTTCCTGGAACCCGGATGTCTCATATCCGTCGGCAGGGTTCGAACAAACAGACCCAACGCCCGGCCCTCCGGGAAGCGAACGGACGGGAGAACAAATTCAACAAAAGCTTGACGTCAGGAAAACGCTCTCGTCTTTCCCAAGCATCCCAGCGCAAACTGAACCTCAACCAGGGGAAGGACGTCCCTGGCGTGGACCCCGACGTATCTGCCTTCATGGCTGGCGGGGGCAGCGCGAGCCAGGACGAAGACCTCGATTGCATCCAAGGGCTATTATCACTCAGCCAAGGCGCATGGCGATGAGATACGAGGTCTCCCAAGTTCCTCTTCAAGATGGTGCATTTCCTATGTTCGTTGGTTTCTTTTGTCTCATATCCCTTTCTTTTGTCACTTTGTTGGAAATTCGCACGCAAGCAAGCAAGCGGTGTTGCGTGTATGACATGTGAGTGATGCTCATCTTATGATGATTCAACTTTTCTGTATCCTACCAGCCGGTCGAGCTCTTGTGTGTATCGATGTATACATGGATCCCACGTGCCCTTGTGCTGGCTATCATGTTGATGATAAAACTATGTCTAGAGAGCTAGTGGCATACATACCTAGACACCCTGGAAGACTCCGGGTTAATACAGCAAATTAAGCCATACACAGCCACTTCATATGGGACCGGCACTAGAAATGCTCCCTCAAAGTATAAATAGAATATAGTCAATCCATTAAGATTATCTGTCAGTCAATGAGGATCCACAGGAACATGGTTGAATTGGTGACGGACGGAGGAGCGGCCACACGTGGGTCGGTGGAGGGGCGACAGGCGATGAATAATACCACTGAGAGTGGATGCATGTACAGTATGTATCCCTCCACTTCCGTCCCTCACTAACAACTGGTGGATATATAGATATCCTTGGTCTCTTTGTCACCGGTGACAGCAAATAAATATACCTTTGTGCTTGTAAGTGGGCTCCATTCTTACCATGGCATTGCAACTTTGAATCTTGCTTGCCATTAACAACAAAAAAGGAGGGGGAAAATTGCACGTCATTCATATGTTATAATGACAGAAGTTTCTGTACCTCAAAGCTAACCATTCAACAGGAAATTTTGGGATATTCTCAACTTATACAATCTTTTGTTCAGTAACATTCTTTGCTCTATACCTACCGAATTCTGCTCTTTCTTAAAAAGCTTCGCGCAATGGGTAGCATTAGTCCCCATGTGGCAGTCATAGGGGCCGGGTTTGCAGGTCTCAGATGCGCCGACATTCTCGTCCAAAATGGAGCCAAGGTGACCATCTTCGAGGCACGGGATAGAGTCGGAGGCAGGGTGGGTTTCTCTAACTACCTTTTGCTTAAGAAGTCGCTGCTGATGCCATGCAGGTTCACCAAACGCAGATCCACAAACACACTATTGATCTGTATGTATTGCTTCTGTTCCCTGAGCTGTACACATTATATATGTCCGTTTCTCAGAACACACTGACATTTTGAAGCGGTCCCAACTGGATTCATGGCACTGGAACAAACCCGATGGCCACTCTTGCAGAAACCACCAACACCACTACCACCGATTTTGAGGAGGAGCTGCTTCTTATCGCCGCAGACGGGAAGCCAGTTAGTCGTGCTGTTGCCAACAAGATATCAGAGTTTTTGTGGGCCTCCATCGAGGAAGCTTTCGAGTATAGTAACGCCCACAAAGACACGATCTCCCCGGATAGGAGCCTGCTCGACTTCTTCCAAGAACGAGTCGACGGATCAGATTTCACTCCGGAGGAAAAGGAGCTGTTCATCGAGACCAGCAGAATGTGGGGTGTGTATGTAGGTGACGGCGTCGATCGACAGAGCTTGAAGTACTTCTGTCTAGAAGAATGTATCGACGGAAGTATGTATAATCCTGCACCCCCTTCCTTGTATACATATACTGACACTCTCAGACAACTCGTTCGTGGCGTCCACGTACAAAGCAATCCTAGAGCACGTTTCCAAGGCCGCTCTCCAGCACGCGGATCTCCGTCTGAACCAGCCAGTCGTCAAAATCGAATCTAAACCTCGCGCAGACGGGACTAGCTCCTCGCGCAATGTATGGCTTACCACCGCAGCCGGAGAGACAGCTCGATTCGACGAAGTGGTAGTGACCGCCCCGTTGGGCTGGCTCAAGCGCAACAAAGCCGCCTTCGTTCCAGAGCTGCCTCCACGTCTCACCCAAGCCATCGACAGTATCTCCTACGGCCGACTCGAGAAAGTCTACGTCACCTTCCCAACAGCCTTCTGGCACACAAGCAACACATCGGCCACCACCAACAGCAACAATCCCGCCACCAATGCCACCTTCGTCCAATTCCTCGACCCCAACTACACCACACGCCCCGGATCCATAACCTGGAACCAAGAATGCGTCTCCCTCGCAGCCCTCCCACCCCACTGCGCCCACCCAACCCTCCTCTTCTACACCTACGGACCCTGCGCAACACACATCGTCTCGAACCTAACCAACCTACCCCCCACCTCCCCAGAATACCACACCTACCTCGACACCTTCCTCCACCCCTTCTACTCCCGCCTCCCAAACTACACCGCCTCCTCCCCATCCTGCAAACCGCTCGCCTTCCTCGCCACCCAGTGGCAGAACGACCCCTACGCCGGAAACGGCTCCTACTGCAACTTCCAAATCGGCCTGCAGCAAGGCGACCGCGACATTGAGGTTCTGCGCGCCGGGCTCGGCGCAGACAGAGGCGTGTGGTTCGCGGGCGAGCATACCGCGCCATTCGTAGCTGTCGGGACAACTACGGGCGCCTACTGGAGTGGAGAGCGCGCTGCGGGCCAGGTTTGTGAGCTTTATGGGCTTGGGAGGCTTGGTTTGGGTGTGTTGAGGGATGATTCTTTGCCGTCGGCTGGGGGGAATAAGGGGGATGTTGTTGTTGTTGATGATGATGATAATGTTGCTGGTGTTAACTGAGTGGTGCTTGGTTTTGGTTGCTATTTGGGATAAGTTGTTGGATTTTCATTTTTTGATATTGCGCCCCCCCCCCCCCTCGTAACCCCGTAGTTGATGCTCTGTGATACATATATCGTGCTTGGCGATAGTGTAATGTAAGGGGGTGTGTCTGGAATACTAATGCAAACACCGGGTCGAGCATAAATCTACTCCTGATGGTAGGAAGATATATAGATCTGTACAAATCCCCCTCCAAAAAAAAAAAAAAAAAAAGAGAAAGAAAAGCCCTAATACGATAAGCATTATGAGGTTATAGAAAATGCACTCAACCACACGCTACCAGCTAGCTATTTACAGCCAGAGAATCAACAGGAAAAAAGATAAAAACCCAATAAAACAAATCAAACCTGCACCGTAGTAATGCAAAAATACAAGGCACCCAACTTGACGCGCAAGTCCAACAAAAGATAAAAAAATGGTCCAACTGGGGAATCACAAAGTCTGACATACTTGCAAATGATGAAATGAAACAGAAAAAAGGAGTAAAGCAATTAGAAACAGATAGCCGGCGCCTTCCTGGTGCGATTCAAGAAAAGCAGAATAATTGAAACTGATCAAGGCGGTACCGAGGGTATCCACGAGCCTGCGCGACCCTCGACATAATGCGACTGGGGTTCAAGGTGTGAGTTTAATGGGGGTGGCCCGGTGTGGAGGTTGCCCGTTTAGAAGCTATGCAGGACGCATAGACAGGTTGGGTATGTCCCTTGCGTAGAACAAGCCAAGGGCAGTACAGTACAGCCCGAAGGCAGAGTACAGAGCCAAGAGACAGCGATTAACTTTCACGTATACGCGCGAAAATAGAGTCGTTGCTCGACATCAGCTGACAAGGGTGAAGCCGACACCGAGCTTGTGCTTCAGGACGAATATTGGAACAATCCAGCGCAGAGGTTGTAGAGACCGTGGTTCTGCCGGTATCAATGGGATGACAGGGCACTGAGATGTTCATTTGGAACCGCCCATTCCAGTCAGTCTTCCCAAATAGTTTCTAGATCAAGGTCCTGACGACGTTCGGCCCCGCAGACACTCCAACGCTTCCTCTTATCACCCCTCACACCGTAGCCTCCTGACCCGGCTCGTAGACCGGAGAAGGAGTTTGAAGGGCCCGATAGATCAGAAGTCCCACGTCTTCTGTTTCCGTTGCCCGTCGCATCAGATTCATCTTCCGTGTCCGCTGCCAATTTCAAGGCTGCAATATGGTCTGCTTCGTCGGCCTCTGCCTCCGCATCGGGAATGTCCGGGATGGTTTCCAACGACGATATACTGGGGCTGCGCGAGCGGAGGCTGGTGGGGGTCGAGGGCATGGAGGAGGCCGACGACGTTGAATATCCTGGAAAGCTCTCGTTGTATCTTGAGTTGAGTATGATTGGGGAAGGATATCCGGACGACGGACTGCCCGAAAACTGGCCAGTTGACGGGTAGAAATGCAGAGGGGATGATGGGCGACGGCGACCCAGACGGGGCAAAGGGGTGGTGGTAGGCGATTCGCCTTGCGTCGAATTCCCACTCATGGTGATGTCGAGTTCACCGTGCTCCGAGATTGTCTCAGAGATATTCAGAGGAATCGTCCTCGCCTCGTGATGGGGATACTCCTCGGGTGTGGTTTGTAGGGGAAAGTGGCGCTTTGTCGAAGAATCAAGCGCATTCTCCGACGCTCCGCGACCCGTGACGAAAATATATCTGCCCCGCGAGTCCAGACCGGGGGACGAATGCGCTCGGGTCATTGGCGGTACGCTTGGGACCCCAGCCAAGGATCGCGACCGAAAATGAGTGCGCGTGAAGGGCAACCGACTCGGGGGGTTGGCCGGCCGGTTCGGGCTGAGAGACAAGGTGATCATGACGTCCTCTGGGCGATCGGTAGTATCTCCAGCTTTTCCCCCGGGAGGGTCGGATGCCACGGAGGACACTGATTCGATCGAATCGGTGGGACTAGGAGGAAGCATGATGCGCTCTGGCGGAGGATTGAACAATTCCATATCCTTCACTCAATCGACCTCATTCCGAGAACCTAATGGACACAGTCCATCTAAAGTTCAACAGCCGACCCACGGCGCGCAGCGTTCCTACCCTGGTGTTGGTGTGGGGACTTGAAGACGAGATCGAGGGAAACCTTCGCCTTTTGGTGAGAGAACTCGACGATTCCACGGGTGTTTGATAGGGTTCGTTGGGACCAGAACCGAACCGTCGGAGACCAAGAGGGATGATCCGGGTCGTGGGATTTAAAGGAGGTTTGAATATAGGAGAAAGGGGTGGGTTGTGGAAAGAGGCGGTTATGGAGAGGAGGGGGCGCGAAAGAAGGGGGGTGATGTTGGTTGATCGAGGGCGGAAAGGGAAAGAGAGGAAAAGTGGTGACCTCAGGCCAAGGGGATTTCCCAAACCAGCCAAAACGAGTCACAGTCACGCTTCCCGGCAGTAAGGGTCATCCGCTCCTTTTGAATTTGCCCGCAAATCTTATTGCTCCAGTCAACCACCACGGAGTAACCTCATCGATTCATGCTTTTTGATCATCCTCCAAATCACTAGTTGGTTCAGACTATTCTAACTAATTCGTGTCGCACTGTTGGCTACTAATCCCTTTATAGTTAATCAGGTAGCTGGGTTCGATGTCGTTGACTGGCATGTGGTCTCGTCCTTCCAAACCATTGAACCAACGGTCAGAAACGTGGTGCAATGAGGGAATAGAATGGAGAGATCGGAGTCGTTGATAGTGCACCAAGACAGTCCCTGGTTCTGGCCCGATCCAGACATTTCGAGATTCCAGATTCGACCGAAACTAATGTACGTCCTGCACGAATTGACTGGACAGATGGCAGCTCGAACCCACCAGGTACTTTTGCCACATGGGTAGTTCCAGTTCACCATCTGATATGCCACTCTGGACCTTGGTGTATCTTGTCAGCAAATGCTGTTGAATGCGAGTTGCGACGGAGTAAGGAAGCGACAATGGATCCACCCCTGCGACCTCGGCTATAAGGGGTTGGCGTTAATCTTCCATCAACCACAGCCATACAACCCAGGCTATTGCAACTAGTTCCAACTAACTCTCATTGGTAACGGATTCTATTCGTTGAACTAAATCACATGCCTCGGTGGGAGTCACATTGAGAGGGCCGAATAGAAGCAAGACGGATGAACGGCCTTATCGGACTGGAACACATCACATTACTGCTAGTAGGTACTATATACAGCGGCCAGGGGAGGGCTGACGGCCTCCTTGGACACATCGAAACATTAGATAATCGGTAAGATGACCACGATGCGGAAGATGCATCGATATCAGAGGACTGCGCAGACAAAAGGAAAATGTTGAAAAGAGAATGAGATTGAAGAGACACCCAAGATCCATCTGTGTTATTAAACGGATCGGAACGGAGGTCTCAAGTGGAATGGGCTCTAATGGCCGTCTTCTTTGCACATCTTGGACACGCATTTGCGCTCATAGATCTCTCGCACCGGATCTCCGTGGTGGTCCTTGACCACCCACTCGCCGATTCCGTACTTCTCGGGAGCGAGCTTGACTCCACGCCCACCTCCGCCAATGATGAGATTGCCAGGGCGGTAACCCTCGTTCGCCATCATCCGGCGGATGGCGGACACATGGATCTGCGCCTCTTTGGGGATATCGCGGACTTCTCCACAGGGCAAGGGCCATGAAATCGGCTTCCAGGATCCATCTTCTTGAAGGTCCATGCGCCGGAAGGGGAGGTATTCCATAATCCGCCAGGTGATCACCGAGAGCGCCGGCAGACCATTGCCGAAGGACAGACAGTCATGCAAAGTGCCGACTGTGCTGGAACCATGGAGGGCATCTAGAAAGTTACTGCTCGCCTTGGACCGCTGTTTTGCGTCCGTGTCGGTGACCTTGAAGGTGGGATATCCGTTTTCATGGGCTCTGGTGTTCGGGCCGTACTCCTTCTCATGGCCTAATCCGTTTTGATTCCAGTGGATGTTCCCTCGAATGGGAGAATAGTCACCGTCAAATTCCTCGGAACATTCAAATTGCTTGACCTTGAGGGGGTCGAGCTGGAGACCGGCCTTTTGGGCCTCCTGGACCATCCAAACTAAGGGAGCGTGGCTGAGAGGCCATTCTTCGCCCTCTTCCAGTTTCCAACCTCCACCGATATCCGCGTGGGCGCCGGGAAACCACACTTCTTGGATATCCTGGGGGCTTGCCTCATCATCGTCGCCTTGCCGTCCGTCGCCGGGAATCTGCACGGAGAGTCCCGAGTGCCCGCTTCGGATCGAAGTTAAATCCTCCGTAGAGCCGGTCAGCATCGGGACGGCGAGGCTGATTTGGCGAGCCTTGTTATTTTCCTGGGAGCAATGTCCGCTTCGATAGAGCGAAGGCGTCTCCTCCTTTTCTGCGCATGCCGGTCCGTGACTTCCATCCTCCGGGGCTTGCGCGCCGTCGACCACAATCGCGGGAACATTGTCGGGCTTTTCTGAGCCACGGCGAAGTGGGTGCAGATAATGACGTCTCCAATCATGATGATGTCTTTTTTTGTTCATACATGGCTTCACTTCCGAGATAAGGTCCTGCCGGAACTTTGCCCGCCGCTCGTCAATACCCACTGCATGTCGAATGACCTTGGCTGAACTGCGAGCAGTGTACGGAAACTTGCTTCTCTGCATCCAGGCCGACTCAAACCTTGGCACGCTGTTGACCGTGTCAAACAGACCCATGAATTTGATCCTCGTAATCGGCCGACTGAACGTTTCGCGGAAAGCCTTCATATATTTGAACAATTTCCGCTTCTCCTCGTGATCTCCCTCGGTATCGTCGCGACGTTGCTGCCACTTGGCAAACGTCTTCCATGCGAACCGAGTCAGTTCCTCATTGCCCGCTTCCAGAAGACCGATATAATCGAGCATTTCAGCGAGGAAGCGTGCAATGTAGGCGCCTCGGCTGAAGCCAATAAAATATATCTCGTCGCCTGGCTGATAGTATCGCATGAGGAACTTGTATCCTCCCATAACATGTTGATCAAAAGAGGATCCGACGGCGGAGTCCTTGGCCTTCATATAAGCGGACTTGATCCGTTGGAATCGGCCAGTGCTGGAGAGATTATTGGTAGTCACGTAGGTTCCAATTCCTGGTTGATAGTAGTGGAATTGATGGCTTTGGCTACGGTCCAGCATCTGTTGATTACGAAAAACCACTTCCATCAGCAAGTCTGCTTGTATGGACGGACGATACGTGTCGCTCCCCTCCCACTTTTCTATGGGAACCACTTCTACCTAGGGATTGACTTACTCGGAAAATCTTTAGGACATTACTGTCGCTTTCATCTCCCTGGAATTTATTCCCGGTACCGTCAAAACACAGGACAAAATGCCTGGGGATGGGCGCCGGTCCAAACGCCGTGGGCTCCGCCATTGATGCCGTATTCAAAGTCACGGAATAGTTATACTACCGACAGTGATCCCTGGATAAGGGATGAATTGTGGTCGAAGAGGCGCGAGGAATGTCTAGGGTAGAATCCCGGGAACCTAAACGTCTAGGCCCCTTTGGTGGGGGGACAGCCTATATACACGGTCGCCGAGAGAATGATAGACAACCAAGACTTGAGAGCCCTGAGCAAGCAAAGCGAAAAAAACAAAAAAAAAAGGAATTATGAAGAATGCTTCAGCCAATCCAATGATAGTCAACGCCACGGTTCCAGTCACCCAAGGGGCTTCTCAAGGGCTATTATGACCGGTGGAACAAGCAGGAGGACGAGAGAGCAAGGATAGTAGCGAGTTTGATAGTGCAGTTACCCACCGCCCCCTTCTCTGGAATGCGAAGATCAGCGTCGATTTTCGAATTGGATACGTCAAGCTCCGATTGTGCTGGGTACATCAGAAGATGGTTGGTCGCATCAGTCGAGTCAGTCCTCATACTCTCGCCCTAATGGGAAGATTGACAAGACTTCGCCGCAGTTGTCGGTGGGTCCATCTTTTATGTGCTTTCGCTCTTTGCTTTTTTAATTCTCTATCCGAGAAAGGACAAACGTACCTTTGGGGGGGCGAACTACTCTCAAACTGGGGCGCTAGCCCCCAAATCACGACTCTAAAACAATCACACAGCGCTGATGGATGGTGTCTATTGCTCGATCGGCGCATCCACTATCTCAAAGATCTATACGTGCTAGTTGGGTGGACCTGCACATTCTAGTCAATGTGCGAGTACGAAAAGCGAAGTGACCCTCGCTTTTACTCGGGTGTGAGGGGAGGGTTCAGCTTGTCTTCTGTGTCACTCAGCAATCAGCATCCTTCCTTAGGCTTTTACATTTGTGGATTATCCTATTTCAAACCGAGGAACTTGAGAGGGGAATGATACCTCGCCATGTGGCAATCTCAGCAACGAGACGGCAGTCCCGTCTCTTCCGTCCCGGACAATCCAGTCCGTGTCTGGTCCCTGTGGGCCCAAGTTGACACCAACATGGCTGACGGGTCTACCCTCACGCCTGCGTATACTAGCATAAAATATCTACGAGGACCAACCTTGTGTGTCTTCTGGGTTGACTTCCAGGGCGAACCGAGCTGACACCGCGGCGCCAAGATGCAAGGCCATGGAATGTCTGAGATCAGAATAAACTTTGGTTCGGTATCAGCACATCTGGTAATAACTGCCGAGGATCCATAGCTTTGACGTAAGGGAGGACGGCAGCGAGATTACGCCTAGAAGCTGGGGAAGAAGTCCTCGTCTTCGGACCCCCTCACAGAACACATGCATGAATGCGCAAAGGAAAAAAAAGAAAAATGAGAGTATAAAGACAGGAACAAACAACTGATAAGATGATACTCATTGAATCAAGAAAAAAACAGATTTGAGGAAGACAGGGGCTGGAAGAGAGGTCAATCTGAGGTGTGGACCTGTCCAATGTGCAATACACAAGGACAATTATTGAAATATGTATAGCCTACGGCACTAAGAAGTAGCTCGCCCGAGAACAAGGCATTATGGTCATAGCTAACACAATCGGTAGAATAGTCTCTGCCTTGATCGGCGAGTGAGTGTATCTTGAAATCTTCAGTATTTGGAATCTAGTTTGGGACTAAACTAGGGCAACTCCACCGATTCGGCCTGAGGTCCTCCACGAACCATTCGGAGACAGTCGATCCTTTCTTTAGGTTCCGATCCCTTCCTTCCCTCATCTCTCCTCACTCTCCTCACTGCTCTATCTCTAGGCCCGCCTTACTGCTCGCGCACTCACGAAAGAATGATCTAAGAGCTCCACCATGCTCGAGAGTCTCTCTCAGGACTTGAATCCACTTTCCTGCAGGATCCCCATCGACCATCCGATCAATAATTTCCCTCCTGCAGTCTCGTCCAAACAAGAGCCCGTCCCCTCCATGAACAGTGCCCGATCTTCCTTTGATTGGAATGCGCCATGAGGAGCACAAATGGGTGGGTGACCAGACTTTTGGGTCTTGGTCAAGGCAGCGCATTTGGTTCGATTTTTGACTTCCTGGCTCGTGCTGATGGCCCCGAATAGTCCAGGTGCAGAAAGCATGGGCGTCCCAACCAGTCCATCCCAGGCGCTCCGTTCTTCCTCCGATATACTTTCTGGTCCCTTGTGAATGGTTTTGCCACGAGGTAGGTATATTACTGTAAATTTGATTTGATTGCCAATGTTTGACTCCGTTGCTCACTTGGGTAGTTGTTCCCCGAAGATCGATCAGGCTTTGTTCGGATTGGCACTTACCGGTGATAGTCCGTTCGTGACGGACGCCATTGTTCGTACTATGGATCATCAGCCAATCCACATCAGGTAAATGCAAACATATGGCGTTTCCGTGGCTGGGAGGTCGGGATTTTTACCTCCCTTCTTTCCTCCTCTCTCCTTCCTTCTTACATTTCCTCTCGTTTTTTTTTTTTTTTTTTTAATTTTTGTTGTTGATTATCGAGTCTACGCTTCTTTTCCTCGAAGTTTGATTATCATGGACATAGAAAATATAGAGAGGATGTTTGTAAGGGGCAAACTTTGTTTTGCGATAGAAAGTGCCCTTGCGCTCCCTTGGAAGTCGCAGACGAGTCAGTCAAACACTCCGGGTGGACTAGTATGTAGCTGGGGTTCCTTCGAGATGGGGCCAACATGGTCCGTCCTTACGCGCGTGGGCTTCCTGTCTTGTTTTCGGAATGGACAGTCACCGATCAGGCTCCACTCAAATCTCAGCGAGTGGGGTTTGATGGGGATACGGCCACTACACTACTGGGTACTAATGCTCTCGACCCTCCATAGTCGATTGGCTTCAGCTCGCCTCCACGCGTGAGTTCGAGAGTCCCTTGTACGACGTGCCAAATCAGTGGGGATGAAGACCTGACACCCGTGTATTGAACGAGGCTACACAATCGGTCAAGTTAAACGCTGCGTTGGAACGCACTCTTGGCTGATGGCTACCGCAACATCACCGGTAGAAAAGCCAATAGTTCGGTACTGCCTGGCCCCCAGAGCTTGGGCCAGTTGCAATATGAGCGAATGATTGGTACCTGGCCTCGGGCCTTGACACCCGACAGGTGGAGAGAGGACTGCCGTCCCAGTCCTAATGTTTATCATCTTGGCATCGATTCAGGTTCAGGCCTGATGGTTGCGTGGTGTTCGAGAGCGGTTCAGTTTTCCTCCAATCGATCAGCCCGAAGCCGATTTTACTATTCAATTGGTTGTTTCGTAATAAGTCAATTTCCCTTATTGTTATTTCAATTATTACGGTATTTCCTTTTGGGTAGTAATTTTGTTCCCCTTCACAGTATTTGTTCTTTTCCCCGTGCATCTCAAGATGCTGCACCCTGCAATGCAGCATATCCCTCGTACAGTCTTGTGGATTCGGACTGATATTTTAGGGCTCAGGTGGCCTCGACCCGGATCGCCACTGAACGCAGAGTTCCTCTGTAAATGAGGCTGAACAATGCTCATGCGAGATAATTCCTTGGGCTAGCCTGGTGATCTCCACTCCAGCGCAAGTTTTAGCGAAGATCGTCCACCTACCAGCAGCTCACTATTTGGGCGGGTCGAAGCTGGCTTGGAATAATAGAAAGAATGGGTGCGATTGTCGCTGGCGCCTCCTCGGTACTTGGAATCAAGCCCCTTATGCAACATATATCAACAAATATTGCCATTTCTGTCAATTGCATATGGTGGGTGGGGATCCACATCTGAGTTGACTCCAGGGTGACCGATCGAGTACTTTTCTTATTAAAGGGCTTGAAGTCAATCGTGCTCACGTCAACTTGTTTATTTTCCTCCTCTTTCTTGGCTCGTTGGCTGCTTCCTTCACCTGGGCTTTTTAAACATATCTCTCCTTCGCCCAATCTTCCATATTTACCTCGTTCATAGTACTATTTGGTCTACATAATATCCGCCAACATGTTGCGGAGGTTTTCTACTCAATTCAAGAAGTCGAAGGACTCAAAAGCCGAAGGTGAGCCGAAGCAGAATGGCACCAAGGCCGGCAAGCGCCAGTCCAAGATGATGTCGTCCTCGCCGCCTCCGACGCGCAAGTCTACGGAAGAGAACTGGGAGCGCAGCAAAAGGGGCGCCAACGAGGCCACCAACCCCTTTGAAAAATACTCCCAGGTGCTGCATGCTTCGAAAACCCCATTGCCCGGCCAGACTTCGGATGGCAGCAACGAGGGTTCACCCGGGTTGATGGCGGATTTGAAGACCATGGGCCTTAAGGACATTGGCACATTGAAGGATATGGTCTCAAACATGGCCAGGGGCGAGAAAATACCTGACAAAACTATGCTTATGGAGCGCATTATCCAGGTGAGCTCACACAGTGAACACTATGCGCTCCGTCACCCCGGGACTAATGTAGTGTCGCCTCTCTTTAGGTTGTTTCTAGTCTGCCTGCCCATTCCAAGGCCCGGTCCGAGCTCACCAACCAATTTTTGGATCAACTTTGGGGGTCGCTGCCACACCCCCCTCTCTCGTAAGTTGCCAATGGCCCTTGAGAGTAAGGCGTACCATACTGAGATGAATTGTGACAGTTATATGGGAGATGAGTATGCCTACCGTAGCGCGGACGGCTCTAACAACAACCCCACGCTTCCTTGGTTGGGTGCTGCCAACACACCCTATGCTCGCTCCATCCAGCCGATGACGATTCAGCCCGGCGGCTTGCCGGACGCTGGTCTCATCTTCGATTGCCTCTTCGCCCGTGAAAAGTTTAAGCCAAACCCCAACAACGTTTCCAGTTTATTCTTCAACTGGGCTTCCCTAATCATCCACGGTGAGTCTCTGTTGGACCGTCGATGGACCTATGAGCCATTTTCCTGACGCTTGCAGATATCTTCCAAACTGACTACAGGGCCCCCCACATGAATAAGACGTCCGGATATTTGGATCTTTCTATTCTGTATGGTGATGTACGGAAGGAACAAGACCTTGTCCGGACCCACAAGGATGGAAAGCTCAAGGCCGATTCCTTCTCTGAGCCTCGTTTGCAGGCTTTCCCTGCTGCGTGCTGTGTTCTCCTGGTCATGCTCAACCGCTTCCACAACTACGTGGTTGAGCAACTGGCGGTGGTCAATGAAAATGGGCGCTTTAACAAGCCCGCCGCGCACCTTTCGGAAGAAGATGCTCAAAAGGCTTGGGCCAAGTACGATGAAGATCTGTTTCAGACTGGGCGACTGTATGCACTTGGATATTCCCTACCGGTCCACGAACTTTCTGACAAAAATCTAGTATCACTTGTGGTCTTTACATCAACATCACCCTCTACGATTATCTCCGCACCATCGTCAACCTGAACAGAGTTAATAGCACCTGGTGCTTGGTACGTGGATTATTGGGTAAACACACGCTAGTCGCAAGATCTGACTATTAGTAGGACCCCCGAGCTCAGATGGAGGGCAATGACACCACCCCGTCCGGACTCGGCAACCAATGCTCCGTAGAATTCAACCTGGCCTACCGCTGGCACTCGGCCATCAGTGCCAACGATGAGAAGTACACCGAGAAGATCTACGAGGAGCTCATGGGCAAGCCCGCTGAGGAAGTCTCTATTCCCGAGCTGCTGATGGGCCTCGGAAAGTATGAGAAGGGCCTAAACCCGGACCCTTCCAAGCGCACTTTTGCCCACCTTGAGCGCCAGGAGGATGGAACCTTCAAGGACGAGGATCTCGTGAACATTCTGTCTAATGCAGTTGAGGACGTTGCCGGTAAGTGATTTCCCGCCACGACCGGATCAATGTGGGCTGGCAACTGACCTGTAGTAGGCTCGTTCGGCGCGAAGAACGTCCCCAAAGCTCTTCGGGCTATGGAGATCCTCGGTATTGAACAGGGTCGTCGCTGGAATGTTGGCTCGCTCAACGAGTTCCGTAAGTTTTTCGACTTGAAACCCTACGAATCATTCGAGGAGATCAACTCCGACCCGGAGATCGCCGAGTCGCTCCGCAATCTCTACGATCATCCCGATTACGTCGAATTGTACCCTGGCATTGTTTCCGAGGAAGCAAAGCAGCCAATGATCCCTGGTGTCGGCATTGCTCCCACTTACACAATCTCTCGTGCCGTCCTCTCGGACGCTGTGGCCCTTGTCCGTGGTGACCGTCACTACACTGTAAGTCGACCCTTCCCATGTTGTTGCTCGAATATATCCCTAATGCTACTCAGATTGACTACAATCCTCGCAACTTAACCAACTGGGGCTACAACGAATCTCGCTACGATCTCAACATCAATCAAGGATGTGTTTTCTACAAGCTCGCGATGAGAGCCTTCCCGAACTGGTACAAGTCAGACTCCATTTACGCTCACTACCCCATGACCATCCCCAGTGAGAACAGAAAGATCATGCAGCACTTGGACCGAGAAAAGGACTATTCGTACGATCGTCCCAGCTTTACGCCCCCTCATGCTACTTTGGTGTCCTATCCCAACGTGAAGAAATCCTTGGAGAACCCCAAGGACTTCCGCGTTGTTTGGGGTGGCCTTACGTCGCTCACTTCCGGCGGAGGCGATGGTGACTTTTGGAGCAAGAACCTGGACAACGACCAGTGGAGGAAAAACATCAAGGACTTCTACGAAGCCATCACTGTCAAGTTGTTGCAGGATAAGACTGGCAGACTTGGTAGCATCAAGCAGGTTGACATAATTCGGGAGTAAGTGTGGTACTATCTTCTCTCTTTTCTCGAGAAACTAACTGTGCCAGTGTCGGCAACCTGGCCCCTGTGCACTTTGCCTCCAAGCTCTTTTCGCTTCCTCTCAAGGCGGGGGATAATTCTCGCGGTGTCTTTACCGAGCACGAGATGTTCAAGATTATGGCGGTTGTCTTCAACAGCGTCTTCTTTGACATCGACCCGGCCAAGTCTTTCCAGCTGCATAAAGCCGCACAAGCAGTCTCCGAGCCGCTCGGTAGTATAATCGAGGGCCATGTCAAGTCAATCAGCTCCCCTGGGTTCCTCTCGCGGTTTATCGACAGCTTCAGCGATGGTCACAATGCTCTCAAGGAGTACGGTGACCAGCTGATCAAGAAGCTGTTGGACAGCGGCCTTGATGTCTCGGAAGTGACCTGGTCGCATGTTTTCCCCGCTGCTGTGGCGATGTCGCACAACCAGTCTCAGATGGTAGGATTTACCCTTCGGACCTTTCGTTTCTGCTTGCTATATACTTTTGTATCTTATGATACACGACTGACACTTCCCAAAGTTCACCCAAATCATCGACTACTACCTCTCCGACGAGGGCAAGAAACACCTCCCCGAGATCAACCGCCTATCCAAGGACGACACCAAGGAAGCGGACGAGAAGCTGATGCGCTACTGCTTGGAAGCCTTCCGCCTCAACGGAACCTTTGGCTCGTTCCGCGAAGCAGAGGCAGACATGACCCTCAACGACGAGAGCGGCCCAATCAACATTAGAAAGGGCGAAAAGATCTTCGTTGGCGCTGTACGTCCCCCTGCCCTACTACCCTCGGCTCACCCTCCCATCAACTAACGGATTCCCTCTTACCCCTTTTAGGTCAAAGCCAACCGTGACCCCAACGTGTTCCCCGACCCTAGCGAAGTCCGTTTGGACCGTCCCATGGACTCGTACATCCAGTACGGTCTCGGCCCGCACACCGGCCTAGGCAAGGAAGCCAGCCTGCTCGCCCTGACAGCCATGCTGCGCGTCGTCGGCCGTCTGCAGAACATCCGCCGCGCCCCTGGCCGCCAGGGTGTCTTCAAGAAGATCCCGCGCGAGGGCGGCTACTACCTGTATATGCGCGAGGACTGGGGCAGCTATTCCCCGTTTGCGACGAGTAAGTCTTCCCATTACTATTTTTCAGACCACACAAGACGGCTAACGATATTTTACAGCCTTCAAAATCCACTACGACGGGGATGTCCCTGCGCCTAAGAAGAAGATCGCTTCGTAAAAACAAAACAACAAACAAACATGACGAGCGTTTACTCTTCTAATTGATGATGAAACTGCTGGGCTAAAACTGACTGCTGCTTATTGAGATATCCTGCTTGCTTATTTACGTCGTTGGATTATTCATCCTGTTTTACTTGCGCGTCTTTTGGAGATCACCCACCCACCAGAGAGCAGATTGGTAGTACATCGTCGTCTTCTGGTGGTGAGTTCGTGGGTATTGATTGACTGATAGTTTAATTTATAATTTGGTGCTGCTTACGTGTAGTGATAATGGATGATGTATCTGTCTTTTATAGGATCATGTTTTTGTTTGCTTAATTCATCTTCATTTGTTGGCCCCCGGAGATTACCATCTGTTCTGTATATTAATGCCGTACTATCCTCTTGGATTATTTTACTTACTTTACTGAATGCTTAGAAGTAACGTGCTAAGGTACTTGCATGAAGGAGATAAGACTTAAAAACTATCTACATCTGCTAAAGACCAGTTAGTGGAATGGTTGTCCTGCAAGGTGGCTAGCCAGAAAGACGACCTACATGTAAGTATAGCAGGTGATACCTAAAGAAATGACAATTTACATCCTCGGATTCTCTTATGTCTTGCCAAAATAGTGGCAAACTAGTAATAGCAAGCGATCAATAGTAATCATGTTATGCTATGGCTGTTTCAAAATGTAGAGTATGCCCTCCTTGATTATAGGTACCTAACAATACCACCCTTGGAAAAAGAAATAAAAAAGACATTACTAAATTAAGTATCAATGCATCTCAGTTCCTACCACACCACAACACACCACACCACACAGTCTACCCATCAAGCGAAGAAAACGATCCTGCAGAGCAAGTCTCCAACGGATGTACCACCACGCGGAACGCACCCGACAAAAGAAGGGCGAATCCCGAACAAATCCCCCCCCACGCAGGTGACACCAGAACTTTAACTTCCCTGCCCTGCCCCCTCCCCTACACAAACCACGTTACCCCAGTTATCGTCAAGGGGCAGCGGCGGTGTCACTGTTTCCTGGGAGCTCCTCCTGCGGCTGGCACTTCGACGCAGTAGTAGTACCCGGCTAGGAGGTTGGTGCAGTCGTTGCCGACGGCGGGGTTCCACTCCATGAACTTGCTGACGGTTAGGCTGGGATATTGCGTGGTGATCCCGATGCAGGTGTCGCCTGAGACGGCGGCGTAGTATTTGGAGCAGGGGGCGGCGATGCCCGGTTGGGTTGGGGAGGGAGTGGTAGGGGGGTCTGCTGTGGGAGGAATTAGTATTTTCTTTCCTCCCCTCCTTTCGACCCCGCTTCCTGCAAGCGCAGCAGAAGCAAACAAGGAAAGAAGTATAATGTAAGTAGAAGAAGAGGGGGGGGCGTACGAGTGGGAGCTGGGGCTGTCCCGACGCAGACGTAGTAGCCGGCTAGGAGGACTTGACAGTTGGTCCCGATGGCGGGGTTCCATTTGTAGAATTCGTTGAGGGTGAAGTTGTGGAAATGGGTTTGGATACCGATGCAGGTATCGCCGGTCTTCACCTGGTAGAAGGAGTTGCAGTTTGACGCGACACCGCTCTGGACTGGGATAGGGGCGCTGGCAACTGTGGCTGTGGCCATCTCCATTGTCGCGGCGTCGGAATCCTGGGACGAGCGAGGTCTGGCGACAGCCGCGGCTTGTGTAAGGCCGAGCAGGAAGAGTCCTGCGGGTAGGATCTGGGAGAAGAGCATGGTGGTGGTGGTTGAAGAGTCTGCACGCGGTGATGGCTTGATTGAGTATACTGGAGCGGCGCCGTGGGGGCGCTTTATATGTTCGAAACTCTAGGATATCGCACAACACCTACCTCCCTGCGAGGAGTATCGAATATCCAAACGGATGCTACCGGATCACCGTGTGATCATGACTGTACTTGCTTGTCCTGGTTGGTATCGAACGGGAAGCAAATGTGGCCACATCGGGAACGCACTCGTGTTCAGGCATCCAAGATGAACGAACATACTCAACGAACCCCGCTTCCCATCGGCAACGAGACGGATGCCCATAATGACCCGGTAGTACAAGGATGCCAACGATGCTGGGAACCCCGACTTGGTCCAGATGAGAACGTCCATGACGGCATGTGATGCCTCTCAATTGAGGCAAATCCGAGCTGAGGAAGTCGATCCGTCCACTGGAGAGTAATCTTCACTGCATATTGTCTCTGGTTGAGGATCAATGTCTTAGAAGTGAGAGATGTTTGACAGCTGTGACGAGTCGTATGTTTCACTGTGTCATGCTATTTCATGTACTTGGCTGTACAGCTCTCGAACTACTGTAGCAACCATCCAATGAGCGTGACGCTTGGCGCATAGGGTGTATGCATGAAGAATCCGTGCCAGTCATACCCAGAGTCGGATTGAAGAGGTTCGGAAGAACAAGCTGACATCCTGAGGTGTGATGGAGGAGGAAAACAACAAATAAAAGATGGGACGACGATAAAAATAGAGACGAAGTATACAGGCACACCGCCCAGTATTGCCGTAACTATCCCACCGCCCCAGAATGGTCTCCAAACATCCCCGTCATCATCGGAATTATTGCCCGGCAAGAAGGCATTTAATCGGCCGAGTCAACATCCCAACAAGATGCCCCCCAAAGCAGTCAAGGGCGAATACATCGAAACGGTACATTGGCCAGGAAACACCCACTATACTAGCAACAAGAGTGAAAAACAAAGCAAATTAAACTAACCGACTCACCGACTACAGGACACGGGGAACAAAATCTCCCGCCGGTCCATGATCCACGGAACACAGCACATCATCCTAGGCGGCAAGACCGTTATTCAGGCCGAAGCCGTCATCCGCGGTGACCTCTACCGCGCGTCCTCGTCGTCATCGTCGTCATCATCAGCCGCCCCCGACGGCCAAGCATCCTCATCCTCATCATCCGCGCATTCGCCCTCCGTCGCGATCTCCGTCGGCCGGTACAGCTATATTTCGAAGCAGGCGATCCTGCGCCCGCCGTCGAGGTTGCACCGCGGGGTCCTTTCGTTCTTCCCGCTAAAGATCGGCGACCATGTGTTTGTTGGGGAGAGGGCCGTCGTGGAGGCTGCTACTGTCGGGAACCATGTGCATATCGGGCGGGATGCGGTCATTGGCAGCATGGCTATCTTGAAGGACTTTGCTTATGTGTTGGACGGGGCGATCGTGGCGCCTGGGATGGTCGTGCCTAGTTGGTGTGTGGTTGGGGGTGCGCCGGCGAGGATTGTCGGGGAGGTGGGTGAGGGGTATGGGGTTGAGGGGGCGGAGGGGGGCATGGCGAGGGAGAGGTATCGCTTGGTGGGGAGGGGGTGAAAGAGAGAGAGAGATAGGCGAGGAAGGTTTTGGGTTTTGGATCTTATGGCGTTCGATCATTTATGGTGCGTTTTTCATTGTTTACCTGGGTTCTATCATACGCATTATACCCCCCCCTGGTCCCTTGTGTCTCTTGTGTACATTGATGCCTGCAATACGACTTTGCTTCTCTTTTGATTTGGTTTTTCTCTTGATCCGCACAAAATAGTAATTCCTGTCGTTTCCCAATTATTGTACTGTCTCCTGTAGTAAGTCGACCCTTAGCCTGCCTTGCAAGGGTCAATCGTCCTCTTCATGAAACTATCCTCCGCGGTAAACGCCAGGTCTGCTTCCTCCCGCGCCATGTCTTGGATCCACCGTCCATTCGGCTTGACCTCCTCGGCCTTGGTCATTTTCGACGCCAGATAGAACCAGTTCAGCGCATTGCCGACAGTGCTGACCTCGTCGAAGACATTCTCGCGTGCATACCGGGCCATCCGGTGGTACAGCTCGTCATCCGTACACAGATCATACAAGTGCTTCGCCACGGCTTCGGTATCACCCACGTCGACGAGGAAGCCGTTCTTCTCGTTGGTCACCTGCAAGGGAATACCACCGGCGCGAGTAGCGATCACCGGCTTCCCCTTGTGGAGGGCCTCCGAGACCTTGATCTCAAAGCCCTCGCGGGTGGACAGCTGCAGTGCAACCTTGGCCTTGGACATGAGCGCATTCAGCAGCTGATCCGACGGTCCCAGGCGCACGACGCAAATCTGTTTCGCGAGGTAGGGCACGAATGTTTCGATATGGGCGACCGTGCTGTCGTAGACGATTGCACCGTCCGGATCGTCAACGGAGCCGTGGCCGCAAATGAGGAGCATAGGTGGCTTCCTCGTCGGGTTATTGGCGGCGAAGTGGTTGTAGAACTTGTCGTACGAATCCACAACGTCGCTGATGCCTTTGGATGGATCGAACCGTGCGATCTGGACGATGTACTCGTCTGTAATGTGTTAGCCAACCTGGACGCGGGGTTCTCGCCGTGTCGTTTGGGAGGCTCGGTCTTACCGTCGGGAAAGTTGATGGTGGGCATGCCCGAGTTCCGGCAGACGGCGTTGAAATTGCGCCCGTAAAAGGCTACATCCCAATCATGCATGTGCTTGTTCAACCCGTCGAGCCTGTGGACTGTTAGCTTGCCGTGTGCCTAGCAGGTGGGGGGGTGTCCGTGACAGAGCGATACATACCAGTCAGTCGATGCAGGCATGTAACCCACCTTCTCGTCCGGCACGGTGTGCGGCACGAAGGCACGCACCGGATGGGCGAGGAACACATCCGCCGGCTGGATCTGACTCCAGAGAAATTTCCACGCGTCCGCTTGGGGGCTTCCCTGGGCACTAATTAGATCACTCCGAACCTGGATGTGACTGCGAAAGATGACAGGCCTATCCGGGGCCATTTTCTTGGCGAGAGGGATTAGAGCTGGCATTTGCGGATCGTCGATGATGATCACGTCGGCACCGCCCTTGGACGGATGAAGAAGAGGCCCATTCTCGCGCAGCCAGTACCGCTGCGCGTTCTCGTCAATCCAATCCGTCACGATGTCGTGGTCTCGTTTAGTTAGGCGCTGATCGGGATCGGCGACGCCTTGGAGAATGTTGTGGTTGTTTTTGGTCACACGGAAAACTCCCGGACGTGGCTTGGGTACGTACCTGATGGGGGTTAGGTCAGGAATTTCTCCAAATAGTACCATCGTTAGAGAGGGCATGATCTCACCAGTCAATCCGGGTCCCGAGGTAATGGGAGAACCGGACCAGGGCATGTCTCATCAGTGCCACACCGCCGCCCTGGGGGGTGGCGCTGAAGAAAGCAATCCTGACCTTCCTCTCTTTCAAATCCTTAGCGTAATGTTGGACCGCAGCCCATGTGTTGGCCTCGACGGTCTTTTTAAAATCGTCCAGGCTCGCCAGTTTGACGTGGAATGCAGTGTCCACCTCTACCAGGCCCGCAAACCCGACTTGCAGCAGTGGCTGATTCTCCGGACCAAAGACTCTTCGAGGAATTAGTCTCGGCTTCACCGAAAGGGGCTGAAGCCATCATACCTGACGCATTTGCGGCCCATCGACTCCGCTTGTTCGTCCAAGGTCCGCGTAACCCAACCGTCCCTGCCGCCTGTGTGAGACAGGAAATGCTCCCAGCCTTCTTTGTGATCCTGCGGAAGGACGATGGGAATGACGTCGATTTCCGCCCAGAGACGCGAGCAGAGCGTGGGACATTCCTCGGACAAACGCCTGGGCATGGCACACCCAACGACCTTCTCCAAGTGTCTCTCGCTGAAACTGAACAGCTTCTTCACGATAAAGTCTGTGATCTGGTCGGATACCGTCTGCTTGTCGGCAGCTGGGACATTGTGCTGCAGGAAGTCCAGGAGATATGTGGTATCGCGGATCGCGACAGCGATTGTGGCGCTCCCATCCTCGGATATATCTACTGACAGACCAGCATAAATGGTCTAGAGAACGGAAAGGGGGGTCAGATTAACCGGCCGGAGAAGGACCAAGATGACAAGCATACAGAAGTTGGAGGCGCGTCCCATTGATGCTTGTGCAGGGGAGTCGATAGACGCCGATGCTGGTGCACTGAGGAACGGCGTCGAAAGATAGCTGGGTCTGCCATCTTTGGAAATTGGTCAAGTCGACGAGATGGGATCGAGGAGACACAATAATGCTGTCTGATCGAGAAGAGAAAGCTCTATCGGACTAGAAGCACAATAGAGTGTACGCGAGCCACAGGTCCTACTGGTATCCTTGAGATTCCAGGATCGAAAACAGTCCTACCCAAGTAGGACGACGGAGCTATGGTACGAATGTGGGAAAAGGAAAAGAGAAGGAAAGAAGAAGGGAAGTAGAAGAGGGGAAGGAGGCGACACACAAAGGCACAAACTGTTGTACGAGCAGCATCCAAGTGACTTCACCACTCGGTCTCTGACGTTATCCGGCACCGCAACCGGTGATTCACTCTCCCGGGCCTTGGCCCAAAGAACCTGGTTTACTTCAGCCAGTGTCATTGGAAACCATGAAAACCTGTCATCCCCACAAAGATTAATTATTTGGAGGTGAGTATCGACTTTCTGAACAATCCACCAATGTATCCGACAAGTTCGAGGGGAAGATCTACCCACATTCCGAACCAGATCGCGGCAATCTCCGCCCTCTGCCGGCCCCACGGTAGATCATTCCAACCCTAATCCAGGTCAATCATGCATTTCATGTGCTGTACCTCATTGCCCTGTCCACAGATGGTGGTGGCTCAGCCTATGGGTAAATGATTCCAGTCATGGATCGAATAAATCACTCAATGATATTGTTAAACCGTTATATCAGCCAGATTCGGTTATCCCTATCTGGGTCACCGTTGCTTGGAGTGGCAATAACACTGAGCATCCACATCTCCGTCCATGCTTGTGGTTGCTGCCTGGTATGCCTAGTTCCAGTGGCCGCTGATGTCATAGAAAGGCAGGGTATCCTTGTACGGTATAAATTCCACTTCCCCGTGTCCCGATTCCGCCGCGAGACAAGGTGCTACACCGGATATGCGATTGGCCGCTTCCTAGCTCGGGGTATGGCATTTGGGAAGTAATATGGGCAGTAGGTGGCGGTGAGGACCTGCTGTACGTTCTGGTGAGGGATTTACACCCTTGTCTAGGGTTTGAGCCGTTGTATCTGCAACTCTCCATTATGGAGGTCGACTCAGTTCCAATTATCCCATACAGTCAGGACGAGTACTTTGACTGTCGCTGTCGCTCCGACATAGGTCATACCGCGCTGGTGACTACGGGATGATCCGAAGTGATCATCTCTCTGGAGTTCGATACCACGAATGGCGTGATAGAGACGGCGAGGACAGTCTATTAGCGGTGGAAAGCGTATCACCGACGATAGTAGGTTGAACCAACTGTCTTCTTCCACCAGCATATGGTAGTATCCTCCTCCATTGGCATGAAGGCCCCCTGGGGGTCCTGCTCGTAGCATGATATATGCAGACGGCCCGCGACTTTGACGAGGGATACGCCAAATCGTCTTTCTTCATAATTTTCAACAACACGCAAGATGTGTTCGCTGGTTAATGACATTTTTCCTGGTGAGGGCCCGCAGGATTGATGTCGTTACAGATCATGAGAGCTAGAGTAACTGCGCCATCAGAAATACAGTTGCTGATCTGCACGGCAGGTCGAGTCTCTTATCCTCAGTATATCGTCCGGGGAAGGGAACAGACATCCCCCGCCGGTGCCTCTCCTACAACACCGACATCACCTGGGTTTCATGATCATTCTTCATGGTACATGTTGACGCTTCTGTACCAGCGACACTTATCAAACGTGGAGTGTCTCCATCCGCGGGAGACTCCAGTGCATCTGATTGTTGATAGGTCAAGGAGCAACATATCACACACGGTGGGACCCCACGAGAGACCCTTCCCCGGAGGAACCTGTGGCGACAGTCATTTCCTGATGGAACCCAGAGAAATTGGAGCCAGAAGAGCAGCTGAAGTCGTCTTCAATCTATGATTCTACAGTGATGGAGGAATCGACGCAGGGACCAGGCAATTCAGGCCATGAAACCCCCGAATTGCTTGGCCGGGCTGAGTCAGCGGCATCAACCCCTTTTACGGATCTTTCAAGGCGCCAAAAGGACCAAAATCCACTCTGGAGACCGCGCGATCCATTATTTACTCCAACAATTGATTGACTGTCCTTAATTTAATTTCTGCTTTCTGGTCTGTTTCCCTTATTTTTATTGCTTTAATCTCATTAGTTCTCCTTCGACGTCCCTCGTGTGGATTGCCCCTCGCTTTGGAACACCGAGTTTTTAATTTCATTAAACTAAAGTAATTTATCGATCGGGGTTGGTTTACTTGCGCTCCTGGCACGTCCTCCTCCGCCTCCTGCCACACTGGTGAAGCACACCAACAACTCCCCTCCGCACCGTCTGTCTCTGTTGTAAGTAGATGCATCTCGTGATTGATTTCCTTCCTTTCGGTGTGCAGTCCTGATCAGAACGTTGGCTGATTGTTGTTGCGCGAACTACCAGCTGGAGCATTTGTGTCTGCGTTTTGATTCTGGACTCTCCCCCCTCCTCAACCCCCTTCTCGAGTCCACCGTTCTATCCGATCGTCAAACCCCCTCTTATTTTTCCCTCGGACGCAACGCTGATCGCGACTGGTCGAGAAGACTCCCGCGACTCTCATCTGCAGTTTTGGAACTGTCCCTCTTCATCCTTCATACCTCGTCGGCTCTGTTGTCTTGTTCGCGACTTTCGTCAGTCGCTCAACCGTCACAATGGGTGGTCAAGTGTCTAAGATTATGGGGAAGATCTTCGGAACCAAGGAAATGCGGATTCTGATGTTGGGACTCGATGCTGCAGGAAAGACCAGTACGTTGGCCGTGCCCCTCTTGCAGGACTCATTGCTCCCCCTTACTCTCGGAAGAAGGAAGCGGCTGACCTGGTATCACGATAGCGATTCTCTATAAACTTAAACTCACAAACCAGGATGTCACCACCATCCCCACCGTTGGCTTCAACGTCGAGAGTGTCACCTATAAGAACGTCAAGTTCAACGTGTGGGATGTCGGTGGTCAGGACAAGATTCGGCCGCTGTGGAGGCACTACTACTCCGGTAAGACCCTATTGCATGCGTCGTCGGGGATTCGTGGGGCTAACGATGGCTGGCATATGCAGGTACCCAAGGGTTGATCTTCGTCGTCGATTCCAGCGACACCGCTCGTATAGAGGAGGCTCGCTCCGAACTGCACAAGATCATCAACGATCGCGAAATGAAGGATGCCCTTCTGTTGGTGTTTGCGAACAAGCAGGATGTCCAAGGCCGTACGTATTCGCAACTCACTGCTGAGATGCAGCACTTTTGGGACGATGCGACTAACCGTCTCGCTTGCAGACTTGAGCCCTGAAGAGGTTACCAGTGCGCTGCAGCTCAACAAGCTCAAGGACAAGCTGTGGTACGTGGCGCCCAGTGTTGCTACCGACGGTACCGGTATCTTTGAGGGATTGGTAAGTTTCTTTCCCCGGTCATGATCTTCATTTCAGGGTTGACTCGTTTTAGGCTTGGCTCTCGAACAACGTCAAGACGCCGCCCCAGAAATAAGCCGTCTCCCCATACACACTCGTTCCCGACCGACCAAACGACCTTACTACAGGCCTCATCCCAGCTCCGACGCGGCCTTGTGTATAACACCTTATCTTGGAACCAACCGACCTCATTCGTTTCATGTCCGGTTTGATGACAGAAGACGCAGCACTAAAACCTGTGTTTCGACCACCTTGACGCCCTCTTTTCTTCTTTCTTTTTCCTTTTCTGTTCTCTCTCTCATCTTTTCTTTTTCTCTTCTCTTTCAGCTTCGATTAGCTTCTGATGATATCCCCCTTGTTTCCACACGGGCTTATATGTCAATACCCCCTCATCTCTAATTAATACCTGCCTTTTCTTGTCACACACTCTCCCCCCTGATCCGGGCACTATCTCATTTCCGTTGTCGTTTTCTTCTGCTGTAGAAAGATCCAAATAGAAGGCAAATGAAACCCGCACATATACAGATACAAAGAAACTCACACCCCCCGCACAACTCAAGCATACGCCTGTTTTGCGCGTTGGCCATGACTGACCGGGTTGGTTTGGCAGCTTTGTACAGATAGACAGCTTCGATAATACTAATTTTACCATCCATCTGTTTCTACATGAGTATGATTGCTTTCAGGATGCATGTAATGTAAGGGCCTTATCCCCAGTGCGGGCTATGCTGTCCTCGGGATATTGGCTATGTCTACTGTATCCTATGATTGTCGCGGAAATTCCATGCCATTCATTGTTATAAATAAAATAGGACTCGAGAACAACTGCTTCCCCGCCAGGTCTGCGGCATCAAGGTCCATTCACTTATATTCAGTCCAAATTCCCCCTCACAACTGGCCCGGCCAGATATCGTCGGCAATTTCACGCACAAGCTTCAATTTGTTGATCATACCAGCGTAGTCAATGGCATTACCATCACGGTGGCTAGCAAAGCCACACTGCGGACTAACGCCGATCTGGTCCAGAGCCTGCTCGACGGTAATATTGTTTCCCTCAGCGATGAATCTAGCCGCTTCGTAGACGCGCGCCTGCATTTCCTGCTTGTCTTCCAGCGCGGGGAACTTGCTGGTCACTACGCCCAGGATGACGTTTTTGTGAGTGGGGAGTTCCTTGAGGGGTTCGAAGCCGCCTGCGCGCGCGGTGTCGTACTCGAGGTAGTAGGTGTCGACGTTAAGCTCTTGGAAGAGTCTGGCTGCGATGCGGTCGTAGCTGCCTTCGGAGAAGTGGCGGCTGCCGACGAAGTTGCCGCGGCAGAGGTGCACGCCGATGTGGAAATCGGTGGGACGCTGGGAGAGGAGGTCGTTGTAGAGCTTGATGTAGTTGGCGAATACTTCGTCTGCTGAGTGGGTGTTGAGTGGGTCTTTCTTCCAGCCGTTGAGCATCTTTTCGGAGCAGAAGTCTGGTGGCTGGGTTAGTTGATGTCTCGCGATACGGAGGGGGTTAACTGAATAGTGGGAAGGTCTCACAGGCAAGGTTGGGGTCGTCGAACTGGACGTTCCGGCATCCGGCATCGTACAGGATTTGCAGTTCATCCTGATAGGCCTTGGCAATGTCTGCGAAGTACGCCTCGTCCGAGGCATATACGTTCTTAGGGTAAGCGCAGCCTGCCTTATACCGTAGGTGGTACCAGTTGGGGGCGGCCAGGGTGAGTTTCAGGTTCTTGACCTCCTCGGGAGCAATTAAGCTGGCGAGGTACTTGAATTGGTCGACATAGGTGCTTCCCACGTGCTTGATCTTGCCGGTGCAGAGGACGCTTTCACCGGGCTTTTTCCCGGACTCTAAGAAGGCGGCAACGTCCGGAGCATACTCACGGAATATAGCCGCGTCGATGTCGCGGACCTCCTCAAATCCATCTAGACCGGGAAAGAAAGAGCCCCAGAACACTAGACAAGTACAAGTATAAGTCAATTATCATACTCCTGGTGATCTGGCAGTGTCCGCGGCGGTGGGGTTCTTACTATGTCTGCAATACTCCCCATCAGAGGCCGCAGGATAGCCTAGCTCCTTCTGCTTGCTGACAATGTCCTTGATGTCGTTCTTTTCGACGGCGATAAGGTCTGACTCTGGAGCTTCACCCTTCTCAAAGGCTGTCTTGGCGTTGAGAAGTTCTTTCGTTCGCAGCAGCGAGCCCAAATGCTCAGCGCGGAAAGGAGGGCTGCGGTACAACTTTCTAGTCATGATGACAATGTAGTGAGAACTCAATTGCAGAAAGTGCTGTCGGTACTGAGAATTCTAATCTGGGTATCGAGACCGTGTGTAACTCATATGTGCAAGGCTGAGCGGGGGCTGCTAGAAGGAACATGGGACGCATGAGCCGCATGGATCGATGGAGGGACAACGAAGCACTGATCCAACAAGGCTATCTCTTTTTTGCTAGCTCCAGCATCGAGATTCGCTGATGCTTCCATCTAGACGGTTTGAAGCCCCACATCGCTTCCTTTCGTGTCGTCCTCGAAGTTGGACCTCCCCACTGCAACACATCGCCAATGGTATTGCCTACAGACGAACTGTGCGTTGTGTATAGTGTAAATGAAAGCTGGACATCCAGCAAGTGAGAGACCATGCTGCAAGACCAGCTAACAGCTCGAGCCTCTATCGGAGTGCCATGGGGTTGATCTTCTCGCTCAGTCTGTAAGCACGGAGGAAGAAGGATTTCCCCTCTGCTCGAGCTCGAATGATATGATCCAATGGTAAACACCAGGAATCGACGTTCCTTTGTCCTCTCTCTCCGCACTAGATTCGTTGTAGATAATCGTTGGGCCAAGCCATCAAAAGTGGCCCCACTGCCAAGCATCGTTGACGACATTTCCATATCCAAGTCGACGATCCCCAGTCACGTGAGTGGGGAGGGCCGGCAATTGGGCGCTGACCCCGGACCCGAAACCCAGTTGGTCAACCTTACTCCGCTGGACCTTTCTATCATAGGTCTTCATTATCCCGCAATTCGCCATCAACCTCATTGTGGCAGTTCTCTGCATATCCTACACACGTGGGGTTCGGTCCGTAATGTGACCGTCGCACTAATCCGCTCTTTTCTCAGGCGACCCCCGCAATTTTCGATAATGCCGCGGCCACTATCGGCCTTGGAGTCTCTTCCCAGCGAGCTTCTCGATGAGATCATCTTCTACCTCTCTGTTTCTCCTCCGTCCTTGGCGAATTTTCACCAGCCACCGACTCCTCGCATGGTCAGAAATAGAACTCGAGATCTGAAAAACTTGGCCAGGGTTTCGTTGCGTCTCCGGGAAGTCGCTCTACCACCGCTTTTCGCGCACGCTTGCTTCAACCTGGAGGACGTAGACGATTTCCTCGCTTTTGTCGCATCCTTTGACCTCAAGCAATATGTGTCTTCTATTGTTGTGAAGGGAAAAGACACCCCAGGCGAACGCGATGATCCTCTCTGGTGGCGGAGGGTACTGTCCCGCCTCGACCCGCTCCGAGTAACGGTCATTGCTCCCCCGCGCTTTATTGGAGCTATGCTGGACACGCCTATCATGGAGGGACATAGCTGGGCCTTTGAAATTCCTCTCCAGGTTCTGCAACTAGACCGTGACAGTCGCGAGCGGGACCCGATGCTGTCATCGCAAATCGAAGAGCCTTCAAGCCTGCTGGACACTCGTTGCTGGTCATCTCTTTCGTTCAACGAGTCTTCCTCTCTCAAAGCGTATAACCACTATGAGTATTTCTTGTTCCAGGTCCCGTCCCTGGTCAGAGAATGGGGCTCCACTGCAGCCACTCCGTCCTGTCCGGAGCAGCTCTTTCTATCCCTCTCGCTCAACAACCTGACCTCCTTTCAGTATACCGCTGTGTTCCCCTTCTACAATCATGTCAAGCTGGTGTTGAATGCAGTGTCATTGATGACGAGCCTGCAGTCGCTTCGGATCCAGCTGGCGCCCTGCCGCGGCGACAAAGTCATTGAGATCGAGCAGAGAGGCTCTATGGACCCAAGCGACCCATGGATGGAGCTTGCCACCGGCTACTCGCTCATTGCTCAGGCCGTGAGGGATTTGGCAGACGTAGGCCGTCTTGTAACCTTCAGTTCTGGCGACTACGATTTCGATGCGCTTCGGTCCGAGTTAGCCCCAATCTTGTACGATGTGTTGAATGATCATGAGTGGTTTCATGATGGACACGGTACCTGGATCAAGAAGAAAGTTTCCCCGATGGGAATCGCAACTGAGTCAATATCCGCGGTAGACACGGTTGTATGAGGTCGGTGACTGGATTCGCTGTATCAAAATAAATCTGTATAACTAAGGATGTAGATAATTGAAAATTCTTGTGGCTAGTTTCCCCGATATAGGTTTCCAAAGCTACCCATGGAATAGCCGTGCATGAAGCCAACGGGTTCTGCCTTAATCGTAAGGCGCCCGCACGTGGCGCGTCTATCAGTTCCGGTTCCAGTGTTTGAACCCACCATCTACTCTGTAATAACCTTCAGAAACACCCCAAAAGGTAACCAAACACCATGGAATCGTGGATCTATCGATCAGAGTATCTCTAGTGCCGTTTTCTTGGTGAATTGGAGGATAAAGGACCAAAGCCTCGTTCCACTAAATAACCATGCGACGCGCAACGGCCGCGCCTGAACTACTTCTTATCATACACCGAACAGCATGCTCCTGGTTTGATACCACTCTGCTTCTTGTATATGATAAGCATCATGCATTCCACAACCAACGCGTATGCGTCGGAGCCAGCCGTCCCACTTCTGGCTCACTCACTACTCCAACACGATGTCGCGACGGCGGGAGATCAACAGAATACTGAGTCCACGCCAACAAACCCCAGCCTTTCAAACCGGGACTGGAATCTTGAACACGACATCAAAAACGGGGTTGAATATCCCTCAATGGGTGTTTTCCGCCTTGGGACCGTCATCGGCTTCTCATTCATGAAGAATGACTCCAAGGAGGGCGATGACCTCGACCACGTAGGACAGGTATGAAAGTCTCGCGTCGGACTTCAGAATCAACTCGCATCTTCAAAGACCAGCCATTGATCTATTCCATGCAGATTCCTCGATATCTCTTAGCAGCGCGCTTGCAGCAATCGGCCCAATGTTCTAATACTAACCCCAGCGCATTCATTATCTACCCGGCACACTTTGACGCCTTCTCGCCGGAGAAACTCCTAGAATCGCTCCTCTCCGCGTCGCAGTCACCCACCCTGTCCCGCTCAGAGGCAATATCCCGCCTCGACTCCGTCCAGCTAATCCCAGTCTTTGACTTTTCCGCCGCTTCGCAGGCCCTCCACCAAATCGCAGACAGCCTCTCCCAGCAGCGCCAACAGCCAGATCACAGTATCACACTCATATTTGCCGGACTCGACAGCCTCACTGAAGGCGTCATCCGCGCCTCAAATGCAGTCCGCGGCGCCGCCGTTTTAACCAGCGTGCTGCGAACGCTGACGCAACTGTCTCGCACGCACAGCATGTACTTGTCTATCATGCTGGTCAACACCGGCGGCCTTGGCCAGCTATCCCCATTCTACAACCCCAGACCTTCAACTGATGACAGCCAACACCATCCCGCCGCAGACGATGGTAGCATTCATTCAATCTTTCGGACGTCTGGCGCGCCGCTGTTCCCTAACCTACTAGCGAAAACACTCGATCACGGGATCGATACTCACCTTTTGCTGTCGGTTGTCCGGGGTCAGGCCCGCGTGGTGGAGGTCATTAAAGACCGGGTGGGCGATGGGGTTGGTAAATGGTGTGTTTGGAGGGGTGAGTTATCTTGAATGAAACGTACGACGTGCACAAGGACATACTCAGGCATACGAGCTGCTGTTCAACAATATTTTGGTTATCTGCCAATGCTATAATACTGGTCGGACATGTGGATCGATCAAAAGGAATATTCTCACGGGTGCAGAGTGTCCAGCGTTTTGTGCCCGTGACGGCACGGCTATCTTTACCAACCATTCCTAGACTTCAAAGCCTTCACTGAACACCCAAATCTCTTGAACTATACGTGCAGCATGGAGAGCATCAATTCAAATCACGAAGGGACCGAAAAGCAAAAATCACCTTTCAACCCAAGGCCCATAGAAGGCTTTATCTAATTCTGATCACTCGCGGGGAAACACCCTGGAAGATCGACGGCCGATGCGCACAGAAGTACCCTATACGACGAAACCCGCCGTCCCCCTCAAGCGGTAACAACATCAAGCCTTCCACGTTCTCCTGGTGCAAGACCTGAGCGACCGCGAGGCACTGAATCCGCACATCCGACAAGAGCGGAGCATCCAACGGATCGGTCACGCCATACGCAACAACGTCTTGATCATCAGTCATCCCGCTCGTATCATCACTCCCCTGCAAGAGAGCGAGATCCGCATCTTCGACACGATCCGGTCTGAATACACGTCTCAACCCCAAGTCGACAAGAATGCCCTTCATGTCTAGAGTACCCGATCGCACTGAACCGAACGGACCCGCTCTCCCGGCTTCAATCTGGCAATCGAGCACCTCAAATCCAGGAAATGGACTTCGCGCGTGGGGCTCATAGATGGAATAGATCCACCCCTCGGCAACGCTGGCCCAGCTCCAGCTAGGCGCTACACTCTGCGCCGCAGCGGCAGCAGCAGACTTGAGGAGCGGATAATCAGAAGCTTCGACATCCACAACAGGCTTGGGGGGATTACAGCGCCAGAGGAGGTCGTCAACTAAATGTTCCTTCCACAACCCACCGAGGTACGTCCAGCCTGTCGTCTGCGCGATCTCAGACGCCACAGCGGAAAAGGCATTCAACTTGTCACTGGAGAAGGTGAGCGCCCTGGCGCAGTATTCTTCGCGGAGGTTCAGCCAGCGGGAGTAGAGCTCGCTGTGGCCATCTTTGTACCTGTTGGCTCGCTTGCACAGGGAGAGAAAGTCCGTGTCGAAGATTGGGCTCGCGCCGAGGTACGTGATGACACACTCGGTGCATTCCCACGAGATGCCGTCGCTCGCGAAGAATAACCGCCGAGGCGACATGGTGGACTCCTGGAGGGTCCAGGCTCTGAGCAAGATGGGCTCGTTTTGGAAGGCTTGCGCTTGCATCGACGTGTCCCCTACAAAGAAGGATACTCCGCGCTTCTCGTCTGCGTCGATCGGGCCTACTTGCACAGGTGTGAAGCGGTCGTGCAGCCCTTGCGGAGGGAGCAGGAATCCCTTGTCTGCGCTGGTGGCGCTTGCCACGATGATTGTTAGGGCTCCCTGCCGGTAAATGCTGGCCATTTGGGGCAGCTCCGCCGCGAGATCGTCCGGTGAGTCCTGGATGATGCAGAGGGCGTCGATCCAGATGTACCGGAAGCCGAGCCGGGCCGTCACCTCCATCGCGTCTCTCAGGGTATTTGGCAGACGGGCTGGGTCTAAGCCCCGGCGCAGCTGTTCGTGGCTTGATGTTGTGAGGGTGTACGTTTGCGCGGGGCCCCAGACATAGCTGAGGACGACGTACACGTCGTCGGGTGCTGCGATCTCGTCGCGGTTGATGAGCCGTGGGGAGTGTGGATCGGTTACGTCGATGAGTCGACTGGGGTGGAAGCCTCCGGCGGGTCGGCATTGGCGGTGGCTGCTGCATGATTCGAGCCAGTCTAACGCTGAGGTCGCCCAGTCATCCGAGTCCGCAGATATGCGGCCCCAGTTTCGCTGGAAGACTTGCGACTGGGGATCTGTTTACATATCAGCTGTGATGTTTGTCAGAGGCCATAGCGGGGATGTCTACCGGTGGAAGAAACCTGAAAGGTTAGAAAGATCATATCTGGGCCTCCTATCTCAGGGAGTCGACAATCTTCACCCTGGGTGCCTGTCACTTCGATCTGTAGCTCAACTTCATCAAACGTCGCCATACCACGATGTTTCCGGAATCGGACGATGACCGAGACCTCCGCATCGCATCTGAGATTCGAGATCGGAAACCGACAACATGCCGGATCAGTCACCTCATCCCCACTGTCTTCGAAGACGAGGAAATCCGCCACGTGTCTAATGCCGAGGGCTATGGCCGAGCACCACGGACATCCTTCTTGAGCAGACACGTAGAGATCACGGCTCGTCCGGGCGTAAGCTATTGCTGCCGTTGACGAGCTTGTCTTAGCGGACAGCTGATCGTACAGTTCTTGGTTGAAGATATAGTCCGTGCAATAAGTGCATGTCTGCCCTGCGGCGACCTTGTACGGCAGACGGCGGTCTCTGCGCTGCCCGATACCCCAGCGGATGCTCATGGTGATGGTTCTCGAAGATTATTAACTGTTTTGTGTTCAGTATGTCCAGAGGCTGTCGTTAAGGTCAGGCAGTTGATTCATTTTACCCCGCTTTGTGGCGTGAGTCGGGAATGTCAGATGTGGGATAGTGGAGGCCAAGCCAATGCCACGAAGCAATTAGAGGCGGCTGATATAGTGGCGTATACTAGTTGATCATATGTGAGCCTGACTCTATGGCAGCCTAGGAGGTAATTCTGCAAAGTCACTGATATAAGTACTATTTTTTTTTTCAGCCTTGGTCTATCTTATCTACAGCACAAGCATGTGATATCTATCTGCTGTCGCTGAGATAGTACAGCTATCCTCGTCAGTGTAGACGAACCGTATCGCTTTCAACAATCCAGGTCGTTCCAGTACTCCAGTCATGTCCTCAATGGCCTGTACTCACACCACACGGAAACATTTGGGCTCGCGTCCTCCACAGTGTGATTATTTGAGAGTCCAGGTCCAATGTCCGTCGATGGTAGTCGATGATTAGAACCCCGATCCACAAGAGATTGTCCGGCCGGACTGCCAACATTCAATAAGGCAGGAGCACAAAGCTCTCTCGGCCCTTGTTCGTATTGAGCTGACTGACGTTGTAGTATAAAAGTGTTGGGTCGTTGGTGGGCCCCAAACCTGCAATCTATAAGACCGGTTATGATATGACAGCCACTGCAGCAAAATATGGTCAGGCTTATCATGGTCAACATGATATAATAGTTTCAGACACCTTGCTGGATCATTGCGTGGAACTCTTGTGAACAACCGCGGACCCGCTATTTGCGTAGCATGATATCTCTGCTTTTCCGGTTTATCTCTTGGTATGAGGTGGTATTTGGACTGACGACTTCCTGTAAACAGGCCATTGGTCAAAAACCTTCATTTATAAATCCCACTGGGAATTTATGGAGAGACTTGCACTCAACCACAAACTCAAGGTATTCGATTTCCGTCAACACGATGGATTCAGAATTGGTCAGACCAAGACCAACTCTCATAGTCCAGTCGTATCCAGCGCATTGGCATGGTTGCCAAGTCACACACCATCACCCAAGCACAAGCTCTTTTGCGTCGCGGATTATTTGCATAGTTTTGAGATCATATCGCGCACATGTTCTCGAACAGCAAGCCGCTCGGAGCTTTCGAGATCCTTCTCGCCGATCAATTCCTTCCAAATCAGCCAAGGATGGAAACAACCGCGGTGCATCCTTTTCATATTATAGGAGGCGGCAACCCGAGGTATATATTCCTTGTTGTCTTGTGACAGCCACTGCACCAAAATACTGATTCCGTACTTTGGTCAAGCTTGGTATGACTGATATCCCAGAATTCTGCAACCGAAGTCCTCCATGGGTGCAGTTGTATTGGGCAGTATTTGCCGGCAGGAAGGGTGATGATCCCTATTATACAGCGACTTAGCCTCCGCCAAAAGAGATTGTGGCAATGTCGAACTAGTTCTTCAAGAGTCGTATGTCAAGTGCGCTTCTCTGTCTGTTTTCTGCGTCTGCCTTGAGAAAAAGGGCCAGTCTGGGGAGATGCATCCGTTCATTGTCGAGTGAGAGAGGATGAGAGGAGGTTCGGGAACTGGAATGTTGTTGCTTTTTTCGCAATGATGATGTTTAATGAGGTACCTATCTCGGGACTTTAAATTGTGCATAGGGCATGAATTGCGCTCGGATCTTTGCTCTGTATATATAATAGACTGGTGTCAAAGGTTACAAGGGATTACCTGTGGTTGTATAATGGTGATAGGATTATAGATAATCGTAAAATATATATAACTATACCTATAAGGATAATTCTATAAATCTTCTCGCTATTCATTTTAACTATTCACAGTCTAATATAGACTTACGACTTTACTGTTTTATATCTTTATTACCTAGGGAGTAGTTCTCAAGTAATACTTTCTATCACTTCATTATTCACTAACTAGATTATATCCAGACTTTGATTATCTACTAACCATTTAGTCATATATACAAAATATCATATAGATGAGAGATGAAACATGCTCGTAATTAAATAAAAGGTCTCCATATGCTCCAATAGTAAAATGAAGTAATGTTGCCCAGAGTCATTGGTCAAGTAGTTAGCAAATTTTGTTCGTTCTAGGTTATATATAAGTAGACCTTGCCAGAACCGGCCCATGGTCAGCCCCATTTCTATGCAAATGTCATAATGAGGAGGGTCCCACATTCTATGCGCCTTTCTTCTGTCAAATGGGTACATGGCAGGTGTCAAAGTTTGTTTTTGGTCTTCGACCTTGAACAAGAACCCGCAAACGGTCTGCAGAACCCAATCCGGTGGAGTTGCATACACCATGTAACCAGTCAGCCTGTTACTTGGAACTATTTAGGTTACTGATATCCCTCTTTCTATCATGCGTCTTCATTAACATTCCATTCTATTCTAAGTTTAATGTCTTACTATCCAGCCTCTTCTTCTTGTTTGATGTATACAACAAAATACTCAAGAAACTACTACAGCACCCAGCCCAAACGACCTTGTGTCCGATTGCCTGAATACACCTGACACCATGGAATCCTCAAAAATCGAGTTGTGGGTCCCAAAGGACTTCGCAGAAGAAGGGAAAATTTATATGCTTCCCGCAAATCACAGGGGCGATATGTACCATATCCGCGCTGCCATGCTCTTGGAGCCGCATCACCTTCTTGTTTATGCCTGTTCCGATAAGACGAAGGACCTCACGGGATACCTCATGAGATCGGTTGCTTCCGAAAACAAGATGTTTCTGACTGAATGGTCTTGGGAAATACTCAGTGGAAGTAAAGATCCCATAGGTACCGGATACGACAAACGGAAGTTCGAAGTGATCAGTGAATCAAACGCAACTACAATCATCAGAGGGAAAATTAATTCGGAGAAAGATGCCAAAGATTTAGCAGAGAAAATGATAATCATTGATCAAACGCACAAAGAGGAGATACGACGCTACTTGGAAAGTCTATGCGAAAAGCTTTTCCAAACAGGCACCGAAGCAGTCCTCATACAGTGTCGCGACACTGGCACGAAAGGGGGGATATACCCAGAACTCGATTCCGGAATTGACTCGGTCATACAGATAGCTCAATACGTGGGAATGGTCTCCCAAACGCTGAAAGTCGTGCTCTGTGGAAACACCGAAAAGATCGACGATCTTGCTGGAATTGGGGAGTATTTCAAACAAATAGAATCCAGCAAATGGCCGAGTGAGAGCAACAGAGATATCGAAGCATTCTTTCTCCAGATAGCATTCGAGAAGAAATACTTCAGCATGGTCATTGGCTTTCGCAGTGGCGGGTTGGACCTCTTCACCTTCCTTGGAGTACCATCTGTTTCAATCAGCGTTCGACAGATGGTAGGAGAGAATCGACATGGAGAAATTGCACGGAATAAACACCTTCAGCGCTGGAATATCCAGTATGAGCTTCCACGACACGTCACTACCAAATACTTCGGAGAAAGACATGACCTTCTCGGCTCACCTTGGTGGAAGTTTGACAAGCCAAAGGGTCCTACACGCGCGGATCAAGACAGGCCAAAGAGTCCTACACGCGAGGATAAAGATAAGCAGAGCATCCTTCCAACTGGCTTCCACAAATTTGACAGTGAGATTGTCAAAATCGGCATCCATAACGCTATCGTTGTCCTCTTGAAGTATCCCAATGTCCCAACCATAAAGCCGGTTATCCAGAACCGCGTGTTTTCCAACTGGGAGTGTCGGCCCAGTCATTACAGCAACACTAGGCGAGAGGATCTCCGTGACTTCTTCGACGGCCAGAGAGAAAAGGAAGAGGATGATTTTACAACGAGAAAGAACGACATTGAGAATAGGAGAGAGGGCAAAGCTGACTTTGAGAAATGGGAAAACTCCATGCGTCAAGAATGGAATCGCATTCTCAACAAGCGTTATCACTAGTGGAGAGAAATACCACTCGGCTACAAAAGATATCTAGACACTTTTGGGCTCCGTGGGTATCCTTCTATAACAAGTTATACTGCGAAATCTCTTGTGTCTACTGATTAGCTTTCATGGACGTGTGGGCTGCCGTATTCCACTAACATGGAATATATAGTTGCTATTATATTCCTTTTCTTCGTTTGTTTTCTCAGTTTCATTCACAGGTACCTTGATCAATAATGATTTCTTGTTGGGTATTGGGCATTTTGTAACATAGAGAGTAGCAGGGTCTGGCAAACTAGCACCCCCCCCCAGCACCATCTGTATTCCTGTTGTGTAGTATTCTTCCGGCTTTTCTCATTTCAGAAGAATTTATCCTAAATGATCGGGTAATCTCAGTACAACTGATGCCATATTCGGAAGTATCCTCTATTTCACCACCATGAATTGGGATCAACCAGTAGAATTGACTACCTCATCCTGACTACCTAGCATCGCATGTGATATTGGGACATACTTCACCGAGCAAGCCCCTGAGTGCCCTCACTAAACCGGGGGGATCAGGGAACCAACGATATTGTAGAAAAGCAGGTACGTACGGATAGGAACATGCATACTTAGTAGATCCCAATTTGCACCATGATTCATGATCATTAAGTCTTCAAATACATGTATTCTTCTTCTTCTTCAAAAAAAATTTAATTATTATCACCTGGATTATCATAATGACATGACGGTGCCTGGTAGATTAATCACCGGTGACTGTATATACCACCGCCAACGGCAAGAATAATATGTTATAATAGAAGTAAGAACAAGAAAGAAAGATAGATAGTCAGACAGAGAGGACAAAAATTATTTAGCATCCGCGATAATCACCTCCGCGGCCTTCTCGCTGATCATATAGATCGGCAAAGCGATATACCAGCCCGGAATCTTGGGGAAAGCAGACGCATCGACAACACGCAGACCGTCAACGCCGCGCACACGGAAATCCCCGTCCAGCACAGCATTGGGGTCCTCGTCGTCGCCGATGGCGGCGGTGCAGCAAGCGTGGTGGCCCCAAGCGTCGCGCTTGATGAAGTCCTTGAGGTCCTTCTCAGTGGTGACGTTCGGGCCGGGCCAGACCTCCTCGAAGCCGCCGTCGAGCGGGATGAGGTCGTCGAAGATGGTGCGGGAGAACTCCATGGCCTCGTACACGGCCTGCAGGTCCTTCTCGTCGGCGCCGTTCTCGGTGACGCCCGTGTCGAACGAGTGGAAGTTGATGAGCGGGGTGTCGCGCGGGTCGGTCGACCGCAGCTCGACGGTGCCGGCGTTGTTGCGGCTGCGCGCCTTCAGCGTGATCCACGTCCAGTGCTGTGCGTCGGAGAGGCCCTCCTTCGCGTAGTTCGGGTAGTAGCCTGGGAAGTTGGTGGGCGCGCCGGAGACGAGTAGGTCGGGCTCCTCGTCCTCGGCGGCGACGGAGGACTTGCGGATGATGGCGATGGCGATCCCGTTGGTGGTGTAGGTGCCCTTGTTGAGCGGGTTGTTCTCGTACTGGTCCAGACAGGGGTCCGGCAGGGTGTACCCGAAGGTGCACTTGGAGGTGAGGAAGAAGTCCGAGGGCGCCTTGCCGATCGTGCCGGTCTCGTAGCGGTCTTGGAGGTTCTTGCCGACGCCGGGGAGGTCAACGACAGTGTCGATGCCGAAGCGCGAGAGCTCGTCCTTGGGGCCGATGCCGCTGAGCTTGAGCAGCTGGGGGGTGTTGAAGGAGCCTGCGGAGATGATGACCTCGCGCTTGGCGGTGACGTGGCCGGGCTTGCCGCGGGATTCCTTGGTCGCGCGCGGGTCGGCGCGGTAGAGGCTCTGGCCGCTGAGGTAGTCGACGCCGACGGCGCGGGGCGTGGGGCCCGAGTGGTCGAAGCGCACCTTGGTGACGAGCGTGGTGAGCTGGAAGTCAAGGTGGTATTTGCGGGAGCCGTCGTCGTTGCGGGCGTTGGCCGTGTCCATGAGGAAATCGCGCGGGCCCGTCCGCTTGTACTCGGGCACGTCGACGGCGAGAGGCACCTGGTAGGGGCCGGTCTCGAAGTCCCGGGTGGGGAAGGGGTTGTTGAGATCACGCAGCAGCACGCCGGCCAGACCGGCGACGGTGGTGATGGCCTTGCCCAGGATGGTCTTGCCGGCTGCGGTGGCACCGGCCAAGATAAGGGAGAGAATCTTCGCGTCTTCGATGACCAGCTGCAGGTTGGTCAGACTCGTGGTCAGCCAGCCGTCGAATCCGTGGCCCATGAGGGAACTGGGCATGTAGCGGTTGCGCTCGAGACGCTTGAAGTAGTTGCGCATGTTCTCTGCGGACCAGGAGTCGTTGCCGGTCAGAGCGGCCAGCTGCTCCCAGTCTCTCTCGAAGGGGTAGATGGTACTATACATATTCGTGAGTATATATGTCTCAGAGAACAGACAATGCCCCCAGTGAAAGCCTGACTTACACCATAGCATTGTGACTCGCGCATCCACCCAGCGTTCCCGCACGCGGATACAGAATGCCCAGGGGCTCCGCGTCCGCCGGAGGGTTGGAACCGACATGGAAGTCGCCCGACGAGGTGCGGTAGGTCATCTTGCTGTCCTCTTTCTGCCGGTCGAGGTCCGAGTAGTGGTTGACAAAGTAGTCCCAGCGCATGGGCTCGTACTCGGTGGACTGCAGCTGGAGGGCAGGGACCTGCTGCACCGTGGCGTTGCCCTGGTCATCACCGGCGTCGAGCACCAGGACCTTGAAGCCCGCGATGGCCAGTCTGGCTGCGAGAGGACCGCCACCAGGGCCGGATCCCACGACTACGTAGTCGTAGTCGGTGGTCTCGGTCGAACGGCGATGAGCATCGTGAACATGGTAGTCGTGCCTATCGCGTCTGTATCAGCGGCTTTTTGTTCCCGCGCAACTGGGGGTTCAATCTGCACCTACGAGGCAAGCACACCAGACAGCACAGACAAAGTGGACCACAGTCCCAGCGCTCCGGAGACACGCATGGCTACAGCAAAGCGAAAGAAAGAGCAAACAACAAACACAAACACAAACACAAACAGCAACTTAAAGAGAGACAGTAACGAACGGATGAGACGAGGGCGTGGATCTCTTTGGCTCCCGGCGCATTATAAAGCCAGCTCTGACATAAGAGAAAAACACCGTCCAGGGCCTCCTAAACCTCCCTATACCCTTTAATTTAGGCCATCCAGGGCAGGGACCGCTTAACGGCGATCGACACGCGCGGAACGAAGTCTGTCGTTCCCTAGCCAGCCACCACACACGGGGGTCACCAAGACACGGCTCCCAATACTCTCTTCCGGACCATTAGGGCAGAGGGTGGTTCCCTCTGGCGCGCCAGGAATAGTCCGGTGTGGAGAGACATCTACGGCGCAGGAGGAATGGACCGGCAACTAGAGGCATCTAGAATCCGATTCTCTAGGACTTCCAATCCTCGATAGGCATGAGTGGGCCAATGACCACGCGGTGCTCGTCGATTTCCCAATACAGGTACAGCCAGATCGTTGTAATCAGAGGTATTACCAACCCCCGAGTCAGCAGCTAATCTCCGTGGAGAATTGCCAGGAAGTCGACCCCCGTTCATTCGTGTCGGTCCCTACCGTATTGATGCCTACTAAATCCCCTAGGTCCTCGACACGAGGCGCATATCAATCAGGCTATAAAAAAGTACGACGGATATCCCCTCACGCTAGGGTAAAATAAGGGTGGGTCAACTCCACTCTGATCGACTCCGAGTAATGATAAGCCCTGTGCCGCTGGGTGTGGCGGGTCAGGGATTTTAGTCTTTCTAAAATCATTTTAGTAAAATGCTGTGCGCGGAAAAAAGGAAACGAAAAAAAGCAAGAGCATGTTCTCCCCGCCCGGATGAAGCTGAGATCGACTAGTGTCGTTGTTCTCCTGTCGCTTGAGTCGACCCTTGTCGTCAGACCCCTGATCGTGAACGGTTCTTACCATTGGGCTGGCGAACCCTATCCTATCCAACAGGAGAAATAGATATTAACTGTAAATTTTTATGTCCATGATAAGCCGTGCCGAAACCCATGCCCCCCCACCAACAGAATATAAGTAATAAAGTAGTGAATAATAAATAGACAAGAAAAAATGGGGGAAAATAGAGTTGAAATAAAAAAATGAAATAAAATAAAGAACGGTACGGAATGGACTCCGTCGACCCGCCTCGCAGACCCCTAATGGACGGGCCCGCTCCACGGTGCCTGCCGGTTCAGACTCGCCCGACTCGACGTCTCCAGGTCGTCGAGGGGCACAAAGTCGTGGTCTTTGTTGAGGGTCCGCACCTGGGTGGTGACCCCAAAGCCACCTGTGTTGTGGGCCTGTGAATTCGAGCCGTATGTGCCGTAAGTCTTGCCGCGCTCCGTGTCGCCAAAGGCGCGGGGAGCCATGCGCCGCAGGAGGGATCGAATAGCCGGGAGGCAGGCGCAGATGATACCGACGTGGCATTCGATGGTGCTCCAGTATCCGATTTTGACGTAGTCCCCTGAATAAGATTAGAAAATGGAGTGGAGGTGAGGTGTATTGCGGAGTCACTTACAGGTCAGGTTCTCGGTGGTCGCAAAGTGGATGAGGGACTCCAGACGCAGAATCGTGACGAGGGTAACGCTATAGAGGTCAGTATCAGCGAAAAGCCGAAGGCAGCAGGCCGGGAGAGAGGGAGCGTTACAAAATGCCCAGACTGAACATGCACATGACGTAGGCCTTCTTCCTCCAGGACAGGTTGAGACCATAAAGCTGTCTCAACGGCAGCACCATCACAAAGATATCCAACGCCATGTTGATCAGGGCCGCCGACCAGCCCTGCGCGTTGATGTTGTTGCAGTGGTAATTCTTCTCTCCATCCCAGTGGTGCCACGCGCCCGGAAGGGGTTCACACTGGAAGACGGAAATCAGGACGAATGTGATCCAGTAGGCGACATTGAGACCGATAACGACGTAGGTGAGTGTGCGGAACCGGCGTTCGGGGAAGATGCGCAGGTAGAAGCAGCAGATGGAGATTTTGGTCAGGGGGATAACGCTGAGGTAGAGCAGTTCATCCCAGAAGTAAACCTAGCATTGTCAGTTCTACAGCTGTATCTCTCGGATAAGCTGTGCCAACTCACATATAGAATTTTGGTGATATTTTCAAGCGGAATAGTCCACATGTCCCTGCCCAAGCCGAGATCTGCCACTGTGCGGGGGTCAGTCCAGTCTCTCAATGGGTAGATCAGATCGAAGGCAACATACACACGACAGAGAGCGCTGATAGTGGAATGACGAAGACCTGTATCTTCTTAGCCAGAGACCATACAGCTCAACCCAGGACAAGCATACCATGGTAATGGACATGGTTATATCATCCCACCCAAATACCCCTCCACAGCACCGAAGTCTCGCAATTATTCGAAGAACGTAGGCAATAATCGCCAGTATCATCCCGACAATCCCAGGTATCGACACAGCCTTCGTTCGATCGCGGATAGGCGCCCCGCACGCCTGCGAGGTAACATTTTTCGTCGCTGCACCAGGTTAGCCCTCTAATCCAACCACACTTCGATCCCACTACCTACTGAGACCCTCGCGAATACTGCAGCTGACGACCACACATTTCTCCAACGCCTCGGTGTACTTCTCATTGGTACACTGGCAGGTTTGATCGGTAAGGGCGCAACCGGACTCAGGCAGAGTCTCCGCCATACATTGGAGCTGCGACAGTCAGTGAGGGGTACATCAAAAGTCGATCCAGATATGCATACCGCGCACTTGGGCATCATCGCCTCCAATTCTTTCATACTCGCCGTCACCGCGGTCGCCAATAGGGCGACGCCCAGCACTCGAAATAGACGCATCTTGACCTCCGCAAGCTATCATCCGGGGAAGTGAGATGATAGACGGTGAGATCGGGAGAGAGATGGATAATGAAAGATGTGCTGGGCTGGAAGATCAACCACCTGCAAGTGCAAAAAGGACTGCAGTGACGGACCTGTTCGTCTCCGGCAACTGGCCGCGAGGATTCGCGGACCAATCTCGATAGACTGGACTCACTAGTCGTTGAACATCGATGCAATTTCATGTTCCACCTTCATGACGGTGATTTCTTTTTTTATTTTTTATTTTTTTTTCCCTTTTTACTGTGATTTTTATTCACTTTTTCGCCACGTTCAGCTACTAGTCAATCCGTCTGTCCTCCCATCAAGGGGCATACTATACCCGAAGAAGCCGTCACCAGCATGCATGTAACCGACAGGGGGAAAAGATGAACCCGTCGGGAGTTCAATGACTATCTCGAACGAACTGGAAAGGCGGCATGTCATTGCGATCTGCAGGATACAGCATTAGTCGATATCCCCGGTGATTTACTTGGGCTTTCTCTTTCTTGTTTTTCCGTCGTCTTGTCTTTCCCGAAGCAGGGGCCGGGGAATAGGGTCCATGTCTGCCAAGCAAGCCCTAATCCTAAAAAAACGCCGCTGAGCCGCTGGATCGGCAATTCAGGAGTTCAAGAGGCCCACCGCGGGGAGAGGGACGGCTGTTATCCCGTCAGGGCCGCCACTGTCAATTGCCCGAAATTCCTTAGCATGAACCTTACCGGGTGGGTCGGTCTAAGCAATGCCAAGATGCTGCTCCGTGTTCCCAGCATCCTGAAGGCAATAAACACTCAGCGAATAGCTCCTTCATCCACCTGCTATTGGAGTCTAATAGGGCTTATTCTGACTCCTCAGCCCGGAACCCTATGCCGTCAAGAGGATTGCCTCGGTGAACATGATTTGTGATCTTTGCAGACGATTTTCAGAGAAAGCACGGTTTAAAATGAGTCGGAATCTGGGCCTAGGAGAGCCATCCCATCTACTGCCTGAATCAGGTGGGATCTGCGCCAGCTCCCTGCTCTGCACTAATGTGGGTTGTGCATCCAATGAACCAATGTTCGTGTTTGGTAAGTAGCCACCATTCTTGGGGGCACACGACACCACCAGCACATGTTAATGATAATAATGATCATTCTTATGGAAAATATCCTTAGAGTTACCACTAAATTCATCATTCCCGTTAGAAAAATCATCATCAAGATAGTAAAATAGGGGTTGAAACGCCACAACCTTCGACATCGTCAGGCACGAAACCTTCCACTCCACCCATACGGGGTCGGTCACCACCACAAGGGGCTTGTCGGTAACCTGTATCGGGTAAGAGAGTCCTGTCTCCATAGTATGAGGCTGTAGTGGGACGTAATTTCACAGCTTTATCAGTGCACGATTGTAATACCGGGGTTTGTTGTCTCCCCTGATAGTCCCTGGTCCACCTCGCTGGAAGCTTTTCGGGGGCTCGTGTCGCGTCCCACTGAAGCATAATGACTCAGCTTCGAGTGGTCCGCCCGAGGACCGAGTCAAGATGAGGTCGAGATAGGGGCCCATCGAATTAGGGGCCCATCGAATTAGGCGATGATGTTCGCACGGCTTTCTGTTTTGGTCATGGGCTGGGGGATTGCTGGGGATTTCTCGGATGGTCATTCTCGTAGAAACACCACACTCCTTATTCGCTGTTGTTTGCTGCTCACTTGTCGCTCGTTAATCCATTTCTCTGTTTGTTCATTCGTTTGAGTCATTGTGTTTACTGGCCTGTCTTTCATTATGCATCTTTTTGGACAGCAGCCGCTTGCGGTCTTGCTCTCTTTGAGTACTGTGGTGGCCGGGTTTGCGAACCTCCATAATGGCCACGCCGGTCTGCACAAGCGTTGCCCGTATGCGGAGGCCCAGGAGGAGGATGCTGCTCCTGCGCATGACAAGCGCTTTCTCTTCAGTCTTATGAAACACCCTGTTGATAGTACGTCGTTCTCTGGAGAGGGATGAACAGCTACTGACAGAGAAACCAGTCACCGGCGAACATGAATTCCACCCTCCGCAGAAAGGCGACCAGCGCGGCCCTTGCCCCGGTCTCAATGCCCTGGCCAACCATGGCTACATCCCCCGCAGCGGGGTGGTGTCGGTAAATTCCCCTGGGTTGGGAGTTGTTGCAGGAGGGGAGCATCGCTGACAATGACCAGTTTGGCGAAGTCATTATTGCCGCGAACAAAGGTCAGTCAGCCCGCCAGTCAGCCCGCCAGTCAACGCGGTGAGGGAGTGTATAGACTAATCCCGCATTGCAGTCTTCGGTATGGGAGTCGACTTGGTGACAATTCTGGCGATCATGGGTACCGTCTGGACCGGAAACCCGCTGTCTCTGGACCCCAGCTTCTCCATCGGTGGTAACGACACCGGCGTGAACAACCTGCTCGGCAATCTGGGAGGACTTTTGGGTATGACCTACTCACCCTCGTTTCGGTTCTCCGAAACCGATCGCCCAATTCGGTTTATAAACAGTACTGACAATCCCAGGCGAACCCCGAGGTCTGATCGGCTCTCACAACTTCATCGAATCCGACTCCTCCAACACCCGCGACGATCTCTACGTGACGGGCAACAGCTGGACCCTTAACATGGACAAGTTCATGTCCTGGTACAACATGTCCACGGACGGTACCTTCTCGATGGACCTGATGTCGGATCGCGCGGCCAACCGCTTCGAGGAAACCAAGATGACGAACCCCAACTTCTACTACGGCCCGGTGACCGGCCTGATCGCGCGCAACGCTGGATACATCTTCCCCGGTCGACTCTTCCGGAACCATTCGAAGGAGGAACCGGAGGGTGTTTTGAGTACGTTACCTATAACCTGATCAGTCAATAACAAGACGATTAGAGTATAGCCAAGCTGACCGCATCACAGCCAAGGAGCACGTCCGCAGCTTCTACGCCATCTACGGCGAGGAAGACAACCTCGAGTACCGTGAGGGATGGGAGCGCATCCCCGAGAACTGGTACAAGACGCCCGTGGATTTCGGCCTGGTCGAGCTGAACCTCATTCTCGTCGACTGGCTGATCAAGCACCCGGAGCTGGCAAGGTGAGCCTCCCTCTTTCTTCCCATCTCGTGTGCCACCCACCCTCGAGTCCAAATAACTAATCGAATCAACCAGCATCGGCGGCAACACGGGCGAAGTCGACAGCTTCACCGGCGTCGACACGTCCGACCTCACAGGCGGCATCTTCAACCTCACCAACCTCCTCGAGGACAACAACCTGCTGTGCTTCGTAGCCCAGGTCCTCAAGTTCGCCAGTCCCAATGCGCTCTCCGGCATCTACAAGACACTGGCCGAGCCGCTGGAATGGGTTACCGAGAAATTGAGCGTGCCGCTCTTGGACCTCACCTGCCCCGCGTTCAAGGACCTGCAGGTGGGCGGCCGGCCGTTCTGGGATGCCATCCAGAATGACTTCCCGGGAGCCATGAAGAGTAAAACCTCTCTGTAAATTAATTATTATTATCACCATAGTATAATAAGGGGAAGGAGGAATGAGTGGTGTGGCTCTTTGTGCTGTTTAGTTGAGGAACTCGCTTGATGAGGTTGTTATTATCTCTTCCACGGGAGATTTCGGTAGCAGCTGGTTGCAAGTTATTATTCTCTACCATTCAAGGAATGTATTTATTAATAAAAGCAGGTTTCGGTGATTGTTCCTTGGACCAGTGTCCAGGGAAATCACAGAAACAAGCATTGGTCTTCTTACACCTCTTCAGCAACTAGGAGTTCCAATATGTATATATGCTACTGAAAAGAACCAAGTAGGAATTCAGGTCACATTACTACTACAAGTACATATCAAGTCTATCTATCCACCAAATATCCATACAGCCAACTCATCACCGGGCTTTTAGTTTCCCTGACCTTGACGAAGGAAAGATAAGTAAATAAAGAGAAAAACAGAATAAACTAACGCCAATCAATGCTTCTGATATGTAGCGACTCTCGCTGCCCAAGAGATTCGTAAGAAAACTCCATTTCAAATATCCCACCTTTATCCCGCAAAAGGGTATCAATGATATTGAGCACGTTCAGTACTTTTGTTGTTTCCAGCGTTTGTAAGACATAAAGTGATGCTCCCAAGAGTGATGAGCAAGGCGAAGAAGAAATTGGTAGGGGTGACGATGGTATAATGCAGAGTGAGATCATTGCCCTCCAACCTGGGCGTTGTCTTTCTCGGCCCACATACGCAGGACCGCGCGCTCGACGACATTCTGCGCCTCCTTCTCGCACTTGGCCAGGTCCTGACTGAGCGTTTCTTCCTCGAAGAGGAGTTCCTGCTGGTGGACTTTGACCCACTGCTTGTGTCGCTCGCAGCGCTTCTTAGTGCAGACGCCGCGGGTCGCGCTGGAGAGATCGTTGTCGTCGGGTTTCGTCCCGTTCATGTGGACGTCGCCGTCCTGGTCGGCCGCCTCATCCGGGTAACTGGAGGCCAGTGCCTCGGGGGTGCCATCAACGAGGGCCTTGAACCCCAGCTCGGACAGGCGCCACTCGTCGAACTCCTCGTCCGACCAGGCAAGCCGCGAGTCGAACCCGCAGATGTCCTTCCAGCCGCCCTTGGGATCAGACTGCTTCAGACGCTCGAGCACGCTCTTCGAACGCTGGCGGACGAGCCCCAGGAACGTGTTGCGCGTTTCCAGCATCTGCTGACGGTGGAGCAGGTCGGCGCGCTTCTGGCGCAGTTCGTCGAGCTTCGATGCCTCGTCCGGCGAGTAACTGAGCCCGTCGACGTCCGCGTCCAGACCCAGTTTTTTCTCGCGCTTCGTCTTCGTCCCCGTCTCTGCGTCTTCCTCCACCTCGTCTGGAGGAGGGGACACGATCCGTGCGCCGAGCTTGCGGAACTCCCGGACGGAGGATACTCCTGTGGCGACGGCTTTGAGATCGGCTGCTGTGAGGACGCCACCGCGGCTGCCTAGGTCGTCGGCTTCGCCGCTGGGGCGACCGTTTGTAGCTACTCCATTTGGAGTGGCAGATCCGTTGACTGCTGTGGGAATTCGCCGTTGGAATCCTGTGTCAAAGTCCAGGTTGAGATACGCGGCCTTCTGTCGCATGAATTCTCGCCCGTGCTCATCAGAGCAATATTTACTGCGGTGTTTTTCGAGGTAGCGAGCGGGCTTGCGACATTCTGTCAGCCGGCACATCGGCTTCCATGCAGTGCGGCCTTTGCCATTTTCATGGCAGTTCGGGCCTAAAATATATTAGCTGATATGAATCAGGATAAAGGAGGTGGTATGTCGGTCACTTACAGATGTACTTGTCGATCAACTCGGCGTCTCGTGGGTCAATGTTCACACACCTCCCATGGAACCAATCCTCGCAGCCTCCGTCGCAACCGATCATCCACGTATGGTTATCAGGTTTGCGACAGATGCAGAATACCCCGCCATCTTCATCTGAGTCCTCGTCGTCTTCGACGGATTTCTTCGTGCTTTTCCGCCTCCCTTTCTTCTTCGGCGGCTCGGGGGCTGGAGAGCTGGCGAGAGACGCAGGGCCGGGCTTTTTTGATGCCGGAGCTTTGCTCGTCCGGGTAGATGATGGCGTGTTGGATCGGCGAGAATCGACACTCTCTTCGTCTGCGTCGAGCTTGCGTTTCTTGCCGGTAGATTTCCTTCCCGTGCCTTTCTTGGTAGCTCCAGTGGTCGACTTCCGAACGGACGAGCCGGGCTTTACAGACACCGGTGGGGATGATCGATCGGAGGACGACGCCCTGGAGGCTGACCCTTGCCTGAGACCCGCGATCTTTTTTGAGGTAGGGTGTTCCTCGGGCAGGTCCGATCCGTCCAACTGAGGCAATTCGTTTTTCACTTCGTCGTTCTCGTCCAAGGGAACCTTGTCCAAATTCATCTGAGAAGGTTCCGACTTCACTCTGGCCGCGGTTACAGACCGATCTCCTGTAGCCTCATCCCCCCCTCTAGAACAAGACACACCCTCGTAAATATCGGCCCATGTAGAATCGCCGTCCTCATGTTCACCCCTGAATTGTCGATGTACCTTACTCGCTCTTTGCAGGCCAAAGAATCCACTATTCCGCCAGTCAAGCAGTCCCACAATGCGATCGTCGTTGACAATGATATTTGACCGAGCCATACAATTGTGCACAAAACATAGACTCTCATCTTCCTGGGGTTCCTTAAACAGTATATCTTTCTCGGAAGCCGAGATCCCTGGTGGGATATGTGAGTTGAGTCCGCGGCAAACGTAGGAAGGCTCCGGCGCCGTTTCGACGCCTCCTAGACGCTCCAACACTCGACGACACTGATCTTTGAGCATGTCGACCTGGTCAACTGTCAAGTATCCCCAAGCCACGTCCAGAGAAACGCCCGGAAGCCGTGACTCCACCGTAACATTCTTCCCGTCGACAGTCCCACAGTAGTATACGACTGGCACAGTGACGTCCATATCCCGAAGAACGTCTTCTGCCTTTCTCGCAGCACTCAGCTCATTCGCATTGGCACATGAAAACATTGTTGCAGCTTCATCGGTGACCACCTCGCTGTCGACTCGGATGACAATGCTGCCCGCAGCAAAAGCTTCCCGTTCCCCCGGTATGTTCAACGAATTCTCCGGCGTACATGATGTTTTCACAACCTCCTGCCAGTACGAATTGGCTTCGGAATCGGCCTCGTGCCAGCGATCATGGCGGGGGCGGAAATCACTGTCACGTGCCATGTACCGACCATATAGTGCGCTTCGAGCCAGGAAGGGATCATCCTTGGGAATGATTTCAGGATCTGTCTCGTAAGGGTTTATGGTGGTTTTGCGATCGTGTTTAGGACCGTTCGCCGTGGTGCCATTCGCAGGCGCGTCCGTATCGCCGGCCATCGCAACCCTAGTGCTGCTTCTCGAGGGGACGAGACCCCAGCGGTCTAGGCGAGAAGACGCAGCGCTGTATTATGTCAAATCCAGTGAGGATTCTGTAGTGATCAGAGATTTGACCCCGTAAGGATGGACGAGGTCGGCGCTTGATCAGTCTAGGTGGTGAATTCTGGTCTTATCCCAACCCCCGGAGGCATCCTGGGAGCGGCCACCACCGATTCCAACGTTATTCTAGGGGCCAGGTGTAAAGGGCCGGCAATTTCACGCTGGAAACCAGAAATCTGATGGGCGTAGGTCAAAGCACGGTTCGCGATCCCCTGCTCTGATTATACAAGGATCGGCGCAGGAGGAAATTCTTCGGAGGTCGATGCAAGATGATCGGAATCTCAAAGTCTGCCCGGCGAGCACGAACCGGTATAGCGATGAGGAGAGACGCAACAGCAATCAAAATACAAGGATTTTCAAGGCGACACACCACTGAAGAAGACGACAGGGTCCGGCAACACAACAAGGCACGCGTGGGGGACAGGCTGGCTCGTCTTCCGGTCGGCGACGCGGAGTTCAAAAGAAAGGATTGATTTGCCCGTTCTGCCCGTTCTTTGCGAAGGCGGTGAGGTTCCATCTCCGCCTTCGATCAATCATTGTCAGGCTCCTTGCTTCATCGACACCATCGACATCATCGACACCATCGACACCATCGACATCAGTCAACACTATCTGACCTACAATGCTGATCTTACATGGATGTTTTTCGCGCAATATATGGTGTCGCTTAATATGATGATGAATTTATAGCGCAATAATTCATGTTCCAAGTATCTCCTGATCACTACTAACCTTAGCTATCCACCTCAGACCCTCCTGGTTTTATCCGCATGTTCCGCTGATGCAAGTACGGTAGCGACAGTATTTTCACAGGGAGGAAGAAGTACTGTGCTGATATTCGTCGAATTTTCCGGCATCCTCGAAGGAAACACCGCCCCCTACTGTGAACCGCACCAACATTGCGAAACCCAATCCAATTGAACGCTACGGATTCGCATTTATCATGATGGAGACAATTATCTGGCCAATCGGGACATCAAGACACATACAAGCAGTCTCCTATGCTTTGACACGTCTTCATGGTGGTGGCTGTGGTTTGGTGATAAAAAATCCTCGTGAACCATAGGCATCATGGGCCCACCAAGTGCCAGTTGTCCACTGTGTAGGAGGGTTGAATCAGAGTCAGGAATACTGGTTCTTCCACAATCTGCTCAGCCTCCACCCTACTGTATGGGGCCTTCCTGATGGATGGCGATGATATTGTCCCTCCCGGGCTCCAGGATTTAGATGGGCCCAAGCTCTCACGGTGAGAAATGGCCCAAGGTAAACAGGGGTCTAACGAGGGTGTTGTGCAAAATTCTACCATGGATAAGCGACGGTGTCGTAGGAGCACACTTAAATGTATACTCCCTAAAGTCTCATACCAATTGCTGTTTAGAGTAGTAGGGGGTGGCAGTGCAGTGAACATAATACCAATCAAATGATACTACATGGCAATATAGTACGTACGGTTTATTGTCATGATCGACTGTAAGAGTGGACACGCAGTACTGCACTGCCATTGTCGTGGGCGGGTTGTCTCACGGCTGTTTCCAATCTGCAGATATACACAACAATCTGAACAAGTATACCTGAGGCAGCAATATGTGCCTGGCGCTGTACTATAGACGGCTAGTGGCATGAGAGTCCATCCAGACCAACAACTCTACCAGAGCTTCCACAGCCCCTGTCTCCAAAACACCGACTATTGCCTTGATCTTGATGTTCCTGATTCCCGTTGTTTCGTAAGCTAAGCTGCTAGATTCTATCAACAAGGCACATTCGTCGCTGATCCCAACAGCTAATCCGTCCATCTAGATCCTACAGATCATCGATTTGGCTGGAACGGTGATGGCCGCTCTAGTTCCGACGTCATTATTTTGGGGGCACAAAGTAGCGAACCGTATCATTGGAAGTGCTATTCCAGTTGTTGATCGACGCCAAGGTCGTGGGAAGCTCCATCGGAGACTTGACTTGGTGAATGAAAAGGATGCTGACATCGAACAATCCTCGTGGGACTGCCATAGCCCCGAAGACTTGGGGGGGCCTTCCACAAAGGGAAAGTGGTAGGATGGGGAAAGAAGAAAAGAAAAGAAGAAGTAAGAATAAGGGAAACGACAAAAGGCTGACAGTCGGTACAACATGCAGTGCCAAGAAATCCTATCAATCGAGGAGCATGGATGGTGGATTCCACCCGGGAGACCGAAGTTTGTCATTGTTGTGTGCCTTGCTAATTGGACAGTTTACAGGGTTCGTGAATCCTTCTAGGGCCTTTTCTATGCTCTTCCGGGTACTATATACCCGAAACCAAGATGCAGCCTTGCAGGCGCAGCTAATTGGACTAAAGCTAGTATCAGGCTCCGAACAGTGCATACCGAACACTATTAGCCATGTCGGCGTGAAGAAGGACCAAGCGATCTTTCGGTTCCTCGGGAACTGACAACATCTTCATCACATTTGCAAGCCCCTGAACCCTGGATCACTCATAATCATGACTAGTGCTCGACAATGAGCCACTGTCGAGAGGGGCAAGGTTGACTCGTAGATTGAGCCATGAATTTTGCCCACTTCACTGCCCATTACCCCATGTCTAATCATCGCGTGGTGCAATATGAGTGGACTGTCCGGATCACTGCCATTCACCTCTGCAAAGATGGAGGCTTGCAAACTGCAGATCCCATCTGAACGCGTCATTTCTTTTGCAAAAGTCTCTTTTCGAGTATTCGGCGTCGGGGAGGAGAAGAACGCCCCGCTTGATGTATGATCCGCAGCATGGATCGCAACATTCGAGCAATATGAACTTGGTGTGCTTATTTAGCAGCGCAGTATGGCCCTCTCTGACGAACTCGTCTTTTGAAAGATCCTCCAGTCCCATCAAAGCCTGGCTTCACCATCACCGGCTTGACCCTGTTCAGATCTAGTCGCACCATCCGTCCTTGACATTTGTCTACATGTTTAGCATAAGAGGCCCGTGTTTGTCAGTCCAAAAGCCAGAGTCCTGACCGGCAGTCAATAGTCTGGTCTGAAACCTCAGAATCGGCATTGTTTCTTGCTGCCACAGTACCTCAGGGGGAAGAGTGCTCTAATCTGCCCAGGCCATCCGCAACTGGCTGGAAGGGATATAACTTTGCATGTCTCTCCGGTATTTTGACTAGAGAAGAGGCTATAATACTTGACGATCTTATTTATATTCGAAGAAAACCGCGACAGCGATTCAAATATGCCAGACCAGTACGCAACCTGGGATCGGGATGACTCTCGGGCGAATTCGCCACCGACGCGATGGCAATTCATCGATACGTCCAACAACAGTCGGAGTAACCTGACTCAAGTCAAGCGCCATGTGATGCAGGAGTATATGCGTCAAAAGCGTCAGGATACCGACAGCAATCCCGAGAAACCCGTCAACGAGAGTTCTATATCACAACACCGTCCACGTCGGCGATCAAAAAGGACCGAAGAGTCCGGAAGAGATGTACGCGCGATTGGGAAGAAAGGGTACGACAACGTTCAGTCACGAGAAGAGTCTGGACCGTCTTCGACTCGACAAACTACGGCCAACCTTTCCCCAGACCCTTTCCTGGCTAGTTCGTCCACGACGTATACTGAGCCGGGTTTCATACCTGGTGCAGAAAGCCCCTTGCCTCCACACGTTTCGTTGACGCCCTCATTTCCGGATGCCTATGCACTCTGGGACCAAGCTAGTGGCTTGGGGTTCGGTAGTCAAACGCCGCTATCACCAGTCACGGAGCTTTTGGATTCCTTTACCAACGAAATGACTTCCCATCCCTATGGAAGCCACCTCCCATCCGCCAATGCCAACAACTGGTGTACTTCAGACTTTGCACCCGAAGCCACGACGGGGAATGCCTCGTTCCGGGACGGTGGCGCCGTTCACGCGGCCAATACATGGACTGGAGGTCGGAGTGATGATGGAAGTTCGCTGGCGCATCAGCACCAGGCATCGTTCACGGATCAAGAACGCCTAGAAGATATCCCCGGTGATATCTCCGATGGCGCGATTGTCTCGTCATTGAGTGCGGCCGGACTTGAGGATTCAGACCCCCGGCCAGGGAGGAAAGAAATCAGCTGGATGCACATGCGGACAGCGCGGGAGATGATCCGCGCGCGAGGAGGGCCAGCGGCCTTTCACAACACCCGGTTGGGGATTTTGATCAACTGGCAGGACTACATCCTACCGGGTTACGATACCAACGGCCCCAGCTTTTCCTTCGAGCCTCGCCCAGCAGCCAGCCAGCCAGTACTCCGACCCAATTCGGCCGCAGCATCTTGGGGGACCTCCCCCGGTGTGGCGCCGTCTGCCTCAACGCTTTCCCCGCTGGATGAAATCCGGCAACAATGCGAGGAGTTTATTGACTTCCTGAAACGGTGCGAGGAACTCTCCATGTACCACCGCAGCTGCGATCCGACTTCCATGCCCGTGCGTCACACAGCGTTTCAGCCCACATCGCCGGTCTATCGGGCTTTGACGGCACCGGCTAACATGCGCACCCCGACCCCGGAGGGCGGAAGGCAATTCATCGCCCGACTCGTGAACCTCATGCTGGTCAGCGCCGCACTCTGGGATTACCGCTGTTCAGCGCAACAGAGCGAGGGCTTTCTGCGGACCGTGCAGCAGGCGGTGATGGCGCAGGACGCCAACGTGGGTGGCTCCGCGGAGACCCTTCTCCTGACGATGCTCGAGTACAATGATCGGATGGGGAGTGTCACGGATGAAACCGGCCCCGTGTCCTTTGGGCGGCCATGGTTCGCGGGACGGATGCTCAAGGTTGCCAAGCGATTGAGTCTGGGCATGTGGATGCACGTGCAGGATTTTCTCCTCTCGTGCTTGGCCCTCCATTCGCCCGCTGGGATGGTTTCGGTCGAGATGTGGGCAGAAGCGCTGCGACATGAAGTGCTGAGTGCACCGCTTACTAGCTATGTGATGCCTGCTTTGAGGGGGTGACTTTTGTATATCTAATTTCTATATCCCTTCTTTATTTATTCCCCTCTTGTCTTTCTGTCCCCACCCAATGACGTCATATTCTAGACACCGCGTGACTAAGTAGAAAAGAAGGAAAAGAAAAAGAGAGAAAATCAAGTAAAATAACAGAGGAAGAAGAAGAAGAAGAAGAACAGAAGCAAGAATCAACCAAACCGGCAATAATCTTCAAACAAACCCGACAACTTCTTGACACACTGCATATGCATCATTCAATCGTAGTTGCATCACCCATACAGCAGACAGTCTACTCTGTCCAGGTAGTCCCACTGTCAGCCTCGGCGTGCATTATTCAAGTCAACTCTTCTTACATGAATTACCGAATTACTGACCTACTAAATTACTAAACTACATCAAGTACCAGCGCCTTCTGGACGCCCTGTCACTGGGGCAATGGGGCCAACTAGACCATCGGACCCAATCAATCCTCAGCCTGGAAAAAAAGAAGGAGGAAAAGAACAAACGCCGATCCGAGAAGTTCCCCACATCGGTCCATATCCATGACATGATTGCACGGGTGTTACCATTTGGTTCTTTCCACTCGGCCTTCGCGGACGGAGTTATGCTGATGACGGTCGATGTGGTTTTCTCCGATCGGTGATTACACTGATTAGTATCTAGTATCTACTGCTGGTTGGCTTAGGTTGATTTCTTTCAGAGTGGTTTTCTGACTCATTTTCTGTTCCCCTCCCTCCCCTCTCTTGTCTATCTTCATCCTCGGCCAGGATTGACAGGCAAACGAAAGAAAAGAAGAAGAAAAGAAAGATATAAATAAATAAAAACAAACAGAAAAAGGGTAAAGAGGAGGAAAAAGAAAGAGAAAGAGAAAGAGAGACAGAAAAGAAACCAAAGAAAGGAGACAGAAACGGGCCCACAGGAAAAAAGCTCCATCGCGGCGTCTATCGCTAAACGGCTTTTTCGAGACTTCTTCCTCTTGCATCACTTTCTCCCTGACCAACTCTCCACCCCGGGACATACAACAGGGCCAGATTATACCCATAACCATCGTTCGATCAATCCCTCGGCCAAATATTGCTTCTGGATGTGAAAACCAACTTTCTTTCCCCGCCTAACCTCGCATCTCTCGCTTTTCGTCCATCCCGATCGCTCGTATCGCAAACCCACGACCCACACGGACAATACGAATCGACTACTCTGCATTTCTTCTTCTATCTGTCCCTTCTTCCCCTTACATGACGCCCGCCACTCTGGCCCCCCACGTTCATCATGACCACTCCGTCCTCGTTCAACGCCACTGCGGCCGACAATGTGAACGAGGACGATCCCCACGATGCCCTCCATTACACCCATGAGGATCCTGATCCCTCCCACTTCCCGTCGCAGGACCCCGACCCCGACGTCCAAATGGGCGACGACTCCTTTCCCGACTCCAAACCCAAGGAATCGCTACCCATGCAGAAGAGACGTCGGGTGACGCGGGCTTGCGACGAGTGTCGGCGCAAGAAGATCAAGTGCGACGGCAAGCAGCCGTGCACCCACTGCACCGTCTACAGCTACGGTACGCCACTCGTTCCAATTGGATTGAACCCACACCCCCTCTTTAGATGCATATAGCTGATCAACCGCGCGTAGAATGTACTTATGACCAGCCATCTAACCGCCGGCGCAACCCCGCCCCGCAGTATGTCGAAGCTTTGGAACACCGTCTCCACAAAGCCGAAGCGCTCCTCCGGGTCGTCCTCCCGGACCTCGATCTGGATGACCCCCGTTTCGACGAACATGCCACCGAACAGATGTTGGCCGCGATTCGGCGGGAATCGCAGCAATCGCATCCGCAAATACCGCCCCCGCCACCGTCCCAACCGGCCCAGTCATCGCAACCCTCCGTCGCTCCGAATACCCCCCAGTCGGTGACAGCCACCGGAGGCCCATCAGATGGGATTCAACCTCCGACATCCGCGGAGAATGACTCAGCGGGGGATGAATCGATGCTCGAGTCCATGGTGGAAAACTCGGGTTGCTTGGATCTGGACGACCAAGGCCACTGGGACTACCACGGGCACACTTCCGGCATCATCTTCATTCGGCGCCTGCGGAAGCAGCTGGGAGCGTCCGACATGCAACCCCCCTCCATGCGGAACCAGCCGGTGCAGCAGATGCTGGAGAGTCCCAAATCGGTCTCCGAATCGCCCCAGGATGCCTCCCTGCCGCCCACGCAGGACCTGCCGTCGCGCGACGTCGCACGGCGTCTGTGCCACAGTGCGTTGGAGGACGGTTGCTCCCTGATGCGCTTCGTACATGAACCGTCCTTTTACGCCATGCTGGAGCGCATCTACGATACCCCGACGGAGCAGTTCACCAACGAGGAGAATTCCTTCCTGCCGCTGCTGTACATCGTCATGTCCGTCGGCTGCCTCTTCTCCGACGACGGGACGGGGCTTCTCGATGTGTCGGGCTACGAGAGCGCGATCGGTCAAGGGTATGTTACCCACTCCCCCGATGAAAGAGAGAGAGAAAGAAAGAGAGACTAACTCCAATAGGTTTCAATATTTCAAGGCCGGTCGACAGCTTTTGGAAATCACGGACTGTCGCGACCTCACCTCCCTTCAAGCCATCTGTTTCATGGTCCTATTCCTGCAATCGTCCGCTAAACTCAGCACATGCTACTCGTATGTCGGCATCGCCCTGCGATCGGCGCTGCGGTTGGGTCTGCACCGCTCCGTGACGGCGAACTTCAACCCGGTCGAACGCGAACTCCGGAAGCGCGTGTTCTGGGTCGTCCGCAAGATGGATGTCTACGTGAGCACGCTGCTGGGTCTGCCGCAGATGCTGAGCGACGACGACATCGACCAGGAGTACCCGATGGCCGTCGACGGCGACTTCATCACCCCGAACGGCATCCTGCCCGCGCCCACGGACTACACGCCCCTGATGGCCGGAGCCAATGCGCACACGCGGCTGTCGACCATCCTGCTCAAGGTCGTCAAGTACATCTACCCGGTCAAAAATGCCCAACATCGGTCCAAGTCGGATCAGCGTTACGTGGTGAGCCACTCCAAGATCCGCGAAATTGAGCGGGATCTACAGGCGTGGATGGAGGAGTTGCCGGCGACGCTCCGACCGGGGACCGAAGTATCCCCGCAGCTTGAACGGTATGTTTGTGATATTTCCTGGGTCGGTGATCTTCGTACTGATTGTGAACAAATAGTGTCCGGCAGTTACTCCGCATAAGCTATGCCCACGTGCAGGTGGTCATGTACCGACCCTTCCTCCACTACGTCTCCAGCGGTTCGCAGGCTCGAGGCCTGGATCGACGTTCGTACGCCTGTGCGGCAGCCTGCGTTAGCGTCTCGCGGAATATCGTGCACATCACCACCGGCATGCATAAGCACGGTCTCCTGAATGGGTCTTTCTGGTTTACAATGTACACGACCTACTTTGCCATCCTGTCTCTGCTTTTCTTCGTCCTCGAGAACCCTGACTCCCCGACGGCCAAGGATGGCATTCTCAAAGACGCCATGGAGGGCAAGACGACCCTGGGCGGTCTGGCCAAGAAGAGCATGGCCGCCGACCGGTGCTCGCAGAGCTTGAACTGTCTGTTCAAGAATCTCCCGGAGCTCCTCAAGAACCGCCAGAGCGCCGTTGCGCCGGTGAATCTCAAACGGCCGGCGCCGACCAACCGCGTGGGCACGACCAACAGCCCGGCGGTAGCAGCGCGGCTCACGCCCCAGCGGTCAAATACCTTCCCGCTCCAATTGCTCACGCGGCCAACCAAGGCGGAGGCCAGCAACACGCCCAAGACCATGGACGACAATTACCACCCGTCGCCTCAACCGCGTCCGAGCCAGCCTCCCACGCCCAGCTGGGTCCCCTCCACGCCTGTTCCGCGCAGCGACTCGGTCTCCACACCCGCCACGATGGACCACCCGCACGCCCCGTCCAACATGCCACTATCCTCCTACCCGATCCCCGGGCACGAATCCTCAGGGACCAGCTACCGGGCACCGTCGGCACCACCACCACCACCACCATCATACCCCGGCGGGTCCCACCTTCCCGACCTCATGCCCATCATGTTCCCATCAGACGACCCGTTCGCGTACCCAACACAGCCAATGTCCACCCTGGAAAACGACCACTTCCGCGAAGACGGCACACCCTTCGGCATGGGCCCAAACAACCCACTCGGCCTCTCCCCCGCCGGTCTCGACAACCTCAACAGCCTCGGCATGTTCCCGCATGGGCCAACCTCAAGCGGAGGCATGAACACAGGCCTACCGAGCCAACTCGCCCAAGCCCCACCCCCACAACAGCCCCAACACCAACCCCAACCAGCCATGAGCCGGTCCCGCCTCCAGTCCCCCGTCTCACACGGCTCCACCACCCCCGGCGAAGCAGTCAACAGCCCCGACCTGGTCTCCATCCCCAACCAAAACCAGAACTTCCTCTGGCAGGGCTACAACTTCCAGCCGGGCACATCCCAACCAACAATGACATCCTCGACGGCCGCACCGGACTTCACCGATCTGGGAAATCTGGACGACGCACACCACCAGGCGGTAGGGCCGGGCATGGGCATGGGCATGGGGCTGGACCTGGGGATTCCGCTGGACGATATCTTTGGGAATGGCGAGGCATTGCGGATGGGGTATGGGAATCACCCTTACAACCCTGCCAATGGGCCGCCTGACGCTGCGAATGCAAATGCGAATGTGAATGCGAATGGAACTGGAAGTGACGACTGGACGCAGTGGATGAACGTGGGATGAGTGACGGCCCCTTCCCTGACTTTATTGACGGTAATTCTAATGACTCGGCATGGGAAATGTGGCGTTTATATCAATATCAACCTTGGACATACGACATCTCTACACCTACATACTACTTACATACATACCATATATCTACATATTTCATATCCTACACTTCACTCTCTCGTATATATAGGTAGTATACACCAAAAACAACAAGATCACCCCCTCCTCCTAGGCGGCTGATACCAACTCCAAATATTCAACCCAACCTTCACCCCCTCCGTAACAGGCAACGCAGCATGCCAAGTCTCCGGATAGCCAGACCCATCGGGCCTCAAATTCTCCCAAAACACCGCATTCCCCGCAATCGGCTTAAACGTAATCCCATCCATCCCCTCCCCCTCCCCCTCCCCACACTCAATAAACCGACACCACTCCCTCGCAACGGGCCTCACCAGTCTCGGAAAATTCGTCCCACCCCCCTTACACCCATCATCAAGATACACCATAAACGTAGTCGCGCGGTCGCCGCCCCTCGCGGCCGACCCCGCCCAATCGTAGTGGTGCGTGTAGTGGCCCGAGACGTTATAGCGCTGGGCCCAGAGCGGCTCGATGTGCAGGTAGGGACGCCAGCCTTGGAAGGAGGCGGCGCGGCGGGTGAGGCAGCGGACGGGGGCGCTGTGCGGGGGAGGAGGGCGCGGTCGGAGAGGCGGCGGGTGGGGTCGACGCGTTGGGAGGTGCCGTCGTAGATTATGGAGGGGGTGTAGCCGTTGGTTGTTGTTGAGTTGGTGGAGTTGTTGGGGGAGGATGATTTGGGGTGGTGAGGGAGAGGAGGGAGGTTGTTTCGGGGCCGGAGAGGAAGTTCTCGATGTAGATTATTAGGGGCGTCCGGGAGAGGAGGTGCGTTTTGTAGGTGTCTTGGGGCAGGTTAGGGGTGAGGAGGGGTCTTCGGGGGAGTAGGATGGGGAGGAGGGGTCATCCGGGGAGAGGAAGTCTGGGTCGAGGTATGGGAGGTCGTAGACGTCGGGGTTGTTGGCCAGTTCGGCAGGCGAGGGAATGAGAGGGGAGTTGTTGAAGGGGTCGAAGGGGATGGTGGTGGTGGTTGTGTTGGAGTCGTCGGATGGGAAGTATTGGCGGAGGAGGGGGCGAAGACAAAGAGGTAGAGGGGGAGGAGGTAGAAGAGGGAGGAGAGGATTGTATTGAGGGTGATCATTTTATATCAATCATTATATAGGTAGATATAGGTAGTATATATGAGTTGAAGTATGCAGTATATGAAGTTGATAAGAGGGATAAGTATGAAGATGTGAAATGAACTGATAGATTATGCTGACGAATATGTGCTGAGTCAGATATTATTCACTGTATAACTGAGATATGCAACACTCAATCCTATCAAGCATTATGATTCCATCTCATGCTAAATATGACATCAGTATAAGCATACTATGTCTCTCATATTATGTGTAATTGTGTTTTATGTCACACGGCTTATCAGCTAAGCAACCCACGTGGGGTGGTCTGGAGTTGTTTGTGGCGGACCGTCTGCGAATGGACCTGGGGTAGTCGGTGGGTATACCGTCTTGGTAGTCTTGGGACTTGGTAGGTTGGCAGTTGACATGGGAATCATACGGGAAAGGACGAAAGAATCTGGTAGGTGGCTCGGTATTTATCCGAATGTACGGGGTATATACAAATATCGACCAAGATATATCTTTATATATACCTTCGTATATATACTAAGATCACATTATTGATTCACGTCCAGTGGTGCCAGTTCGATCCTCGCCTTGGTACTATTTTAAATGTAAAAATAGTCCGTTTATCTATGGTACATCTCCGTATATATCCAGCAAGATACCAGGATTAACTCCGAATACGACCTCGTCAACAGACATTAGTACCGTGAGTCCAGACCTGCATCCAGGATGGTTGCCCCTTTCTTACCCTGACCCTGTCTTTATCTATGATATGGTTGGTCCAAGAAAGACCGCATCTCGTCTGAGATCCCGGTTGCCCCTGACTGTTCTTACTGTTTCTAACTGTTTCTAACTGTTTCTACCTGACGTGATAGATGGTAAGTCTACCTTCGGTGTCTTGGTATCAGCTTACAGGTCCGACGTGGACCAGATAGGAATCATCGTACGATAGCTATATACGCAGCGCTCAGATAGCATCCCAATACCGAAGTACGGCCGGATGATTCCCAGGTGAAAAGACTAGTAACCGTATCCAGAACCTTTCCCAAAGGGGATAAAACAGCCGGTGAGTCATCCATTCCAGACCAGCGTAGAACTGGACAGAAAGTAGACAGAAACTGGACGGAAGACCGATTGAGATTCCAGGGGAAGTTGTGTGCATATTCGCCCCAATTGTGGACAGTGGACCAGTTACCTCATGCCAAGAAAGAACATCCCCTGGTCATGGCAAGTTCCAAGAATTCTGGAGTCCGGAGCGGGAACCAAGAATCAGTCCATGAATGCCAAGAGAGAACGCTTGGTATGGGTAATCCACAGCGTGACCATTTCTTTCACTTCATTTAAGTTCCTTCTCCAGGACAAGCCCGGTCAGAAGAGGAGACAAGAACCAATCGGGGAGTAACGAGATAAAAAGAAAATGGAAGAGGGTTTAGTGAGGCCAATCAGGCAACAAGACGCCGGGGGAATGGTGGTGCCTTCGTTACTAGGTAGGTAGGAGGGATGGAACGGTGTATTTCCGAGGTTATGTTATGTTATATATTATTGAAGGATATCATCAGATTTATAATATTTATGACATGAATACTAATGAGAATTATGACCATCTCAATGAGATTTCAAATAATATTGAATAATACTAAAATATGAAATAATCATGATAGAATAATCCAAATGGACCAGGAATAATACATACAATACACAGTACGATACCGATACACAATACCGAGACTCTTGGCAGTCTCGTCCAGTCTTGTCCTAATCTCGTCCCAATCTCGCCAATGCCAATCCTGCCCAGTCGTTCCGCTGGGCTGTGCAAAGCGGTTTTTTCTAGGCAAGTCTCGGCTCTCCGTCTGTCCGCATTTCCTCCTCTTTCCTCCCTCTCCCTCCCCAAACTCCCAAGACTTTCCTCTCTCTATTTCTTCCCCACTTTCCCCTTTCTTTTCTCTCTCCCTCTCTCTCTCTCTTTCTTTGTCTCTCTGTCTCTCTCTTTCTTTCTTCTCTATAAAACGTTCCACCGCATTGCACACTACACGTGTGTTGGATTGTCCCTCTATTGCTATTCTCACCGCATCATCACCTCCTTTATTGGAATCGTAATCTGGAATCATCTCCTTCACTTCATGGGATCTGTCACTTCCTCTTCCCATCTTCCCTGGTAGAAATTATTCCTCATTCCGCCCATCTTTCCCTCTTCCTCCCTCTCCCAAGACTTGGACAAGAAAAACCGAGATTTCTTGGCAATGTCGGAACACCAAGAAACCCCCTCGACGGCCACGCCGGCCGCCCCTGCCCCCGCGCCCGAACCGCAGCAGGACCAACCCGCTCCCCAACCCCAAGCCCAGGTCACCGCCGCTGATGCCACCGCGTCTGTCACCGCCACCGCCGCGGCGGCCACCGCGGCCGTCGCCAACGCGACCCCCGTCAATGGGAATGCCGCGCGACCGTCCGAAGAGCTCTCCTGCATGTGGCAAGGCTGCACCGAGAAGTCTCCCAGCGCCGAAGCTCTCTACGTAAGTTCTCTCTTTTTTTCTCCCTGATGAGGAAGATTCCCCCACGCAATAATATTGACCATTGCAGGAACATGTGTGTGAACGCCACGTGGGTCGCAAGAGCACCAACAACCTCAACCTGACCTGCCACTGGGGGAGTTGTCGCACCACCACCGTCAAACGCGACCACATCACCTCCCACATTCGGGTCCATGTGCCGCTCAAACCGCACAAGTGTGATTTCTGTGGCAAGGCCTTTAAGCGCCCCCAGGATCTGAAGAAACACGTCAAGACCCATGCCGATGACTCGGTGTTGGTCCGCTCCCCGGAGCCCGGGGCCCGCAACCCTGACATGATGTTTGGAGGTCATCACGCCAAAGGTATGGATGGCGGTGTCCATCACGGTCCGTTCCACTCTAACTTCGTCGCTCGTCCCGTAGGGTACGCACCGTACTTTGAGCCTGCGGCCCTGAACGCTGTCCCCAGCCAGGGCTATTCCCATGCGCCGCAGTACTATCCGGCCCACCACCATCCCCCGCAGCCGTCCAATCCCTCGTATGGCAATGTCTACTATACCCTCAACCATGGGCCTGAGGCTGGGCACGCCTCGTACGAGTCGAAGAAGCGCGGGTATGACGCCCTCAATGAATTCTTTGGCGACCTCAAACGCCGCCAGTTCGATCCGAGCTCCTACGCGGCCGTGGGCCAGCGTCTGCTGGGGCTGCAGAACCTGTCGCTCCCCATGAGCACTGGTCCGATGCCCGAGTACCAACCCATGCCCGCCCCCGTGGCCGTGGCCGGTGGCGGCGGCGGCGGCGGCGGTTACAGCCCCAGTGGGGCGCCGCCCGCGCCCGCGCCCGCCTACCACCTGCCGCCCATGAGCAACATCCGCACCAAGAACGACCTGATCAACATCGACCAGTTCTTGCAGCAGATGCAGGACACCATCTATGAGAATGACGACAACGTAGCCGCCGCCGGCGTGGCGCAGCCCGGGGCGCACTACGTCCACGCGGGTATGCACTACCGCGCCGCGCACTCACCCTCCTCGCAGCTGCCGCCCGCCCACATGGCCACGACCGCGGCTGGCCCCGCGCTGACCACCCCGATCGCCATGCACTCGCCCTCCACCGGCACGCCGGCCCTGACGCCGCCCTCGAGCGCGCAGTCGTACACGTCCGGTCGGTCGCCCGTCTCGGTGTCGGCCAGCCACCGGGTGTCGCCGCCGCACCACGACCTCGGCTCCAGCATGTACCCGCGTCTGCCGTCGGCCACCATGGCGGACAGCATGGCCGCCGGCTACCCGACGGCGTCGAGCGCCGCGCAGCCCTCCACGCTGGGCAGTGCTTTCGATCCGGACGACCGCCGCCGCTACACAGGGGGCACCCTGCAGCGGGCGCGGCCGGAGCCCATGGACCTGAGCCACCATGACGCGACGAACGCCGGCGACCGCACCCCGCCGGCCAAGCAGCCGCCACCGGCGGGATCCGGGTCGCCCGGACGCATCGCGTCGAGTCTGATCGATCCAGCGCTGTCCGGCTCGGCGGCGGAGGACGAGGCGACGCTGCGCACGGCCCGGGCGGCAACCGAGGTGGCCGAGCGCTCCGAAGGCCAGTGGGTCGAGAAGGTACGGCTGATCGAGTACCTGCGCAACTACATCACGTCACGCCTGGAGCGCGGCGAGTACGAGGGGACGATGGCGGCGCGGGCGCGGACGTCGTCCTTCTCACCGGAGTCGGATGTGCACATGGACGGGATGGAGAGCTCGTCGCGCCAGCGAACGCCACAGCCGACGCCAAAACCGGAAGAATCCCCGGTTAAAGCGGAGGCGGAGGGGGGCGTTTTGTACCCTAGTTTGCGGGAGGTTGATGAGGATGGGGATTCGAAGATGCCTTGATTTGTTTCTTCCGTTTTTCTTATTCATTTTTTTTTTTTTTTGATCTGTTGACATGGACGTTACGAATTGCGGTGTTTCTTTTCTTTTCTTTCTTCTCAACTCTGTCATTCCTCTCACATTTGTAATTTCATTTTGATTCCCGGACCCTTTGGAGGAGCTGTCTTTACCCAGCTAGGTATATCATTCATCATAACTATATGTCACTTTACTCAACAATCATCCCATCCACTCCAATAACCCACCCCCTAGAAAGTAAGCAAGTGCCCCCATCTATAAGGACCATAAACCTTAAAATCCCTAAACCCGAAACACCCTCCCCCCAAAACCAACCAGCAAGACGATCCCTCGCCCCAGACGGGACACCCATCCAAAACAGCCCCCACCCCGCACCCAGGACAAGACACAACAAGACAAGACAAGACACGGGCCACACCAAGCGAAGGAATCCAAGCCTGTCTGTGAATCCTTCATCCTATCCTTCGCTATGGGGTAATCAGCAGGGCGAGACAAAATCCGTCGGAAGCCCAATGCTCAGGATTGGTGGGATGCGAGATTGTAGGGTGGGGATCTGCGCTGTTTGGTTATTTGGTGCAGGGGTTCAGCTGGGGAGGGTTGAAACTTGGGACTGGAGGGATTGAAGGGTTGATACATATGTAGATAGATGTACGGAGGTATAAATGTGGGGTGATCCTTCGTCGTTCTCTTTAACTTTCAAGATAACTGTTTATTTTTTTTGTATTTCTCATCAATTGATGTGTTCTATTGTCCAAGTGTTGAATCAGCTATACATACACAATGAAATTCATCGACATCCTGGGTTTGGCTGCTTGGGCGACGGTCGCTTCTGCTCTTGCGGCCAACAATGGCTCTGATATTCGGAAGTTGCCCGCTAAAGATGCGATTATTGATTGTGATGGTTTGTTTTTCTTCTTCTTCTTCTTCTTCTTCTTCTTCTTTCTTTCTATTCTATTCTAGCTTTGAATTTCGTCCATACATCCACACCTATATACATACACCTTCAGGCTATCCCTACGTATCTACAAGACCACCACTAATGTTCGTGACAGGCCCCGACAAATACTCCGGCACAGCTGTAACCGCCGCCGCCGAACAAGCCTGGAGAATGTGGCTGAAGGGCGAAAAGAAGGGCCACGACGACAACATCCCCGACGCGCAGTACCCGCACAACAGCATCCCGCTGCAGTTCGGCGACCACTTCAAAAACGACTGCGACAACGACGCGGACACCGTGATCCAGTTCCCTATTATCGGAGACGGTGTGTATGATGGGAGCCAGGAGCAGGGGATGGATCGGGTTGCGTTGAAGGATTTGGGGGATAAGAGGTCGGCGGTGTTTTGCGGGTTGGTTACTGAGCGGGTATGTTTCTCTCTTTTTTTATCCCTTTATCCCTTCTTTGGTTTTTTTTTCTTTTGGTTTTCTTTTGGGATTTATGTTTGTGGGATTGGGTATGCTGACGATTGTAGGATGCGGATGAGGCATCGCGTGGTATCTTGCAGTACCGTATGTGCTGAGTTGATTCATGCTGTTGTCACTTTGTCAAGTCAATTCTTGTCAAGACAATTGTCAGTCCAACTCCGATTTATCTCTGATTTGGTTTTCATGACAATGCGTGTATTATTATTGTCATGTTTGCTTCATTCGACTCTTCGTAGCACTACCTTCTCTTAACCGTTTTCAATGTTTGTTGATCGTGACCTCCATATGTAACCTGCACATACTACCGTCTCCTGACAGATCCGACTCGATCTGTTGATCTGCCGATACGTTCCCACATTCCAGAGAACCGCACGCGGCGCATGACGCAAACAGCGATCGGGCTTAGATAATCGTCTATCCGGGCAGGATCCACAGGTGCCTGGTTTGTCGAGACTGCTCCATCCGGTTGTCTTCATCCAATTTTGAGAGAAAGAGTAGTATTTAACGAGGGCTGTGATCGCTGGACGAGGCTAGACCTGGATTGAAATTTTCCGGGGTGGATTGCTCTTGGTGCAGGTTGCAGCAGGCTGCATCGGTCTCTCTCCACCGGCCTGGATGGTACCTGTTTGGATTCTGGAGTAGAGAGAGAGAGTCAAAGATGGATGGAACCCTGCACTCGGAAGGTTGCGTGCTGTCTGTAGTGGACTCTTTTCTCTTTTCTTCTCGCATTACCTTCTTGTTTTCTGGCTCTCTGTCTCGTCCGATGGATTCGTATGGGTTGGTAGGTAGTGTTGTTGTTTGTTGCGCGGTCCCACTCTCTGTTTACGGGGGGTGGAGTCTCCTTCTTTTCTCTCGATCCAAAAATGTAGATAATAAATAGAGATCCCAATTCTTAAACCAATGTTTATCTTCTGAAAGAAGAAATCAGAAGTTGAGAAGTAAAGCGAGTCAAGAAAGTCAAGAGAGAAGAATAACCGACAGTTCCCCACACGGAAGCGGTCACGCTCTGAAAAACACCGGCGCGTTATCTCATCATCATCCATTATCGTCAATTTATCATCATCTCTCTCTCTCTTCCTCTCTCTCCCCTCACTCCCTTGACTTCTTCACCCTTCACTCCTTAGTCCAACCCCCACTTCTACCTACGGACTCTTCTGATCTACATCTCAAGCCATCTCCCTCCACCCCAGCTGTCCCGCCATCCCGCAACCCGCAACCCGCCAACTCTCCAGCCACGCCCACTCGCGTCATTCCAGTGGCAAACCGTCCGCTGGTTCTTCCCTCGGCGCTTCCTTGGTTGACCTTTGGTGGCTCCTACTGCATCAGTCCGCCAAACTCGCTTGTTTTTCTCGTCCTCGCTGTCCCCCCCTACGTCTTTCTTGCGTCTTCCCAGCTGTCTACGTCTCCCTTCGTTGTGCTGGATATCGATCGCATCGCGCCACCATCACAAACATACAACACACATCTCGAGAAGACAACACAAAGCGAAAGGCAAACCAGCCAGACGATCGGACCGAACCAGAACAAATAAACAAAAACAAAAACAGAGAGAAAAAAAAAAAAAAAACAGTCAGACCGGATAGAAAAAGGAAAAACGAAAACAGCCAAGATTTCGTTCAAAACCCTGGCTTCCTAGCAACCACCCATCATGCCTCTCTCCAACCGCCGTCGCGCGCGGCGCAAGGAAATTCAACTACAAGAAACGTCTGACGCAGAGGCGCCAGACTCCTCTCCTACTCGCCCCTCCCATAAGAAGCGCAAGGTAACTTATGTTGCGACCCTGGCCCTTGTAGCTTGTGCTGACCACTGCTAGGTCGATCGGACTTCTCCCCAACCGCGTGCCGTCAAAGCCGAGTCCCCCGAGGAGCCAGACGGTTCATCCTTAGACCATGATCTGTCGGAGAATCAGGACCTGATGGATATGGTCATCTCTTACCTCGATATCGCCCGCGACGAGGTCCGCGTGCTGCGCGACCACTCCAACTCCAAGACCGAAAACAAGCAGAGCATCCGCGCCTACGCCAAAATCGCCGGCCGCAACTGGACCTACTACGTCAAGACCCTCCATGTCAACATCGGCCGCGAACCCGATCGCGAGCAGAAGCTCGACGAGCAGTCCAGTCCCGTCACCATCGCCGCGCGGGCGCTCCCCGAGGTCAACGTCGACCTGGGTCCGAGCAAGTTCGTGTCGCGCCTCCACGCCGAGATCTTCTACGACGGCGAGAACACGGCCGCCTGGCACATCCGCGTCAACGGTCGCAACGGCGTCCGCGTCAACAACAGCATCCTCAAGCGCGGCACCGACGCCATCCTCTCCTGCGGCGACATCGTCGAGATCGCCAACACCCAGATGATGTTCGTCACCCCCGGCGACAAGGCCACCATCCACCCCAGCTTTGTCGAGCGCGCCCAGCGGTTGGCCAACGGGGAGGAGGACCTGGCCACCTGGGACGCCTCCCAGCACGCCCATCCCGCACCACACCCGGCCGATGCCGCCACCCCCGGGGGTCCGGAAACCACCCCAGCCGCGCCCACGTCCGTCGCCGCACCGTCGCTGGCCCCGGCCCCGCAGTTCCTCAAGCGCCAGGTCACGCCGCCGCCGCGGTCGCCGGACACGGCGGGCGCCCGCACCGCCAAGCAGTCGCCCCTGTACAACCGGGGGATGATGATGGAGAGCACGGAGGAGATCGACTACAGCAAGGACTCGGCCAAGGACCTGAAGCCGCCGTACAGCTACGCGACGCTGATTGCACAGGCCATCTTCTCCAGTGAGGAGGAGAAGCTGACCCTCAACAGTATCTACAACTGGATTATGGAGAAATATGCGTTCTACCGGCATTCCCAGAGCGGGTGGCAGGTAATTATCTCCTCTATTCAATCGTAAGTTTATCACTTATCTAACTCTTGTATAGAACTCCATTCGACACAACCTCTCCCTCAACAAAGCGTTCCAGAAAGTTCCCCGCCGGACCGACGAACCCGGCAAAGGCATGAAGTGGCAGATCGCGCCGGAATACCGCGAGGAGTACTGGAAGAAGCAGCTCAAGAAGGGCACGCAATCGTCCGCTCCCTCGTCGCCCGCGACCAAGGACTCGACGCGGGGCAACGGTCTGGAAGCGGTGTTCCTGGCCGGCAAGAAGTCGCCGCCGGTATCATCGCCCGGGTTCAGTTCGTTTCCTGTGGCGCCAGTCGAGGCGTACACGCCGGAGCGAGGCTCGCGAGCGTCCCGCAATGGAGCGCAGTCGCTCCGGCCGCCACCGCCGATCCGAGATTACGAGGAGCCATCGCCCCTGCCGGCGCGGACTGCCGCCAAGCAGGGCAACGGCGCGGGGCTGCGGTACGGGATGTCAGACCACGCCGTGGGATCACCGCCGGTCCTGTCGTCGTCATATTACGATGAGGGGCCCTCGTCGATGATCACGCCGGCGCCACAACGGCAACAGCCACGCCTCCCGCCGCCGAGCACAGCGCAGATCCCGTCCAAGTTCATGCCGATGAGCTCACCGGCGCAGTTCTGGAAGTTTGCCGACATCGGCAGCACGCCCGCGCGACCAGTCCCGGACATGAGTCCCTTGAAAGGGGATTTGGGTGATGGACTGGGTAGTATCCCGAGCAGTAGTCCGCCGCCGCCGAACCTGGCCAGCCCGAGCAAGCCGGGGACGTTGAACGGCGTCGGCCACGGCCGGTTGCCATCTCGACACGACGACGGACGACCGGGGACGAATGGGTCGGGGCGATTAGATGAGGAGGAGGATGATGGAGGATTTGATCTGGCACGGTGAGTCTTCTTATCATTCATTTTCTATACCGTGAAGTGTAGACTGACAAGTTCAGGGGCTTCCAACCGATCGGATCATACCATCGACAGCTGAACAACGCGGCGCGGGCGAGTGCCGCAACGTCGTAGACCCTGACCGATGAAAATAATTTATTAAACTGATGAAGTGTAATGATGATGACCGGACGTGGATAGAGGAGCATGGAGGCGTTCATCTAGTGCCGGCTGAGCTGATCTATGTACGAGCGAATATTATGATTATTAGTCTGATCTATCCTACACTTTAATCCATCCTCAATATTATATCAACATACACATATAGACAACACTACAATGATATGATAACGTGAATCACTCCACATCCGGCCAAAACCTCTCCTCCAACCACACAACCTGCCTCCACCATTTCTCACACCTCCCCAGCATATCATCCACATCTCCCCCACCACCCTGCCCTCCCTCCCCCTCTCCCAAAGAAGATAACCCCTCAGCCTCAGCAACAAAATCAACAACCTCCCCAATTCCCCGCACAAAAACCTCAAACTCCACACTCGCCCAATTGGGAATTAGCCTGCGGAGAGCTCCTCCATCTGCATCTTCTCCACCATCAGCGTTACTACCCCGCAACCGCTCAGACAGAATAGAGGCAGCATGCCTCCAAGCCCGCAAATAGCAAAACTCCGTCGCGTACAGCACGACCAGCCCTTCGAGCAGGGAGGCGGTAGGACTGGCGGAGGAAGCTATGAAGAGGTCGGTGTAGGATTGGGTTGTCGGGTTAGGGCCTTTTTTCCTTTCTTCATTGTTGGTGGTGGTGGTAGTTCCCTCGGTAGAAGAAGAAGAGGGGGAAGGGAAAGAGGTATAAGGCGTCAAATCAAGCCCGTACTCATCAGCGACGGAGTCGAAGAAGGATAGTTCAGTGAGAATATTGGCTAGACACGCCGAGAGGGTAGATGCTGCTTTTTGGTGCGCTTCAGTTTTCGTCTCCTTCTGTGTCTGCTTCTTGTTCCCGGCCTCCTTCTGCGACGGGGGGAGCACAGGTAGGTCGACTTTGGAGAGCAGGTGGCCGATGAAGCGGATGTAGGTCTGCGCGTAGAGTCTGTCTTGGGCGAGCCAGGCGGAGAGGAGGTGCGTCGGGATTGTGCCTTTGCCGGCGGAGGTTAGGAAGGGGTGGGCGATTGCTTTTGGGGTGGGTGGGTGGGTGGTAAGGAGGTGGGTTGTTAGGGTCATTTTTGGAGGTTCTTTTTGTGTCTTCTTTGGGAGTGAGTTGAGGGTGAGTGAGAGTTTGTTGTTATGGGTGTTGTTGGTGGTGGTGGTGGGATAAAAGATGTTGTTGATGTGGGGTATTTGCTTATCGGGTGGGTCTTTACTTTCTATGCATTATCTCATTTAGTATGGAGTATTCGCAGATCATTCGTTACCATACTGAAGAATGAGCACGTTAGAAGTTAGAAACAGCGGTTAAACGCCAGTCTTCGTCGGAATCACTCCATCCCACCTCCACATCATCCCCAACATCGCCTCCATCGAATACCGCGCATCATTTCCCCCATTGTGTAAGTACCATCCCTCGATGCCCACTTCCAGGAGAACTGCCCCCAGCGACCGTGTAGCTGTCTCGCCTTGAATCACCTTGAAGAACTCCGCGGTATCGACAATTTCGGCGAAGAATGGCTTCCCCCCCTCGCGCAGCACAGGCACTCCCAGCTTGCGTAGGTATGTCTCCTCCATGCCTGTGCTGTGGGCGACCAGGATGAGCGTGCGCTCTTCGTCGTCTGCCCCAGACGGAGCCTGGAAACATGCCCGCACGGTATCCCCCAGCTGGTCTAGGTCAACCCACTCGCTTGTTCCAAATTGGAAGTCTTTTGGGCAGCCCGGGACGAAATCGCGGTTCACGATGTGTCCGTGCTCGCGGACGCGCAGGTGCCGGGACTGAATGAGGCGGCGCCAGTAGCTGCAGTTCTCGCCGGGAGGAACCCCGACCAGGTCCCGCGTGTCGAGAACCGAAATACCCACCTCCGTCACTTGGCTGTGGCAGCGCTCGTTGCACTCTATGTCGACGCTGATGAAGATGGGTTCTTTCCAGAAGGGGTGGGGGGTGGGTTGGTTTTCATCCACTGCCTCTCGTTTTGTACCAGGGGGCTCTTGGTTTTCGGCCGGGTCTCCGCCTGAAGAATCTTTCGGAACAATGGCATCTCCGCGTAAGCCAAGATATCGTTGCAGCCGCTGCAGACAGACGATGCGGTCGCGCTCTTTCTGCACTCGCTGTGCCATCTTTTCCTTAGACACCTTGGTACGCTTGCCTTTGGCAGCTTCCCAGCCTGACTCGAGCATGGCCGCATAGGCTAGATACTCATCGTCTGGGGCGGAGACCTTGTGTTCAGGGGCCAAGCTGGCAGGGATGTTTCCCTCCAGCTGTTCCTTGTCCTCGCGGCTCGTACTCTGGCCCAAAAAGACAGGAAACGGGAAGGCATGAGTTGTAAAATCAAGAAAGAAGTTCTGGGTTGGAAAAACCAGGCTGGATTCAAGCGAGTTGTTGATTTCGTGCAGCAGATGGCGGGCCTGGGCCGCGGGAACCAGCAGCAGATGTCTCACAGTCTGTTGGTTCTGCGGCCGGAGATGGATGTAGTACCTGTATCCCGGTCAGATAGTTTCACTGTGGAAAGTAGGGGACGTACAAATCCCACTGGCGCTTCCAGAACAGCCCGCGTTCGAAGAATCGATTTGCCACTTTGTCTCTCATTTCTCCTTGAAGATACTTGTACGGGTATTTTGAGAGCGCGAGGAGGGGACAGAAGATGCCATCGCTTGGGATGGAAGGGGTTGTCACTGGCGATTCACTCTGAACAGTGGGTGCTGGTTGTGAGCTCATCTCTGGGAGGACCGGGCTGGATGGCTCGTCTTCGTTGTCTGCAGCTGGCAGGCGCTTCCTGAGACCGGTGTTGAGCTGTAACAGATGCCCATCATGCTCGAAGAGGAGCTTGAGTCGGGAGAGTCGGTCCATGGTGATGGTAGATGGGAGGGAGAGATTGGGAGTGAATAGCGATGAAGAGCGAATGAAGTAGAGATGAAGAGGGAGATAGAAGGAAAGGGCGAAAGACAAGGAGATGATGAGGAGATGAAGAGAAATGAAGAATGAAGAGAAGAGAAGGAAAAAGAAGAGAAAAGATGAACCCCAGGCCATCAGGCAGGAACAATCACATCTACAAACGATAACTTGCTCAGTCTTCTCTTCATATTGGACTGCGATTCCTTGGGTACAACAATGCAGCCCTTCGAAAAACTATGCTAAGCCCATCCCAATAGATCCCAGTGGATATCCTCATATACCACACCCTCCCTCGTTCACTTCGAATGATGCAAACAAAATACGGATCAGACAGATCTATAGTCAGACGGCCGAACGGAATATAAACCGAAGCAAATGCCGGAGAACAACATCCCCACTGCCCGACTCACCCAGATTATTACTGAAGATCTTACCAGTCCTTCGTGAATAGTCACGTAAGTCCCCTAGGCTGTCGAATCGTCGTACCCCGTCGCCATTCCGTCCCCCGCGAGCCCAGTCGATTAGATCCACAATGTTGACATATAATCCTCTTACAACCTATCACATTCAAGTTAGTTCCATGCTGGAGACAGGGTAGTTTGGTTGGAAGTACCTTCTGGCATCCATGACAGGTTGTAGGTAGTGGAGAGACATTCACGGCTGTACAAAGTGAATGCCAAGCACTGAGGTCATTCTCCGATCCAAACCACAGGTTGAATTCCTCTGCAAGGGAACGTTGGTAGTCAATCCAAGCGCGTTTAGAATCGGGATCCTCTCTGTCCCAATCATAATACCTCTGCAGACGTCTATACGACTCGGCAGGGGGTAAGCTTGGATCGAAATCGAACCCTGCGAAAGATAGGAAAAATGCGTTCAAGGGTGTCGTAGAGTGTCCGGAATGTGCAGGCGAGTCTCGCACATGCTGATTGAGCGCGTCCAGACTACCGAAAGCCTGATTGCAGAGCTCGCAATCGAAGGTCTGCGCATGTGCAGGCGAATCTCGTGTGTGCTGGTCGCGAGCCTCCTGGCTGTTGAATGCTCGATTGCAGATTCCGCAGTCATAGGACGGAGCATGTGCAGGCGAATCTCGGGTGTGCTGGTCGAGAGCCTCCTGGCTTCCAAATGACCGATTGCAGAGCCCGCAGTCATAGGTGAGCGCATGCGCAGGGGAGTCTTGAACATGCTGATCAAAAGCACCCAGGCTCCCAAATGATTGATTGCAGAGCTCGCAGTCATAAGTCTGTGCATGTGCGGGCGAATCTCGTGTGTGCTGGTCGAGAGCCGCCTGGCTGTTGAATGCTCGGTTGCAGATTCCGCAGTCATAAGACGGAGCATGCGCAGGGGAGTTTTGTGTGTGTTGGTCTAGAGCCTCCTGGCTTCCAAAGGACCGATTGCAAAGTCCGCAGTCATAGGATGGAGAATGTGCAGACGAGGCTCGTGTGTGCTGGTTGAGAGCCTCCTGGCTGCCAAACGAACAATTGCAAAGGTAGCACCAGACCATCTGTGACATTCTATAGGTGCTCTGCAGAAACCCTGTATACCACTGTTATCTCAAGGGTTATATTGTGCTTTGCTCAGAAGCTGGATATCTGTTATGTAAAGATGGCTAGGAATAGATGACTGTCATAAACGAGTTGATAAAGTTCTCCTCGGTTCCTGAACTGGAGAAATGAAGATGTAGAAACCGCAGGGTTATATACTATTAGCAATGAGTCGAGGTGTAGGGATCTAAGCCCCAGCATCTGTCCGGTGCGGCGCAAACAATGTGCCATGGAGTATGAGGCAGTGTTCACCTGTGCAAGCTGTGCCCAGCTTAATTGCCATTGACACGTAGCAACCATACAAACTGATTAGCTTGCAATGATGTGACTGCGGCCAATGCTACTAAGCGCCGCAATGTGCATCAGGCTGCGGCGGCTCGACACAGAGCTTGAAGTTTGAGCCACAGGTTTAGATTGCCAGGTCGTACTGTTGCTGGATGAACTGAGTTCATATAATGATTGGATACTTTGATCAGATGGGGATCTGCCTCTGCTCTAGAGATCATGGTTGCCTAAACCAATTTCCGTGGATCAAGACTCAAGCATAGGGACAACTTAGTCTGGTTTTTGCCACGGTGATTGCAGGGGACAAGTAATGATATTGGTCTTTTACTGACAAGCAAATATGATTGATTGTACCACTCTGGATCTAGGATAAGTGCTCCCAAGTTAGCCTAGACGAAGGACATGCAGCGGCTATTGCCTATGATCCCACATCAATACTATTTACTCCGTGGTTCATGATGAGATATATATAGATGCCTGGGCCGGTATGATGCATGGGATTTCTACCGTTCTTGATACACAACAACAATGCCGTGGACCAAATAGTCGCGCTGATGGCTTATATTCAACCAAAAAAAGTCATATAGAGAAATAAGACATGAGTTGATGTCGACCAGTTTGAGAGATCGTTGATATGGAGTGACGGATCATGTGACGTGGGGATCCAATCGTAACGTTACCGTATCGAGATAATACCGGACCGACCATGACCCGGGGAGCTGGACTTGTTGATCGCGATGGAGATGAAGTGATTCAACTTCAACTTCCACCTTCAAGCTCGACCTTGTTTCCTTCTTTTCTTGATTTCTTTCATCTTTGCATTCCACTCGTTTATCCATCATCACCCGTCCGACCATTAATCCATGATAGATCCATCCATGGCTGTCTCCCCTTCTCTGTTGCCGTCCTAGACCCCCCTGATCACAAGTCACCACCATCACCGACCGTACATTGCCCATGAGATCAACCATGGGTGATTACCACGATACCTCCGGGGGTGTCATCCTGGACGGTCCCTTTGATCCTGATGCCCAGGCTACAGTGACCGATTACATTGACTACACTGAATACCTGCCCGCAGACCTTATCCGCTCCCTCACCCTCATCCGCGGCCTCGACGAACGCTATCTAGACTCCGCCCAGAATGTCCACGACCTCACCAACACGTATGGCCACCTGCCTGACCTCCCCACCGATGCTCGCCCTGATGCGCGCACCTTGCGCCGAGACATTTCCTTCCAGCTGGATCGCGCCATTAACGCGCGCGAGTCAGCTTACGCAGAGGCCTGCCGCTTGTACGACGTGGTCGACCGTCATTTCGTGCGCCTGGACTGTATCCGGCAGAAGCTCGAAGTCCTACCCAAGCCCTCCTCCCGCGAGCCGACCCCGCCACCGGCCCCCGTCGCCACCGGCAAGCGTCGCTCTAAGAAAGAAGAAGAGCGACCCACTCCGCCGACGCGCATCACCCTACGTCTCGACGGCCAAAACAACTCCCGCGCGGGCTCCGCTCGACAGAAGTCGTCGCGCACGCGTCGCTCCATCATCTCCGCCGAACACCTCATCGGTCTGCACCCGGACTCCCCCATCGCCAGCACCGAACACTCGGACGCGGAGGCCGACTCCAAGGAAGAGCCGTCGGAGTCGCCCCCGGCGCCGGTCAAGAAGAACAAGGACAAGCGGAGCCAGCGCGCGCGAACCTCCGGGTCAGCCGGCGCGCAGAATGGCGGGTCCAGCATGTCGATCAGCAACGCGCTGGCGATGCTCAAACCGCCGCCGGAGGATGCCCGACCAGGCAGTCCGGACATGCCGTGGCTGCGGCTGACGGAGTGGGAGATGACCAAATTACGCAAAAAGATGAAGAAGAATGCGATCTGGCAGCCGAGCGAGGTGATGATCCATCGAGAGCTGGCGCTGCGCGGACGCGGCTGGGAAGCCTACCGGGCGGCCAAGATGCAGGCCGAGGCGACGGGCACGGAATTTATCGATTGCGACGACATCAAAAACACATACCCGCAGGGGAAATCTGGCGAGGGGGGGCCGGATCTCGAGGGCATTTTCGAGACCAAGCTCAGCAACCGTGGCATGAAGTTGAACGAGGCCAAGAAGCTCAAGCGCGAGAACCAGGCGCGCGAGCAGGCGGCGGCGGCGGCAGCAGCGGAGGCGGCGATAGCCAAGGGTCTTCCCATCCCGCCGATGCCCGCCATCTCCGTCTCCCCGACCAAGGAGGACAAGTCGGGCCGGCCGACGCGCAAGAGGAGGCGGGAGGACAGTCCGCTGCTCGAGATCCCCGAGGTGGAGACGCGGTCGGCGCTGCGCAGTTCTGCCAAGCGCCGCAGGGGCACGCGGGAATCCCCCACACCGCCGGAGATCAACGTCTCGACGGGCGACGCTACGGTAACTACCTCCACTACGACCGTGGTGCCTGTGGCCGCAACTGAACAACCCTCCGAAGCGCGACCGTCCCCCCCGCAGCCGTCCCCGACCGGATCGAAGCGATCCACGTCCATCGCCAGGGTGAAGGAGGGCCCGACCATCACGACTCGAGCGACTGGCACTCCACCAACGACTCGGCCCCCGTCGCGCCGTCGGTCGGCCGCAGCCTCAGCGGAACCCGTATCGTCCGTGATCGCCGCGGCCGGCCGCGAGCTGCGCCGGAAGAGCGCCACGCCAGCTCGGCGGACCCCCGCGCCCGAGGCGCCGACCAGCGTCCCGGGCCGGCGACGAAAGCGACCAGCGCCGGGGCCAGTCTCCTCGGGACAGAACGGCGGCGCCGCGGTGAGCTACGGGCGACGCAAGGCGAAGCCGACCAAAAAGCGGGTAAGCTCGCGGGATCCGGGATCCGAGGGCGGACAGACGCGCGAGGATATCCGAATCGACGAGGACGGGGTGGTAGAGGAGATCGACCCGCACGAGCCGCGGTACTGTCTCTGCGGGGACGTGAGTTTCGGGACGATGATCTGCTGTGAGAATCCAGACGTGTGTTTTCCCCCTTTCTTTCCGGTTTATAGACACCCTTGCTAATCTACGAACTAACAGTGTGACCGTGAGTGGTTCCACCTGCACTGCGTGGGCCTATCGGAGGTTCCCAGCCGGACGGCGAAATGGTATTGTCCCGACTGCCGGGTCAAATTCAATAAAGGGACAGATGGGATAATCAAGACCGGGTTGAGGAGATGACTGTCTGCTTCCTGATCTACGAGTGATGTCTTTGCGGTATTCGGAGTCGGCAGCGAGGCGTTGGTACTACACTACATGTTAGGTTTACATTACTTTATTCCAATTTCTTCAAACGAGACATGACCAAGTATGTGTAGTACAGTGCAGTATACTATCGTATATGCAGTATAGTATAGTATGTCAGAAAAGAAATATAAGAAAATAAGAAACCAGCGAAAGAGAGAGAGAGAGAGAGAGAGAGAGAGAGAGAGAGAAAACTACACCAACTCCCACTCCCCGCTCTCCCCACCCACAATCTGCACCGGCCTCCCCCCCTCATCCAACGACCTCCTCCCCGCCTCCAGAATCGCCGTGGTGGCCACCGTATTCTTCAGCGTGGGCAGCGGTCTCGCGTCCAGCTGATCGAGCGTCACCCGGCCCTCATTGAGCGCCGTCACCGCGTCAATGAACTTCTCGAAACTGATGTAGCCGTAGCCGGTTTGGCCGCCGAAGTTGCCTTCTTCGTCGGGGGCGTATTTCATGTAGAACCTTTTGAATTTCCATTAGTAATGTGTTTCTCTTGTGGGAGTGTTTGGGAGAGGGTTGGGAGGAACGTACGGGTTCACCCAAATTAGGCCCTGCTCGTCTTCGGTCACGTCGTAGCCGCGTTTGGCTTGGTTGACGCGGATTTCGCCTTTGGAGCCCATGTCTATTACATATTGATTAGCGGGGGTATAATATGAGTCGATAGGTAGACAGGGAACAGCAATGCTGAAAAAAAAAAAAAAAAAAAAAAGGGGGACATACAATGAAAATACTGATTCGAATGCACACCCGCCCGCTGCGGCGCCGTCCAACTAGCCGTATAAACAGCGGTAGCAGACCGGGAAGAGTTATCTATCTTCTTCCAGTCAACCAGCAGGGTGATAGTGTCTTCCGTCTGCGGGGCGCATCCCAAGTCGACAGCGACGCCGGACGAGGCAGACGCAGTGACGCGGACGGGCACATATCCCGGGACCATACTGTGGCAGATATCGACGTGGTGCGAGTTGAGATAGTAGGAGATATCGCTCTGGGTGCCTGCCCAGGCGCGGAACGTCTCAAGCTGCGCCTTGGGCTGGCTCATGTAGCTGTAGAAGTAGTTGAAGTCGCCGAGGGTGGCTGCGCGAGCGCGGGCGTCGGAGTAAGCGGGGTCGAAGCGCTTGTGGTGCTCGACGAAGACGAAGACATTGTGGGCGCGAGCGGCGTCGACGAGTTGGCGGTGGTGCGCGAGGGACTGGGTGGCGGGCTTGGTGACCAGGACGTGGTGGCCGCGTTGGATGGCGTAGAGGGCGATCTCGAAGTGGGTGGGGTCGGGGGTGAAGATCGTGACTGCTGAGCCGGGGGGCAGGGCGTCGATGGCGGCTTTGTAGGCGTCTGGGTCGGATTGCGTGTCGGAGGGGTAGGAGGTGAAGGAGACGTCGAGGTTGTTGTAGACTTGGTTGATGTTTTGGTGCAGGTGCGCGCGGATGCCGGGGAATTTGGACCCTGAGACGCCGGCCATGCTGAGGGCCCCGACTTTGCCGCGCCGGCGCAGGTCGAAGAGCGTGAGGCCGACTACGCCGACTTTTTTGTCGGACTTGGAGGCGGTGCCGCCGACGTAGCCGGTGGTGTATTCGCCGGTGCCGACCTGTTGTTATCAGCTTGGAGTGATGGTGGGGGTATGGAGGGGTTGTACATACCATCAAAACATTGGGAGGAGCCATGGTGAGTTGTTGCTGCAGTTCAATTGTGGATGGAGATTGAATTGGACGACTTGGAGGGAAGTATAGCACATTTATAAGCCCAAGTCCAGCACGAACAGCAGCTTCATGCGATGATAGATGGAAGATTCCGATTCCGCATGATATTTATAGCGTCACCCTCGGCAATTGACTATATAATCCCGTCGGCAACTGCCACCCGGCCCTCTGATTGGAGGAGAAATGAATCTCCGCGTGGGGTACATTTCCCCGGTATTTATAACTGTTGATGGCGGGGTATTGATTTCTATATTCTTTATATACCAGATACTCTCCCTCCCTCAACGACTTACCACGAATATAGCATTTTATTGAATCATATCTACCACCAATCTAAAAAAAAAAAAAATGACTCCCCTCCGTCCTGGGGTTTACGCCCCCACAATGACCTTCTTCCACCCCCACTCCGAAGAGCTCGACATCCATACCATCCGCGCCCACGCCGTCCGCCTCGCCAAAGCCGGTCTCGTCGGCCTAGTCTGCATGGGCTCCAACGGTGAAGCCGTTCACCTCTCCCGTTCCGAGCGACAGACCGTCATCCGCGAGACGCGCGACGCCGTCGTCCGCGCCGGCTTCTCCGCCGTGCCCGTCATCGCCGGCGCCAGCGAGCAGAGCATCCGCGGCACCATTGAGCTCTGCCGCGAGGCGAGCTCCGCGGGCGCCGAATACGCCCTGATCGTCCCACCGAGCTACTACCGGACGGCAGTCGGCAACGACAAAACACTTTACGAGTACTTCACCGCCGTAGCCGACCAGTCGCCCATCCCGCTCATCCTCTACAACTACCCGGGCGCCGTCGCCGGCATCGACATGGACTCGGACCTGATCATCCGCATCTCGCAGCACCCCAACATCGTCGGCACCAAGTTCACCTGCGCCAACACGGGGAAACTGACCCGCGTCGCGACCGCCATGGGCGCCATCACCCCGTCCTCGCCGTTGATGCCGCAGCAGACCAGCGCAGATCCGTCCGCCCCGCCGTACGTCGCCTTCGGTGGCATCGCGGACTTTGCCCTGCAGACGCTGGTCTCGGGTGGGTCGGCGATTTTGGCGGGCGGGGCGAATGTCCTGCCGCGTCTGTGCGTGCACGTGTTCAGCCTCTGGGAGGAGGGGCGGTTTCTCGACGCGGTGCACGCACAGAGGATGCTGAGTGATGCGGACTGGGTGCTCACGCGGACGGCCATCCCGGGAACGAAGAGTGCCTTGCAGAGCTACTACGGGTATGGGGGATTCCCGCGTCGGCCGCTGGCACGGCTGGACGAGGCTGAGGTGAGGAGTGTGGCGGATGGGATTGCGGAGGCGATGGCGTTCGAGAGGACGTTGTCGGATGTGGCTTCATGATTGACCATCTAGAACTTAGTATAGGACTCTCTGGGTGTCTGATATACTGCAGTTATATACGCTAGACAGGAAGTTATGATACGAATGTTTTACATACTATTCAGTTAGGCTAGGGTGTAGCATCTTGATTAACACTCGTATTCATTTCCACACTGGATATTACTCATCCGCTCATCATTTAGAAACGAATCCGACTCACCAGTAAATTGATAGACACCATCCATATATCTATAAATACATGTTGGAATCAGCCAGCTTATTCTGCCTGAATGTGCAGGGATCAATCACCAAACCCGTGACCGCTAAGCCCTAACTCACCGAACCGGTCCAACACGCACACCTGCATGAACTCTGACCTAAGAAAAGAAAAAGAAAAAGGGGCAAAAAAACATCAATTGAATACCGTCCATTGTGACCCAAAGCCAGCTGGCCGCGACCAGTTCAGACGCGAGTGGAGCACCATCGTGGATCGACCATCTGCTTCCCGCCCCCGTGGGGACGCCAATCCTACCTCGTACTACTCCGTAATCCCGAAAGACCGAGAAGGATCAATCAAACACGATGGACTGGGATGATTCCAACCTGACGAGAGGTTGACCTCAGCATCCCGCCTTCCTCCGGATGATCCCATCTCTCCATCAGAATTAGGTAGCGGTACCTAAGTCGAGTTTGGTTGGGCTGAGGCAGCCAGACGAATCGGACACTCCCATTCAGACCCCAGTCGAGAGGCGGACCAATCTCGATGGTTGGTGGACCTGAGTCAGATCAAACAAACTTTTTCCCTCCTATTATTCAGACGGAGTTATACCCAATTCATCCTGATTGGAAATGACGGAAAAAAAAACCAAATGAAGCAGGCCGATTGACACATGGATCAGAAGGAATGGGGAGGCAAATTCCATCTCACCGCCCACTCCATTTGGGCATCTCCTTTTTTTTTTTTTCCCTTTCTTCACTTTCCTTGGACTTTTATATCGATCTTTCTCTCCTGTTTGTTTCATTTCCTTTTCTGCAATCTCTTTCGTATCGGTCTGATTTGGTTCGTCCTTTTGGTTGTCATAGCGTTGTCCGGTTGTCCTTTTCTTTTTCCTGGGAGCTTTCCCTATTTCTCTCTCTCTCTCTCTCTCTCTCTCTCTCTCTTTTCCTCCCTCTCTCTCTTTTCACTCTCTCTTTGCTGGTGTTCTCCCTTTCTTCGACCATCCTTTCGTCCTATCTCCGGTCTCGACCAGCCTATTGTTCAGTCGTTCAACTTCTCCTCCCTCGCTCGACCCTCCCCCTTGCTTCCTCCCCCCTCTTATCGTCTCTCTCACCGCGAGAGAGAAGACAAAAAAAGGGGTTGACACGTCCGTCACTATAATTACCGCCCTATCGAGACCGTGATCTCCCTCCGTTTCTTCCTATCCGATCAAACGACGCCTACGATGACACCCCGAGATTCAACCGCGGCCTCGTCCCGCCGACGACCTTCCCTCTCCACCAAGCCTCGACCACGGACCTCAGCCTCGGCCGCACCACCCACCACGGTGGTGGAATCCGACCCGTGGAGCGGGGTGCCGGTGCTGGACCCTCGCGACGATGAGAATGAAGTACTGGAGGACATGAATTGCTTTCCCGACGGCGTGCCCCGCCGTCGGAAAACCAAGAGCTTTTCCAACATGCGCCACCCGGTCGACGGACTGCGGGCGCTGGGACGTCGCCTGTCCGTCAGCATCCGCAACAAGTCGTCCCGCCACTCTGTCCAGCCCTTGGACTCCTGCCACGACTCGGGTTCGGACAGTTGGGACGCCGGGGTCAGAGATGCCGCCGTCAGCCGCCGTGCGTCCCTCAGCAGCGTGGCGGGGTGGCAATACTATGCCCCCATCGCCGTTCCCATCCCCGGTAGCGGTCGGGCACCCCCCATTCTTCCCCAAAATATCTACGCCGGGTCCGCGGCGCGCGCCGCCGCGGCCGCCCAGAACGAAATGGCCCGCTCGGAACGGGATGGCACCAAATTGGCGGATCCCAACCGCTTGACGCTTGATTCCGAGAGTGGCATCGGCATCGATCTCCGGGATCGGTCCGAGGGCTCCGACGTGGACCTGGCGGTTGTGCGCCTGGATCCGGTGACGTTCCTGCCGCCCGAGATCATGTCCCAGGTGCTGGCCTGCCTCGACCCGCCATCCCTCATGCAGGCGGAGCTGGTGTCTCGGTCGTGGAGTGAGCAGGCCTCCTCCCGCCACATCTGGCGTCAAGTTTTCCGGCGCGCCTACGGCCACCATCGCCCCAGTGGCCTCTCCTCCAAGAGGAAGCAGCCCGCCGGCCTGGGACGGCCCGTGCCCAACCAGGACTGGAAGCGCATGTTCCTGGTCCGCCGCGCGTTGGAGCACCGCTGGAAGAAGGGCAAGGCCGCCGCCATCTACCTTCAGGGGCACACCGACAGCGTGTACTGCGCGCAATTTGATGAGTATGTACCTCCCTCTTTCCACTAGACCTTGGACCGTGGACTCATTCTTTTTCTTAGAGACAAGATCATTACAGGCTCCCGCGACCGCACCATCCGCGTGTGGGATGCCCACTACCCCTGGCCCTGCCGCAAGGTCATTGGACCCTCCCCCGCGGAGGTCCCTGGGACGGGCCCGGTCAACAACCCGACCCAGCAGACATCGGGCACGCCTCCCTTCCTGACCATCCACCCGCCGCCCACGCAGTCGGCGGGCACCGGGGCTCTCGTTGAAGGGACGGACGACCATCACAGCGCGTCGATCCTGTGCCTGCAGTTCGACGAGGAGATTATGGTGACGGGGTCGTCGGACTACACGTGCATTGTGTGGGACATCAAGCAGGACTACCGGCCGATCCGCCGGCTGAGCGGCCACCGGGCCGGCGTGCTGGACGTCTGCTTCGACGACCGGTACATCGTGTCGTGCTCCAAAGACACAACCATCTGCGTCTGGGACCGGGCGACGGGGGCGCTCGTCAAGAAGCTGCTGGGCCACCGCGGCCCCGTCAACGCCGTGCAGCTGCGCGGCGACCTGGTGGTGTCAGCCAGCGGCGACGGGGTGGCCAAGCTGTGGAACATCGCGTCGGGCCTGTGCGTCAAGGAGTTCCCCAGCAAGGACCGCGGGCTGGCTTGCATCGAGTTCAGCGACGATGCGCGCACCATCCTGACGGGCGGCAACGACCAGGTGATCTACCAGTTCGACGCCAACACGGGCGACATGGTGCGGGAGCTCGAGGGCCACGGCGGGCTGGTGCGGTCGCTGCACCTGGACAGCGCCAGCCAGCGCATCGTCAGCGGCAGCTACGACATGAGCGTCAAGGTGTTTGACGCCGAGACGGGCGAGCTGTCCATCGACCTGCCGGGCTGGACGACCAGCTGGATGCTGAGCGTCAAGTCGGACTACCGCCGCATCGTGGCGACGAGCCAGGACTCGCGCACGGTGATAATGGATTTTGGATATGGATTAGACGGGATAGAACTGTTAGAGGAGGGGTCCTGATTAGATTTTTTTTTTTTTTTTTTTTCTTAATTATCTTTGGATCTGGTGATTGGCCTAACAAAAGTCTGGGCGTTTTGGCGGGAGTTTTCAGGCGTCTGATTGATCTCTATTTTTCAATCTTACCATTTCACTATCTATCTATCTTGGTTAGTTGAATCTAGACCGTTGTGATTGTGCATTGAATCCATACGTACGGAGTAGACAGGACGACATCGAGTAGATCGAGTATGAGATATATGCCTCAGGCCGCAAGGAATATTGCCCAAAGCGGCTAGCGCGGGAGCCAAACAACAATCACGCTGGATGCCAATCCCGACTAATAATAATCACCCTTCACGTTGATCCCGTTTTTCCCTCCTCTTCCTTCCCATCTCTCGTCTCTCCCCTGACCTTCAATCCCCTTCTCTGCTCCATTCACCGCCAGACCGGGTGTGTCACCTATCTTTCCGGGTTGATTCCGTCCCATCCATTCCATCCACCGTTTCCGGGCCCCCTATTCTCGTTTGTTTGTTTGTTTATTTATTTCCATTTCCATTACCCCACCATGGGCGAGTCTAGGTTTGTCCCCGTGATCCCCCGATCGGTTGAGATATCCGGGTTACTGATAGATGGGATGGTACAGGCAAGAGTTGTTGGCGTGGGTGAACAACCTGTTGCAGTTGAACATCACCAGGATTGAGCAATGCGGAACTGGGTACGTTGGTTGTTGGGAAGAGGGGGAGGATATCGATAGGAAGAGGGCTGGAATGTGAGGGGTGGGGGCTAATGATGACCGTTACAGTGCTGCGCTCTGCCAGATCTTTGACTCGATTTTCAGTGAGTGATGGTCTATCCTTTATTGAAGATGGGTTTACTAATTGTTTTGTAGTGGATGTCCCCATGTCTCGAGTCAAGTTCAGCGTGAACACCGAATACGCCTATCTCCAGAACTTCAAGATCCTCCAGAGTACGCTTCCCCTGGTTTACCTATAAAGATACCGCTAACTGGATAGATGTGTTCGGACGCCACCAGGTCGACAAGCCCATCCCCGTGGAGTTGCTCTCGAAATGCCGCATGCAGGATAACCTGGAGTTCCTCCAGTGGACCAAGCGATACTGGGACCAGCACTACCCCGGCGGGGACTACGACGCCGTGGGCCGCCGGAAGGGAGCCGGAGCACCGGCCGTCGGAGCGCCCAAGCCGCGCGCGGGTGCCACGTCGGCGAGCAGTGCCCGCCGGGGCATGACCCCGACGGGTGGAGCAGCCCGGCCGCGGGTGGCGGCGGCGGCGGGGCCCAACACGGCGGCGCTGCAGCAGGAGATCGCGACGCAGAAGGAGGCGATCACGGGGCTGGAGAAGGAGCGGGACTTTTACTTTGCCAAGCTGCGGGATATCGAGGTGCTGCTGCAGACGGCGATCGAGGCGGACCCGGAGCTGGAGAAGGATGACGACTCGTTTGTCAAGCACATCCAGGGCATCCTTTACTCCACCGAGGAGGGGTTCGAGATTCCGGCCGAGGGTGAAGAGGCTGAGGGGGTGGCTGACGAGCTGGAGACGTTTTGAGCTGGCGTATTGTGTCTGATTGTCGCTATTATCTCCTCCAACCAATACCCCCGTTTGCGCCGCGGCTATTATGTTCCCTATTTTCCCTATTTCCCCTCTTTCCCCCTCTTATCTTTCCCTCCCTACTCTGTATTTCCTTTCTCTACCCTGAGGGGAGGTGGGAGTTTAGTTTGAATGATGCTGGATAGAATGGGAGAGTGACCACTGGATGTACAGACAGGGGTGGAATGCCGTACGTGTAGCTAGACTTGGAAGTAGCAATCTACTGGGTGTCTGTACTCTACTTGTACTTGGGTACTTATCAACCTGTGTCTGGTATATCAACCTAACGGCAGGCTAATGTAAATGGGAAATGAATGAAGGATGTGGATCCAATCGAGAGTGATTACCTAAGGTGATGGGTTATTCTTAGATCACACTAGCCGTATACGGCCTAGCGTAGAGGGATATGACGGCTGAGTCAGCTATCCACGCGATGAGGGACAGTGACAGACCCCAAAAGGGACATTCCTGGGGAGTATGACATCTGATATAGTTATCTTGTATATTATATTCAGATGGTATGTCGAGAAGAAACACAGCAGAAGTATAGAAGCAGAAAAACAATAATGATAATCATAATCAATATAAGAAAGACAGTTTGATGAGCATCTGCAGGTCTCAGACTAGTCTCGGCCTGGCCTGATCGATTGGATTGTTTGTCTTTCTTTCTTCCTCCTCTTTTCCCTTCCAGTTCGCTTCCTCCTCTTCCTCTTCTTCTTCTCTTCTCTTTTGCTCTTTTTCTTCACTTTCTCCCCTCTTTCCATCGCCCCTCTTTTCTTTCTTTCTTTTCTACTTCTTTTTCTTCTTTTTTTTCTGGATCTCGGATCTCGTCTTTCGTTCTCGTTGTCGTTCTCGAGCCTTCCCCTGAGCGTCCCACTATCCACCGTCATAATCCTAATCTAAGATTAACGTCTACTTCCTCCTCCTCAATCCTACTTCCAAGTCAAATCCTCTGATCCTCCATACGATAACGATTGACCTCGACCTATCCTCCGACTCTACCTCCAACCTTCACCATGGACGATCATCTGAACTAATCCCATTCTTCCCCGTCCATACGAGAGGGATCCGAGGGGAGACCGTGGATTGATTTCACCGTCGTTCTTGTACGTCTAGCGCCCTCCTCTCCGGATCCTCGTCATACTAATCATACCAGTTATGTTGATGTCTTTCGCTTCGATTCGTTCTTGATTGTCGGCTCGCCTCCCGCTGACGTCCGCTCCTTGTCTTTGTCCTGTCCCCTCTTTCAGCCAACTTCGCTTCTCTTCGTTTTGTTCGCCGTGTCGTGCAGGCAGACACCACACTCTTTGCTCTCCAGACGATGCCCCATCACGCTCCCAATCCGCGCCTGTTCCAACTAATGCGGAGGAAACATCGCCGGTTCACCGCGGATGACCACGACCACGATCCGGACGGGCCCTTCGTCATGGCCCCCGCAGGAACCGTCGACCCGACCGACCCGACCTTGTTGGATAGACGCTGGGAGGACCCGGCCACGGTGATGGCTTCTGTGGTTGACTTGGTGGACCGCGCGTCCACCACGGGCACCCTCCCTGCCGGCACCCTTCCTGCTAGCACCGACCCCCCACAGCTCCCGACAGACCTTCCTGAGGGGTCGACGGATTCGCCGACGTGGCCCGCCCCGACGGTCAGTGTTGATGTCCCGGCGCCTACGCTGTCGGCCTCGGCTTCGTTGTCCCTCGATTCGACCACTTCCCTCCCGCTCTCCGCGCAGACCTCACGACCGCTTGTCAGTTCGACTGTCAGTCCGGTATCTTCGAGTATACGACCATCAAGCTTGAACGCCTCCACCGCTACGCCCGCTACATCGCTTCACACGTCGACCCCTATGTCCACGGCCACCACCACCACCACCTCCCATACCTCATCCTCAACATCCTCCACTTCCACATCCACCTCGAGCGATGACACCACCACCACCGCGTACGCGACCGAAACCGATGTGACCTACTGGGGCGGCGGGGGCACCGGCACCGCGGGGACGGGGTCGGCCCCGTCGTCTACCGCCCCTCCACCCGCGGACGCCGGGCCCCCTGATAGCGGCAAGATCGCGGGGGGAGTCGTCGGCGGCGTGGCGGGGGCGATGATGGTGGTGTTCGTGCTGCTGGTGCTGCTGAAGCGGTGGCGCAAGCTCGGTCTGCGGCCTGCGGACGAGGGCATGCTAGGGGAAGCGCCGCGGGAGACGATGCAGACGCGGCGGCTGAGTCGCGAGCCGCTATTCGCAGCAGCGGCGCTAACCCCGACATTCCTACGACCGTGGCGAGCGTCACGACAGTCTACGATAACAGCGGAAACAACGCTGAGCAGCAGTCCCAGCGAACGAGGCTTCCAAAAGATCTCCGGCCGAAAGATCGAGTCCGTCCTACAGTCCGGCGGAGACGGCTACGACGGACGGTTCGGCCAGCAACAGCCCCCGCATTCCCCAACCCTATCAGAACCAAGCATGGGCCTCGGCTCGTCACCCGTCCAGCCCCGGTCACCGATGTCAGCGGGGTCCATATCCCCATCGATACCCCCGCCCTCCATGCCCTTCGGCATGGCCCTGGACACGAGTTACACGAGGGAGGCGGAGGAACCGGGGATAATGGCGCTGCGGCCGTCCCCGGCGCGGACGAGGGCGCTGTGTCCGCGGGACGGGGTGGGACGGAGTCATCCTAGTTTTGATGGAAGCAAGGGGAGTCGATTTACGGAGAGTATTTAGCAGATAGTTTATACCCTGTTTATTTTTATTATATAATGTTCATACTATACCTATACCACTTACCCCGCACTTTTGCTGCGACACACCTGTCTATTTTTAGTATTGTACGTGTCTACCTTATCTACGTTCGTCTACCTCAGGTATCTCTACCTTAGGTATCTATCTACCTCCTCAGATACAACAGATATATCAAGTACAAAAGAATACAAAGCATCCATAACCTAACAATCAATCCAACCAACCCCAAACCCAAATCAAACCAAACCCCATAAAACGAAAGAAAAAAACATGCCCCCCCAAAATTCCTCATAATCGGCGCCGGCTCCCGCGGCACAGCCTACGCCCAAGCCGTAACAACCTCCACCCCAGGAACCATCCACGCCGTGGCAGAACCCCACACTTTCAAGAGACAGCACCTCGGCCGGTCCTTCATTTGGGGAGAGAAACAGCCGGGAGCAGGACAGGAGTTCACAGATTGGAGGGATTGGGTGGAGTATGAGACGTTACGCCGGGAGCGTTCATCTAAAGGTGGAGAGAGTAATAAAGAGGAAGGGGTAGACGGGGTATTCGTATGCACGCTCGACGAAACACACGTCGAGATCCTGCTAGGAATAGCCCATCTGGGCGTTCACGTGCTGTGTGAGAAGCCGTTGGGGGTGGATTTGCGGGGGTGTCTTGATGTTTGGAGGGCTTACTCTTCCTCTTCTTCCTCCTCCACCACCTCCTCCTCTTCTCCTCCTCCGGAGAAGAAACAGAAAAAGCAAGGCCAGAAACAGATCTTCTCCATCGGGCACGTCCTCCGCTACAGTCCGCACAACCTGCTTCTTCGAAAATTACTGCTCGACGATAACGTTATCGGGGACGTGGTATCTCTCGAGCATGTCGAGCCTGTCGGATGGTGGCACTTTTCGCACTCGTACGTGAGGGGGAATTGGCGCAGGGAGACGAGCGGTGGGGTGGGGTCGTTGCTGACGAAGTCGTGTCATGATGTTGATTTTGTGATGTGGTTGCTCTCATACCCTTCTTCTTCCCATGGGGATGGGGAGGGACAAGGGGAGGAGGGAGGAGGAGGAGATGAAGATATACACTACCCCTCGACAATAACCTCCACAGGCCATCTTGCTCAGTTTCACCCCCGTCGCAAACCCGCTCCTGCAGGGTCTCACACGAACTGTGTAACCTGCCCCGCTGAACGAGAGTGTCTATACAGCGCTGTCAAGATATACAGAGACATGCACCTGCGACAGGGCAAGACAGAGTGGCCGGTCAACATCGTCTGTCCTGATATTGAGGATTTCTCCCTTTCTTCTTCTCCGGGGGAGAAAGAGAAGGCGATGGCCAAGGCAGAACACCATCTCATGGAAGCCCTTCGAGAGGATTACGATGCGTCTACTACGCCGGATGAAGTTATCGCCAGTCGACCCTGGTACGGGCGCTGCGTCTACGAAGCGGATAATAACGTCTGCGACGATCAGGTCGTTACGATCTCGTGGAATGAGTCCCTCCCTTCTACTTCCACATCCTCCTCTTCATCTACACCCAAGAAAGCAAAAGAAAGCAAAACAGCAACAATCCACATGATCGCCCCCACGCAAGCGCAGTGCGTCCGTCGCGGCCGCATCTACGGCACGACCGGCGAACTAACCTACGACTCGTCTACCATATCATACTTTGACTTTTCCAGCGGAAAGACAGTGTCGATTCCCGTGCCGCGCCAGTCTGAGGCAGAGGAGAAGGCGCATGGAGGAGGGGATTATGGGCTTGCGAGGGGGTTTGTGGGCGCGGTCGATGCGGTTGTTAATGGGGGGATGGGGGTGGAGAAAGCGCAGAGGCGGTTTGTGGGGTGTTCGTTGAGGGAGATTATTGTTAGTCATGGGGTGGTGTTTGCGGCGGAGGGTGCGAGACGGCATAAAGAGGTGGTGGGGTGGGAGGGGTGGTGGGGGAAGCAACTTGGGGGTGTTTAGGTTATGGAAGTATGTACTTTGTACTTCGTACGTGGTTTATCCTGGGTGTCTTGGTATCTTCTGAATAATGCTGAGTATTCTGGATATGTTCGAAGTGGTAGGCTGCAGCGTTATGCTAAGAAAGTATAGAGTAGACTAAGTCCGCACATCAGGCTCCTCCCGTCCAACATACTCCTTAAACTTCAACAACCCCATCGCCAACCGCACATTATCCCCCAGATACTCCTGCGCACTCAGCCCAAACGAGCTCTTATCCGCCTCATACTTCTCAATATACAACCGGATAGTGGCTCCACTGCTGCCCGTCCCGGACAGACGCACCACAATCCGGCTGCCGTCGTCGAACGTCGCGTACAGACCCTGGTTCTTGGTCACACTGCCGTCCAGATCCGTGTACGCGAAGTTGCCCACGTCCTTCACGGTACGTCCCGCCACGGTGCTGCCCACGAAACCCTCCGGCTTCTCGACGTGGGCGGCCAGCTCGGCGATCACGCGGTTGGCGCCGGCGCTGTCGACGTTCTCGTAGTCGTACCGCGTGAAGAACGTCCGGCCGTAGGTCGCCCAGAAGTCTTCCTGGATGGAGGCGATGCTGGGCGTCTTGCCGGGCGTGTCCTGCGCCACGCTGGCGATGATGTTCAGCCACGCCACGATGGCCCACAGCCCGTCCTTCTCGCGGATGTGGTTGCTGCCCGTGCCGAAGCTCTCCTCGCCGCAGATGGACAGCTTCTGGTTGTCGAACAGGTTGCAGAAGAACTTCCACCCCGTGGGCACCTCGTAGCTCTGCAGGCCCTGCGCGGCCGCCACGCGGTCGACCGCCGCGGAGGTCGGCATGGAGCGCGCGAGGCCGTAGACGCCCTGGCGCTGGAAGTAGGGGATGCGGCGCGCGTGGTGCGCGATGATGGCGAGCGAGTCGCCGGGCGAGACGAACGTGTTCGCTCCGTAGATCATGTTGCGGTCACCGTCGCCGTCGCTGGCGGCACCGAAGTGGACGCCGTCGCGGTTGACGGCCTCGACGAGCTCGTGCGCGTACACCAGGTTCGGGTCGGGGTGGCCGCCGCCGAAGTCCTCGCTGGGCTGGGCGTTCATGACGCTGTTGGCGGGGAGGCCGAGCTCGTGCACGAAGATATCCGTGCCGTAGGGGCCGGTCACGCCGTGCATGCCGTCGAAGAGGACCTTGAAGTCGGGGTGGGAGCGCAGGAAGGACTTGATGAGGTCGAAGTCGAAGATTTCTTTCATCATGGCGACGTAGTCGGCGGTGGAGGGGACGACCTCCACCGTGAGGGGGCCGTAGGTCTGCGTGCCGACGGTGGCGATGTCGATCGTGGGGAGCTCGACATACTTGTACTCGGTGAGGGTTTTCGACGTGTCGTAGATCGCGTTGGTGACCGTCTCCGGGGCGGGAGCACCGTTGGCCAGGTTGTACTTGATGCCGAAGTCGTTCTCTGGGCCGCCGGGGTTGTGGCTGGCGGTCAGGAGGATACCGCCGGTGGCGGAGCGCTTGCGGATGAGGTTGCTGGCGGCCGGGGTGGAGAGGATGCCGTTCTGGCCTACGAGGAGCTTCTGGACGCCATAGGCGGCGCTGATCTTGGCGATTTTCTGGATGACGTCGGTGTTGTAGTAGCGGCCGTCACCGCCGATGACGAGGAAGGCATCCTGGGCGCCTTCGGGGATGGAGAGGAGGATGCTGGTGATGAAGGATTCGGCGTAGTTGGGTAGTTGGAAGGTTTTGACTTTTTTGCGGAGGCCAGAGCTATACAATTATCAGTATGTTGAGCTGGTGGATAGGTGGATAGGAGGGGATACGTACGTGCCGGGCTTCTGGTCGGTGAAGGGCTGGAGGGAGACGGATTGGATGGACATGGTGATGATTGAGATATGAAAAGAGTCAAATTGAAAGGTTCAAGAATGACAGGATGAGAAGAGAAGAGAAAAGGAGAAGAAAGAAAGAAGAAAGGAAGAAGAAGAAGAGAAGAGAAGATATCAGGAGAAACAGGAAATGAAGGGGAGCAGAAAGTGGGGTAGCTGGATGGATGGACTCAATAGACCGTCGTCACTCCCTCACCTTACTCTTTTGGGTCTTCTCTTCTCTCTGTTTACTCTTTATTGACTCTTTATTTACTGAGTAATTGTAACATTGGGCACCCATCTCTCACCAGTCATATCATTACCTGCAGCATCAGCACAGCACAGCATGCAATGCACGACTGCGTGGCACGAGCAACCTCTCCCAATATTACCCCTCCAATCTAGCCATCCTCATCCCCAACCACTACCACCAAACTCACCCCCAGCAAAAACTACCGCTTAAACAAAACCTCCCTATAAAACCTCGCCTCCTCAATACTCTCCAGTATATCATCCCTCGCCAAATGCACCTCCCTCTTCTCCGGAACCCGCCTTAACAGCTCCTCCCCACCCCACCTCCTAACCCCCTCCTTAAAGCTACTCACATCCAGAATCCGATAATGCAAATGCTCCAACACTGCCTTGTATGGATCCTTTGCCAGGAACGCCCGGTCGGCGTGTACGCTGTTCCCAGCCAGCACCCCCCGGCGGGGCTCGGGAATGTACTGCTTTATGTAGGAGAGGAGGGCGGAGGCGGCTTGGTCGGGCGTGGTGGTGGAGGCGCGCACGGCGGCGGTTAGGCCGGTGCGGGCATGGGTGGTGATGCACCATTCGTTCATGCTGTTGAGGATTGTGTCGGGGACGTGGATGGTGGTGTCGAAGCCGGTGTCGAGGGGGGTTAGTTGGGCGTCGGTGATGATGCAGCTGATTTGGAGGATGTGGTCGGTTGAGGGGTCGAGGCCGGTCATCTATTATTATTGTTATTATTGGGTGTTTATTGGGTTGTTGGACAGGTGGGGAGAGGGTACCTCGCAGTCGATCCACACGAGGGGATCGGAAGAGGGTGTGAGAGGCATGTTGGTGGGATGGTGTCTACGCCGAATTCACTGGGAGATGTAAATGTAGATGTAGGTAGGATATGAAGGTGGAGAGGTGAGAAAAAGATGGAAAGTGGGGATCTTGGCAGCTACCAGCTACCAGCTACCCCCCGTAGATATATCTGCACTTGCGTCATTCATTGCTCTATAGATCATCCCGCCCAACCCCAATTCCTCCATCCCAGGATTGCCTTTGTAGTTCCAATCCCGGGACGCGCTCCGAGACGCCGTCCTGCATGTCTGATGTGACCCTGCGAGAAAACCCGACGAAAGAAACAACCAAGGCCAATTCGCACAATCCGCAGAAAAAAAAAGAAAAAGAAAAAGAAAAAGAAAAAATGGACATCATAAGAGACACATTAACAGGTTAACATCATAGCTCCTCGTCGTCGTCGGCTGGCGGTGCGGGCGCGGGAGCGAGAGTGGAAGGAGGCGCGAGGGTGGGAGGCTGCGCGAGGGCTGGCGGATGCCCGAGGGTTGAAGGATGCATTGCCGGGGTCGGCCCCCGACCTGTTCGCCGGCCGTCGTCGCCGTCCCACTGGCCGGCTGCGATAATCCGCCTTCGATCCGCCGCCGCAGCGCGTTCTCGTCCGCCTGGGAGACACTGGCCCGTTGTTTCTTCAGCGGACTGCCGGCAAAGGCCCCGTCCAGCGCGGTCGCCGTCGGCTTGGGCACCTCGGGCACCGACGGGAGCCCTGTTGCGAGCGAAGGCGGTGTCGTCGTCGACGAATCTGTCGCCGGGGGAGGGTCCGCGGATGCTTGGGGGCTGGCTGCGTCGGTCTTGGGGCTGTTCACGCCTAAGGAGGCTGACGAATGCTGGCGTTTCAACTGGAGGTTGTTAGTTTGGCCCAAAAAAAAAAAAAAAAAAAAAAAAAAAAAACAAGAACTAGAATGGAAAAGTAAAAAGAAGAAAGGAACAAGGGACTAACCTTGATCTGTCGCAACCCCTCAGCCAATTCACCCTGTCGACGGAGATCATCCGGGGACAAATTCCAGTCGTCCTCCTTGGCCTCTTCATCGTCCGCCTTGCCCAAGATCGACTCATCCTCGTCATCGTCGCTGTCCATGTCGTCCGCCATGCTGCCCTTCCGATTCTTACGCCCCGTCCCGGTCTCAGCGTTGTCGCGGAAATTGAGGAAGCCGACCGTGCCGCCGGGTTTCAGCGGGCCCAGGCTGCTAAAATCGGGCTGCAACGAGCGGCGTTTGGCCGACGCCGGGGTCTCCTGCGGGCGGCCATCTTTCAGGATGCCCATCTTTTGCAATTGGCCTGTTATGATCAGCGATCTATCTCAACGGTATAATAATCAATAGTAGATAAACAAAAAGGATACGTACGTCCTCCCCGGTACATAAAGGTAAAGATGGCATACGGCTTATCCGACGCGTCGATCCCCGTCACCGTCTGTGTGCTGATAGACTTCGGGTCGAGCGACTTGGGCTGGGCGAAACTGGTGGTGTGGTCGATGTCGGCATCCCCCCCGCCGGACTGGCCGCCGGCGCCCTCGTCATCGTCGTCGTGGGCGTCAAACTGCGGCGAGTACTCCCCGCGCTTGATCTCCCCGGAGGCCAGCACCCGGAAGAGCGCGACCTTGATCTGCCCGGCCGACTCCGGGATCGGGTCGTCGTCTGAGTCGGAGAGGGATAGGTCCTCCTCATCCGAGACCCCCTCGAGCGGCGACCGGGCGTCGTTGCCGTAGCGCAGGACGTCCGGGGCGGAGGGAGACCCGGGCGCGCGGGCGCCGTGCTCCGCTGCCTCGCGCTTCCGCCGGCGCTTCTCCATCTTCTGGCGACGGCGCTCGATCGTGGCGGCGGCGTCCTTGCCCTCGAGGTCGAGCCCGTTCAGCCAGCGCTCGAGGCCGACCTCGCGGAAGAGGAACTCGCGCTCGGCGAGGCCGCCGCCCTCGGAGTCGGGCACGCTGACCCACCGGGAGTTGACCCAGGTCTCCTCGCCGCGGCGCAGCAGGGTAGCCACCTCCTCCTTCTGACGGCCGTCAAAGTAGATGTAGGCGGCGACGGTCTCGTTGGGGGAGTTGGTCAGGGCCTGGTAGGGGACGACGGAGCTGGTGTACAGACCGCGCTCGGCGGTGGGGCCGGGGAGGCCGCCGACGACCTTAGGTTTGGGAGTGGGGTTGTCCGGGGTCGGTTTGGGGGCGGAATACGGGACATCCTGGCCGGGATTCAAGAGGGTGATGGAGATGGCGAAGGTGGACTGCTCACGCTTGCCGCCGGCGGCATCGGGGAGCTTGGGCGGGGGGACGGGGATGTAACAGGCGATGCGAGAGGCGCGGGATTGGCGCTGGATGGAATACTCGGGGATCGGGCCGTCTGGAGTGTGTATACTCACGGCCAAACCTTTGAAGCATGGCATGGCGAGAGGAGGAAGGGAGGAAGGAGGGAGGGGAGGAGCGTCGACAACTCGAGGGTCGGGGGTGGAAAGAGATCCAAATCTATCCGCTCACACTGTGAGTCAACCGGTTAGTCGATGGTAAATCTAGTGAAAGAGAAAGGGGGAGAAAAAGGAACACAAACACGGTCGGAGAAGACGGACGGCAGAGGTATAGAAAGGAGAAGAAAATAAGAAAAGAAGGAGAAGAAGGAGATCGAGTGGAATGAAGAAAAAAGAAAAGGGGCTGGGGGGAGGTTGAGGTTGGCAAGTTTGCTGTGTTGTTGGGTTGTTGTGGTGGTGGTGGTGGTGGTTGTAGTGTTGTGTGTGTGTGTGTTGTGGAGGCGGTCAGGATGGATGCTGAACTGACCAGTATCAGGAGGAGAATCCAGGAGGACAGGATGAATGGGACAATGGAAGAATGACAACAGTCCTGGTGCCAGGAACAAGGGACGTCACACACAGAGAGACCAAGGACAGGAACCAGGTGGAAATGATTAATTCGAGGGGATTCTGGGACGGTTCCGGTGGAAATATCAGGTGAACGAGAGGGGAGGCAGAAGAGTGGGGGTGGAGAGAGAGAAGTACTAGTGAGGCCCATGGGTATCAGTCAGATGTCAATGACCACAGGAAGGAAGAACATACCTCAGACCACCGGAGTGAAGGAATTCAAGTGACCAGAAAGACCAGCAATCACGAAGGGATGAGCAGAGAATGACGGACTGTCATGACTTTTCCATCCATCAATCTCTCTCTTTCTCTCATATCAGATCCATTTGCTGCCCCAGGCCCGATGAGTAAGCAGCCGCTCTCTCGTCCCACCATGACGTCCTCATCAAGTCCACCGCTGGTCCCCACATGGAGAGACGTTCCATGGTCAGATAGATCTGGGGAATAGTTGTGTTTTCCTGTGTAAGGCTAGTCATTATCCTATTCAGGAGGTGTATGGAGATGACCTGGCCGTTAGTATCGGGGACACTTTCCCTAGCGAGATCACGAAAGAGCCAGGGACTCCATCATGTCAGGCCGACCGGAGAGAATGGCATATTATATGATATCAATCGCGATCCCGTTAGTCAATAATGGATGGTGAGAGGATTGAAGGGCTCAATCGATCATCCAGTCTGTAGGTCCTTAAATTCAACCTGTTCTCGTAGCAACGGTATATATCGTCCTGAGGATCGTGCCGGTCAGGGATCGGGTCCTTGGCCTCCGAGTCGTATAGATGCCGCGCCACGGTGTTACCGTGGCACTGGTGGAACCGCGCAGGTATCACCGTTGGAGTGTGCCTGTCGCCGTTGTTTTGAAATGTTTGAAAACACATTTAAGGGATGTAGAGAGTGTAGAGTGTTAGATTGACATGAGAAGAGACGCGGGTTGTCCTTCGGGAAGGGGGTCAGGGGGTCTGTCATCCCGACTGGCATGTCGGGATCCGTCCAGTAGCGAACCGACTCGGCATCGTCTCGGGTTCTAATATAATCGTCATGGCAGTCGATCGGTTGGCTGTTATCGATGATACTCGAACAGATTGTGCATATTTCTATCAGGTAGTCTGGTAGACTGTCGCCGGACATCGTCATGGAAATCATGTCGCGATCAACCATCCATGGTCGCCCTCAATGTTGTCTACCGCGGAGTGCGATGTCGCAGGACAAGTTTGTCTACACTCTCTGAACTCGGAGTGTCATGGCTTATCAGGAGTCAAAGCAAGGGATCTTCCGATCGGCGGGGATCTCTCACGATGGGGCCGTGGGGCATCAGCTTGCCAGTTGGCCAATCAGCGGGGATCGACAGACGATCTGACGTCTGTCTTGGATTGAGACATTGAGAAATATAGTTTGATGTCTTATCGTTTGTTCTATTGGATGAACTAAAATGGGTTGGATAGCTGAAAGAGGTGTGGGAGGATAGAAGGTAGATGGATTATGTCTATCTGCCTGTAACAGCCCGTCCATGATCGGATTTCTTTGTATTTCCTATCGTATTTATCAATATTGTATTGGTCCTACATCTTCCTCTTGTTGTTAGAACCATCCCAAATCATGACCGTATCCAAAATAAGATGGACTTAGTAAAGATGGCAGAGTGATAGCATATGACAGTATAGCCCAAGAAAGGCTGAGAATGACTCATGATAGACGACAAGAAGGTCTGATCATAGCCATCAGCGCCACCACTCATCTATTACTCGTACTTGAGATGAGCCCCGCTGCACGCTCAGACTGTGCTGGTCATCCCCATGATGGCCTGATAGAGATTGCCCCGCGTTGAATCCGACCACCACATGGAACCCCAAACCAGCATGTGACATACTCCTGTATACTACTTAACCTTAGTCGTATTCTGATCCCTGGTCCAGTCAGGTCAGGAGGGGTAAAGAGACAGATGACATGGGAGGTTCCTGAGTTCCGGTCCAGACACCAACGAAATCCACCACATCCAGACCCGAGACTGGTCGGTTCAGCGTGGCTAAGCCTACCAGGGTTTTATTGGTGGCTCCACTTCCATCCTGATCAGTCAACCTGGAGAAAGCTGGGGAGATGGATCCACCGGGCTTGTTTAGGTCAAGGCTAGACTCTCTTTCTTAGTCGAGAGACAAGATGCAGAAGGATGCAGGATTGCATGACAGCTTCAGTCTAGTCTAGTGTTTAAGCTCGAGATGAATCTTCCCTGGTAAAAGACTATTAGCTAGAATCACTAAGAATGATCTAATAAACTCGAGTGAATAGAACAAACAAAGTGAACCAGGATTAAATCACGCAGGGCTAATTTCAACCCGGATACCAGCCTGATTGGTAGTGGAGACGTGTTCGAGAGTGAATCCATTCAATCATGCTGACGCTCCTGCCCATTTCTACCCTGGTTCTTTTTTTTTCCCTTCTTTGTCTTTTCCCTTCCTGTTTTCTTTCTTTTCCTTTCTTTCTTTCCTTTTTCTCTTTCTTCTACTTCTTTCCCTTCTTCCTCTCCTCATCTCCTTCCTCTCGATCGATCTCTTCCTTGCTTGTCTGGTTTCATATAAACACCCTCGACTCTATCTTTCGCTCGGAATATTCTCGTCCTACCACACCATCTGAAATCTCACACCATGGCTGAAAAGGTGGGGAAGATCGAGGATGATCCCCCAATCCAGACTGAAAATCAGTATGTCATACCACCTCTTCTTGCTTGATGATCTCTCACTAAAGCTGATCTCTCTGTTTAGGGTCACTGTCGAGGCTGTTCCTGATGATAAGCCCAAGGCGGAGCATATCAACCTGAACAAGAATCTTGAAGCCAAGTGAGTCTCTATTCCGGAATGTTCCATTTCGCACCCCACAACCCCGGTACTAACGCGACACAGGATCAAAAATCCCCTCGCTGATCTCACCCCCGCCGAGGTCCTGCGCGATGTTGAGGAATTTGCCAACGAGCATCAGCTCCAGGACATCCTCCCTCACCTGCGCAAGGGTGCCCTCATCGCTCGCGACCCCCAGAACTATGACAAAATCCCTGAGTTGGACGAGGATGACCTTCGGACCATCGACGACGAGGTCACCCATAAGTGGCGCCAGCCCCGCCAGCTCTACTTTACCATCATCCTCTGCTCCATTGGCGCGGCCGTCCAGTGAGTCTACCTCCTTACCCTTCGTCCCGCGCACGCCACTAATCTCCCAACAGAGGCTGGGACCAGACCGGCAGCAACGGCGCCAACCTCTCCTTTCCCGATGCCCTGGGCATCCCCGAAAAGGATAACCCCAACGCCGAGAGGAACCAGTGGCTGGTCGGTCTCGTCAATGCGTATGTATCAACCATACCAATACCAAACAAATTACTGACAGACAAATAGAGGCCCCTACATCGCGAGTGCCTTCATCGGCTGTTGGCTCTCCGACCCCGTCAACAAGGTCCTGGGACGTCGCGGTGCCATCTTCGCCTCCGCCATTTTCTGTATTCTGACCCCCATCGGTTCGGCCGTCAGCCAGACCTGGCCTCAGCTCTTCGTCACCCGTCTTCTTCTCGGTATCGGTATGGGACTCAAGGCCTCCACCATCCCCATGTTCTGCGCCGAAAATACCCCCGCCATCATCCGTGGTGGTCTTGTCATGTGCTGGCAGGTTCGTATCCCTTTGGGAGGTAGAATAATACATGATTGCTGACAGAACACAGCTGTGGACCGCCTTTGGTATCTTCCTGGGCACCTCTGCCAATCTGGCTGTCAAGGACACCGGCGATATCTCCTGGCGTCTCCAGCTCGGGTCGGCCTTCATCCCCGCCCTCCCCCTGCTCTTCGGCGTCTACTTCTGCCCCGAGTCCCCCCGTTGGTACATCAAGAAGGGCTCCATGCGCAAGGCCTACGAGTCGCTCTGCCGCCTGCGCAACACGGAGCTTCAGGCCGCCCGGGACCTCTTCTCGATCTACTCGCAGATCCGCATCGAGCAGGAAATCGCCGGCAAGGGCTCGTACGCCCAGCGCTGCGTTGAACTGTTCACCATCCCCCGCGTCCGCCGCGCCACGCTGGCCTCGTTCGTCGTCATGCTGGCGCAGCAGATGTGTGGCATCAACATCGTCGCCTTCTACTCCTCGACCATCTTCCAGGAGGCCGGTGCCAGCGTCACCGAGGCCCTGTTCGCGTCGTGGGGATTTGGTCTGGTCAACTTCATCTTCGCTTTCCCGGCCATCTTCACCATCGACACCTACGGTCGCCGCGCCCTGCTGCTCTTCACTTTTCCCCAGATGGCCTGGACCTTGCTGGCCGCCGGCTTCAGCTTCTACATTCCGGGCGACTCCAAGGCGCACCTGGGCTGTATTGCGCTCTTTGTGTTCCTCTTCGCCGCTTTCTATTCTCCGGGCGAGGGGCCTGTCCCGTACGCGTACTCGGCCGAGGTGTTTCCCCTTTCTCATCGTGGTATGTTTTCATCGTCTCGATACTGATTACCTCTACTTCGTGCTAATCGTGAATAGAGGTCGGCATGGCCTGGGCGGTCGCTACCTGTCTCTTCTGGGCGGCCGTCCTTTCCATCACCTTCCCGCGCATGCTCGACGCGATGACCCCAACTGGGGCGTTTGGTTTTTATGCGTATGTTCCTCTTTACTTCTATTTTATTTCTCTCATGCTGATGGATGTAGCGCTCTCAATGTCACTGCCCTGGTCCTGATCTTCCTCTGGGTGCCTGAAACCAAGCAGCGTACCCTGGAAGAGCTGGACTACATCTTCGCCGTGCCGACCCGCGTGCACATGCGCTACCAGATGTTCACGGCGCTGCCTTGGTGGATCCGGCGGTATATCTTCCGACGCAAGGAGGAGCTGGAGCCGCTCTACAAGTTTGACAATACTCGCGAGGAAACCCAGGAGGCTTGATTGACATCATGATGGTGTTGACATGGGGCAGACTGTCGTAGTTTCGGAGGATTGCTTGATGGATGATGGATGATGGATGGATGGTTCAATGGTTTGATGGATCGGTGGTTTAATGGACCGGTAATAGTCGATAAGAGAGCTAGTACTGTATCTTAGTACTATAATAGGACTATTTTATGAGTATGTGAGTATATGAAGTGTAGATGTAGGCTTGCTTCTATCTATACTAGGGGGCAGATAGAACAGCGGAGTACCACCTTGACACGAAATAAATCATCACAAGAAATAAAAAAAGAAGAAGAAGAAAACTAATCCAAAAGATACCCCGTCCGATATGACCTCCACACATCAAACCCCACCTTCTCATACCACCCCTCAATCGCCACCCAATCCACAAAGATGCCATCAATTGCAGCACCAGTAGTATCACCACCACCACCAGAATAAGGATGATGCCGTAAATAATCAACCGCAAACTCCACCAACCCCAATCCCACGCCCCTCCCCCTAAACTCCTTATCAACACCCACACACCCGATAAGACCCGCGTGTTGGCCCGCGCGGGTGAAGAATGCAGGGAATGCCCAGTTTTGGGTGAGGATGGGATGGGAGGGGGGGAGGGCGATTAGCCAGGCGATTTGTTTGGGGGGTTCTGTGGTGGTTGGGGGAGGGGTGTGGATGGCAAAGAGGATGATGTTTGGGTGCGTGGTTGGGGGGAGGGTTTTGTAGAGGTTTATCCAGTCCTATACGTTTTGATTGTTTTGTTAGTGGGTTTGTCTTTTGGGGGGGGGAGAGGAAGGGGGAACGGGAGGAGGGGAGGAAGGGGAACGGGAGGAGGGGAGGAAGGGACTGGCGGAAGAAAGTAGGGAAGAAAGTAAAGTCAAAGTAGAGAGGAAAGAAACAGTAGACAAGAAGAGAAGGAGAGATGGAAGACATACAGCGTTATGAGAAAAATTCCTCATCTGTCCCGCCATACACTCCTCGTACTGATCTTGCTTGATCGGCGCAAACGATATATGATTCTGTCTCGCCGCCGCGAGGTACTTCCCCCCCGTGGAAGATAAGCCGGATATACTCTGATATAAATCCACAGAGCGAGGTTTGAGCGGATTAAGGTGAAAACCACGGTTGATGAAGAATGATTGTGTTGACTGAGGTAAATCGGTGGGAATACCGGGCCAGAAGCGCGGGATGCCGCTGCCTAGGTCTATGCGGGTGCCGGATGGGAGGGAGGCGCGTGCTGCTGCGAGGAGTCTTGTGGCGATGCCGTGGTTTTGGTGGGAGGGACGGACGGCTAGGACGGCGAGGTGGGCTGTTTTGGTGTTGGGGTTGGCGTAGAGGATGGCGAAGCCGGTTGTTTCGTCGGTGCTCTTGTTTCTGGCGATGAAGTGGTGCTGCGTGGGGTGCGCGTGGAGGAGGGTGGATAGGAGGTCTGGCTCTGGGGTATAGGTTGGGAGAGCTGCGCTCCAGACGGAGAGGATGCCCGAGAAGTCACTGTTGGGATTGTATTGGGTTATGTGGATGTCGGTAGACGGGGTAGGTTTTGACTCGCCGACGGGGAGAGCCCCGCGGGGGGGAGCCGTCCCGAAGAGGATGTCTGTTGCGGCGGCGAAGGCTTCGAGGGTGGGCTCGTAGGTTGTCATGTAGGTACCTATGGCAGCAACATCGTCGAGGAAGTCGTACGGGCTGCACGCGGCGATGGCGACTAGTTTGCGGGCTCGATTGGGGAGTTCGAGACCCAGGGATCGCTGGTAGGGTGACTCTCTCGCGTTGATGGAAACAAAGACGACGACGTCGGCTGCTTCCACGGCTTGCCATTGTTGGGTGGACAGGCCTGTCGGCGCGTAGTGGACCTCGGCGACGCTGGGCGCGTGCCGATTTAGGAGGTTGAGGTATGGGGAGGCGCTGTACGTGCCTGGTCGGCCTAGGCCTTCGCCGTCGACGGCTCCGCCGGCGGGCGTGGTGCCTCCCGGGAAGAGGAAGACGATCTGCGCGGTGGGTGATAGGGGAAGGATGCCCTTGGTGTCCCGGACGAGGGTTACCGAGCGAGCGTAGATCTCGCTGGCTAGTATGATGCCTTTTTGGTTGAGTGCGGCGAGATCAGACGGCGGTTGTACGCGCAAAGCCGTGTCCCAGTCTAGGAACTGGTCCTTTAGAGTTGTGACTCGGCGGTAGGCTTCGTCTAAGCGCGATTGCGGGATCTGGCCTGATTGTACGGCCTCGCATACCTGCTTGATGGCAGCTACTTGGACGTTGTAGGTGTGGCAAATCATGATGCTGTCGCTGCCTGCTCCGAGCGAGAGGACGGCGCCTTGCTCCGTACCGTACGTCGCACGGATGCCGTCCATCTCCAGACAATCAGTGATGATCATCCCGTCATACTGCATATCCTTGCGCAGGATGTTCAGCACGTCGGGGGACAACGTCGCTGGAAGTCTACCATCTCCAATGGCAGGGAGGGAGATATGGGCCGTCATAACAGACTCCACACCCTCAGCGGCCGCGCGACGGAACGGCACCAATTCACAGCGGCCCAGCTCGTCGCGCGATTTCGTGATCACCGGCAGCCCGTAGTGCGAGTCGACGGCTGTATCCCCATGTCCTGGAAAATGCTTAACGCTCGGGATTACCTTCTGCTCGCGCAGACCCCGCGCAGTGGCGCTGGCGAAGCGGCCCACAAATTCCGGGTCGTCGCCGGGGCTGCGCACCCCGATGACTGGGTTCAAGGGCTCAGAGTTGACGTCGCAGACGGGGGCGTAGTTCATGTTGATCCCAAAGAACTGCAGCGTTTGTCCCGTGATGACGCCCGCGTCGTAGGCTGACTCTGGCGAGTACGTCGCGCCTAGGGCCATGGGGCCGGGCATCTGGGCGGCTATGGGGGGTGAGATCCGGGTTACTAGCCCGTTCTCCTGGTCGATGCCGATGAAGAGCGGGCGCTCATGGCCGGCTAGTCGGGCTTCCTCTTGGAGGGCGCGTGTGAGAGACTAGATCATTCTTAGCATTATATAGATATAGGGGTATGTGTATGAGGGTACCTGGAGTTGGGCCACATCGCTGATGTTTCGCTTGAACAGAACAATGCCGCCAAGGGCATGCTCATGGATTAAGGTTTTGATCTCAGGGCTCGGGGTGAGGCCATGAAAGCCAACGGCAAAAAGCTATTGAGTCAGTCATAGTTTGGCAGACATCAGTGGAATGCCTACCTGGCCGACTTTGGTCTGCAATTCGGAGGGTGCCATCTTTACTATCAACAACACAGTCGATGCGGGGCTATACCCGAAGTGGGGTTGTCCAGGGGTTGGGTGGATTGACAGAACAATGGACTAAGTACACCGTACTTTGATCAATTGTTCAACCTACGTTGAGAAGAGATCAATTTTGTAATAAAGAGAAGTAGGAGAGTGGTGAAGGTGAGGGGAAAACAGATGAAATATATGAAGTCAATTTGGGCTGCTGACAAACATCGTCTCTACCCGATCCGCTCACATTGAAATTTGACTGACTGGATGTCCCTGGATCCCTATGGTTTTGATATCAACCATACATCCTATGCTTCTCATTCTATGGTAAATGACAGACGAGAAAAGCTGCTGCTCAATCTTAGGCTCTCTGCCTGGATTAGGGTTGGCAGACTCAAACCCTAACTCTCCAGTTTCAAGTATATACTTCTCATCAACTTCCATTCCAACAAGGACGTGAAAGGCAACCATCTCATCTCCATGTTTCCCTTTGGACCACTGTTAGGTGGTCATACGAACCTCAAAGTCCATGAATCATCAATGAGGGAACAAGACCAGCATCAGTAACCGCACTAGCGAGACTTCCGCCACCACCAGTCCCGCTATTCGAGCTGAGCGAAAAATATCCGACGTAACATGGTTCCTGCAACTGCTGCGAGGCGCAGTTGTGATAGAAACGGTGACGAGGAGATCTTGGCAAAGATGTAGGATGATGCGAACATTTACGTGTCGTGGAACAGGTTGAGTGAGTGGTGGATGTGGTGGAATGTCGGTAGAATGCTCCCCCTTTTCCTGTCTTCTGCTGGATTATTAACCATCGGGGAACGGGCTGACACGCCCTAGGCCTCTGTGGTTATCGTGCCCTTTGGTGAACTCATATACCAGAGCAGCTTTTCTTCGTCCTAATCCTGAAGTCATCTGACGCGCGAGGCCGCTCCAACAGCAATGTCATAAATCAGACAAGGCACCCCTGTGGTAGTCTGGTCATGTTACCGACATGTCATTCAACCATATACGGTAATCCTTGTCGAGTGACATGGCAGTGAGGCAATAGCACCAATACAACGGCCGTATGTGCATCTGGTTTCCTACCCTCCCGCGCTGATTGGAATATTTGCATTCAAATACTAAAGGGACCGGGGTAACACGTGGGTCCCAGGCGACTGACACGTCTCGGCTCATTCACGAGCTTATCCAAATCCTGGCAGATGTTTATTTCTTCCCGTTCTCCTACTCGTTGTCATTGGCCCAGAAGAATAGAAAACCCCGGCGTTACACTGTGGTGAAACGTACACCCATACTCGCTGTGTGTCACTGAGCACTGCTCAGGGTCTGCAAGAAGAGAGAAATGAACCGAGTACGAGAAGGATGTTTCGAAAAAGCGAGTTCTACTCTGGATACAGTCAGAGGATGTTTCGTTGGCTGGATTCAACACGAAGAAGTCCTGCTCCCTGTTTGTTTCAGCCGGGGTGAGATAGGGCAGTGTCGGCCACGTGGAGCTGACTACCATCTCCAGCCCGTCCACCACTGATTTGATATTCAACATGGACTCCCCTGTCAACATTCGGTTTTTTCAGAAATTCTCTTTGTCATGTATCCGCCGTACTCGCTTAGTCCACAGCTTCTGTTCCTGGCGGGCGCACTGCAGTTACCCACTCTGTGTGCCGTCCTTGTAGCACTCGGCGCTAATTCGTCAAAATCTAGGGCTGTATGCGAGATCACGGCGGTCTCTGGAGAGGGCATCCTTCAGGAGGCTGTCATACTGGTCAGGTTGTAGTCAGCATCTTGAGCCTGCCCTAGGGATGTCGTTCTCCCTCCTCGACAGTCTTCTAGAACAGGATGTCAGTTTTCGGAACCAATACGGGAGAGGGGCTGAGTGTGAGACCTGCAAGCTCCCCAATTCGAGGTCTGTGGGTTCTTCTTTGGCGTATAGTGTCTTGGTGTTGGGCCACAAACACGGACAATAGTACAATACGGTACTCATCATCCTGCAGCCACAATGCCATGTCGTGCAACCGGTTTATCTGCCTCGGAGAACGAAGCATCGCGTCACGATGGACGAGTTCAGAAAATCCAATCGAGTGGATCGAGACCATGAGATCAGGGTCAGCAGCATGGGCCACCATCCCAGCCGCAGTCCCATCGACCCCTCAGTGTGGGGCTATACTAATCTCCTGCATCACGAAAGACGAATGGCTTTTGCAACAGTCTGCATTCCACACCGTCCCAGCGTAATGACCGGATGCAGGCCTTAATGACCGGATGCAGGCCTTGCCAACCAAGTGGCTAAGCCTCTTGGTCACGTGGTTTTGCGAGCCTTCAAAAGGGGCCCGGTTCTTTCTTTTCTTTTCTTCGTTTCTTCGGTTTCTTCCTCTTTTTCCAGTATAACCCTCTCTAGCCCGGGCGATGTGTTACTGGGTCCCTGGTCTGCACTTGAAATCCATTCGTCGGTGAGTCGCCCTCATGATGGTCCTTCGCGCCGTCTGCTTTGGCCTGCTGGTCTCCGAGATCGGAGCTATCCCTGCACTGCAGCCCTATGCATCTGCCCCTGCCACCGCAGTGCTGCCATCAATTGCATCCACCTCAACCGCCACCGCATCATCTCAGCTTGACCAGTTGGCCAGCTTTGCTCTGATCGTGACAACGGAGAGGGTCTCGAACCGCACAGCGCAGAAGCGGGATGGTTGTACGCGCAACAAACTGCGAGTTCGTCGCGATTGGAGAACTCTTTCCGACCCGCAGCGGAGGGAGTTTATAGACGCAATCCTGTGTCTCCAGCAACTGCCCTCCCAGACCCCTCCCGACCTCGCCCCTGGCGCAAAAACCCGCTATGACGACTTTGTAGCCACGCATATCAACCAAACTAGGCAGATCCACTTCACGGTACGTCCCCAACAGTCTCGTGTTGCCCCTACTGACCACTCCCTTGATAGGGAACGTTTCTCGGATGGCATCGGTACTTCGTCGCGGAGTTCGAGCAAGCGCTGCGCAGCGAGTGCGGCTACACAGGCGACTACCCGTACGTATACATCCATTGACTAGAGGGCCCATCACCAATCTACCAATCCAGATACTGGAACTGGCCCGACGACACGGAAAATCTTGAAGACTCCCCCATCTTCGACGGCAGCGACACCTCATTCTCCGGTAACGGGGCCCCCATCCCCAACCAGCCGCCCGAATTCGCCCTCACCATAAGCGGCCGACCGCCCATCTGGCTCCCCACCGGCAGCGGCGGCGGGTGCATCACCGACGGGCCCTTCAAAAACTACACGCTGAACCTCGGCCCCGCGGGACTGGCCCTCCCCGGCGGCGAGCAAGCCTCCGCGCCCAACCCCCTCGACTACAACCCACGGTGCCTCAAACGGGACCTCACTTCCAGCATCCTGCGCCAATTCTCCAACGCCACGGCGGTCGTCGAACTTCTGCTCAAGAACCGCATCGTCTATGACTTCCAAACCTCCATGCAGGGCACGCCCGGTAGCGGCGGGATCGGCGTCCACGGCGGCGGCCACTATTCCATGGGCGGCGATCCGGGCCGCGACGTCTTCACCAGCCCCGGGGACCCTGCATTCTGGGTCCACCACGGGATGGTGGATCGGGTGTGGTGGATCTGGCAGAGCTTGGACTGGGGCGCGCGGTGGAATGCGATATCGGGAACGGGTACGTTCCTGAATGAGCCGCCATCGCCGAATACGACGCTCGAGACGGTGGTGGATATTGGGTTTGCGGGGAGTGGGGGGCCGATTGCGATGAGGGAGATTATGAGTACGACTGCGGGCCGTTTTGCTATGTGTATTTTTGATTTTCTTTTGTTCTTTCTTTCTTTCTTTCTTTCTTTCTTTTCGTGGGGAGATTGTTGTGGTTTGGGTTAGGGTTCCATAAAGATCTGAGGGGGCGTTCGTGGGAGTAACACCGGCTGGTTATTTTTTTTATTGACTCCGGCTAAACAGGACTTATAGTAGCGGAATGGATTGTTTGACTTGGCGAATTTTAAGCTTTGTCCATTCTTCCTTGTGCATACTAACTCGCTCGACAGTAAACTGCATATCGAACAGTGTCACTGTCATCCATGCGTTGATCGTTCCAGAAAACCAGATCGCCATCGCCACGACATCCTCCACGGTTGATCTGCTAGGCTCTCTTTACTCTCATTGTTCCTGATCAGCAATGATAAATACTCCATATGGGTAAAGAACATGTCGATCCGTCTCTAAGCGAAGTGGGCGGGGCGTATCCAGCATCCGAATACGCCGTTCTCCAGCACCAAATCTGCGTATGGCTTCAGACCAGCATACAGACACACAACCAGCAACAACAACAACACCCAGATCCAACATTCCCGATCAGAATCTGTCATAGCAACATCCTCCTCCTACGTCATCTTGAAACCGCAAATCACGATGCAAAGGAGGCGACCGCGGCACGCACTAAACCGTCCATGTGAAGAGTGGAGCAGCGATCGACATCAGCACTCCCCATGGGGGGATGGAGCACCGATCACCACCAACTCCTGGAAATTCATTAAAGCTGTGCCAGTCGCCGGTTTGGACCGCGAAAAAGAACAGACCTTTTCCACCTTATCACCTCGCACCCCGCCTATCTTCGATCCTGTGCTCCCTCATTTCGGCCATATGTCGTACTAAGATGCGACTGCTGTCCGGCTTGGCCGTTACCACTCACTACCACGAGATCAACATCGTTTGATCCGCTGACGACTTGAATCTGAACCAGAGGGAGAAATAACCCCGAGGAAAGGGCGAACAACGCAAAAGGAGGCCAGCACCTGAGTAAAAACCGGATTAAAGCAAAATGTCGAAATCCGACATCGAACACAGCAGCTCAGGGGCCAACCCTGAAGCAGCGACGACAACCGACCCCGCCAAGCCGACGCTCTTCCAGCGATTCAAGACACACATGAAGCGATGGTGGTGGGTGTACCTGATCGCATTCTGCGTCGTCATCCTCGTCGTCGTCCTCCCCGTCATCTACGTCGGCGTCCCCAACTTTGCCAGCAAATACATCAACGACTACGAGTACGACTACTCGGGTCTGGAAATTACCAACCCGCGTCCGGACGCGTTCCACGTGCGCCAGAAGAAGCAGCTCTCCATGGGCGGTGGGTTCAGCGGCAGTGGGTATCTGAGCCCGTTTGACGCCGATATAAAGATGCCTGATACGGGGGAGACGTTTGCTGTGTTCCCTGTGCAGCGGATTGCGTTTGACGGTGGGGCGGAGCTGGATATCGATCAGGATCTGCATCTGGATTGTGTGGAGTGTTTGGGGAGGCTGGCTGTGCAGGCTGCGACGAATGAGGATCTCTCGGTTTTGGTGACTGGGAAGCCGGATTTGAAGTTTGGGGCGCTGCCGACGGCGCATTTAGATATTCGGAAGACGATGAAGATGAAGGGTGTGTTCTTCCCACCTTATTGTATATTGATATAGATGCTAACTGGTTCAGGCTACGATGTACAAAGTGAGTAGACCAGACTATATGGTCACAATTGGCATACTAACCGATATAGAATTCGTCAACACCCCAGGCAGCTTCAACGTCACCAGTGTCAATCTCCTGAAACCCCCGACCAAAGAAGGCTACAACGTCAACGCCACGATCGCGCTCAAGAACCCGACTCCTTTCTCCGTCGAGATGGTATGTTCCCATGGATATAACCCCCAGGACCTTGGTTATACTAGAACCACTCACTGACACATTCATAGGGCTCCGTCAGTTTCAATCTCTCCATGGGAGGCTCCGACCTGGGCTATATCGACGTCCCCGATCTCACCCTCAAGCAACCCAGCAGTGAGATTGTCATGTTGGGCGACCTGGACATGGACTTGCTCATCCAGCAGGGCATCTTCGGGGACGGCGATGGCCTGGGCGAGGTCACTATCGACGTTCAAGGCACTCGCTGCGAGTACAACGGGGAGGAGATCCCGTACTTTGCACCTGCGATTAAGGCGATTAAGGCGAGTGCGCATATTAATCTGATGGATTATGCGTCGAGTTTGATGTAATAATTATTCTATTCTATTCTATTTTCATTTTTACTTTTCTAGGTTCATGTTATGTGTTTGAGATACTTGTCTATCTGGCTGAAGGTTATGATTGTATGTGTGGAAGGAGTTTTACATCTAGACATGGTTGCAGATAGACGCCAGGCTACGTTGGAGAGGAGTTGATGGGAATGATCAATAATGATATTGATGATCTGTCACAATTGTATGTGCAGTTATAGAACACTCTGCATGTCAAGGATTTCACCCATTCCACGTTGCATGATAATCACTCTCCTACGACCCTATTTATGTCATCACAGGATGTATTGTACTATCTCCAGCAGGCGCGCCCGTTCGAGAATGCGGGGCCAATCCTTGTGTCGCCCGACAAGGAGCACCTCCTTCCACCGATTCTCCATCCACCATATCTTATTCTATCAATTCCCCTAGTCTTGAGATCATGTTCTCCTAAGTATCTTACCTGGTTCCAGCCATCATGACTCAAAACAATGAAGACATGAGGAATGCAGGCCCTAATCCGGCACATTCTCCCACTGGTAAAGCCATCACTACCACCACCACGGCGTCCCCAGAGAGAGACCATGAAGATACAGAATATGAGTGCCTCTTCGGGACATCTGAGCTTGGTGAGCAGCCACCGACAACACGTCGGGAACTGTGGTCCTATTATCTCTACTACAATGGTATCCCCCCCTTACCACTTTACTTGAATCAGCCGCTCACCGCATCCAGGCGACAATGGGGTCGGTCCAGGGACATATACCAAAGCCCTGTATGTAGATCATTCCAGAAGTTCCATAAGCACTCCACATATGCCCCTTGTCTAACGGATCAGCTTCCAACGGGCTCTCAACCAGGCAGGCTGGCAACCGCACACCAACCCCCCCAAGCCCTGCACTGAGTCGTCGCCCTGCGTCGTGCCCTGGACGGGCGGGCCCCGCAGCGTCTCCTCCGTCATACTCATTGCCGATGGCCTCTGCTTCGCCTTCATGACCGTCATCTTCATCTGGCTCGGCAGCGCCGCCGACTACGGCTTCTTCGGCCGCTGGCTGCTCCTGACGCTGACGGTCGTCTGCTGGGCCCTGCAGTACGGGATGATGGCCGTCCGTCAGCCGTCCCAGTGGCCGGTGGCGATGGGGCTCTACGTCGTCTCTTATGTTGCCTACGGCGCGACGTTGGTCTTCTACGCTGCTGTGTTTCCCAGACTAGCGCGACAGATGCCGCGTGTGCGCAAGGCACGGGATGAGTTGCGCGATGGTAACATCAGCCAGGAGGAGTATGATGCTTTGGAATCGTTGGAGAGAAATCACATAAGGTCTTCCTTCTTTCTCCCCTATCTTGGATGAGAACTTCCTGCTGACCTGCATAGCAACGTCTCCACCGCCCACAGCAATATCGGCTACCTTCTTACCTTGGTCCTCAATCTGAGCGTGCTGCTACCCATGGAGGGTAATGACTTTGCCAACAATCTAGCGCTTTGCTTGACGAATTCATGTATGACTTGACTTTGTGATCCGCTTATCCTGAAGTTATGTTGATAATATTAGACTGGGTCGTCCTCGGCGTCTGGTGGTTCCTCTTCCAGCAGAAACGCCCCGGCCCAGACGTCCCCAAAGGCTCTAACTACGCGACTATCGGTCTGAAGCAGCTGTGGATGGCCCTGCGCGAGGTACGCGCTCTCCCGCAGACGTTTTTGTATTTTGTAGCGTATTTTCTGCTAGCGGATGGGTTGAACACAACTGGTATCTCTCCTCCCTTCTCCCTCCCCCCACCTATGACTCGAGAATAAAGAAGAGAAGTTAATAAAAAAGGAACCCTCGTCTCAATCATCCAAACCAACCAAGTCGCCTTCTCCTTCCTCCAAATCACCTACCTCGGCATCACGCAAGCCGTCTGCTCCATCGTGTCCACCTTCAGCTTCTGGTACATCCAGCGGTACTTTCGCATCCGTACCAAGCGCATGTTTCTCGTTACGAACCTGTTCAGCGTGTTGATCCCGCTGTGGGGGATGGTGGGACTGTGGACGGGGAAGATTGGGTATCATCATCGGGTTTGTCATGCTTCCCTCTGTGTTCATGTCTAGGCTGACTGTAGTAGTGGGAGTTTTATCTGTATAATGTTGTTTTTGGGCTATTCCAGGCTCCGTATTATGCTGTATGCCCCCCTCTTGGTTGGAAGATGAACACAACAAACTAGTACCCAAGTACTATACATGATGAAGAACGTACTAACTGGATAAACAGTACGCCCAAACTATGATCTCAGAACTAATGCCTACCGGCTACGACAATATGTTCTTCGCCCTATTCGGCATCACCAACCGCGCTGTTTGTCCCCCCCCCCCTCACCCATCAATCAGTTAACTGGGATATATATACTAATCCAGGAACATGATAAGTCGTCGATTATCGGCCCCAACGTCATCCAAGCCATTATCAACACCACCCAGAACAATTGGATGGGTTTCCCGTTTCTGTTTGCCATTTGCGCTACGGCCATGGTGGCTATCATGTTCGTGGATGTTGAGAAGGGGCGCGCGGATGCGAGGAGGTTTGTGTTGGCTAAGACTAGTGCTTCCGCTGGGAGGGGGAGAAGTGAGTAATATGTTTTTCTGGGTTGGGACAGTTATTGAGGTCTAATATATAAGTCTTGACAATCATTTTATTAGAGTAGTTAGTTGTTTGTTTGGGTTTGTTTGGTGGCTACTCCGTCCTTCTATATCTATCTATGTATCTATCATTATCAGAGAACTTCAAGCGCACCGGTAGCGATTAGGGGTAGATGTGGAGTTGTGTGGGAGCGTCAGGGTGACCAAGATGTAGGCTTATTTATATATGCGTAAGGTCAATCTCAAACAAAGAGAAACAGAGTCTATCACGATTGGACAGGACTCCTGGCTGCCAGATACAATCAACAAAAGCGGCGTGCTGCTAACATGATCTCGACCCGGGCGGGGTGTAGAGGGTGCATGCAACGCCACAAGGCGATATACTTCTGCTAACCACATTCGGGCAGAGGAGCTCGAGTCAGCAATAGGTAAAACATCCACTAGTACCAGTGAGGGTGAAGTGAGGATTGGGCTGGCTAACATCATCTGGCTAGATCATATCCTGTGATAAGGATCTAGAATAGGAATATTTTTAGTGTTAATGAGCACAGCTCTCTTTCGGAAGTTCCTGATACTCTCCACACCGCTGTTTGCTGTATTTATGCTCGTCAGGTGTACGGAGTACTGGTTCCCCGTGTTATATATACACTCCACCGTAACAAACAGCAGCTACAGCCACCTCCATGACCAGAATGGGTGTCGTGATAACATGATCAATGGAGCTGGCGCTTCCATGGTTCATTGTAATATCAATGTTCTCGTCATTGGTGCCGGATTCGTCGGCATCTGTCTACATTCTACCCCATCAGTCGAGAAAAGAAGGGCCAAAAGCGAGGATTGTCGGAGCCGTGGAGTATACCAGACAAGAATTGACTCTTATCATAAGGGCGGTGCTCTTTCCATAGTGATAATCTCGCAAATCATAGGAGAGGATGGTGGAAAATAGCAGAATAGAAACCCATCGATTTGAATGAAAAGCGACGTTAAGTTTACCTGGCTTGTATGTCAGAGTCAGCTAAATATCAGCGAGCTGGGGAGGATTGCATCTATTACTGGATAGCACACATGAGCAAGGTTTGAAGTATGCATTGTGTCGGGGGTGTCAATTCTGATAGTCTTGTCTGCAGGTAGTCGTTTGTGGTTTTCATGCTTACCTAGCATATGAGATGTCAGCTATCATACATCATTCACTAGATCCTTGAGACCAAAAGTATTCTGGCAGCAAGCTGTTGCCCTTGTGTAAATAATAGCAATTGACTTACAAGTATGCAAGGTCATCATCTGGAATTCAGAATCATGCTTTTTGGAATCAGGGGCCCTGCAGTGAACCGCCTATTAAATACCTCTAGTCTCCCACATTCCCCGTACCTCCACTGCACCACCAGCGTATCCAGCGATGTTTACACCACTGCCGCAGCTGACGTCTGAGACGTCCCTTGACGCTCCTGCTCCTCCGGTAGTCCATATCCCCCGTGAAATTCGCCGTTCCAGCAAGGTCAACGAGGTATACAGCAAGGCCTTGGATGAGCACGGCCCAGTGATTATTGTCCCCAGACACGGCCGCAAAGAATATGTCATTGACCACCGATACGCTCACGAGGTTCTCACCGACACCAAGAGCTTCACATTTGAAAAGGCAGCCTTTGAGCTGCTTCACCTGGGTTTCCTGGCACTTTTTGACAACGGCGCCTTCGTCCGCGACGTCGACAGTCTGGTGGAGAATAATGTCCAGCCGCGCATGAACGCCATTATTGAACAGATATTTCCCGTCTTTGAGCAATACTTCGACCGATTAACGGATGAACTACCCGACCCAGCCGTCGACAAGACGGCCGTCGAGTTTCCCGACATTTTCCATCGGATACAGCTCGCTGTCGCCCACGCCATGGTCGTCATGATTCTCGGACCCGCGCACGCCTCCTCCATCGTAGCGGGCCATTTCGCCGCGGTGGCGGTGGCCATGGCCAATATGACGGGCATGCATGAGAATACACACGAGTGGGCGTGGCTCCCATGGCTGTGGGTGTTGGTCAATGGACTTTCCGCCGTCTTGTTTACAATCATCCCGAGGTTCTTCTTCCACGTCGTTCCCTCGCTGTGGAAAGCCCGGAACGAGCATCTGGAGAACGGTCTTGCCGCCAAACACGGCCAGTTTGTCCCGCTCTTTGACATCCTGCTCGCGAAACACTACCACGGCACGACCGGGTTGTTCGCGCTAGCCGGCTTCTTCCGCTGTGTCATCCTCTGCGTCGGGCTCATCTTTGCCTCCATACACCAGACTGTCGTTGCCGGCCTCTGGATCCTCATCAAGCTCACGCAGCACCAGGATGAATACCTACCTGTTCTACGCGAGGAATGGGAGCGGGTCAGCCCGGCGGGTGAGTGCTTGAACGTCAAGAAACTCACCCAGCTAACACTACTCGACTCCTTCATCCGCGAGGTACTCCGTACCAAGGGCGATACGTGGGGCCCCGTGCGCCAGACCACTCGGCCGGTCCGCGTGGGGCCATACGTGCTGCCGAAAGACGCCATGTGTCTTGTGCTCATCTCCCGGGCGCACCAGCATCCTGACAATTACGGCACGGAAGGGGCCTTACTCAATGGCTTCCAGTGGGCAGAGAAGGGACGACCGGCTGTCCAGGGTGTCCCTGAATTCCTGACGTTTGGGCTGGGCAGGTGGGCGTGTCCCGGACGGCAACTTGCCATCCATGAAATCAAGATCATACTCTATATGTTTTTTTCCAAGTTCGACGTTAAGCTTAAGGGGAATACCTACCGGGTGATCAACACGATTAACACGACCTCTATCGCTCCAGAAGCGACCCTTATGTTGAGGCGGAGAGACTGTGTGAACGGCAAGCCGGGTGTTTCATCGTCCTGAAATCGAGAATAGGGGATAATGCGCGGGCTGGATGAGCCAAATGTCCTTGAGAATGCAGAATATATCAGGAGTCACGTAACACCACAGAAATGTTGTTCGATCTACAAGAAGTTAGTTTACCTCTACCACACATGCATGATTTAGAGTGGTCTTGCATGGGATGATTCGTATTGTAACGAATGGATCAACGAAGTAAATTCAAGAAAGAAACTGCGGTGAACATAGAGACGAGAAGAGCAACGAAAACCGGCACGACAGCTCCATTGGCCGGAGGACATCCCGAAACCACATGCGTCTTTAAACACGCAGTCGTAACAAGGGATCACGCCTCTTGTCCCCATCCATTGCGCGTTTCGAGAGGAGTAAATCAAATGAGCAGCGGAACTATCCTCACATCATCAACACGACATGGCCAGCGGCATCCTCTGATGGGGCCTGGATTGCGTTCTGGTCGATGTGGTTGGAGCCTGGCACGCAGTCCTCGCCTAGTTTAGGAACTCTGCGAGGCATATTTTCGCCAGATCTATACATACTCCCGGGAAATAGGTCGGCGAGGCCGTTGCTCAGCCAATGGTAGTCGTCCAACCCGGTCACGCCCATCGGCACTATACTCGAGAAAAGCGGCCGGGTGTCTATCGATTATAGCTTGGCCTAAGAGTGGGACCATGATCGACACGGTGGACGAGCTGGGGCCCTGGACGCCCAACGAGGGCGACGCTGCAGGGGGGAGAATGATCTCAAGGGAGCCATCGGTCTTATGTTTTCCATCGATGGAGACTTGGCATTTTGGCAAGCTCAAGACTAACGGCAGAGGACCCAGGAGGATTTGCGAGATGACAACGCGAATCCGGTCAGTGTCCGTCCGATTTTCCGTACCTCAGCCTTGTTGGACAATGATGAACCATCCATTATCCATTTGCCGAGTGCATTATTCTTGGGATAAGTTCACCCATGGGGATTCCATTCGTTGGATGGGAAATCCAGTGCTGTTCAATCCAGAAATTTTCCGTTTGGAATAGAGAATAGCTTTCCCTCCCTTAGCAGGCTTGAGTTCATCATCTCTCGCGCTCGGTTTTCATCATCGTTGTTCATCCAAGTCTCCACCTACCCCCAAGTATAAGACCCGTCCCAGTCTAGTGGGATGGTGGGAAGGTCTTAGGCAGCAGTTAAACCGTAAGATGAGAAAACCTCGACAAACCCATCACACGCTGAGGAATTTAATCAGAAGATCATTGATAGAAAGCTCAAAATGAACGTACTAGATGAGGCATTCAATTGAAGCGACCTGGTTAACTCCACCCATGTGGTTCATCCATTTGATAGAACTGGACCGGTTCGATCGAGCTTATTCGTCATCAGTATTGCGGTATACAATGACATAATGTCACAGAATGACAGATGTACAAGGGGGATTCAAGGTGTAGAGAGAGAGGGGGGAGAGAGAGAGAGAGAGAGGGAGAGAGAGAGAGAGAGAGAGAGAGAGAGAGAGAGAGAGAGAGAGAGAGGAGGGGGAGAGGGAGAGGGAGATGGTATACAGAGGGAATAGTACATGATGTTGGTGTGTATGGTGAATACCAGTAATACCGTATATCCGCAGCATTATATGATAAATACAGTATGGTATAGGAAGAGAGACCCTGAATTTAGACAGCCAATCACGGGACCCCGCCACCGACGATGACGTCGCCCTTTCATTTCCCTTTCATTTCCCCATCCGTCTCTCTCTCTCTCTCTCTGGTACCTTAAGTTACTACCACCTGGCTCCCCACTCATCTTTCCTCCCCGCCCCATCCTTCTTCTTCCTCCACCAACTTCTTCATCCTCAACTCTATTGTTCTCTCTACTATCTCTTTGTTCTTCCCCTCCTCCTGGTTCAAACAGATATATTTTTCCCTTGATTAATCATATACCCCTCCCCCCTTTACCCCCAGTCCTGAAGAAATGTCTTCCAGTAAGGATTCGCAGGGTGTGCCTGCCGGCAGTAAAGGGTCTTGGTCCAGTTTTCTTAAGGTATGAGACATTACCCACCACCAACTCCCACTCTTCCACGAGTCCACTCTGCAAATAGTCGTTGCAAATGGTCCTGGCATCTAGGAGCTGGCCTGTCCAACACTGGATACCCCCACCGCCCCTCCCATCAGTCCTCTCTTGCCGCCTAGGAAACTGACCAGTTTGATCCTACAGTCGATCGCCTCCTTTAACGGGGATCTCTCGTCTTTGACCGCTCCTCCTTTTATTCTGTCCCCGACCTCCCTCACGGAATACTCCGCCTACTGGGCCGAACACCCCTCCATCTTCGTGGCTCCCGCCCGCGAGGCGGACCCGGAGAAGAGAGCCCTTCTCGTCCTCAAGTGGTTCCTCACCACCCTCCACCAGCAATATTGCAGCCGCAGTGAGAAGCTGGGCAGTGAGAAGAAGCCCCTGAACCCCTTCCTCGGAGAGCTCTTCATCGGAAAGTGGAGCTCGGACCCGGAGGTGGGCGAGACCACTCTCATCAGCGAACAAGTCAGGTGGGTTATAAACATCCCTAACCGGTCGCCACCCGTCGCAGAACCTTATTTTTGACTTTATCGTTTGTTCAGCCACCATCCTCCGGCGACAGCCTATGCCATCCAAAATGAAAAGCACGGCATTCAGGTGAGTATCCTACAATCACGCTTTCGATCGATAAAGCGGAATCAAATACTGACAGTTTCCACAGCTCCAAGGTTACAACGCACAGAAAGCCTCCTTCTCCAACACAATCCAGATCAAGCAGATCGGCCATGCCCTGTTGACTCTGACTCCTCCCGGGGCGGACCCGAAAGACCCAGCCCAGCAAGAACAATACCTCATCACGCTTCCGTACCTGCACGTCGAGTCGTTGATCTACGGAACCCCGTTCATGGAGCTGGAGAGGACCACTCGAATTGCCAGCAGCACTGGATATACTGCCAAGATCGACTACTCCGGCAAAGGCTGGCTGAGCGGAAAGAAGAACACCTTCAACGCCTCGCTCTACAAGGAAAGCGAGGGGGAGAAGAAGCCCCTCTACACCGCCGACGGCCAGTGGTCGAAGAGCTTCAGCATCAAGAACGCGCGGACGAAGGACGTGATCGACACGTACACGGTTGATGAGAACCCGACGACGCCGCTCCAGGTCGCCCCGCTGGAGGAGCAGGACCTGTACGAGAGTCGGCGGGCGTGGCGCGACGTGGCCGGCGGGATCCTCAAGGGTGACATGGACTCGGTGTCTGTGGCCAAGGGGACGATTGAGACTGCCCAGCGAGAGCTCCGCAAGGTCGAGAATTCCGAAAACCAGGAATGGCAGCGCCGGTTCTTCCAGCGCGTGGACGGGACCGACGAGCAGTTCCAGAAGTTGTTCAGCAGGGTGAACCTGGAGTCGCTGGAGAGTGACAAGACGGGTGGAGTGTGGCGATTCGACCAGTCCAAAGCGGTGGGCGCCAAGCCCCCGTATCACAGCATCGACGTGCCCGGCAAGGGACTGGGGGTGCCGGAATAAATCCACACCTCAGATTGGATAGAGTGGGCGGGATTTTAGCTGTATAGGTATTACCATTGTGGGGTCACGCGTCATTTACGTGATGGGATTTTCTTTGGGTTTCATTTGCTGGGTTGGGTCTACTCGTGACCCTGGTGATTATAGATCGTTCTCGTTACCGCGTTTCCTGTTTTTGCTTTGGATAGGAATCTTCCGAGTCTTCCTTGGGATCGTGTCATTAACTATTATTGAGCATCCTGTACATAGAACGATCCCACGTTACTTATCTCTTCCATTTGGTATGGTTGCCTCTCTGTAAACAGGATGAAGTATATGGAACTTGTCTTCATTGATCTACAGATTTCAACTACATCTCGCCCTGGATATTATTGTATATTGTACATATATATCGGTCAGTCGATATGGATAGTTCTAGGACTCAGCCTAAACTCAATAAGTACGTACCAAGCAAATATAATTTCAAAAACAGCAGTTGAACCAAAGGTTTATAATCTTCCAATTCTTGGCTGGGCACATAGTCCTCGTACGAGAGTAGCTACTCAGTAGTACATTTACCATCAACAGACAATTCTAAACAAAACCACAGATTCAAAGTCCTACAACATCCAATAATAACCACGTTAAAGAAATACACCCCATATACACACCATACGTACCTACTATATATATATATATATACATACACCCGTACCCCAACACTAACCCCAACCCAACACTAACCCCAACCCAACACCATCCCCACATTCAACTCAGTTCAATATCTCAATAATACATCCCTCGGCCACCCCAACCATCCCTCCCACTCGCTCCCCAAAAACTCCCCTACAGACTCGATCAAAAACCGGCCCCCATCGCCAAATATCCACAACTCCGAGAAGCGGTGCAGCAGTGCCCCGTAACACGCTAATATCACGAGCGCTTCGGGTCGCCCGTGCATGAGCAGGTCGATGTAGGAGGGGGAGACGAGGACGGGCCAGGCTATTATGCCGGTGGGGTTTGTTTTCTCTTTTTGTTGGCTTCCCCTTTCTCTTTCCGTGTCGCTGTCGCTGTTGGCGTTGATGTTGCCGTTGTTAGGGATAGGGGCGGGGGTAGGGATGTCGTCGTCTACAGATATGCGCGATGCGTTGGCTGCGACTTGCAAAGCCTGTATCGCCTGGTGATAGACGCGGGTTGAGTCTGCGCCGAGCCGGCGGGCGGTGATGCGATCCCAGAGGTGGTGGAATGGGGGAGCTAGGTTATTGCTGTCATCGTTGCTATCACCACCACCGCCGCCATTCCAATCAAAGAGGGCAGCGCTGCCATCTAGAAGGGGTGATAAGACAGACGCACGAAGCATAGACCACGCCGATCCCGTAACCGCACGAACACCATGATGCAATCGGAGATATCTGACGAAGCGAGCGATGAAATGTCCAAAGTCCGTATCCCTACCGGGGTGGTCACGGAAGACAAGCGTATCGCAGAGGGCGTGCAGGCCCAGACAGGATGAGAAGAGGAGGAGCGGGGCACAGGTGTCTTCTGTGATGGGGACGAGGTCCGGGGTGGCGTTGAAGGCTGCGAGCGCGTGGGTTTGGAGTTGCGCGGCGTGGTGGTGGTAGGTTTTGCGGTGGGGGGGTTGGGTTGCGCTTATGTGGAGGGCGGAGAGGGCGAGGAGTTCGTTGGCGAGGTAGGGGGTGGAGAGGGAGAGGGTGGTTATGTTTGGGGTGAAGGAGGGTGTTGTGAGGGAGTGGGAGGTTGAGGTTGTGAAGTTGTGGAGGAGTTGAAGGTGGAGGAGGTTTGCGGGGGGCTCTTGGGGGGATGTAGTCTCGTGGAGGTTGATTGGTGTTGGTGGTGTTGGTTGTGATGTTGTTGTTGATGGTGGTGATGGTGGTGATGGTGTTTCTTCCACTGTAGGGATTCGCGGAGAGCGATACTCGCATGCTCGCTCTGTGATGGAACAGTGGGAGCAGATCGGACGTCGCTCATCACACTGCATACTAGTTAGTAATTTGACAGGATTCGGAATAATGCAGAACTGACCTTGACATGCCGCCTCTTACATTCCAGGCAACCATTTCTGGACTTGCGATGAGCCCTGCGGACCATATTCTCTACCCTCATCTATACCCACTAGACAAGCCTCACCAAGCTCTCCCAGATGACGAGCCAACAAGTGAGCAACCAACTATAATCACTGCGCCTCAGCAGGATGAAAGAAAAACCAAGCCCCAAGTCCAACCTCGCTAGAATCTACCGGTGAAACAATCAAGCCTTGAACCACGAGACGAGTGTAGATCATCGAGATAAGCTGACACTAACAGGGCAGTGGGAATGGAATACGCGTATGCACAGACCAGTTCCCGACTCCACCATGGTGGCTTGTTTCACTAGATCTATACGCGGGTGTTATAGCGTTGACGGCACGGAAATAGACCTACTTCGTGGATTACTGGGAACGAGATGCGATTAGATGTCTTTCCGCGTATTCTTATTGTGATGCCTACAGATATCGATTGGGAGATAGACAGACAGAAAGATAGGGATATAAACCCAGACGTCGTCCACAATACATCTTCCAATCTATATCCAACCACAGCCCTAATTGAACCTACTACTGAAAATGGCCCAACTCGAACCATACAAAGGAACCTACTACCTCTGGCAATACGTGCCCTCACTCCCAGCAGCAGTCATCTTCGCGCTCCTCTTCCTGCTCCCGACTCTCTTCCACATCTGGAAAATATGCAAGACGCGAGCACGCTTCTGCATCCCCTTCGCCATAGGCGGAGTGTGTACGTTTATCTCCCTCCCTACCTACCTACTTACCCACCCACTCTATACATCCACATACATAAACATAAATATACTAATAAAAACAGACCAGTCGAATTCCAAGGCTACATAATCCGCGCCATCGCCCACACCCACACCTCCCACCTCATCCCCTACATCCTCCAAAACATCCTCATCCTGCTCGCGCCCGTCCTCTTCGCCGCCTCCATCTACATGGCGCTGGGCCGCATCATCCGCAGCGTCCCGGGCGGGGCGCAACACGCGCTTATCCGGCCCGGTTGGCAGACGAAGGTGTTCGTGGTGGGGGACATTGTGTCGTTTCTCGTGCAGGGGTCCGCGGCGGGGATGATGGGGAGGGGGGAGAAGGCTGGGATGGCGAATGATGTTGTTATTGGGGGGTTGGTGGTGCAGGTTGGTTTGCTGGTGCTTTTTATGGTGACGGCTGTGGTTTTTGAGGGGAGGGTGGGGAGGGCGGGAATTCTGGATGGGGGTGATGGTGGTGTGGGGGAGTGGAAGAGGCATTTGAGGGTGCTTTATGGGGTGAGTGCGCTTGTGTTGGTTAGGTCTGTGATTCGGGTGGTTGAGTATGCGATGGGGCAGGGGGGTTATCTACTTGCGAATGAGTGGTGTGTGTATGTTTTTGATGGGGTGTTGATGCTGGCTGTTATGGTTGTTTGGGGCGTGTGGCATCCGGGGTCGATTGTGCTTTTGCGGGATGGGGATACGGAGGGGGAGGGATTCAAGATGGGGACGGTGTCGAGACGGGGGTATGATTCTGTTTAATGTTATATACGGAGTATACTAACATGGTGTTGTTGATATATAAAGACTGGCAATTTATATAGACTATGAATACATCACATTCTTCCTGAATCCTACACAAGTCTTACAACTACGAGATCATATATAACACCATCCCAAGTCAATTCTTTGCATTTTCCCCATTCCCATCCCAGTCCATCCATCCATTCCGTTCCATTCCACTCCCATCCGGCCCTAACCCAGTCAAACGCATGGAGTTTGTTCCCAACTAAACCCAAATATGTAATACACAGGAAGCGGAAAAGGATATGCAAGGCAAGACCATGAACAAGACAAAGACGAGAACGACAGAGAAAAGGCAAAATGAAAATCGTCGTCGGCCGTGCAATAATGAGAAAAAAAATCAAATTCTGGTTTTTTTGCTCAGTTCAGTACAGCTTCGTGAAAACGCAAATCCGGGAGAGACCATATTTCCCAAGGGAAAGAAAAAAAAAGAAAAAAAGAAAAAAGAAAAAGAAGACGAAAACGACACCAGCCAAGTTCCCCCATAGAGAGTAGAGATTACACATGGAACAAGTTTGATGGAAAGGGAAAGACGGAGTAAGGGCAAAAGCACCAAGGGGAACATCGCAGAGCAGGAAGAAAAGAAAATGATATAAATGATTTTGTTTTCATCCCGGCTGGCCATCCTCATTGAATAAAAAAAAAAGTAATAAAGCGAATCAACAGATTTCATCATCCGGAACAAAACGAATAGTGATGATCAGAGAAACTCAACGCCTGGATCCCCTTTAATGAGTATAGTTGCCTGCCCAGCCGCCGCGGCCGCTGTTACCGTAGTAGTTCGCGAACCCGGCCGCGCCCCCGTAGTTCCCATAGCCGCTGGCCTGGTGATGGCTCTGCGATCCCGCGCCGCCCTGGTGCGCTCCCAGGGAGCCCAGTCCGGCCCCGTACTGGGGACCCAGCTGCGGGTACCCGCCGAAACCCTGCTGGGCCTGCTGGGCCTGCAGCGGCGGCAGGCTGGTCTGCGCCTGGGGCTGACCCGGCACGTTGTTGGCCGCGGAGCCCGGACGGTTGGCCTGCGCCAGCGAGGGGCTCGGTCCCGCCGCCTTGGGGGTGTCGAAGCTCTTCGGGGCCTCCTCCGCGGTCACCGGCGGCTGCTGCGACATGGGCTGGTTCTGTCCAAAGCCCGCGGGGCTGCGACCGAAGACGTCCGACATGCCCGACCCGAAGGCCGTGCTGCCCGCCGCCGTCTGCTGGGTCTCGGAGGGCTGCGCCGACCCGGTGCGGCCGCCGTACATCGAGTCCCGGCCCGGCATCGCCTGGTTGAAGCTGCCGGCCGTCGCGGGCGAGGACGAGTGGTCGTAGCTGAAGCCTTGCGGCTGGTTGTACATGCCACCCTTGCCGTACGGCGCGTACTGGCTGCCGTAGCCGTACTGGTTGCTGTGCGGCATGTAGTGATCGTCGTAGCGACGCGCGTCATCGTACATGGGGCGGTTCCGGCCGTACTGGTGCTGGGTCATCTGGCTCATGTACGAGGCGTAGTGGGGGTTCGAGTAGTAGGGGTACCCGTAGCCGTAGGCCGCGTGGGCACTCTGGCCCGGCATGTGCTGCGCGGTCGGGGTCTGGGTGGCGGCTCCCGGAAGCGTGGGGTTGGGGGTGGTGTGGCCGCTGTTGGGGGCTTCCACGTGACCGTAGCGGCCGGGGGGCTGGGTGGTGGGCACGTGCGGCTGCGCCTCGGCACCCGACACGCCAAACCCGGCGGCGGCGCGCTGGGCCAACGAGGCGTCCTGGGACTGGCTGTAGCCGCCGTAGTAGTTGTACGGCAGACGCTGGTCCATGGAGTAGAAGGGGGTGAAGTCGCTGTTGGTCGTGACGGTGGGCTGGACCGGGGCCTGGTTGGCGAACGGCTCCTGGATCTGCGGCTGGGGCTGCTGGGTCACGGGCTGGGTGAAGGGATCGTAGGGTTTCTGCGCATCGGTGTAGCGGGCGAAGTCGAAGGAGGTGTCCGCCGCGGAGGTCTGCGGGACGGGGGGCAGTCCCGGGGCGGGACGCGGGACCACGGGGGTCTCCGCCGGGCCTGGTGCTGCTGGGTGGACGGAGGGAGGGAGGCCCGGGGGGCGACGGGGGAGTGCTGCGGAGGCTGAGCGCGCGTCTCGGCTTCTTCGCGGTTCTCGTCGATGTCGACCTCGGTCGAATCGCCGTTCAATCCCATGCTGCCAAACTGCACGGCCGCCCGGTCCACGGCATGGTTGCCGGGCATGACCACGGCCTCCTGCTGCTCCATCACGCGGCGGGCCGCGGCACCCCGGGGGGTCTGCTTGAAGGCACTGGTCGGAACGCCGCCGGCGGGCTGACGCGAGGGGGTGCTGGCGACGTGGGTGGCCTGGTCGAAGTGGCTGCCCACGGTGCTCGCCGCGGTGGCCGTGGGGGCCGGGGGCGACACATCGGGGATCTGGGCCAGGTTGTTCCGCGTCAAGTCATCCTTGGGAGCGGGCACGGGAGCGGGCACCACGGGGGCTTCACTCTGCTTGGGGATGACGGGCTCGGGGCCCTTCTCCACGGGCACGGGGACCGGGGCGGGAGCGGCGACCGGGATGGGGGCCTTCTCCGCCTCTTTCTTCTCCACAACGGGTTCAGGAGCAGCGGGCGTCTCAACAGGGGCAGGGACGGGAGGAGGGACGGGGGCGGCGGTGGGGACAGGGGCGGCCGGGGCCTTCTGGGGAGGAGGGGGAGCGGGTTTGGCGAATAAGCTGGCCCAGCCCTTCTTGGTGCCCACGCTGGTCTTCGATGCATCGGCCCCAGTCTCGGCGGGTTCGGCCGCGGCGGGCTCAGCCTCGACCGTCGTCTTCGTCTCCGGGAGCGCGGCCGCCGGCGTCTCGGGGGCAGCGGTGGTAGTGGTGGTAGTGGTGGTCGTCACGGCGGACTTCTCCGGGCGGCTTCCATTGGGGACGACGACACCGCCCCGACCGCCACGGCCCCCACGACCACGATCACCGCGAGCGCGACCACGACCCTCGAATCCACCACGACCACGACCACCCCGGGCGGGAATCGTAGTTGTTTCGATCGGAGCAGTCGATACCTCCTTTGCCTTGGGTTGTTTCTTCTCGGTCGTCTTCTTCTTCACTTCTCCCCACTGAGAGACATTGCCTATCGGGACGATTCCAGTCAGTCACCCCAGCCCCTTTTCCACGAACGACGACAAGAAAGGGAACGACAGGGGAGGGGGGTGAAATTGAAACGAACCTTCAGTTATGCGATCGATTGCCTGTTCGAGGTCACCGTCGACTTCCTCCAGGGCGAAGACGAGATCCTCGTCGGTCCAGTCAGGGAACAACTCCTTCAGCATGGGTAGAGTGTTGGAGTATTTCTTCTTCATTTCGCCGAACTCTCCTTCATCCTCGAATGCGAATGTGCCGTCTGAGTTGTCAGCCTTGGCCGATCTGCTGCTGCCACCTCGACCACCTCTCGAGCTATAGCCACCACGGCCACCCCGGGCGGATACCCTACCCCGGGAGGCAGAAGATCGTGATTGGACTTCAGACATGTCGGGGGGTTCTGGGAGAGACAAGGAAAAAAAAATTTCGAGTGATCTCCAAGATGGAGAAGAGGGATGGAGAGGAGAGAAGAGGAATGGGAAGGGGAGGTGTGGAAAAACAAGGTGCGGCTTAGTGTGGAAGAAAAGCGGGTAAAAAAAATGAGGTGAGGTAGTAGTTGGTTTGTGGTTAAGAGGAAGTAAGTCGGTGTCTAGTATTCTAAGCAGAGGTTGGATTAGTTAGTAGGTTGAAAGATGCAAAGCCTGGGGCAGGTTCAGTCAGCATACCAGGCTCACACGGGCCGCCAGATTCCTAGTGAGAAGATGAAGAGATAAAAAGAAGAAAGGAAAAACAAAAAGGAATTGAAAGGGAAAAGAAAAAGAAAACAACAACGCAGACACAAAGGTCCAAGGAGTTTTTCTATTCAAGGGGGAAATGGGGGAAACAAGTATCAAAAGGGAGGAAGAAAGAGAGAAAAGAGAGAAAGATTGAAGAGAAGAAGAAGTGAAGAGAATTGAGAGAGAGAGAGAGAGAGAGATGGTCAGGTATGGTAAAGTGTAGTCAGGTTGGGGCAAACTGGCAGGAGTGGTAGAGGTATTGATGTACTGTCAGGTAATGACAGGAAGTCCAAACCCATACCCATGTTACTCTACCAGCGCACCGGTTTAGCGAGCCCATCGGAGGGTATTTTACCTCCCGCTTACCCATCCTTACCGGGGTGGATACCAGGATCTCCTCGATCATTGGTAATTTACATACGAGACCCTCGGGGTTTTCGTCATCACTCTTGATCCCGTTCTTTTCTCAATGGATTCAATAGTGAAGTTTGATCGGTGGTTAATTACATGGTGGTTTTACCCCTGCATAGTTCGACAAGGTAGTCGACTCTATTAGACCCTGATTTTGGAACTCTTTTGACCACGTCATTGGTGTCAAACCATCACAAAGGATCGTTGGAATCATACGAGAAGGCTGAAGCCTAGCCTTACCGCTCGTCTCCATCGTCAAACGGCAAAACTACACCAACCGATCCACATCTAATGCTGCAGAGGTCTAACCATCCACCGGACCCCCCTCCCCACAAACATACTTTGATGAGGAGTATGACTATTGATCCCTTGCTGTTCCGTCGATTCTCGTGATCATTAGCCCCCCCTGCTATCATCATGAAGGGAACTGCCATCCTCAGTTTGAAACCCTGGGGGAAAATCCACGCCCCATTGCCTCGGACCCCTAGAGAGTCCCGGCAACTCCTCAACGCCCTTACCTCCTCCTTTCGTCGCCAACTAGACCACGAATATCCCGTCCCTCAAGCTTCACCCCCCGCTGCGGTCGCGGATGCAAATGGAGGGGAGCCGCAGGGAACCCCGGGGAATCCCGACTCGTCAGCCCATGCGACCGACAACCATCTGCGCACCATCTTGGACAATCCTCTGTTTCGAGTAGTCCCTTCCAAAGCGGACGTCCTGCGGGGCCAACCGGGCCCCCCTCGGCTTAAAGATCAGAGGCTGGCGAAGGAACCCATGGTGGTCTTTGATGAATTGGTCGCGTCGGGTTCCGTCACCAGTGCCGACTTATATACCTGTCTCCAGTCCCAGCTATTGCTCGCAAGCGCTCACACCGGCACGGGCTTTGCCAAGGCGCTGAAAGAATCCAAGGCAGGCTCCAAAGTCGTCGCCTGGTGGTTGGCGTCGGACTCGGAGGCGCGGAAGCTGTTGTTCAGGTCCCGCAGGTCGACGACGTGTCTGTTGAAGTTTATGGTGGCAGAAGGGCTGCAGGATACCGTCTTCCTGTGGCTGAAAATGATGGCGAAGCAGGACGTGGGAGGACACAATGGTCGCATCCCAGAGGGCGTGGCCCAGAAGTTGTTCAACCACCTGCTGGTCGACCTGGTGACGGCGGAAACACACTACGGGCGCGGATTGGACACGGCTTTTCGGCATTATATACGGGCTTGTAAAGCGTATCCGTCTACGAGTTACGGGCTCGCTCAGTCCGAAGTGTCGGTCCTACGATCGTCGGGCGCTCATCTGCATGAATTGATGATGCAGGTCGTTCCCTCCCAGACCAACCAGGTTCTTCCGGCTACATACGAGGAGTTCGCGGCGATTTTCTCGACGTTGGCTCCCAGTCCGTTACTATCCGCCAAGGTGTCCCTCCATCACCCAACACAACCCGATCCGCTCCCCTTCGTTGCCTCTGTAGTAGGACTCCCAGCGGATGGGCTGAGGTCTTGGCCCGAGGCACAGCGAGATAACCTTATGCGCTGTGGCTTTGATGCCCTGCGCATCTTACTGGACCGGGACCAAATCAAGACGGCGTCAGATCTCGCCCGTGCCATGCAGCGGCTCGTGCCGGCGAAAACGCCCACTTCAGCCCAAGGGTCCAAGACCGCCTTGCATACGACGGCCGAAGAAGAGCATTTACTGGCCCGCTTGGATCTAGCCCTGGCCTGAGCATCGTGGGCGCTCCAGAGCGTTATCGCTTCCATCGGGGGCGGAAGATTACATGGAACGAGGCAGTCAGGTATATTTCCGACCATGCGCAGTTCCGTTTCGCCCCAAGTAATTCACGGGGTCGACGTCATGAACTGGGAACATAACATAACTGATGCCGATCGGAGAGGGGTGATTCGTCAGCCCTGATCTGCAAGCGAGAAAGCGGGAGAATGTCTGGTGGCCCCTGGTCACACCATCAACATCATCTACTCCGCATCCTGCTCCACCGAGGCCACGCTAATGGGCCTTCTTCTCCTCTTCTTGGCATGCTTACTTGAGCCACAGGCTATGACCAGTGGTCACTGCCGTGCCCTCAGGTGGCATGCCTCAAGGATAAACACCCGAGATTGACAGTTTCGCGTGAAACAGGCTAGTACCCTGGAGGTTGCCGACATTCTTAGTAAAACGTCACCGCGCAACCTCACCTCTCCTCTCTGACCTCCTCTCTCCCCGCACCACCACACTTCATCTTGTTGTGCATCGGTAGACCACGATTAATCGTTCTACATTGTCGCTTTCTTTTCGCGAGCACGTCACTTTTAATCCAACTCTCCCTATTATTATACGATTCTCTATTCTTGTATACGAACCCCCCACTTATCCTCCGTCATGGCTCCCGAACCGACGACCACCGCAAACCCTGCCCCATCCACAGGTACGTTATTTTGTAATTCGCCTGTCCAACCCCTAATGTTCGCATTGTGTCTTGCGTTCAATCAGATGATCCAGAATACTAACGCCTGGTCGCGCACATTAGGTGATACCTCGAAGCCAGCCAACGGCGACAGCCAGCCCACAACCGCAGAAGCCACCTCCTCCCCCGAGGCTGACAAGGAAACGGAAGAAAACAAACCCGATGGGAACTCTCCATCCACCGAGACATCCTCCAAGACCGACCCTGCAGAGATTGACGACAAGAAACCCGCCAGTCTAGGCGACAAGCGTGAACACGACTCGTCATCAGCCCCTGCCGACAAAGAACAACCCGCCGTGTCGGAGCCCACCACCAAGAAACAGAAAACCGCCGCCAAACCAGCCGAGGACGGTGGCCCTGCCGCGAACGGGAACGGCGAGAAGAAGAAGGGCCGTCCCAAGAAGACCCAGGAGACCAAGGAGTCTGCGAAGCGGGATGTCCCCACGGACGGGATCGGGAGTCGGACGCGTAGCCGGACTAAGGCTACCTAGATACACGTTTTGTAGGATCCTTGCGTACCCTACGGCTATGGGACAAGGGGCACTACGACAAGAGATGTTGGCAAAATCGTGAGATAATGTTAGGGAGTTGATATCATGAAACAATTCTATCTTAAAATATTCACCGTTGATGGGGAGTAGGAGTAGGAGGAGCAGTGAATTTTGTAACTCGAGGCACAGTCTCCAGAAGCTAGATGGATATTTGAAACCTGAAGCGATATCGGATCCTCCCTTACCGCCAGCACAGCGTTACCGTCAGTATCCTGGTTCCTGGCAAACCCAAGCTTCGACTCATCAATGTGTTTCTATTCAGCAGCTATACATTTCTCAGTAACACTGTATACATACCTATCATCCATCTACCTACTACTAGACCACAGCACCTGGTGTTTGCCTCGTTTGCATCATCTGACATCATCTGCGGGTTAGATCTAGGTACTGTTTGTATTTTTTAATGGATTGGAGTTGACATAAATTGTAGTGGGGGGTGTAGTTGGTCTTGCTGTTCTTTTTTAGATCACTTTGAGGAGCTGAACTGGTTTTTACTCCATTGCTTGACAAGATAAGTGCTGGTGGGTCGTGGTCCAGTACTACAGGTACAATAACCCTCGGGCATTCTGCGCAATATCTTCTGATCTGAGGAACCTGCATCAAGATAATCTTCAGTGCGTATGTTGGTTTACGATTGGAGAAGCTATATGCCTCGCAATCTGTGTAGAGAAGCTAGCACAGGCTCCGTCCACGGTTCCGTCAGTTCCGGCCTACATACATACATAGAGGATAGACAGGATGACAGGTCGACTCCATTGCATACCTCTTTTGTTATCTGACGGGAAACCGGATTCTTTGCAGCAAATTGGATAAATGTGATTTTTTAGTTTGATATCTATAGTGCTGGAATGGGACCACGGGTGGCTTTATGCTGGGTCTTTTGAGGAGGGCGAGAGATCAACGAGGGTTTGTTGTTGTTGAGAGGCTTGCCTTGCTGGTGGTAGAGGATCATACCGTTGACAAACCTGATCATCATTGCTGGTGGGCATATAGTTCTGGAGGTACAGTATGTGGGAGGAGTGCCTTTTAAGGAAGACTTTGTTCTTGATAGTATGTAGCTTGTCGGTACTGGATCACGAGCATAGAGCTTTCTTAGTAGATTGGGAAAACTAGGATATCTTTCATGTATTCTAGGTTATTTTAAGTCTATATACAAGAAACCAATATCAATGGTCATCCTGTAGGAGACGTATACCAGACCGGATGATGACTGGGAAGCCTCCATCTAAAACTCCGACCCTTCCACCTCGACACTTGGCACCACTTCATCCCACGCATCCCTTGATAATAGGCTTGGCTGTGTGGATCGTTTCTCGTTCGTTCTAGGTACACAAAGCCCATGGGGTTACTAACATCCCCTTGATTCGTCAATCCAACCAAGCCCAACTCGTCTCCTCATCGGACGTTAACCAGCGATCTTCGCGCTCTATCAATGACAATCCTTTCGTTCGTCCCCACTGGCACAATCAAAACATGCCACTCATGCTACCGACCGGTCCTCTCAGCCTTGAGGAACCGTCACTGATGATCTGAAAAATGGACCTGGAGCAATGCAGGCGAAATAATATGTGGGGGTGCATTGGTGCAGTGAAGCGGATCTTCGGGGCTTGGGATTGCTGGGACGCGCGCTCAGCGCAGGATACTTAACGCCCCGTCGGACCTGGAACCGGTTAAAGAAAAGAGAGTCAACCCTCCGCCCTTCCCTTTCGCTCTTAATCGCCTCACTCGTTCAATCTCTTGTTACCTTGTCGACTACTTCGTACATCCTTCAAGAATTGCTCAAACCGACATCATCCATGGACACAGATCAATTGACCCGTGATTTTCCACTCTTTTGGTAAGAAGGCCATTGGCTCATCCTCTCCCCTCTCTGCGGTCAACGGGGGCCACGGTCCAATTACTAGACCCCCATCCCTCTCCACATCCTCGGGCGTTTATGGGGAAATTACCTGCTGACGATTATCCCATCTTAAACTTGCCTTAGAGTTTAGATCCTTGATCCCATACCTCCCTCTTCCGTGACTCGTCCGAATTCCCGATACTTTATTCTTACGTTTCTTGCTTTTTCTTTTTCTCTGATATAAACCTGGCGCCGGGTAGAAGAGGGGATCTGGAGGCATCTTTGTTTAGACGCCTAGAGCTTTCTTCGCGGCCCCACCGCTTCTTGGTCAGAACTTAGAAGCAGTCATCCATGGAGCTCCGATAGTGCCGTCGCCGGTTTATCTGGAAACTTTCTACCCACCTCACTTCTCCGCGAACCTTTTTCACACAGAACGTCAGGTTGATGCAGGAAAGACCAACCACGGTCGCCGCCTATGCGGCGGGCGCATCTCTCGCCGCGGTCGCGTTATTCTACGTCTTCGGCCCCAACTTCACACTCGACGGCGAGGACTCCACCGACAGTAACCGGAAGAAGAGCATTGTCGGCCTGTCGAACCCGGCCAATGACTGCTTCATCAACTCCGTGCTCCAGGCGCTGGCCGGCCTGGGCGATCTGCGTGTCTACCTCATCCGGGAACTCCATCGGCGGGAATTGGACGGTCCCGAAATCTACAATGTTCTTCCCGACGTGGACGAGATCCCGCGCGGGGAGAAGCCGGAGAAGATCTTGGAGCTACAGAGGGGAACGATCACCCGGGCGTTGAAGGAAATGCTGGACCGCTTGAACGAGCGCCCAATTTACAAGAAAACGATCTCCGCTCGCGGGTTCATCCAGTCGTTGGAGTATGCCTTCCGGACACGCCTCAGTCGCAACCAGCAGGACGCGCAGGAATTCTTGCAGATTGTGGCCGAGCGCCTCTGCGACGAGTATCACGCCGGTGTCAAAGCACGGCAGCGAGTGCAGGCCCCTCTCCCGGCGCGCGATGACGACCTGCCCCCGAAGACTCCGACCGAGGTCGAGGTCCGCATCGATGACGGATCCGAGAATGGGCTCCCGGCCATCATCGACACCAAGCTGCGCGAAATGGACACGGAATACTGGTTTCCGTTCGAGGGCAAGCTCGAGTCCCAAATTGAATGTCAATTCTGCCACTATCAGTACAAGCCCAACCAGACCTCGTTTGTGAACCTGACTCTGCAGGTGCCCCAGAAGTCGTCTACCACCCTCAGCGCGTGTTTCGATGGGCTTCTGAAGACGGAGTACATCGAGGACTTCCGATGTGACCGGTGTTCGCTGCAACATGCCGTGGACGTGAAGACGCACGAGCTGACCAGGAGTCGGTCGGAGAGTGACCGGCGCACGCTGGAGACCGAAATCCAACAGCTCCAGGATGCTATTCAAACCGACCCCGAGTACGTGCCGGAAGGGGTGAGGCTCCCCCCAGCCGAGTCGGTTCCCAAGCGGCGAATCGCCCGACACATGCGGATCACCGTCTTCCCCAAAATCGTCGCCATCCACCTCTCCCGATCCATCTTCGACCACAGCAGCTCCACCAAAAACGCCGCCAAGGTGTCCTTCCCCGAGCGGCTCCCTCTGGGGGGCATCTTGAGCCAAAAGTGGTTCAAGCTGTTGGCGATTGTCTGCCACAAGGGCAGTCACCAAAGCGGGCACTACGAATCGTTCCGTCGCAATAACCTCTACCCACCGTTCTCGACGCCGGATGTTTTCCGTTCGTACGCACAGAGTCGAGCGCCCAGTGAGAATCCCTCCCGGGCCCCGAGTCCTCGACCGGAAGCGCGTCGAGCCCTTGACACCGAGCCGCCCACCTTAAGCATCTCGACCTCAACGTCATCACCCCCTACATCCCCGTCCCCATCGTCCGGGGATTCCCCCGCCACGTCGCGAACGCCGTCCATCAAGAACTCGCCGAAACCCCAGCCCCAGCTGATTCCACCTTCCTCGCCATCCCCTCGACCCAGCACATCCAGCTCCCGCATCTCCTTCCAGAGCAAGCGCTCGAAGTCATCGGCCTCCAAACGCAACTTATCACCCTCACCAACCAGCGATCAGCCCCAGAGCCCCGCCACGGACGGTAGTCGCGGCAGCAAGTCCGGCTCCCGGACATCCTTCATGAGCGAGCGCATCCGACCCGGCAGCTCCGGCGACGGGGGATCCCGGTCGACGTCTCGCCTGCGCCGTCGCCACAAGCCGAACGACCGATGGTGGCGGATCTCGGACGAGAAGATCAAGGAGTGTAAGACGCCGGATGTATTGGGCATGCAAAGAGAGGTGTACCTCTTATTCTACGAGCTGGAAAAGCCGTGACCAAAGGAAAATGGGGAGTAAAAGTAGTTATATATAGGTGATCTTCTTGGACATAGATATATATATTTTGAATCTTGAAAAAAAAAAAGTGGCAGTTTGGGGTGTATGTCGTGTGATGGATTGCATGATGACCCCTACATGTGGTGCATGAGACACGGGCAAATAAATGTGAAATGAAACAAACTCTCCTGTTTATGACAATTGATCTATTCTACTGTCGCTGAATTCTCCTAATCAAGGGGTGAATCTATGCAAGCCCCAGGAAATTGTAAACAAATCCATAACAAATAATCAGTGAATAACCAAGTGAATGAATGAATGAATGAAGGAGTGACTGAAAAGGACGGGCAATAACAGAGCGAGTGACCCTTCCGATTGGCTCTCCCGGGGGGTTTTGGCCGCACTGTTGATAAACAATGCGACCATCAATAATAGTAAATACTAAGGCAGGTCAATCAAGTAAGCACCGCATCTTCTCTCTCTTTTTTTATCCTTCTCTCTCTACATTCTCTTTCTCCCTTTTTTCTCCCTCCCTTTTTTTATTTCTCCATCTTTTGATCTCTCGAATCTTTATCAATTCCTACTGTGTCCTATTCCTCCTATTTACCACACAGTTAGTCAAACACAATGCCCCCTAAGCGCCAAGCCACCGCTCCCAAGCGCAACGTCGGCAAGCCTGCTGCAGGCGCAGAGAAAGCCCCAGCCCGCCGATCAGCCCCTGCCAAAGCCCCAGAGAAGGAGAAGGAGAAAGTGACAACCGCGGGACGGAAGAGAAAGGCTGAGGCGATTGTCGACGAGCAGCCGGCGGAGAAGTCGACTCGCGGGCGCAAGAAGAAGAAGGGTGAGTTTGTTGTCTTTGTTTGTTGACGCGTTTTTCCATCTTATTTCTTATACATATATTCCATTGTTTTCGTTTCTTGCTAATCGATTGGAAAGACCTCGTCGAAAAGGAAAAGCCCATCCTCACACACGCCCCGACCAAACGCCTCGATGTCTACGTCTTCGGCTCCAACTGCTACGGCGAACTCGGCCTCGGAGACGCGACCAAGAAGGCCGAGATCACGGGCCCCGTCCTCAACCCCAAGATGCCCGCTGATGGTCTCGGTCTGGTGCACATTGTCTCGGGCGGTGTGCACTCCGCGGCGCTGACGCACGACAACCGCATCATGACCTGGGGCGTCAATGACGAGGGCACCTTGGCGCGAGACACCAAGGAGGACAAGAAGTCGGTGGAGGCGCGCGAGGATGAGAGCGAGGATGAGGATGAGGTCACGCAGAATCTGAAGGAGGCGACCCCTGGGCAGGTCGACGCGTCGCTGTTCCCCGAGGGGACGGTGTTTACTCAGCTGGAGGCGACGGATAGCGCGACGTTTGCTTTGACGCAGGAGGGTTTGGTGTATGGGTGGGGGACTTTCCGAGTATGCCCCTTCTTCTTTCTTGGGAATCGAACCCTTCTGGATAAACCGTACTGACTAAATACAGGGCAACAGTGGCAAGATCGGCTTCTTCGAGCCCGACAAGAAGATCCAGGAAAAGCCAGCCCTCATTCCTGGTGTTGACAATGTCATCAAGCTCGCAGCGGGCGCCCAACACATGCTTGCCCTGACGGCGAGCGGGCTCGTCTACACCTGGGGCTGTGAGGAGCAGTTCCAGCTGGGCCGCCGACTGCTCGGTCGCGTGACGAGCGCCAACCCGCTGCACCCGGGCCTGTGCGCACTGCCGACAAAGATCGTGGACATCGGCGCCGGATCGTACCACTCGTTCGCGGTGCGCCAGAACGGGGCCGTCTACGGCTGGGGATCGAACAACTTCGGACAGACGGGCATCGCCGCACGGGCCGGCGAGAGCGACGCGGTCGTGCAGTACCCGACGGAGGTGAAGCCGCTGCGCAAGCACGCCGCCGGCGCAGTGACGGCCGTCGAGGGCGGCAAGGACCACAGCCTGGTGGTGACGGAGCAGGGCAAGTGTCTGATCTGGGGCCGCATCGACAACAAGGCGTTGGGGCTGGACCCGGCGACGATGGCGGAGGAGGACGTCGTGCAGGACGACCTGGGCCGCGCGCGCATCCTCAAGACGCCCACGCTGCTGCCGGGGATCGAGGGCCAGATTGCGTCCGTGGCGTCTGGGCCGGACCACTCGTTCGCGATCACCAAGGCCGGCCTCGCCTACAGCTGGGGCTTCAACACGAACTACCAGGCGGGCCAGCCGCACCGCGACGGCAACGAGGACGTCGAACGGCCCACCCTGCTGCAGAACAAGCACATCACGGGGAAGAAGATCCTCTTCGCGGCGACGGGCGGCCAGTTCGGCATGTTAGCCGGTGAGCACGGCCATCCGGTTGTCGATAGTCCGCAGACCAACGGTGCTTGAGGGGGGAGTTTTAATAGATACCAGGGAGGGAGGATTTAATGGCGGTAGCATCAACATGTTGCAGTGATGGATGGATGGATATGGATGGATATGGGTAATGGGTGTACCATATGTAACACTAGTCTAAGCATTGTTGAGAGCAATATCCATCTGATTTACTACATCCTCCAGCGCGGGATCTACATGCATGAACAGTTCTATAATGTTTTACATCCACCATCCACCATCCACCCATGCTTGCAACACACCGATCGTCGGCCAGCGTCGGTACATACATAGGCAGAAGTTCAATCAGGAAAGAGTGGCGAACCCTCCCCCGTTCCCAAGCGAAGCGCGTACGACATCGGATTAAACAGGGCAGAGATGCATAAGTAGTCGCGCACAGGTCTCTTTCCAAATAACACCAAGGTGTAGAGAATAGTATAGTAATAGCAACAGTCGTATTGGTGTATATGCATCACGTGAGCGCATACATAGTGGGGTCAATGACCGTATCCAGTAAAGTCCTCTCTCTATTCGGATCTTGCTGGAAATTAAAACAGGATCAGGGAATCGGAGGATTTTCCCTCGGGTTCTATTTGTTTCGTTTACATTCTATTGTAACTCCTGTTTTGATGGTGAGGTATGATGATATTGATATTGATATTCGATAATGAGTACTAGATACTAGTACTACAAGGTGAGGTATTTGATGCAGGCTAACATACACCGGTGGGAGAAAAGAACGAAAGTAAAACGGAAAGGGACTTCGGTAAAGAGCTTAGGAGGACTGTATTCCGTGATGGTATACAGGCATCCGGTTTGTATAGAACAAGAAAAGAAAAGAACATAATATGAGGTCAAATGGAAGGTCGTAACCATGGATCGAAGCTCTTACTGAGTAGTCTAACTGTCTAATATCCATTCAGCAGGATTGGGCAGGATGGAGAGGATGACTTCAACGGAGGGAAACGGGGGAATCGGAGTGATGATGTCATGTGATGACGCGGGGGTTTCCGGGATGATGGGCTGGCCTGAGGCCCCTCATCCGCGTCATTCCTTTCCCCTCCATCTTCATGATCTTGATGATTCTCAGCTTCGATTCTTGAAGAAAGGGAATATCAGTGGAGTAGATTCAGTAAATACTAGATAGATGAACTCAAGTGCAGTCCATTGCAATCCCATCCTGTTCGATATCAACATTCTTTTACCGTCTGGGAACGGGGTGAAATCATACTGATCGCATGTCCCCACCATACCCGGTCAAGCCCCTCCATTTGGTTTTCTCTTACCTAGGTAGGCCTTAGGTAGTCGTAGTTGGCCTGGGTCTTCAGTCTTTGCCCCTCATTTTTCGTTTCTGCTGTTTCTGCTGGTTTCGTTGTCCGGTAAACGCCCACCTCTCCCTATTAATACTTCTATCCCCCTCCTCTCTTCTCACTAACCTTCGCCTGTTTCTACTTTCTACTCTAACACTACCTTAACTCTTCTATCTACCACTCACTTTCCACCTACACACCCCCCTCTACTCAATCACAATGGGTCTCTTGGAACAGCTCTCCCGCAAGTCCGGCGTCATCGTCGGTGATGACGTTCTCCGTCTCTTCCAGTACGCCCAGGAGAAGAAGTTTGCCGTCCCGGCCATCGTACGTCTTCCCCTTCCCTTCAAGAGGGAGAAAGAAAGAAAGAAACTAATGAAGTAGAACGTTACCTCCTCCTCCACCGTGGTCTCCTCCCTCGAGGCTGCCCGCGACCAGAAGTGCCCCGTCATCCTGCAGCTCTCCCAGGGTGGTGCCGCCTACTTCGCCGGTAAGGGCGTCGACAACAAGGACCAGGCTGCCTCCATTGCCGGTGGTATCGCCGCTGCCCACTACATCCGCAGCATTGCCCCCGCCTACGGCATCCCCGTCATCCTGCACACCGACCACTGCGCCAAGAAGCTGCTGCCCTGGTTGGACGGTCTGCTCGATGCCGATGAGGCCTACTTCAAGCTCCACGGCGAGCCCCTCTACTCCAGCCACATGATCGATTTGTCCGAGGAGGACGTCGACTACAACATCCAGACCACCGCCGCTTACCTCAAGCGTGCTGCCCCCATGAAGCAGTGGCTCGAGATGGTATGTCAACACCTTTGGGCTAGGGGAACAAAGAAGAGATGCTAATATACGAACAGGAGATCGGTATCACCGGTGGTGAGGAAGATGGTGTCAACAACGAGGATGTCGACAACAACTCGCTGTACACCCAGCCCGAGGACATCCTGGCCATCCACAACGCCCTGGCCCCCATCAGCCCCTACTTCTCGATTGCCGCTGGATTCGGCAACGTGCACGGTGTCTACAAGCCCGGCAACGTCCGCCTGCACCCGGAGCTGCTGCAGAAGCACCAGAAGTACGTGCAGGAGAAGCTGGGCGCCAAGAGCGACAAGCCCATCTTCTTCGTCTTCCACGGCGGCTCGGGCTCCTCCAAGAACGAGTACAAGGAGGCCATCGGCTACGGCGTCGTCAAGGTCAACGTCGACACCGACATGCAGTACGCCTACATGACCGGTGTCCGCGACTACGTCCTCAACAAGAAGGACTACCTCATGACCACCGTCGGCAACCCCGACGGTGCCGACAAGCCCAACAAGAAGTACTTCGACCCCCGCGTGTGGGTGCGCGAGGGTGAGAAGACCATGAGCAAGCGTGTGCAGGAGGCCCTGGAGGACTTCAACACTGCTGGCCAGCTGTAAACATTTTCTTTCAAGTTTCTCTTTTCTGTTCTCGTGTTATGTGTCTTTCAGGCATTGGTAATGTGATGGGATAGTGGCAACGTGTGATGAGATCCGATACCAGTACATACAAAATTGCAAATAATTGCACAATCTGTTTTGAATCTTTATAAAGTAGAGCTTTGATGTTAAACATTATACATCATAGGTAACATCATAGGTAGTAGGTAGAGCGAAGATTAACTGAATACGGTTAGTCCAAATCATTGCCACCTAGTGACTTCAATCCAGTCCATTGGCCAGACACTGTTATAGATCTGTCCAGTCCTGAACAGAACTTGAATTCCAACCCTCCACACGGTCATAGATAAGTACAAAGTAACAATGCCTATCAAAGCAAGATCCATATCAACAGGACAAGTAAAACGGGATAAACAAACCGAGTAAAATCCGAGTTCCATTCCAGCCTCTGTGGCGCAATCGGTAGCGCGCTTGACTTCTACGACCTGATTTTAATCGGGCAGAAGTTGCGATCAAGAGGCTCTGGGTTCGAGTCCCAGTAGAGGCTTTTGTTTATCTGATAGGATTTTTGTTGAGTTTTGGTTGTGTTCTTTTTGGGTCTGGACTTTGGAGATGGTTTAGACTATTGGTAACTATATAACTCTAGATATGACTAGACGGGTAGATAGTAGATCGTTACTAAGTGCTCCGTATATACTCCGGATACACAGATCAATAAGACAATACAGCCATATCATAGTATACCTTACCTTAATTACCAAGATTGAAGAAAGATCAGGTGATTGCTAAGTCATGATTGACGGATGATCTCCGGTTCTTCTTTTTCTTCTCTTCTTCTCTTCTTCCACTCAACCACAGAAGAGACTCCAGTTCGCCCCACTCGGTCTCAGAACAAACCAGTCTCCATCCAAACCAAGTTAGCATGTTCCAGATTCATGCCTCCACCCGGTACCTGATTGGCACCCCCAAAATAGATTCTTTTCTGTCGCCCCCAGTTGAATGATGGATTGGATGGATGGCCTTACGCCTCTTTCACCTATTCTGTCTATGACTGACTTGGCTATGAGCGGTCACGTCTGTCAGGGTCATTTCTCCTGGTCATGACCATCATGGCTAGCTTCAATGCCAGGTCACCAGGTACATTCTCCCATTGGAGTATACGCTTGGATGTGATGGAGTCTTCCCCACTCAGGAAATCAAATTAACCTGGGATGCTCGTGCATGTTCCAGACTGACCGATCTGGGCTCCACTTGTTTGCTCCTCCACCAACGAGACGGGCATCGGTTTCTGAACGTTTCTTGCTTTCTTTCTTTCTTCTGGCTTTCTGTCTTTCTTTCTTCTGTCTTTCTGTGTCTGTCTTTCTGTTTCTGCCTTTCGTTCTTTCGGCTTTGTGGACCTGTACTGTTCTTTTCCTGTCCCTTACTCTGCCATACCTCTCTTCGGAACTCTTTCCTCCCTTCTAGAGTCCTCCATCCATGCAGACATTCTCTCCCCCGTGATGGACCGGACAATATCGCCCCGGAGTGACGGTGGCCCATCTTCCACAGACCAGTTCCTCAAACTCATCCAGGATCCCTTCAAATCCGCGGTACTTCTATCCCATTCCCATACTCAATACCCGATAATCATTCGTCTAACCCTCCTAGTTTCAAGTCAACGCCGTCTGGGCTTCCCTGGCCACCTCCGCCGGCTTCGCCGTCATCCTCGCCCTGCTCTTCTCCCTCTTTCGTCCCCGCCATTCCGTCGTCTACGCTCCCAAGGTCAAACATGCCGATCGCAGACACGCGCCGCCCCCGGTGGGGAAGGGCATGTTCGCCTGGCTCAAGCCCGTCCTGCGCACCAAAGAGTCCGAGCTCGTCGAGTGCATCGGCCTCGATGCCGCCATCTTCTTGCGCTTCACCAAGATGTGTCGCAACATCTTCATCTGTCTGAGCATCATCGGCTGCGGCGTCATGATCCCGCTGAACCTCACCCAGAGCAACATGTCCTCCAGGGACACTCTGTCCGCCTTTGCGACCATGACGCCCCTCTACATCAAGACCGAGGCCGCGTGGAGCCAGGTTGTCTGTGCCTGGTGTTTTGACATCATTGTTGTTTTTTTCCTGTGGCGCAATTACAAGGCCGTTGCCGCCTTGCGGAGACGGTACTTTCAGAGCTCTGACTACCAGCGCAGTTTGCACGCGCGCACCTTGATGGTATGTCTGCTTTCTTTTCCCCGGGATCTACCCTCCATGCAACCAAGCTAACCGATCAGATCACCGATATCCCCCAGGCCGCTCGCTCCGATGAAGGCGTCCTGCGCCTGACCGACCAGGTCAACCCCACCGCGGCCCTGCCCCGCGCATCCATCGGCCGCAACGTCAAAGGGCTCCCGGTCATGATTAAGGACCACGAGGAGACGGTGCGCCAGCTAGAATCGGTCCTCGCCAAGTATCTCAAGAATCCAGACCGGCTACCGCCCCGGCCCACCATGCGCATACCGCGCAAAGAACGGCAGCTACAGCAGGACGGGGGCAAGGTTGACGCCATCGACTACCTGACGGACCGCATCCAGCGCCTGGAGGAGAACATCCGCCACGTGCGGGCCTCGATCGACAAGCGGAACGCCCTGTCGTTCGGCTTCGTCAGCTGGGACATGATCGAGCACGCTCACGCCGTGGCCTACACGGCGCGCAAGAAGCACCCGCAGGGCACCACTATCCGGCTGGCCCCACGGCCCAGCGATCTGATCTGGGAAAACCTGCCGCTGTCGAAACAGGGCCGCCGGTGGAAGCGGTTCGTCAACATGATCTGGGTCTCCATCCTGACGGTGCTGTGGATCGCCCCCAACGCGATGATCGCCATCTTCCTGTCCAACCTGTCCAACCTGGGACTGGTCTGGCCCGCGTTCCAGACGTCGCTCAACGGCAGCCCCTACGTTTGGGCCGCCGTGCAGGGTATCCTGTCCCCCGCCGTCACCTCGCTCTTCTACATGATCCTCCCCATCATCTTCCGCCGCCTGTCGATCCAGGCGGGCGACGTGACCAAGACCTCGCGCGAGCGCCACGTCCTTAATCATCTCTACTCCTTCTTCGTCTTCAACAACCTGATCGTCTTCTCCCTCTTCTCCGCCGCCTGGACGTTCGTCGCCGCCGTCATCGACGCCAAGAACCACGACGAGGACGCCTGGCAGGCCATTCAGGACGGCGAGTTCTACGGCAAGGTGATGAGCGCGCTGTGCCAGGTCTCCCCCTTCTGGGTGACGTACCTGCTGCAGCGCAACCTCGGCGCCACGGTTGACCTCGTGCAGCTGGTCAGCCTGTTCTGGGTCTGGTTTTCCAAGACCTTCCTCGCGCCGACCCCGCGTCAGGCGATCGAGTGGACGGCGCCGACGCCCTTTGAGTACGCCAGCTACTACAATTACTTCTTGTACTACGCGACGGTGGCGCTCTGCTTCGCGACGCTGCAGCCCATCGTCCTGCCCGTCACGGCGCTGTACTTCGGCCTCGACGTGATGATGAAGAAGTACATGCTGCTGTACGTGTTCGTGACGAAGAACGAGTCGGGCGGCCTGTTCTGGCGTGCCGTCTTCAACCGTATGGTCTTCGCCACGGCCTTTGCCAACGTCATTATCGCTCTGGTCGTCAAGGTCAAGGGCACCTGGACCATGGTCTACTGCGTTGTCCCGCTTCCTTTCCTCCTGGTCGGCTTCAAGATCTACTGCATGCGGACTTTCGATGCCGACATCCGCTACTACAACCGCGACAACCTCTCCGACGCGGAGGCCCTAGCGCCGTCCAGTTCCAGCAAGAAGGCCGCAGACCGCCTCAGCTCGCGATTCGGCCACCCAGCGCTCTACCGGCCGCTGCCCACCCCGATGGTGCACGCACGCGCCGCCGACGCTCTCAAACGTCTCTACCGGGGGCGTCTACACGCTTCTTTCGACGGGTCCGGCGGCGACTACTCCGACATCGCGTTGGACCCCATGACAGCCGACCAGCCCGGCAAGACGAAGTTCGCAGCGGGCACCGCACCACCACCGACCGGCCCCTCGGCGCCCTTCGAAGTCGTCCCAGAGAACCACCTCGACTTTTCGTACTTCAAGGATCGGCCCGACTTCCGCGACGAGTTCGGCGGCGGCATCTACGGCCGACCGGAGGACCTAATGACCGAGCGGTCACAGACGCCGCGCTCCGCCTGGTCACCGACCTCCTCGCGGGCATCCTCCCCAGCCCCATCCCTCCCATCCGTCACCAGCCTCAAACCATACGAGCCCAGCGACGCACCGGGGTTCGAGCACATCCACCCCGCCCTCCGACCATCCCTCTCCCGCGGCGACAGCGGCCCAATCGTCGGACGGGGACTCTACGCCTCAGAAGACGAGAGCGAAACACGCCTGCTCAGCCAGACGCAGGGACCTCCGATCGCCGAACCGGTGCCGTTGGCGCGGTGGCGGACGGGTGGATATGGGCCTGTTGGACAGGAAGATCCGGGGACGTCATACGAGCAGTATCGGAGGGGATTATAATCTTTTCTCTTTCTCCGGTTTTCATTCATTTTTTTTTTTTTTTTGGTCGGTGTCATTAGGGTACGATGTATATGTTTAGAGCGTCAAGTGCGAGAGTTTATTAGCTAGGCGTTATATAGGTATAGATAGATCTAGATCTAGATTCTGGATGGGCTGGACGTGATTAGTAAGGTGTTAGTAATATATGACTATCAGATCATCTCACTAGTCTTATCTACCTTCTACAACTTAACCACATACAACGACATCCACATCAACGACATCCACATCAACGACAGACAGCAAGAAAGAAACAAGTCAAGCAGAAGATCCAACATAAGCCGCGATAACAAAAACGACAAGAATAAATAAGAGAAATGCCCCCGGAAAACCTCTACGGCCTCCCCCGCACCGCCACCAAAGCCGACTCCGACAAGAACAAGAACAAGACCAACACACCATCCTCCTCAACCCTAGCCTTCACCACAAAACTCAGCTCCTTGATCTCCTCTCCATCCCAGTCACAATCAAACCAACACACAACCGGGCGCCCCCGCCCCCGCCCCCGCACCACCAACAAAGACGACAAAGATGACATCTTCGCGCGCCCCAACCGAGGCACAGCCGAACGCGCCGCAGCAGACGAACACGGACTCAACGAGCGAGGCAAAAAGCGATCTGCGCTCGAACAGGTCCATAGCACAGACAGCGGCGTTGTCGACGAAGCGCTCCTCGAACGCTCGAAGCGACGACTGAGGGAGAAAGAGGGGCTGTATGAGATTCTGAAGGAGGGGAGGCATCTTGTTTATTCTGATGATGAGGATGATTCTTCTGGGCAAGATGAGGGAGAGGGGAATGGGAATGACGGGGAGAGGAAGAAGAGGAGGGAGTTGAGGAGGTTGGCGAGGAAGGAACGCGAGGGGTTAGTTGATTTCGATGCGAAGTGGGCTCGTTCTACGTCCCCTTCTTCTTCGAAGGGATCTTCATCGTCAAAGGCGCAGGAGGAGGAGGAGGAGGAGGAGGAGGAAGAGGAAGATGATGATAATGCAAGCATAATCTCCTACGAAGACGAACTAGGCCGCACCCGCCGCGGAACCCGCAAGCAAGCCTCCCGCGCAGCAGCTGCCACCATCGCCTCCACCAAGTCCAACCCATCCCACCCCGACGAACGCTGGAAACCCGCCCAACCCGCGAACCTTATCCACGGCAGCACGATCCAAACGCAGGCTTTCGACCCGGACGCACCGACGGCATCGCACATGGCGCGGTTGGCGGCTAGACGAGACCGGTCTGCGACGCCGCCGGAGGAAACGCACTATGATGCTGGTGGTGAGGTGCGTGCGCGGGGGACGGGGTTTTATGCGTTTTCGAGGGATGAGGGGGTTAGGAGGGGGCAGATGGAGGAACTTATGAAAGGGAGGGAGGAGACGGAGAGGGGGAGGGAGGAGAGGAAGGCGAGGAGGGAGAGGAGGGGGGTGAGAAGGGAGGAGAGGGGGAGGAAGATTGAGGAGTTGAGGGGGAGGAGGAGGGCGGAGGTTTTTTTGGAGGGTTTGGGCTGATCTTTGGTTTCTTTGGTTTGGTTTGGTTTGGTTGTTATGTGAGATTTGTATGTATGTGAGATACCCATTTGATTATCATGATTCGTTGGTTGTAATATCTGTTATTTTCAGTAATATCATTAGCAGAAGCATCATTTAGTATCAGTAATATCATCATTTAGTATCATCATCAGCATCAGCATCAGCATCAGCACCAGCGGTTTCAGTTATATCAGTATATCAGTTAGTCAGTTGGTCAGTTGGTCATAAGTGTATCAACATTAAGTACATGTCATCATCATCATCATCAATCATAAGGCTTTCATAAGACGTTCATAAGGCATTCATAAGACATTCAGACAATCATCAGTCATTTCTTTTCCTATCCTATCCTATCCTTCCTTATAATGGTCCTAGATCTCCAATTATTCTTATGAATTCTTGTGCGTCTGGTTTGGTTAGTATACCAGATAAATAAAAAGGTGGAGGGGAGGGTGGGTAAGAGTAAGATTTGGTTATAGTGAGAGTGAAGTGAGAATAAGAATGAGAGTAAGAGTGAAGTGAGGATAAGAAGGATAGTAAGAGTGCAATGAGAACAAGGTGAGAATAAGGTGAGAATAGAAAGTCTTACCAGTCGCATTCGCAAACTTCAGTACATGCTCCCCCCGCCTCGTCCGCGGCGGCGTATAATCCGACAATGTGAATATCGTCTTCTCCATCTCGCGCAGCACGACCTTCTTCGCGTCCATGCGACGCGCCCAGCCGCGCGTCACAACATGCTCCGTGATGAATGCCGTCCATACCGGTGATCTATGTACAGTCAGACTTGGCTCTATCAACATGTGTATGTTATGTGTATGTGTTGACTCACCGGTTCATCTCGCCCTTGTGGATTGAGGCCTGTAGCCGTATGGCGTTCGACTCCTTGTCGCGGTAGACGCGCAGCGCGTGGAGGTAGTCGTCGTCGATTATTAGTCTGCGATGTTAGAGAGATTGTATGTGCAGCTGGCTATAGTGGGACTTACCCGCCGAATATCTCGACCTCGTCGTCTAACTCGTAATCCCGGATGCGTTCAATAGGACGGCCGGAGTCTTGCGAGCGGAGTGCGAGGAAGGTGCAGAAGAACAGCACCAATTCTATACACGTTAGCAACACGTCATCTAGTTAGGGATGTCCCCGTGGTGGTTAAGGGACATACGCTCAATAGTGCCGAATTTAAAAGTCGCCCACAGCACCAGTTCCGACCCCCCCCGCCGTCGTCGGCACAGCTGCAGACAGGACCCGGTGCGCACGATCTCCAGCATATTCAACGGCAGGCAGAAGTAGTCGCTGGACCGCGAGTTGCGCGGGGCCTTGCAGACTATCCGTGTTCGGTGGTCGTCTTCCCGTAGGTACATGTATACTCGGAGATCGGAATCGCCGTTGAATGCCCTGTCTGTGTTAGTGGGCCACATCCGGTGGCTAGTGGGTGGTCACTCACAATTGGAAGAGCTCCTCAAATCCCTGGTCCTGCAGCCAGCGCTTGACCCCCGGGGTGGGTTCGCCCAGACATTTTGAGCTATATCGATTAGCCAGATCATTACACCGCAGCAACGGAGATCCGGGGAGATGGGACATACCGCTCGCCCACGTATGGGATTCGGGTTCGAGAGTGCTCCTCTAAAAAGACGCGCTTGGCCCAGTGATCGCTCAAGACATTGGAATCGGCGGAATGGCTAGTAGTGGAGCTGGTGACCGGGGACCCCGGGGCTTCCGGGACCGACGGGGGAAAGTCCGACGAGGCGGCAGAGGAGAGCGACGTCGGCGATGTTGGGGATGCATTCGGGGGACGAGCCCGCTCGTAGGACCGGCGGTTGCGTGGTCGTCGATCGCTGACGGGACTTCCGGGATCGGCACTGTTGCTCATGCTGGAGGTGGACCGCGTGCTCGTGGAGATGGAGCTCAGGTGCGCGGCTGCTAGGCGGTTGTTCTGCTGGATCCGGAGCGCCTTGAGGCCGTTGCGGAGGCCGATCATGAGAGGCGTGTCGGTGTATTTCCTGTAGATGTCAGTACTGGGGAACTTCCAATCGGCTTCTTCGGATCTCCGGCCACGGACGCACCCTTTGATGTAATCCTCCAATTCATTGAGAAAGGCCCTGTACTTGGCCAGTCGAGTGGAGAGGGAATCCTGCGATTCTGCCCGAAAAAAAGCACACAGCTGGAGCCAGGTGCGCTTGTAGACGTCGCGGTTGGGAACCTTGCGCTCTTCCAGATCGCCGAAGAAGTCGACGATGTCCTCCAGGGTGCATTTCAGGCTGGAGCTCACGAGGTCCAGATCGGCGTGGGCGAGGGCGACATTGTGCCGGTGTTGACGATTTTTGGTCAGGTCGTCCAGACGGTTGAGGGACGAGCTGATGGTATAGAAATCGGCGATCAGACTAGTGATATCCGCGGAATATTCGGGCAGGGGCTCACGGAAAAGACGAAAGCCCGCGGCCACGTCTTCTGCGTTATCGGCAGAAGTCCGTAAGGCCATAGTCACCAGGTCACGGAGGACCTTGCATGTATGTAGGTATAATTCTTGGTATGAGGGGGGAGGAATGGGGGGAAGGGAACCAGGACGGTGGGGGGTTTGGGGAGAAAGAAGCGGAGGAGATAAGGTGGTCGAAGTGTTTATATAAATACGAGCCGGGGGAAGAAAGGTAAGGTGGGAGGAGGACTCAATGGATTTAACTTAATCGGGAGGGGCAGCCGACAACTCAGTTAGCTTTGTAGTCACTGTGTGATTTGATTATGGACAAGACGAACCAGAGCTTATGCCATTTCACCTTGGTCGTTCTTATATAATATTCGTCAGTCTTATATATTCTCCACAGACCAGACTATCCCCACCCCTGCCCAAATGTTCAATATAAAGAAAAAAAGAGAGGGGAAAAAGAAAACCAAGGATCTGAACAAAATACCAAGAGAAAGGATGCTATCGGGTGGGGCAAGGGTTTTAGTCAATCGCCACAAGCAGAAACCGAGTGTGACTTGAACCAATGCGGCTCTCGTGGACTTTAATTGCTCGGGGGAGGTTGTTGACGTGGTCGTGCAGCGGTGGAGAGAAGAAGCCAATGATGGGCGGCGGAAGTTGATGGGGAATTCCAGGGTCTTTGATATACGGAGGATGTTCATGATACTATCTGTGGTGTAGTCCCGGTTCATTCTATCTGTCTGCAGTGACAGAATGCAATTGTTCTATTCAGTATGACTGTGTCAGACTGGAGACATACTATAGTAATAGAACTGAAACAAGGATAGGGTCTAGATAAATAAGACTTACCTATAGAGTATACCTTAGTATAGATATAGACAAGCCATTAAAGCTAGTCAGAGTCAGACATGAACAAAACTGACTTAATCAACACAACATATAGTCTTATCAAATCCCACCACCTCACGTCAGTCATCTGTACGTACTATAGAATCAAGTGAACCCAAGTCCATCACTTAGGGCTGGCATGTCCAACCGCCAAGAACCAACTCTCTCACCTCAGTCAACGGTCAATAACGGCCTAAGCATACTAAGACAGAAATAGACTTTCCAAATGAAAAGATAGAAAATAGAAAATAAGAATGAATAAATAAACATATAAAACAAAATCAAGTGAATAAAGAGAAAAAGTCCGACAACCTGCTCATGCAGACAGCGTGTTTGACCGCCTCCTTTGGGTAGATACGCAGTAGTGGTCGCCAACTAACAACCCTCTCCTCCTACCACCGTCTCCTTCACCCCAAACCTAACCGAGTCTCTGCAGCTGATGTCTATCTTCGGACAGTTGGCAGCGGAATGTAAACTCTTTCCCCGTGGTCTCAGAGCTCCGGAGTATGGCGATATTCTGACAGAGAACGTAGAGTAAATGCTGCCTCAGGCACTATCGGGGATATCGGCGACGCGTGACACGTAAACAATCGTCATTAGTCACCATCCCTCCTCTTCGTCATCATCAGAGGGTCAGAATAAGAGACACGGTCTTGACTGGAGCCGAGGGAATCCTCTAACTACATACTACGCGTGGATAACTACGCGATGGGTAATTCGGTGACTGAAAACAAGGTTCTCCCGCCATTTTGGAAAACAAACAGCGCCGGGCAACACCCCGATTTCAGGTCAAATTCTTCCTTAAAAGCCCATCTTGTCCGTACAGAAACCATACCCATGGGACAATTGATCCTTCATGAAAAAACACAAATGAGAAACCACCCGTCATCCCGTACCAAACGAATAGGAATTATCAGAAGCGACGAATACATAGACATATGAGAGAGAACAAAGACACGATAAGAACGCCAGGCGGTCCTGTCACAACAAGACCGAAAAAAGAGAGGGGGGAAACGACTCGATTAGGACGACTCCTCCTCCTCTTCCTCACCCTGGGCCTGGTCACATATACTGATTAGCATGGGCATTCTTGATTGGCCGGGGCTAGGGACATACCTGGTAAACCTTCTTCTCCTCCTCGTAACGCTTCTTGTCGGCGGCGGCCTTCTCGTCGTAAGGCTTACGCTGGGTTTCACTCAAGTTCTTCCACTTGTCGCCGAGCGTCTTGCCGACTTGGCCTGGAGGAGGGTCAGCGCTGCTCAGTGGACTGCATTGGGGTCATAGCTCTTACCGAAGGTGATGCCGGGGTTCTCCTCGCGGACCTTCTCGCGGTTGTCGTTGGCAAAGAACATGTAGGCGGACAGACCACGCTTGGGGGCGTTGGGGTCTAGAGCTCGGTTAGTCATGCCCATCTCGTCCCATTGGAGGTCCAAAGTCGCATACCCTTCTTCTTGCGGGTGACCTTGGGGCCTTGCGGGTGGTCTTTTCCTTAGGCATGTTGGACTGTGAAGGGATCACGTTAGAATGGTTCAAGTCTGTCAGATAAATTGGGCGATAGGCCTGGCGACGACACGGATTGGAAGGAGTAAGGGAACGAGAAAGAAGTAGAAGACAAGGAGAGAGAGGTCGGGAGAGAGAGATCAAAAAGGAGAGAAAGTGAAAACAGTTGATGCGATCGAGCGCGCTCTGTTGGGTGGATGGTGGTGGGTGGGAACGCCGTGCGCGCGCCCCAAACAGAGCGCGAACGGTCGACCCATGACACGAGAAATCAAACGCGCGCAAAAGAGACTTACTGGAGAGTGCGAACTCGAGAGAAAAGTTATAAAATTCGCGATTTGAGCTCGGCAGAATTAGCCTGTGCAGTTGAATATGTCAGTTGGGCCGGTTTGCTGGATCAGAAGTATATAGATCTGGGTGGCGGGCGCAAGATGCGCGACAGTGAGGTTGCGCGGTCATGGTACAAAAATGAAGGCGAAAGGCAAGTCGCGAAGGGAGATTTAACAGGGAAGGAGAAGTGCGTTGAAAGAAATAAATAATTGAGTGGGTGGTGTTGAAGCAATGGTAAAGTGTGGAATGTTTATAGGGAACTCACCGAGATGTGTAGAGTACTTTTTTGTATGGGAGGAAATTGTATGGGAAGATGGTAGAGAGAATAGAGAGAGAGAGAGAGAGAGTGAAGGGAGAGGGGGGAGAGTAGTAGTAGTAAAGAGAGAGAGGGAGAGAGACGGGAGGGCGGGCCATTACCTACTCACACCTCTGCCTGCCTCTCCCACCCACACACCCACTCACACACTCCTCTCCTCTTTCCCTCCCTCACAAGTGGGCACCACAGCAAGGGAAAGCGACTAAGCTGAGAGCTGTGCCCATTGCGACTGGTTGAGCGCCCTGCTCGGAATGATCTGTATTGTATCATACCGGTTTGGTTATTTGCGGTCCCCTTCCAAACCAGCAAAATCATTCTGTGCGTTCTCAACATCTATAACCATTTTATTTCTATTTTATCTCGTTTTATGCTTTTCTTCAAATGAATAGATGGGACCCTATACGCTGAATACTGAAATAATAATCCTTCGTCCAGTGTTGGGGTTCGTACAGTGTAGTCACCTTGTCCCAAGCTGTCCAGTTTGCTGCGCAATTAATCGCGCTGATGCAGCTCTGGTGGATCATCGGTCATGGTATGGTTCTGTACATTACCAGACCCAAACACCCTATTATCCATTTTATTTTTTTCCCTCGCGCCACTCTATGATTCCCCCCCCCCCCCCGTGTCCAGTGGAGATGGTATCAGGGCTATGTTTGGGTAAAATACCTGATAATAGCGTATGGACCATGGAGGTATGCTCGGATGATCGTGGTAAGGTAGTACCATACCCAGAAACCCAGATACGGGCGTCGTACGTCCAGAGTAGTACTCTACTCTAACCAGTCCGTAGGAGGTCCCAGTCCTAGTAAAAGCTCCGTGCTACTCCGCGCAGTCGTCCAGCTTCTAGCCATGGTACGCAGCAGTTGGAAACGCCGCCTTCCACTGGCACACACCACTTCCATAAGGTATATTCACTGCCTTTGACACCCTTTCTTGAATGTGGATGTCTTACTATCATCTTATTGTTGCTCATTGTGTTATTCAAGTTTATTTAGACTGAGTTATTCTTTCTCATATTGTACATCGTACTCTTGATTCCTTCCAGCAGTATCTACGTAAGATCAATACCAATACACCAAGAAGCTGGTTTCAGCTGCTCCTGCGCGTCCGGTGTACGGAGTAGGGGTAGAGTAGGGAAGGGTAGGGAAGGTACTTCCAGGCACACCCATCCAACACTCAATGTCGACGTACCTCGGCGCATGTCGTCCGTCTTACTGGCAGATCGAGATTCCCACTCCCGAATCACTCATCGCCCAGACAGTCCACTCCTTTCCCCATGTCTAATGATAACCACTCAACTGACTTCGATCAACTTACAGTTTACATTTACATACACACGACTGGGGTCTACACTTAGTGGTTCCTGACCTCCTCACGCCATCCGCCCCCCGCGCGCCCTTGTCTATCTACTACATTTACCTACAATACTAACTGGTTATGTACGGAGTACTCCGTACTTCCATGTGCCCTGCCTTGCCCTGGTCGTCAAATTACCCTCTGACAAGGACCTCCTCCCCTCTTGGATCCATGCAGAAGGCCGCCGTGGTCTCGATTTGTCGGGGAAATTCTGCGTGGCACGATGAAGCTTATATAGGGAGGTATTGCGCTCGGTGGCTATGTCTCTATGCAACCGGGTGATAGTGATACACTGCTTACTCTGTCGCTGTTGACTGGTGACGATCAGCCGCGGTCAGTAAAACAGTCTAACTACCTAATGAAATTGATTGTTGACAGTGGTGGAATCCATGTAGCTTTGATAATACCTGCAGTAGTGCTCCAATATCACCATTTAACAGCGAGGATGGATGATTTTGCCTGCCTGGTTTGTATTAGCTGTGGTTTTGATTGAGGAGTCTGGCGTGTTTGCGTCTGTGTTATGATCAGCTCTTTATTCTGGTGAGCAAAATTGATTGAACCTATCTACGGCGTACGCAGTAATAATTTTGTTTTTAAAGTTTAAAGATAATAACTTGCTGTTCATACTAGTAAGAACTAAAAAGGAAGGAAACTCTCAATGTATATGGGAACCACTTCAGCTCACAATCTTCACAGCCTTCTCTAATTTTTGTATAGATCACAAAAGCATAAACTTACCTGGGTCACTGCGCTCACGCTCGGACTCTGTAATGATAACTTGATAATGCCACAGTCCATTCCCGTGATTCCACTACAAACGAAGCGCCTGTCAAAGTTACCGGCAAAATACTGGCACGGTATGGGTAGGCTGATAGTATTATTGGGGGCAACAGAGTATTGTAATAAAACCACGCGTTGTCGTGGTGAGGGGGAGTCAGGGTCAGGTCATTTTGATTCTGCGACCTGGATCCGCGAGCGGAAACGCCGGTTTCCTTTGGTCTCCATTTTATTATCATTATGCGGTATTATTACTATTTTTCTTATTATTATCTGTATTATTGTTGTTGTTATTATTATTATGACTCTGTATTGCTCGCCTTTTCCATCTCCTTTCCAGATTGTCTTTTTTGTGTGGTCGATTTATTCTGATTCATGTTAACTATTTTGATTTAAGCTTTTTTACCCTCTTCACATCAAATCGGGCCCCTCTCATGATTATTAGGTAAATTACTATTAGCCAAGGTGCCCGAGGTTTTCTGTTCCAGCCATTTCCATACTGTACGATCGTCCCGTAGTTGACTGGTTGCCTAGGGCCGCATCCACCATTAATCAGTTGATTATGACGAAGGCGTCGCGTTACCAGATTATGATGTCACGTGGATCGGCGCCCGTTATATAATCATCGCCTTCTTGTAGATGCTGTCACGGTTGGCGATCGCGTCTCGTTACAATGCGAGTCTGAAGAGATGAGAGAATGATCTGGTGAGATCGCTTGGCTGTAAGACCAGAAATAGAATAGAACTGGTTTTGATTGGAGAAGGAAATTCTAGTCCAAGGGTATCCCAACTCAACGCCATCTAAGCATCCCGGCCCCAGGTCCCGGATCATCACTGGAAGAGGGAAAAGGTAAAAATACAGAAAAAAAAAAAAAAAAAAAACAAAGAACAATCTATCAATCGTCCGACTCGTCCAGGACAAGAACCGCCAGGGCGTCGTCCGCGGCCCAGTCTACCCCGCTGCCGACAACGATCGCGCTCACGACGTTTTTGACCGTGTCCCATTTGGCTTTGCTTTTCTTGTAGTCGGACTTTTGCTGCTCTAAATGTGTCTTCAGTTCATCGTCTTCGAGCCTTTCCATCCAGGAATCGTCGTCTTCGGTGATTTCCAAGAGCTCCTGGACGAGGTCCCGATTCTTCTTGTGAAGTTGCCGGTTTTCAACCTCAGCTGTGGACAGGTTCCGGACTGTTGCGCTGTGCGCACTGTTCAGGTTCTCGTGGGCCAGAGAGAGCATGTCCCGTCGATTGAGCAGAGGGAGGAGAGTTCTAGATAATGTATTAGCTTGGATATGTTTTCAGAAAGAGATATAGAAGGAAAAAGAAAAAGGAGAAAAATACCGTTCCGCAGGAGTTGTCGCTTTCATATGCACTGCTTTGAGTGTCGGATCGGTCATAAGAACGGTTCCGATGGCTTTCCTCCTGACCGTGTACGTGGCCCGGGCCTCGAGGAGCTCGCGTTCGGCGATGGCCAGCTGTTCTTCGGCATCGTCTCCAGACAACAGATCGAGATCTAGATTGTGTTAGAAAAGTGAGAACGTAGATCGAACGGGGATAGTATTGTGAAAGAAGATATAACAAAAGTAAACATGGATAAACGTACCTTGCTGTAATAAGGCTTTTTCTAATTCCTGTTCCTGGATCTGATGGTAGAGTTGGAGGATCAGCTCCTCTTTCTCCGAGAGAGCTACCACATCGCGAGGATCTTCGGCCGCTAGATCCAACAGAGAGAGTTCACCAGGGTTCAGGTGAGGGAGGGCATGAGCCTTAGTAGAAGCCATAGCAGACGACCTCGTGGCAAATCCAGCGAAAGCATCGTGTGATAAGAGAAGACGGGGAAGATGTCTGGATGATATTGAGGAACGCCAATCAATGAGCATCATGAAGCGGGCGGTGGAGAAGAAACCGGGGAATTTGGTTTGCCCAATGGTGTCACACTCTCCATCCAGCCTAGCTCTCCGTTCACGACTACTACATCTTCTACTTCCTCTACTTCCACCTACCTATTACTTCCCTATCTTACCCTACTACTACTAGGAATAGAATGGTTCTTCCATCCTCCTTTGACTCCTCCCCTCTTTCCTCCTCTCTTCCTTCTCCCTCCCCCCTCCATTCTTTGTCCTACGTCTCTGGAGCCGCATCGCCCGGCTGGTGAGGAGGATCCTGGATGTCTTTGCACATCTACATCGCTCACTCCGGTGAGCATCTACTGGCCGATCCAGTTTCCTTCGCCTCGTACGTACCTATCAAATCAGTCCATCGAATCACATCCACTTCCTCTCCGCCTTGATCGCTTTCTACTATCCCCTTGTGTTCCGCTTCCCTTCTTAGTCTTCGGTCGGCCCCGAATGTGGATTCTAGACTGACGTTATGCTTTCTCCCGTCCAACAGGCCCGACGCACTCCGATCATGGATCACCCGCAACACCTCCATCCCATCTCAGCGGCAGATCTTGATGACGGCTCGGGGGAAGAATGTCAAGATCCAAACCCTCGCCACGGAGGTGTGTTTCTTCTGATACATCACATCTCTTTTCTCCTTATTTACATAAGTACATATACTGATCTTCACCCCCGGTAGAACGAGATCTTCGTATACGATCGGAGCCTTTTCACCGAACCCACCAAAGTCGAGCTCCCTGAACTGTCCTCGCCGCAACCGACCGCGATCGAAAGCCCCCCGGATACCCTGGCAGATCAGAACGACCTGCAGGCATGGCGGAATCTGTACACCGCCAGACGGACGTGGGCGGTGAACCTGACAGGGCACTGCGAATCCGTCGACAAGAGCATCCGCGAACACAACGAGCGCACCGAGGTCATCAATCGGGCAGCTAGCGTCGCTCTCGATAATCTCAAAACCCACGTGGGGACGCTGGAACACCGCTTCCAGGAGGCCCAGACATGGGCCAACGATCTCCTAAAGGAACAACAGACGGCCCTTGATGGATGGAGACGGGCCTTCGCGACCCTGGAGACCATCCCGGCCCGGACCGATTTCTCTTTCCTGGGCCGACCGTCAACACCCAAGACGGGCACAGATCGGTCGATGGGTACATTACGGGACTATGTCGACTCCGGGGATATCCAGAGGGCTGGATCGGAGGCAGCGACTGTAACCTCGCAGTTCGCCCAGCGGGTCGGCGACGTGGAGAAGGCCGTGGCCGATATCGCAACGGAGACGCAACGATTGGTGGAGGATGCTGTCCCTTCTGGCGTTGACAGCATGGATGGTGTGTTGGAGGAAGTGGTGACCATCTCGAAGAAGATTCAGTCCGACTACGAGCACGTCCTTGCCCTACCCAACAACCAGAAGACGCTAGCAAGCATCTCCCGGCTTGCACTCAACCACACCAAGGAACTTCTGCCATCTCTTTTGGACATCAGCACCGAAATGCAGACGGGGTTGGAGGGGGCCGTCAAGCGGCACAATGGGGCGGCGAACGCCGCCATCAGCCACATGCGACAGATATCCTTGATCGAATCGCGCTTAGCAGATGTCCAGTCTCAGATCAACAACCTTACGTTCCAGAGCGACGCGTATGACATCATATATTCCGTCTTCCACATGCCGCTAGTGTATGGCTCCGTAATGATCGAGTCGGTGCGTCGCCGCGAGTTCAGCACGAAGATGAAAACCGACTCCCTGACCCTGGCCGAGGAATTGTCCGTCTTCCAAGACGAGGAGCAGCGCCGGCGGAAGAAATGGATCAAGAACATGGGCGAGTTCATTTCGACCTCCGATGCAACCACCCCAGGGATCGAAATCAATCTGCGGGGACAGGAGATCGAATGGCCCGAAGTCAGCAGGAAGGATGTCGAGGGGTACATTGAGGACCTGAAGACGAAGCCAGGCATGACGAGCATAGTTCAAGAGCTGAACCAGCTCTATAAAGACCTGGATGCCCCGACGCGCCACCAGCGCCGCAGGGCCAAGGCCTTCAAGCAAGGCAGTCTCTTTGATCTGAGCCGCAGCTCTCTGCTCCTTCGCAGCGATGACATGGTCCGCAGCCTGAGGGACGAGAAGACCAAGCTGGAAGACAGACTCAAGGGCTCCGAAAGCCGAATTCGAAAACTCGAAGACCTTCTACACCGTCAAAGCCACCTGGGGCGGCCGTCCAGCGGCAATTTCTCGTTCGATTTCCCTAGTACTCCCGCCTCACCTCACCCCGACCCGCACTCGCGAAGATCTTCTATCTCGTCAAGACGGATGTCGGTCAATCAACCGTCGGAAGAAAAGGCACTCGCTCAACGCATTGTTCACCTCGAAGCTGAACTTGCATCGGAGAGGGAGATTGTGCAAAGACTTCAGAAGGACGCGCACGCTGAGCGTCAGTCCAGCACCGATAAGATAGAGGAAGCGCAGTCTACGAAGAAAGATCTTATTGGAAACCTCGAAGCCCGACAGCGGGAGTTTGATGACGAACGGAGGTACCTCGAGGGCCAAGCGAAGAAACTCAAGATCAAGGCGGAAGAACTCGAGGAGGAGCTGGACAGGGTGATGGACGGCCGCGAACACGAGCGACAGGATGCTGAAGAACGGATACACCACCTCGAGACCGAGCTCCAGGATGCCCATGCTCGCGCCGAGGAGGAGATCCGAAAAGCAACGAGCCTTGTCGAGCAAATGCGCACTCACAAAGAAGGCCAGACCGACCTGAACGCCCGAATTGAAAACCTTGAGAGGCAAGTCAAGGAGGGCGAACAGCGGGACCAGGACAATTACCATGCTTTACAAGCTGCCTTCCTTCACTTGTCTCCTGGAGGCGCAGTGCCTGTCGAGATACCAAACATCATCAAGAGTATCGAAGTGCTCTCCGAAGGGCTGTCGATCCATGCTAATACCGCCGAAGAAAACGCAAGTAAAGCTACAGCTGCGAGCAAGGAACTAGAGGAGCGCCTAGAACAGATGAAATCTGAGCTCGAACAGCTCAAACAGACCTCGGAAGAACGGGAAGCGGCACTGACCCAGGCACTGAAAGACCTTTCGGGAGAGAAGTCAAAGTTGTCCAGTGTGACGGAAGAACTGCATGGCGAGCGGTCTAGACTCGGAGCCCTGCAGTCCCAGATCACTGCGGGCGAGACAGGCTCTGATGCCCTGAGAGAACGCGTGGTGGAGGAAGAACGGAAGTTGGCAGGCTTGTCGCAAAGACTCGCCGAAGTTGAGTCGCAGGCGCGCCAGGCCGAAGAGGAAGTCCAAACGTGGAAGGAAAAGGCCGAATCCCTGTCGAAGTCGGAACAGGATGCTGCAGATCGGATAGAGACTTGCGGGACAAGATCTCAAGAGCTTTCGAAGCAACTGTTCGGGCAGGTGGAGAAGTTGGAGCATATGCTGGAGCAAATGGGATTCACCATCATCCGGCAAAACGGAGATATCGTCGTGCAAAGATCTTCCAAAGTCAACGCCCTCTCCGCCACGGCTGACACCCTCAGTCAATCCGGCGTGGTGTCCGTCAAACCAGACTCCTCGCTTTTGGAGTGGATGCAGGCAGAAACCCCGGAGGAAGAGACCGATCGGTTCATGGGATTCATCGAATCCATGTACCAATTCGACGTGGATATCTTTGGCGAGGCGGTCGTCAAACGGGTGAAAGACATTGAAATGCTTGCTCGCAAGTGGCAGAAAGAGGCTAGAGGGTACCGGGACAAGTACCATCGGGCCCAGAGCGAGGGGCACGACAAGATCGCGTATCGATCATTCAAAGAAGGCGATCTCGCCCTGTTCCTGCCGACCCGAAACCAAGCCATCCGGTCCTGGGCCGCGTTCAACGTTGGTGCACCGCATTACTTCCTGCGCGAGCAGGACGCCCACAAGCTCCAAGCGCGCGACTGGTTACTCGCACGCATCACCAAAATGGAAGAGCGAGTCGTAGACCTCTCGAGGTCGCTGAACGGCGCCAATCCCGACCGGCGATCGCTGGCCGAGACCAGCGACGGTACGTCGTTCGACGACGAAAACCCCTTTGAGCTGTCCGACGGTCTACGCTGGTATCTGCTAGACGCCACGGAGGAGAAGCCCGGCGCGCCCGCCACGCCAGGGCTCGGAAAGAGCACCGTCGCCCCAGCCCACGTAGACGCCCGGGGCAGCATTCGCCTGAAGCGCACGACGGGCGGCGGCAACGTCGCCAGAACGCTCACCAAGAGTCTCGACAGCCGGCGCAACAGCTCCGGCTCCAAGAAAGGACCCCCTACACCAAACCAACGGGGCAACGGGTCCTCTACCAACCTAGTCCAGACCGCCGAGGACAGCGCTGCCACCCCGGCCTCTCCCTCGCGACCGCGCGAGGCAGCTCCTATCTTCGACGAGGTTCGCCGCGACCTTCTCCGGGGCCCCTGAAGACACTCCTTGTTTCCGCGGACCAAGCCCCTTTTTCTTGTGTTCGCGTCTTCCGCAAAAGAAAAAGATGGGAGCTGACAGACACTCCTCTCTAGGGCTCTACTCTACTCTCAGAGAGCAGCCGATGGCAGCGGCGGAGTCCCGACACCGCGTGGCCCTCTATGTCGTCCTCTTCCAGAATCGAGAATGGCGATGCCACGTCCCCTTCACATTCGTCTTCGACTCCTAGTCGACGCCCAACCAGTCGGTATCGACCGTGGGAGAGACTCTGGTCTGTTGACTACCGGCTAGAAAGCGGAAGCCCAAGCCGACGATAATTATGATCGTATTTTCTTTCTTTCTCCCTTTCTTTCCTTCTTTTTTGATTTTATTTTCCTGTTCATCTTTCATATTGTTTGATATTTCACTGCCCTCTATATTTGATACGAACCCCCGCCTATAGGCCCTTGAGGCCTTTCTTGTTGACACGAAACGATGGCAAACGCTGGTCATTAACCATCCCGTCACGAAATTGATACCCGTCTATGTGGAGTGCGATGTACCTGCCTTCTCATTTCTTTTCTTTATTTCCCTCAGGACTGAGCTCTAGATTAGACTTGCTTTTGTTTTCCGGTCTAGCTCTATCTATATCGTTACTTAACTACACAGTTTGATTGATTGATTTGGTGGGCTACAGTAGAAGTAGGTTAGAGGTGTCTTCGTAGGCGGTATATATGGGTGGATTATATATCATTGTAATGCTAGTGAGGGATAGACAGTAAGGTTATTTATATATGTTCCTATACCCAACGCCGCTCGAGAGAACCAAAAAAGCAACCATCAACAACTAAGTAAACAAGAAAAAGAAAAGGAAAAGAGATAATTACGGGGGTGAAAGGGATGAAATCAATCCAACTGATCCACAAACCCCTCCCCAGGCATCCCCTCCATACCTCCCACATCATCCCAAAACTGGGAGAAATCAACACCCGCTTCCTCAAACAGCTGCTTCACCTGTTCCATGGCGGAGGCCTGTCGTTCCGGCGTGAAGCCGCCCGGACGGGTACTCTCGTACTGGATCAGCTCGACCCAGCGGAAGAAGAGGTCCTCTTTGCCGAGGGCGGACAGACGGTCTCTGAAGGCGATGATCTGGTCGCGCTGGGCGGAGCGCTCTTTGCCGGCCGGGGAAGAAGGAGATGGGGAGGAAGAGTTGGGGTTGGAGATCTCGTTCTCGTCGCCGACGTGCCAGATGAGCCAGCCGTCGGCGTCGGTGTTGACGAGGACGGCGGTGCGGAAGTCGTCGAGGGATAGGTTGTTGGGTTTGTCCTTGCTGTCGTTGTTGTCTTTGCGGGTGCGCGGGGAGGAGACGAGGTTGTGGGCGCGAACCATGGCGGGGTAGTCGAGGTCCCAGTCTGCGTCGACGAGGAGGAAGCCCGTTTTGAGGAGCTTGTCGGGGGTCACGGCGGCGACGATCTTGTCGCGGGCGGCGTCGTCCTCGCGGATCCAGCGGTTGCGTTCGAGGGTGTCGCTGAGGGAGCGCTGGCTGCGGCGGACGATGATCTCGCGGTTCAGGAAGCCGATGCGGCGGCGCCAGGTGACGGGGCCTTGGATGAAGCGGATGGGCCAGGAGACGAAGATGGTGAGGAGGAAGTAGTCGATGAGGAAGGTGCCTGTGCGGCGGATGATGGTTTGGGCGATCTCGCTCCAGGACATGGTTGTTGTGTCGACGTTCATGGAGGAGGTGAGGCCGATTAGGGTCGCGAAGAGGGCCGGGTAGACTTCGCGGACCATGTAGATTCGGATGGCGATGATCGCGACGATGACGATGTTGAGGACGACGGGGACGAGGAAGGCTTGTTTCTTCATCTCTTGTGGGGAGTTGTCGACGTGGATGAGGTAGACTTCGCGCGGGGAGAGTATGTCAAGGAAGGGTTGGAGGGAAGAGGGAGCGCGCATGAATGGCGGTAGAGGGCCTGTCTGCGAGCTGGGAGATGATGCTCCTGACGAGGAGGGTGTAGTTGAGGCCTTTGCCTTGCCTGCCCGGCGGGCGGATTTCGCCATGGTTAGGGGTTGGGTGGGACGTGCTGGATGTTGTCGGAAGGGGTGCAATGGCCGTATTCGGGGATGGTTTTAGTCGTGATGTGATGGTCGAGACTATCTGGTCGGTTATGAGTATATATATTTCCCTATGGATATCTCGTTGCGAATCAAGAGGCCGTGTAGAAAGAGACCTGTGACGACATACGTGGACGGATACGCCTGATTGGGTCACATGCCCGTCAGTACACGAGTGTCAAGCGAGTGACAGGACAGCAGGGGAGTGGTTGGCCTACTAGGGGCTCCGATTGACTTGGCTTAGAATTCAAGGGACAATCGATGTGTCTCCAGAGTGAAGAGGAGTGATCGAGCCGAGGAGTGGAGAGTGAAGCTATTCTTATTCTTTAATTATTTGGCCGATGACGCCGTTTTTCCGCCGCTAAACTCGTTCGGGTCGACGCAGCAGATCCCCTCCTTGGCCGCGATTTCGATCCTCCTCTGTTTCTTCTTCAATCATTCCAATGTATATTGATTTCTCTGTCCAATACATTTAACACATTTGCAGACAGATAGTAAGGCGCCAGCTTGTGGTTGCCTATCTGGGAGAGCGAGAATGCCCACCCCCGAACGGAGGACTGACCGACCTCCGTCGCGTCGCAACCATCACAACGACCACCAATATTCGCCCTTCCATCTTGCATACCGCGACTCGGACCTAGATGACTACAACGCGTCGAAAATCCCCAGCCCCCCTCAGAACTACGGCAGCACCGCCCGACAGCGCGACAATTTTACCAAAACGCGGAGCTTGCGAGGTGCGTTTCGAGTCGCCGGGGACCGTTATTCGACCATGGCAGAGGAGGACGCGCGCACGTTCGGAACCCCGAATCGGTACAGACGGCAGAGTGTGAATCTTCTGTCTCCAGAATCTAATCCGCCGAATGAACTCGCCGAGGCATATAGGCAGATCAGCGATGCTGGGGACTTGGTGGACGAGGCGCCCGATAACGATTTCCTGCCTGAACTGCGCGGCAGTCGAAGCATGCGGTCGTCGTCGGGGTCTCTAACGAGAGACAATGCCTTGTTTTTGAATGACGCGGATGCGGGGTTTTTAGATGACGGCATGGACGAGTCACCGCGCCGGAGATCTACCGACCATAGCGAAGACAAGCAGCGGTTAAGACGCGCCACATCCAATCAGTCGCCGGTACTGAACAGAAACGGGATCGCATCCGCTTTGACGTCGGAGAATCTGCTACGACGCGAAGAGGAGGACCAGGCCGCGTTGAAGATGGAGGAGGGACTCGAAGAAGACTACGGCGGTGTCAAACCTTCGTTGAACCTTCCGTCCAACTGGGGAACCAGGGGACGACACCGTTCCGACTGGCTCCGCAATATCACCAAGCGCAGCAATTCTGAATCCGCACCGGCCGCAGAACCTAGAGCCACCTCACCACCCAAGTTCAACCTCGAAGCGGAGAGTACGAGCCCCCCGGCACCCCCACGAGCGGCGATCAGAGACGCTTTACGAGAACCGTCGTCAAACCGATACAACCGACTTCCCTCTTCGGACCTACACAATAAGGCGTCTGCGGGCCAGGAAGAGAACCGAGAAGGAGACCCTATCCCCAACACCCCGATCATGGTGTATAAGAACTCGACTTTCACCAAACGGAGTCCAACCAAACGAGACTCGCAGGATCTTTTGCGCAAACTTTCCAGAAACGAGAGCCCCGGTCAAATACGTAACGAGTTCCTCACCCCGGAGGCTCAAAAGATTCAAGCCCCCGAGCGACGCATCTACGATAAGACACCGGTGGTAACGGGCGCTTGGATAGATACCCCGGTGACGGAGCGACAGTCGGCCCCTCTCCCTGATCATCTGTCGAAGGGTATTGTACCATCACCAGTCCCTAGCAGGGCAGAACCAGCTCGCCAGCCAACGCCCCCCGTTAACCAAATGCCGAGTTCTACCCGATCGCCGCTGAAGAAGGACCGGGAAATGAGAGTAGAGGAAAGAAGACAGGAACAAAAGCCGCTGAATGAGAGACCGAAGGATGAGGGTCAGAAGGAAAAGGTGGCGAAGCAACCTTTGATCAAACCTGACCTTCCTAAGAGTGCGCTTGAAACGGTCATGCAGGACTTCAAAGCGGACAAGGATTCACTGGATGTAGGAGATGATACGATCGAGTCTCTCCAGGAGATGCTCAACGACAAACCCAGCGGCCTGAAAGAGGAGGAAGACGACGCGGCATACCAGAAGGCGGTCCTGGCGAAACTGGAGCGTCCCAGTCCCAGCTCCAACGACCAGGGAACCGATCTTGACCGCCTGAACGATAAACTGCAATCGCTGGCCGACAGCCTCATGGAAGTGAGGACAGGGCTCAACAGTATCGAAAAACAGGTGTCCCGCGACGCCGACACCATTTGCTCTCTTCCTCCGTCCCCCACTGACAGCGGGACTAGCACTACGTACGTCTCGCATCTGTCTCGGTGGCTGCCACGTCTCTGGACACGAGGCCCGGGAGCACGGCGCATCCGACCCACGCTGCTGGGGTGGGGTATCATCTTCGCCTTTGTGTGGTTCTTCTCGGAATCGACCCTGTGCGACTACTACTGCCATCCACTGGTGTCGGACATCTGCGAAGGCAACTGCCTAGACCCGGACGCTCCACAGTTCCCCTACGTGATCCCGACAATGCTCTGGCGCTGGTCGCATTTGTCCTCGTTGCTAGCCCCAATCGGCACAATCCTGGTAGCCTTCTACCGGCTCGTGACACAACTCCTGGGGTTCTCGGATGGCTATGTTCAGGACATACCAGCTCCTTATGTTAACGCCTCAGGGGAGATCTTCATCCACGGTCGGCGACTGGACACGTTGCCGACGGACGTCACGAAATCCGGTGGCTTTTTCGCAGCGATTCCCAAACCGTGGCGAGAAGCCCAGCAACCTACAGAGACGGTTCCCAATTTGGACCTGGGACAGGGGATGCATGGAAGCTATGGAGAGGAGACGGTCGATGATGGATCGATGGAAGATGATGAGTATATCTGAATTTGCTTTTGCTATTATCTATGTTCTCTCCTGGATTTTGTCTATTTAAGCGGGCTGGCGTCCGGACGGCTGCGGAGTGGGTTATCTAAGGCGTGGTAATTTGCTGAATCTGCGAGCACATTGGACTTGAGACATGCATATGAGATGCTGTCACTCAATGAAGAATATGGATATTCCCCAGTAAGGTCGTGGCACTTTAACTGTAGTTCTTCGTTCGTCTCTATGTAGAATCCAGTTAAAGCTCCGATAAGGTCACGTGCACCGCCGATAAGCGTAATCTCGGACTTTAATCTGACTTTACTGGAATGGTAACTCATTTACTCCCAACATCACATACACACCTCATCCACCATGGCAGACTCCCGAGACGACTACCGCGATCGCAGGCGCTCCCGATCGCCATCCAACGTTTCCACCCGGGACCGCGACCGCGATCACGATCGGCCCCGAGCGCGCCACGACAAAGACAGCACCAGCAGCCGCCGAAGCCACGAACACCGCAGCCACAGGTCGCGCAGAGACCGAGACCCCAGCCCGCGGAGACGGCGGCGCGAGCGCTCTCGTGGCCCACCCGGCCGCAGCAGCCACAGGCGAGACCACTCGCGGCGGCGCGAGCGTCACCGACATCCAGAAGAAGAAGACTCCGACGCGGACGCCCGCCGGGAACGGAGAGCACACCGACACAGACGACATCGCAGAGAAGAGTCTGTCTCGTCTGCTTCCTCCACTGCACGCCGCTCACCAAAGAGAGAGAGACAGAGATCTAGTCGACGGAGCCGGTCTCGCAGCCCTAAAGGAGACAACCAGCCGCGGTCGAGGGGTCCCCTCCCCTCGCAGCAAGACGCCTTCACAACTACCTCTGGTGGAGCAGTCGCAGCAGACCCGGACGCGCCACCCCCCGTGGAAAAGGAGAAGCCCAACTACGGCAACACGGGCCGTCTAGCAGCCGAGAGCAACACGGTAGAGGTATCCGGTGGCGGCTCCGTAGTGCTAAAGTACCACGAGCCGCCCGAGGCGCGGAAACCGCCTCCCAAGGACGCGTGGCGGCTGTATGTGTTCAAGGGCGAGGACCTGCTAGAGGTTGTGGAGCTTGGAGGCCGCAGTTGTTGGCTGGTGGGACGGGATCGGCTGGTGGTTGACTTCCCGCTGGACCATCCGAGTTGCTCGAAGCAGCATGCGGCGATCCAGTTTCGGTTTGTGGAGAGGAGGAATGAGTTTGGGGATCGCGTGGGTAGGGTTAGGCCTTATTTGATTGATTTGGAGAGCGCGAATGGGTCGAGTGTTAATGGGGAAGGGGTGCCTGGGGGACGGTACATTGAGGTTAGGGATAAGGATGTGTTGAAGTTTGGGATGAGTGGGAGGGAGTATGTGCTTATGTTGGCGCGACCGGATTGATCTTCTCCTTTTTCTACAGATATCTTCGTGGATCACAGAAGAGGGATGGAAGCTGAAGCATGGAGTTGAAAGCAATGGAGCTGGAAGCAACGAAAGGCGAAAGCAATGAACATATTTTTAGACTTATAATTGTACATTAACTACTAACTACACGCATCATATCGAACACAAAGTTATATTTCAAAAACCCCCCACCTTCTCCTTGGCCTCCCCCTTCAACTCCTCCGTCTTTCCCTTCGCCTGCCCCTTCAACTTCTCCGCATCCCCCTTAAGCTCACTCGCCTCTCCCTTGACCTTGCCGCTCAGTTCCTCCGCCTTCCCCTGCGCCTGGTTCTTCAGTTCTCCGGCCTTGCTCTGCGCCTGGCCCGCCAGGCCCTCTGTCTTGCCCGACGCCTGGCTCTTCAGTCCCTCTGCCTTGCCCGACGCCTGGTTCTTGAGTCCCTCTGCCTTGCCCTGCGCCTGGTCTTTCAGACCCTCTGTCTTGCCCGACGCTTGGTTCTTAAGCTTATCGGCTTCGCCTTCGACTTTGCCTTTGACGTTTTGGGCTTCCTGGCCGGTCATGGATTTGAGTTTTTCGGCGGCTTCGTCTGTATCACATATATGATTAGTATATGACTTTGTGGAACAGTATAACAATATAACCACATGACAGTGTACCAACGACACAACACCACCGTAGTGGGAAATTAAAAGGGGAGAGATAGGAAAGAAAAAAAGATAAAACATACGACCCTTATCCATGCCCTTCAGCACCGTATCCGAAATAGTCCGGTCCGCCTTATGCAGCGACTCCTTGGTCGTCTCGACGGGACCCTTGTTCGCCCTGACGGTCGTCGAAGAGAGCATTCGCGCGGCGAGGAAGCCGCCGCCTTGGGTGGTGATGCGGCATGTTGGGGGCGCGGTGGCTCTGGCGAGGAGGGGAAGGATGGATGTGTGGGGGGAAGGCATTTTGGTGGTATTCTTATTGATTATCCTTTTTTTCAATGGAGTTGGATGGAGGATGGTGTACTGAAACGTAGTACTAGTTGTTGGTGGTGGTGGTGGTTGTGGGTTTGGGTGGTGAGATTGGAAAATTATAGTAGAAAAAGGTTGAAGTATCGCTATAGATTTATTTTATAGGTATTCGAGATCCATCAAGCAAGTATTCGCCCCATGATGTATTCCCTTCATCATCGTCCTTTGCTACCAGCTGTCATGGAATGATATGATGTATGGATATCGCAAACGTCATAGCTGCCCTGATCGGGTTAGGGCTGTGCTTAAATCTGGGGATCAGTTTCTTGTTTTCTCTAGTTCGGTTTAACAGGACTTGTCATGGTTCATGTCTTTTCTTGATTTGGTTGGATAGGTTGATCATCCTTTTTATTTTATTTTATTTTATTACATTATTGTTATTGACAAAGGAGGGTATAATTGACCTGGTAAATACTATCACTCTGTTGAATAGATAAATGTATTGAGTATAAAACCATGTCCATCCTATAAACTAGCCACAATGTCGATCAAGAAGAGACTAAACCCATTCATTATAAAAACACACAACAATGTAATGCAAATGCCATAATGTCAAATTAACGCCCTGTCCTGTCCTGTCCTGTCCTGTCCTGTCCTCCTATTATGCAATCACGCTGCAGCCAGCCAGCCAGCCAGCCAGTCACTGCCTTGATCTGATCGATGATCAGTCATCGCTAATCATTCACTCGATTGTTAAACACGTGAATAAGGCCAACTCCTGTTTGCAAATATTATACCAGTGAGCTCTCCTTGGTTTCTTTCTTTTTTCACATTCTTTTCTTTTTTTGTATCCGGTAACTATTGCATCATTCCTCTTTGCAAATTCAAACGCATGATAATCATCAAACCAGACGCCGTTAACATGATACCTTGGATTAACGCAAAGGGAGAATGGAGAGGAAAGAGATTGATGGAACAGAAAAGAAGAAAAAAGAAGAAGAAAAGGGATATCCATCAAATGAAAAGACAATGCATACGCACACAGAAGTAAGTAAGCCAGCAGCCATCTTTCCAAAGACCAGCTTAGTAAAGATAACCGATGATTGCAACAAGAAGAGAAGAATAATGAGAAAGATAAAATAACGAACAAGAAGATGAAAAAAGAAGAAGAAGAAGAACATCACCCGAAATTCACCCCCAGTCCATCATACTCGAATCCAGGCCGCGGCGGCGAACTCCCACTCCGCGGACGCGTCATGCCATGAACCAGATCCTGTGGCTGCAAAAGTCCGAGACCCTGCGGGAGAACCGGACCCGAGTGGTTCCCCTGCCGCAGCCGGTACATGGGAACGTGCTGTGGTGGGACCTGGACCTGGTACTGCCCGTAACCGCCTAATCGCTGGCGCGCGGAGCGGACGTCGACGCGGTGGCCGCCGAAGTGGAGTAGCTGTGCCGACGCTGGGTCTGCGGCTGCCCACCCTGTATGGGCATCCACGCTGAGCATGTGCTCGTCCAGAGGCTGGATGGGCTGTCCCTGGGCGGCGATGAACATGCTTTCTGCCTGGACTGCGCTGGCCATCGGTACGGCGGTTGTGCCGGGCGGCGGCGGCAGATGCTGCGACGTGTCGCTGATCCAGCTGCCTGTGCCGGAGAGGGTGTGCTGCTGTGGGATGACGTGGGTCAGCCCGGCAGGGAAGGCAGCCTGGGCAGTGGGGGGCATGAGCGAGGAAGAGTTGGGTGGGTAGCGGACGGGCTCGGTCGCCCACGATTGATGGGACTGTCCCGAGGGATCACGCGTCATGGGCTCCGGGATGGGGTCGGATAAGTAGCCCGGTCCATCCAGCTGGACAGACGGCGGCGGCGAGATGCCAGGCATGAACGCAGACGGGTGAGTGACTGCGCTCTTCGTGGTCGACTGGCTGATGGGCTGTGGCTGTTGCGGCCGCACAGCGCCCATTCGACGCGACATAGTGACCTCGATATTATTGTCCACTGGAAGTTGCGGCATGTATGTGAAAACGGACGGCGTACTGGCCGACATGTCGACGGGACGGGAAGCAGACAGATGGCGGGGGCGTTGCCACTCGGCGTCTTGGGTCTGTAGATCCAGCGCGTTTAACTGGTTTGTAAGGTACGTCTGGTCTGTCTCGCTGTATGTTGACTGGCTCATCGGGCCGTGCCTGAACTCGGCGGACAGAGGCGACGCATGCGCGTTACTAGACCGGCTCTGCAGCGAGTCCCCTGAGGACTTATTGTTCAATCCCAGGAACTTGGGTCGGTACTTGCCACCGGGGCTTGATGACGACCGTTGCTTTGCCGATGAGACACCACCCATACCCTGAGTGCGTTGGGCGGCAATGGCCGCATATGTCGGGAGATTCTCCTTGTCCGACACGAGCTGATCGCCTAAAAGCCTGCGAGTCGGCGGTGGACTGCCCTGGTGCACAGCGGCAAGCGCTGCGGACGCTGACACGCCAGAGCTGCTACGGCTTTTTGTTAACGGACTACTGGACGCACTCCTGCCCTCGACGGACAATGCCGCGACTTTCGGGGCCGCCAATTTCGAGCCGCGGATGTTGCGGGGGAACTTGGGCCGCTGGGGTCGTTTTTTCGGCCACTGTTCCTTGGCCTGTCGATGCTTCACCGATCGTTGCACAATGTGCCACCCAAGTTCCTCTGAGCGCGGAGGGCTAGAGGCTTGGGAGGACAGTGGCCTCTCAGTCGCCGTCGTGTGGCTCACTAGAGAGGGAATCGGGGAATTCCGGGTCATGCCCTTTGGCCCTTCCCCGTCGGTTTCATAGCCGTTCTCGGGATCGAAGCTGCACTCGCGAAAGATACGAGGCACGATAGGCTCGAGATGGAAGCGAGGCTGAGTCGGCATCTCCTCCGGGGAATCAGCCCTGGGCTGCTCCATGTCACTAAAATCCCAGGTCAGGTGTCGCGAGGGTCCGTCTTCAGTCGCCGAATTAGGGACCGATGACGAAGAACTGCTCGATCGATCAAACACCGACCTCTGCCTCCTGATCGACTCCTGCGACGACGTAGGCGAGATGCGCTCGATCTCATTGGATATGCTTCTCAGAACCTGTTTCAGGTCGTCAAACGCCTCGTGCACCACGGAGGGCTTCTTAGACATCTTCTTCGGAAAGAACTCCGCCAGTCGGGATGCGTGGGTCTCATATTCCCGATAATCCTTGACCAGGCCATGGTCATCGATGTCTTCCATCCGTCTTTTCGCGTGCCCGTAGGACGTGCAGAGGAGATTGGTGGCAATGACTAGCCAGGAATCGAAATATCCCGCCTCAGACTTGCTCGGGTCGGTCAAACATGGCTTGGAATTCCTCTCCTCGTCCATGATAGTGAGCTCGTCGCGGCAAAAGCTTTGGACCACGCTGTGGATCTTGATCATGTCGATGGACCCGGAGTACTGGTACGGCGCAAAGAAGGCCTCTTGGCTACTCTCTGTCTGCGACTCGGACAGGTCGGGAATGACTGCTTTGGCGTCCAGGATGTGGCTCCGTTCCGACACAGGCGAGAGCGCCTGAGCTTGCAGTTCATACGCATTGATGGTCCGTTCGATGAGACCGTATCGGATCAGGATGCCCAGCGTGGTGTCGATGTCCCCGGGCTCACCTGGTCGAGTCTTGGCCAGGATTTCCACATTTGAAGACACCAGAGATGACCTGCCCAGGTTTATGAGGCCAACGGGAACATTGTGGTCAAAAAAGGACAGAATATTGATCAGGTTCAAGGCTTCGAGATGGCCCATCTGATACAAGTCGTGCATGAGGACCAGGAAGGGCTCGGCCAGTTTCTCGTCCGTCAGGCGGGAGTCGACGTGATACTTTTCGATCGGTTTTTCCGTCACGCTCAGACGATGGCTGATGGCGTGGATGGCCAACGGCAGACACTCGTAGTATCGGACCAGATCGGTGGCCCTGCGGATCTGTTCTTGGGTCGGCTTCTTGATGAGCAGGTCCTTGAACAGGAGCTTGCACGCATCTTCCACTTGAAGCGGCGGCACCTGGAGACAGTAGGGCTCATACAAACGCTGCTTCTTTCTTAGCGTCCGGTCTACCGACGTGTAGATGATGCTGCAGTTTTTCTTGAATGGCAGAAACTGCCGGAACTGGTTGAGCTCATCATCGTTCCGGAAACTAACCCCATCAAAGACAAGGAGCCAGTCCTCGCGAGCCTGGAACCAGTTCCGAACGGTCTCGACATACTTCTGTGGGGCTTTTGAGTCAGGGTTCTTGAACTCCTGGCCATCGGTGAGGGTGGCTGTCTGCGCAATGTCCCAGAAGCACTTGCACGCCGACTCGTGTGACTTGGCGTCAACCCAGAAGATGCCACCGGGATAGTTCTTGTGCTGCTTGAAGACATATTGGCGTGCGAGGTGGGACTTGCCCGAGCCGGGACCCCCACAGATCAACACGGCCACCAAGCGATCGGGGCGTTTCTTGGACTTGAACACCCGAGTGTGCAGGAGTTCGAGCTCTTTCTGGAAACCGACAAAGTTTGCATTCGGGTGGAAACCTGGGGGCGCCACGAAGAGCTGCTGTTCTCGCTGCGACGTGTGAGATGACGACAGGCTTTCGCCTCCCGCCAGCGAGCGGCGTCTATCTTGGTCCGTGTGAGTGAGCTGTTGTTGAAGCGGCGCGGGGTTACCTAAGGAAGAACGAAGTCAGCATAATCTGACTATAGATATTTGCATTGTCGGATAATAGGGTACATGATAACAGAAGGCAGAACGCTGAAGCAGAAGACCGAAGAAACAGAGAACAATCATTGCGTCATGACGTGTAAAAGAGGCTTGCGAATATGAAGACAAACGACTCGGGCGAATTTTTTTTTTTTTCTTTCCTTTTCCTCTATTTCTTTTGACTTTTTTTTTTTCTTCGTTCAAAAGGCTGGGACAACCCGAGTCTCTCGACCTCCGCTTGATTTGCTCAGAAAAGAAAAGAACGCATGCAAAAGTCTAATAATGCGCATCCGCCGGCTCTTCAACCTCATAATCACGTAAGGTAACAAAGGAGGAAGGAGAAGATTCACGAAGAAGGTGTTGCTGCCTACCATGTGACCGGAGATCCGGCTCGCTCTCCGCCATTGAGTGTCCTTCCACTATATGCAACGATCAGCATGCGACATCAAAAGGTAGGGTAGGGGGCTTGTCTACTCACCATTACCGAAGATTTCCCGGGCCTTGGTGTGCTTCTTCAGCGCACGCATCCGGTTCTCCTCGACCCAGCGATCGGTGACGGTCCGCGGGGCGTCGCGGGAATAGCGCAGTAGCGCTTCGGCTACGGCCTCGAACCCGGGTGCGGTGTCGTCCTCGAATTTGCACATGTGGCGATGGTCGGACTCGATGCCCATGCGCTCCACGCCCTCGACGTAGGGTGCAGCCGAGCTCTCGTCGACGATCATCTCGCGCGACCCGCGCAGGTCCGTGGGGAGCGTCTCGTGGAAGAAGTAGATGTGGAAGCGAGGCATGATGTCGGCGAACAGGCTGTTGATGTTCTGGAGGGTCTCATTGTTGGACCGGAGAGCCTTGACGAGCTGGGGCGAAGAGTCGAGAAATTTCTTGGGCATGACCGCCGTGCAGATGTTTTGCAACAGAGCGCCCCATTTGGCGATGTCGGACCCGTTGTGCGGCGTCCCGAGGAAGAGCATACCGTACGTCGACACGAAGATGGAACGCAGGTGTTCGATGCGCTCGTTTTGGACGCTGTTGCAATAGATCAGGGCCCGTTTGACGATCAAGCCGCCCAGCGAGTGGCAGACGAAGATGATGGGACGGTCCGAACAACCCCGAAGCTATATACTGTCAGTATACGGGTATGAACAGCGAAGAAAGAAGGAAGGGAGAGAACTCACATTTCGGTTGGCCGCCAGAGAAGAAGTGAGAGTTTCAGCATGGTTGTGCAGGCGATCTTTGGAGACCCCGTCGGTGAAGGAATGAACGTTGGCGTTATAGCCATACGTCAGGATCCTCAGCGGGCTGGATTGGAGAAATTCAGGTAACAGATGAGCAGGCCAGTACACCCCCGACTGGGTGGCCCAGGTGTTGTAGGGATGACCGTTGAGACCGTGTACCAGGACGACGTCGACTTGAGGCTTCTCGGAACAATAGACCTGAGTCAAGCCAAACGGCTTGACTCGAGAAGCGAGGTCGGTCATGCTTTCCACAGAAGGAGGGCAGAAATCATAACATAGGAGAGAAGTCAGAGAGCAAGAGGAGGTGTGAAGTGAAGCTGAGGGGGAGAATTGTATGGGGGAAATCAAGGAGAAGTCGAAGAGAAGATGGAGATGTCAGGAGTATTTATTCTGAGAGGGAGCTAAGAAGTGACTAGTTCTTGTGATTGATTTGCGGACCAGATGACTCGGACTGGTGTGCCTGGCGGTGGTGGCAGAGCTTAATTATATACAATTAATTATCCAAGGCTATCCAGGGATCTTTCATTGGATTGTCAATAGAATATAATAAAGAACATTATTATTGTATTATTATAATAATAATCAATTAGTATTATTGAAGAATACAGTCTATTGTCCGAGAATCTGATTCATCGTAAATGGGGCAATAGGGCAATAGGCATTAGGCAATGGGGCTGATCGGACACGGTCATGCTGGCTCCATCGCTGATCATCACTCTCCATAGTGATTGCGGGGAACTACTTACCTACTCTGTCCTTCTTTCCTTTCATTCATCACTCCTCCGTATTCTCAACCACCCTCACCAGTCCTAAATCAAATATACCAGCCACTCCAAATAATACGATCGGCCTCCTGCAGGGTTCCGACTCAAAGGTCTCCTCTGTCCGACTTCACTCAGCCACTCCGAGGCTCTCCCATCGGACCAGTTCCCTCCTCAGAATGCGAGACATATCCCACACCTGCATGGATCTTGCTCACATTACCCGTGACGTATCGGAGCCGGCGTCTGCCTACAGGGCGAGGTTGCTGTGCCCCGGGAAGGGGAAAGACAAGGCTGGTGGTGGTGGGACTAGTAAGTTTGCCGCAAACGAATAAGCAGATGGACTGATCTGTGTATTTTGTATCGGTTTTTTACCACCATAGACTTATTTCCACATCATATATTGTACATATTGTACCTCGTATAGAGGATATACTTGAATATATGGGTACGTGGTCAATATATCCATACCCTGCATTCTGTGGTAATAACATATCTATGTGTTCTATTGTAATTCCAACAATACAAATCCGACCATTTACTCAATCCAGTCTCTACAAATGACCAGATAAGCAGGAGATTATTCCCACGCGGCTTATTCAGATTCAAATCAAACATTATAGATACCATCACTCCCTGTGAAACCTATTCATAGATCCTATCAAGTGGAGGCAGTACCTGCATACCTCTATTAATCTCCATAAACACTCACAATAAGAACCAGGGTTCAATCAGAGTACCAGATCTAGATCGAGATCTCAATACTACTAGGACAAGGATTCCATCCTGTGGATATATAAATAATACACAACAATAGATTGAAACGACACCACTTGGATAAGATTGTGGAGCTCCACGGCCCGCTCACGGTTCCAGGGTTTGTGGACTGCCTGATAAGTGATAACTGCCGTTGAAGGTGTACACTCCAGGAGAATAGATTAAATTGCTATTTTTATCATATGCATTGATTATTCATGAGAATAGCTATTGAGTAATTCTATAGTACGTCCCCTCCACTCCATTCTGTTGTAGTTGTGGAGGTGTCCTGCCAATCACTCACTGCCCAATTCAACACATTTATTTGCCTCAACATCGAGGAATGTGATTCACACAGGCTTTGTTTCCAGATGACTCACTGTGTAGCATTGTGGATCCACATCCACTTCGAATGAGTCTTCAAGTCTGGACATTCGTCCTGGGTTTTGTGGCTTTACGGTTTGCCTTGTCGAGGGGTGTGATGGTACGTGGACTAAGTACGTAATGGACAGACACTATATTTCCCCACAGCCTCAATAGATATCACGCTACAATTTCCCTAGAAAAGGCGAAAGAACAGAACAGACAACAATAGTAAAACAGAGAAAGGAAAAAAAAGTAAATTCATGACTAACTATAGATTACACCCGGCAAAAATCGTCAAAAGTATCAAGCAAAAAAAGACAAAGAAGAATTAATCACCGACCCCGAAAAGCCGGCTTCCTCTTCTCCGCAAATGCGCGCAGAGCCTCCCACCGGTCCTCCGTCTCCATCACTCCCTCATACGCCTCGTTCTCGGCCGCCTCGCCCTTCTCGGACTCCTCGACCGCCCGCAACGCCTGCTTGATAGCGACGGGTCCGCCCTCGCAGATGCCCAACGCGAGGTTGATCGCCTCGTGCAGCACCTTCTGGCGCGCGGCGCCCTCTTTCTTCTCCTCCTCCGGCACGACCTCCACCAGCCGATCGCAGAGCCCAATAAAGTACGACTCTGGCCCCGTCACCCGCCGCCCCGTCAGGATCATGTCCCGTGCCCGCGTCACCCCGATCACATCGGGGAGGCGATAAGTGCCGCCCGCGCCGGGGATGATCGCTAGCCGAGTCTCGGGGAGTCCAACGACGCTAGAGGACCCGAAGACCCGGAGGTGCGTGCACAGCGCGAGCTCGAGCCCGCCGCCCAGCGCCGTGCCTGACACGGCTGACACGGTCGGGACCTGGAGGCTGGCGAGGTCGCGGAACGTACGGCGGAGCTTGGAAAGGAATTCGCTGGTGCTGTGGCGCGCCCAACAATCATTAGCTGATGGATTTCACCCCGCGAGGCGTAGAGATTATTTAGGGGCAATTACTCCTGCTTAGACATGTTCACGCGCTCCTTCAGATCCGCACCCGCGCAGAACGCCGCATCCGCGTTGCTGCCGATGACCAGCGCCCTGGTTGGGCCGTTGCCCTGCTCGGCGGCGATGGCCTGCACGTGCTCGTCGAGGGCGTCGACCAGGTCGCGCGACAGCGCATTCCGGGCGTGCGGTCGGTTCAGCAGGAGCACGCGAACCGTGCCGGAGCCTGGGGCGGGGATGTATTGGCTCTTGAGGACTTCGGCGTCGGGGCTTGTGCTGTAGCGGGCGACGGTGATGCGGATGGTGGTTTGGACGGGCGGGCGGAGAGCCGCCGATAGCCGGGGGAGCGAGAGAGCGAGACGCGGGGCCATGCTGGGTGGTTTTTTGGGTGTGTCGAGGTTGGATTGAGGATGGAATGGATCAAGGGATTTGAATACTGTAGCGTATGGAGATTATCGGTTCATGGTGTTGGGAAAAAGAAGAGTCGGAGAGAAGGAGAATCCCTTTTGCGGTGGGTGTGGAGAACTGCGCTTTCACTCGGCTGCGGGGGAGCTCGGCTTTGGTTTGGTTTGGTTTGCTTCTTTTCGAGCAATAACCATCAGAACGATGGTGCATATTCGAGATATGCAGGAGTGACATGGAAATAGTAAAATTGACTATATAACTTAATATTTGACATGATTTACATTGCACGCATTTTCCACGGTCTTGCCGATGGCTATTATTTACATCGGAACCCGTAAGACCGTCATATGCGCTGGAACCAAGGGTATCTTCCATGATTGGACTCAGTCCACTAACTATACACACACCCATATATATACATATTCTATTGTACATTTCTTGTCCATCTTTCATTTATGATGCTGGACATAATCTCGTACCTCCTCTGCGGTCGGCCACGGCCCCAAGCTCGGTGTCGCAACCACGATGTCATACGCCTCCTGAAGGTTGGGGTCGGCGAACACCAGCTCCTCATCAGGAGACTCCTCCTCGTAAATTTCCGGATATTCACTGCTGTGATCGTGATCGTGATCGTGATCGTGATCGTGATCGTGATCGTGTTCGTCTTGTTCCAGAGTATCATACCAGCGATACGATTCCCATCCTCCTCGTCCCCAGTATCCCTCGAGAAACATGCGGGTAGCCACCAACGTCCGACGCATCATCCGCTCGCCGTTCAAGTGCTCCTCAGATGCCGCTTGGAGCGTCTGCGCGTGCTGGCTCATCCACCGCAGCAGACTGAGCAAACCGTCAACGTCCTCCGCTAAACCGAGCGCCCGCACAAACGCATGCAGGATGGCCGGCGAGGGGACCTGGAATAGCGGTGGCAGTTTCACCTGCGCCTCGGTGGCATTCTCGAGAGATGACGCGCCCCGTTCAAACAGGGACGACGTGGTGGGGTCCAGAAGGACAAGATGATCGAACTGGCTTTTGAGGATGCCAAGACCATGCTCCACTAAATTGCTGAACCCGGGGGAGAGGAAATGTAAGTGCGCAAGCTCTGGCCCTTGTCGCCAGGCAGCTTGTCGAACGACTTCCAGCCCTTCCTCAACGGCGTCGGGACTCCGCACCCCGGCGGCCACTACTTGCGAGAAACTGGCACAGAGCGCTCGCAGTCCCTGGAGACTGGGCTCGACGTTACACTGTTTCCTCCATCGAAGAGTCTCCAGCATTTCGTACCAGCCCAGGACGATTTGCGTAGTCCGGCCAATCTTGCGGGACGGGTCCGTGACACGCGTCTTACCCAGAGCGGACAGGACAAAATCCCAAGGCTGCGAGGCTCTTGACCTTCGCGCTCTTACAAGATGGATGGCATGCGACAGTATTTTGGGATGTCGACCCTCTCCATCCAGCCCGAATTCTTCGTTATGTGGAAGCAAAGTAGTAGTTGTTGATGGTGAGTCTGGTGGGTCGCTCATGAGGATTGGGAATATATCGACCGCGCGTGCACCATGCGCAAGGTCAGATCGATCAAAGTCCGAGAACTTGCATAGAAACCGTATGAAGGACGAGAAAAGATAATCAGGGAGTCCCTCCAAGGCTTTCCGGCTGTTTTCGTAACTAGACGTGTGGCCCCAGACAGTGCACAATGCGTGAACCTCATCGGTTTTCAGCTCGCTGCAGCAGAGGTAATTTATTCCGGAGCTGAACGACGGCGCAGTCCGTAGTAGCAAAGCCAAAAATCTTCCTCGTGGCTTGATCCCCTGCAGGAGCATCTGCTGGAGAAGCTCATCCAATGTAGGGGGTTCCGTATGCACATAAATCAGGTCTCTTGCAGACGATGGTTCCGGGAAGGTCTCCCGGCCATCGCCGGGTAGAACATCGCTAGCAGGGTCAAAGCCACGCTCGACGGCTTCTCTTCGGAATATCAACTTCTCGGCCATGGCGGCGTAAATATTGCCGCAAGGCGGTAACCCCTGGTCTCGGTGGGAGAGAAAACAAGCCCACGCTTCACGGACCGTTCGCGTCGTGCGGATTCGAGCTTCCCAAATGGTGTGATGTGCGGGATCTCCAAGAGGGCCGCGTATATCTGTGGGCTGCCGCATTAGAGTTCTTGTCTGTATGGTCGGGCTCCTATCGGTGTCCCAGCCTGCATAAATTGAAGAGACCTCCTCCCAGCGACAATGAGCATAGCCGGCTTCTTTCATTTGAGACATCACACGCATGGCACGGCTCGTCATCCCTTCGACACCGCGCTCAAAGTCTATGCCTAGTTTTTCTTCCTTCCATGGGGGCCACGAAGGTGCCTTTAAGCGGGCTGACTGGCGCTCGGCGGCGGTCTTCTTATGCGCAAGTTGCACAGCAATAATACCCTGGTAGGCGCGTCGAGAGACTGGAAGAGGAGGCTGGTGCTTCGACATGGCTTTGAGAAGTTCAAATTGCGCCTGCTGCTGTATTGGCACGGAGGTAAACGGCCCCGACTTACAGGGCAGCGAAAGTAATCGAAGACACATGTTCATTTTCTGCGCCATGAGTCGGTCAGTCTTCGGTGTCGCGGTTGTCCGATGCGATCCATCTCCGGTGAAGCAATTGAGATAGAACGCGAAAGCACGGGCGATAGGAAGCTGGGCTGATGGCCACAATTCGCGTGCATGATGAAGGAGGCGGACGACAAAAGAGGCGCACATGTTGGGGTCGAGCAATGGGTTGGCATTTTCCGATGGCTGGATTTCTTCGAGGATGGACTCGTCCGATAGGAGCTCTCCGGACAAGCCAGCCGGAGGCAACGGTTTGCCGCTTATAAGGTGAAGAGAATAGACCAAAAGCAGACGGAAGGTTCTCGAGTCCAGTGGTTCTCGGAGTAGGAGGAGAGGGATAAAAGGCGGTATTCGAGAGGTAGAGTTGCTCGTTGTCTTCTGGGATGACTCGAGTGCCAGGAGCCGGAGAGCGGCCCGGCAGAGGGTCTTGCTCCTGAGCACCCACGCCCATGCGGCGACATCTGCGACTTCATACTGGCGGGCCGTGAGGTATTTGGTAGTCTTCTCGCTAAAGACCTTTTGTAAAGCACCCTTCAAAGGTAGCTCTGCAGGCGAGTCAAGATCCAAGCACGGTTCCACATAGCGAATATAATCGGCGGTAATTGCCTGCAACGAGGGTCGATGGTGGCGCCGAAATTTCCACCTTTGATAGGGACACAGGATAGGTTGGAGGGGCTGGCTAGGATCTTTATTTTGTGTTGACCAGTTGAGGGACTCTGTCCTCCGGAGGCTATCCAAAAGGTATTCGGTTGGGGTGGGGTTAAACGCCTGGTTTGCTTCGTGTTTAGAAGGTCTCCGAGCGTCCCGTGTCCTAGGTTTGTGATATGATCGTGGGGAGCTATCCGAGGGGTCTTCACTTGATGATTTCTCCCCGGGAAGCAAATGTCGATCTGGATCATAGTTCTCCCCGTCTAGTTCTTGATTTTGCTGATTGTTTAGGTGCGAGAAAAGGGACGGATTCAGCGAGGGGTCTGGTCGCAAATGAGACCACGATCCGCCTAACGGACTGCCCTCCACCTCGCGTTCTTCATAATCATGATCGTCTTTAGAATCATTGTGAAGCGCGATTGGAATGCTGGAGGCGCTCATAAATCGAGAGGAAGAGGGTAGATCGAGAAGGGGATTGGTCAACGGATGTAGAGGATTTGAGGTGATCGACGGGCGGTAGTAGATATTATGAAGAGGACCCTAAAAGTAAAAAAACAGATTGATTAATACCGAGCTGAAACATGGGCTCCACCAGTCCTGAGAGTGTGTATACCTTCCGCCATGGACGGGCATTGAACAAGTGCGCCGCTCTTAGAGAGGAAACTCTCGAGCGGCCCTGCACATGGTTCCAAACCGATGACATCCATGAAGAGAGTCAAGGGGAGGCAGCTGCAAAGCCAAGACGAACAGGAGACAATGCCTTAGAGGCGTATGCACATAATGCGCAAGTGGAATTGAGGTGAAAAGAGAGAGACTGTTCGAGCAATCAACAGATTGACTCCATCCTGATGATTCCACATACCGCGACGGGGGAGAAAAAAAGGCCTCACGTGACCGATCGTCACGGGGTCGCGGAATTGGCAAGGCGCGTTATGGAATCTCCCTCCAGCATATTATTACTTACCATAATAATACCTCCACCATCTTGATCTCCTCTACCCGCCCGCTTTGCCCGCTGTCTCTGGTCCCTGCGAACGCCCCTCAACACTTTTACGGTTGCTTCATAGGGTTGATCATCTTTGCAGTCAATCCAGAACACTACCACCCCCCCGATCGCTCAGCTGCCTCTCGTGGTGGCGTTGGTTACCCTATCTTTGAATTGATCCTCCCTGGTTGCGCACCCATCGACTCTGATTTTAGCGTTGACCCTCGCAACTATTGGCGCACCCGCTTCAGAGATCCACGATCTTTCGCGAGCGCCCTTCTACTAAGATCATCGAAATCTTTCATTCTCGACCCCACTCATATCTTTTTTTTTCTTTTTACAAGGGGTCCCGGTTGGACTGGGTGTTCTCTTTGTCGCACGAACCCGGCCGACTGGCACGAAATACTTTTCGATCGCGTCAAACCGTTACCGAAGGCGCGACTTCGGAGTTATGAGCGCAGACGAGGGTGGGGGAACCACCTCGATGTCGGCCACCAACGGCGAAATTCATGCTGCTACCCCCGATCCCCCATCGCTAGCGACCCCTGGGAAGCGAAAGCGGGTTTCGAGTCACGACGATAAGGCTTCTCAGGATCCCAATCATTCCGCTTCGCAAGGACAGGAAAAGGTCAACTTGCAGGAAACGTTGCGCAACCTCGTGGATATTTTGAATAAGTAAGCACTTCCTGCGATCTAGGTGAAGCGATCGTTCGCTTTCGTTGGCTAACGGATTCCAGGAATGACACGGAACTCCAGCTCCTAGCTTGTCCCTTGACGACGTCGCCCTCGAAACCCCGGTCGAAACGCGCAAAGGTGTCTGGGGACAAGGAGGAGGGCACTAGCATACGTGCACGGGTCGATGCGGACCGCTATAATACTCTATCGGAATTCCTTAGTGATATCGAGCGGGCCTCGGCAGCCGTGATTGAACGGAGTAAATCCCGTGTCAGTGAAAATGACTCAACGGCTTTGACGGAAACTGTGAATCGCATCGCAGCATTCAAGAAAACGCTGAATAGCCTGGTCCGTCAGGCCCAGACAAGCCCCGCAAGCATCAAGGCGGAACCGTTGGCGGATAAAGCAGAAGCAGAAGTCCCAGCGCAGCCTGCCCCCAGTGATGTGGAGGTACGAAACGACGGTGTGGCTTTGACTCTCTTTGGGAATCCTGCCAATCCCAAACAGCTGTACTCGAGCTTGCAAAAGTCCGTCAAAGTGCCATTACCGTCGGATGATCCGAAGTCTCAGAAGTACGTGGAAGTGCAGGCACCGCTCCCAGAGGTCGGACTCCCCAACGGAATCACCACGGCGAAGATTGCCCCCTATAAACAGGAAGCAAAAGCCAAGGAGCACAAACGAACGTTTGGTGAAGTTTTTGCTCCTCGTTCTGCCCTGCCTCAATTGGAACTCCCACGCAGGACCCGGTCATCCTTCCGCAGCGTCGGTGGCTGGATCGATCCCTTCGAAGCCATTACGAATTTCAACTCATTTCTTGGAGACCGAAATAATTACTGTCTTGCGCCTCTACCTTCGGGTGATTGGCTACAGTACGGGGGCGCTGCAAGTCGCCGACAGAAGCATCAACCTTCTCAGCCGCAGACTGACGAAGGGATCCGAGACGACCCGGCGTTATGGGTTGATGAAGATGCATCCGCTATACAAAAAGTATACTCGTCTTTTGCGCCTTCGTTTGACAGCTCGGGTGCTGTTCTCCAAGCGGATGCGAAGGATCTAGTATGGTGGAGCAAGCGGGGCGCCAGACGTCTGCAGACGCTCCTGTCCGTGCCCTACGAGGAGAAACGTCAGGAAACTGTGGCGGCACAGCCTGGTAATATCGGCGAGCTCGATGAAAGCACCTTGGAAGAGATGGTCAAATCTTTCAATCCCGAAGATTTCGCGGACGGTGTCACGGGCGCTGATTCGTATATGCTCAAAGATGAGGAGGGTCAAGACATGGAAGCTCTGTTACATGATGTTTCGGACTTATTGGAAACTCTCAGTTCGTACCAGAAAATCCGCAGCCTTCAGTTTTCGCCGCCAGGCGGTCAGGATCCCGAGGCGCTGCAAGGCATCGTCCCTGACCAGGGTACCTGGGAAGACCCAACAGAGGCAGAACGAGTAACATATGAGGCGTTGCGATCGGGCCTGGCCACTCTAGTGTCTACCCTTCCACCATATGCCGTTGCCAAGTTAGACGGTGACCAGCTGGCCGACCTGAACATCAGCCAGAAGGTCGTCGTGGAGAACCCTGACTACAGTGGGACTATGGAGAAGGACGATTTCACGATCCAGCAGGAACGCGCTGCGGCGATGACATCCATGGGTGGCGGCGGAGCTCGCAATGCTACACCTTCCCGTCATGGAAGCTTCCAAGCAGGATACAACCAACGGGCCTATTCTGCTAATACCCGAGTGCCTCCAGGCTCGGGGCTTTCCAGCCTCCGCAGCCGTACTACAGTGGAAGACCCCCATCAACCCCTGGCCCCTTCACCCCGGGCCAACCACAGTCATTCGCAGGAGCTCGACCCCCATCAACTCCTTCGCAGCGGCCGGGTTACCCGCCAGGATATTCGCAGCAAACCCCACAGTTTGCACCGATCCAACGCGCTGGACAGAACACTCCTATTTATCCTGGCCAGCAAGGGGCCCCGCAAGCGTCTCCGCAGCCTTTCACCCCACGACCTGGACAACCAGGACAACCAGGACAGTACAACGCGCAGTTTGTCCCGGGTCGGGGTAGTGGCTCCCCTCAAAAGCAGCCATCTTTCACCGCCCCTCGAACACCGTATATGACACCGGGCCCTGGTGCACAGCAGCGGTATCCGCAGCCGCAGCCGCAGCCGCCACCACCACAACAGAAGCAGCCGCAGCCGCAGCAACAGCAACAGCAGCAGCAACAGCAACAACAACAACATCAACCGCAACCGCCACCGCAACCACAGCCATCTCAACCCCAACCGCAACCACAGCAAGGTCAACAGCAAAGGCAACAGCAGCCTCCCCAACCTGGTAACCCTCCCTCCAACCCGACTGCCACACCATCAGCAAACTACGCCAACTCCGCAGCGGCCATGACTTACGCTCGAAGTGCAGCAGAGCAAGCCGTACTGATGGACCGGAACCGGGCACAGCTAGCCGCTCATCAAACACGGCAAAGCCCATCATCACCACAGCCCCCACCGGAGCAAGGCACATCGCAGGAGCCAGGCGGTGGCACACCTCAGAGGAAAAAATCCACATCAGTAGTTTCGTGATTGTGGGGTCTCTGATTCTTCTCAATTAACTTTACCCTCGGGCAAAGAGAGAAGTAGAGAATGATTTGGATAATGGGTAGACAGGTGCAAATGACCATGGGAATTTGATTTCCTCTTTCGTCTTTCCATATCTTTATTCCTTTTTTTTTACACCCCCCCCTTTTTCCTCTTAATGCTTGTCCTTTTCTTTTCTTTTTTCCTTCTTATAATGCTGGTTTTCTTTTGTCGTCTTTCCTACTCGGCTGTCTTCAGGCTTTCCATGGGAATCTTTCTATTTACGGACTAGACTTCCGGTGGAGGATCGATATCTTCTTCTTTTTCCTCTTCTTCTTTTCTTGTACTCTTATGGGCTGGTTGGTTGGTTGATCGATCAATTATAACGTTATCGAACGGAGAACTTGTGCTTGTTGGTCTGTTATATCTATTTTCTATTGTTATTCTTAAGGAGTGTTATTACCAATATTCAAGTCTTTTAGCCTATTATTCTTTAATTTATGTCTCCTTTCACATTACCTATGTAGTCCACCTGTAGGTTGACGGCAACCATACGGCTGCAATTAACTGGTTAGTTTATGCTACCTGACATTACGCGGACGCTGCTAAAATGAGCCTACACACAGGCCAAGGTTATTGGACCAACCAATTACCCAGCGCCTACCAGCAATGAAAAAAAGAAAAAAAAAAAAAAAAAAAGGGATAAGAGATAAGTGAGTAAATCCCCGAATCATATTCATATTCATATTCTCAACAAATGAAAAGAGCGTAATATACATATCTCATAAAATCAATGATACATTCGACCCATTATTCTCGATCCCCCATTGTTTTGTGTCCTGCATCGTGACTCCGAAACCAGTGATAACATGACAAGGCAAGATAAGATCAGAGTAGGTAGGTAGGTAGGTTGGTAGGGGAAGGGGAAAGGGGATTTGATCCTGAAAAGCGCATTCGATCATTGTATCGATTGCCTGGCCAGGGATGGGTTCGTTGTGTGGGTATCACCCATGTACACACTTATATGGGTGTAGGGTTGGGGTAGTATAGTAAGTAGTGGTAGGAGGGGCAGGGCGCGGGTGGAGGTGGGTTCGAGGATGGGGTGAGCAAATGTCACGTAAAGCAAAGCCAGAGATTAGGTGGTGCCCAAAGAAGATTCGTATAGTCGTAAGAATAACAAAAAAAAGACATAGATGATAGATGGGTGGATGGAAGACGCATCACGGAATGAACATGGCAGCCGTCGTCATAAAACCAAAATACCTAGATCACCATTAGCACAACATCTACATCAAGGGGGGAAAAGAAGAGAGACTCACAGTCCAGCACACCGCCACCCATCCTGCGAAGCAACCAACTGCTCCGACCCCGCCGAGGTAGTCGAGGCGATGCCCGCCGAGGCACCGCCCACCAGCGCGACGAGGAGGACGCGGCCCCAAAAATCACGGATCATGCTGAACGCCAGGAGCGGGAGCAAGATGGCTGCTGAGGCGATGATGATGGCGGAGTAGACTGAGGGCGTGGGGGCCGACGCGGTAGGCGTTACGGGCGGAGTCAGCGACACGAGGTCTTTGGGGTGGTCGAGGAAGCGCGACTCGAGGGCTGCGATGGGGCTGTTCCCGTGCATCCAGGTGCGGTAAGAGTCGACGTCTTGGTCGGAGGCTAGTGGGAGGGTCTGAAGGACGCGGCTGTAGGCGCTGAGAGCGTTGTCTGGTGGTGGGCGTTAGTTGTTTTTTTCTTTCTCGTGGGGGGGATTGAAGGAGAGGAGAGGGGCTATCGACTCACTGTATTGCTCAGTTTTACGGATCAAGGCGCTCATTAATTCCTCTCGTTGGTAGTGGAGAGATGAGTAGACACCTGCCTGCACGTCCATGCGGCGCGATGCAGGGAGCATCTTGGAGCCGTCTTTCTCGGCGGCGGAGGCCCGGTGCATTTCATCGCACTCGTCCAGCACGCGCAGCTCCTCTTCCATCTGCGCGATCTCATCCTGTAGGTGGAGCAGCACGCGGTGGTTCAGGTCTTCGAAGCGGCGGTATAAGGGTGGTAGGCGGGGCTCCCCGCTGTCGGCGGATGCACTGAGCCGCCATGCAAGGAGGCCGTAGCCCGATGCGTGCTGCGGCGAGTGGGTATTGCGTCGCGGCCTGCGGCTGGTGCGGTGGAGGTCTTCTTCTGGGCTACGTGGGGGTGAAGGGGGGAGAGGAGGACCGTGGTATGCCGACGGGTCGCGATAGAATGACTCGGGCACCGTCGCGAGATCCATCCCTCGTCCAAGGGTGCTGTTGGGGCCGTCGAGAGACATCTTCCGTTGGGTGGAGTTGGTTCGGGCGAGCTGCAGGGGCGCAACCGGCGGGGTGATAACGGGGGCGACTGGTGGTGGTTGGTGGGATTCAGCAGATCCTTTGGACTTCATGGACGAAGCTCGGGTGCGACCATTGAGGACCGCAGCTGTCGTCGGGTGGGTTGGACGAACTGTCGAGATGCTCGGACGCGACACCTTGGGCTGGGTCGGCGCTTTGACAGGTGGGCCGTCGTCATCCTCTGATGATGAGGTCGCGTCTGTCTCGTCGGATTCAAGATACTCGAAAACATTCGGTGGTCTTTCTGACTGTGTCCCCGGCTGTTTCGGATCATTGGTCTTCTTCTTTGTCTTGGACAGACCCTCCGCGCCATCTTTTCGGGGTCTTTCCACGGAAGACCTCGACCCCTTGGGTGTCGAATTCGAGTTCGACGAGAGAATTGAGCCAAAAGAGGACCGATGAGCCCCATCCTTCCGGGTCTTCTTCGGTCGACTGGTATATAGCGGCATCATTGTACGGGACTGGCGGGCACGGTTGGAACGGAAGCCGTTTCAGGCAGGTGAGTGAATGATCGATGCAGGTGATGTGTCCCTGGGGCCATAGGAAGGAAAGAGATCATGGAGAATGAGAGCGACACAGGGTAGCCAGGTCAGAATGATGGAGGGAGGAATGGGATAGAGGGAGCGCATATCAAGGGAGGAGTCCTGGAATCCGGGGAGGGCGATCCTAGGAATGTATACCAGAATGCGAATAGACCTGTGATAAATGTGTTCAGACCTCTTCTTCTTCTTTCGTGACCCCTGGTCGAAATTCCTTTTTCTTATTATCAGGCTGAATTTCAGGATTGGAAGGAGGATCGGGGCAACATGTGGGAATATAGTATAGAAGTAGTTCCTGGGGATGGACCGAGGAGGATCAACGATGTCACCCCCCAACACGGGAAGAATGCGAGGCTGACGCACGGGATATGGGGCGGGATGGTGCTCTCTGAATGTAGATAATGAGGAGAATCAATCAACCCCTCGGAAGATGAGACGGTCCCGAGACAGAAGGAGAGCGGGCGCAGTCGAATGACAAGATAGGATCATGGATGAAGAGGGAGGGCGGCGAGGTGTCATTCGTCCGTTGTGATCACACCAGCGCCAAGGTTGTTACAGATCATCCTCCCCAATCCCTTCGCGCGCGCCAGTCGTATTTATTCTTAGCAGTTGACTTCCTTTGAGGTCCGGTAGTTCTGAGGGTACTAAAGTAGTGCTATAGTCAGAGGGTGATCCCTGTTCGAAGTGGTGGTGGGGGCGATGCAATCAGTTCCCCATGTATAGAAGGAAGAAGAGAAAGAAACCGGAAGGGATGAAGAGGTTTGTTTATCAGAAGGGAGGCTGCAAGTGGATCTAGGTCGTTTAAGAGCGACGTTCCCCATCCAGGCCCAATCCTGTCCAACAAACCCCATTTGGGCGTCTCTCGAAGGATCTATCTTCAATTGTCATGATGCGTTGGCCGCTGCCGATCACCGTCCTGCCTTGCATGAAGAAGTAATAATACTTGGTATTATGGAGGGACCAAGGTGGGGGCACTACTTCCTGTCATCCTCGATCATCCTTGTTGTTCCTCGGCCAGACAACCAGCTGATGTGATATGGATCTCTCCTGCTTTGTCGTTGATTCTCTTCGTCTTTGAATGACTCCAGTCTAGGGCATGCCCGTCACCTGATCGTAGGCCAGCTCAGGCAGCGACCGAGTCAGGCATCAACCAGGATACACTCATATCCTCCATTGGTTCGCCATACACCAACACACCATATATCCTACTCCCACTTAGGTCCCTTGGGTACCTCTCGACCGACCTAGGTACTATGGGATATGTCAAGATTCTGCTGCATTTCCCCTCCTTCGTACATCCTATTCATCCTCCATGCATGTCATTCCATGCACGCTGATGCCTCAGATGGAGGCGTAATCCCGGCGGTGAGGTGGTAATTGCCATACCAAAATTACCCACCACCATCCTCCTCCACTGCGCCATCCCGATCATTTCCTATTCCGCTCCGGGTTATTCCTTGTCATCATTCATCGACAGCTCCTCCCCGGCCTCAAATCACCGTGTCATAAACCTCTCGAACAACCATTGCTCTCTCAATCCGCCTTCAAGCTACTCCCCTCCAGTACAACCCCCCATGCTCCGGCCATGGCTACGTCAATGCCCCCGGACTGTCCGCGCGCTCTGTCCCCGATGCCAACGTGATCCTCCCCGATTTCTACCCATCGTCTCCAACCAGACTCCTCGACGGTCCCTCCAAACCTCGACAGCCGACTCTTCCGATCGGGTTCCCTTACGCAAACAACTCAAGCAAGATGCAAAGTCGCTCAAGGCCCACAAGCGCCAGAGGAGGGAAAGTGAAGAAGCATCCCGCCAGAAGTGGGAGTTGACGGTGGGGATTGAGATCCACGCGCAGCTGAACACGGATGCCAAATTGTTTTCGCGTACGTTGATTCACAGCCGGATTTGTGAAGACATGTTTCCCCAGCATTGGTCTGACTTGTCGGTCTGAGAATACAGGCGCCTCAACCTCCTCCACGGACTCGCCCAACTCCAACGTCGCGCTCTTCGACCTCGCCTTCCCCGGATCGCAACCGGTTCGTTCAAGGATCATACAACTACGGAGGATCGCCTGTTAATGACTCTAGGAATTCCAAATCGCAACCCTTCTACCTGCCCTGCGCGCTGCCATCGCCTTGAATTGCGACATCCAACCGGTCAGTCGGTTCGATCGAAAACACTATTTCTATCAGGACCAACCGGCGGGCTACCAGATCACCCAGTACTATGGTATTTATATCCCCTCCCTCCGCCAATATGCATTCCATTGACCCCCCACAGAGCCCTTTGCGCGAAACGGCCATGTCGACCTCTTCCTCCACGACGGAATCGCGCCGGAAGACGGCGACCAGGTGCCCATCGGCATCAAGCAGGTCCAACTCGAACAAGACACCGCCAAGTCCCAGGAATATCCACCCTCCACACAGCTTCTTGATTTCAATCGCGTGTCCCACCCGCTCATCGAGATTATCACCATGCCCCAGATCCACACCCCCGCCACGGCCGCTGCCTGTGTGCGGAAAATCCAGGCCATCCTCCAGTCTTGCAGTGCGGTGACCACGGGCATGGAGTTTGGTGGCCTCCGCGCCGACGTCAATGTCTCGATCCGTCAACGCGGCGAGGTGGCTGGTACGCACCACTACGGGGGAATGACTGGCCTTGGCCAACGCACCGAGATCAAGAATCTCAGTAGCTTCAAGGCCGTGGAGGACGCCATCATCGCAGAGAAGAACCGGCAGATCTCTGTCCTGGAAAGCGGGGGTGTGGTGGAAGGCGAGACCCGTGGCTGGACGATTGGCAGCACTGAGACGCGGAAGCTCCGAGGCAAAGAGGGTGAAGTGGACTACCGGTACATGCCGGATCCCGATATCCCGCCGCTATACATCGGTCCGGATCTGGTGACAGAGCTGAGGAAGACCCTCCCCACCGCCTCGGACGCGTTGATCGCGACCTTGGTGGGCTCCGAATACCATCTCCCCATCGAAGATGCCAAGCCCTTGGTCGAGCTGGACGACGGAGCCCGTCTAGAGTACTATCAGGATGTAGTGGACGTCCTGCGGGATCTACAGAGCGATCAGGATCCGAAAGCCCAGGCCGGTCTCGGCCGCGCGGCTGGCAACTGGGTTCTCCACGAACTAGGGGGGCTGTGGACCAAATCGGATCTTGCGTGGGACGCAGATCGAGTTCCCGCATCGTCGTTGGCAGCGCTCATCGACCAGCTACAGCGGAAACATGTCACCGGTCCGACGGCAAAGCAGGTACTCGCCATGGTGTTTGACGGGGATGCCCGGTCCATCCCCCAGCTCCTGGAGGAGGAAAATCTGCTGCTGCGCCCACTGTCACGGGAGGAGTACCTGGCGCTCGCCGAGGAGGCGATAAGCCAGAACCCCCAGATGGTCGAGCAGATCCGCAGCAAGAACCAGCTAGGCAAACTCGGGTGGTTCGTCGGGCACATGATGCGCACGGGGGAGAAGGGTCGCGTGGAAGCGCACAAGGCGGACTCGGTACTCCGCGAGCTCATCCTGGGCCCACCGTAGATGGTGGGGACTATGACTTGGTGAAATTTCGGTTTCTGTTCGTTGGAATAGCGGGCCCCCTGTACCATAAGCTCGGATATAGAGAGATTTTATCTGCTAGAGAACTGGGACGGGCTAGGTTGAAATTGGCGCCGTCTCAGATAATGATACCCATTGGTCACAACAAACTCCGACAAGCCACCGTCCACATACCATCCCTTTCCTAAAAGAATAAAACGATTGCTAATGAAAATGAGGGGCGAAGGTGGGATGAAGCGGGCATCTCTCCTCCACCTGTACTTAGGGGAAAGCCGTGATCCCTAAAAGCAGGTCTTAGCGATCGCCCGGCACGAGCCAAGGGCGGCCCCACGGCCACACCAGACACTTAAAGGGAGGGATTCCCATGTATTGTTCTTCTCTGAATTGTTCTTCTTTCTTCCATCTGAATAATTACTCACTATTGCCAATTTTCCTCCTGTTTGTTCTTTATTTACCGACTACCTTCTTACCATCGTGGATCGAGGGGATTGCCGCTTGTCTCCACTTCTATCCGATCTTATCGTTATCTCTTATCGCCTTATCCGGCCTTTCTTTGTCTCTCGTCATCTTCTCCATCCCCTCATCTGTATCCTTTCTTCTATCCTATAACCAGACGGTCGTGACCATGACACTGCCTTCGACGATTACTCAGAACTTCCTGTCCAAGCCTAACCAGCTGGGCGTGGTGGCGGTTGGTTTCAATGGAGGGCAGGTACGTCATCACCAAGATCGGCCGGCTCTACCCATTCCTTGACGGACTTGTCGATCATCCTGGAGGGGCTACCCTACCCACCATCTCACTACACCTTAGACAATGGACATGTACTAACCATCGAGCCCAACATGTACAGTGCAAAACAGGTGTCGAGGCCGCCCCGATGGCCCTCATCCAAGCCGGCCTCCTGGACCAACTCCGCGACGACCTCGGCTACGACCTGCACTACGACGGCGCAGTCCACAACTACGAGGACAAGATGCCGCCCACGGACCCCGACCACCGCGGGATGAAGAAACCCCGCGCGGTCAGTGCGGTCAACGAGACCCTAAGCTCGCAGGTCTACGAGCACGCCCGCGAAGGCCGGATGGTACTAACCCTGGGCGGCGACCACTCCATCGCGATTGGCTCCATCTCGGGCTCGGCCAAGGCCACCCGCGAGCGCCTGGGTCGCGACATCGCCATCATCTGGGTCGATGCGCATGCTGACATTAACATCCCTGAGATGAGCCCTAGCGGGAATATTCACGGTATGCCCATGGCGTTTTTGACGCGGCTCGCGCGCGAGGAGCAGAAGGATATCTTTGGGTGGTTGCGGGATGAACATATCGTCAGCACGCGCAAGGTCGTCTATATCGGTTTGCGCGATGTCGACCGCGGAGAGAAGCAGATCCTCCGGGAACATGGTATCAAGGCGTTTAGTATGCATGATGTTGACCGGTTAGTTTATATTCCCCCACCTCACGTCCTCCCTTAACGGTGAGGAATCGAAACCGAAACAGAATGAAGTCTAATAAGCAATCCCTCCAACAGATACGGAATCGGCCGTGTGGTCGAAATGGCCCTAGCCCACGTCGGAAACGACACCCCCATCCACCTGTCCTTCGACGTCGACGCGCTGGACCCGCAGTGGGCGCCCAGCACTGGAACTCCCGTCCGCGGGGGCCTGACGCTCCGCGAAGGGGACTTCATCTGTGAGTGTGTACATGGGACGGGCAATCTGGTCTCCATGGATCTGGTAGAGGTCAATCCCAGTTTGGAAGAGGTGGGGGCAACGGACACGATCCGAACGGGGTGCTCGTTGGTGCGCAGTGCGTTGGGGGACACGTTGCTGTGAAGGTCCTGTCTTGTCCTGAACATGCCACGGTTTGGCAGCGATGCAGGAAATGAAGAACATGGTTAGAAGGTGCCATTATGAGCTCAGTTAACATTGACATATCTTTCTATCCTCTGGGGTGGTGGGAAGTGGGGAAATGTTGTGTCTTTTGAACTCAGACAGATCAGAGCACCACCGCATTTACAAATAGACTGTGAGGAGGACCTATGAACACAACGCCGACAGAGACCGCTAGACGGCTACATTTCCACTTTTAAAATATCATTTCTTCTCTTCTTTCTCTTCTTTCTCTTCTTTCTCTTCTTTCTCTTCTTTCTCTTCTTTCTCTTCTTTCTCTTCTTTCTCTTCTTTCTCACACACACACACACACATACACACACACATACACACACTCTCTCTCTGCTCTATCCAACCTAGAATTTGATCATTTATCAGATCCAGTTCTATCTCCATAATGTTGATATCTAGTGATCTTAATGACTCCTGTTTTCCTCCCTGCTAAACCGGGTGAACATTGGTATAATTATCAATAGTTTATAAATATTTATGATTATATGCACATTCCGTATTCCGACAACCCCAATGCACCAGGAGAGCGCCCCGAGGGCTGCTCTTCTCAGCATGGTCGCTTCATTCAGAACCTCCGTCAAGCAGCAACAAAGGTACCGAACGTGACCGTAGTAGGGGCTAAAGCCACGGACCTCCTTCGCGATGGAGACAAGGGCAAGGTCATCGGTGTGCTAGCTTACAGTGCCGGGGATAGTAAACAGGCTATTGAGGTGAGTCGGACATTCTTTTTTTCTTGCCCTCTCTAACACGGAGGTATGTAGTACTACGGCAGTTTAACCATTGTCTCCCATGGTTATGCCTCAACCTTTCAAAAGGGATACCTTCCCAACAGACCCTCTAGCCAATCGAAATTTTTGGGCTCTGGAATTGATAGATGCCAAACTCCCGGAGTCTTACTACGGATATGTGTTTCTCTCCGATGCCCCCCAATCCTTGTCTATCAGATCAGTCCTCGCCAAACGCGAATCTTCATGGACGTCCCCACCGGCTTACCGAGTGCAAGCCCCGCTGCTGGTGGTATCAAAGCCCACATGCTCAATGTAGTTCTGCCAGAGCCTCCCTCCGGCTGTCAAAACAGCTTTCGTGAGGCCGTGGCTAGGGGGAAGTTCCGAAGCATGCCCAATTGGTTTCTTCCATTCCACATTCGGAACAGAAAGTTGCGGGCCTGCTGTTCCTCGACGATGCGTTGAACATGCGGCATCCGCTGACTGGTGGCAGCATGACTGTTACTTTGAATGACGTGCTATTGATCTCCAAGCTGCTTTCTCCAGACATTTTCCTTTCACTGGATGATTCCAAAGCAGTGCTCGAGCAGGTAGGTCTATTTCACTGGGCCCGAAAGCAGAGTTCCTCCCTCATCAATATCCTTGCAATGGCACTGTATGCGCTGTTTTCGGCTCAGGATACGACATTGACTGCACTGAAAAATGGGTGTTTTCGATACTTTCAGATTGGTGGAAGGTGCAAGCAAGAGCCCTGCGGTATGCTAGCGGGTCTTATACAGTCGCCGTGGGTCTTTGCTTATCATTTCTTTGCTGTCGTCTTCTATTCTGTCTGGTTTGTCTTAGCCGAGGCTTCCATCTGGATGATACCGTACGAAGTAGTCGTGGCGACGTTGATCGTCTGGAAAGCCCCTTGTGTCACTGGGCCTTATTTGATACGGGGGGTTATGCCTTGACTAAAAGGATCACTATGGTAAGCCTAGGAGCTGACCTTTCTTGTCAATCTTGAAACACTCAACTGAAATTTTATCAATGAAGTTAATGTCTTGTATAGATTTAGGGGAGCTCGATGACTGAATCTAGCACATCCGCATTGCACCAATACAAGGACGACCGAGAGGAAATAGTTGGTTCATCATGTTGTTGATCCAGATATGGTCCATTAATTCAGGGCTATCATCCAGCTGCTCTTCCAATGACTGGTTTGGATAGCGCGTGCCTTACGCCTGCAGCCCCCCAAATTCAGTGAAGAATGGCCGCGAACATATATCAGCCGCACTTGAGCTTGATTGTAAGCTTAACCCTCGACCGAGATCAACAACATCTTGGAAGTAGATGTGGAAAAGCGTCAATGTGTAAAGAAACCTGTACAGCTAGGACAGGTATTCAAACAGGCTTAAGTTATAGTGAGGTTCTCTATCAGGGATAAATTCTCCAGCGGAAAGCTAATCGCGGCCCGTTGGCGGTTCCGCCTGCGGGTGATCCCGAGAAGACCTACCCCAAGAACGCGGGAACTATGCAAGAGACAGGGGCGAAAATACATCCCTACCAGTAAGGAAAGAATAATACGCGCGGTTGCAAACCAGGAATGGGACCATTCCAGTAGTTGAATTCCCATCCCTCAAAGATGGGAAGAGCAAGGGGCACGACCTAAATAGTAGGGGACCTGATCCCTAGATTACTATAGAACTATAGCCCTGTACATAAAGCAATCAGATAGGGCTTCTAAAGCACCCGCGTAGGACTCCTAAAGGCAGTCACTTGATATGATCATGTTGTTGTATATAATTTCAATTTCTGATACTCTAATTTCTTTCATGATCATCACCAATACTCTTGTTAGTAAATAATGAAATAAGAAAAGATGAATTTTGTTGTTACTCATTGAAAGAATGTTAACAGTGAATTAATATATAACCATATTAGACTTCTTAACAAGTACATAAATCCCGTGAATCTTATATTAATACTTTCTTCCAGCTAGAGTACAGAAACCTACATGTCTGTGAAATTTCTTATTATACAAATGTATCCAGGGTCATATAGAGAGGAGTCTCGACATCATTAGTCTCTTGTGGACCAGTAACCTGATCAGGACACCCTAGTCTACGAGATAACAAATGGGTCCAGCGCCCCTCCTAGAAGACAGCTATTTTCACTTGCGCGAGGTGTGCAGAGGCCCTGACTAGGTAGTATTCATGGACCTTGGTAACACTATAGACAGAGCCATGTTCTTGGGGAACCTTCAGCTTGCATCTGTTGGATCAATGAAGATATATGCGGTTAGAAGCAAGTTCAGTGCCTCTAGTAATGTCATCACTTTCACCCACTTACCCTCTCTTGATGTCTTTGGACTGTGCTGGTAACTATAGACTGGGCTAGCCAAAACAACGGGCACTGCCACCGAACTCCGACTACGTTCTCGACTGCCCTGTCCCCTGTGGTGTCTTTTCTAGTACACGACATATGTCACATCCGAGTGAGCCAAGATAAAAACGAAGTGCGGTGGGTCTGGGATCCGAAGGTGCCGGCTTCGAACAGACAAGACTCGCTCTCTAGTCTAGAACACCACCCGCTGTCGCGGGTGGGTTCTTTCCGCAGCCCTTCCTCCTCCTCCCCCAAATTGCTACGTAATCTATTCGACATATCGAAGAATGTAAAGGCTCACTCGTCGCTAGGGACGGTGGCTGGGTGTGTCTGTCTACAGCTTCTTCATTGCCAGCAGCGTAATGGATGTGCGCTCCAAGGCGGAGAATTTTACATATTCATCCTGCCCCAGTTCAAGCAAGAAATACAGGGGCATATATAGGATGAGCCAGCTGTGAGAGATCAATGTGGACAGATGTACACTTTTAATCTTTATTTCTGTCTTTCACCTCAGTTACACATTACCCTAACTGGACTACTACTCAAAATTGGTTTAGCTCGACCCTCTGAGAGGGGTCCACCGTTTGACTGCAGCGGAAATCCAATCTCGGAAATACCGAACCGACACCATGACAGATAACAATAATGCACAGAAGGAGGAATGTACGGACTTGAGGGGGGGAAATCTGCATTCTGCAAGTTAAGATGCCGCGAGGGCCTGGATCAATAGGACAAAACCGACCGGGCTATCAGTGCCCAGTCAGGGGACAGGAATTCCGTTGTGATCCAGCTTGTGAGGAATTTAACAGTAGCCGTTGCTACTGATGCTTGCATGTGGTTGTGTGTGGACTGGGGATTTGAAAGGGGCGAGGGGAGGGGGGAAGGATCGCCGAATTGGCATAGGTGGCTTGCAGGGCTGTTTATTCTTGACATTTCTCTGCTCCTGGACGCTGTTCCCAGGGAAAGTGGCTGTTAGCTGGCTATTTGTGGCTGTTATGGCGGCTTTCGGGTCGCCAGTCCAAGCCTGGATGATGGGGCATGGATTCCTATGGACTATGTCACGTAGACATATCTTTATGACTGTTCTACATGAGCAGAACAAAAGAGAGATTATCTCGACTGATGAGCTGGTTTATAACGGTCTGAAGTCAATCAAGATCAGTAGACCTTCGCAGATACACATATGATGAGGTCAACACTGAGCTTCATAGCCCATTTATGGTTCTCTAGGACGTAATTCCGAGGAATTCTGTTGCCTCACGCTTACAATACTGGGCTCTCAGTATGTTATGATGTGTGCCAGGAAGGGAGCTCGAACTGACTTATTCAAGGCCTATAAGATATGGTTGGAGTCCCGTTCAACGGTACCACTCACTCGCTGCACGTTGGGAATAAGGAGCGTAAACAAGGCCAAGTCATATGAGGACGTCGTTGGAGAAATATTACGCCTTGGAAATGTAACTCAAGGGGGGGAAAGGAATCCGAACCAAACCCCTGGCAAAGAAAGAGTTGAAGGGGAGGGAAGTTTTTCGAGTCTAGGGTCAGCAGGTACCTAGGTAGGTATGAAATGGAGCCCGCCAGTCAAACCAGGCTCGGCGACGCAGGGGGCACGGATATTTTGTCCATCCTTCGGGTAGGCTGATCTGAGACACACCAGGGCTATTACGTGTTAGGACGTCCATGATGGGTTCAACGTCAAAATTTGTGATGTCAGAGCATTCAGAGCTATGAGTGCTAATAGGACGACGCTGGAGCTTCCTGGTGCTACGAAACAAGACGTGAAGGGACAGATGGGGCAGGTGGTACTCCACCTCAGGGGACCTACCCTTCCCCCGTCGAAGAGCAAACTTTTACACAAGTTTCGCAAGGGTCATACTGCTCATGTGAAATGTCGGAATGGCCTGGTGCACTTGCGAGTTGATGGTGCAAGACTACTGGGTGCTCGCCCGGTAGCTCAATTCCAAATTGCGCAGTCGGATTCCAGACTGTGATGATCGGCCCTGGCCTGCTGATCGAACCTCTCACCCAGACATCCATCAAGATCCGGTTTGCAAGCTTGGGTAGTGTATAGGCCGTGGACTATGGGGAGCTCCAGACCAGAGCCTGTGCACAAGTTGCCGCCACGGTTACAGTAAGCTATCATCAGCCATCGTCAGCCAGGATTGGACAAAATAATGGTTGCAGTAGTAGTCGCAGTTACGGTAGGATGATAAATGAAATTGGAACCTCAATCATGAAACCTTGGCCGATCCGTAGATATAACAAGGGTCCGGGATCCCGGGCAGGCCCAGATCATCATGATTTAGGTTCGTTTATCAACTGTGTCCCGTCCCTGGACGGTTCATCCTCATGCAGTGCCCTGTCTAGACTCTTGTCTACTCGTCTGATGGTTCACTGATCATAGGTCAAACTCACGCTTCACGCTTCGGGAATAGCGTCTGTGGTGCGACGGTATCGTTCAAATGTCGAGTGGCAGGCATACCGGTTCTGCGTGATTCTCATATGATGAGCTGGTGTGGTCGAAACCGTACTCCCATTCCAATGGGCCATCCATACCTAAGCATGGCCCAACCACACAGCGCTAGTAGCAAGTCAACCAACCATAACACTGGGCCTCAGACAAGTAGATCTATGCCCTAACGATCTTATCCTCTCATGCCGCGTAAGGATGCTGCGGGTCATGGCGGCCAATTGTAGGGTAGAGCAAGCAGTACTGCTTCAAAATGGTGCTCCCTGTATGCTGTGCTCTTTGGCGATTTGGCCTATCATGGGTTTACTGTGGAAACCCCTTGATTGAGTGAACGGGAAGCCATAGGACCACATGAGCCAAGGCAAAGGTAGACTGCTGGAGTTCAGCCTATGCTGTGCTTGGGCAAGTATGTTCAGGGACCCAGGTGGTCCCCTTCAACTTGCGGAGTTTTAATTCCGTTCCGTTTTCATTCGGGCCGTTGCCAGGAGCTCGTGCTAGGTCCTCTGCGCCTGGACGATCAACACATCCACACGCATACTCTCCCCTCTGGATTGTTTCCTGGATATTCTAGGTTCTGTGTGGATCCGTCTAGTGTATTAGATTAGAACCTACACATAGATCTTGCGTCATGACAACCGGCGGCATATGTACTAATCCACACTGGCCGATATACGCTAACCCTAAAGTTTGACTGTATTTTCAGTGACGGCTCGGAGAATAAGTTGTGGAGCCGTACCCTATATTGTTCTTTCAATTTTGACAGCCGTCCTTCCGAAGTTTGCATCTATGATGTGGTTGTCATCCAATGGCAAGCTCTTGCAGTCCATCATTTTGCCTGCTGGATAGCCACATCTCGTTTGGTTCAGATGACAAGCTCACTGGGAGCCCCACTGGTGCCGATTTCAGTCCTTGAACTGAAGACCTGCATATGGATATCCAACCTTCTTCCGTATAAACAAGAGAAGGAAGGGTATATGACAGAGGAAGGCAACCAACCTTCTCAAGGCAACCCAAGTTTCGTGGATAACCATGGCGACACTGGATGGAATGTTTGACGTAGGATATAGCCAACCTTGCTCATCTCTTGAATACAGAGAGAGCCATCCAAAGAGATAGCCCCACCTGATCCCGGCGATGTGGGAAGCTAGGGTGGCCCTGAGAAAAGCATTCCTCCAGTTACAACCTCGACCCACTGTGCTAGGTTCTTGCATATGAAATCCCTCACTGACTGGGCAACCGTAGAGGACGTGGTATCCGGCCAACGGATAGCAATGAAGGGTTGAATCTAGAATCGGTCCGATCTTGTCACGAAGTCAAAGAAAAGAGGGTTCCATTGCATGGTTGCAGCTTGCTTGCTCCCTGGGACCGTAATCTGGGATAATGAGCTCGATCCCATGCCTGGAATGAAACGAATCCGGTTCAGGAGGGGCTTTGCAGCACACATGCTTTGTGAGAAAAGCAAGAAATAAAACCGGAGTCCTTCAACCCGACAGGTGCCGTTCCAAGCAAAGAACCTTCTCGTCTGCTCATTTGCAAGTCTCCTGTTTGCAACCTTACCGTATCCCAAATATCAATATTTTTTTATTATACACCATGCCTCGGGAACACAAGACCAAGGCCAATCTGTTGGCCCTTTATTGTTTAATAGATTTCTTTTCGATTTCTCTTGTCCAGGCCAGACCGGCGCCCTTTGGCCAGCCTCCAAGCATCGTGAGTAGGCGACGAGGGGAAGAGAGACAGACGCGGCGATAACTGTCTAACTCTTGCATAGGAATCTCCACAAGATCCATTGAGACGTGATGCAACAGCTGAGCTGGTCAAGAAGCTTCGCCTGGAAGACACCGGCATCGGTGTTCCAGCCCTGAAAGCACGACAGGGTCCTGATGAAATTGTATCGGGGAACTCAGGATATTCACTGACCGGTAACAACTTTGAGGGATCATCTGGTCCTGGAATAACGGTGACGACCTTTGGAGGCGGCAACCAGTGCGAAAACGGATCAGGTGGTCCTGGTACCTCACTGCAGTCTGGCATAGGGAAAGAGTCAGAGGAATTAGAATCCGACGAGATAGCAGGCGCAGGTAGCATCGGTGCCTTGAACTATAGTGCTGCTGGAAATGACGCAGGTTCGAATGCCGGCGCAGGTTCGAATGCCGGCGCAGGCTCGAATGCCGGAGCAGGGTCGGATGCTGGCGCAGGGTCGGATGCAGATGCGAACGCCGGCTCAAATGCTGGCGCTGGCTCAGATGCCGACGCGGGCTCAAATGCAGATGCGGACGCCGGCTCAGATGCTGGCGCAGGCTCAAATGCTGGCGCAGGCTCAGATGCTGGCGCAGGCTCAAATGCAGATGCGGACGCCGGCTCAGATGCTGGCGCTGGCTCAAATGCTGGCGCAGGCTCAGATGCTGACGCAGGCTCAAATGCAGATGCGGACGCCGGCTCAGATGCTGGCGCTGGCTCAAATGCTGGCGCTGGCTCAGATGCTGACGCAGGCTCAAATGCAGATGCGGACGCCGGCTCAAATGCTGGCGCTGGCTCAGATGCTGGCGCAGGCTCAGATGCTGGCGCAGGCTCAGATGCTGACGCCGGCTCAGATGCAGATGCGGACGCCGGCTCAAATGCTGGCGCAGGCTCAGATGCTGGCGCAGGCTCAGATGCTGGCGCAGGCTCAGATGCTGACGCCGGCTCAGATGCAGATGCGGACGCCGGCTCAAATGCAGATGCGGACGCCGGCTCAAATGCTGGCGCTGGCTCAGATGCTGGCGCTGGCTCAGATGCCGACGCAGGCTCAAATGCAGATGCGGACGCCGGCTCAAGTGCTGGCGCAAACTCAAACTCCAACAACGGCTCGGATGCTGGCTCAGGATCTAGCTCGGAATCTGGCTCAGGATCTAGCTCGTCTGGCTCAGGATCTGGCTCGCAATCTGGCTCAGGATCTGCCTCGTCTTCCGGGGGATCTGATTCTGGCTCCAGCTCCAGCTCCAGCTCTAGCTCCAGCTCCAGTTCCGGCGCCGCTTAGCGTGCTGGCCCCGCTGTGGCCCGCTCGGCTCATCGCAACTTCGTGAAGGTTAATATTCCCAGCCCCGCACATGAAAATACCGTACACGTTCGGAATAGACATTCTGACAGTTGAAAACCACAAGTCCTACACGAGCGTTAGTAGTGATGTGGTCAACACAGGCCCACGATCGGATCAATTCAATTGTGTTGTTTTTTGGGGCGGGTTGGGGCGTATTCTGGGGGGGTTGCCCCCTAATTCGGAGCAAAAAGGGGCGGTGGGGCGGCCCTACCACTCTACTAGCAAACATGTGACTGGGTCACGTGGCTGGTCGAATCGGCCGTCCGAGCAGATGAGACTGGTAATGATGATTGGGACACATTGATGGTGCTTATATCTAATATTATTATATCAGCTAGCTAGCAAGAGGAGATAATTTATAGAGTTTGAAATGACCAATATCTTTATATTTTAAATAAATTATAGAGTACTTACATGATCTCAAAGTCCTACTAAAAGAACAAGACCCGTAGCGTGCGGAGAGCACACTGAGACAATTCTGTCGAATCTACACTAGCACATTGATATCATACAGCGGTCTGAACCATACTCATTGCGGATTTTGGCTATAGGATATGTACTGTTCATGAGGGCGGGTGTCTTTGGAGTTCAAGTGATTCGGGTGAAGTTGGTGCAAGTTCTGTTGGGATAGCCATATTCCCCAAAATTTTTTAGTTTACCGACGGAAGCATGGATTAGCTGAGCCTAATTTCTTAGAGTTGTCAGCAGGAGGCGCACTAACTACTATATCAGGGTCGAAGATGGTAGAATTGACTCGATACGGTCCACTGATAGATGAGCATGCCTCGAATGCTAGGTGATCATCACGGAATAAACCAGGGTAGGAGACAATCGACGAGCGTCAACAGTACACTGTAAAGGACGTCTCCAGTCGGCGATGTACGTTATAGAGAATTACATCTTGCCGGACGAGTCAAAAACATCGGCTTTTTTGACCATTACCTTTGCAGGGACTTCAAATCCCTTGCAGCGAACCCCTGGCCGAACTTCTCCTCGATCTGATTCCACGGTGCAGCACCTTTGGTGCAACTCAAGACAGGACATGCAGGTTTCCGTCTGGTTGTGAGACTTCAATCAAGAGATTTGAGACATGCTACACATGGTCGTCTCAGCCACAGGTTCAACCTGTCCGCGCCCAGACAAAGAAGGATGTGGTTTTTCGACCAACGGGGCGAAGGCGGGATGACTCTTTGATCAAATGGTTCATGAGATCATTACAGACCATTATCGTACTTATTGCCATTCAGTGGTGTCGCTGGGGTGGTTTTCGCAAGACCATAGACCCGTCTCATGAGCCTTGGAAGTAGCTAATCCGATTTGATCGCGCATGACCTTTCACTATCAATGCCAAACCTGTTAAAAAGAATAGCGAGGATAGTTCTTGATATATAGTCAAAACTAGCAGGTGGTAATGACAAGACATGGGATCAGCGACCATTCCTAAAGGGGCGAAACCAACTCCACGTCTTGCCCTGCCACCCTCAGTGTCGCCCTACTATACCTACACCCACTGCACCAGCCACCTCATTTCTCCCACCACAATGCATTTCTTTCTTTCACTCCATGCATTCTCTCTTCCTGTCAGTCATTCAAACAATAACCCATTCTGCATATCCCAAACGCCACCACGACCTAGATCTCCGAAATAATCCTCGAGTCCTCGTCTCGTCTCCGCCGACCACCTCCTCACCGCTTACATAACCGCCAACACATCCCGGCGCAATTCCATTCGATCAATCAACAAACAAACACTCAACCAACTCAGTCCGTCACATTGCCAGTCCACACCGGCCCAATCCAGGGCGTGGGGTGTCGGGATCCTGATACCTTGCTGGGTGTTTGGGGCGGCTTGGTCCTGCGACTTGCGACCCAACGGTGTTACGACGTCGCAGCTGCGGCTTACCTCCGACGTGACTCGATCTATACATACATATAACCCTCATACCCCGCCTGCACTTGGAGTATATGGCGATCAGGGCAATTGAATGAATGGACGAATGAATGAACGACAGATACGACTTTGACGAATTAGTATAACGCCGCTTGGATGCATGACTTTTCTATGATATAATACCCGACTTCTTGATCTACGCAGTATATCTATCCTATCTCGATTGATCAATCTCACCACCACCACAACACAACACAACAAGACGAACCACCGAACAAAAACGCAAAAGAAAGAAACAATGGCAGCCCCAATCCGCCGCAGTCGACACTACCACTGGCCCGAACTGCAGCTCAACATCTGGATCATAATCGTGCTATCCGGGTCCGCAGTCTGCCTCGGTATCTTCTCCTGGTTTATGGCCATCCAGACGGAGATGAACCTAGGAATACCATGGTAATATACCCATTTCCCTTCTACCAACGAATCACACTAACAAATAATCAAAGGCTCTTCCCCTACATGGTCGTCTCCTCCGCCCTCGGCTTCATCTTCGTAGTCCTCATCCTCGTCCTCGCCGCGCGCCGCTTCCTCCTCCCTGGCATCATCCTCATCGGAAGCTTCATCCTCTTCGTCCTCTGGATAACGGGGCTGATCGAGACCTCGCTGCAGCTGTATGGCGTCGTCGCCAACGTCAACGACAATTGTCAGATCTATATCCTCGATGATCACCGCGTTGGGGGCAATAATCTGCAGACGTTGGCTTGGTTGACGCAGAGTACTATCTGTTTGTTTCCCTTTCTTTCTTCTTTCCCTACCACTTTTGTCTACTGTCTACTATTTACTGTATGCATGTGTCTGTGTGTATATATGGGTAGTACAAACTACACATGCATACATACATACATGACAATAAACATACCAAACATCGTGGGCCGTGACGTGACTCAAAAGAAACACATGCTAATCAACAAAACAGGCAGCTGCTGGAAAACAGCCTTCGCATTCGAACTCGTCAACACGATCTTCTTCCTCTGGATGATGATCATGGCGTGGCAAGTAAATCGGGATATATGGGATTGATTTTTTTTCCCTTCTATCTTCATTTTTTGATGTCTGGGTTATATTCTGTTTCAATATGGGAAATGGCGCTATTGTCTGTTTTGATTGATATTGATATCCATTTGTGTTGGCCTTGATTTTTTTTTTTCTTTTGCTCTTTTTTTCCGTTTTTATATATGTACCCATGAACACTCATACCATCCACAACAACTACAGAACCTATCAAATCCCCATTTATCATACTGTATGTATGTATGAGCGTAGGTAACGGAGGATAGAGGAAACAAGTACGGAGTAATCAAGTACGGTAAGTACTATTTAAGAACCTATACAAACAAGAATTGAGAGTAGATCGATAGATAGATCCCGTCAACGCCATCGCTATGCCATTCTCGCATCGATCGCAGTTCCCCGACAATATCAACATTGATATCAACAGCAGCAGCAGCAGCAAAAAAAAACACCTCTCTTCCAAATGAAACGTCTAGAGAGTGAGTTACGACAAGACAGGACATGCCACTCAGCTCGCGATGCTCATGCATCCATCCTCAACGCCATTCCATCTCCAATATGAACAAGAACAAGATAGAGAGAAGCAAATGGGACAAATATGACAAATAGAGAACAAGGAAGGGAAGATACAAGGGTCAAAGTCAAAGTCGAGATGGAAACAAAAAAAACTAACTATCAGTTGCTTCTTCTTCTTCGGCTCGAGCTTCGTCTTCGTCGTTATCCTCGAATGCTGCCATCATCTCCCGCTCGAGTTCGTCTTCGTCGTCTTCGTCGGGTTGCGGGATGTTTTCTTGGGGTTGAGAGCTGGATGGTTCGGGCTCTGGGGGTGAGGATACCATTTCTTCTGGCTTTGTCTCCTCTGTGGTGGTGGTGGTGTTGTTGTTGTTGTTGTTGTTGTTGTTGTTGTTGTTGTTGTTGGCACCACCGGGGGTGGCCATGGCTCGTAAGCCCGTGCTGCGCTCGTAGACCCGCTTGATCCGCTGCGATAACCGCGAGCCGGCCTGATCGCCTCCCTCTTCAGCCGCCGGCTCCTGGTCACCGTCACCGGCTTCGCCCTCAGTCCCATCATCCCGCTTGCGCTTCTTGCCAATCTGGCTGGACTCGTCGGCCACGAACGACGCGTCGCTGTCGCTTTCGCTCTCGTCATCGCTACCCAGGAAGTCCTTGAGCTCTTCGTGCACGGCGGCTTGCTGGTCTTCGTCGTAGCCGATCGGGGACTGCTCCGAAAGCCCCGACGACTGGAGGATATCGTCCGTCTCGTTGTCGTCGTCTGTCAGGAATTCACCCGTGTCTTCGTCATCAGACGTCAACCACGCACTGTCCAGGTCTTTGGTGCTGGGTGAGATCGGCTCGCCGCGGTCGTCTGGGTGCACGGGGAGTAGGTACGGCTCTTCGTTGAGCCGCTTCCACTGGGTTAGGGAGTCTAGGAGCCACTGCGTCGAGACGATCTTGATCCTGGGGTATCGCGTCGCCTCGCGCACCTTGGCTGTGCGGTTGCGGCCGGCTACGAGGTGTGTCGTTCGCCGGTTGACCTTTTGGGAGATTGCGGCGCCGAAACTCTTCGACCAAAGGGAGATGTCGGCGTTTTGGGTGTCTGTCCCTAGGGGCAACACGCCGGAGAATACCATCACCACGCCGCCAAGGATCTTGCGTTTGATGTAGGGCATGATGTCCTTCACGTCGGGTACCAGTTTCAGGTCCACGTCTTTCTCCTTGAATGGCGTCTTTTCGCCCCGTAGAGCCGCCACCCGTCCGCCGAGCGCGCGCGTCCGCCGCTGGTCGTACTCGTCGAAGAATCTCCGGTGCACGTCGTCGAGTCGTGCTTCCAGCTGGAAGAGCTCTTGGTCGGTATCGACCAGCAGATGATGCCGCTGTTTGTTGGGGTCCTGGGACTCGTCCACGCTGGCGGACGACTCGCTGCTATCCGATTGGGAGGTCGCGTCATCTTCGGCGTCCAGCTCCTTCTGCTTTTGCAGCAGGGGCCGGTCCTCGACCTGGTGCATGATTGTCTCTTCCTGGGCGTCACTCTGCTCTTGCAGCAGTCTCGGGTTGTCTCCACCACCCATTGTTACCAACTGCTCCAGCGTTGACACCTCCTCGTTCGGCTCTGATTTCGTCGTACTGCCATTAACGTGGTGTTCTGTCGGTGGTGGCAGGGGAGGGGCCTTGACCGGTGGCTTTTCACCGGTCTTATTAGACGACTCCAGTTCTTGCTTCTTGGGGAGGAAACTGGAGTTGATATCGCCGATCCCGACGAAAAAGTCGTACGGAGACACCTTGATGAGATTGGGGCTCCAGCGCCAGACGTCCCCACGGTCATCGATGATGACTACCATCTTAGTGTCCACGGGGAACAGGCGATGCAGGTTCTTTGCGGTCAAGCTGCCACTCTCGTCACGGCTGAGAATACGATCGCCAAAGAGTCTTTTGTCTGGATCGACGATACTTGCAATATGCTGCGCATACGCCCTAGTACCCATGGTGTAGATATGTAACTCGTACATCGCAGCGACGTTCTCCAAAAAGGCCTCTAATCCTGGTCGTAACTTGACATAGTACCAGCATCCTCGCATCCCTGGTCCATCGTCCACCAGCTGAAACCTTCGAACGTCGCTCAATGCTTCATGGTTGGGATTGTCCTTGTCTTCCATCCACTCTCCTACGGTAGGGTCCACGGTAGCATGGATGATGGTCTGGTCAAGATCCACCACGAGGGACAGCTTCCGATGCGATAGCAGTCGGCGTTTCGCATCTTCTTCCACCCGTGTAGCCTCCTCGACGCTTACGGTAAGTGTCGTATTGTCGTGAACCATCTGGATCGGCGCGCGGATCGAATCGGTCACCTCCGTGTTGTACGTCGACCTACAAGAACAAGCGACGTCAGCTCCTATCCAAAGCAACACACCGACTGCCAAACTATCAGAGCACCTACTCTGTCATATCCTTCCCACACTCCGCACACAGACCCCCGAACTGGACTTCGTGAGCACATGGCTCGTCAATCTCGACGATATCAACCCTATCCACACGTCAGCAAATCATTCCCACTTCAAATCAAAGGGGAGAAGGCGAGCACATACGGCTCATCAATAATATCGCCCTTGGCAACTTTCCATTGCACGATCTCCCCATCAACGGTCGACTCAAACTTAGTCGGAAACTTGCGCTTCACCTCGATCTTATTTCCCAGCCCATCACCTTCAGTGACAGTCGTCTGGTAGATATACCAGAAGAGAGCCTCATCCCGTTCCACCGCATCGCCAGGCTGTTTGAGCAGCGACGTTACGGTGATCGGGTAGTGAAGGCTCGGCGGCAATCGAAGCAGCATGCTCCTATTTAAACTCGAGTGACACGGTGTGGTAACTACCGCCCACTGGTTTCTCTCTCATGTATGGCGCACCCTCACGAAGCGGGAGCGCGATGGGCGATTCAATCGCGAGCGAACAGAAAGAAAGGGAACCGAGCTAAACAAAGCTATGAAGCCATCACCGGGTCGCTCGGCGCGCGCCCACTGCGAAAGGGGTAATGAAGGCGCAATTCAATCTAACAAAGGCAGATTCGATGGCGTGAGGTGGTGGGTGTTTCCAACAAGCTTGGGTTCGTGGTTACGGTGGAGCGAGAGCTCGTCAAGTGAGGTCCGCCACGAGCTGACGCGACGAGAAAACGGCGCCGTTTGGGAGGAAACAACGGGGCAGTTGGCAAAGAGCAGAAAAGAATATGCGCCCAACAAAGCGCACAAAATGAGAATTGAAATTTCGAATCAAATTGGAATGGTTAACGTTGACAGGAGCTGGGTGGAGGGATGGAAAGGAAAGAACGAAACCAGTGCAGACGAAAGGCGAAGTTGAAGTTCACTTTCTGCTGAGGTCGGCCGCCAAGACCAGGCCAGAATCAGGCAGTACCCGTCCGTGCGGGGCTAGACCTCGTCATAATCATGGTCATTGTTAACGCATTGAGTATGGTAAGTAATCCCTGGTAATGTTTATCCCCTGTCACCTGCCATCCAACGGCACTACTGAGTCTCACGTCATAGGTTTCTTCCCTACTGGTTTCATCTACTGCAGAATGCTCCTCGTAGGCTACAATAGAGTCCAAAATCCATAACACATGAAATTGTTCCGTAAAAGTCACTAAAACAGACGTCGCAACAGAACCCAGGGCAGTGCAGAGCCTGCATCTGAAATGGTAGGCCTGCTTCTTCCCCAGGTTCGCCGAAATCAAAAATGCCCGTGCTGGGCTTATATATGTACCATTGCTCTCACACCGCATCATCTAGATGGATGTGAGTCTTACGTCGCTCCTCTATTTGGCCTTGGCTAGACCAACGGCGCCGTTGCCGACGTCGTACACGCTGTACCACCGCCGCAGGAAGGCATCACCCAGGATAGCCAGGGGCCCCACGGGCTCGGGGAAGTCCATGCCCATGAAAGCGCTGATGCAAGAGCCCTGGACCTCCAGAGTATAGTCGTAAGGGCCGATGGTGAAGTTGTGGCCGCTCAGCGTGAAGGTCATGTCGGGCAGCTTGTCGCGCGTATCGCATTCAACGGAGTACTGGCCGGTGAAACCCTTCTTGGCACCGATCTCCTTGTTGCTGTAGGTTTATTAGTATGGTTTCTGACGACATGATCCAAGGGAACTCACATCAGCTCGGCAAGGGTGGAAGGCAGGGCAATCAGCGAGGTACCGGTGTCCAGGATGACACCGGTGTTGTCCAGGCTGGCCACCTCATCGCCAAGAGCAATGGCGTCAAAGTCGACCTCCCAGTAGGCCTTGCGGCGAAGAGGGATCTTGATCAGCTCACCCTCGTAATGGTCCTTGTCAACACCACCGAAAGTCGCCACGGAGTCGTCACCCTCGGTGTTAGCGTCCCCGAGGTAGAAGGCGAAGACAGGCTCATCCAGGGTATCCTGGTTCAGCATGCTATAGAAGGGAGGAACGATCTTGTTGACGGAGATGGTGTCGAAGCCCAATCCAAGGATGCCATCAAAGCGACCAAAGGCAAAGGCCAGACCAGGCTCGCTGGTTGCCTCAGCAAACAGCTGGTCTTCGATCTTAATATCAGCGATCTTGACGGTGTCCTTGGACACAAAGCCGCTCAAGCTGCCAGAGCCATACTTGATGGCAAACTCGCTGCCATTCTTCTGGTAGGTAGATGACGAGGAGGAATCGTACTTGTTGTGGAGATAGCAGGCGATGGAGCCACACTGCTGCGACGGGACCCACAGGTTGGAGCTTCCCGTGTCAAGCACCACCTTGAACTCCTGCGGGGGCGTACCAATCTCAATCTTGGAGAAGTCTGCGCGACTCATGTTAGTCATGAATTTGGGAGGAGATCATCTTAGTCGATTCGACTTACACTGGGCATTCAAGAAGTTATCGACCAAGACGTCATGACGTCCCTGCTCAGTGAGCTCATCGTTCAGATCGGTCTGATCAGACAACTGCTGATGCATCGCCTGGCGCATCCCCGAGTATTTCTGACTCAAAGCCTGCACATGGGTGTCGATGTTCTGGGCGTACTGGAGATGATTTGGTCAGCGGTGATGCCAAACCCAAACAAGCGGACATCGATCGATCATGTCCCAATACCATCATCACAACCAACAAATACAGAACAACAGGATTAACTCACCATCTGCTCAGACAGAGGAACCTTATCAAGCTTAAGCTTGTGAACCTTAGCAGAAGCACAACCCAGCAGCACAGAGGCCGCGAGCAAGGAGGGCGTCTTCATGATGGGCGGCAACAGTCCCAGACCACTGGGGGAGGCGGGTACAGAGTAAATAAGGATGGATGGTTACCAAAAGAGAGACTGATGAACAGCTGATGGAATAATGAAGGGAACGAAAGAACGCGATGGGGATGGGGAGACGGGAGATGGAGACGATGGGGGGAGAGAGATGGATGGAGATGAGGAGGTGAAGGGAGTTGAGAGCAAGCGAGGTACCTAGTCTGTCGTAGGTACCTTACCTTACATGACTGGTTGCGGAGTGACTTGTAATGGGGGGAAAGCGAAAGTGACCAGGGCAGCCAATCAAGGATGGCGGGCTTGCGTCATTGGCACTCGGCGCGGATCATGGTCACGGGTCGGATCACTTGATCCTGGGAAGATGGAGATGATCGACTCACTTTGTAGAAGTTGCTATTCTACCATATGGTTTATTTACTTGTTTATAAGAAATACATTAGGTACATTACCCAGGCACTGGGCAGGCACTGAAATCTCTAGATTGATTGTGGAGGTATGAAATGATAGTGGTGACAACAGTGTGTTTATATTTAGTCTCACCCGATAACAAACACCAACTAAACCGGCTGATAGCATCAGGCCCAATCTTACTGATAACATTATCGCCTTGGTTCAGGCCAACCCTTTTATCTACCTCGATCAAGAGCAATAAAAGACTCACCAAGCGCGATATTCAAGCCCTGAAGAAAAAGCAATCAGTACATGCGCCAGTTACTGTAAACCCCCCATCTCGTAAATTCAACAAAGCCGCTCAAAGCACATAGCAAATATAGGCAGCTAAATGTATATATCCGACAATACATCCAATATTCCATAGCAACAGAGTCCATACTGACTGAACTGGCACTTTGAATCGGATCAATCACCAACCCGATCAATACAAACACAGAAAAACAAATAACCGAGAGAGGGATTCTTCAACATGGCAATTGTTTCTGTTGACTTTTCAAGAACGACTCTCGCTCGACGATAAGCGGAACTATAGGATATCAGACCCAGACGGACATGCACACCTTGACCACCAAGCCAACTCATTGGGGGGAGAACGTGTTCTAGTATGATAGGCGCCCTGGTTTCAATATGAGACGGGAAATACGTAAAACGGATCTGTGTGCCTTTCTGTCTTAGAGATGTCGCAAGGGGTAGGCTTGGTGAGCACCTCGAAGGTCTCGGCAAGCGTGAGGTATGTAGGATGGACTTAGAAGTGTGAAGAGCTCTCTGGGGAAAGTCGGGTTGTTTCAAGATTGTCGTTTCTCGTTTCTAGTATGTAGTGTTATTGTTGGCTTGTTTTGTCTTGTCTTAATGGCTAAGGGAAGAAGAAGAAAGAAAAAAAACAGCAAGGTATGGGCGGCAAAAGTATCGCTTATAGATGCACATTGACATTACGGCTTGCAGTGTCGCTCACGAAGAGCAAGGTTGAAAGGCTGCCTACATGCTTCCTACACGTACTGTAAACTACTGCAGCAGAGAATCCAAATGCATCAATCATTGTGCTACATATACCAATAGCCCGGTCTCTGATGATACAACGGACGACCACCTTTTCGCCATGCACAATCCCATTTCCAGCACACCGAAACCTGAAACCTGATCTAGCGGTAGAACTCGGGTCTGTGACGCATTAGTTATGTTCAAAAACGAGTGAGAGGGAGAAGGAGCGAAAGAGAGAGATGAATAGAGGGGCGAATGGAGCATACCGTTCATCTTCCTGTCCGGACTTCACCTGGGCCGAGTAAGCGTCATCAAGATCAGACTGAATGATATTGTAACGGTTCTTGCGGACAGCCCGGAGGCCGGCCTCTTGCATGATGGCCGCGATGACAGCACCAGACAAAGGCTCGTTCCGCACAATCAGCGAATCCAGGTCGACTTCGGGAGACAAGGACATTCTGGACGCGATCGTGCTGAAGATCAGACGACGCTCACGTCGGTCACGAAGGGATGGGAACTCGATCTTGCGGTCCAAACGACCCGGACGCAGCAAGGCCGGATCAAGGGTATCCGCTCGGTTGGTGGCCATGATGACCTTGACGTTGCTCGACTGCTCGAAGCCATCCATCTGGTTAAGCAGCTCCAGCAAGATTCGCTGCACTTCACGGTCGGCACCTGTTTGGGCGTCGAACCGCTTGGTGGCAATGGCATCAATTTCGTCGATGAAAATGATAGCCGGGGAGTTCTCCCGCGCCATTCGGAACACATCTCGGACCATACGGGGGCCCTCTCCCAGATACTTTTGAACGAATTCGGATCCGTTCACTCGAATGAAGCTGGCGGTCGTACCGTTCGCCACGGCCTTAACCAACATGGTCTTACCCGTACCAGGAGGGCCATAAAGCAGGACACCACGGGGAGGATCGATACCTGGAAACGGTTAGTAAACCCAGTCATCCTCCCTTGACACCGCAACGGCTCACCAATCTGCTTGTACAAGTCAAACTGCGTCAAAGGCAATTCGACCGCCTCCCTGATTTCCTGTTTCTGCATATCGAGACCACCGACATCCGCGTACGACACGTCCGGCTTCTCGTTCTCTCCCAGCATAGCAATAGACGAGTCGGCCTCTGGCGGGAGGATATCCACGAGCGCATTGGAGTGACGGTGGAGGGCGACGGAGGACGACGGCTTGAGCTTTTCGCGGTCGAGGGTGGACAGGATACGGACAACGTAATTCGAACCGGTCGAGGACTGAACGATACCCGTACTAATTTGGTGAGCAATAAACGTCTATATTAGGATGCTGCGTTGTGTCATACTTTTGGTCAATCGCTTCCATGAACTGGCCGATAACGAGTGGTACACTCTGTATCCGCTTGATCTCTTCCTGCGCACGAACGAGCTCCCTCTTCAAGCTCCTGTTTTCGAAGACATGTTAGATGAGTGTAAAAGAATAGAGCCAGAGAGGTTGGAGATGTAACCCACCTTTGCTCATCCTTGATATACTCCTCTTGGAGTTGGATGTACCTAATGTCAATGGTCAGATGACAGCCACGTCAAAGGTGATCACATTGCAACCTACTCCAGATGTCTCTGCAACTTCTTCAATGTGGCATATTCGTCTCCTCCGTCCGATCCCGTCCCCTCGAAAGAATCGATGTTGGGGATGTTGTCCAATGGAATCGGCTTAGGCGTGACGTTGCTCGCCGGGTTCTCCACGGCGACGTCTCCCATGCTGTAAATGTCGTCGAAAAACTGGATATAAAGCAAACAGGGTATCACCGAGTTTACCTAGGCGTCTGATAATGATCTCGGGGTGATGTCGCAGTGCAAGAATAGGTATTTGGGGCTGTGGGGAGGGATGTTCATGTGGAGGAGCTGTGCTTCGAAGGCTGATGGGATCACGTAGCTCCCGTGGCAATGGTCACGTGAGGAGCAGCTCGCTGACCAGACCGCTAGTCCCGATTAGGTAAAGAGGTCTTTGGTAGGCCTCCCAAGCATATTCTCTATGTTTTTTAGTAGTTCTTCTCAAGGACTTGAGGATCTGGAATATCAAGTTATTGATTAATTTACTACTAACTTTGTATGGAATACACTTGTGTACTCCATTCCCATCACCCCTTTGCCTTGTCCACTTTACTGATTCCAACCAAATATGGAACAGCGGAAGTTACGGATCATAGAGTCGACTGACTGTCCTTGACTGGCAAATGTGGTAGTTCGCATACCCTGGCATGAACGGAGGATGTATATTTGTTGTTGTTGTACTTGGAATTGTTCACTCTATTGGGTGCCTGTTGATATTCCTACAAAGAATAATCTTTCGTAGCTTAACCCCAGGGGGATTTTTCGACATCAGTTTCATACATAGGTTGAATATATATATCTAGTGAACACTCGACGTAGGACGGTTACCAAGGGCCACCACACCCTGTCACAATTAGTTCGAAGATTCTAACGTTGTAGTGGTACAGTCCACCTTCATGGGTGGATTTTGACATTGGTTGACTATCGGCATCCTCAAAATAGGAACGAACACACTGGCACCGTAAGATCTCGCAGACTAGTAACATGCCAGGGGCTGGAAAGAACGCCGTGGGATCTATCCTATGAACGGTACAGCGCTATGAATGTCAGTGTAGGTCTGTGGGGTCTGTTAGCGGATTACATAGTTGCTATGGAGCTTATCGCAAAGGGATGATCGTAGGCGGCATAGCCGCGTAGAAAAGACAGCAAAAAACTGGGATATAGAGAAGGAGAGAGGAAACGCGACACACTGATATTACTGTGTAATTGGGCGCGCGAGTCAAAGAAAAAGAGTCGAGGCAGAGCCCCGGAATTTGAGAGACCCTGCTTCCAGCTGTCCGAATGGTTTAACCAGCGGATGCATTACCGTACTATGCATTCATCACTGAATAGTGTAACGCTGGTGCTGATCGCGATGATCCCCGTGCCGCGGGACAATGGCCATAGGTTGGGCATTGGAATTAACTAGTTAGTTGTTGCGCCCGTTTGAAATCTCCAACTCCAGCCAGGCACCTGATCCCGGCGTTGGTTCGTGGCAAGAAGCTGTTGTCTGTGTTGTCTACGGTCTTGGTGTCTTTCCCCGTAAGAGCCACGCAAGATCCCACACAACCGTCCATTCCGATTGAAAATGGCTGCAGGAGCCTTGCTGGGGACCCATGTGTTACCAGTTGGTCCATACCAGGAGCCAAAAACCGAAATCCACTCTCCACATAACTAATCCGTCTGCTCGGAGATAATCACCCACTGGGTAGGGAAGAGTGGAGCGCGGCAAGGAAGACTCCATTCCCACTTCCAGAGACTGATGTACGGTGTAAAAGCGTTGAAAATTCCCCTCCAAATGAAAGCCTAGATTTTCAACAGAAAGCCAGATGATCAATAATTAAGATATTATAAAATTCAAAACCAGTAAGCCAAAAGTAAAGAAAGAAAGAAAAATGAAAGTCAAACATGGCAGCCAAGGTCTGACGAACTAATGTGCGCGGCATTAATTTGGCTGGAATCTATGGAACTGTTCATCATACCTGACCGTTCCGAACGGTCAAGATTGGGCGGATTTTCAGGTTAGGTACGGACTTGGTAGGAGGCACAAGTAAAAAAATAAAAATAAAAATAAAAAGCGAAAAGATTAAAATAAAAAATGACTACCCAAGTAACTAACTTGATCATCCAGATTATAAGAACAAGCAGTTGCCCTTCTTTTCCTCCTCCCTTCTCTTCTCCTTTCCCTTTTCCTCCCCACATTCTTTGGGAATATCTTCCCATACTCTTCGTGCTTTTAGAAAAGCAGAGAAAGAAAAGCCAGAAAGAAAGAAAGAAAGAAAGACAAGGCTTGCGTTCTTTTTCTATGGAGCTCGTCGTCACCCCGCTCTTGACCGGGTTATCTTCCACCAGCATCTATGCCCACTAACTAGCAGCTGTCAGGATATGCTACGCCCCATCGTTACAATAATGCTCGCTTTTTTCTCTCTCTATTTCACTGATTGATTTTGTTTCTTACAATGACTGATGTTGCTCATCTCTTGCATTATGATTGACTAATAAGTTGACGTCGCTCACTGATTAGGGGGGAGATCAGTGGACAAGGACCAGTATCGGTTTCTAAAGGGACCGGACCTTGCCGATCACATCGACGTCTGACCTATTTCTCCAATTATTTTATCCTTTTTGATTGACAGGAAGAAAACAGAAGAAAACAGAAGAAAACAGAAGAAAACAGAAGAAAACAGAAGAAAACGCTAACATAGCACTGATCCAGACAAAAGTATCTTTTTCAAACATTCCATCATAATACTATTATTATGATTGTTACAATCATCTGCAGATTGAAATGTTTATACTGACAGCCGATCCATAAATTGGATGCTGAGAGTGATTATGTCATGCACGGTACTGCCACCCCACTCCGCCTGCTGTTTTCTCTCGATCAGTTGCCGCTCAACACGAAGCCGACCTGTTCGAATAATTCTCGACCGTGACGAGACTGACTTGCTTCTCCCTGTGCTCTGCCTCCAATTTACTGACTGGAGTTGTACTCTTTTTTGGATTCTTGAATTCTTTGAGTGACTCTTTTACTCTTCCCATCTCTTTTTGGATCCTCTGGTCTTCTCTCTCCACGTTCCCCCCCATTTCTGTCTTCCACCCACTCCATTTGCCTCCACTCGCTTTGTCTCCCAAGCGAAACACTCACCCCCCCTTTCCCTTCTCTCCTCATTCAGATCAGAAGGGGAATTTTTTCATTATTTTTATCATTTACCATTATTATTGATCATTATTACCATAAAAATAAATTACAAGCGTACTCCAACAAATAACAGCCCTACGCTTTTTTTGGTCCAGGTACGCCCGTTATTTCTTTTCCCACCCCCGCTCCCTGTCTTTCACTTGCCTATTACACGCTCTCCCGGGAGCTGTGGCCACGCACTATCTACTGGCCACTGGTCACCCACTCATTCTTCGGGACCACCAACGCACGTTGTGAATGTCGCTCCTCCTGCTCCAGTGTGTTGCTGCTTAGCTAGGACATTTTGTGGTCTATCCATGATTTGTTCCTGTCTTTGCAGCCGTGGTACTTGGAGATGTCTGGTGTATTGGAAATAGCGACACCCGTCTCCTTATCGTCTTATCATCTGCTGATGGTCTTTCAACTTCTGCCTTAGGCTGCCCTCCCTCTCTCTCTCTCTCTTTATTTTTTTCCCTCCCTGCGTGGCGTCCCGTGGTCCCGTGACCCGGCCGCTGGCAATCTCTCTCGCGGTCTCATTTCTCAACCCGCTACTATTTCGGGACCGCCTTCCATCGCCTGTGAGTCGGCCTTCTTAGTTATCCAACCTTGTCGGTATGTACTCTTTCATCAATATGGTCTCTCGGTCATCATTTTACATGCAATAATTCCCCAATTTCATTTCTCCCCCACACCTTATCCACCCACCAATTCGTTACTCCCCAAAGTTTCCCCTCCCCCATAGGTGGTTCCGGTCGGCGTGGCTTGGTCTGAGTGTGTTCGTTTGCTTTTCGTGTCGCAGACCCGAAGCGCGATTCATCCGGCCTCACCACGCCCGCCTCCCACCCCCCAAACCGGACGCGTCCAGACCCATTGATTTCACTTGGTCGCGATCGATGATGGTCGGTTGATGGTTACGCATGCTGTGTCATGATGGCTACCACCTGCCTCCAATCCTTGTCGATCGCATCTGGATGAATGAAACTCTGTCTTGCCTTTTGTGTGACAATTTCTGACAGCTCTCCTTGGTCTACAGATGGGTTGGTAAAAAACACACGACATGAATGCCTGGGTAGCCGACGGCTCGAATCTCCCCAACCATGATAATGGCGCTTTCCACCAAGCGACCATTGACCCTTCCACAGCCTTCCTCCATACCTCTCCCACGCCCCCTGACCCAAACCAGTTTCAGCGCATGTTCAATGGCATGCCCCGAAATGCCTCCCCTGGCTTCCACAACCCGAACCAGGTAATTCCATCCAAACGACCACGACCCGAGGATGGCATCGCGATGTCCCCTCGACAGGCACCTGGTGGCATGTCGCGGTCGCAGACGCCCCATCAGGTCCCCTTCCCCGGGTATCATGGCCCTGCCAATGGAGGTCCTCAATTCACTCCCCATCCCAATCCCTATCAACACCTCCAGGGGACACCACCCAATGTCACCCAGTCCCCGATCATGCAGGACTTTGACCAGCATGGGGTACAGCGAATGGGTACCGCGTCTCCGAGCCCGTTCACGCCCGGGCCTCAGGTAGGAGGACCGCACATGTCGCCCCAGTCCGATCATCCGAGCCGGGTCAATACACCGCAGAACAATTCGTTCATGCCGGCGCAGCCCTTTCCTCAGGGCATGGGCCCCCAATTCACCCCGACCCCGGCCATGACGTCCGCTGCGGTGCAGGCGCCGATGCAGGCACCGATGCAGGCGCATTTTGCCGGCATGCCGCAGGGATACCAGCAAGCAATGGCTGCCCAACAGCAGCAACATCAGCAACAACAGCAGCAGCAGCAACAACAACAGCAGCAGCAGCAGCAGCAGCAGCAGCGAATGCATGCTTTGCAGATGCAAAACCAAGGACGCCCCATGAACATGAATCCGGCTCTGGCTGGGCGTCCGGTGGCGGCTGGGATGAACGCCATGGCGAACCCGCAGCAGATGGCCGCCATCAGGCAGATGCAACAGACCATGGCGAAGCCCCCGAACCCGGAAGCCTTCATGAAGTCCTTGCAGAAGTTTATGATGTCGCGGAGCTTACCACTCGACATGAATCCGATTGTGTGCGGTCGGCCCATCCATCTGATCCACCTGTATTCCGCCGTGATGAAGCTGGGGGGTTCCAAAAAGGTCACGGCCGCCAACATGTGGCCCGTGATCTCCCAGCAACTCCATTTCCCCCCCATGCAGTTTCCCACTGCGATGCAAGAGATCCGGGAACATTACCAGCGGAATCTCGCTGTCTACGAACAAGCCTTCTTGAATTCCCAGCAGAAACAATTCGCGGACCAGATGCAGCAGGGCTCCTTACCGCGGCAGCCCAGTGACCCCTCGGGCATGCAGTTTCAGTCACCGACTGCCAAACCTGGTCCGGGCTTCGAGAATCAGCAACCGATGGGACAGCCCTCCCCCGGGAATCCACCGGTACCGCATCATGTGCCGAACCAGGCCGCCAATGGATTCTCCACACCGACACCCGTAAAGGGTCCCAGCAAGCCGCCGCCGCCGCCGCTTCAGCAACAACAACAGCAGCACCAGCATCGACTCAGCGTCTCCCAGGGGTCGCAACCTCCTGCAACGCCCCATGACCCTTCGAATCAGTTTATCCCGCAGTCCCCGGCGCAAGTCGGGAAAGGACCTGGTTCGGTATCGGGGAAAGCCCTTGACCAACTCGACGGGCCCTCCAACCAACCGCTCAAGCACCCCATCGAGGACCCCTTCAAGCCGATGGTACTACAAGGGAGTAATCTCCACGGACCCATTGCCGTGGATGAGATGTATCCTCTGGGGGAGGAGATCACGAGGTTCAGGCCCAATGTTCCTGCTTATGGGGAACTCGGGGTCATTGACATCCACGCTTTGATCATGAGCGTGAAATCCGGCATCCATGCCGAGATGCGCGTGGCCTTGGATACGTTGGCGACCATCTCTTGCGAGCCGGCCATTCAAATATCGTTGGACAACTGCGAAGACCTTGTGGACTGCCTGATCGATTGTGCAGAGGATCAAGCGGAGTTGCTTGCTGAGCATGCTGCAGAGGTCTCGGATGTGATGCTTCTTCCGTCCTACGAAGAGATCAGCCGTGGGTGCCAGGTCGAATGGACGTCCTTGGCAGATCCCTCCGAATTTGGGAGCCTCGATTACGAGCTCGATCGAGCTGTCGACAGACTCATCTGCGTCACCACCATCCTGCGCAACTTCTCGTTCGCGGAGTCCAATTTTGGAGTCCTGTCCACACCCCCAGTCATCGAGTTCTTCTCCACGATCATCCGCTATCTGGGGACGCGGAACATGCTTCTGCGGACCAACCAGAATACCTTGGATTTCATGAAGGACACTGTCATCTATCTTAGCAACTTAGCGCACACCATCCAGGTGCCGAGCCGGGAGGAGGCCGAAAGCCTCCTCAATTTCGTGCTGTCGTTTGCGCCGTTCCCCAGCCCAAGCCTGGGGCCGGACGGCGTCATGTTCACCTCGTACAATGCCTCTATCCACAAGTACACACCCGCCGCCGTGGATAGTTTCGCGAAGCTCCTCGCGCGGGATGAACCCAACCGAACATTCTTCCGGTCCATCTTCTCTGGCGATGGCAACGGCGTCCAACAAGATCTGCTCACTCGTGCTTTCGGGCTCGCCATCTGCCCTGTCCCCGACCAGCCTCGGAAACCGCTCGCCATCGCAGATGCGCGCAAGGTGTTCCTCATGCAGGGATTGCTGGCGGCAGATATCCTCTCCAGCTTCGCTGATGGGCCCCTGGCCAAAGCGTGGCTGGAGTCGCTGGATGGGTTCGCGATTCATCTCCTCAGACTATCTTGTCTGCTGAGTACGGAACGCGTCCCTCCACCCAATGTCAACGCACGCCAGACCCACGCCGTACGGGCCCAGGCGGACGAAGCCTCCGCATACAGCTCCATCATCAACCGAGGATTAGGCATACTCCGGCGCTTAGCCGAGAAGTCCAAGTATGCCGAGACGGACACCGCCCTGCGGTTCCCATCAGGGATCATCCCTAAAAAGGAGAGCTTACTTGGAGCGTTGCTCATGCGCAATGTTGATCCCGGGGTCGTGCGGCAGCTGATAACCTATGCGCGACTCGCCGAGTGACGTGGTGTACATTGCTATTGGGACTTGATGGTTTTTTCTTTACTTTATCATTTTATTTTTTTGCCTTTCCATTCCATGTCTTTTTCCTAGCGAAGGCCCAAACAAGCCTAGCACCAACATTATCTTTCCAGCTATCGGGATTGTTTTGACCTCATGTCTTGATTTACTTCACTCTCCGTAAACTACTACTACCACTACCTACCAACCTTTTGGAAACCCCTCCCCGCCCTCCATCTCTGTTTATTCATTTATCTCATGTTCTTGTCTGGCGCCGGTGGAAAGATATTTTGTGTGGGGCGTGACATGTTGTGTGTATTCCTGATTAGTTGTCTACTACTACCTACCACCTACTACTATTATTGTTGTACAATGTTGAATACCCTCAGGGCGAAAGATCGTGCATGATATCATGTCTACATGGGTAAAAATCATATTCTGAATTTGGTTAAATGGCACTTGCATTATCTTACTTGTACATTGATGATTATTCATTGGATAATGGCTTTCAAGGGTATACAAGGTACTAACGAGGTACTATACGAGTAGGCTGATTTTACAGTTACTTAGTCTACAGTCTATATTGTGAGTATGGACGTTTATAAGTAGGCACTATTTGAAAAGCTTGACTACACGCACCCAAGAAAATAAAAAGATAAAAAGAGACAGATCTCCTAGTCGACATCTATCTACTCCCATATTTACCATCGATACCACAATAGACATACTAACTAGCAACCGTAGATTAATCCACCAGCATGTACAGAGCTAGCTTAACAACTACTTACTCTATACTATGAGGATGGACTTTGAAGAAGCCACTAATTGAAAAGCTTTGACTATACGTATTCAGGGAAAATAAAAGATAAAAAGAGACAGATCTCCTAGTCGACATCTACTTTCCATGTCTACCATCGATACCCACAATAGAGATACTAACTAGCAACCGTAAATTCATCCATCAGCGTGTACAGAGCTAGCTGAGCGGGGAGACGATGATGAGCAGGAGCGCAGCGTAGATACAAAAATCAAACAGACAAACAAGACAATAAAAATACAAGATAAGACACCCAAGAACCAAACCAAACAGACTTAGCTTGATGAAAACAGGGACGGATGATAAATGCGACGAAACACCTGCACTGCGAGATAATACAAGGAAATAAGAAAAACGAAAAAGGAAAAGAAAATGGGAATTGAATTAGAAAAGGAAAAATAAGATGGACTTGACCCTTGGAGCAACACTAAGGCTTTCCTGCTCATAGCTTCTCATGTCTGTTTTGTTCCCTTGCTTTCCTCCTCATACTTTTAGTCATATATGTTGATACCGGTCTCTTCTTTTGTGGTTGGTGATGCTTTTGATGGCGATGGCATTCGAAATATCTCGTCGTGTTATTTCAACGACGCGAAATCGAGATGGGATTATAAGAAACGGGTGATCGGCGTTCATCCCGATATTAGTTATTTCTCGTCACTTAGAAGTTGCGCTCGAGGAGGAACTTTTGAATCTCAGGTTTCCGCCAGCCCTATAAACAATCGACTGGTTAGCGCTCCGTTGTGCTGGGAACGGGATGAAATAGGACATACCTTGACGACAATATGGCCATTCAGGCGGTTGATCGTGATATCCGGGCTCTTGGCTCCGCCAGATTCGAGTCCCAGGTACTGCGCCAAATCACTCCGCAACGCGTCCATATCACCCTCGGTCTTCTGGATCTTGGTCTGCTGCTTGGTACCGCCGGCCTTGGTGACCAGGTACACGGGGAGTTGGTTGGAGGCGGTGCGACGAATGAAGTAGGGGAGGTTGGTGAGTTGCAGGTTGACTGGTGGGCGAGCGGCGTCTGTCGAAGGAGCGTTCTGTTTGAAAGTCTGCGCCTGTCGGCGCAGTTGGACCAGGAACGTTCGCGTTTGCCCTTTCCCGGCGGAGAATGGAAGAATGGAGGATTGAGAGGGGCGAGTGACGGCTATTGGCAAGTTAGAGAGAGGATTCTAATGATGTTTCTTCTCATAGCAAGTTTTGATTGTGGTTTTTTTTCTGGTTTTTCCCGCCTCTTCTCGGGTGGCCAAGTTCCCGACCAACATGGGATTGGCAGTATCGGATCACAACTTACGAGAATTCATCGATCTAGAGGTGGAGCATAGTGACGAGAAATGACTACAAGACCCCGACGAGGGAGCAATAGGCTGTGTAGAGGATAGAGATCGAGGCAGGGTCGTCGACTGCTTGCGAACGGCCGAGCAGACCGGACGAACCGGGAAGAAGGAGGCCATGGCTATGGGGGGGTAAACAACCAAAGGGTCGACAGGGGAGTCACGAAATCGAAACCCAGAGGAAGCAGTTGAGCCACCGAGACCAACTGAGAACTCGAGAGATGAGGGGGAGAGGGGGGAACTGGAAGAGTTGAAGCTGGGATGGAGAGCCGACCATCTCTGGTTCTTTTGACGATTTCTCTGCATCGGCGCGGAGACCTGCCGCTAGTCCCAACCGGGCCTAGCGCGCTCAGCAGCCCTCTGCCGCCCACATTTTCGCCAGCGCAAAAGATGCCCGCACATTATTCTCATTGTCTTGTCCTTCCCTATCACCAACGGCCCCATCCAGCCTTGAATCCGAGACCTCAAGACCGCCGTCGCCTTCTTGATCTCTCACCCTCACCTCCCCCTTCTCCCACCTATTTTTCCTCTCTCCCGTCTGCTGTCTCGGTTCAATCCCCCAACCATGGCAGCCAACGCCCCCCCGTCCGCCGAGACTTTGCTCAGCGGTGCCGCCGCTCACCCCCCCAAGACCGCTGAAGAGATCGCCAACCAACACGACCTCCTGCCCCGATTGATCCCTTATCTCGACCGTCACTTGGTGTTCCCCCTTCTCGAATTTAGCTCTGGACAGGAGGATGACAAGGAGATTGTCCGGGCCAAATATGAACTGCTCAAGCACACCAACATGACCGATTATGTGGCCAACCTGTGGCAGGAGATCAACAACTCCGACTCGATCCCCGAGGAGTTTGTCAAGAAGAGGGAGGAGGTTCTCAACAAGCTGGAGCACTACCAGGAGCAGAGCGCCAAGATCACCGAATTGCTGCAGGATGATGATGTTGTGGGCAACCTGCGCAGCGACAAGGCTGCTAACTTGAAGTACCTCGAGGAACAGCACGGTGTCACCAACGAGATGGTCAACAGCCTCTACGACTACGGCCGCTTCCAGTACAGCTGCGGTAGCTACGGCAACGCCGCGGAGCTGCTGTATCAGTTCCGTGTGCTGTCCACCGACAACGACAAGGTCGCGTCCGCCACCTGGGGTAAGCTGGCCTCGGAGATCCTGACCACCAGCTGGGACGGTGCCATGGAGGAGGTGCAGAAGGTCAAGGATTCGATTGACACCCGGCTATTCAACAACCCGCTGGGACAGCTGCAGAACCGCTCGTGGCTGATTCACTGGTCTCTCTTCCCCTTCTTCAACCACGACCCCGCCCGCGATGTCCTGACCGATCTCTTCTTCTCCCCCGCCTACATCAACACCATCCAGACCAGCTGCCCCTGGGTCCTGCGATACCTCGCGGCCGCCGTCATCACCAACCGCAACCGCGTCCACAAGAACAGCAGCATGTACCAGAAGCAGCTGAAGGATCTGATCCGTGTCGTTCGCCAGGAGAACTACGAATACACCGACCCCGTCACCGACTTCATCAAGGCCCTGTACGTCGACTTTGACTTTGAGGAGGCGCAGCGGAAGCTGGGTGAGGCCGAGGATGTGCTGCGCAGCGATTTCTTCCTGGTCTCCGCCGCGGACGCTTTTGTCGAGGCTGCCCGTCACCTGATCTCGGAGAGCTACTGCAAGATCCACCAACGGATTGACATTAAGTATGTACCTACACACCCGAATCTGAAAGGGAATCCAAAGCTGACGATTATTCCAGGGATCTGTCTACCCGTCTTGGTCTGAACCAGGATGAAGGCGAGAAGTGGATCGTCAACCTGATCCGTGACACCCGGGTGGACGCCAAGATCGACTACCAGGAGGGCACGGTGATCATGAACCACCCCCCGCAGTCGGTGTACCAGCAGGTCATTGAGAAGACGAAGGGTGCTTTCTTCCGGACACAAGTTCTGAGGTGAGTTTTCCCGATTTTGGAATGAGAGAAGAACCATTACTGACAGTTTCACAGCGCGGCCGTCGCCAAATAAGCCGAAAGAACAGTCTTCTCCTCAAACAAAAGACTCGTCTTTTTCCATTCTTCCCCCGGTTCTGTCCGTTCATGTTATTATTCCTTACCTACCTCTTACCTGCAAGATAGGCAGGCTTCTCGCGTGATGGGACCAAAGCAGAGTGGCATCAGGCTGGCGTTCCGGTGGTCCACATTTCGTGTTCTCTTTGCTGTTCCTTTTCTTTTTCTTTTTCTCTTCCCCCTCTCCATCCCCCGTTTGTAATGCTCATCCTTCTCCCTTTTCTGTTTCCCTTTGATCTGTCACTTTGGGAGAAATGCTACGATGTCGCTGGTCTGGTCGGTTTCTTGGATTTGACGTGGTGAAATATTCCCTTGATTTTTCTTATCTTGAAAGAGGGAATTGTCTCCCACCTGAAGAAAAGGAAAAGAAAGAAAAAAATTATATACCGCTAAGCAGAAATCGACCAACTCGCCTTCCTCTGATCTTCAAAAGTGTGTCTATGTTGTTGGATTTGATCTATGCTGTTACGAATGATTGATTCTATAGAGATGAGTGGAAATTCGTCCTGAGGGCTTTTCTATTTGCTTTTTTACCTATGAAGAAGGTTAGTCTGTTCGTAGTTCGGTATTATCATATTATGGGTTTGTTTATATTTGTCTCGGCACGTCTCTGTTCGTCTTGTTTCGTTCTTCATTTGTTTACTTTTTATAACCTCGTATACTCGTGTCAGCCATACGTAGCTGTCTCGCAAGCATTCACCCCCAATCATCTACCTAAGTCTCTAGTCCGGCGATTAGAGCCACCAATCCATCAATCCATCAATCCGACCATCTGTAATTCACGAGATTCGAAAGCCATAGACTTGTGTATAACCTGGTCTGTACATCTGTATAGAAGGTAGTATGTATGTATGTGTCTAGTATAAAAGGAACATCAAAGACTTCTAGAGTGTTTCCAAGTAAACACGTCAAATCATGCGAAGCAGAACCCGAGATGAAGAGGGCGTCCCATTCCGATGATCATTCCATGTTAGATCAAGATGCGTATAGTAGTGTAAATATGAGAAAGGGGGGAGAGAGAAAGGGAGGGAGAAAACCAACAACAAGGATATAAAATGGGTATGAAAAGCGAGAACACAAACCGCAATGATCACAACAATAACCAACAAAGCAAATAATGAATAATAACCAGGGATATCACAGCAAAAAGCCATACCAAATGGCTCGAAAAACATAAATCAATATAAATAGAAAAAGAATGCATCGTTGAAACCCACCCGTCAACTCCAATCATACCACTGCAACTCCCCAGCTAAAGGCCCCTCCGCGACTCGTGTCTCGTCCGGGATCTCGAGCTCCGCACAAGCACGATATCGTTGATATAAGGCTCGGAGTCGTCTCTCGGGGAGGAAGATCCGTCCAGGATGGAGTCAATTGCCATGCGGACGGATTCCTGTCTTTCGTATTCTCTTGACATGGCTGCTAGGTCGTCGATTTGTTCCTGTTTACCGTGTTAGTTTTGACCATGCTATTATATATAACCTCCAAAGCAATCCCAATAGTGAGTATCAAACGGAGGTAAATCTAGATAAGGTAGGGCAAGAAGGGTAGGTAAGAAGAACACACCCGCGTTAAAGGTACACCAACAATCAGGTAACCTTCGCGCCCCTTGACCAAATCCAAGCGTTAGGGCGACCATCTTGTCTACGGAATTGCGTGCGCATTGTCATTCGTGGTGGAGGTTGTTACCTGGTACGTGTATGGCCTGACTGATGCTGTTGGACCGAGGAAGTATTGGATATGGCCTAGGACTATGTGTCGGGAGAGTCCGTATCCTGGGAGCCAGTATTGCTGGACTTGGGACATCTTCTTCTGGACGTATGGTTTGTACGTGCGTGCGTGAGTGGGTGTGTGTATGTATGTGGGCCAGCGAAGGTAGACGTCCAGACGGTCTTCTCTTGGAGAGAGAGATATGGAAGTGTCGCTATTATATATGGTGGTGGCGGTGATGATGATGACGATAATGATGACGGTAGTTAGCGTAGCGGTAAGCAGGGATCTACAGCGACGAGAAGCGCATATTCAACTATGATTGAATAAGTATTCGACGTTCCTCATGCAAGGGTATCCAAGGATAGACAGGTTTTATGTGGATAGTATCGCTCAAAGATCGGGCTAACCCAGGCGCAGTATATAGTATCATCATCATCATGCATGGATGGGATGGGTGACTGACTCAAAGAAAGGGCAGTGATCAGCATAACTATTGACATCTAAGAATCCTACCAGACAAGATTCCTGCACTTAAGCAGCTAGTGATATTGAGACCAAGTCCACTGTGTGTGGTTCTATCGCCATGCCATGTCGGATCCCGGAAAGAAAGTCGCCTCACTTCTTTCATCCAACCCTTTCCCGAGAAGAAAGTGAGGCTTGACTTTGAACAGGAGCTAACTAGGTCCCGCGCGCCCACAAATTAGACCACTATGCCAATCGTCGGGGCTTCTGCTGCGCCCTGGAGTTTTCGTTGTAGTTCTATTGCGTTCTTGGCTCATCCTGCGGTGAACTTCTTGCCCTGACCTAGAAATGGGGTCTGTCTGGTTGATTGTTGAAGGATGATGCTATGGCGCCATGGTACAGTTACCCCGATGTGAACTCCCCATAACTTGCTGCGTCGTACAAAATGGCTTCTTACAATCCAGGGATTCTTGCATCCCGAGCTTAGATCCCCGTAAATGACATCTGCACAGAATCGGAGTATATGGATTGTAAAAATAAAAACCTTCCCTTGCAGATCGCAGAGAAAGACACGTTGGATTTCGCCCGTCTTCAGCACGCGGTGAGACGGGATTACTTAATGTTATTATCTTGGTATAATATTCATTTGTTATCTCGTTCCCCCTCGTCTAATCACCAATTGCTTCCCAATTCCAAATGAAGTCCTGTCGATATAACCGCCGATCTGATGCAAACTCGACTAGTCCTCACCATGCATCTCCAAAACACCCCCAGAAAAAGCCAGTCGCGGTATGCAAGAGTCCGAATTAGGGCGGGAATTCCTTCCCTGGGCGTAGATGCTGCATGTTAAGCGCAGACTTGAAGAGAAATCCATCCTACTCACTCCGCTAAATAGACTAGTATGACCATGGTTGGCTCCGATGCAGGCAGGCAGCTTCCCTGTGACATGGGTTTGCCCTAGTCGCTTTTAGTTAATTCTTATAGTGCCGAGTTCAACCCTGTCTACTTTTTCAGCCCAACGCAGTGGATCTGGTCTTTCCCTACTGTAAGATCAGGTCTGCTGCGACTAGTTATTCGACATCTTGCAGGACGGCAGGTAGCCAAGATTCCCTCCCTTGCCAGTCATGGGAGGCATAGACATATACATAGACATTGTTTGCTCACGTGGGGAGTTCGATCTCGTAGTGCGCGTAAGGCCAATCATCTATTTGTATCTCCTTTCCTTCAGCTTTCCTCCCTCCGGTGTAAGGGAAAGTCAGGATGAGGCTAATGCGGCTACCTTCTCACATTATCATAACGAGCCTAAGCAATGTCTGGAGCATGACCGGCTCAGCTGATCGGATACACACTCAGGCACAATGGGGCTAGACGAGTCTGGCTGGGCCTGTGGAGCTGGTCGCTTGAGTAGTGGAGTTAGTGAGGCTAGGAGTCTGTCCGGACCGGACTGAAATGTAGATTTCCCCATGTTCGGGCTAGAGGTTCTTAAGGTTGATGTTGAGCTACTTTGATCCACCAACATACCTTTGATTGAGACATAGTGGGCTTGTGCGTAGGCTGTATGAGGTGTATGTCTGAAAAATGGGTGGAGTCTTCCTCATCCTGCTTGTTGGAGTTGCATTTCTTGATAACATGACTCACGGTGCGCTGCTCGAAGTGTAGACAACAAGCAATGCAGCCCCTGCTCTCAATTCTAGATAAAATGCTCCCCAGCACTATTCGTGAATAGCGTGAGCGATGAAACAGGAAGTCGCATAATGTGAACCTGACTCAATCCGAGCAAGGCTAGGTGGAGAGAAGATAGTACAGATGATGATACACCCGACATACTCTCGTGACGTGGAAGCAGTAGGCCTGTCACCTCTATGAGTGGTCTATCTGAGGATTGAGTAGACCCACAAGTGCATCGGCACTACCATCCTTTGATGCAAGGGCTGTCAGATACGAAATAAGAATGAAAGCCTCGAGGAGGCGAAAACAAGGCGTCTGCAATGCAAACGGTGCCGCAAGGTGTCGACCACGCCTCGAAAAGAAAATAAAAGAAAGGAAACGAAAAGAAAAAGCAAATGTAGAGAGATCGGCGTTGAACAATACAAATCCAGATAGTTTATATTATGGCAATGGAGACGTAACTTGCGCTGTGATGGCCCGCCTGGCGATAGTGTATTATTGTCTATTACTTTTCATAACTCATCCCAATGACAGCAGATGCAGAATTTCACCTCATAAAATATTTCCAGAGCCGCATCCAGCGACATTTACTCGGGAGGCGAATACGGATGTACAAGCATGTCGCTGAATCTGTAGAGGTCATTAGCGATCGATCGTACGACAGACGGGCTTTTCTAGGGACTGACTTTTCAAGCTTCTCCTTTCCTCTCACTTCCTCAACCAGGAGGGGCATGCGGACAACGTTGAAATCTTCGTAGAGCTCCTCGATCTGCTCCAGATACTTCTTCTGCATCTTTCTCCGTGCGTTGCACTGGTCACATCCGCTACCTTCCTTGGGGAACAGGAGTTGGTTGACCACGATAGAGTGCGTATCAATGCCGTAGCTCGTCAACTCCTGGATCATGCGCTCCGTCTCATACAGAGACAAGAACTCGGCGATACAGACACACACAAAGGTGGTCATATCGGCGTCCTTGAACTGGGAGTTGACTTCGCTGATAGTCTCCCTCAGGGACTCCATCTTCTGCAGGAGCTCGTCCATGTTCTGACCACCGGGCAGACCACCCCGGGCGCCAAGGATCGAGTTCAGCATGGGTCCGAACTGCGAGGACAGCTGCGAGAGTTTCGCGAGGGCCTTCTCAAGCACAGTGGGGAACTGGAGGAAACGCAGAGTATGACCGGTCGGAGCGGTGTCGAACACGATGACCTCGTACGAAAGCGACTTGACCTGCTTCAGGACCTCGGCAAATGACATGGCTTCGTCGACACCGGGGATCTGTTATCGTCAGTGGGGCTGCATGACCCTAAACCGATTTACCCCTCGCGGGGGGAGGGGGATCGCGTACGCTGAATGCCAGATCCTGCATCATGTTCCCGACGCCCAGTCCGCTCATCGGATCGTCCTGCTGTGCCTCACCGCTGGCCAGGAGGTCCTGGATGCTTCCATTGGGGTCGATCTCCATCGCGCTCAGGTTCGTGTATCCATCCACCAGGCGAGCCTCCTTTCCGAACTTCTGCCCGAAGGCGTCACTCAGGTTGTGTGCGGGGTCGGTCGAGATCAGGAGGACGGATTTGCGAGCTTTGGCCAGCTGGATGGCGAGAGAGCAGGAGGTGGTGGTTTTCCCTACACCTCCTTTACCACCCACGAAGATCCAGCGTAGAGTCTTCTGGTTGATGATCGACTGGAGGGTGGGCTCCATGAGATCGTCATCGTGGACGACGGCGGACGACATTTTGAGACTCGAATGGGATGGACAGGGAGCGGATATCGGGTTGTCTAAAGGTAATCGAGAAGGAAGATAGTGTCAGTTTTCTAGATCGAGCTACCTTGCAGGGCGAGGTTGAGAGGTTGACCTGACGCACTAGCAGCGATTCCCGGTAGATCCAACTGTTTTTAATTGCGGGCAGTCGAAGGTTCCGGAATGTGGGAGTGGCCGTGTCACAATCACTATCTAGTCCGGGGTGACACTTATTTCTCTGTGACAGATAGGAAGTATGAGGATATGATGAAATGAGAACAATGAGAGACAGTGAAGTAAGTAGGATAGAACGTACTTGCGACCACTGAACGGCGCCTAATTGTGCCAAAGTGGCACTGCTGTCTTTGTGCCTGAGGCTGCAACATCACCCGTCGTCATCGTCGGGAGTCCAGCCCACCTGGATCCCCTGACTTACCCTGGGGACAAGGATTCATCATGGCATAAAGCGTATGTAATCTTTGTTTACGTCGTGCTACTAGATATTCTCTTCCATATTCCTAGAGCATTGTCTTCTACAATTGTGACCTCTTGCGTATACAATCTTCTCTATATCCTGGAGAGGGTACATCTGCCGTTGAAGATGTTCAAAGTGGTCAAGCCGGATTCAGATATCGAGTACTCCAGGCAACACGTGCTTTCAAACCTACTATGCTGGAATGCTATAATGAATTTTTAAGACTTTCTATATAAGCCATGTTATTGTCCTGACAGACGATTACTGATCAATCTAACACTGGGTATCTCAAAAAAGGAACTGCTCACAAACACGCCAAGTCGGATGATACGGTAAAGTAAAACCACCAGGTGTGTTATGCAGGATTGCAAGGGTCCACTCTATATGGAGCCTCTTTTGCAGGTTTAGACATGATATAATGTCAGGTTGTGCTGGCAAACAAAGTGGAAGCTGCACATACTAGGTATATGTTTGACAGGAGGGATAGTCACGTGTCAGCTTGTTGAGCGTTGGTCATGGTGTACTGAGACACTCCATAGTAGGTAGACAGTGGGTCCCGCAGACTCTCCCAATGCCCAATGGTGTCCTTGACCTTACGGAGTCCAGACTTGTAGTTATTTTGCTTGATGACGCGCTACCGTGCACCGGTCTCCATTTGACAGGTATCTAATAATCTGGTGTGCAGGTATCGTATGCATGTGCTCATTAAAGTCGTATACAAGCGTATTCCGACGATAAACCCAGCCGTTCAAGTCAGTCTTTTCAAACCCAATTCCCGCAAGAGATACTGCAGAGAACGTAAAGCTATCGCATGATCAATCGCCTTCAGCAGATCCTCATTCTTAATATTCGGATCGGCCTGAATCAGATCCCGGAGTTTATCCCGTTGCTCTTGACTCAGGATGCGGGGTCGACCAGAGCGTGTTGACCTGGATGGTTGATTTATCGTTGAGATGGGGATGTTTGGATGTTGTCGGTGGATTCTTCTGTATCCTCAGCCGATTGTATGGAGTTGGACGATTTGACCCCGTACGAAGGGGTCAAGTTCTTTTCCTCGGCCCATGCTGATGCTGATGCTGTTGATAATACTATATGAAGTGTCAATGGTTGATGAGCGTGTTGAATCACGTGCAAGGGGGTGCTTGGCGGGGCGAACATATCTTGCGTTCCGCTGTACCTTGCCGTTTGTTGTCTGTCGATCGTTACTGATCCATTCGTCTGGGCAAAACCCACCTCTATTGCTTTGATACTGCAGGAAGACACGGAATCATCTGTCATGAGATTTCAGCGCTAATGGTTTTATCATCCTGCTGCAGGAGCTGCAGTAGGCATTTCCTATGCTTCCCGAAGAACGTTAGTACCTGGATATGGTGGTTGCTTCAGGATACAAAGACGGCTCCGAGTCAATGGTAAGTCGAAGCGTGACGTGGTATAGGATATCTACTTGGGCACATAAGTCATGTCTACTCCGCACATAGCCTGGTTATGTACTGCATATCTCTACTCGAATCAACACACTAGTCATCCGGTATATCACTGAAGGTTGACAACCTGCTAGGGTGTATCTCACTGCCGAATGTGGCGCTTACAGGGCTCCTCAGATTGAGTGCAGTGGCAAAAAAGACAAGGGTGAGCACTAAAACAGAACAGGAAGGAAAGCCTAGATTGTGGACATGCTGCTGTCACTCTTAATGTCTAGTATGTGGATAAATTGTAAGACTTTCTTGGCCCATATGCTGTGCTTATAGAGAAGCAAGTGGTACTATCTGACTTGACCTGCATATAATCGATAAATATCCAGAGTTATCCACCTGTTACACCTCATTATGAGAAGGTCCAGAATATTGAATGGTAAGTCGTCTGTAAGTTTCACCATGTACCTAAGGTACTTGTGCAGCCAAGGCCACGGGCTTCGATTGCTCCGCTTCCCTCGCCGGGTATTCTTCCGAGTTCATGTACTTCCCTCCTTTGAGTTTAGTAAGTTGCGGAGTGCAATCTAACTCGGGAGTAGCAAACACGAAAAGGTCAACCTCCATAGTACTACAGTACCACTACCAGACATGTGCAACATTTGGACATGTAGATTATTGTACATGTACCTCTGGATCCCCCGTTCGGACTTATGAGTGGCAATCAGCTAAACGAGTGAAACGCAAGCCTATTCGACCGTCCAGGCAGGCCGGCTCACCAACGAGCGACCGACAGGGCTCTCACGTGATGGGGGTCACGAGACGAACGTCCCAGAACCTGGTCTCATTGCGTCATCACCTAGCCTGAGGAGACCCAATCAGAAAATCAGAAGGGTCATTCCTGGTGGAAACTCGGGGCGAATGGATGGTCTAGAGGGGAGAGTCAACGCGTTCAATCACACATGCTGTGAGAAATTGACGAGCTTGAAGGAGACAAGGAGATAAATGGAGATACCCCGAGGAGATATAATGATAGAGAATAATGATATCCCGTTCGATCTACATGTGCCACCCAGACCATGTCTAGAAGCATTGAGGGTGTCACGAGACGGAGCCTTCCCTTTCTTGGGAGGTCTTTTTCTTTTTCTTTTCCTGACACCCTTCTTATGGGTTAGAAAAAAGAAAAGAGAGAGGTGGGTCTGGATGAAACCGATGAGTGGCTGGATCTGGTGGTTGGGTGGTTCGCTTCGAGTGGCCACTGGCCACCCGGCTGGTCCGATTTCCCGGAAAAATTCCTGTCGTCGTCACCGTGATCTCATCTCTGTCCACACTTGGATTTTGCCTTTGATGGATTGAATGATGGATTGAATAAAAGTTTCCCCCTGGATGGGAACTGTATATGTTGATATTGGGAACCCGAGGGGTGTATAGAATAATACATTGATTCAAGATATATTTATATATAATTTGCTATATATTGAATGGAGGGACCTAAGGTGTAGAGGTGGAAGTTGTATTTACTGTCTGACTTGCGTCATTCATGTTGGTTGAGAAGTGTCCAGGTTGGTTTCCAACCTGGAAAAACAGGCCACCACTGGCCTCTAGGTTTGCTGACTGATCTATCAGACCGGGATCAAACCGGATTAATAGAATCAAAGATATAGACCAGAGTCAGAGAATAGAGTCAGAATAGATCTCGAGTTCCAAATTCAGAAAGAAAACGGACATAACTTTCACGTAGAAAAAAAGAATTCAGTCAAGGTTACAATCTGGTAGCCAGTGACTATTTGTACTGCACCCAGGGTTGCATGGTTCTTTTTCTCTTCCATTTTCTTGACAGGAGTCGAGTTTTTCCTAGTTTCTCCACCTCTCTCGCCTCCTCCAATCGTTCCTCCAGAAAAGAACCTGCTTAGCTCACGACCCTCGACCGCCTCCCCTCATCCTTTTTCCCCTAAAAAATCCCTTGTTAAACAAACCCCCCCCGACTACGTCACAACCTTTTCTTCTACTCTCCCCTTCAACAGGTACTCTGGAGTACTGAACCCTACTTACTATACCGAGTGACTACGCCAAAAAAGCATCGACATCCAACTCTAAAACAGACATTATATCAGATCTGGAGATAGATATCAACCTCTTTTTCTGTCCAGTCGATTGTTTCTCTGCAATCCACTGGTCTTGACTCATCTTCTTCATCAATCCGTTCTCCCTTATTCATCATCGCGCGACACTGCTGATTTCGCCTCGGTCGCTTGCTTATTCTTTTTCTTCCTCCCTTCGGTCTTTGCGCTCGCACCTCCCAACCGTCCTCACGTTGTCGACCTCTTGTGTTTCCCATTTGATTGCTATTCTTATGATGTCTGCGGCGGTTGCTCCGACTGTGGCCGCTAATCTCCATTCCGACACTCGTAATCCATCCCCAATGGATTCAAAAAAGAACTTGGACGCTGAAGGTTAGTATGCCCGTTAGTCCTTTCTGTCGCGTGAATAGTTGGAGCCCTCCACCTCAACCCTTCCCTTCTCAATCCCTCTCTGTTTTATTTTCTTTTCTTTCATTTACTTGGTATTTTGTCTTTGGTGGTCTGCCGATCTCCATGGTTTTTAAAAAAACATTTTCCTGCCGTTGTTTTGAAACTTTGTTCGTTTGGTGGTTGGGGTCTGCGCCACGATCTTCTTAAGTACCTTTTGTCCGCTTGGCCGTCGGGATGATCTCATTTCTGTCGTCACTGATTGATTTCCCTCCCCCTTCGTCATCATCTCCGTCGCGTCAACAACATCAAGTACCCTAACACCTCGGCGTTGCGTGTGCAAACAAACCTCTTATCTGATTGGATCACGAGTCGCTAACCAGGATCTCTGAGCGTGGCAGACTCGCAAGCGTCGACTTCAGAAAATAAAAATCAAAAACCAGACGGTGATTCCCAAACATCGCTAGGACCGCCTCCGCGTCCTGCTATCAGCAGTGCTGCTGATACACCGGACTACTTCAACTCAGTGCACAACCCTTTCTCCCTGGAACCGAATCCCTTCGAACAATCCTTTGGCGGCGGCGGTAACGGCGGTGGTGCCTCGGGGGAAACACCGGGAAAGTCGATCCTTCCTCCCGTAGCCTCTCTGACGTCTCCTGCCCTGCCCGGTAATAACTCTGCCGGTGGTGGGTATAACTGGTCCAATTCGCTCCGCTCTGGGCCTTTGAGCCCGGCTATGCTCGCCGGTCCGACGAGCACCAACGACTACTTCGACAGCATCGGTCGAGGCTTCCCCACCCCCAACGAATCCTCACTGCGCACCGGGTTAACGCCAGGCGGTGGCGGTTCCATGTTCCCAGCCCCCAGCCCCAACTCGCAGGCGCTTCTCCAGCAGTTGCAAAGCGGGGGTGCGACCCCATCGACCATCGAGTTCCACCGGACCGCCCTGAACGCCGCGAAGAAGAACAACGCGAACGGCCCGACCTCGAACCCGACCTCCGAACCCGACCCGGGCAGCCAAGGCGCCAACAACATGGATGTGAAACCGAACGCGGCGGCGGGAGGCGATCCGTTCGGCCACCATGATGCGGCTGATGCGGCCAACGGGTTGTTTATGCTCGCGAAAGGCGGCCAACCAACCTCGAACCAATTTTCTACGTCCAACCCAACCTCCGTCCCGCCGCAGAGTGTCCAGGTCAATGAGCCGGACACCGGTGTCCAGAATGCCAATGGTTCGGCGCATGCGGGCCGCGAGATGAGCGGCAATCTCTCGGAAGAGCTGACGAAGCCGACGACCAAGGGCAAGGGCAAGAAGAATGCCTCGGCGAAAGGGGCTGGCGCCGCCAATAACAGGCGCAAAGCTGAAGATCCCGTCACCAAGGGAGCCAACAAGAAGTCGAAACTCAACAGTGGGTCCGGCAGCATGGAGCCGCCTTCGGATTTCGATTATTCGGACATGGAAGACGACAAGAAGAGGATGCCGGGCGATACCAAGAAGATGACCGATGAAGAAAAGCGAAAGAACTTCCTCGAGAGAAACCGGTAAGTGACCTGAAACCTGACGTCTGCGGGCTTTAGTATCATCCCAGGTGCTAACAACGTTTAGGGTCGCGGCACTCAAGTGTCGGCAGCGCAAGAAGCAGTGGCTTGCCAACCTGCAAGCGAAGGTGGAACTGTTCACGTCCGAGAATGATGCGCTCACGGCGACCGTCACTCAACTGCGCGAGGAGATTGTCAATCTCAAAACCATGTTGCTCGCCCACAAGGATTGCCCGGTTTCGCAGGCTCAGGGCCTTGGCTCGATGATGATGAACGGTATCCCGCCCGGCTACGAGACACATCCTTACAACATGGGAATGCAACCGGGCGCTATTCCCGCGCAAGGAATGCGGCGAGCGTAAATCGCTATCCCGGATCTGATTATTTTGCTTCCAATCTTTGATACTCGCCGGAGTCCGGGGAATCACTTTGTTATTCTTCGTTGAAGAGATTGTCCACTCCCTTCGATCTTCTTTGAGCTCCCGACTTCTTCCTCGGGCTTCTGGCTGGCATGGGCAGGTGTTATGATGTATACGAATTCAAAACGGACGGGCTAAGTTAGGTTGTGCGACATGGGATTTGTTGAACCACTGGAGTGCAAATTCGGCGCAAAAGTTGGCTGCTGTTTTCTTTTCTCCCGTGTCTTTTTTTTTCTCTTTTTTTATTTTCTTGAACTATTTCCATTTCCCCCTTTTTGTCCTTCTTTGTGACCCAGCCACTGGCCTGTGAGAAGCACGTGTCGGACCCTGGACAAGTCCACCTTGATAGTGCGCCCTGGCTTGCGTCCTCCACTCCCTCTCAGCCTGGCTTTGGGGGTTTTTCAATTCGCTTGTTTCATATTTGTGATACTGGGTATTGGCCTATCTTAATTCTTCCTGCGGGAATAAGTGTTCGTTTGGGGGCGTTTCTGGTGGATTTCTGCTGGTCTATTGTTTTGAGACTTGTTATTGTTATTAGTTGATCTTGCTAGTCAAGCAATTGCTATCCATATGCTTGGTTATTCGAAGATATAGGCTCAAGATGATCCGAAGTAGTCAAGTAGTAATTTGCCCCGTAAAGTAGTACAGAAGCTGAAGAAGGTCGGAGTCGTTCCTTCACTGACGATGCGATGCGATCTGACAATGCTTGGCATGGCGGGCATACATAACCATTCAAACAACCCAAACTACACAAACAAAAACATTCGGTCCGTTGTCTCCACGCGCTCTTTGGCGATAGACTTGACTCCATTGAAAGTCCACGAAACTACCTTACATGTGAGAACTGCGATCGAGTGATATAGACCGGTGCAGGACGCCATGGGCTGTATTATCGAACTCTACTGAATTCACAATACCGCATACGACACACCCCTCTCACGCCGCGCGTTTCCCGTTCTCCGATAGACGGCGCGATCTAGCAACCCACGAACCATTGAGCCTGGTACGAAACAAATCAAGCGTCACACACACATACACATCACATACAGACAGGTAGACAGACAGGACGGAAACAAAACAATTCCTCCAACGGAGAAGCAAAGCACAATGTCCACCCGCCAACCGGCGCGCCCACGCCGCATCGACGACGCCCTCTCCCAGCTCGTCGACTCCCTCACGCCCCCAATAAGCGACTCCTTCCCCACCGACGACGAAGAAGCCCTCGCCGCAGCCGAAGAACAGCGCCACAACGCCTACCTCGAGCACTCATGGCGCGTGCTCGACGCGCACGCCGCCAACCCCGCAAACGACCCGGTCACGGGCACGCCGCCGCCGCCGGGGGAATCAACCGGCGGGGCAGTCTGGCGGGCGGGGAGAACATCAACAATGCGGCGGACATGATCAAGCGGAAGCTGCTGCGGCAGAATGCGAGTCCTGATAAGGCGGTGCGGTTTGGGAATCTCTACTCGCGTCTGTTGACGCAGCCTGTGCTGTCGCAGAAGTGGGCGATCTTGTATCTGCTTTACCGGCTGTCTGGGTCGGATGAGTATGATGGTGGGGGTGGGGATGGGGATGAGGAGATGTTGATGGGGGGCGTGGATAGTCGGAGTCCGCAGGTGGAGACGGGGAATTTGCAGAGTATGCTGTTTAAGGGCCAGCGGGCGAGGAGGGGCACCATTCAGCGTATGGCGGAGTACTCTGATGAGGATGGGCCGGCTGTGAGCTCGTCGGCGTCGCAGATTCCTGCTAGGGCGGAGCGGAAGGTTTCGGCGCGACGGCAGCAGCAGCAGCAGCAGCAGCAGGAGCTGGAGAACGAGAAGGCGAGGGAGGCGGAGTATGATTCGGATAGGGTGCGTGATGTTCGGCCGCCGCCGCCGGTGAGTCGGTCGCGGGCTAATACGGGGGCGAGGGAGCCTCTTGCGCCGCCGCTGGAACCAGTGCAGCAGGAACAGCCGAAGGTGGAAAAAGTCCAGAGTGTGGCACCGCCGAGTGAGCAGGGTCTCTTGCGCGATCTGCCTTTCAACCTGCAGGGGTTGTCGTCGTCGAGTCTAGAGTTTCTGTCGCCTTCTACGTTGAAGCTACCTACCACGCTGCCTGTACCCATGGTGTCTCTTTTGAATACGCTAGCCGAGCCGTGCTTGCTATATCGAGGTCTGGCGAACTTTGTTGAAAGTTCTGGAGATGGATTGCTCAGCCAGAGTTTACGCGCCGCTCTTTCGATCGAGCTGCGGTCTTATCTGGGCCTGGTTGCGACTTTGGAAGGGGAGATCCGACGGGCGCTGGTCGCGATGAGCGAGTCCAACGATGCCCAGAGTGCGTCCAAAAGCGGAGTGACGTTGAAGCGGTGCGTGGTGTGGACTAGAGACGCGACCATGGCCTTGCGATTGATGAGCTTGATTGTGGAGGAAGCCCAGAGTAATAGTATGTGCCGTTCATGTTTCTCCGATGATGCTTGCTCAGTACTGATGATTCTATAGACAGAAAAGGCGGCCAATTGATCTCCCTCATCCATGGGTTTTCAACTTCTCATGGAGATCCGTTTGTTTGTGCATTTGCGGAGAAAATTCTTGCGCAGGTTACACGGCCTTTCTACGATATGCTGCGGCTGTGGATCTACGATGGAGAGCTCTCGGATCCTTATAAAGAATTCTTCGTCTTCGAGCCAGAGTTCAGGCCGAGCACTGATCCGCGGCGCATCGCGACGAGCGTGTGGGAAGACAAGTACAAGCTGGATGATGATATGGTGCCGTCGATCATCACGCAAGAGTTTGCGAAGAAGATCTTCCTTATCGGGAAGTCCCTGAACTTCATCCGATACGGCTGCGGCGACTCCGGCTGGGTTGAAGCATACTCCAAAGAAGCCTCCAAGGAGCTGCGGTACGGCGATACGGCCAGTCTGGAGACCTCAATCGACGAAGCCTACAAGACCACAATGGCGCGACTGATTTACCTCATGGACGACAAATTCAAGCTGTTCGACCACCTGCGGGCTCTGAAGAAATACCTGCTCCTAGGACAAGGCGATTTCATCGCTTTACTCATGGAGTCGCTAGCCTCGAACCTCGACCGTCCAGCCAATTCACAATATCGACACACATTGACCGCGCAGCTAGAGCACGCGATCCGAGCCTCGAACGCGCAGTACGACCCGCCGGACGTCCTCCGCCGCCTGGACGCGCGCATGCTCGAGCTGAGCCACGGCGAGATCGGATGGGACTGCTTCACCCTGGAATACAAGATCGACGCCCCCGTCGACGTCGTGATCACGCCATGGGGCTCCACGCAGTACCTAAAGGTCTTCAACTTCCTCTGGCGCGTGAAGCGCGTCGAATTCGCCCTCGGAAGCACCTGGCGCCGATGCATGACCGGCGCCCGAGGCGTCCTCGGCAGCGTCGACGACAAAGTCGGTTACGACTGGAAGCGCGCGCGTTGCGCCATCGCCGAAATGATCCACTTCGTCAACCAGCTGCAGTACTACATCCTCTTCGAAGTCATCGAGTCCAGCTGGGACCAGCTGCAAGCGTCCGTCTCCAAGCCCGGCTGCACACTCGACGACCTCATCGAAGCGCACACCATCTACCTCGACTCCATCACGCACAAGGGCCTCCTAGGCTCGACGTCGTCATCCAAGACGGCTTCCACAAACAGAGAAGACAGCTTCCTCACCCAACTCCACACGATCCTCAAAATCATGCTCTCCTACAAAGACGCCGTCGACGGGCTGTACTCCTTCTCCGTCGCGGAATTCACCCGCCGACAGGAAGTCAGCGCTAAGATCGAGACGCGCACCGCCCAAGGCCGCTGGGGGCTCACAGAGCGCGATCTGCTCTCCTCCCGACGCACCGCATCGTCTTCCATCTCGACTCCCAATCTAGCAAGCCGCCCCGGCGACGACACGCCATCCTCCCTCGCCCACCACGACCTCTCAGCAGACGACCACATGCTGTCGTCCCTGCGCGTCCGCCTCCGCGACCTGTCCGCGGAGTTTCGCTCCAGACTCAACATCCTCCTCGGCGACCTGGCCTACCAACCCGACCTCGACATGCGCTTCCTCGGCGTAGTCATGAACTTCAACGATGTCTACGAACCCGTCCGTAGACGACGCACTGTCGGGGCTAGCTCGCGAGAAAAGGAACGAGCTCGTCGCAAGGCGGCTGCTGCTGCTGCCGGAGCGTCCGCCGATGCCAGCGACAGCCACGGCAATGCGCAGCCAGAGGCGAAGAGGGAGAAGAGGGATGGTGGTGCTGTTGATGTTGGGAATGCAAGCGGTGGGTAGAATGGTTTCTACAATACTTCCGCTGAACAATTTCCTCCCTCCTCTCTTTTCTTACTCTTTACCCTGGTTAATATTCCTTTCTTTTCTCGAGTTCATTGAGGAGCCTTGCATTTCATTTGGACAGTGAGATTTGTCGTTTGTTACGGAGTCATGGTGGGTAGGCTGGGAAGGTTGGGTCGGTGGGCATGATGATCATTCATGTTATTCTCATAGATAGTTATAGTTATGTAAAGATGATAGACAATAACTAGTTAACTCGATGTACAATCTATCTATCAAGCCAAGCTCTATCCTACTTAACTAAAACTAGTACTGCGTAAAAATAATAAAAGACAATATTAATCCCACACCGCCCTCGCAAGCTCCGCCCGCCGCTCCTGCCGTGGAAATTTTCCCCATCCCGGCAGAAAAAAAAAGAAAAGAAAAATAAAATAGACTAGATCAGAGCAGATCAGATCAACATACAATCCCACCTCATAAAACACAACACCAATTACCCAATTACCCAACAATTGAACGAGTCGCCCTACACGGTCTCTTGAACAAGTCTACAATCGTTGAGAGACCGCGCGAATCCCACCTGAACGGATTTTATTCCCGCGACGAAACCGGACGAAACGAAACGAGCTCTGCATCTCACATGGCGGGCGAAGACTCTTCGCGGGCGGCGCCTGTGCCGGCTTGGAAGAAGCTGGGGCTGAAGCTTAAGTACGCTAAGGAGTCTGCGGAGGAGACAAACGAGGAGCAGAAGACGGATGATGTGAAGCCTAAGAAGAGGAAGCTTGATGGGGAGGGGGAGACTGGGGAGGGACAGGATGAGGAGGTGCATTTGAAGAAGCAGAAGAAGGATAAGAAGGAGAAGAAGGAGAAGAAGGAGAAGAAAGAGAAGAAAGATAAGGAGGAGAAGAAGGAGAAGAAGGACAAGACGGAGAAGAAGGAGAAGAAGGAGAAGAAAGAGAAGAAAGAGAAGGATGAGGAAGACGAGGAGAAGAAGGAGGAGAAGGAGAAGAAGAAGAAGGAGAAGACGGAGAAGAAAGAGAAGAAGGAGAAAAAGGACAAAAAGGACAAGAAGCAGAAGGATGAGGAGGAAGAGTCTGCGCAGGTAGAGCAACACGCAGACGAGGATGATCGCATGCACGACGCGGACACCGAAGACGACGCCGACGACAAGAAGACCGCACCCGATACTCCCGCGAAGCAAGACGGATCTGAGCAGAAGAAAAAGCCCAAGAAGGAGAAGAAGAAGAACAAGGACAAAGCAGGTCTGCCAGGCGCTGCTGGCGCGCCTAAGCCGCAGACGACGCACGAAGGACCCGTCCTCTCCTATCTCAGTTTCTACTACCGGCACCGAGCGGAGTGGAAGTTCCAAAAGAACCGCGAGACGAACCTCTTCAAGCACGTTCTGGCGCTGGAACACGTGCCCACTGCTTACAACGCTGCGCTGCTCGCATATCTTCAGGGGCTGAAGAGCGAGGGGGCGAAGATGCGTCTGCGCCAGGTTGCTGAGGATGTCATCCGGGCGGAGATGGACAAGGCGCAAGCTTCTTCTGGAGGCGACGCGGACAATGCCGAGGAGGATGCGGATAAGCCTTTGTCGAGCTACGACAAAGCTGTGGCGGCTTTCCGGGCGCGATTGCTGGAGGGGAAAGAGAACCTGGATAAGACTGAGTCTCCAGAGCCGCTGGAGGGAGACCTGTTGAAGCAGCTTGAGAAGAGACAGCGGGCAGAACTCATGGTCTTCGCTTTCGATGGGAAGCCGTACGAGAAGCCGAAGCCCAAGTTGAAGCAGGCGCAGGATGCCGCTCAGCCTGGCAAAAAGAAGAAGAAGAACAGGACTGTCATTGTGGAGATCTCGAGTAGCAGCGAAAGCGACAGTTCCAGCAGCGACAGCGACAGCGACGACGACAAACCCACCAAGGCCAAGGCTGCAGCCCGGCCAAGAGCAAGAGCAAGAGCAAGTCGCGACAAGCCCCTAGCTCATCGGAATCAAGCAGCGACAGTGACTCGGATAGCTCAAGCTCGAGCGACTCATCATAGACTGCGTCCTCTTGAAAGGGTCTACTTTCATATACGCCCTTTCTTTCCTTCGACGACTGCGCCCGGTCTCTGTGTATACATTTGAAGAACACAGTCGTTATACTTAACAGGTCCCGGTGAAAAGTTGATATGATATCCGAGCATTGAAAGGAGTTTACATAGAATATGATGATAGTTTTATGCTTCACCTGGTTGATACAAGCATTGATATAACAGTCCAAAGTCACAATAAAGACTATTCACTATCCTACAAAATTAATCTCGAGATTGGAAAACTTAGTAGAACTTGCTGAACTCAGTATTCAAATAAATTCCATGGTATATTAGAACTATAGCTGTTAAATCGACATGTTCAGGCCGATGTAGATGAATGATGAAAGGCGGTGACGGAGCTTACTCAATTGGGGCCCGAGAGCTCAAGTGGTGGACCTCTCACTACAGTCTGGAGCTTCGGCCAGGCATCCTCTAGCACGCGTCCTCTTGAACCTCACTTCATCTCCCACTCCCAATCCTCTATTCTCCGCATCATATCTTCTTTGCTGTGACTTTTGTTATTTTCTGCTTTATAGTTACCTTTTTTTCAGCGGATCGCTCTCCATTGCCGCCAACATGTCCGGTGCGTATTCTCCCATCCTGACGGCCCGATTGCCATGACCTTATCATAGACTAACACCCCGCGGGCAACCACAGGCTACGACAGACATATTACGATCTTCTCGGACCAAGGACGTCTGTACCAAGTCGGTAAGGTGTCCCCCGGAGAACAGAACCACCACGATACTCTGCCTAGCCTTGGATTCGGGCATCATGCTCTACACGGCAACCAACTGACGCAATGTGTGTGACGGATAGAATATGCATTCAAGGCCATCACTTCGGCAAATATCACCTCGATGGGCATCAGGGGGAAAGACTGCGCTGTCGTGCTGTCGCAGAAGAAAGTCGCTGTAAGCATAGCCACGACGACTCACTACCACCCCCCTCTCCCCACTCTGTGGCCGGTCTGACCTCGCAAATCTCCATCTAGGATAAACTGATCGACCCGTCGTCTGTATCCCACGTCTTCCGACTGTCCCCCTCGGTGGGATGCGTCATGACCGGTTCCATAGCGGATGCCAGAGCCAGCGTCGACCGTGCTCGTGGTGAGGCGGCTGAGTTCCGATATAAGTATGGGTACGAGATGCCGTGCGATGTTCTGGCCAAGCGAATTGCCAATATCAACCAGGTGTACACCCAGAGGGTATGTTCCCCGCTGCTGGAGAGGGGTTGAGTGATCGGTTGGGAATACGAACTGATGTGACCCAGGCCTACATGCGTCCGCTAGGCGTTGCTACGACTCTGATCTCGGTCGATGACGAGAAGGGCCCGCAGCTTTACAAGTGCGACCCCGCTGGCTACTACGTCGGATACAAGGGCACCGCGGCGGGTCCCAAGCAGCAGGAAGCGCTCAACCACCTGGAGAAGAAGCTGAAGAACAAGGACTGCGCCGAGGGCAGCTGGGAGGAAGTGGTGGAGCTGGGGATCACCGCCCTGAGCACCGTGCTCAGCGTCGATTTCAAGAAACACGAACTGGAGATTGGCATTGCCGGGGCCCGCGAAAGGACGGCCAGGAAGGGAGAGATCCCGGGTTCCGAGCTCTAACGGAGGAAGAGATCGAGGAACGGTTGCAGGCTATTAGCGAGAAGGATTGAGGGAAACGAGGTGCGGGGGTTAAGGAATCTGATTTGAATTGATGATTGGAGTAACGCAGTCGCATGGCTGTCTAGACGCAGATAACCTATGAACATCACTTGCCTCCTTCGGTTTTCACCGGGGATGATAATTGCTGGATCTGTTTTTACTTCCCACCCTTTCTTTTTCTTTCTGTTTCTATTTCTGCGTCTGAGGTTGGATTTATTTTTATCCTGGGGTCTTCGGCTCCGACATAGCCGTCCGTCTCATGTAGAGCTCGACGCACGAGGGCCAAGTCCCCGCGGTGATTCATCTCTACCCCACAACATCGGTGGCAACATGAGGAAAAAAACGACCTCGGACCTGGATCGAGATATGACAGACGGTCCGTTTACATGCCCGCACAGCCTAGGAAGTTAGGGAGGAGGAGCATACTGCCAGCCAGCCCCACCTGCAAGTTCCAGGTTCCAAGCTCTCGATTCGTGCTAAGTTTAACTCATCCTAGAAACAGAAGGGACATGAAAATCAATAAAAAAAAACATAGAATAGAATATCGAGAAAAAGAAAATTATACAACCCTCGCGTAGTACCTAGCAGGTGCACTTCGTCCAGGATTGCAGACTTGAAAAAAGATGCCCTTGCAGATGAAGCCGGACGAATCGCGCGGTCCCAACGACCCGGGCTGGGGGAATTGAAAGAGAGAGCACTTTCTGAATCGAGTAGTGTGGAAACAGACTAAACGATCTGAACGATGACGATGATCAATCGGACAGAGAATCGCCACCAAGATATCAAGCGATTGGAGCGTGAGTTTTTTTCCCTCCGATCGAACTGATTTACGTGAAGAGATATACCGGTTGATGGGGTACTAGCGACTAGTGGCCTGAGGCCGATGTTGCTTTTCCCGTTTCAGCTTGGGCTGAGCTGGGAGTGTGGCGCAGCTGCAAGATGTATGTGGCTTGAACACTTATTTTTTTCCACGATCTATTTTATATATAGTTCCTTTTTTTGTTTTTTCCTCTACTCCCACATACTCCAATACTCCAATTGAAGGTCAAATCAATCCATCTAGCCTTTTTCTTTCTTCTGTAATTGATGGATCAATTCTATCCTCTTTGATCTATTCCCCTGTACATTCCTACTAGTGACCCATCTAGTCGACTGTGGCGAGAGTCCAGCTGGCGGCTGTGAACATGCCCAGACACTTATCTAACTTTCCGTTAGTGCAGGATCCATGTAGTCTCCACTGTGACGGGGAACTGCAAGATCCAACGCAAAGGAGGAATCCATTCGGAGTGGATGCAATTCCGTTGGCGCGGAACAATGACACCTGAAGTCTCTTCTCTCTCCGTTCCTTTCGGCTTCGGCTTCTCGTTTGAACCCGTTGCCCTACTAGTATGACTGTGGAGTTTGAGCTGGATTGTTTCTCGTTTTGCCCTTTTCTTTGGTCTCTCAGCCCCAACTGATCGTCGACCTCGGATCTTTCTTTCTGGCTGCTTCTGTAAATCAAAAAATTAAAAATAATCAAAGCATAAAATAAGATAGGAAAAAGAAAAGAAAAAGGCTGCAGATGGAGTCTCCACCGCTGCACATGCGGACCCCGTTTACCCACTGATCCCTCTCTCCAGCTGCTTAGTGTCCACGCTTAGATCCCAGCCCTTTCTCCATTCGTTTAACCGGGAACATGCAACAGAGTCAGTTGGGACACATGGTTGTCGCTGGGTCTCCTGGCTGTAGTCCCGATCCACACGTCACGGTCCCTGTCCAGCTGCGATGTCCTCAATGGTCTCCATCCTCAGCAGCTTCTATCGGTACAGCCAGCCACGACGGACGATGATCTTTCTTTCACGGAGCTCGGCGACTCATAGTTTTGGGTAGGGGACCATGGTCGATTGAGCTTGAAAAGGGGTCATCTCGCCCTCGATTTCTGAGAATGGAACTATAGATGAAACAGTCCGCTCATTCCAATTGACTTAGATCTCACCTTGTCTTTCTGTTATACCCGATTGTCTTGCTATAGTGTCCGTGCGCTAGCATCGTCTTCAACCTTGTTCAATATCGAGAATCACTAAGAACGTGGTCGATATACTATACTATCATGTCTGACGGATGTATGTGACATTGTCGTCCCCAGCGGGAGAAGAAAGACGGTATACTGACTCCCCTGATAGTGAACCAGGCACGTGCCTTGCGACTAGCCGAGATCCTTAACGACTACCGCACACTCCTCCTCCACATCTCGCAACAGAACGTCCAAGTCCCATCCGAAGACTACTGGGAGGAAGGCTACGTCGTGATCCGGGACTCTCTGGGCGGCGCCCAGGCATTGCTCAACTCCAACTACAGCCCTGCGATTCCGCCAGCCTGCTCGAGCAGTGACGAAACCGAGAAGCTTGAACTACAGAGGTCCGTACCCTGTCCTTCAAACTCTCTTCCTCCCTTTCCTTTTCTGACGAGCGACTCCACGTATAGGGTTATCCTCGATGCCAGCGCGAGACGTTTCCAGGCTCATCGCTTCTACCTCCGCGCCGCTGCCGCCAGACGCTGGGCTATCAACCGGGATAATTTGCTGCGCGGAGGGCGTCCGACTCCGGGGCACGCTCCGCAACTCAAAGCGGCTAGCAATACAATGACCGAGGTTTGTTTCCTTCCTATGCCCGCGAACTTCATCAGAAGGATTCTAACCGCGAGTGAGAAACAGGAACTGGCGCAAGTGACAGACCAGCATGTTGTTGCGGACTTGCGCGCGGCTGATACGCGTGCAGGCCACTGGCTTGACGATGATCCGTCGCTGTCTGACATTCTCGGATGGATCCAGGCTCATTCGTGATTGTCGTCCGTTGCTTTGAACGGCTGTGTTATATGGGAGAGAAGGGAATATGCTCCTTTCCTTCTCTCCCTTCTTTTCCCTTCGGGGTGACTTGATACGATTAATTTGGACGGCAGTGATGCTGTCCACACCAGCGCAGGCGCTGGACCACTTCCTTTCTCCTCCTTTTACTCTTCCTCTTCCCTTTTATTTCGGTTTATACAGCATGACAGGGGGTTCCAAAAGCAGTCTCCTTATGTTGATGTCCTGCACTACTTTGATGCTGTGATGGTTGAAGTTGACGTTGATGTTGATGGTTATGAGATATCCCAGAGTGATTGACTGATTTGTTACGAGAGATGTTTGTGGTTGTTACCTTATTCTTTTATTTTTGTTGCTGTTGTTCTATCGCTTTTGTGTCTTGTTGTTTATTTGCATCGAATTGCATATGTGTTGATCTCGGGTTTTGTATACAACGGTCTGTCCCAGTCAGACATATATATTTCGGACAAGGATCAAGACTTGGTCTCTATTACAGATTGGTTTGATTTAGTTTATAGCTTGTTGAATGGAATTGCATTGACGACTATGGCTGCATAAGGACTGGTAAATCCTGATTGTGTTTATTATACCACTATATTACTTAGTAGTGTTGAATCTATATACTGTTGATTGTATAGAGTAGGTCAACCATACACTCAATGTATTAATATGAAGACCATCATTTTACGTCAAATCTTTTCCTCATGTATGTCTATGTTTTGGGATTATCCTTCATATCGTGTTCGCCACTTTCTTGTTACCTTTTACAAACCTACAACTTGGACAACGGATGCCATGGTGCCACCGACTGCTGTAACCGCCCATCCACCTTAGACCAACGGTCAGCCCTGGCGCCAATTCCACCTGTGGATCCAACTCTTATGATACAGAATAAAGTCCGATCAGCTACAAAGTCCCAACTCCAGTCCCTCGCAGTTGACGAGTTTTTCCTACATCGTGCTGACTGGTGGGGTGGGAAAGGATTAGCATTAAAAATAAGAAAAAAAAAAAAAAAAAAGAAAAGAAAAGAAAAAGAAAAAAGCAGCAATACGACACAGCAATTGGCGACAAAATCCCCACTCTCCACCCAATAACAATCCCAAAGACGATCGGGCATCCCGATACAACGGCGGTCCCGTTTTCCGCTGCATGGAGTCATGCACCAGGCGGCGGACGATAGTTACCGTATAGGGCAGAGAAGCGCGAGCACATCCCAGCTGAAAGCCCCCCCCCCAATGACAGAACGTGGGGCGCTCCACTTTTTCTCTGTTAGAAAAGTTTCCCTTGCTTTATTTTATTTTATTTTTTATTTTTATGTATATATTTATTGACTCGACAGTGGGGTGGTACTTAACCGCATGCCGGCACTGGTTGATTATTCTTAGAGTGCCCTGCAGTAGTTTAATGGGCGTTGGGCCAATCGGGGACTGCGCTGGGAAGGGGTTTCAGCTGGGATGTGTTGAGGATTCGGAATGGGTTGGAAATGTTTCGATCTTTCTTCCTGGGGTAATGAGAGCTATTTTCATTCTATTCTTTTTGATTCATTTTTGTGTGGATTGTCAGACCGGGGTGTGGACAAATGACCTATTCTATTGTGATGATTTGAAATTATTGACACCGTGGCGCTCCATAGTATTGTGGCTAGGTCGTGGCTTGTGTGTTGGCGGATACTAAGTCGGTTAGCAACTTCAATGGTCGTAGTAGATAGTACCACGATCACTACTGTCTATTAGCCAGAATTAGTGACCGGGTGTTGGGATTAATCCCCCTGACTGGTGATAAAAATGAAAGTGTCTACCGTCCCTTCTTGTGGGCTCATAGATCTCTATTGCGTTGTTGGGCGAGCTTGCCACTATAGCTGTGTCCTATAGTGCAATACCCGCCATGTCTTTGTCCATATTCTTTTTTTATGGTATGGAGGGTGAGTTTGTTGAGTGATTCCCTGATACTGGCCAAGTACGGATGAAGACTGACCTGCTCTCTTTCTTTAGATTAACAGCCCGTCATATGTCCTGCTCTCTATAGGGCTAGACAAACCGTGATGAAAGATTCATACTTATCGTACGAGCAAAAAGGCTTGTTAAGGGCAAGTCTATGAGAGCCTTGGACAACAATGAAGAGTATAAACCTGGAGTGTCTGATCTGATAAAGACGAATGGACGAGGTACTTATAAGTCAAGACTGTCCGTTGGTGGATATCTGACTAGATTGACTAGATATATAGATTCATCATGTCCTCAGCTATCGAATGGCTGGTTGACCTTACTGTGCTGGTGGAGACCATGGTCGGGCTGCCTCTAGCTAGTGGCGAGCAGAGTCGCCTTCCACGCGTCCCCCTCGTGGCAATTGCAAGGACCGTTTGACCACATTTCCCCAGCCTCGTAGGTATGGATAGGAAGCACTAAGGAGTGGAGATGATGTAGAGTCTCTGTCCTGTGCTGTCAACTCCATTCTCCTATGACATACGCGTCTGCCTGTGCCTGTCGATTCGCCCCAGCGGGGCTCACATCGCTGCTTTTCTGCTCGTGGAATGGGGCATTGCCTGAAGCCCGAAAAGTTGCTACTCGGTGACCATACGGGATACTTCGAATGGTCGGCGCAAGAACATTGGAGCTCATCTGGCCTGGCTGAGTTTGAGGAATGCCGCACGACCAGGTCATGTACAGTTCTACCGCCACCGCAATTCATCGACCCCGACAAACCATAACCTTAAATTGTCTTACCGGGTGACTTCCCCGCCCAGTCGGTCCGATTCCAGGAACCCACGCGGATCTCCCCTGATGTTACCCAGCGTCATCGTGGTTCGGCGAAGTGCAACCCAAAGCACCCCCCATGATGTGTCAACAGCCGGACTGACCAAGGACGCAAGGTATCAGCCGAGTTAGCATACCTCTAGGAAGCTCAGGGATAGGCAGGGGGCACTGGACGGATATAGTAGCCATGCGACCCGGACCAAGGAACAGTTCCCTCCCTGCCAGTCACGCGTGACAAGCCGACAGGAACCGTAAAACGTATCATATGAGGACGGGCTAAATTTCGGGGCTTAAATTGGCCCACCCTGAGGGTTGCGTCCAACGTGGCAGTCTCCCAACGTTCGCCTAGCAGAACCAATAGGCATGGCAAAGTCACCCGGACACGATAACCAGGAACATTGAAGTTTCGAATAGGGTCAGACACGAGATGACTACGCCACCGATCTTGTCCGTGTCCGTGCCATATATCGACCACCTGGTATGGAGCACTATCGTGGCTGTTGGCACCAGGCACGCTGGAGATGGGTATATGAAGGAGGCATGTTCCCTTCTGTCAGATCCGTCGATCTTCCCCAGCTTGAACACCTCAGGCATCTTCATTCTGAGCAGCACAGCCACAGGCCCCTCCTTAGTCAGCAATAGCTTCTCCACAACGGCACCGCCACACGGCAACCCAGCCAATCGTGACTTCCGGTATGACACCTGAGGCCCATCATAGTGTCCATTTCCTGTTTCAAGCGTCTTCACTAGTTGAGCCAGCATGGGCGAACTAATTTATAATAATGGCAGGCCCTACCAGGCTGCAGCATATTCCAGTCCACTTCGTTAGCTCCTTCGTCGTGGTGAGTTCTATTTATATGTGTCCATGGCCTGCTCTCGATATCTCTTTTCGACTTTAATATTCACGCTCTTTTCTATCTTCGCTATTCGCTACTTTGTATACGATAACAATTCGTCTCTGATTCCCCTTCATCCGAGCAGTACAGAAGCTGTTTTACAGGATCCTCCTCCAGTAACAATGTCGGGAATGAAGTCTGTTGCTTATTTTGTCAATTGGGTGAGTTCTTTCTTCTCTTGCAGCAACAATGATCCATTCTATACCATTGCCCCAGAGGTCGGTAAATAGCGGGGCTAACATCACTAGGCAATCTATGGCCGCAAGCATGATCCCCAGGATGTACCCGCCGACAAGCTCACCCATGTCCTCTATGCGTTTGCCAATGTTCGACCCGAATCTGGCGAAGTGTGAGTGCTGCTTCCATCCCATCTTAGTGATGCCAATCTAATCCGAAGCAGCTACATGACCGACAGCTGGTCCGACATTGAGAAGCATTACCCCTCGGACTCATGGAACGACGTTGGCACCAACGTGTACGGCTGCGTCAAGCAGTTTTTCCTGCTCAAGCAGCAGAATCGGAAGCTGAAGGTCCTGCTCTCCATTGGAGGCTGGACCTACTCCTCCAATTTCGCCCAGGCGGCTAGCACTGATGCTGGCCGGACCAAGTTTGCCCAATCTGCCACCAAGCTGGTGACGGATCTCGGGTTTGATGGTAGGCGTCATAATGGCTATCTAATTGGGACCAGTGCTGACCTCTAGACAGGATTCGACGTTGATTGGGAGTATCCCAAGGGTGAGTTGCCGATATGTCCGTGACAGGCAAGCGCAAGACTGACAGCAAGGTAGACGAAACCGAGGCCCAGAACTTCGTCTTGCTGCTCCAGAGGTGCCGTGAAGTGAGTGCCTCCAATTCCTGTGATCTGGATCCGTGTATACATGTATGCATGATAAATTGGGTATCGTCTGCTAACGAATTAGACTCTGGATGCGGCAGCTGGGCAGAACCGGAAATTCCTTCTGACGATTGCTTGTCCGGCTGGTAGGTTGAGCTCAACGGCAGCTATCCACTACATGGACCTCGTTAACCACATACAGGTCCGGACAACTACAAGAAGCTCAAGCTTCCCCAAATGACCCCTTACCTCGACTTTTACAACCTCATGGCTTATGATTATGCTGGTAGCTGGGACGCCAATGCTGGGCACCAGGCAAACCTCTACCCCTCGAGCGACAAACCGGCCTCGACGCCTTTCTCGACCATCCAGGCGGTCAACTACTATACGCAGGAGGGCCAGGTTCCTGCATCCAAGATCATTCTGGGGATGCCCTTGTATGGACGCGCCTTCACCAACACCGACGGACCTGGTACGCCGTTCAATGGCGTGGGCGAGGGTAGCTGGGAAAAGGGTGTCTGGGATTACAAGGCCCTTCCTCGACCAGGAGCCACGGAATCCATCGACCACAATGTCGGAGCGTCGTGGTGCTACAACGGGAGCGATCGCACGATGGTCTCCTACGATAACGTGGCCATGGGTGAAATGAAGTTGGATTTCATCAGGCAGCACCAGCTTGGTGGCGGTATGTGGTGGGAGACTAGCGGCGACAAGGGAGGCAAAGCGGCCAACAAGGCCGACGGCAGTCTGATTGGAACCTTTGTTGAGGGTGTTGGAGGACCGTCCGCCCTGGACCAGTCGGCCAACGCGCTCGACTACCCCGACAGCAAGTACGACAACCTGCGGACTGGGTTCAAATAGACTTCGCCCCGTTGGATTACGATACCCGCGCGCGTGCATCCTTAGGATTTTCATTATTTTGCCTTGTTCTTTATGATTAGGATGAATACGATTGTTACATGTTACTTCTACTGGCAGTTCAGTTTTGGGGTATAGATTTGAATTTTTTAGATTCTTGTACTATCAAGGCTATTATCGAAGAACGATCGAGTCGGCACGTTCCAAGACCCTCACGCTAGCATCAGGGACGATCCATTTATTTGGACTCGTCGAAGACGTAGGTAAGGTGGCACTTGCCGCAGTACTGGCGGTTGTGCATAGCGGCCATGAAGATACCGGCACCGCACTAAACATCATTAGCCTGGATCCGAGGGAAACGGGGAAAAAAGATTTTTCAAAAACATACCTCGGGCGAGGGGCACTCGCGGCGCAGACGCTCGATCTTGCCATCACCGTCGACCTTGTAGTACTTGAGGACGGCGAGCTTGGTCTTCTTGTGCTTGTGCTTGATCTTCTTGGGGGTGGTGTAGACCTTCTTCTTGCGCTTCTTGCCGCCACCACGCAGGCGCAGCACGAGGTGCAGGGTCGACTCCTTCTGGATGTTGTAGTCCGAGAGGGTACGGCCGTCCTCGAGCTGCTTACCAGCGAAGATCAGACGCTGCTGATCGGGGGGGATACCCTCCTTGTCTGTTTCGTATTAGAGTGTTGTCCGAATTGATGGGAGGAGGAAGGATGAAGACATACCCTGGATCTTGGACTTGACATTGTCAATGGTGTCGGACGACTCCACCTCAAGGGTGATAGTCTTGCCCGTGAGGGTCTTTACGAAGATCTGCATACTGAAGAAGGCCTGTCCATTTCATTTCGTTAGTGTTTTGGCCTTGTGGTCTGGGTTGGATTTGTGCGGTGCAGGCGGGGTTCGCAAAATCTTCATTCTTCCTCGTCCTGCGACTTCTCAATTTTCAGTGCGCGGGGCTCGACAGCGGTGCGACAGTGTAAATTGAGAAACGAGGAGATTCAGATGAGATAGCTTTCCTTCACCGTGTACTGCATCTTCATCCTGTTTGGGGGGGGGGGGGGGGGGGAAGCGCTTACCTAGACAGACTTGTCTTCCTCAACCTTCATGCGGATCGTGAAAGAAGAAGGTTGGCTGTGTGGAGGACTTGGGTCGTTAAAATCGGTTGTGCGATCACGTGGTATGCAATGTTGCCCTTTTCGGCTAGTGTGGACTGCCTCGGTTGTTTGATCTTCCGATTCCGAATTTACATCACGTGACAGCCGAGCATGCCAAGAGAGTGAGGATTAGTCATCTACGATCCGGTTTCGAATCGATCCCGATCTGTTTGTTTACATTTACATCATCGGCTGGTCCTTGCTCAGAGCTAGTCTGTCGACTATCCGGTTGACTATGGGCCCTGATCGGATCAGCTCCAAAAGATCAGCTCTAGAAACAGGCGAGGAGGAGCGTCCAATCAATGACGCCTATGCAGCAACCCGAGCTGAAAAAAAATAAACGACACACAATAATAGACTATCTACCTTGCCTACGTCCTGCCTAGGCACGTAACTAGGTAGGCAGCTATCCTTGGACTAGCGACTAACGTAACTGACATCAAACCGGATCCTGTCATCCGCCAGCTTACCTCGCTGATGAGTTGTCGCTCGAACCGATGATTGGCGTCAATTATTATCGGGCTATTGTAGGGAAAGGGATTTCCACGCGTAATTATGCCTTCCGCCCTCACAGGGTGCAGGTACCGTCCCTTGTACATGAGAGTTTATGTACTCCGGACCGAGCGTGGGTGATAGATCAGAGATTGATATCTGTGAGGAAACAAATATCTACTGATAGGGATGAGGGAGGCTCAGATAGGGTTGTTTGTCTGGACCACAAGGGAGGAACCAAGGGAACGAGCTCCTTGCAGCTAGCTTGTGATCGGATCACTGGGGGTTTTGTTGGTCTCCTTGGTTGTCCTTCGATTTCCCCTTGTGTCATTAGTGGTTTTAGAAAAATAAAAATAAAAAAATGGAATCAAAATGACTGGCAAAAACTGGGAACCAGGGCGTAACGACGGGCTGATCTCCACCCTACCCGGACATGGTTTCCTAGGCGGCCTGACTCTGATCCCGCGCGTTGCTGGGCCAACCCCGCCGATTGTTGATCTGAACCGTGGGTGGTAGTAGATCGGGATAGCCTCATCCGCCTTCATCCACTTTGGGGCCTTTTCCTAGATCCGCTCTCCTCCCCCCCTCTTTTCTCATCTGCTCTAAATATTGACCCAGTCTTCCTCAATCTCAGCCGCTCTTCCTCTCCCAGGTCACCACATATAGTTGGGGGTAACCGTCCAACTTCCGTCGACTGCGTCAATACACTCTCCTCGTCGCAACCCGTCGATTCACAGTTGAGATCTAACGCTTGGGATCTAGTCTTTTAACTCTACTTCCCTTGCGCCTGACTCGCTCCTTCCTCTAACCTCCTCTTTTTTTCACTTCCGGTTTGTGCTCTTGTTGAGGAGGACACAGACTGACACGGTTACAGGCGGTCCCATACCATCTTGGCCAAGCCAAACGGCTAGCGCTGCGCGAGGTTCGTACATCACAGTGACTTGCATTTGCAATTGGCCTTGCAGAGAGCTTACAGGGTTACTGCATAGATCCAGACGAGAGATCCGACCAATATCATCCGGTTCGAGTTGGCGACGAGTGATCGCGAGATCCTGCCCACCATGTTAACCCAGCCACGCGGCAATCTCCACGAGCGACACCGGCAACACCGACGGCAGATCTCGACTCCCTCTGCTCTTGAGGCCGCGAAAGCACCCAGCCTCCCCGCGCAGGCATTGCAGCGATACCATGCCCACCGGAGAGGCCAGAGCTTCGACCAGAGATCTCTACATAACCGGCGGCCGCAGTCCGTGCAAGATGGTTCCCTTTCAATTACTAACACAACAGTACCGCAACAGCATCAGTCTATGCCCGTGATGTCCGAATGCGCGAGTTTCAGTCAAGAACAAGTCCAGGTCTTCGCAAACCGCAGTGGCTCGACGCACCAACCGAGAATGCCTTACATGGACCCTGCCTATGTCAAGATGGGAGACCAAGGTCTCGAAGATCGCCCGGTGGACAATACCTTCAATGGGCTTCAACAACCACAATTTCAGCAGTCAAAGGCTCCGTGTGGTAGTGCGATGAATGACCAGCAATTTCTGGACCATGGCGCGTGGGACATGTTTCAACAAGATATGATGGCTTCTGGCCTCCCGCAGCAACAGCCCAACGCCATTCCAGCCGATATGAGACGGCTCTCTGTGCAGTCAGATCTCAATCTCGCACAACGACCGCATACGCCCCAACCGACCCCAGCAGGTAAGTTCACCGTCACCGTACGCTATTGACATGAGGGAACCTTCCGCTGATCGCATCCCCAGAGTACCTTCCCATCACACCAGCAACAACACCGTTTAATAAGTCAGTGGATATTGCCCGATACGATGTGCAGCCAACCCCGACCAAGCATCAGAGATTTTCTGTCCCTAGCCCGGCTCAGGCCGCGTACATGCAACGTGCCAGGTCGCTTCAAGGAGTGGCCGGAACATCCTTTTCTCAGCCTAGAATTGATATGCCTTCCCCCCCCAACACAGCGTCGTTTGACGTGGAGAGTTTTGATGCATTTGACTGTCAGCAGGGTTCTAGCTTCGAAGTTCCAATGTCTGATAATTCGTCCCGGAGTCATTATGCCTCGTCATCGGTAGCCTCGTCGTTTATGTCGTCCCCAGAACTAGTCGCCATGCCCTTGCCTCCCGACGATGAAAGGCCGCAAAAGGTCCCAATCCTGCCTGCCACGCCCAGCCGTATAACCCCAAAGAAGGCTATGAGCACGTCATCAAGTGCTTCTACCTCCAAGTCCAAGCTTTCCCCCAAGGCGGCCTCGATCGACAATCTCAATCTCGACGACAGGGTCCATGCCTCGATCAAGGAAACTGGTGTCACGATCGATGAGATCGCGGCGTACATCCAAGGCCCCGACCCAGAGGATGGGAAATGGATGTGCCTCCACCCGGGCTGCGAAAGACGGTTTGGACGGAAAGAAAACATCAAGTCCCATGTCCAGACCCATCTGGGTGACCGTCAGTACAAGTGTGACCACTGTAACAAGTGTTTCGTCCGTGGCCATGACCTCAAGCGCCACGCCAAAATCCACACTGGAGACAAGCCTTATGAATGCTTATGCGGCAATGTGTTTGCGAGACACGATGCATTGACCCGGCACCGACAGCGGGGCATGTGCATTGGCGGCTACAAGGGCATTGTCCGCAAAACCACCAAACGCGGCCGTCCCAAGAAGCACAGGCCTGAGCTGGAGGACAGACAAGATAAATCAGCCAAGACGCGTCAGAGGATCGCCGAAAAGATGACCTATGACTCCTCCGCATCTGACGTATCCCGGAGCTCGCCGCCGTCCGATTTCTTCGAGCACATGAGCCTGCACGGTTCCAGCCCATCTCAAGAGATGCCAGTGTTCAGCAACCCCAATTATTCGTTGCCTCCGGATGTCTTCACTTTCACGCCTCCCGCATCCCCCAGGGACAGCATCGGCCACAAATCCTCTCCCAGTCGGATGCAGCGGTCTCTCACTCCCACCACGGAGGACGAGCTCCTTCCCCTGTCGCCATCCAAACATGCCCTGGAGAAGATCACCGAGGAAGGCTTGCCTTTCCTGTCTGACAAGGGAGGGTGCCCATACACCGAGGCGGCGAATTCGACCGTGCAAGCCTTGTCTTCGCCCCACCCGGCTCCTCCTCTGAGTGATTCCAATGGCTCTGATCTTGATATCTTCATCAACCAAGATGCGACGACCTTTGGCAAGACCGAGTTCTCGGATATGACCGACTCTGGCATGGCAACGTTCCCCGATTACGTGAACCCCACCTCGTTTGATAGCGGGCTGGACCTCTTCCCTGGCAAAGGCTTCTCGGCGGCTCCGCCCATGGGCGACGATTTCTTTTCTTTCCAATTCCAGGTCGACGACCAACCATCGGACGTTATGTCCCGGGAATTCTTCATGGACTAAAAATACTTAATTGTCATGACAACGCAAGAATGAACGATGAAACGAAAAATACGAAACCCAGACAAAACACCAAATGTGAAAAAACGAAATGCAACATGAAGAACGAAAGAAAAGACCACACTAAACGACGCAATGACTTGACACGATGACTCCGGTTCAATTGACAACTTCAGAACGACGCGAACTGGACCCCTGCATATGACTCGACTATATGCTTTCAAGACTGTACGACACGAGAACTATGTGATTCTCCACGACCAAAGACAACAAATTTCAACGACTACCTTTACTTTCAATGCTGTGAATGACAATTTATATGACAATTTATTATTTCGGGCGATATCTTTCCTATTGTTTACCTTTCCCAAAGCTGTTTTACCAACCATGTTCCTGTCTTACACTCTTCTACTTTAGCGACTCCCTGTACCTACCTTACTGATCGGCATTTTGCAGAGCGGGCGGGGGGAAAGAAAGCATTGTCCCATACATTTCTGTCCAAACCAACGGAGTTTTGCAGGCCATCCTTTCTTTTTTATTGCTTATTGCCCTTTTCCTTTTCTGATCTAATCTGATATGATTGATCTGATCTGATCTGATTGTTATGAGTTTTCTTTGTTCTCTTCATGATGTTCATGCCCTTTTACGTGCTTATTTGTTTGTTCCTGTTTTCGTCCCACTTATTTCCCCCTTTCCCTTTTTGTTTGATTTTTGAAGATTGTACCAAAATCATTTATTGGTCCCTGCATGGCATCTCTCTCCTACCCCGTGGTTTGGTTTGGATGCACTTAATTCCTTGGTTGCCCCGACGGCCTGTACTCTAGCTAGCGATAGAAATCCACTGACTTAAAAAACGATGAAAAAATCTTCTCTTGATGTTTGGTAATGTATGATATGGTATAATATGGAACTGTGATCGGTTTCTATCTAATCTTGTGCTTCTACTATCAAATGCATTGGACGCACTCTCGCTTGAGGAGTTCAACTCTATCAGACTCCATTCTATCATCCTTGATATACTATATACCCTGAAACATGCAGATTGCCCTACCGAGGACTCCACGAGATGCTCAACTGGAGAGAATGGTCCTCCTCAGATGCAAAGATCTCACTCCGCACTGGGCCCTTGGGCGCCTTATCGGCGAAGAAAGTCGAGTTCCCGCGATAGGCGAGCTTCTCACCGTCGGCGCTGAATTCGCTAGGTGTGGAGATGTGGCTTCCGCATGTGAAGGTGTCTTCTTCAAAGGCGCAGTCGCCTTTGCTGGAGTGTAGGGTAAATGCGTCTTCTGTGTGGTCGGTGAGTTAGTCCGTTCTAAGTTGGGAAAATAGATGTTCACCCGAATCTCAATTCGGGTGTGATGAGGAAGGGAGTGGGAATGGTATGACGAACCTGATGATTTTCTGGTTCGGAATGTGGCGCACGTTCCTGACGTGTACCATGCTCCCGGGCTGATTAGACAGCCGCGGCGTTGGCCGAGGGTTGAGACGGCGAGGTACCCTTTTCCGGAGAAGGGAGTCCCCGTTGGGGCCGGCTTTGTTGGGTTTCCTGGTTTGGTGGGCTCGGGGTGCTTTGCGGGTGTTTTGGGCTGGTAGCGGATGCCTGTGCGGGGGCAGTTCGATGTTTGGCCGTCTGTAGGGAGTGATTAGCTGGTGAAGTGGATTGTTTGGGGTGGGTGGAGGAAAGAAAGGGACAAACCTGGCTTGGATGAGACGAACTTTCCCGTCTGTAAGGAACCCGCGACGTTGAAGTAGTACCAGAGTTCGTTGAGGTTGTGGTTCCGGCAGCGCACTGTGACCTCGGCGCCATGCGCCTGTGACAGGGCGTCTTCGATTTCGTCCCGAGTGTATGTTTTCGTGTGCGAGGGGGTGATGCCAGCATCAGCCAGGGTCTGGATGGGCTTGTTGTTAATAGAATTTCCAAAGCATGGCATGCGACGAGACTAATGGTGAGTCAAACCTTATACGAAGGCAAACCGTGGAAGAGTTCTACGGTCTTGTCAAAGTAATCGACCACCTCCTGCTGCGGGAAGTAGTCGGAATAGCAATGGGTCTCGAGAGTGCTGACACAAGTGCCATGTTTGTTCCACTCGTGTTCCCACAAGTTCGGATCGTCGCCTTTGTAGTCTTTCCAAAACTCGCGCATCTCATCGAGTAGGTCACCGCGTCCGGCGTCGACCAATATCAACGAGATATTACTGTATCTTCTTTTGGAGTCGCAAAACTGATCAAAGCCACCGTTGCAGTGGTCCGGCCTAGAAAAAACCAAAGAACAAAGCGTCAGCGATCCTCTGACACCATCATTCCTTGACACGGGTAAAACATGTGATATAGAAGGAGCTTACCAGAGTCCGTGGATCGTCCAGGAATCGTCCGGCCCAACCGCAGGATCGGCATCCCAAAATTGCGTTTGCAGGAACTGGCCCCCGGGATAATTAAAACAGCAGGTGTTTTGGCCTTGGTACTTGGACTGACAGCTCAGCTCTGCATTGGGACATTGCTGATAGGTATTCGGTTCAGCAATCTCCGATCCGGGTGTCGAGCCTGATCCTGGATCAGAGAGGGACGAGATGCCGAGAGAGCCTGTGAACGCCTTCAAAATCCGCTGTGGCCCAGGGATCTGCTGGAGCACAGTGCTCGCAGTGGTGTCACTGCGGCTATTTGGAATCAACATGGCGTATTGACGTCCAAGCCGGTATTGAACAACGGGAAAAAGGTATATTGTGTCTCCGCGGTTTGGGAAGTGATGCTTGAAGAATTGATAGATAAGAGCGAGTATTGTACCGGCAGTGAACAAGCAATGATGGGAGAAGCAGGAACAACCGACAGTTCAGGTACATTGAGTTGCCACATCCCATGACCGGTGACCAGGCGTCACATGGAGGCGTCAGCTGATAAGCTTATCGCCTATCTTATCGCTTATCGGGAATCCTTACCGATCTACGTAATGTGTTGGCACGTCTGAAATGCATTTTTGACATTGTTTTCCATATCATACACAGGTATACTCTCATGAAGTCTCGTCTTTGATGCTTCAATAAATCCCTAGGTGCTGGCAAGGACTGGAAAGAAGTATTGATGGCTCGAATGGCAAACCGTGTTATCTTATCACCATCCCCGGCATTGGGATCAAAGGAACAGACGGTGAGTGACGTGGGCGCAGCAGTCTTCCCCACAATATCCATGCAGCTGATCAAGTCGTGTTCCTACAACCCCCCTGGAGACGGATAATCATTGCCTTTGCCGACCGATCCATCCAGGACATCCAGGTCGAGATGCACCAGAGCGGGATCATATGACGTCTTCGCCAGGTCCGTCGCGAGCTCTCCAACACAATCCACCTTTCACGAGGTCTCTCCCCAAATCGACTTCATCCCTGCATCGATAACACGCTGTCGCTGAGTATCTGACTGGTCACGCAGGCCGCAGTAAAGAGATCTATCGTAACTGAACGGCTCGAAACCAGGGACAATCCTCCTCAGGGTCTTCCAGCTTTCGCCGCGGAGCATAAACAGGCCCATGGCATCGGTCTCGTTTCCCTTGACCGTGATCCCTAATCGCTCGAGCTATTGAACAACCCCTAACGGATGCGGTGAGGTCCGTTACCCACGCGATGATCTCATAGACACATGGTAGGGGGAAAAATGATTGTAATGGTGTTGGTTGGCATGGCTGTGTTGGTTGCGTCTTTAACCAATTAGATAGTGCTGTGGCATAGATTTATATTGCCCGTCAAGATTTGAGACAATTCCTCCACTGAGTTTATTCTTGAAACACCTTGCAGAGTGGACGGAATGGAAAGATAGCCGAATGTTATAGTTAGAAGCGTATCCGATTCGTCACACCATAAATATGTTCGAGACTCAAACCGTATTCGTAAGCCAATCGGTCGAACTCCTCAGGAAATTACTGCATTTACTGCCTAGAGACGATATAGAACAAAGACAACTTGATTCTCCGTGTGAATTTATGTTCAATTCTAGATCTGAGTGGAGAACAATAAGTGGGGGTATCCTGAAGCCCAAATCAGCCTATCCAAGGCGATGGGTAATGATGCTATACAACTTTCTCCTGCTCCAGTTTGGCCTGTTCTTCCTTCTCCTGGTTTCTCTCTTTGATCATCCTTAGAATCTCAAAGCCAACCTCAACGGCAATGAGCAGGATGATAATCCATTCAAGGCGGAGCCCATGCGTCTCGCTCAGCCTCTCTCGAAGGACACTCGCGATCTCCTGGGCGTAGTCCATCTTCTCGTTCAAGAGTTTGATGCGAATGCCAACATCCAATGCCCTGCCCACTTGCTCGTAATATCCTTCCAAGCCGAGCTCGTGCCGGCTATCCCAGAAGATGTCCGGCAGGGAGTCGGTGAGCTCCGAATAGAGGTTCAACTGAGCACGCACGCTGAGCAGTTGGCCCGTCTTGCGGAGAATGAAGTCTCTAGTAAAAGGGAGACGGGTCCCTTGTGACAGGAGGGTCGGGATCGCTCTGGTCGACTCGAAATAATCGGAGAGCAGAGATTCCAGCACGGCCAACTTGGTACTCCGCGCTAAGCCAGACGAGAATGCCACCTTCGTCAACACCGTATCTACAGATTGGAGAGTGGTGGGCTGCAGTTCATAGCCATCGAAGGTCGGCTTTGTCCCCAGGAAGATGGTGTCGCCCTTGATGTAGCTGTTTTCCCGTTGTGGGTCCTCGACATATTCAAGATCCTCCGTTTCTAGGTAATCTACGTGAGCCCCCTCGGCAGCCGGGAGAAGGGTCCTCGTCGCCAAGAATGACGTGAATCCTTCAGGGAGCGACCAGGCAACAACCGTGCCGGACGGGAACACGAATATATCGCCAACTTCATCGGAACACAGATCTGTCGTCGCGGGGTTACTCACGCGGCGAATCGAGTCCGAAGGCACTTGAACATGAACCACCTGTGGATATAGGCCAGTCCCGAGTGGATCTGGTTCGAAGCCTTTGTGCTGGAGGATGTCGCGGACTTTGCGAATGTTGAATTGTTCGGCAACGGCGTACGCTGTTATTGACTTGTAGTAAGAATTAGTAGGTGGTGTGGGGTACTAAGCTCAGGTAATGAAACCTTAGTTTGAAATACGCCTCGCTCTCTGAGCTGGGCCTTGGACAATATCCCGTCTTTCGACCTTTGTGCCTCCACTGCTACTCTCCGTAGTGATGTCGATGCGGCTGGAGATCTACCCGTTCTCCTTCGTTGTTTCAGAGATTCCGCACTCTCGTCAGACACATCAACATTCTTGGGCTGTTTCTGACTGAGATTCGCGTTGGATGAGAAAAAATCTTTGCGTCGAGGAAGGTTTAGTGGCGAAGAAGCATGGAGATATTGGTTTCGGGGTTGCTTTAGGAGCTTGGTGGTCGTAGGCCGTTTACAGGCCGTGCAGATGTACGGTCTTGCGAACATTTTGCTATACAAATGCCAATCGAAGGGGGAAACAACAGACGATCAAGGGGAATGTGCTGTTCCCATGCCAGTCGACCGGCAGGTATTTTATTGAAGAATATGCGGTATTTTGTCGGAGCCCAGATCGAAATGCCCGACAATCCGCGGAAGCCGCAAAAAAGCGCTTAGTCACGGGGAGTTACTTGATCGGGTAAGTTACCCCAGCTGGTCCATGAGCTGCCAGGCCGATGACATCTTCCCTTTCACCCCCTCACGGCGATTTCCAGATCGATTCCACTCCACGGAATAGGCTCTCTGACTATGGATGCGCCTGGCGCAGCAGAGGCCCTGGGAAGTCCTCGACAGGACAGTCCGGTTCGGGAACCCTCTGTTGGGCGAAGCTCCTCGAGTGAAATCAGCCCTCGGCGCGACCGATCTGATCGACCAACGCACAGCCAGCGCGAGGACGAACAACATAGCGATGATGGAGCCGAGACGACAAGTGAAGAAGATGAAGAGGAGGATGAGGAGGACGATGAAGAGCCACTTCTGAAATATGCGTATTTGACGAAACATTTGGGAGCGGTGTACCGCAATGGGGATGCCACGAGCTCCTTCATTGCGGCGGCAGATAAGATGGTATGGTGTTGTCCGAATTCCAGACATTGTCAGAGCTGATGATTTATCTAGATTATTGGAACGCATAATGGGAACATTGTGAGCTATTTGGATCTCGGATGGAAGTTGCTGGTTGCTGACCCCTCTAGCACGTACTATCGCTGTCTCTATTCAAGCCTCTTCGAGTTTACCATGCACACACGGCGAGCATCACGTCTGTCTCGGTCTCTCCGTTCCCTCCTCCTGTACCTACTTCCAAAGCGGACACTGTACAAAACATCCCCGAGCAGCAGGGGTATCCTGCTCGACCTGGATCGGCCGCCTCGAGTCTCCGTGGTCTGTCACGCCCAGGTCACCACGCAGCTATACCAGCGACACCATCGAATTCGATTTACATAGCGACGTCTTCGATTGACGGCAATGTCTGCGTATCGTCGCTTGTTGACCCTAAAGATGTCATTTTGCGCAATTTTGGCCGACCTGTCCAAGGAGTCGCACTGTCGCCGGAGTACAAGAGTGATAGGGTATTTTTGTCCGGAGGGCGAGCAGGAGACTTGATACTCACCACGGGAGGTCGAGTGGGCGCGAGTACAAATTCTACCACAATGGGTGGGGCAGCGGCAGCAGCTTCGAGTTGGCTGGGTTCTATAGGGCTAGGAGCCAACACAGGGAAAGACACCGTATTGCACAGCGGAGAAGGCGCTATCAGCACCATCAAGTGGTCATTGTCAGGCAAATATGTTGTTTGGGTCAACGAAGAGGGGATTAAAATTATGCGGTCGCACCTACATCTGGACTCGTCCGATCACGAGTTGGCTTGGAAGCGCATTAGCCACATAGACCGTCCGAATCGCCCCGGATGGGAAGAGATGGCTAGCGTTTGGAAGGCCCATGCTGAATGGATCGACGAAAGCTCGCTTTGGGATGAAAGTAGCACCGACGGAGCTTCTGACAATGCCCAACACTCCCCGGCGCAAACGGTCACCACAGAGGAAGTGGTGGAGAAATTAGTTGTTGGATGGGGGGGTACTGTTTGGGTAATCAAGGTTTACCCATATCGGCCGAGCAAAATCAACAGGAACCAAAGGATCGGTTCTGTTGAGGTTTCTACAATGTGAGAGGTCGATGTCAAATTGCTTGCCAACCAGTTGCTGACTATGGTCTAGACTACGCACCGATTGTATTATATCCGGGATCTCTTTATATACGCCCACCCGTCTAGTGGTCCTGTCATACATCGAAGTCGAAGTGGATGCATCAGAAGAGCGGTCCAAACACGGCGTGCTTCGCCCAGGAACACGGCGCCGTCCAAGGGGATTGGAGCCTGAACTCCGCATAATCGACATTGAGACCAAAGAAGAGCTTAGCGCAGATACTCTGTCTATCAGCCGCTTCGAGAGCCTCACTTCGTCTGACTACCACATGTGCGTACTTCCTCCGTGGAAGGCAGACCTCCCTGTATCTCAGCGCGGCGCGCTAGAAGCGTTGGGGACTGGCCTCTGGGACGCGACTCTATACCCCGCACGATTTTTCAGTTCGGGTGCTAGTATACGCAGCTCCACGAGCAGTGGTGACAAAGGCTCCATCAGGGCGCCTAGTGTTCTCTCCTCCCGGCGGCCTTCCACCGACGAATCGCTTTCTAAAGAGGTGCAAGATGTCGTTGGGAGTATTGGACCGAAGATACTCATTCAGAGCCCATACGACTGTGTCGCGGCGCTAAAAAGGGATCTCTCAGATCGACTGGCGTGGCTGGATGCGCACGAGAGATACGAGGAAGCATGGAATCTCCTTGACGAGCACCCCGAGGCCGCGAGTGGCGTTGAAACAGGCGACGTCGTTCCTGGCACGCCTGCGAGATCTCAGAGCAGCCTTGGGGAGTTTTTCGATGATGACCAATCTTCTGTCACGACAACCGGTCGCGCGATATCCTCTGCAGCCGACCAAGAGAAACGTCGCGTTGGCGAGTTGTGGATAGACCAGCTTATCGAGGAAGATCGGTGGGCCGAGGCCGCTAAGATTTGCGTCAAGGTCCTCCAAAACACATCTCGATGGGAACATTGGGTTCGGTTGTTCTTCAAGCACGATAAGATAGATGAGATCTCACTAGTCATCCCTACTGACTTACACCCACCCTTGCCTGCAAGTGTCTACGAAACCGCTTTGGTTCACTATGTCTCTCGAGATCGCGGCCGGTTCTGTGAGCTATTGGACTTGTGGCCATTTGACCTATTCGATGCCAACAGCGTGGCATCTGCTGTCGAGGAGCAGCTCAACTCAGGAACAGTGACACCGGAAACGGACGATTGGCGCACTCTTATGCAATGTCTCGCGAGACTATATCTGGCAGGTGGCCACTACGGCGATGCTCTGCGTTGCTACATTCGCCTTCAGGACGCGGACAGGGCAATGGAGCTAATCAAGCATCACCGGTTACTGGACACACTCACCGACGACATCCCGGCGTTCATTATGATCCGAGTATCCAAGGAGCAGATGAAGAAAGCGCCAATAGCGGAACTTGAAGAAATCACGACTGAGCCTATCCGCCTCCTGGTGAGCGAAGCATACACGGGCATCGTGCGCCCGGAACTAGTAGTCACGCAGTTGAAAGAAGCGAATAGACTGCTATTCCTCTACTTCTACATCCGGGCCCTCTGGCGCGGCGAATCGCTTCCACACGGAGCAGCCAAACCCCGGCGGGGCCATTTTGCCCACGTCCTTGACGCAGCAAGCAAGCTCGCCGCCGATGAGGGCAAAGCCTTAGTCGACCGGTTCGCAGACACGGCCGTCGAGCTATTCGCAGACTACAACCGCCCACTACTAATGGAATTCCTCCAAACAAGCACGTCCTACTCCTTCGACACGGCCGTCTCCATCTGCGAAACCCGGCACTTCACCCCAGAGCTCATCTACCTCCTCTCCAAGACGGGTCAAACAAAGCGGGCCCTGAACCTCATCCTCTCAGACCTCAAAGACGTCTCCCAAGCGATCTCCTTCGCCAAATCCCAAGACGAGCCCGACCTCTGGGAAGACCTCCTTGACTACTCCATGGACAAACCCCGCTTCATCCACGGCCTCCTCGTCGAAGCCGGCACAGCCATCGACCCCATCAAGCTCGTCCGCCGCATCCCCAACGGGCTGGAAATCGAAGGCCTCCGCGAGGGCCTCACCCGCATGATCCGCGAACACGACCTCCAAGCTAGCATCAGCCAAGGCGCTGCAAAGGTCCTCCAGAGCGAAGTCGCCGTCGGCATGGACACCCTCCGCAGCGGCCAACGCCGCGGAATCAAATTCAACGTCTTCGAGGACGAAAAGCTTCCCAAGACCCCGCTCACCGAGCATGACCACACCCAAGATGAAGTCAGAAGCATCGCCGACACGGAAAAGACTTCCGTCCCCCCGGGCACTGCCACCACTACCGCCTCACAGGTCGGGAAATGTGCAGGCTGCCATCTACCCTTCCACACCAACGGTAAGATCTTCCCCCCATTTTTCTCCCTTCCTGATCACCCATATGCACATATCATATACACACATGTAAAATCCAATACTAACACACCGCAGAAAAAGAAATCCTCGTCGGGTTCGCCTGCGGCCACGTCTTCCACCTCTCCCACGTCCACGGAGAACAACCACCCTCCTCACCGGGTAGTTCCTCCTCAGCGCAAACCCCCCGCCCATTCCCACCTGTCCGGACACAGACGCTGGAAGAAGCGTCGCTGTCGACGTCGCGGACGGTCGGTCCCAAGGTGACGACGGCGCGGCTCCTGCGGGACCGAATCGGGGATGGATGTCGGATTTGTGCTGAGGCTAGGGAGATTGAGGCGATGGGGGATTTTGATTTGTGATTGTTTATTGATGTTTGAGGCGTGCTGGTCTGTTTCATTTGATTAATCTTTTCTTTTCTTTTATGCTTCATCCTGCCTGTGACGGCTGGCGCTGTTTTCCTGTTTCGCGATGTCGTCCTACGCGATGTGATTTTTATGCATTAGGAGATACCCATGGTTGCGTAATACAATTTACAGTGCCTGAATATTGGTGCCCTGGAGTATGAGTCATGAATTTGATTATGAAGCTCTCGGAGCCTGAATACTTCCACCAACTCATTAAGTCGAGTGCGGACTAGTCGCATTAACACCGCAACCGCAAGACCAGGACGTATTGTGACAGCCCAACGACTCGAAGCAACTTGGACAAATAGCTCACAGAAATAAATGCAGCACACGAACTATGCATACTGGAGGCCGTCAAGGAATTCTTGTAATGCTAGCTTCCAGATGTGGAGTTCAACATAGAAGCGGACGAGATCTCATAGACAATAATGAAATGACTAGACAAACTGTAGTCCGATGAACAGTGCTGCAATTGCCAGGCAAGTCATGTCGACACGCCCTTGGGCCGTCGCGGCGTTGGGAGCCGGCGCAGGCGCGGAGGTGTGACTGGATCTCGGGGCAGTTGTAGTGGGACCATTGGTCGTTGAGTGTTTGGTAGAGGGCTCCATAGAAGAGGGCTCTGGACTGTGGGTCACGCTGTGTGCCCCTGAGGATACTGGAGGGCTCACAGTCGAGGCGGATGGCGAGGGGAAAGCAGTCGGGGCCACAGCGGACGTCAAAGTGGTACCCTGATTCCCCGAGATCACGGTAGTACCCTGTCCAACCGGAGTGCTGGTAGTACCAGGTGAGACAGAAGTCTCGGGAATTCCAGGGGTCACAGAAGTCCAAGTAGTACCGGGCATCGCCGCAGAGGTCTGGTGGGTGACCGAGCCGCTAGAGAAAGCGGTGGGCACCAGCTCAGACGAGCAAATTGTATCGGTGCTGACGACAGTCACCGTTTCTGGATTGATAAGTCAATATCAGCTCATTTGTCCGAGATAGAGTCTTGTTTATGGCTCACCAGCGCGGGGGAGGATGTGGTCCAGTTTGGAGAGATATCCGTCAATTTCATCGATCTCAATGTTGGAGGCTGGGGGTGGGAGAGATCGGTCAGAAAACATGCATGTATCACGAACCCAAGAGTCCAGGCCTACCTGGTGACCCAAATTCTGACCATTCATCTGCCACATCAACGCCGCCCAGGTCTATGGAATCTGTAAAAGGGACTGGTTAGTGGGGCGAGGGACTGATAGACGGTTATTATGATAGTAGCAGCATCCTCACCCTGAGCACAGGCAATGACCGTGAAGAGCAAAATAGCCAGCAGAAAGAAATACTTCATAGGAGCAATAGATGCCATGATGAACAAGAGTGGTAAGGAAGACAGCAGATGCCAAAGCTACGAGATGGATAGAGGTGGTTGTGTTGAGGACTTGATGAGGTTCGGAGAGAGGGAAGGAAGGGGAAGGAGAGTAGAAGAAAGAAGAAAAGGCAAGAGAAAGTGAAGAGTGAACGTGACTTCCAAGTCACTGTTGTTGTTTGTCTGATTTAGGAAGTCACGGCAACCTGAGGCGCACAAGTGCGACAAGCACGACTTCGGACGGGGTTTTTACTGTCCTGGAAGTATGTAGCACTACAACAATGTATCCTATTGGGGTCTTTGCATATAACCACCAGACTCCGTGTGCCCACTGGGCTTTGGTGAAGGACAGTGGGATATAGGAACAGGCAAAGATGAGGTATACTACTAGCACATGCTCACCAAACAACATACAGTAAGGATAATATCGAAGTAAGAGCTGCATGAACTCAAAAGACAGTCAATATACCATATACCCTACCTTCCACATTGATATAAATACAAATATACATATCCAATCAAGCCATATAACATCATATCAACTCAACTAACTCGCCGGACTCGGCGGCCCCTCCCCATTGAACCACTCACTCTCCTTCTCCCCCAACTCAAACTCCAACTTCCCTCCCTCAGCAAACACGTCCTCCCAAGCCAGCCAACTCTTCTTCCACTCCTTCCCGTTAACTTTCAGCCGCTGCACTTGGATCGCCCCCCCTCCGTTGCCGTCGCCGCCACTAGTCGTCACCTCCAGCTTCCGTCCCCCGCCCAGCTCGATCGTCAGGGCCTCGAACCACGGCGCGTGGATAAGGAACGTAGTCTGCCCGGTGAGCGGGTACAATCCAATCATGTTCCAGAGCAGCCAGGTCTGCATGGCGCCTGCGTCGCTGTTACCGGGGAGGCCGTCGACGGTGTCTTTGTAGGATTGTTTGGCGACGGCTCGGGACTGCTTGGTTGAGATGTGTGGGCTGTCGATGAAGTGGTAGAGATAGGGAGTATTGAACATGCTATCGCCACTGGTTAGAAAGATCAACGAAGGGAAAGGATGGGGAGAACATACGGCTCATTCGTCGCATCAAAAATACTCTTCCCCTCATCATCTTCCTCAAACATAGCATCCAACCGCTTTCTCGCCGTCTCCTCCCCACCCATTAACTCCACCGTGTGCGCCATATCATGCACTGCCCCAAACGAGTAAGCCCACGGGCTCGCCTCATAGAATGCATCGCCCCAATACCCAGACGCCGTCAAATCCCCAGGGTCGAGAAACGTGCCGTTCTCATCCCGAGGCCCCACGAAGCCCTCGAACCCCTTCGACTCAGCCTTCTTATTCCAATGGTTACGCCAGTTTCGCGAGCGCCCCAAGTACTTCTTCGCGTCAGCCGTCTTCTCCAACCCAGCGGCAACCTGGTACAGCGCGAAGTCGTTGCCCGCGTACTCGACGGCGCGGGACACAGCGCGGGAGTACTTCGGCGTGATGTAGCCGAGACGCAGCCAGTCGGGGAGGGCGCTGCGGCCTTCTTTGGTGGAGGAGTCCGGCGCCATGGCGTCGGGTGGATTGGTGTTGGGCGGCGCGACTTCGGCGTCTTTGTGCATGGCGCTGTAGGCGGCTGTCCAGTCGAGGGATGGGTCGCGGACGCCTTTGACGTAGGCGTCGGCGAGGATGTTGTCTGCGTTGGAGCCGCCTTGGGAGCGGCCATTGTAGTTCGAGGATCGCGCGTCGGGCAGGTAGCCGTCGTGCTTGGCGATGTCGATTAGGGAACGGAGGAATTCGGTGTAGGTTTTGGGTTGGAGGATGTGGAAGAGGGGGGTGGAGCAGCGGAAGAGGTCCTGTTGATGTTAGGTTCGTTGTGTAGAATGAGGGGTGCTGACAGGGAGGGGGTATACCCAGAAAGTGAAGATATCTTGGTAGTAGGGCTCGGAGGATGTCCAGCCGGGGTTCTCGCCGGTCTGGTTCGTGGGAATGATGTGCATGAAGTAGAGAGCGGAGTATAGGAGCGAGAGGGATGTCTTGTTGGTATTGGTCGTGGACACCTTGGATAGCACCTTGGAGGTCCATTCCGACTCTGCGTCCCGCACGACTGTCTCGAGGGAAGTACCCTCAGGGATCTCCTTCTTCACGTTCTCGCACGCCTGCTTCGTAGAGATCCAGGAGATGCCCACGCGAGAAGTCACGACGTTCTCCTTGAAGGAAAAGACAGCCCCGACACGGGTATCGCCCGACGACGACGACGCGACTCCGTCGTCCTGCTCGGTACTATCCTCTCCGTCCTTTCCAACATAAGCTTTGCTGCTGCTGGGCTTGGGATCAAAATAGCCACCTAGACGTGTTAGCCAATATAACCACAATCAGAATTGAAACTTAAAAAAAGAAAAGAAAAGACTATACAGAAATGAATCGTCCACTCAGGCGAGCGATTCCACCCATTATCATACACCCCACTCCCCTCATACCTCCCATCCTCAAACACACTAACATTGCCTCCTCGATACGCCTGACCCAGGCCCTGTCCGCGATGCGACGGCAGCACATGCGATACATCCACAAGCACCTTCTTCTGCGCCGCTCCCTCCGGAAAGGTATACCGGTAGATGCCAGCCCTAGCAGCGGCGCTCAACTCGACGAGCACGTCGTCGTCCGTGCGCGCGCTGTAGTAACCCACCGAGGCTTCGTCGGTGCCCTTGCGCCCAACGGTGACGCTGGCCAGAGGATCGTTGAGCTCGTCATCGCCCGCGAGGGGCAGCTGGGCGACCGTCCCGTACTTGGGGGCCCCGCCTGTGCCCTGTTCGTGCATCATGCTAAATCCGGAGAATTCGCCTGTGGCGAGGTAGCCTGAGTAGGCGTCTGTGTTGCCGTCTTGCAGGTCGGGGCCGAGCTTGACCATGCCGAAGGGGCGGGCGGCGCCGGGGAAGTTGTTGCCGCCATTCTCGGTACCTTGGCTGTTATTGGGTCAATTTGGTTGGATTCTTTTCAAGGGGGTGAAGGGGGGAGGTACAAGAGGTTTACGTGGGAGGTGAGATCCTTGGGGTCGGCTTGAAGGGAGGGTTGTATGAATGGGATGAGGAGCAGGAGGTGTTTGGATGTCCTCATTGTGAAGGGCTCCTGGACATCAAGCTGGGTTGTTGTTGTGTTTGAATGATGAGTCTGGGGAACTTGATGATGCTAAATAAACATGAAGCGAATGAAGAGGCCGATCTATGCCCGATGAGGATTGGGGGCGAAGCACTACATCAGATCCATCCATCAGGGAGGAATCTCCGAATCTAATTAGCGTGCTTGGGTAGTTTGAAGGGCCAAGTTTGGGATAAACAGATGGTCCAGTGCACTGCCACGAGGTTCCATTTTTGAGCTGCAATCGCGCCGTCGGATTGGTTCAACATTGATCGATCATCTCATGAAGGACCAGCCAAGTGATCGATCTTTCATGTTCGGGGGCTCGAGCTTACAGTTCGCTGGTCTTACTCGCGAGACGATTCCATAGTTCGATCAGGTCGCATCGAAGGACGTTAGTGCTTATAGAACGTGTCTCCAGTAGCGCAAGTGCTACGTGGAGGAGATAGAACTGGTTATAATAATAGGAGGAATACCACAGAAGGATCCTTGCTGAATACTCCGAGACGAGAGAGAAGGTATCCACGTGGGAATTCAATGTCTAAACTTTAATTACAGGAAGCATCGATCAGAGGCTCATTAATTCTCTGGTAACATACAACACAGAGATCGCTAACGAAACATAACATACACGCTGTCACCATCAAGCATGATCCAACCACGCCCACTCCACCAACACTCTCCCCAGATCCATATCCGCCAGACTGGTAAACACCCCCGGCGAGACATCAAGGTCAGTAGCGGCACATCCGACGCCTATATCCATTAGTACATCACTCGGGACAGGTGGAAGGGAAACAAGAACGGGGGAAAGGGACGAAAACTTACATCGATCGACTACCGTCACATCAACACTGCTCTCTCCCCTCCGCACGCGCAGCTTCTTGCCGCACAACGGATTGGCATTGGGATTGGACCCCGTGGAAGCGGCATCGTAGAGCACATGCGAGACGGCACAGATAGAGTCGGTGGCGGAGCTATCAATGCCACAGGAGCCCAAGGCTGGGTCGTAGTAGGTCAGATCGCCCGTGTAGGGGCCATTGGTGGTTGGGAGCGGAAGGTTGGAATTTCTACTCCCTTTAGTCACTTCCTTTTTACTCCTGGGATCAGAGGGTAGAGGGGATATCAGTACTTCTTTCGGGTCAGGCCCACCGCCAATCCAATGATCAGGGCGATTAAGATGATCGCTGCAACGGTAGCGGCCAGAATGATGCGCTTCCGCCGGGGGAATTGGCGGACATCCCACCAGGGTACCGGGGGTGGTACATTGGCTTCTTTCAATTCTTTAGAGACTGGCAGAGGTTTGCGCGGGGGGACGACCGAGGAAGGGAACCCCTTATCCGTCATGATGAAGAACGTTGACAACAAGAGAAAGAGATTCCCCATCCAAGGATCATCATGATCGGATGGTAGAGCGATGAAAGAATTCGAGAGAGGAAAAAGGAGGCGATTGAGAAGAACTAATTGGTTGGATTGACAACCCTATGGACCATTCGGATTAGCTGCAGCGGTTAGTCTCAAACAGACAACCTCTGCCTTGTATGCAGGTACCACTGTCACCCTTCCATGTTCTAGGTACGGTTCCCTATCCAAGTCGAATATGATATCAGATTATATCAGTGGTCAAAGAATGGATAATGGTGGATCCACGTGCATCCCCAGATCTGGTGGGTCTTGCCAGTTGGCGATGTCGACCCGGATCTGGTCTGGATAATTTCGTCATGTATCACGGTGTATCCTGCTTTTCCGTCGACTATCTAGTAATACCCATACCAACTGGCAAGATGATATATTAATGATACTTCTATAACTATATCAAGATACATTTATTATGATAGTTATCAATCCATTGTAATAACGATAGATAATTGATATGACTCATGATCATAACGTTATGTGAATAATGGCTTGGCATTCGCTCATCTTCCGTCCATCTTCAACTCCGTCAGTTCGTCGTCTTTCCCCCTCATCAGGTTTTTCTTTCTTATACCTATCATCCCCCTCTCGTCGCCTGTCAACCTCAATTACCAATTAGATACATCCTTCGTCCAGGAAGATTGACATTCGATGATTGCCCCGACCGATCGCGTGGGAGCTTCCTCTCTCGTTGCGGGGAACTTGGAACGTCAACCATGACATCCTCATCCACCACCAGTCAATCGGATGAGCCCCAGGAGCTGACAAGAGTCGGTTTCGGGCGGAAAATCAAAGATGCCTGGGCCAGATTGGAGTTGGATAGCCATACGGTCATGCTCATGATCAAAGGCGCCCTCCCCCCCACCATCTGTCTGGCCATGTATGAAGCCGATTCCGCCGCCGCCGAGTTCGGCACGGTCGGCTATCTCATGGCTGTCATCTCCATCCTGGGCTTCGCCATCATGCCTCGGGCCAGATTCATACAGATGATGGTGCTCGACGTCTTGGCCGTCTGTCTCGCCGCCGCCTTCGCCTTGTTGATGATGTACACGTGCGTCAAGGCCCGCCAGCACACTCAGTCGTCCGAGGATGCCCGCGTGTCGGCTGGCACCAAGACAGCCCCCTACAACTCGTCGGCGTCGGTCGTCAGCGGCGTCTGGCTCTTCTTTCAGATCTACCTGGTGCACTCCGTCCGCGCCAAATTCATGCAGTTTCAGTTTCCTGTCATCATCTACTCCATCATCGCCAACGTCTCCTTCACCTACGCCCCCCGCATGGCGACCGTGCCGGCCGCGGTCGCCATGGTCCGGAGGCTGTTGGAGGTCGCCTTGACAGGTCTGGCCGTCTCCACCGGGACGTGCCTGTTCATCATGCCCGTGACCTGCCGCGGCATCGTCTTCAAGCAGATGGCCAGCTACATTGATGGTCTCCGGGGCACCCTACGCGCCCATCGCAGCTACTTCAGCACCATGGAGCATGATGATATGTTTGGACGTGCCGAGACCCACGATTCCACCATTGAGAAGGTCAGCAAGAAGGGCAAGGTCTACAGTCCTGAGGCGCAGGCCATCCATGCTGCCGTGACCAAGCTTACCGAGCTCCATGCCAAGCTGCACCAGGATTTGACCTTTGCCAAGCGGGAGTTTGCTTATGGAAAATTGGGGGCAGACGACTTGCAGACCATTTTCCGCCATTTGCGCTATGTGATGATCCCCGTCGTCGGCCTGAGTTTCGTCGTGGAGATCTTCGAGCGCCTGTCCGACCACAACAAATGGAATCCCCCCTTGGATCGCGCGGGTGCCGATGTCCCCGATGAGGTGCGTGAACGTGTCGTGCGCGAGTGGAATGACATCATGCGCGCGGTCCATGACCCGTTCCGCTCGATGATCCAGTCGATCGATGAGGGCCTGGAACATGTCTTGTATAGCTTGGAGTTGGGCAAGCCGCCCAAGAAGACCGCAGCGGCCAAGAACGGAGCGGCCAAGAACGGGGCGATTAACGGCGACGATGTGGAGGCGTCCTCGGTGCCAATGCCGGGGGATCGGGGCTTTGCGCCCTACCTTGAACGACGATTGCGCGAGTTCAAGGTGGCCAAGCGGTTGGCGCTGCAAACCTGGAGTGCGGAAAAGGGGATCAAGTTGCCGCCCGACTTTTTCGAGCGTCCGTCGTCGGCCCACGAAGACATCGGCGAGATCCCACGGAACGTGTCGCCCGGCGACCCCAGCGTGAGCCGAGACCGCAGTCGGCGCCAGCTCTACCTGTTTCTCTATGTACGTACCCTACTCCCCCTCATGACTTTGTGGTGTGTAAATTGACTGGATAGATGGAACAACTGCTCCAATCAACGGGTCAGGTGGTCCTGGATTTCGTCCGCTTCGCCGACGAGCGCGTGGAGAGTGGAAAGCTCTCCAAGAAACATATCATCATCCCAGGCTCGAAACGGCTGCTTAAATGGGCGCGCAGCATGTTTACGACCGAAGATGCCCACGAAGACGGCAATATGGGTGGCGACCTCAACACGCAGAACCATGTCCTGCAGCTGGGCGAGGCGTATCGGTACCACAAGGACCCCGAGCACCTCCCGCCCGAGACCACGTTTCAGAGGATAGGTGACGGAATCCGCATGATCCCTGCCCTGCTGCGCTCTGACGAATCGTCGTACGGGTTTCGTGTGGCCTGTGCGACTATGACCATTGCCGTGGTCGCGTTCATCAGCGACACGCAGGACTTCTTCGTCCGACAACGCTTTGTGTGGGCCATGATCATGGTCAACCTTAGCATGTCGCCCACGGCCGGGCAGAGCATCTTTGGATTTGTGCTGCGGATTCTGGGAACCGTCCTGGCGATGATTCTGAGCCTGCTGGCGTGGTACATCCCGGGACAGAAGAGCGCCGGGGTCCACGTTTTCCTCTTTGTCTTTCTTGCATGCGTCTTCTACGTTCCTATCAAGATGTTCCGCTTCCGCATTGCGGCCATGATTACGCTGATCTCCACCTCGATGGTGGTCGGGTATGAGCTGCAGGTGAACAAGGTCGGCCAGGAAGTCGCCAAATCCAGCGGCCAATCATACTACCCGACTTATCTGCTCGCCCCGTACCGGCTCGCCACCGTGACGGGCGGAATCGCCGTGGCCTTCTTCTGGACCTTCTTCCCGTATCCCATGTCGGAGCGTTCGATGATGCGGCAAAGCTTGGGCGCGTCGCTGTACATGCTCGCCAACTACTACTCGGTCATCCACGAGACGGTGAAGGTTCGGATGCGCGGCGGGGAAGGCGACTGGACGCTGAAAACCTCGGCGGGACGACGGCTGCTCAAGGCCCGCAACAAGGTGTTCTCCAAGCTGACGCTGATGTTAAATGGGCTCCGCACGTATTCGGAGTTCCAGCGGTGGGAGGTTCCGGTGGGTGGTCGGTTTCCAACGAAGAAATACGATTCCATCATCTCATGTGTGGAGAAGTACGTCTGCACCGTTCCATGGTCGTTCCTTTTTTTTTTTTTTTTTTTTTTTCTATCCGTTTTCTCAACTAACTGATCTCTAGTATCGTCAGCTACCTGAGTCTTTTAGGCTATGCGTCCGACACCCTCCTCGCGATGGGTGACGATGATGAAACCGACTCGGCGTGGCTCAATGATCTTCGGCGGGTGATCATCAACGCACGCATCACCACGCACGAGATCACTTCCTTGCTGTGCTTGTTGTCTGCCAGTATCAGCAACCGGCAGCCGCTGCCGCCGTATCTGAAGACGCCGCGTCCCTACAGCCTCTCAAAGCGGCTGGAAGCGCTCGATGAGGACATCCTGAGTGTGCGGCATATCGCGGAACCGGGATTTGCAACATTTTCTGTCTTGCAGATTTCGACGCGGTGTATTGCGGGGGATGTAGAGCGGTTGATGAAGTAGGTTCTCTTTTTCTTTCTTTTTCTTTTTCCTTCCCCTTCGGTTCCTTTCCTTGTCTTCTCTTTTCTTCTTCTTTTCCTTTTTTTTTTCGGTGGAATGATCATTTTGAGGATAGTACTGACTGAATAGGGACGTTAAATCCCTTGTTGGGGAGCTGGACTTCTCGTTCCATGCGGTCAGCACGGCGCAGAGCCAGAGCACCAAGTCTTCCGTAGATGTGCCACGGTCGTCACGGGCGACGGACCGCGATAAGATGGAATAGAGGCAATATAATTATTCTAATTTTTGTACCTTCCGTCAGACGTGCTACGAGATCTACGGCCAGATATTTAATATTAACTTCGTTGTCAAAAAGGGATGTTAAATATGCCGGCCTGGCCCGCTGCCTCCCCGGAAGGTTTTATGATCGGCCATTTACTACCGGGGCGATGTCGAATTAGACGAGCAAATGAGACATACTACACAGCAGACCCTGATTTACAATGCGTCGGGGCTTATCTGACCATATGGTCTACCTGGTTTCTTACGCAAAGGTATCCCTCTGTCGATTGGTCACATTCGGCAGACAGAAAAAGAAGGGGGAAGATAAAAAAAGACTCCATTATGAAGAAGCCAGAAATGCAGCTTCGCCGCGAATGTCGCACGGCACTCTGGTCATCAAAGCTGACTATCTTAACCTGCGGACGTACTGCCTCGCACTACTGCCGGTATAAGGCTATACGTTTGGGTTCAAACTGCGACTGCCGGGTATTACTGTGCTTACCACAATTATTTGGACAAAGCTGCATCTTTCTCCACGCTCTCACCAGAAACAGACCTCTAATACACGCCGCCGAGACAGGATCATACGCACCGAAGCAAGGGGAGCCCACATACCAGAGCGCAAAACACCCAATAAGGGCTCACGTGGCCAATTCGAGGGCAATAACAAGAACGCAGCATACCACATCTTTTGAACCCAAAAGTCAAAAACACGCGATTTTGTTGCACGCCATCCCTCCCGTTACACATCATCACCATCTCACCCCTTGCTGGAAGCCAAACCCAGATATAATTACAACATGGCCCCTCTCCCCGCACTCTTCTCTTCACAGAGCAGGCTGGCCCGCGTCCCTGCCTATATATACGCCAGATATCTCCGCCACGCGAGCGCCACCAGACGGAAGAATCCTAGCAAGGGAGACATGGGGCTCGAGATCCTCCACCTCGGCAGCGGGGGCAGCAGCAGAAGCAGAAACAGCTGTGGTGCCCACGACGACAAGAAGCCGGTTTCGCAGCACACATACCGCGAGGAAATCGATGACGATGCAGAGTCGGCGGTCGATGTCTGCGTGTCTCCGGCTGTCGCTGGATACCGTACGCCTGACGTGAAGGAGTATCTGGTTTTGACGTGCGTGTTGGCCGCGGCCATGATGGATGGGTATAACTCCACCGTTGCTATTCCTTTGATTCCAGTATGTGTCTACATTATCTATCCTGCCCATACAATACCCTATATAAACCTAAACCTATACCCTTGCCCTTCGAAAACAAATATAATAATAAAGAACAGACCCTCTCAACCCTCCTCACCACCCCCCTCGACAACGCCCTCTGGCTAAGCACATCCTACCTCCTCGCCAACGCATCCATCCAGCCCCTATGCGCCCTCCTCTCCCGAACCTCAACCCCAACACCGTCCGGAATTCCGCTCCTAACAGCCCTCACAACTTCCACAGTCGGCACCGGTATCTGCGCCGGCTCCAGCAACCTCCCTACGCTCATCACAGGCCGCATCATCCAGGGCCTCGGCAGCGGCGCCGCAACGGCGCTCTCGCTGCAGCTGGTTGAGCGTGCGATCTCGCCGCCGTATCGCGCGCGTTTCGCGGGGTATGTGTTGCGTGGGCGGGGCGCGGGGGCTGTCGTCGGAACGGTTATGGGGGGGTTGTTGGGGGATATGAGGAATTGGGCTGCCGGGTTTTATTTTGGGTTGATGTTTTGTGCGGTTGCGTTGTTGGTTGGGCCGTTTGGGGTGGAACTGTCTTCGCCTTCTTCTACCACCACTCATGCTACTGACGATGACGATGATGATGATGACGGCGACGTTGGTGATGTTTCGCTTGGCAATGGAGATAGTGGTGCTGGTTGTGGTGAAGGAGGCGGAATAGGAGAAGACAAACGGCAATGGAAAGGCAAAAACACTTTGAGGAAAAGGAGCGAGTTGGGACTGGCGGTCTTGGGCGCCGTCGGGGCAGGATTACTTCTCCTTGGGGCGAGCGGAGGAGGGACGAGAGCGCAGTGGGCGGATTGGAGTGTTGTTGTCCCTTTTGTTCTAGGGGGTGGATTGGCGGGATTGGCGGGCTTGGTTGGGGCTTATTGTGTTGTTGTGCTTGTGTCAATGGGGAGGGTGAGTGTCGGGACTGTGATGTTGTATATTGGGGGGTTGTTGCATGGTGTTATGGTGTGTTCTTCCTCCTCCTATTCCCCTCTATTCCTCTCTCTTCATCCATTCCATTCCTCCATCCTCATCATCAGAATGATGCACATCATACTAACAGAAGCAACCAGCTCTCAACCCACATCCACCTCCTCTCCCTCTACCTAGGCCTCATCCGCACTCTAACCCCCACGCAAACAGGCCTCAGCCTAGCAGCCCTCACCGTCTCTCTAACCCTCCCCTTCTACGTCGACGCGCCCCAAAAACACGCCCATTTTGCCCTCTGGGCCGTCCGACTCGGCTGGGCACTCAACGTGCTCCTGACGGGGTGTTTCGCGCTGCTCGACGAAGAGACCCCCACAGCGGGGTGGGTGTTTGCGCTACTCGGAGCGGGACTGAGCCATGTTGTGCTTGCGAGAGGGACGCATTTGCTTTTGTTATCGTCTTCGTCCTCCTCTTCCTCCTCCTCCTCCTCCTCCTCCTCTTCCTCTTCTTCCTCTTCTTCCTCTGCTACTAGTAGTAATACTACCTCTGCAGCAGGAGTACGAGCCATCGCAACACACAGTCTGCTCTTCACATGGGGCGCATGCATCGCTCTCCCAGTTTGCTACGCGATTCTTGTTCGGCTGGTTTGGGCTGGAGGTTGGGACGGAGAGGTCGATGTGGAAGGGCCGGAAGGAGTGACTAGCGTGTTGGGGATGATGTTCCGGTCGAGGGAGGGTGAAGTCCTACTGCAGCATGTTGTGGAGGGGTTGGGAGATTTGTGGAAGTTGTGGATGGGGGTTGGGGGGTTGGGGGTTGTGAGTTCGTTGTTTGTGAGGTGATATTTCTTCTTCTCCTTTTTGTGTCTCTTTTGGCCCTATACTGGTTGTGTTTGGATATCTACTGCCTTTGCGGTTATGTTATTTGGGGGGTACATATCGTATCATGGTTGATTGACAGTTGATGCTGTACAGTACATCGTGATATCTCGTGAAATCATAATACATCAAAAGAAAAGACATGACTTCGTAATTCCATCCAGAACCGCCCGCTTCCAGATCATTCGCCCTCCAACTGACATAGATACAATAGCCACAGATTCAAAAACACCGCAATATCCTAACATTCAAAGAGTCAAATATCAAAAATCACCACGCACAATACTCCACCTCATAATCCTCATTACTAAACTGCTCCTCCCGACTCCGGCCCCGCTGAATGCGCGGCAGCCCAGGCACAAGAAGATGGTCCATGCTATGCGGCTGCAGCGTGATATCCGCCTCCGGCTCGATCCCCTGCGCAGCAGCAGCGCCGCCTTTCAAGCCCGCCCAGCGCGCATCAGGACAGGACGACGCAAACATTGAGTAATCGAGGGTGTGCGCGGCGGGGGGAGCGGTATGAACGGAGTGGCCGCGCGCTAGGATATCAATGGGGCAGGAGCTGGGCAGGCCGGTCAGTTCGTGGGCGGATTTCTTGCGGTGTTTGGTTGGGATGAAGAGGTTTTTCTTGGGGTGTTTGACTTTGTGTTTTGGTGAGGGAGTAGATTGCTCTGTGGAGGAGGCTGTCGGCGAGGTGGAGTTGGGGTTGGAGTTGGTCTGGAGGACGGTGTGGTAGAGGTTGGTGATGAGTTTGGTGAGCTTGTTCATTTTTTTCTGATGCTTTTGCTTTCGGAGTTGCATGAGAGGGTGGGCATTGGGGTGAGGTTGTTGTTTGGCCTTGGAGGTCTTGTAGGTCTTGTAGGTCTCTAGAGATGTTGGAAAAGAGTGTGCGGTTGCTTAAGGCTGATGGATATTTCAATGTAGTAGATGTTGTAGGATAATGTGGATAGATGAATTGGATGAATAGATGCAAGTGAGTGCAAATGATTGTATTTACAAAAGAAAGTCAGCAGCCCAGATAAAGTATAGATGAGTGAATAGTGATAAGTGAAGGGCAATGAGTGAATGACTGCAATGACATCCTATTGCATAGCCCTAACTCAATAAGTCCATCAACGTCACTGTATTCACCAAGGTGCATCGTGACTTCCTCATTTGACAGCCACTCACGGAAGGCACGCTATATCATAAGTTATAGAGAGCATGAATCCCCCCAGCACTATCTTGGTTCTCATCACTCCCAGTTCCACCAAAACACTTAGATACTGTACTGTTTATCACCCATCCCATACATACCACCATTCCACTATACCCAACATGCATCTTACTGCATTCTTTGTCTTTGCCTTTCTCTTCATCCAAGACTGTCTGGCGAAACCTCTGGCCCGTGTCGTCCCTCTCCAGGATGGCATGCCTGACCCCAGTCCGTCCCAGCTGCTAGAGATCGAACAGCGCGCCCACGGGACTCTATCGAATATGCTCCCTCCAGCAAATATCAGCAAAGCAGGCATCACCAATCTGCAGCTGATCGCCTTCAACGAGCTCTTCGAGGTGGCCTTCTTCAAGCAGCTGCTGGCCAACATCACCAACGAGGTGGAGGGCTTCTTCCTGAGTGAAGACGACGACAGGGATTTTATCGTCGACAGTCTGTCTACTATACTTGCGGTACTTCACGTCCCTCTCTTCAGTTACTTCCCCTAGGATCAGTTGACTAACGGCATAAAAGCAAGAAGAAATTCATGCCCTGACTGCCAATAACGCCTTGAAACATGTCATGACGGCTCAGGTCCTCCCATGCAACTACTCCTTTCCCGTGACAAGCATTACGAACGCCATTGACTTTGCGTCCACGTTCACCTCCGTTATGCTCGGGACGCTGCAGGACATCACCGAGATCTCCGCCCGCAACGGCGATAGCGCTCTAACGCGCGTCGTGGCTGCCATCATCGGCAACCAAGGGGAGCAGCAGGGCTGGTATCGCGTCTTCATGGGCAAGGTCCCTTCGGAGACGCCCATGCTCACCACGTCGGCCCGGGAGTTCGGGTTCTCCTATGTGGAGCAGTTCGTCCTGCCGGGGAGCTGCCCGAACGCATCGAGTATCCCGCTCCGGGCGTTCCTACCGCTGACGATCGTCGAGTTTCCCGGCCCTATGACGCAGGATATTGTCGTTACGTGGGAGCTTCCAGATATGGATACCGCGAGGAAACTCCGGTACGCTAAGGGGAAGGACGGCCAGTTCTGGCTGGTGTATATCAATCAGTTGAATCTGCCCATCGTGGAGCGGCTGCGTTTTATCGGCTTTGATGGGACCACTGTGCTGGCTAAGGCGAGGTTCCCTTATGAGGAGCATCTGCTGAATGGGTTGACCATTGCTGCCGTGACGAACAGCTCGGGGCCATTTGCGAACGCCAATGCTGTTGCGGCCTCGACGTTGTATGGACCGGGTGTGATTATTGTTAACTAGAGTTGTCGTGTTTGAAAGTGTTGTTTCGTCTGTCGTTTACTGCTTGTCTTGTATAGTATAGATACCCATGAATAGATTATCCCTATGCTCCAAGCTTTTACTGTGTAGTTGGCTTATGGCGTCGGCTCCTATACGGGTAAATATATAGTAGAGTAGGATCACTGATAGGCATTCCCTATCTTGCAACCAATTGATCGGAGCTCAAATCTATAAAGCGTAGGTCTTGCTATATACTATCTATGAACATCTGAGTCAAATCAATAATTACATATAAATACATATAAAAGTAAAACCATGAAGTATAGAAGGGTCTGTCCAGTAGGGCTAAAGTAAGAATCCCAAAGTGGAATAGCCCACTGGTGCCTGACAGCCTGAGACTTGGCATCCCCAGTCACATGACAGACCGCAGTCATGATGTAATGGACGTAGACATTAGTCGATCGAGAGAGAGAGAGAGAGAGAGAAATACCTATAGAAGTAAACCTTACAGTCCCATGAACTCCACCAATAGATATAAGCAAGATAGATAAGAATAAGTGATGGATATATCAAGAGCCGTAAGGCTGCCTCAGGCCCCCGCATCGCCGTGTCCGCCCGAGGCTTGCAATTAGGCCTCCCCTGATTGGCCGCAGTCTGCTGAGTCACGCGATTGCCGACTGGCAAACCCGAGGTTAGCATAGTTAATCCGGCCGATGCTGGCTCAGACTTTCCCTTCACGTTGGTTAGTTGTGCCCGCTTTTTCTCCTCCAAGTGGACTCGCTCCTATTCCTATCCTATCCTTGCCTTTCCTTTCGTGCTGCTGGCTGGCGTTGGTCGATTTGTCTGGGACCATCTCTCCTCTCTTTGTCATATCCTGTCGATATTATCGCCATTGTTGTCGTCACACCTGCAGCTTCGTGCCCCCCCGTTCCGTCCATCCGCGACTCCCTGCGTCTTCCCTTCGACTCGATCATCATGGCTGCTCTTCGCTCGTCTTCGCGCCTGTTCGCCTCCGCGCGACCCCTCTTCCGTCCTGCCGCCTTCGCTCGCTCCTATGCGACCGTTGAGTCTTCCGCGCAGGTAAGCCAATTGCTTCGACATCGTTCTGGGATATAAGAAAGAGTACCGGGAGGGGGGGAAGAAGAGAGGGAGGAACGAACGATTAGATGAAGGAAAACGATATACAGCAAAGGATTCAGACTAAACGAGTCTCGCAGGACCCCAACCCCTCGGATCAGCCTCGCGTCAAAAAGTTCCAGGTCTACCGCTGGAACCCCGACCAGCCGGCCGAGAAGCCGCAGATGCAGACCTACTCCCTCGACCTGAACAAGACCGGCCCCATGATGCTGGACGCCCTGATCCGCATCAAGAACGAGATGGACCCCACCCTGACTTTCCGCCGCAGTTGCCGTGAGGGTATCTGTGGCAGTTGCGCCATGAACATCGACGGAACCAACACCCTGGCCTGCCTGTGCCGGATCCCCACGGATACCACCAAGGAGTCGCGCATCTACCCGCTGCCGCACATGTACGTCGTCAAGGACCTGGTGCCGGACTTGACCCAGTTCTACAAGCAGTACAAGTCGATCAAGCCTTACCTGCAGCGCGATACTCCTACTGAGGATGTACGTATCTCTCTTTCTTTCTTCTTTCGAGTCGCTTGGCACGAAACTAACAGGGAATAGGGCCTTGAGTACCGCCAGAGCCCCGAGGAGCGCAAGAAGCTGGACGGTCTGTACGAGTGCATTCTGTGCGCCTGCTGCTCGACCTCGTGCCCGTCGTACTGGTGGAACAGCGAGGAGTACCTGGGCCCCGCCATCCTGCTCCAGTCGTACCGGTGGCTGGCCGACTCGCGTGACGAGCGCACCGCCGAGCGCAAGGCCGCTCTGGACAACAGCATGAGCGTGTACCGATGCCACACGATTCTCAACTGCACGCGGACCTGCCCCAAGGGTCTGAACCCGGCCCTTGCCATTGCCGAGATCAAGAAGATGATGGCTGCGCATTAGGATTTTTAAAAAATGGTTTTTTTTCGTTTCTTTCTTCTAACTTTTATTTGATTGTGTCATGCCTGAACTTTTCTTTTGTTTCATATATCTTGCGTTATTGAGCTGATTCCCTCGGATTGTGAGGTTTTGATGTTTCGATAGGTGTAAATGTGAATATATTTGGTTATATTTGGTTATATCATGGGAGACCGGCTTCGTAGCTGATTCAATAGGTAGTTTCCGCGCGATTGCATCTACATGACAGTTATACTTAGTAGGTTCAACAGAGTATACATAATCAAATAATCAAATAATCAAATAGAACGAATAAAGAAGAACTAAACCCGCCCACTCGACTTCAACATATCCATACACCTCTCCACAGCCCCCTGCATCTCCCTCGTCGCCTCCTCCAACAGCGCCGTCAACGGCACCCGCCCCGCCTTCTCCGCCATAACCTTCACAAACTCATTATTGAGCACCTTGTTAATATTCACCTTGGCCACCCCACACCGAATACACTCCGCGAAGATCTCCTCCGTAAACGGATCCGCCCCATGCAGCACAAGCCGCACCTTGTCGCCCACCGCATCCCGGATCGCCCTCAACCGATCATACTCGAGCACGATGCCCCTAGGCCCATACTCGCCGTGCACGTTGCCGAACGCAGGCGCCAGCCAGTCGATGCCCGTGTCCACGAACTCGTGGCTCTCCTCGGGCGTCGTCAACAACCCTCCCAAGTCGACCGTGTCCGCGACGCCGTCCTCCCCGCCCTCAATCCGCCCGGGTTCCGCCTCCGTCGCGATCCCCCGCTCCCGACAATAGCTCACCAGCTCGCGGGTCAGCGCGAGATTCGTCTCCTTTTCGTAGTGCGACATGTCGACCATGATGCTGTCGAAGCCGCCCATGTCGGCCGCCTCGCGGATGATCTCGGGCGTCTGCGCGTGGTCCAGGTGCACGGTGACCGGCACGCTGGCGTTGCGGGCGGCTTCGGCGGCGGCGTGCACGAGGACCCCGCCTGCTTGCTGGATCGCCCAGGGGAAGAGCAGGATCATGGCAGGGGAGCGCTTGCGCTCGGCGGCGCGCACGGTCGCCAGGATGCCTTCGACGTTGTAGCAGCACATGGCGGGGACGCCGTAGTTGTTTTGGGAGGCGTGGTTGAGGATGGTGAGGGCTTTGTTGGGGGGGGACATTTTGGGTGGTGGGTTTCCCGTTGGGATGTTTTTTTCTGGAGAAAAAGGATTTGAGGGGGTTTGGAATATGGGAGAAGAAGAGGAGGGGGAGGAGGAGGGGTATAGTCTGGTTAGAGAAGTAAAGTCAAGTAGAAGTAGAGGTAGAAGTGATAGAGGGGTTCATATAGTAAATAAGGTCGGACCATCTCCGACTGACGTCAATCCAGTAATCCACCCCCGACCCGGGTATGTGTACAAAGACAATTATCCTATCCTCGGCTACTAATGGTATATCATTTATATACTATAGAAAAACTAATGCCACACCTTGATCACGCTCGTGCTCGCCTCTCCTCCGAACCCCGCCCGTCGCGCAGTCAGCAGCGCCGTCAGCGCCGCATTGCCCAAATGCAGCGGACAGTGCAGGTCGCGTGCCCGCTGCACCACCGTTTCCAATCGCGCAACGGCCTCGTCGAGCGACTGCGATCCCGCAGGCGCCTTATCCCCGATCCTGCCCTCGATCATCTCCAGTCCCTGGTTGATGAACACGCGGCTGGCTCCCGCCGCCTCGCGCACCAGCCCGTGGAACTGCCCCAGGTCGACGTTCAGATGGCGCGCAAAGGCGACCGCTTCGGCGGCTGCGACTAGATTGACGCCGCGCATGAGGTCGAGCACTAGCTGTAGCTTGGTGGATTGGTCTTCGCCTTCGGTCGCCGCTACGGCTGCGATCGGGGTCGCGAAGTATTGGCGGACGATGGAGGAGTCGTCTTTCGCTCCGTAGCCTTGGAGCAGGGCGGAGAGGTAGACTTGTTCGGCGGTTGAGCAAAGGGGGGTGGGGAAGTGGGCCTGGCGGGCGGAGGTGGTGATGATGCCCTGGGAATGTCAGTTCATTCCTCTCTCTCTTCTTTGTTTTCGAGGATAGCGGCAGGGTCTAGGAAAAATACGTACGACGTCCTTCAAAATAATCGTGAGCGCACTAGCCCCCGGATTCCAGTCCTCCTCCAGCATGCGCGTCAACCGGTTCTCGTGCATCCACGTCCACGCCTCCGACGCCATGATCGCATCCGCCGTCTTGCGGGCGTCCAGGCCCAATTGCGCCGCGAGGCCCATCGCCTCACTGGCGCCCAGGATGTGGATTCCCGCCAGCACCTGGTGCACCATCTTCATGTTGCTGCCTGCGCCAATGCCCCCGGGTACGAGGTAGAGCTTGTCTGGGGCCGACATGGCCTGGAGCAGGTCGCGCCCGCTCTGCAGGGCCTCTTCGGTGCCGCCCGCCATGATCGACAGCGTGCCGTTGGCGGCGCGGATGGCGCCCCCGGAGACGGGGCAATCAATGAAGTAGATGTCGCTGCGACCGCATGATTGTAATTCTGTGGCCACGGACTGTGCGTAGGAGGCGGGGACAGTGGAGCAGAGGAGGAGGGTTGCGTTTTGGGGGAGGGCTAGAGGGTCAGCCTGCCTTTATCGAGATGGTGGAATCATTAACAATAGCTTACCTTGGACGATGCCGTCCTCGCCAAAAAGTACAGACTGTACCTGCGGAGCAGACGCTACCATGCAGACGTAGAAAGATTTACCCGCGGCGGACTCCTTGAGCGACGCGGCGGGGATGCCCCCCGCCGTGTGGAACCGCTGCACGGATGCGGGGAAGACGTCGAACCCGTGCACGGGGTATCCCTCCTTCACGAGATGGGTGGCCATCCCGAAGCCCATGGCTCCGAGGCCGACAAAGCCAATTGTAGGTTTAGACATAGCGATGGTATTCGAGTATGAAGGTGTTTGGTGAGGGGTTGAGAGACGGTGGGACGATGAGGGGCGGTTTTATACGGTCGATCGCTCTAGACACCGAGATGTGGCCTCGGTGGGTGTCGGAGTTGGTCCGAGGCCGGGGTCGAGTACTCCGTCTGGAAAGTACATCGCCTTGATTCCGATTGTTCGGGATTCGTTCTTTTTATTCGAGGAGATAGCCGGGAATTGGTTCGGGTTTGTTTGTGGCCCTAACGAACAGTATGCGAACCGATCGGGGTGGGGGTATGTATGGAATTATCCACCGGCATCAGTGACCTACACTTGTGCGTCAGCGAGGAGGAAACTTCAAGACCCAAATGCATACACAAATAAACAGTAATATCATGAACTTGCAGTATATATAAAGAACCCCTCCAGTGTTACTCACATCTTCATGCATATCTAGGAGCTAAGTACGGAGGTAGCAAACCCTTACAGCCTGCAGATGCAAGGGTCCGACAGGGGAACTCAGCTCAAGCTGCGGTGATATCTATTAGTGATCGCTCTTTGCCTACGCGGCAGATGGATAGAATGACATGATGCATTCATTCCAGGACCAAGTGAGGTCGATTGTTGTGTGGTGGAAAGAGATGGGGAGAGGAAAAGTAAGTAATAGGAAAAGACAAAGAAAAGGGAATAAGGAGAGGCTGCATACGCGCCATCTGTCAGTCATTTCCTCTTTCTGAAGATGAACTCACTTGTATGCTTCGCATACTAAGAACGGCGTCATTAAAAGGTATTTTTAGAATTGTTTGACTTGCGTTGGTGGCGTCTTCCCCCTGGCTCCTGCATGGCTCGTGTTACTCTCCACCTTGTCCAACATGTCTTGCTTCAGGAACCTGGCTGTTGCCCATTATGACAAACCGGCCTCTATCTTTTTGGAAGAGATACCGGCGATAATGCCCCCCCTCCTAGGAGGGAAAAGTGCCTGTCTAGAAGCAGCCCTAGAAGACGACGATAAAATTCTACATCGCTTGGATTATCCCCAAAAACAACGGGAGTTCTGGGCATACCTGGTCTCCTTCAAAAACGACATTGAAGCAACAGTGGCATTTCACCTCCGCGCAAAATACTGCCAGGTCGCCGATGAAGCCGACTGGATGTGTGGCAGCTACAACGTGTGCATTCCAGTCGCGGTGAACCCACCATCGGAGCGTCGTGTCCTGCTTCGTATCCCTCTTCCTTACAAGATCGGCGAAGACAACTGTCCTGGAAATGCGGACGAGAAATTGCGATGCGAAGTAGCGACCTACATTTGGATCCACGAGAATTGCCCGACTGTTCCTATCCCTACGCTTTATGGGTTTGCGTTTCCTGATGGAAAGACTGTAGGTGGACCTAAGCCCAACGGAGAGTATCCCAGCTAAATATGCTGCATATTAGTTTGTTCAAGTATTTTGCGTATCTCTCTTCTCGCGACTCCGTTGGCACATAACGCAGACGCTGCGTTCCTGGATTGGCTTTCCAAAAATATGCCCTTACATTAGCCAGAAGCGCTCGACCCCTTTGAAAACAGGCTACATGATCATCAGTCTCGTAAAAAAATGGTCGGATGCTCTCGGAGTCTTGGGGAACCCTCTTAGAGGAAACTACACGAAGACAGAATCTCTTCAATGACCTTGCGAAAATCATCCTATTGTTAAGCCACATTCGTCTGCCCCGAATTGGGTCCTTGACCATAGACAACGATGGACTTATCAGTTTGACAAAACGGCCCCTAACGCTCCGTCTCCAAAGCCTGGAAAATGAGGGTATTCCAACAATCCCAAGAGACTTGACCTATCCATCAGTGGAGCCGTATCTGCTGGATCTGTTACAATGTCACGATAACCGTATATACCATCAGCTAAACGCCATCCATGATCTACATGATGGGCAGGAGCAACTGGCTGCTTTGACTATGATGCGTGGCCTTCTCCACCAGTTTATATCTCTCGAGTACCGTTACGGGCCGTTCGTCCTCACGTTGACTGACCTACACCCGAGCAATAATCCTTGTCGACGAAGACTGGCATATCACATCACTTATTGACTTGGAATGGGCTTGCGCTTTCCCTATTGAAATGCAAACCCCGCCTTATTGGCTGACCGGACGACCTGTGGATGATATCGAGCATGGAGCAAACCTTGAAACCTATGACAAGATCGTCAATGAATATATGGATGCTTTTGACAAAGAAGTATAGTCCCTTCCACCATCATCCCCCTCCCATGCAGAAGTGATGAGAAACTGCTGGAACAAGGGAAGCTTTTGGTATTTTCAAGCGCTACATAGCCCTAAAGGCCTTCTCCGCGTGTTCAATGAACACGTTCAACGCAAGTATTGTGAGGAACACTGCACCCAGCGTGTGTTTGATCGGACGGTCAGTCCATACTGGTGCCGAGGGGCAGAGGAGTTGATTCGGAAAAAGATGGAAGAAGAGGCTGTTTACAAGAATCGATTGAGAGAGCGGTTCATGTCTGACGATGGGCAGGGTTGACAGTAGTATTGTTTAGTTTGACAATGACTGGGGGCGTAGGGTGTCTCAATCACCCTATGCAAATCTGCATAATGGGATAGACATGCAGGTGACTTATCAAGCTTGTTTGTGTTGTATATTGTCTATCATCGTTCTTATGGTATTTGTGAACAACGAATGATCTTACGATGCAGTGATAATCTGTCAGCTGTATGGCAGTCGTAATTGTGATAGTAAAGTACCTCTCATTGTGACTGACATTTACACAACATGGACAAAGGATAGTTTCAAATTTAAGTAACAGAATATGATTCACAGTTGTTTGTATCCCTAAAGCTTTGTCTGCCTTAATTACTGCCAAATTACTGGTAAAGGTATATTCACTATCTTCGCCGTAGCTTACAGTTCACCCAATATAAGAGAGTTCTTCTCCATCCTCTGCCTCTTCCTCTTTCTCTTCTTCTCATCCCACTCCTCTCTCTGCTTATAATCTATAAGAGGTCTATATATCCTTTCGCAGGCAAATCTATTCTCCTTTTACCTATATACCTTATATCTACAATTTGTACAGACTTCTTTACTCTATCCTTTTCTAGTATATACCCAAACGGTATACATACAAATGACACACATTCAAATATCGAAAAGATTACATCAGGATATGCAAAATCCTATCGAACTGCAGACATGCAGCACTGTTCTTCAACTGCAAAGTCCGTTTATATATGGGCGTGCTCTTACGCAGTGTAAGGGAAAACCCCTGTCTCCCTTCCCCTCTCCCCCCCTTCCCCTCTAGCAATGCTCTATTTGTTTTCTCAGAGCTTGTCACAGCTCAGTTCAACTGTTTTATGGGCTCTTTGGTCCAAACGAAGGTAGGTGATTTAGCTGTCTAGCGACAGCACTCGCTTTTACATCTTTTTGACTTGCAATTCTGGCCCGAGTTTTTTGTGAAATGATTTTTGCTGGCGCGGTGCTGCCAGGCTCGGCTAGACTGTACCAAAAGACAGGCCAAGCCGGGCCTGGAGGTTTGGAGGGGGAGTTTGAGACTGGGAAAGATGCAATGTCCAATATCTGCTATATCGGACTATGTTGTCCATGTCACAGTGGGTTCTAGTCTTGGCGCGACTGTCTACGGTCTTTGACCATTTATGCAACAATTGGTGCTTCCCTCAAGGTAAGTGCCACAGGGTATCATGGACTTGTGTTTTGGCGGTGCAAGGCTAAAAAAAATGGTGTCGCACCAATTATAGGGCTACCCAAAAAGCTCAAAAGTTTCCTGGCATACTTAGTAGCCGAGTGATAATTCCCTTCTTCTACTGCGATATGAGATGGGGCGCGTCCGAGACACAATATTTATGATATATTGATCGAACAGAGCTCAAGATTGCAGAACCGGCCCAAGCCGTTCTGAAGACCGTGGTTGACAGGTCGACTGAGATACACCTTGCAATAATCAACACCAGGTAAGCCAAGGATAACCCTTGTGCTTGTGCGACAGGAATTACGAGGGCAAAAGCAGAAAACGCGACAGTACAATCAAGATACATTGCTCTTTCTGGCCGCTGGCTTTGATAAGTTCAGGTACTCACGCGGGATCGTCGGGCATTACCTGGTATTTGACACTCAAAAAACCAGATGTGCAGCTTCAACAAGGTCTGCCCTTCGTTCCCTCGCCCGAACCCAAGCTCCAGCTCGCGAGGTTGTGTGGGCTGGTGCAACGCGCACGATAAGCGACCCCATGAAGCCCATGCAAACTTGCTGTACAAACGAGGCACTGCGATGTCAGACTTCTGCGAGCAGTGCAAGACTGCGTCGGCTCCAACTTACAAAGAAAGTGTCATGTTTTGAATTCAGACCTAGAAACATGACACAGTATGTTAATTTTGTGGAGGCACCGAAGGGCAAAGCAAACATGCGCCCAATATACGCCTCACGTTGAACGAACTGGGGGAGCAGATCTACGCACAGAGGAACATATGGTGGTCCTGTGTGAGTATGTGGGGAGAAGGCAGCATCGGTTTACTGTTACTTCGATGAACCATGAAAGATTCATCAAGCAGTGGCAGCCTGCTCGAGACGCAAAGAGGGAGTTGCAGTCACGAGATTCTGATGGGGAGTGCTGGTAAAGCACTCAAACAAAGCATTGGGGTGCTGAGCCAGTTGGGATTGTCATGTCTAGAGTGCACTTGATGAGCCTTTTACACGTGAGTCATAATTTTTAACAAATTTAAAGAGATATCCCTGACGTTCTTGCTAAACTCATTCATACGTTGCGGCGTTAGTTGCCCAAGCACAAGGATGTCTTCTGCCAACGAATGTGAACACTGTCAGAATGACATGAGGGTAGACCACGCGGGAATCAACTAAGTAAGCCACGGTCGACAGAGATACGCCCCGGAACTGTCAAAAGTTAGACACAGACAAACGATACAGACATCAAAGCGCGGCAGGTCCCAACATAGATACGGTCTACGAGATTCCTAGAGGGAATTAAGAGAAGCAAATGTGTCGCGACTGCAAGAAAAGGCTCCCGGCTGTCAAGGCTTTTTTTACACCTCAAATTCGGTTCAATGGTGTGTTCTGCTAACCTAGTAGTACTGATAATTTCGTTAATACTGGATTATAGATATACGAGATTGCGGCTCTATTAGAGTGCAAGAAAAGAAGACGTGCCATCCATTCACCAGAGGCGAGATTTCCGGAACCATCCAGGGTATTGTATGGCTTGCAAAGTACCCTGATGCAAATATCTAGTGAGTATCCTATTCATACAGATTAAATGACAATATATATTCAACTCCTGGCTAATAAAAGACAAAGACGCATCGTAGTCTCGCAAGATAGGGAGGGGATATATCTCGCTTTTCCAGACTTTGCTCAAAACTGGCTGGGGTATTTTCAGGACGGTAGGCTGAACAGAGCCCGCCCGATTATAATAAGAAAATATGGGTTGTGGGAGATTGGCAACCTCATAATATATCCGATTATCTGCCTGTGTCTATAACAGCATAATAAGTGGACAATTAACTACTTGTTCTTGTACCAGAGGGTCTACACAAATTCTACAAGTTCTACAAATTCTACAGACCTATGGAGTACCGTTCTATTCCACTAATATCGACACCGGGTCCGTGATTATGATTATTCTTTAATATAACTTCTGACTATAATTAGGGTCTTATTTCTACTTGGAGATCTTCTCTGTCACTAGTATTATACTATTCATTTGACAGGATGATCGTCCTTGGTAATATATCAATCATTCTCATCAGTCCTGTAGTCAAATAATTCGGTTCTCGATAGATACTATAAGAGAGGACCAGCGTACCCAGAAAGAGATCGCAAAGTATGCTTAAAGCAGGCATTGATCTCGTGCTCTGCAGACTTCCTCGGCCCAGAAAGGTCAGCCAGCCCTAACCTAAAACATGCATGATTCTGCGATGCGTCGCCCTTCTTCGCATTACAAGGATGTTTCCTCGTGAGTTTCCGTGTCCACGATCAGACCCTGTCCATCAGATGAGCTCTGCGAGGGGCTCCACCCAAGCTCGACCAATCTCACCGCGACGATTCCGACCAATCCTCGACTAAGTTTGCAGTGGACCTCGCGGGGAGATCCCTTTACCAATCTCCTCCTACGAAGCCATAGGCTCGGGACGCAGCTAAGCGTGCCGTCCTCGTATTCAGCGCCAATCACGGCCCCACCAGACAATGTCCTTGAGGAGATGGCTGCTCGGTGCCCAGCCGAGCATCTCGACACTGACTGGTTGGAGGACCCCTAGCTTCATGATGGTGCGTCGGTTTAGCACCGTTGCGGTAAGGGCTCGCCCGTTGACACGAGATTTCCCCTTGGCGGATTTCAGCCCACGACGAGGGGACATTCCTGGTGCAAATGAAAAAAAGAGGGCAAACAAAATACTAATGTAATAATAAACAGAAAATAAGAGCCAGAAAATAAAATGAAAAGGGGGCAGAATCCCTCGTGAGCAAGGACCATCGAAGACAAGTTCTTTTTATAGTGCGGCTCCCACTTGACTCTCCACGCCTGAGACCCATCTCCAACATCTCCAACGAGATCCTCCCCCAAGTCAAGAATAATATAGCGACATGACTCGCTTACCGTCGATAATCGCCGCGGCGCTCTGCGCCCTACCCCTCACCCACGCCTGGACCCTCAAATGGGAGAACCACACCAACGGCGGCATGCTGAACCTGGGCGAAAAGCCCAAAGGCTGCACAGTAATCTATCACGAAAAAGGGGAGCAATTCTCCTGGGACCCGGAGGGTCTCTTCTGTCTGCGATTATTCATCGACACCGAATGCGAGAACCCCGGTGGCGAGACCTGCAACGGCAAGCCCTGGAAAAAGGACGCCAGCAAGGACCTAGCGGCCTTCAGCGTGCGGGATATGCCGGAGTCGTCCATGAGCTACTACGGCCTCTCATCTGCCACGCCTTTTCCGACGACCCAAAGCAAGCCAGATGCGACGCCGACCGCGGACGATCACAAGAAAGACGACTCGAAAAACGACACTAAAGACGACACGAAAGACAACAACACCGACAACTCGAGCACGGGGTTATCGAGCGGGGGCATCGCTGGCATCGTGGTCGGCATCGTCGCCGGAGTGGGCATCCTCGCCGGCCTCATCTTCTTCCTCTGGCGACGCGGACGCGGCGCCAAGGCTATTCCCATTCCGGAGACGCCCGCCGGTCCACCCCCCAGCTCGCCCGGCGGTGCGTCCACAAACCCCGACCAGAGTACCTTTGCTGCGTCGGCGGCGGGTGCGTACGGATCGTCCGAGAAGGGAGACGTACCGGAGTTGCATTCTCCCAATGAGCATCCGCAAGGGCCGGCGCCCCCAAGCTATCAGCCTGTCGTGATGGCGGAGCTGGCGGCCGGGGATGTGCAGTCGGAGTTGAGCAATACGAACCAGGTGGTGGAGATGGATGCACAAGAAATTGCGAAGCGGCCAGTGTATCGGGATACGTGACAAAGAAAACAAAAACAATAAGGTGAAGGCGTTGGATTGCTGGCGAGTACATAATATTTAGCACTTCTGTTCACATACATACATATACCCCCATTTGAATACCGCAATTTACTTCATTCATTTCTCTAGCCAAGGAATCTCCTCTGGCCGATACTTATAAGCCCTAAAGATACCATTAGACTCATACAGAGACCCAATCTTCTCCATCTGCAGCACCTCGCGCTCCTCCATCAACCCCCGATAATCACGCAACTGCGGCACGACAAACTCCCACACGACGCGCCCATCCCGCGTCACCTCCAGTATCCGCCCCATAGCGCCCTCACATAGCAACACATTCGAGCTCCCCTTCACAGGCATCGCAGAGCCCATAAACGGCGACAGAAACCCCACCCCGCCCGTACTCGCATCCATCCACTCCCAACCCACCTCCTTCGTCTCCCTCGACACAATCACCGCCTTAGAAAACGGCTTCGACTTCTCGGGCCGAAACACCCCATTATCAAACACCATGAGGTCCCCCGACGGCGGCAGCACAACAGGACAATGCTGCTGGTTGACGACTGGCTGGCCCACGCTCCACACGACGGCGCCCGTGTCGCGATTGATCACAATCACCTTGGACGCGCTCCGCAGCGACGCTACGATGTTGCCGTCTCCGTCAACAGCCAGCCCGTTCACGAACGGCCAGTGGTTGCGCGCGTAGTGTGGTAGGAGAGGATACTCGGCGGGATCGAGGTGGTCCGCTGCGCGCCACTCCCAAAGCAGCTTCGCGCCGCCTGTGCCGCCGCCCCCGGGCTCGAAGTCGTCGCTTGAGGAATGATTGGATGACTCCCACGGCAAGACGAGCCGGATGCAGTCGCCGTAGATGGTTTTGTTGCTGTCGGCCTCGGAGCCGGGGACGCCGCCGCGCACGCGCGCCGCCTGGGCCGGCGTTAGAGGCTCCATGGTTGTGTAGAGGATGATGCGGCGGTCGTCGGAGTGAAGCTGGTCGTGGTGGGCGAGCGGGTCGCGGTACTCGCGTAGGATGGTCCCATCGGGGGAGACGTGTGCCATGACGCCGCCGCGGTACTTGGACCACATGGGGAAGGAGGGCTGGTCTGGCGGGGTGGGATGGGCGCCGTTGTAGGCGAGGGTGACGCCGTCTGGGAGGAGACGGGCGTGGCGACCGGCGCGGTAGGGAAGGGTCCAGCGGTGGACTTCTTCGCCGGTTGTGCTGGAGATGAGATGCGTGGTGGAGGAGGTGAGGGGGGTGTAGAGGACGTAGCCGGGGGTGAGGTTTTCAGTGTCGAGACCGCGGAGACCGAGACCGCGACGGCGGAGGGTGTTTTGTTCCATCTTTCTGTTTTTGTTTCTATATATCTCTGTTTGGTATGATTTATTGTATTGTTGGTATTGTTCCTGGTTTGTTGTTATCTTGATGTACGGGATGTTGTTGTTATTGCTGTAGGTTTCGTGCCCTAATTTACAGATATCATTATATCCACTATCAGCTCTAGGATGACATCTCATCAACCAGTCCTATCCAAAGACGGCATTACCATCGAAGACAAATGTCGAGATGTATGACGCGAATAGTATGCGATAATTCCGTCCAGAGTGGTGACGCCAGCGGAACGGCGGATCAAAGTGGACCGGAACCTTGGATCAGCGCGGATCAGCTTCATCATTCCGGGGTAGCATTGCTATCATGTACAGCAGGTACAGGGACTTTCCACACAACCAACTGTCCCTGGTTAATTAATCCACTCTATAATAATCATTGATCAGGTCAGAAGAAGTCCCTAGGCCAAGCAGAACGAGCCTGTGGATCCTCTCCTCGACTCTCGCCCAGGAACCCGACGTTGCACCAGGGTCTGTTCCTCCACGTCATTCATCGTCGTCTTCCGTTGTTCCCGGTGCTCTTCTTCGTCTTCTTTCTTTCTGTCGATCTCTTGTCGGACAGCGATAGGTAAGAAGGGATAGCGTTTCTCTCTGTTTATGCTTTCTTTCATTCATCCATCTATCTCCTCATTAAATGTGTCCATCTTTTGACGGGAGTCTCTAAAGCAAGTGAGTCTGGTCCCTGACTCCATTGGTATGTCTTCAAAACACCATTAGTATATAACAAGAAAAGAAGAAGGAAAGACTGACCAGATAGAAATGGCCGCCATCGACCTCCTCTCCCGCGAGATCACGCACCAGATCGTCCGGCGGAAAAATTGGGCCAGTGAAAACCCCGGCGTGGTGCTCGTCTTCTGCATTGTCTTTATCGTTGGTGTTGGGATCGTCTCACTGTTTATCTACCGAAAAGCGATGGCACGGAGCGCAGCTAAGAAGGAGCTCGAGGGGTAGATGTTGGGATAGGGATATGATTTGGTTGGGGGTTAGGGCTAGGATTGGCGTTAAATGTTTTACTGTATGGATGTCTGGTATAGACTCCTTGACTGGTAATTGTAATATCGGACTGCTCGGTCTCCGTCTATAATCATACATTAATTCAATTATCTTCTCGTCTCTACTCGGTATAATAATAGGTTAGTAAGACCAATCGGGTATGGCTACAGTGACGGGCCTAAGAGGTATGACTACCTCGTATCGCGAACTTATAACCTCCATCAAACCATCCGTCATCAACCATCCACCATCAACCAACAAAACACTAAACCATCACACAATGCCCTCTCTTCTGGCAACCTCCACCGCAGTCCTCCTCACAGCAACAGCAACCAGCATCTACCTTCTCCACACCTCGCTAAAATCCCGCGTGCACCATGAATCCCACCGCAGCAGCGGCACGCGCCTCCCCCCCGCAACAACAGCAGCAATAATGACCCTCCCACCAGCAGCGCTGACCACCTCATATCGCATCATGCACGACTCCGCAACGCAGCGTATCCCACGCAGCCAACTCTCAAACATCCCCCTCCCCGACCAGTTCACCCTCCTCGTCCGGCGCAACATGTGCGCGTTCGCGCGCTTCCCGCAAGCCTGGATCCTATGGCTGACTAGCCCGGCCGCACAGCGCCAGACATTCACGCAGAGTCATATCCAGGCACTGGACTTCAACGAGGGCGACGTCGTGTGTGCCGTTTACCCTGTGCTGCGACGGAGCGAGAACGCGGTCGAGATGGGGATTCGATCCCCGCGACTGCCGTCTGTCGAGGGGAGACTTGTGATTCGGTGGGAGGAGAAAGGGGACGATGTGGTCTTCTGTAGTGAGGCGGCTATGTGGACCGGGGTAGATGAGAATGCCGTGATGCCGTTGGAAGTTCCTTTTGTGCGGTTCATGCATGAGATGGCGTCGTGGTGGTTGTTGGATTCGGGGGTGCGGTATTTGGTGGGGTTGGGGAGGTCGGGGTGATTGTTCTATTCTTTTATTCTTCTGCTTGCTCTTTCTTTCTTTGTTGGCTTTATGTTTGTGCTGGCTTTATGCTGTCTGTTATTGGCATTATGGGTTCGTGGTGGGATTGTTGGTGTGGCGCTGGGCTAGTAAGTATCAAAGGGAATGTCTTTGATATCCCTCGATAAAGAATTACATTGTCGTCGTCTCTTGATCCCCTTGCTCATTTACAGATGCGATCTCACCGACAGCATATAAATACACATTTTTTGCCCCTCTCTCTCTGTCTATCCTCACCATAAACTTCACTCACAAGAACTCTACTCCCAAACTCAAACAAACCTACAAACCCACCAAAATGTGTAAGTACACCTACCACCACTACGTCCAGTGCGGCCACATCGCCACCTTTACCGTGGACAGCTGCTGGAGACTGGTCGAACAGCTGCGCCAAGGTCCCACACAAGTCACCAACTGCCTCAACATCGAGCGCCACGACCTGCTCCCTCAGGACGAAGCCTACATGTGCAACCAGTGCCGGCCCGCATATCTCGAGCGCATCCGCGAGAAACAGTTCAAGTCGATGCGCCCATCAAGCGAGACCAGTGACACCTCCTCGTCGTCTCCAGCTTTCACCCAGCTGGAAGGGCTCGGCGACTCATTTATCACCATCACGGCGGATTTCAAGATGACCGTCGAGCAGGAGGGTCGAGCTGTCTACCTCTCGCCTGATCCGGAGTCCCGCCAGCCGGAAGCTAAAGCTTCACCTGGCGAGCTGCCCGGATCGGACAACCGACCCTCTTCTCCTCCCAGTGCTTTTACATTCTTCGAGGTGCCAAAATATGAACCTCGTGCGAAGAAGAATAGCCCCGCCGCCCCCGCCGCCGCCCCCGTCCCTGTCCCCGTCCCCGCCGACGACGACGTCTCTGATATCTGGCTGGAGATCTCCCAGCCTAGAGAAAGCAGTGGGTTTTACGACTCTGATTCCGACGATACTTACCCCGACCTGGGAGAGGTAACGGACTCGGAAGAAGAAGAAGAGCAACCTGAAGCAAAGCCACAAGAAGAAAAATCCAAACCCGAAGAGAAGAGATCTTTCTTCGGCCCCGCCTTCATCCCCTTCATGTCACCACCCGCGAGCCCCAAAGGCATTTTTAGGTCCGCCGCAGACCCCGTTCTCGACATCGTCTCCGACGACCCCCGCGTCAAGGAACCCTGGTACCCGTTCTGCAACAGCCCTCTCAAGAACGAGCCAGCCCCGCGCACCTTCCTGCAGTCGCCCACTCCGCGCCGCACGCGCATCTCCCACATTCTCGATCCGAGCGAGTACGACGACGATGTCAAGTCGCTGTCTATCGGAACGGGGTTCCAGTCGGAGAGTTCGCTCCGGGCTACTAACGGTTCGGTGGAGAAGAAGAGGGAGGTGGGTAGGAAGGTGTTGGATCATATTTGGGGGGGGCCTGGTCTCTTCGGGAGTGGGATGCAGGGTTCGTACACGCCCTTGGGGAGTAATGGGGTAACTAAATAGCGTTTTCGTTACTTATTTTGAGAGAGCGGGTTCCTGGTTCACTTTTACTGGAGTTAGGGTTGGAGTTAGGGCTGGCGTGCGGAATTACATAGACGGACCGGTGTTTTGGAATGGATATATGCTTTGATTTGCTCGGAATTTGTATGCCGTAGAGAAGGGTTAAAACATTATGATTTAGTTAGGGCTGTTGCTTTTCTCTCTTCCTCTGGCACTTTCACCGTAGCAGTCTTGATTCTAATGTCAGTGTTCTTTCTTACTTCGTTGTCTTTATCATTTTCCACCATAACTACGTAGCCTCATTCTTTCTGAAGGCAAACATAAAGACACACTATGTTTATTAACAGGTGTGGTAGCCATCCACCATATTTAAGCACCACCTTCTACTACACCCCGGCCCAGAAACCCAGCACAAATCAACGAAATGCAGTCCCCAAACCCCAGCCCTAGTAACGTCCGCTCTCCAGCCGAAGTACATCCCCCCTTCCCCCTTTCACAAGACCTAACTAACCGAGCCTGAAGGAACCACCCTCCAACACATTCTTCGACGTACCACTCTCAGAATCACCACCTGAACCATCCCCTCCAGCCTCAGGCGGAAGCACCGACCCAGACGACGGCGACCACTACGACTGGATCGAAGCACAACATGTCCAGCAACCATTACACGAAGAAGAAGGCGTTTTGGTTGAAGAAGCTGAGATTGAAATTGCAGAATACATCTTCAACAACGACGATGACGACGACGACAGCCTTCCTGGATATAACAGCCCCAGCGAAGACATGCCCATACCCATTGTTGACATGGATGCGCACGCGTCTGATCTGCGGCATGCTCTGATTGAAGATCGGTTGCCTGAGGTCGAAGATAGTTTGGAAGATGATGTCTGGATGGTGTGGCTACTGGGGGAGGAGAGGAGGGAGTTCTCTCTGGATGTGTATCTTGGGGAGTGGATTTAGGGGGGTTTTGTATAGTGTTTTGGGAAGGCGCGTAGCATTCAAGATATGATACCCTTTTTGTTTAAATTTTTATTGGTTAACTGTGTATACGTTGTTCTTTCCGCGTATTGGCGTTAAGTTTGGGAAGGTGCTATGCGGGAGTACAGAGGTGGATGTCATGATGAGAGTATAAATCGTCACATTGAATATAAGGTTCCCTACGGAGGTTATAAGTGTCATGATGATAATTTGGTCAACACAAATCAAATCTCAACCCTATTCTTTCAATGCCTATTCCAAATATCAAGTGTCCTACATATACAAAACGAGAAGTCCCTACAAAGAACCACCCAGCACAGACCAACAAAATGCACTCCCAGCTCCCATACCGAGTACACACTCCACACCCTTACAAGAGATCCAACCCAGTTGACCCTAACCTGAAGGACCTCCCACCTCCATACTCATCCATCGCAGGCGGATCATTTCCACTCGAGGAGCCATCTTCCTCAGTTACGACTACATCTATATCCCTAGTCATAGCCACGACCACCAACCCAACTGACGAAGACGAAGATCCCCCAAACCCCAACAACGACCGCACCGAAGAGCAATCCACCTTTCCACCGCCATCCAACACACCCAACCAGCCTACGCACCGCTCGCAGCCCCACCAGCTCCTACCCAGCAACAACGGCACCAACGCCGACGACGAGCTCCCCGGCTACACCTCCGATGATGACCCCCCTAGCTATTTTTATGACCTGACAGAAAACCCTGACTTCAACTCTGATAGCCTGTCGGTCCCCTACGATGATGACAGCGGCAGCGCCAACAGTATCGCTTGCGTGCTACCCGAGCCCTACGAGCTGGAACAGATGTATATGGGTCTGGGGGTCGATACTGTTTCTGCAGAGTGGGAGTTGGCGGCGGATGGTGTTGCTAGGTTCGGTGAGAGATATCGTCCTGTTTGGTCTCGTGGTGAGGACGGGGTGATGATTCCCGATGGGGTGGGGGATCTGGAGTCAGAACTGCTCTTTGGTGAATACTGAATTTGGTTAGGATGGTGGAAGTAGGTTTGGCGTTGTTTTTATGCTATAGGACTAGGTAGTGCGCTGGAGGTCTTCTCCTTGGTGATATTACTATCTTGCATTGGATTGATGTTCGATTGGGTGGAAGTTTGGAATAGGTTATTTTGTTCTTTCTGCATTTGTTTCGATGTCTTAAGCTGTTACGCATCTCTTCTTTCTGATGTTGAGATCCCTGTCGGTAAACTAATCGAGATATCTCCACCATAATACTATAGTAGATGTGGAGATATCATTCATATCAAACCGATCGAGTACCGATTCGGTAGTTCGGAGCATTGGCCGACATATATTAAGATTTTAGTGTACAGGGGTGTATATGGAAAACAGCTAATTGACTAATCTACTTCACACAGGCTCCAGCATGGCCCTACCCGATTAGTGCATTTATTCACCCCCAAACCAAGAACCCACTGTGTCAAATAGTGATTGCCAGGGCCATTCTTCAAGACGGAGAATTTTTGCAGGAGAATTCTTCCGGGAGATGCTTTACTAGCTTGTCAGATTCATGTGATGATTAACAGGCTCAATTTTCCCATCTATATAAGATGCCTCAAACCCTGAACCAGACTAAGGTTGACCTTAATGGCCATTGGGCAGTCAGTCAGTTATTAAACAAGCATTAAGTATGAAATCAGCAGTCTTATCCGTCCTCCTTGCTCTTGGAGCCCGCTCCGCCCACGCCCAAGTCCAGGGCGCCGCGTTCGGCTTCGCGACGGGCACCACCGGCGGCGGGGACGCTCAGCCGCAGTCACCGGCTAGTCTGGAAGAGTATACTCCCCCTTCCCTCCCACTCCTTTTCCTTATTAGATGTACTAGATCAACTAACTAGCTGGATAGACTCACCGCCTGGATCACAGACGACACCCCGCGCACCATCCTCCTAGACCGGACGTGGGACTTCGCCGGCACGGAGGGCATCACAGATGGCAAGTGCTGCAGCACCGACACGACGACCTGCGAGAGCGGCACCTCCGCCGGGCAAGCTTGGATCCAGGACTCCTGCGATGATGGCACCTGGGTGGAGTGTAAGTACGACAACGCGGCGCGCACGCCCCTCGAGGTCGGATCAAACAAGAGCATTGTGGGCGTGGGCAGCGAGGGCGTCCTCAAGGGGAAGGGACTGCGTGTCACGAAGGGGAACACGAACGTCATTATCCAGAATATTCACATTACTGTGCGTCAATTTTCCATCTCTTTTGTGGAAGGGGAAATACTGAGACTGTGTTAGGATCTGAACCCCCAGTATGTCTGGGGCGGAGACGCCATCACGCTTGACGATACGGATCAGGTCTGGGTTGATCATAACAAGGTATTCTCTCCTTTTTTTCTTCGCTCTACACAAGCTGATATATGGAGATCTCCCTCATCGGCCGCCAATTCATCGTCAGCGGCTGGGGCAAGGCCGGTCACGTGACCATCTCGAACAACGAGTTCGACGGCGCCACGGAGTGGTCCAGCGGCTGCAACGGCAAGCACTACTGGACAGCGCTGCTAATCGGCGAAGACGACCAGTACACGTTCTCGGGGAACTGGCTGCACGACGTGTCAGGGCGGGCGCCGCACATGGGCACGGACAAGACCGAGTCTGGCATCTTCTTCCACGCCGTGAACAACTACTTCCAGAACATCGGGGGCCACGCGTTCGACATCGACACCAACACGTGGTCGCTGCTGGAGGGGAACTACTTCGAGAAGGTGGACACGCCGCTGACGGAGACGTCGTTGGCGAGCGGCGCGCTGCTGTATAATGTGCCGGATGAGACGGCTGCGGGGGCGTGCGAGGCTGCGGTTGGGTATGTGTGTGAGTGGAATCGCGTGGATGAGGGGTCTGGGGAGTGGACGGCGAAGACGGATCAGGATGTGCTGGATCGCGCGGGCGAGTTTAAGGAGTTTTTGGTGGAGCATTATGGGGTGGCTGAGGTGCCGGAGAAGGTGGTTGCCAATGCGGGGGTGGGGAAGCTGTGATCTACTCTATATTATTTATTGAGATGACATATCTAGTATCTACTACTTGGGTCAATTTCTACGTTTAAGATTGTGGGTTTATGTCTGTTTTCCTCGAACCTTGATCTATTCAAACGGTGGGTCTTTGAGTGCATGCAGTTGATCTATCACACCCATACCATCACACACTAGACTAAGACATAACAAGCATGTAAGACGCTTACTGGAGCGCCGTTAAACATTATGCATGTATCAAAACACGCCCATATTAGCCACAGAGGACGAATTACCAAAATCTCGGTCCAAGAATGTCTCCAGACCTCCAATACTATCTCCAAAACATCTCTCCAATTACCTCCAATAATCAATATGACGTCAGGACAAAAGATCCCAAACCTCGGCCAATCCAAACCAACCGCCACTCCACTCCACCCTGTCCCGTTTTTCCGGCCCCAGTTCAACTCCCCCTAACAGCATCAACAGGACGAACAAACGAACTGTCCCCTCACTAATACAGGAACAAAAAGACCAAACGCAAAGAGTCAATATAATCATGACCATCTCCATCCTCGTCACCGGCGCCACAGGCAAACAAGGCGGCGGCGTCGTCAACGCCCTCCTCGCCGAAGACTCCACCACCGACGTCGAGATCCTCGCCGTCACACGCAACCCGGACTCGGCGTCCGCGCAGAAGCTCGCGGCAAAGTCGCCCAAGATCAAGCTCGTCAAGGGCGACCTCGACGAGCCGAATGCGCTGCTCGATACCGCGAAGGAGGTTTCCTCCACGGGAGCCGTGTGGGGGGTGTTTAGCGTGCAGGTTAGTTCGCCCGTTTTCCCCGTTCCATTCCCCATTTCCTCTTCTCTTAGTATTCGGTGCTTGCTTGCCTCAAGCATTGATAGATACTCCCACGGATCTAGCTATGCTATGCCATGCTATGCTATGCTATACTATGCCATTTAGCTATCACCAAGTAACCAACTAACAAACAAACGAACAAAAACAGCCCTCCGCAGCCGAAGGCGCCAGCCTCGAAAACGAAGTCACCCAAGGCAAAGGCCTAATCGACGCATCAATCACCCACAACGTGACGCACTTCGTCTACAGCTCCGTCGACCGCGGCGGCGAGACCGCCTCCGCCGAAAACGCGACCAACGTCCCGCACTTCATCACCAAGCACCGCATCGAGCAGTACCTGTTCGAGCGGACGAGCAGCCTCGGCGTGAACATGAGCTGGACGGTCTTGCGCACGGTCTTTTTCTTCGACAACCTGGTGCCGAACTTCTTCGGCAAGGTGTGCGCGACGGCGTGGGACGCGTACCTGCAGGGCCGGCCGCTGCAGGCGATTGCGGTGAGCGACATCGGGGTGTTTGCTGCGAAGGCGTTCCTGCAGTATCATGATCCGCGGTTTAGGAATCAGTGCCTTTCGCTGGCTGGGGATGAGTTGACGTTTGAGGGGATGCAGGCTGTGTTTCAGGAGAAGACGGGGGGGCCGATGCCGACGACGTATTCGGTTTTGATGTACTTTGTTATGTGGATGGTGGGGGATTTGAGAACTATGTTTGTTTGGTTCTATGAGCATGGGTTTAAGATTGATTTTGCTAAGTTGAGGGCTATCCATCCTGGGTTGAAGGATTTGGGGACGTGGCTTGAGGAGGAGAGTGAGTTTGTCACGAAGAAGTAAGTGTCATAACTAATGGTTGCATCTGTTAAATGAGGGTTGTTCTGGAGAGTTGTATGTACGTACTGATAAATGCCTCGTGAACAAATTGCATGTCTTTACTACACCGCGGCTGAAACAGGTCGATTTTTCAATTATATTAGGAATATGCAGGACTATCTACATCGATAGCCTTTGCGTGCAATATGCCAAGGTATATGAAACAAAGGTCAGGGCTCTAAAAAAGAGAGAAAGAGAAAGAAATCAACTATAACAACCCCAACATGTTTATAGCAGATGTATGCTTCGACCTCCGCATACCCCCCTCCACCCCCATCAAATGATGAACCGCCATCTGCGCCCCGCGCACGGTGTACTCCATCCCAACGACTGCCTCGTTCGGGATCTCCACGAACTGCCCAATCAGCGCCATATTGGTCACGCCCTCGGGGACGATAAACGGCCGGTCTTCGACCCCCCGCGCCAGCAGCGGAGCCACCATGCGCGGCACCACGCACGGCGTCGTGACCGAGTTGTCCAGGATGTCCTCGAGCGGGAACTCCAGCTGGTGCAGAATCTCCGTCATGACCTCGCGACCTGTGCAATCGAGCATCGGCTTCTTCACCGCGTTGCCCTGCTCCTCCGGGTGTAGCGCATATCCCCAGAGGATGGCGACGTCGTCGGGCTGATTGGGGATGACTGGCTGGTGGGGCATGTTGATGCTGAGGAGCCAGTTACTGTCGCGGAGGGTCACCAAGGGTCCCATGCCAGGTTGGTCGCCCGTGAGCTCGACGAAGCGGGTGATGAAGTCGCGGCCGGGGCCCCGAAGCGTGATGGTAAACGACCCTTGGCGGGACTCCTCCGTCCGCGTGCAGAAATTGTATGCGTTGCCGAAGATGGGGTTCTTGGTTGATAGTTCGAGCCACAGGAGCCAGTTCTCGTTCAGGACCTTTTCCATCTCTACTCGATCGAGCGATGGCACGCTGTCGTTCGTCCCGGTCGCCCGGCCCGACAATGTGGATCCCACAGCGACGATCACGATGTCGTTGGAGCTGACCTCGATTGTTGTCTCCGGTCCGCCATGCTTGGTCGCTCGGATGGCCGCCACCCGACTGTTGGTATGGGGCGGGTCGAAGATGATGTCATTGACGATTGTGCCGAAGCGGAAGTCGACACCCCGCGACTTCAGAAACTGGCCGATTGGCTCGATGATCGCATGATGCCGGTTGTACGGAAGGTGGTCAAGCAGCTGTCGATCGTTGAGCTCGTGCACGTCGGGCATGAACCGTCGCAGGCAGCGGCGGAACTCGGTAGCGCTATGCCAGGGCTCGAAGCCGAATCTAGTCACCACCAAACCGATCAGTATATATCAATAACCACGACGCACATCCGGCTGGACTGCAACCCACTTACGTCGTGGCAAGTGTAAGCCAGTAGTTACTGTGAAAAAAGCTTCCATGGAAATAGTCGTGGATGCGCGATCGCCCCAGGTTCTTTTCCGTCTTCGATGCCAACACGAACAGATCCATGCGGTCGCGCAAGCCCAAACCCACTCGTCTCGGATCAACACGCGCGAGTCCAGACGATTGGCGCGTCAGTAGTCGTGTATTCGTGCGTTTGGGTAACGGCTTGGCCTCGTTGAAGTCGTGGATAGTGTCGAGCACGGTCTTGAGCGGATCCGTCGGCGACGGCACCAACGACAGCAAGCGTTCCATACACACATCGTTGAAGAGCGGCATGGCGCCCGCGCGCAAGTCGTACCCTCCATCTGGAGTTTCCGCGATAACGGTGCCTTCGCCCACGACCCCCACTGTCTCAATGATGTGCACTCGCTCTGGAGGCACATGGGCCTCCTGGATGAGGTGCACCGCGGTGGTCAGAGAGGGAATGCCGCTGCCGAGGATCCAAGCGTCCAGGTCATTGGTCCGGCGCTTTTCCGGTATGGGCGTGGGCGAGGGCGAACCCACGCCCGGAGGGCGGAGTGTTTCTCTCATATAGGACGGCTCTCGTTGTTGCTGGTAGATGTTTATGGTTGTCGGAATAGATCCATGATGGATGGGAAATGCTGCGTACGTATCTCCGTCAGGGCCATTCTCATCCCTTCCCCAGGAAGACCCCGGAGGTTGCAGTTCCCTTCAAACTTCCTAGCGGGGTCGAGTTTGGTGGGATGACGTTTTCAGATGCCAATTATCAACGGTGGTGCCGAATCACGGCGGAATGCAACATCGAATGGGCTTGCGCGGCCCCACCTTGACGCAACGACTTTTGGTCCAAGGTCACTTTTATAACTATATATGATGGAGATTGTGATCTGGGATGTTATTAGGTAGTGCTTGTGCTGCGAGATGATTATCGAGTAAAGGCTGTATTGTCGATACAGATATAGACCACTAAATATTCATGCCATTGGCATCACGAACTGCGGCACGATGAAAACTCGTTCATAGATAGAAAATTTTGCTCGCACATACACCTCGCATTTGTGTGGCTATACTGCAAACGGACACTGCCCCATCCGGGTTTTCTCAAGCGTTTCCTTGATTTCCTGTGTCGTCTTCCGCCCCTTGCCCTGAAAGTACTTCGGCCCAAGGTCTACGGTGTCGTAACCTTGGGGATAGTATTTGTCGCCTTCGTCCCCGGGAACCGGTACACCTAGAGCTCGACTGATCCACGCGCCAGGGCCCCAACGATTCCACAATGTTGGCTTGACATAGTAGGGCGGGCCTTCCCATATGCGCACGTGGTGTCGGCCCTGTTCATTCGCCTTGTCGCTGAAGACATCCTGGCGGAGGAAGTAAGGCCTGGGGAGGGACAGATGCCGGAGGTAGAATTTGCGGATGGCCAGGATAGATGAGAATATGATTCGGTAGGTTTGTGGTGGTGGGTCGTACCTGCCATTCTTGTTAGACATCACCAGATCTAGACAGCAGCCCCACCAGTACCATCGACCGACAGATGATAAGTAGGAAAAAAGAACGAAAGAAGAGTGAGGGTGAGAGACAGCAGAGAGACTCACAGCATAGCCTTTCGCAATCTTTCATCCATCATGCAAGAAGCAAACTTGACCCCCATAGGTTGCACAAACTTCGGCATCCCAAACACAAGTACATCCATCGTCTTGTCAGCGACCGCCCGATTTGTCTCATCAGGCTTCATACACCTCTCCTCATAAGCATGACTCCACACGGTGATCTCCTCCAGGAACTGCAACCCATCCCGGAACCCCGTCTTTCCGGACGGCAGCTCCTCGAAGCTGATTCCCAACGCATCCCCCAGACTCTTCCAGTACGTCCCAATCGCGCAGCGCTCCAACTCGGTCATGGACCGCCACTCGAACATCTCCACAAAACGCACGGGTTCAATGGCAAACAGACTCAGCGTGTACAGCATGTCATCCTCGAGGATCTTGCCGCTGGCGCGGTAGCCAGTGTGCAGGAACTTAGTGCGGGCGATGGAGGTGCGCGCGCGATCGGAAGACGGCTCGAAGGCCATGAACTGGCCGATCAGAGCACCCGTGTCGGCGTAGCGTTTGAAGGATGTTGCGGGGTTGGAGAATTGGGATGTTTTGAGGAGGAGGGAGGAGATGGTGGGTATTCCGTAGGTCTTCAATTTCCATCATTTCTTCCTGTCAGTATAGGACAGAATAGGTGCGGTACGGTTGATAGTAGTTGAGAGATAAAACGAGAATACCATACCCGGAACAATGCAAACTGTAGCGCTTTCAGTGCACTGAAAGGAAACTCCAGCTGCAGGATGCGTTTCTGGATCTCCCAAGCGTCGTGGTCCGTCATGTGAGCCATCGACTCCCGCGTCGAGTACCGTTTATACTTCTTGTTGAGGCTGCGCACCCGCTGAAAACGCAGTGCCTTCACCATCGTCAGATAGGTCGCCAGTAAGGCCCCCACTGCGGTGAGTCGTCGCGTGGGGTTGTCCCATATGGCTGTGAAGACAGCCCGGATGGGCAGACCCTTGAGTGACGAGATGGCGTTCGCGACCTGCTTATCCATTATGGCTTGGAGAGAGTGCAGTGATATCGGATCTATAGCTCAGCTCTCCCTCCAGGGCAATATTGTATCTCCATCATCATCCTGTGCGAGTGCTTTTATACCGGTCCACCGGCTGTGGTCGCACACGCCCCTTTGGGCCATCAACCGGAGACCCGAGATACGACGGCCCTGCTGGCTGTCGGATCCGGTGTCAGCCCCATCATCCCACTGGGTGATAGCAATCTAGCAGGCAAGCACACAATTCGATATCAAACGTGAGGTGTTGAGGTGGATTTGGACTGTCATGTGCAGTGATCGTCGCGGTTCGGCGGACCGAGGAAGGCGGGGAGCGGGGTGGTCTTGTTACCTACCCACTCCATCTTTCCTTCTTCTGGGGAATAATAGTACGAGTCCAAGTGCAGACAGTGTGAGTCTGTTGATTACCAATGGGTAGGACCAAGTGGAATAGCCGAGGTGGTGCGGGGTGATGAAACTGAGGCGCAGAAAGGATGGGGATGAGGCACCGGAGAGTAGGGAAGCCGAAGTCGTACGAGATGTAGATCGCGGATAGAAGGCGATCCTTGAGGGGTCCAACTTCCTTGTCAGAGACTCTGATGGCTGAATCATTGGTGTTGAGCGTCATACATGATAGGCTATGATCGAATCTTCGTGGGGCACGATAGTGCCTAGTCCCCAATGAAATCCATGCTGATTGTCATTGTGCTCTAGTGGAAGTCATGATGGCGTAGTGTTATCAAAGAAAGAATAAAGCACTGACCTCGTCATCATCATAGTAAAGGTCACTGAACATGGTTTTCATCAGGTGGGAATAATATCTACAGTCACGATTTGTTCTCCAAATAAGAGTCTAATAGAGCAAAATGTGAATGATCCCAGCGATAACAGATAAAACATGAAGTTGACTGATAAGAAAGTGGGGACAGTGGAAAAAAGATGAAGAAAAAATGAAAGCCCCCGCGGGGGCTCGAACCCCGAGCCTCAAGATTAGAAGTCTTGCGCGCTACCGATTGCGCCACGGGGGCTCTTGTTGTGATATCGATGCCGAGTGTGCGAGTGTTGAGCAGCCAGTACTTTCTGAAACAGCAGGGATGCTTAGCATCACTCCTTTTCTACTAGTGAATTGGCCACACCACACTAACAACAATAGTCTATTCGAGATTTCTACATGAAGCTACTCTAATCACAATGGAGTCACTAGTTTTACTTCATTCATCGGTTGATGTTCTCATATTAAGCCTAGAAGGTGTGGGAGAAGAAGAATTGGTATTATGAGAAGTTGTGTATTCTTGATATATAATGGGATTGAATAGTGGCTATACCTACATTTAAACACGGTCGGTCAACCCACTCCAACCATTATACTGATATTGCAGTCATATTTCAATCATTCCAACATAATCACAGACAGCGTCAACCCATCCTCAAAATAACCAACTCATCAATCTAACTATCCCGAAGAACGACGGTTCTTGGAACGTTTCGCCTTGTTGGACCTCCGCTGCCTACGACGAGGAGTACAAGTACCCTTGCGGCCATTTGAACCACCCGAACTGTTCGAGCCGTTCGAGCCATCCAAGCCATTCGAACTCACATCCTGAATGGTCGAACCCACAGCAATATCATCATACCAAACGGTCCTCGTACCCTGCGACCCCTTCATCCCCTTATCGTCATGCCACCCATTCGCATACAGGCCGACCCGGAACTGAAACGCCTCCTTCTCATCAACAGTCGTAGCGAGATTCCGCTCATCCACCACCTTCTTCCCATCATACCACACCACATAGGACCCAGTATCATCATTGCGCCAGTCCGCCAGCAGAACAACCTGGTGCCACTCGCCAGCAGTCACCTCAGGTAAGTCATCAAAGCTCTTGAGGTCCGAATCACAGGCACTGCCCATCTTAAGACGCGTGTAAAGCCTGCTCCCCTTCAGCCCGACCATCGTCGTCGGCACGTAGTCGTCGCAGCCCGAGCCTTTGAAGTCCGCGATGAACTGCGCCAGGTTGTAAGACTGGTCGTCGGCGAAGTCCCACGACTCGTCTAGTCGGAAGCGGAAGCCGTATGCGCCCGAGTCGCCCAGCTTGTAGACGTCTTCCTTGTATACCTCTGAGTGGTACCGCCCGTCGTAGTCTGGGTCGAAGACTTGCGTCATTTTGAGAGAGCTTGGCTCGCTGTAGAAGATTTTGGTGTCGACTTCCACGGTGCCCTTGTTTTCTTCGTTTGCGCCGTCCCAGCCTTTGTTAGTGCCTAGGTTTTTGAAGGCTGCGCCGGCTTGGGTTGGGTGGGCGAGCAGGAGGAGGCTTGCTATGCATGCTGGGAGGAGGGTTTGTGGGAGGTGCATGGTGGCTGCTGTGAGGCCGTGTTCGAGACGCTCCCTTCGACTCGGTGGGTTGGTTTTGCGCTTGGAGGCGGTGTCTGGGTGGATGGGCGGGTTCTTACACTCCCTAGACGCAGCGGAAATCCATCGTTCCTATCAGCCATTCAACTTCAACAGGAGATTAGGCTCCTCTGTTATACCCCCCGTAGCTGGAAGGATTGTGGTGCTGGAATTCGGACCCCAGATGCCAGTAGAAGGATTCGATGGTCCGCTCCACCTGTCTGATACGTGCCTTGGATAAGGAAGGTATGTTAATTGGCATAGCTAAAGTATTAAAAGGGTGTCTGATTGTCATACCGCGGGTGGTAATATCTGCAATGCAACTGCAGAGAGCGAAAAGGTAGCTGTCAGGCGACTTGAGCCAGTCTTATCAGCCATGATGTGTTTTTGACAGAGCCTTTTCGTGGCGATCGCTTGGCCTTGTAAGCACGTCCATCATCAGGTTGGGCATATAAGGGTCTCGGGTCAGATTGAAAGTGTATCGAATCGCTCATGCAATACTACCATAAACTCCATAGTTCACGGCATGATCCAGTGCCCATAACAAGATTGAACAACACAGACAAAACACCCAATCTACCATAGGTTTACCCCGCGAATTGAACTCACACTGTTTCTAGGATGGTACGCTGATCCCCCCTTCCGAGAATTATTAACACGGCTGTGTACGCCCGAGGGTCGTGGCAAAGAATCCTTCCGCCCCATTCGATCCACGACCTACTGTCCAAAGCGGTAGTAGGGGCAGGCGATGATCCAAATAGGTGACTTCAACGTGCATCTCTGCAGGCCCTCCGGTTTCTAAAAACTGTGGATTAAACTCCGACCAGAGCAGATATCTAGGCACGTGGTGCATTGCTCAGATCCTGCGTGATCCTCAGATATCCACCAGCGTCTCCCATGCCTCATGTATACCCTTGTAGTCTTGGCTACGGCATTGCATCCCCTGTTGAAGGATCTTCCTTGCCTTGCTTTATTCCGGAGTTTCGTTCCCACCGAGGATTGCATTAAGTACCTGTCACGTCATCCGCCCATGCACGTTGAATCAAGTTGCTTCCCTGGAAGGGCGTAAAGTGGATAAGGAGAGTCGGCATGGACCCCAAAAGCAAACGAGGAGCTCATCTTGGCACTCGCGCGCTAGACAAAGCGCCGAGGAAGTGGGCGTGGGGTTCTGCAGGAACAAAAAACAGGATCTGAATCCTTGACGATACCGTGGAATTGCCACGAAGGCACACCGTTGCAAGCGAGTCTTGCGCCGTCGCATGTTGGGGGAAGCGGCGGGTGGCGAAGAACGGCAGACCAACGATGCACGTATCGTAGTGATAACTCACACTGGAAGGAGTCGAATTGATCATCGTGGGGGACGGGTCCGAGAAGGATTCAACTTGGCCTGGTTTGGGGGGGAGTATGGAATATGATGAGTTCAAGGGCGGGACGGAGACCGGGGGGGGGAAATATGTCGATTCTGCAGTTACAAAAGGTCAAGATGACTGGGGTTTTATCACCGAAACAAAGATAATCGGACGCACTTGGGTTTTGAGAGTTGCTCTCTCTAGACAGAGGAGTTATAAAAAAAAGTTTATACGACGTTGTAGAGTCACAAGTCCATTCCTAGCTAACATCCATTTTCACACCATGCAGAATAGTACTTTTTCCCGACAATTGCAATGCTCTTTACTACCGATAAAAGACATCCTAATTACCCTGTCTGTACACATGGCTGCCCGCCCAGGAAGAACCTACACCCACCCATACAGCACCTCACCAGAGACCCCCAGCAAAACCCAATACCGTAGTCACTACCAACAAAGCAAACAACCCCCTCGGCGTCTCTCTCTGCAAACTCCCACCAGAAAATAAAGAAGAGCCAGTACTCCTAGCCTGTCCAGAATCGCCCAAGTCATCACCCGGTCCCAATCCCTCCATGCCACCCTGCACTCCCTCGGCAGCACTAGCAGAAGGCCCAAGACGCGAACTTCCGGAACCGGTTTGGGCATTATCGTAGCCAATAGAACCAGTTGACCCAGCAGGGACAGGCGCTGTCACACTAGAAGCACGATAAACCGGTAACAAGCCATGGGACACGCGTGACCCACTAGGCATCCGATCCCAGGGATCCGAGCAAGAAACCACTGTCTCTGCATGCACAGTCTCTCGAGCAGGGACGTAGCCGAGCGTCACGGGCGGCGGAAGCGGAATGGGCGTGAATCGGGGTTGTGCTCGGGGTTTGCTGTGTATCTCTTGGTGAAGGATTCCTTGGGGGGAGGTGTCTTTCTCGGGGAATGGAGCGTCGCAGAGGATTGTCTCTGGGACGGCTATGGTCGTGCGGTGGGAGAGGGTAAAGCCTGTTCCGTTGACGGCACAGACGGCGTCGCCGGCGGTGGGGTCGGACTCGTAGCCTTGATATTGGTTCCTTTGGTCAGTATGGGTTTGCTTGAGCTTGTTGAGGACGTGGGTGTGGGTCTAGTGGTTTGCTCTAGATATAGATATAGGCCTATTCAACGTGGAGCAACGGATACGTACAAACAGCCAATTCCGCAAGTTCCTCCGGAAGTATATCAGACAATCTTAATACTCTCGTTAGACTCAGGCAATTTTATTGTAACACGTGCGAAAGGGAGCCACATACTCAATACTGCAAGATCGGATCTCCGCGGTCGTGGGTCCCACACAGGATATGGTTGTTGATCCGGCTAGCGATCCATGAACGCAGTAGACCCCACCGGGCTTAGAGCACAGAAGGGTGTTCCTGTTCTCATTACTGAGCATCATAGTTAGCTCTTTGACTCTTCGCGCATGGAGCAGTCCTTACTATCCGATCTGCGAGTACACGGGAATGGCGAAGGCTAGAAGTGACAGGAACTTGACTAAGAACTTCCCCTGAGCCATTGTGATGCTTCGGAGGTGTATTGATCTCGAAGCTTTTGGATCGGGGGATGTCTGAGAGTTGAGGTCGTTATTGCTGCCGCGTTTGTGTGTTGTGTTTATGAGCAAGCAACTGGTGATTGTGGAAGTGAGCGTGCCGTGACGCATATTCGACACATCCTGAGCAGAATAGGGTTATGTCGCCTTCAATGAGTCTTCTTCCTCAGTCTATTGCATTGAAAAAGTAGCGGCGTCATAGCATGCTAAAGTGTACTAGGTATCCTAGAGAGTGTACCTAAATAGGTGATGCTGTCTTATATTCCGTTCAATCTACAGAACACAGGGAACTTGACAAAACAGCCCGGCCCTCCATGAATTATTGCTCACAACTGTCCTTAATACGCCAATACATCAAGTGGCGACTACACAATACGGATACCTACAGTCCAGCGCCAACGCTATACACTTCATGCACGGAGCCAACAGCCGGAGAGGCACAACCAGAGAGTCATAAAGCATGATCGAGTCTGCTAATCACAATAAAGAAATATCTATTGTATATCGCTAAAAACCAATAAGAAAGCGAATGTCAAGAAATAAACCGCAGCTTATTTCCCAAACACCTTGAAGCGGTCCTCGATGGGCGCAAACTCCTTCTTACCGGGCTCGCCGGCCGGCGCGCCAAACACCAGCTGAGCGTCCAGCTTCCACGAAGCAGGGAGGTTCCACTGCTTCTGGATACCCTCGTCAATGAGCGGGCTGTAGTGCTGCAGGTTGGCGCCGAGGCCTTCGCTCTCCAGGGCGGTCCAGACTGTTCAATTATTAGTATTGAATTTTCTGAGATAGGAGGAAGCTAGGTGGAAGGAGAAAGAACATACCCAGGTACTGCGACATGGCGTTCGACTCCAGCGCAAAGGGGTCGAACTTGTCCGCGTAAAGGGCGAACTGCTCCTTGATGCCGGCCAGGGTGTCGTAGTCGACGAAGAAGAGGACCTGCTCTCTTGTTAGCGAGGGTGGCCCCAATGGGAGAAGGGGAGGAAGTGCCAGTCACTCGGTGACTGGGTAGGGAGACATACAGTGCCGTAGGCAGCGCGGAAGGCATTCAGCTTCGGCTTGGTGTGGTTCTCGAACATATCCTTGGGCACGTGACCGGCGGCGACGAGCCCCTCCATAGCCTGGATGGCAATGTCCCAGACCTTCTGGTGCTCCTCCTTGAGGAGGAGGACCACGCGCGAGGTCTGAGTGTTGAAGGAGGAGGGGACATGGAGGACGGAGTCACGGACGATGGCCTCAATGGCGTCGTCGGCGATGGGGGACTCGGCCTTGAGGCCGTAGTAAGTGCGACGGGCCTTGACCAGCTCAAAAAGCGTGGTGGTGGCGGGGTTGTTGAACTGAGGAGCGGTGGAACCCATTTTGGCAGGTTTGGTTTGAATTTTTCTTTTTAGTTTTTTTAATCGCAAGGAATTGAAATCCGAAGGTGTCAAGTTTGTGGTGGGTGGGCTGGATACTATTTATGTTCTGTTAGGTAGGTCGTTGTTTGGTGGGATTGTTTCCAGATTGATTATCAATGCCCCTCTTTCTTTTTGACACTGATTGATGAGCATGATTAATCATTTTCAATCCACTTAAGTTTTTGTATAAACCACATTAAAGGATGGGGTGGGTATGTTCATTTCTTCTATCACTTTTCGACCCTCTTCCACCATTGGGATCCAATAGAAAACAAAGGCAATGTGGATATATCGGCCGAGTCAGCAATTCTAAGCATAAGCTTAACCATTTTTAGTCAGGGGGCAATTCGTCGGGACTTTGGATGCTTTGATCGGATAAGATCACCATTATGACAGACAGATGGTAAAATATCAAGAATGAAACAGAACAGCATAGAAAAGTATATGCTCTAGAGTTTATTTCCGCTCATACACACTCATCATATCCGTTCCCTTCCCACTCTCATACGACCGCCCCGGCATGAAATATTGCACTCGCTGGAAAGCCCCACACAACCCGTCCGTTGCTGCCTCAGGCGGTTGCGAGATCCCCGCCACTCCGTCTCCCCCGCGGGCCAGCAAATCCCAGTGCACACCGTTCACACCCCACGGGGGCCCGTCCTGCAACGGATCCTTGTACATGGGGAACTCGAGGCAGACGAGGACCCCGTGGGGTTGGACTAGTTGTGCCATACGGGCCGCCCATTGCGGACGCACATGCGGGTGAAGGGCGCAAAGGAACTGTGCTAATATCAGCCAGGTAAAGCGAGGGGAACTGCGGAGTAAATGGGAATTATATGGCTTGTGTGTAGTGCGTTCATCAACCAAGGCAGAGTGCGGGGTCCTAAACGGGAACAAAACGGCGAATGTCCGTATCTGAAAAAAAAAAAAAAAAAAACACACCGTATAGTCGTATACAAGGTCAAACTTGACCCCAGCATCTGAGACCTCCCTCTCCCACCCCGACTCGAAAAAGTCGCCCACGATGAAGGTGGCGCTTCCCACGTCTCGCGTTAAAGATTGCGCTTGATCAAAATTGTATTCCTGAGGACGGCTCATCTCGACAGCGGCATACTTTCTCGCCTCCGCGACGGCCGTTGCAGATATTTCGAGCCCGTACGCGTCGAAGCCATGCAGGGCGAGCATAACCACGTCGTAGCCTCTTCCGCAGCCCTATACTATCTGTGAGATTATCACTATCATCCTGTTGGAGCATCGCCTTCAAACAGGCGCAACATAATGACAGGGGGGAAATACCGGGACAAGGGCCTTCTTACGCCTTCCATCTGTCGTAGATGGAGAAAACGCTAGCGGCTGCTGCTCGATGAGATCAATCAACGCCGGTGAGGGCTTGCCCCGGTCCCATAAGTCACTGTTATTGGAGTCCCAGAGAGCGGACCACCCGGGACCATGATCCTGTACGGGTCTGGGGTGTAGAATTAGCGTGGATCTTTAAATTGTATTGACGTGTTCTGGTAGAAGGCCGGTTTACCGCTTGAGAAAGTGGCTGATAAGTCGGGTGGGCTGTTGGGCGTTGGTGGGGTTTGGGAAAGACATTGTTAGGGGTTTATTCACGTATTCAAGGACACAGTTGTAATGATCAAATGGGGATGGAGATGGGGATGTTCAATGATATGTGGCGCTTGGCCTGTGGAGCCCCCCGCAGGGCCTTTTGCTATTGTTGTTTATAATCAACAACTCAATTGCATTGCACCTTCGAAGTGCTCATAAATATCCCAATACAATCCCAATGATATTCCAGATTTATTGTAATTTAGCCCTGAGGCTCATGGATCACTTGTGTAAATTATAGATAGTGAGTCGTCCCCATTAACCGCATCGACGCAGTGATTAAACGACGAAGAGAAAAGTCGTAACTCTATAATCTAACCCATATATACAGTTCTCCCAGATTCAAATATGCAGTACAAAATGCTACGAAAAACGATGTCCTCCTATACTCCCAATCGAATCCAACCGCGACGGAGGCAAATAAGATATCCCAGCCTCCCGTGAATTAGACCTCTCCAACGCCGCAAGGAACGCTTCCCGATCGTGAATATTTTGATCAATCGATGTCTGAACCATAATGTCTCGCGACGGTCGGCGCCAAGGGTAAGCTGTCCATTCCGCCGACGGGACCCGACACACCTCGGACCGTACCTCGGTGTGGCTATTCTGCGAAAAGTTCGGGTCTGCGTACGGCCATTCCTTGTGGAAGAAATGCATAAAGTCCGAGGATTTGGTGGACGAGGTGCAGACTTTGCGTCGGATCTGCTCCGGTAGTGGGCACCGGTTGAAGAAACGCTGGAGGAGCGGGCGCATGAGGACGAGGGAGGCGCAGATGATGGCGAGGTTGATTTCGAGGGTGGTGTAGAGGGTTTCAAGGGAGCCGCTCCCTTTGGGTTTTTTGGTCAGCTAGGTTATTGGGGGGGGGGGGGGGGGGGGGGGTTGAATGTGTGCGCTGGGGGTGAGGGAGGGCGTACGGGTGAAGTTTGTCGGATCGTAGTTTTTGAGCTCTACTAATCGCATTAGGCTGAAAACGCAGACTCTGTGGAAGCGTTAGTTGACTGGGATATAAACTGATGGACGAAGCTAGGGAACGGTGTGCATACAGTGTTCCCACGGAAAACAAAAGTGTCAATTGTATCTTCTGCTGCAGAACCAGCTTCAACCGCCATACAACCACCACGGGTAACAGCAACAATGCCACATCCTCTCCCAGTGATAGCCCCGCGGTGGACATGAACAATGCCACTTGATGGCTGATACAGTGTCCTTTGATGTTCCCCCTCCAGTAGCGTTCGACGGGCCAGCACTGGAATATGTGCGCAAAGATTGCCGCGGCGCCCCAGGCTAACGTATAGAAGATTAGGACCGTGGTGATGACGCGGACCCGCGCTATTGTACCCAGGGTTTGGCGCATGAGCATGATGATCGATAGCTTAATTAGGATCTGGCCTGTTGCCCAGAACTTTTGCTCGAGCCAGAAGGCCTACCATAGTTAGTATCATCGCTGTTATCAGCGCGCAAGACAGGGTGTGAAGGACGCACAAAGGTCGCTCGAGAACTACTCGATGGGGGAAGGTCATGTACATCCTTGCCCAACCCGCTGAATACCGCTTGAATAGAGCATGGTGTTAGCCGCATATCACGCCGATGATGAACCAGAAGAAAGGCGAAGAAGGTCGAACAACTTACTGACAAGCACGCAAGCCAAAAACCCATACGTCGCCAGCAACCCCAATCCCATAAACAGATCCCCAACGTCGAGCCTCCCGTTCGTAAATCTCCGGCTGTACAATCGCAGGATATAAAACACGGTGGCGATGACACTACCTGCGACGGCGACGCTAACGACGGTACGATTCCAATAACCGAGCTCGACCATACTGCCAATCAACAGGTTATTGGAGACTGTCGCGATGGACGATCACGCCGTATAGGTGAGGCGGCGCGCATCAGTGGTGGCTGCGAAGTCTGTTCCAATCGAGATATATATGATAATGTCCTAGACACATAGAGGAGAGAATCTCTGACTTTGTTTCTTGGTACTATAATAATAATTGAAATAAAGATGTAAGATACGTGCTGTGGTAGCCATGATCTCGAATCCAAATTAGGGTTCACAAGCCGAGGCAGACAGTCTTGATGTCATCCCGAGTTCCAAAGAGTGGCGAGACCACTCAACACAAGTCGCCTCCGCGAAGTTCCATCCAACCAAAGGCAATTCTAGATTCATTTCTTTGTTCAAAGTCATCCAATCGGGGGATAATCGGATACCGGCTAATCTATTTGACCATCTACGGCCCGAGGATTGGATGGAGACTCGGGCCATCCGAACCCGAGCCTGAGAACTACTTAACTTTTGGTGTTTAACTGACCTAGCTGTCAAACGTGGGATAATGTAAATATTTTCGTATTCATGTACAAGTCAACAGTCGAACCAAGGATGAAACGCAACCCTATCATCCAATCGTGACCGTCTCCATCGCTTCTTGGGCTTTCTTCGCCTTCGCCCTCACCCGGTCGTCCCCTGGTGCCTCGGCCACCTCTCCAAACCCTTTCTTCCAGAACTCCCACCTCTCGGCACACATTGTAGCCGGTCCATGGTATAGCTTCCCACCAGCCAAAGCGCGCTCCTCACTCTGATTTGTGGATGTAGCATATCCGACCAGCTCCTTTCCGGCATGCAAGACCCACTCCGCAGCTGCATCAACATGCATAGCACCAATATCCTTGTCGTCGCCTCTATTCTCGAGTGCATCACGCATCGTCCAGACCGCAAAATTCACCCATGTGATGGATGGAAGAGCTAATAGACGCGCAGCAAAGGAGTTCAGATTGACCCACTCTGTGCGCGCCTCTTCTGGAGAGTCGGTATCTGGTGCTGAGCAGATTGAACAGGGTCTGTGTCAGTAAAGCAGCCCCCTAGTGCCATGCTATTTGGCAAGTGACAGGAAACAGATGGGTACTCACTGATCCATGCTTCCCTCATGCTAGGACCAAGAATAGGAAGGTCAGTCCAGACTTTGCTCTTGGACTGTAGACAGTAAGATCAATGAGGGTATTCAAGTTGATTAGAAAAATAAGAAAGAAATTTAATGTGAAATAAATAAAGTCAGCTGTAAGAAAGTATTTTTGCCCGTACCTCCCAAATAGATACTGTTGATGCAGGTATCGCCGTGAGCGCCTGCAGCACTTCCACCAGACGGTCCAGACCGTCGCTGGGAAGCTGTTTGGCTAGATCGATGACAACGGCCCACGTTTCCCATAGGAACGACTCAACAGACGGGCCATCATTCTGGGTGTTGGAGATCGGTGCTTCTCCGAGCTTGTGGATTGATTGCGCGACTGTGGCTGCGGAGGTGGAAGTGGATTGGACGTAATCGGAGAGTAGAGTAAAGAGACGGGTCCCTGTCTCTGAGGGGGATTTGAGACGGAGGGAGTATGGGCCGGATGTCATTGTGCTTGAAAGTCTGAATGATTTTTACCAAAGATCGTGGGGTGAGTGTCCATTTCGTAGATTGACCTTGAGTTGTTGCCTATTTATTTGGCCGTGATAGTGACTTGCGGGGTTGTTGATAGTGAATGTAACCTCTTGCGAGACCTGAATGGTCAGGCATCGCTCCCACGAGAATGGTGAAACTGTCACGTGTTGCCAGCGTCACGGGGATCCAGGATTGACTCTTGGCGCATCTCATTTCTTGACTTCTTTCAGTTCTCTTGCTTTGTTGTTCTGCTGCCTAGATTCTTCCTGGGTTGATGACCACTCGGATGACGCAATCTGATCTCATCTGCCCCAATCAAATCGGATCATCTCTGGTCGGTGCTCAACTAGGTTTCCAGAACTTCTCCTCGTCGGGTACGCCCTGTATGGATCCACGGGTCAAATATTGGAATCTGGGTAACGATGGATGTAAGAGACAGATATGCCTGCATATCCCTTTCTCACGCTGCCCATACTACAAAGAAAAGAGGAAAAAACAATACCTCACACGGACTATAAGCCAATTATAACCATTCCTTCATGCCAGTTCAACACACCAACGTTCATGCAGCATGGATCGGCGGCGCATTCCCCCTAAAATGACTAGTTCGGCTGCTGGCATGACAAGACTGTGATGATCACCTGGATGGTATTTCCATGCCACAGTGGTTGGCAAGGGTGCTTGATGGGCCAAATGTGACGTATATTGCTCCCTCTCAGCCCTATGGGTCATAACTTGGTCCTTGGATGGACAGGAACCATGGACCAGCGCGGACCTCCATGCCAACCATGCGGAAAGCGAGGGGTTGTATGGTCGGCCCTACGCCTCGTGTCTCGAAGTAGGAAGTGAAGACCCGCCCGGTCTGACCGGGCGAATCCAAGGAGAGCTAGCCCCCACCAGGGAACGCAGACATCAGCTAGCCATGCCCTGACAGTCTTCGGCCGGGGGAATGTCCATAAATGTTATCTCATCCCAAGTTTTGCCTCTTCGCTTCTTTCTTTCTCTCCTGATATCTATAATCAGTCGCTGCATTGACCGCTCTCGAAGACTGTCTTCTGGAGCTCTTTGGTCCAGCTCCCCGCGACTCAGGACCCATTTATCGGGGGCGTCCCGACCACCGTGGAACCGAGTCCCCACCTTTTTCGATTTACTACTCAGATCCTTGGCAACAACAGAAGACAGATTCCCGGCTTGAAGGAGCCGTCACCGCTCGCATACCATCGCGATCATCCCAGATACCATCCCGATAGACACGTTAAATTGATGTACTATCCATATTCCGCGCCTCCGCCCCAGGGCTGGTCTGGTGGCTACCCTCCTGCGCAGCCGTGGATTCCTCCGCCACAACCGTATAAGAACCCCGCCGACGCTCATACCAGGTAGCAATTTTGACTGACGGATCTATCCAGTTACCCCCAATACCCTTCACCGGGACCTCCACCACCGCAACAATATCCTCCACCACATCCTGGCCACTACCCTCACCCGGCATCCTGGCATAGTCACACACCGACACCGCCTCCCCATCCGTCTTCCCCCTACCACAGTAAGTCGAAGCCGACCATGTAGCAACAACTCGATTGACGTCGGTGCGCCTCCCACTGCTCACACTACGTAGGACCGGCACACTCATGGGCCCCTTCTCTCCCGCAGCGGCCACCCCAGGGTGCGCAGCACTTCGGCCATGGTGCTCCGTCAAACTATCGATTCCAATACTCGGATTGTACCGGCCGACGCAAGGCACTTTTGATCGGTATCAACTATATTGGCCAGCCGAACAAATTGCTTGGCTGCATCAATGATGTCTCCAATATGTCTGTGTTTCTCCACGAGAAGCATGGTTACCGGCGAGAAGACATGGTGATCCTCACCGACGACCAAAAGAATCAACTGAGCGTCCCGACCAAAGCCAATATTTTGCGGGCCATGCACTGGCTGGTCGAGGGAGCGCGGCCAAACGATTCGTTGCTAATTCATTTCTCCGGTGGGATTCAACAAAACGCAATGACTTATACAATCGCTCATTTATTTTTCAGGGCACGGTGGACGGACTCCCGACTTGGATGGCGATGAAGAAGATGGTAAATTTGTATCTTGGGTTTCGCAGATATGTGACTGACAAATTCAAGGATACGATGACGTTATTTACCCCGTGGACTACCGCGTAGCAGGACACATCGTGGACGACGAAATGCACGATATCATGTCAGTCTAGCCCCCCCTCTCAATATTGCGGTGCCATTGACTCTAGACAGGGTCCGTCCTCTGCCGTCAGGCGCTCGACTCACAGCGATATTCGACTCCTGCCACTCCGGCACCGCCCTGGACCTGCCCTACGTGTACTCCACCCAGGGAATCCTCAAAGAGCCCAACCTCGCCAAAGAAGCCGCGCTGGATCTCTTCACCGCAATCGACTCTTACGGACGGGGCGACCTGGGAAGTATAGCGCAGACGGCGATTGGATTTTTCAAAAAGGCTACCAACGGCGACTCCGCCCGCCAGCGGACGGTATTGACCAAGACTTCTCCCGCCGACGTGGTGATGTTCTCCGGTTCTAAAGACACGCAGACATCGTGAGTCTTTCCCTCTTTCCCTCTTTCCCTCTTTCCCTCTTTCCCTCTTTCCCTCTTTCCCTCTTTCCCTCTTTCCCTCTTTCCCTCTTTCCCTCTTTCCCTCTTTCCCTCTTTCCCTCTTTCCCTCTTTCCCTCTTTCCCTCTTTCCCACTTCCCCTCTATCCCAGTCTCCATTTACTTCTACAACTTACCCACTAACCAAAAACACAGAGCGGACACCTTCAGAGACGGCCAAGCCCGCGGCGCCTTAAGCTGGGCATTCATCAAATCTCTACAAAAGAACCCGAATCAAAGCTACCTACAGCTTCTGAATTCGATCCGATCGCAGCTTGACGGCAAATATACCCAGAAGCCGCAGCTGAGCTGTAGCCATCCGCTAGGTGAGCCCCGCTTTCTTAGTGTGCATTGGATGTCCTCAACTTGGAGTCTGACCCAGTCCGTAGATGTCAATCTGCTGTTCGTGATGTAACCTTTCCAGGCTATAGATAGTCTGTAGTACCTACAGTATGTGATATGATTTATGCATGTTTGCTGGTGTTTGTTTGTATTGTTGCATATTCGACTAGGATGAAGTAATTGGATGGGAATGCTTTTGTCCTGGTCACTGGGGCTTATATATCATGTAGAGGACACTTTGTGTCTACCCTTCTTAGCGTGGGAGATATGTACCGCTTATTTATAACTCGTAGGATAAATGTTTAGCTAGTAGAAAGACGATGCGAAAGCCATATCTCTTATTTGTAGAGGTAGTCTGGTAGCTGAAAAAATATACAATAATATAATATAATAGAAGAGAAGAGAAGAGAAGGGAAGGACCTCTGCTTTCGCATAGATGGCTAACACAATTATCAATTAGCAGCACACCACACAATTTGACATTCAATATTTGAGAAGTTGAAGACGAGGTGTATGGAAGACGAGGTGCATTGATGAGTATCTCATCGCCGTGGAGGCCAACTGAACATCCAAGGATGGTCGTTGCTGTTGTTGTCAGTGGTGGTGGTAGTCTGGGGTAAGTTGCGTAGCGAGTCTAGGATATATGTGTTTGTGGGTATATCTCCGCGGGAGCAAAAATAGTCTAGTTTATGAACAGGTTGTGGACTACTTGCTCTGGGGATAGACTCTGTGGAAGGAATAGAGGTAGAGGGGTAGTCCTTGTTTATGCCATGTTCTTGTTGTCGTCTGGCTCGTGTGTTGAGCTCAGGAGAACTGAGGATCCACGGTGGAGGAGAGGCGTGTCGGGCGGTGACCTGGTCGAGGGAAATAACCGGTTGACCGTATATTGTGAGGGGCGAGACCTGCTGGTTAGTTGTTGTTGGTGTTGGGTTGGTCTGCAGGGCGGGGTCGTACAGAGTCGATCTGGTTGTCGATGGCGTTGAGAGTGGGGCCTTGGAACACAGCGCTCGTTGGATTGTGCAGCGTGGGTTTGGGAGCCAGTGGTTGCCTGAGGAGGACTGGGTGTCTCCGGTGGCTTGGTCCAGTCTGTTTGCTTCTTTCTCGTGTGGTGGCGAGGAACGATAGTTGTCTACGGGGTGGGGGTCCTCTGTGGGTGGATGTGGATGGTGGAGGATGTTGAGTCTGCCTTCTTGTTCGGCGATGAGTTGGTCGTCGAGTGTGAAATGTCGTCTGGGAGGGAACACTTGTTCTTCGATGGGGGGACTAGTACCGCGCTTCGAGGGGGAGTATAAGCTAGGCGAGTCAAGGTGTAGAGATTCTCGATCCGGAAAAGGGGACAGAGACCGGTCTTCCCAGAGTCGTGCATTCCTATCATCTCCGAGTGGCGTGTCCAACGGCTCAGAGTCCAGAAGCATTGGCTGGGACGAAGCGAGTCCTTTATCGGCCAATTGGCTGCTCATCCGTCCAGCGTTTGGCCGCTGTCCATCGATCCTGATATCCAATTTGTCGATTGTGCCGACTTCTGATAGGTCATCCTCCTGTCGGCTCGTCCAGACTATCTGGGTATCTCCTGGTCGAGATTGGTGAGAACTCAGCCTCTTCCGGTCAGAGTCCGTCAGCCTCCTTCGTTTGCCGAACCGTCCTGTCTCTTCTACGGGGGCGAATGATATTTCGAGCGGACGGGCGGCTGAGACAGCGGCCCAGTCAGACTTTTGAAGTAGCTGTTGCTTGAGGAAGTCAGTGTGGGTTGTTGTTTTGAGTGGCGAGGGGGCAGTGGAGCATGGAGGTGCGATTGGGACACGATCGTGCTTTGAGGAGTATTGGTTAGTGTCTTCTGAGTGGTCCAGACAATCAATTAGTGAGCTAACCTCTTCTTGTGTCTCTTTGTGGCGGAGGACTTGCTGGGTGTTAGCTGTGAAGAGCGACAGATCTGGAGGGCTCGCCCGGGCTTTGAATCGCGACTTTGATTTCTGGAACTTTTGCTTCCGGTTGTTTAGTTGGGTATTTCCTTGGTTGGAATGGCGTCGGAGACGGCCTCCTATCCAGTTCATGGTGTATTTGGGGTTGTAGGTGTTCACACTGTGAATAGAGAATAGGGGGAGGCTTGATCAGGCCATAGATAGCGATGCGCCAGATACTGCGATCATGTGAGCATCAGATATATTGTATGTCGGGACAAAGAGACAACGAGAGAGACAGCGAGCGTGGGCATCATTGAATTCCTGTCAATCACTGAGTGCGTCTATTGCCTTGACATATGTGCCACTTAATCATTGTATAATCCCGAGAAAAGAGAGAAGATCTCAACCATAAGATTTACAATCAGTAGTACTGCTATTATCATGAGCAGTGGGCACGACAGTATACATCACCCGTCGACAGGATGAAGCACTTCCCAATATGATATTGGTTTGTAGACTTCGACATGTTGTAGCTCCTCCAACCATGTACCTACCATACTCTACAGTATCCATAAACAGATGATTCCATAGGATTGTCCCACGGGCGGCCCGTCCCGATACGAAACCAAACCCAGGCGTGGTTACAGCACGATGGGAGATGTATCAATGAGAGGAGGCAAACCAGGAAAACTACACAAACAGGACAAACAGCCCACTTCCGCAGGTCACGTGCTCGCTTCAACAAAAGCGCGCACTCATCCGGGCCATTTTCTCTCTCCGTCTTCCATCCGTAAATGTCACCCACTCATCCTGATGGCAAGTCACGATGATCAGATTTCCAGCCAATGGATGGTTTGTCAAATGCAGATGGCCATCTTGGGATGCTGAGGGGCAAAGTCTCCCCACCTCTTGACTCAAACAGAGTTCAAAAAAAAGCTCAGAAGAGTTCCTACGATCCAGGTAAGCCCACGAGATTCCTTTTTTATTATATTTATTTTATTTTTATCCCGCCTACATCACCCGATCTGGCGTCATGGTCAAGAGGTTTCATGATGATTCCAATACCAATAAGCATAGTTCACCTGAGGTCTTTGTGCCTTTGAATGAAAACTGTATACCATCTTTCATCTTTGTCTGATATATACTTCTTGACCCACTGTCATCACTGTTACTGTTACTGTTTTTGATTTTGTGTGTCCAAGCGGCTGACTCAGAAATCTAGTGCTGGAAATAGAAAAACCAACAACCGGTCAGGAACCATCAGCGACAAAGAAAGGGAAGGGGATGAACGGTAAACAAATAAAAGAGGGGCAAAAGAAACCCCCCCCCCCTCTAGGCTCCTCCGAAACGGAATGTCCGCCTGATTCCCCTGACGATGTAATGCTGCCCAACCGGGACTTTTTCGTCCTATCGGTCTGGTGTGGTGTGCCACAGCCATGGCCCTCGTAGCGCCTTGTACAACATCCAGTAGATAAATGCCGTGCTCAACCCTCATGAAACGGCCGTCCCTGGGATTCTGCCGCGTACTTTTGCCCTGTTGCCCTGTTGCCCCTCCTTTCGCAGCCTTTCTCCCTGGCGCTGAGACTTGGGCGAAACAAGGCGCATGAAATGCATGATGAAGTATCAGGATGGCGGGGAGGCTCGAGAGTCAACCCACAGGTGATGGCTGCATAGAATCGACGCTCCGACAGGCATTTCGGAGCGTAGTCATGTCGGAGGGGAGGATTGACGTGGATGAGATGAGAGCCAGACGATGATGGATGGTCAAACTTTGTCTCGGTCACGGAGTTCAGGGGACCCATCGTATTGTCCGGAATGATTGATGGAGGGAGGGGGAAGTGGAGAATCTGCCACATGGATCATCTGGATCATTGGTTCTCATCTCCAAGAGTCAAGATTATGATGTACTCAGGAGGAGAAGCATGAAGCGACAGGATGTCGGTGATGTAACGGATGCAGCGGGTCAGACCAATGACGGGACGGGCCCGTCGGGAGTTTCCCGCCTCACCGCTAGACTGAAGGGATCTAAAGTGATCTATCCACCTTTTTCTCTCCTCATCTCTCCTCATCTCTGCCACGTCAATCCGGATCCATTGGTTCTGGGGCGTTGGAGTCACCACCTGGCGCTGCACACTACCTCCAGCCATGTCTTGCAGGATCAAATCACCGTTCATGAACCTCCCCTAGACACTCCCTAGTGAGGCAGTCCGGTTGCCGCAGTCTGCAGCCTGCAGTTCCCGGCACACGCTTGGACCCCTCAGGCTCACCGTGAAGCCGCACTCCTTTTTTCTTTTCTCTCTCAGCAACTCTATAAGGGATCCTCTTTTCCCCTCCTTCTCTCTCTCTCTGTCTTTTCTCGATCATTCTCACTTCATTCTACATCTCTACCACATCAGCCAGATCAGCCAAATCAGCCCTCTCATCTCATCCACATCTCTCTCCTCTTTCAAGATATACCCACTTTGATACACACTCCCCTCGTCTCTCCCCACCATCACTCCATCTTCCCCCTACTATACCCTTTCACTCCGCTTGCTCTTGCTAGCCTCGTCTGCTCTTCCTAGTTCTCAGGTCTCACTGCATTGCAACATCTCTTTATCTTCCATCTCAAGTATCCAACCCCGTGGATCTTGAAACAGAAACATCCGTTCTGGTCATCACTACTATTGCCTCAATCCATTGCCCACTGGATCGCCTCAGTCCATATCCTGGATAGGATTTGCTTTTTCTGTTTTGTTCTGTGTTTATTCCCAGGCTTTAGTCTGAGCAACACTTGAATCGACAGACACCAGGTAGTTCCCTGCTTTTCTTCGTCTGCTTGTCTTTGGTTTTCTTTTCTTTTTTCTTCTTCGTCGTTCCCCCCTTTTTCTTCCTGTTTTGTGCCCAATCGCCAATAATCGACTATGGACCCCACCCTGGCGACTAAGAAAATCCTGCCGGATATTTCCAACGGACCCCCCCCCCTTGATTTTACTATTCCTGGAACTACTGCTTGCTGTGTCAGGACGGCCTAGAGAACTCGTTTTCTGTGGGCCTGACAGACATTGTCTTTCAGCTGCCGCTGTCAGACTGGACACCTTCGAGTGTTGCTTTATGTTGCACACTTGACGAATCCCCTTGGACTATTTCCCCTGGAACACTGGATAATCCACCCTGGATCTGTTCTGCCTATTTATGGACTCTCCCACCCCAAGCCTGGGGTGGTCATGATGATATCACACTTGAAACCCCAGAGGATTACTACCATACCAAACTGGATAACCGGATACCCATCCCGACTTGGACCTGAATGATGAATAATTCTGCCTGGATTGTCTTGAGCCGTGGATTTCAATATATGCATCTAGGACTTTATGCTGTCCTCCGACCAATACCCAAGGATTCTCCTGGTGTCAACTAATGTGTTGCACTTCCATACCCATCGGCCTGTAGTCTGCGACTGCTCTGGATGGACTCAATATATGAACTTTCCCCTGTGATCATGGATGACTCTTTTCGACCTGTAGCTTCCTGCTCAACCTGTGGAATACCGGCCTGAGGTAGAGACGCGACCACTCATAACATCCTGGCCATTTTGCTCACAAGAACTGGACACCCACCATGACCTTTTAACCGGACCTAGGGAATCGCACCGTCCATGTGACGGACAACTTCAAGTGGTTCGTACACTGCCGAGTTAAATTCATGCTTCGTCATTCAACTAACTCAGATCTAGGACAACATCTTCTGGATCTCTGGCTCATCTCACATGATTGATTCGTTCTATGTGCGATTGAAAAGTAGATGTACTGACTTGCCTTTCTCTAGTGCTTATTTTGCTTTCTTGTTTCTCCAGCCACGCTGGATCTCAAAAACACAATGTCTCTCAATGTCAAGCATGACCCCGAGGAGGTCTCTCTGTCCCAGTCAACCCTCCACAACATGGATCACATTTCCCACTGCAGACACAGCCAATTAGCCCAAGGAATCTCCAATATGGCCCCCAGAATGATCCCGGATGATGAACTTTCGAGCCAGGATAGTTTCTCCTTGACTTCTAGCACACACCAGAGCCGTGGAACCCCCACCGACCTCAAGCCGTGGGGTTTGAATGATGTGGATGCCCTTGACAGCGGTCTCGTCTCGTCAAGCAAACCCGAATCCCCTGAGGTCCAGATGCTTTCTTTCTCCATGTCCCAACAAATGATGCCTTCCACCGTGGGACCCAGTGATGTAGTCTATCACACCGGATCTGAGTTCCCCATGGGAGATCACAATGACCTGGACTTCTCCAATACGCAGGATTTCAACCACCACTATTCCTCGCTGGTGGACTTGTCTGCGTTTGATAATGATGCCAATGGCCAAAATGGGAACCAGTCCTGCCCCTCGGATGATAATCTCTCTAGCCATAGCTCGCACGATGATGGCCACATGGCCGCGAGCGAGATGTGGAACTCGATGGTGGCGGACACCCGGAATTACCAGGGGCACTTTGTCCCCGGCATGTTCCCGACCGTGCCCGTGTCGCCCCCGCTGACCGAGGGCGGGAATGACCTCGCCGTCACCACCTCTTGCTCCCACTCTGGATATCCCACGTTCATGTCTCACGAAGATGCCATGCTGAAGGATGTGACGGCGACCCCCGTTGGAAGCCAGGGCATTAACCTAGGCGACCCGCTGTTCCCCCTGACGCCGCCTCTCACCGACCAGGACCCGAACAGGTTAGTGCCCTTGCGATTCCCCGTCCGATATGCTTCATGCTTACCGGGGATGACTCACAGGACCATCCGCCCGTCGAAGAGTGCCCGGAGACCTACCATCCAGACCTCTCCCTCTCAGCCCCCGGCGAAACAGGAGCCGGAGTTCTTCCCGCCCCTTCCCGTGAAGGAGCCGCTGCGCCAGCGAGCCAAAGAAGCCACCGACCTCAGGAATCCCCGTGATCATCCGTACTATGCCTTGCCGACCCACAGTGATGGAAAGTACTACTGCCCGTTTGCCAATGGAGACCGCCCGTGCAACCACCCCCCGACTACCCAGAAATGCGCATACCAGTAAGTTACCATCAGCACATCCAACCCACCAAACATCCCAAGACTAACGAGAACAACAGCAAATACCTGGACTCCCACTTGAAGCCCTACCGCTGCAGGATCCCCGCCTGCATGGATGCCCAACTCCAGTTCTCCTCCAATGCCTGCCTGTTCCGCCACGAACGGGAGGCCCACGGATTGCATGGCCACGGTGACAACCCACACCTGTGCCTCTTCGAGGGATGCGACCGCTCCGTTCCCGGATTCGGATTCCCGCGTAGGTGGAATCTCTTTGACCACATGAGACGGGTTCACGACTACGCCTCGTCGGACCGCCTGAGCTCCCCGGATGCCTCTCCCACCAGTGGCCAGCCCCCGAAGAAGAAGGACAACGGGCGCAAGCGCCGAGTCCCCGGGGTTTCGACGGGCGCGCAGACCATGAAGCGCACCCGCTCCACCCAGTCCCAGACCAATCCCCTCAAAGCGGTCCAGCAGTCCTCTGCCCACCACGGACAGCGACTGCAGAACGCGGAGCGCAACTACTACAACTGCCGCTGCCGTCTGCTGGAGGAGCTCAGCAACATCAGCCCACAGGACTCGTCCATGCACGACAAGGTCAATGCCAGCCTCCAGGAGCTGATCACCTTGGGATTGAACTACCGTCACATCGAAGCCAGCCAGGCTGCCAGCCACATGCCCCACGGTCTTCCCGCTTGAATGTTTCCATCAGCAGTCCACTCCGGATTGCAATGATGTTTTTAAAAATGGACTGCCTCTGACTCCACGCATGAGCAGCCACCTATAGATCTCATCTCGCGCCGTGGGTCAGCAAGGAAGGAAAGCAGCCCGCGCACATATCCAGGCAGACCATCGGATCTATTTCGCTCTGCCTGATGGCTTTGCCATGGACTCATTCCCAGAGATACCGTGGACAGCCCGATGGATCTTATCACCGGCACTTATCTACTAGGGTCGAGCCCCGATCTCGTTGCCGGTGGACTCCACACTGATCCTGCATGACAGGACAGGAGACGTATCCACCGGCGGGGCATTTCTTTGTCTATCTCTTTACGCTGGTGTAAAAAACACGGCTCACCATGTGGCCACCAAAAATTGGGAAGGAATGATTCGGCTCTTTTTTCTTTTCTGTGGAGGCTTCTTTTTGATGTGCAGACACTGCGCTTCTGCACAGACCATTTTTCCAATTCCGGGAGACATTTACTTGCTCGCTCCCTTGTGAATGGATAAATAGGTGATGGGACAATTCCCATCATGTACAGAGATGGATTGTTGTACAGTTGTTGTTCTTGTCTGATTCACAAGAATCAGGCAGTTTTGTGTACAGCAGTGGAGGACCAGACAGATATATCTGGTCTTCAATTTCTTTTGTCTACTTTTTTGTTTATCTCTTTTACTTCACTCTGTTGATACTTTTGTTCGTTTGGATTTGGATGTTCTGTTTTTGGCAAATCCGGTATATATAGTTTTTATTTTCACAAATATTCCTTTTGCATATATCTTTACTTCACCAAAGTAACTTTAATTCAAGGTAAATAATCAACTATAGGTTAGAGAAAGGCATAGTATACTTTTTCATGTTTCTCATAAGAGAATGTGTGTAGTTCGAACATGGCCGGAGTTTATTTTTTCTGCAAACCTGATTGATGGGTTCTCTTCTGGTTTGGAATTTTGATCCAGTCATGGATTGATAGCTGGTTATACTACACTATACTACACTATACTACATTCGATATATGATGCTATGGTAATTTTTTCATTGACTCATTCATATTCGTTTATATGCTTTCCTTATCCTCCAAATCCACCCAATCTACACCATACTATCCAACCTCCTCCTTTCCCCCCCTCTTCTATCTTTCAACCATGATAGCGCAAGGGTAAATGCCAACGACAAGCGAAACAAGAAAACAGACACAAAAATAAATACTATGAAAAAAAATACTACCAAATCACTCATCATCCCCCGCCAACTCCGCATTCAAAAACCGCACAAAAGCCCCAGGAACCTGCTCCGCGCTCAGCCCGCCCGGGTTCGACCCGTAGTTGGAGGCGACGTGCGCGCGGTTCATCGCGATCCACTGTCTGCGCAGGCGTTGCAGGCGCGGGAGGGCCAGGATGCCGCCTGCGCCGGCGAGTTCGTCGGTGGAGCCTGCTGTTGCGATGTGGGCGGGGATGAAGATGGTTTCCGGGGTGTCTGGGACGGGGATGGTTATTCCGGGGGTTGGTTATTGGTGTTGTAGTTTGGGGAGGAGGGGGAGGGGGAGGATTGGGCGAGGGCGGCGGAGGCGGAGGGGTTGGAGAGGGTGAATGTGCGGATGGCGGTTATGATGGAGGAGGTGCGCTTTTCGAAGCTGTAGAGGAGGGAGGAGTCTGTTGCTGCGGGGAGGGCGGTGGCTTGGTGGGGTTTGATCTTTGGGCGGCCGAGGCGGTTGGTGGAGCCGCCTGCTCTGGTTGTTGTTGTTGAGGGGGCGATGCTGGCTGCGGAGGAGAGGTGGGTGTTGGATAGGGCGGCTGCTAGGGGGGAGATGGTGGTCGGGTCGTTGGAGTCTTCGGGGGTGTGCGAGGGGTGCGGGGTGCCGGTTAGGGCGGTCCAAATGTCTGCTGAGGGGGGGTCGGGGTCCGACCAGGGGACGGTGAAGAGGGGCTTGTCCCAGCGGCTGTGGGTGCTTGGTTCTTCGTAGCGGAAGATGAGGTTGTTGAGGAGGGCGGCGGGGTAGGGGTCTTCCTCGCCCTGTTCCGTTTGCTTTTGATCCTCTTGATCCTCTTGTTTTTGAGAGGCGTCGGTACTGTCGTGAGCCGTCTCGGCCTGGGTTTCGGTCTCGTTTTCACCGTCTGCTTTGCCCTGTTGTTCTTTCCGCCGCAGTCGAGCCTCGTTATTCGCGACGCACTGGTCGATAGGAGTTCCAACATGAACCTACCCATTCGTCAGCTATACCCCTCGCACACACCCGAAGAAAGAAAAGCACATACCACACAGCAGGTCGTCCCCAACGCCTTAGCCTCACACCAAAGCTGATACCGATACCCCTTGATGTAGTTCATCCCGTCGAGGATAACGATGCTGTCGCGTCCCAGCAAGCGCCTGGCCCGTGTGTAGGCCACGCCGCGCGTCTGCTTCTCCGAGCGCGCATTGTCATAGACAGTGCGGGGATGGTCTGAGTTGTTGTGTGTGGATACGACGTGGATCTTGTAGGGTGTCTTTGTGGGAGGAAGCACGCCGGTGTCGAAGAGCGTTTGTTGGGCTTCTTGGAGGGCGGTGGAGAGTTGGTGCGCGCGGTGGGTGAGCCCTGAGCAGGGGTAGCCGGTTAGGATTATTAACTGTCTTTTTGTTAGCTGGCGCTGTGTATTTGGGGGGAGGGGAAAGAAGGACGCACCGGCATTGTGAGGGTTGGGAGGGTATAATGGGGTGGGATTGAAGAGGGGTTCGCGATGAGGTTGTTTGGGGAGCGGAGCGGAGAATTTTTCGCGGGGCTGCGGTGGCGCATGTGACTTGATAGCGGATTGAGGATTCACGACAGGTTTATCATCAATGTCTTTTTTTAATTTACTTTCGTAAACGTATATATTACTATTATATGTTTGTAGAAGCTTGTTATGTGTATTGAAATTGTATCAGGAGGCTACGTACCGTCACATACTACTAACTTTTTACAGAACCATCTTGTACCGTGTATATCGTTATATCTGCCCAACAACCCTAACGCCGTAATGCAGGTCTACCACTCAATGCTCACTGTAGCTGATCCTCCGCCCACCGGATCTCGTATCCGAACACCGTCCGCCGGAGTTTCTCATCCTATATTCGTTAGCGAGCGCTCCACCTGCCAGAGCGGCATACACATAGAAGACAAGAACATACCCCCGGATCATCCGAGAACAACACATCATCCATCAACTTCTCAAAGATCTTGGTCACCACGAACCCGCTCTTCTCCGCCAACGGAAAGAACATCTCCGTGCGCGGCAACAGCCACGGCTCATACGGCGTGAAGATAACCAGCGCGACAGCATGCGCCTTCCGCTTCAGCGCCATCTGCATAGTCTTGATGAGATTCGGATGCTCGCGATGGCTGTACACCACATCCGCCATAATCAGGACGTCGAAAGCCTCCGCGCGAGACCCCTCCGCCGTCGGAGGCACAAGCGCCAGCAGCGGTTCGATGGAGTTCCCCCACTTGTAGCCGTCGACGTGCAGGGTCGACCCCGCGGAGATCAGCGGCTTGCCCAGCAGCGCGTTCTGGCGCATGTTCTCGACGAGGTCGGGGTCAGGATAGTCGGTCATGATGGTCGTGCGGGCGCCTGTCGCGGCACTGACGATGCTGGGCACGCCTGCTGCGGCGCCGATCTCCAGCACATCTTTGCCGGCTGTTAGTGCCGCCGCGTGCTGCTCGATGTAGTGGGCGCTGGTGCGGCCTGCGTTCCAGAGGAGGTTGCCCTATTGCATTGAAATTGTGTCAGTTCACTGTGTTGATTACATCGGTGTGGTCAGTTTCTGTTTGTTGTGGGACGTACATAGAGAGGATGGCTCCCGACGAGACGCACGCGCACCGTCTGCCCCGAGAGCATGCGGTGCTCGGCATAGGAGGGTTCCTTCTCGGGCTCGTAGAACCCATCGGGCTCCTGGAAAAGGTCCCCCGTGTCAAGCGGATCGGCCATTGCGCAATTGGACGAGTGGGATCGGATTGCGCAGAGTTGAGATTATCGAAAGCCCCGCGGGGGTCGATCTCGGTCACATGGTGTCACATGACCGGGGTCTTGGCGGGAGATAAGGAGGATGCCCGTTTGCCGAGGCTGCCCCGGTGGTCACTTACATGACCGTATCTTATATTATATTACCAGTACATTAGAGGCAGAAGACAGCAGAGAGAGACGTGGAGATACACCGTCCATACACCTCGGGTAAGTCTCGGTCCTCATAGTCAGCCCTTCTGGAAAATTTCAGAGAATCGATTGGGGGGAATGAATGGATGTCATGGAGATAAACGGAGATCTTCTTCTTGCCGATCGTGCGATCCTCTCGTCGGCCTCCTGAGTCCTGTTTAATTCCCCCTTCAACAATTCAACTCTGTCTGACATGGGACATCAGTCTCCCTGCCATTTTACTCCATCCATCCTGACCATCCAGAGTCTGCCGTGGTGACCGTCTCAGCGTCATCCATTATCCGCTGGGGTTCATTGCCGAACGTCATACCGCGGCGATTCTAGCATATCGCCCCCCCCCCTCACGTGCAGCCCAACTGCAACTTCAACTCTCCTCCTCTCCTCTTCCTCCCCCGCTTTCTCTCCTTCCCTTCCGACAGGCCCCTTTTCCGGACGGCAGTCCAGCAGATATCAACCCCCATCCACCGGGAGTATCACACCATATCTGCTGCAGTGGCCATTTGACGGAGACAGCCATCGTCACCGGGAACAACTGGGCCACTTTCCTCGCCTCCTCTCCAAGACACCCCAGCACCACCGAATATAGATAGGAAGAAGCCGAGCGGGGAGTAAGGATGGCCGACCGGTCGCTACCAGCCGCCCAGAGCCCCGCCCTCGCAGCAGCCGCCGCCGCAGCGGAAGCTGCACCCTTTGCCTTGAAAAACCCGCAAGCCGCCGTTCGAGCCGCCTCGACCACTATGGCCGGTCCCTCGCAGGCTCTCGATGCGCAGCAGCAGCAACAGCTGGCGGATCCAGCCGTCCAACAGTCTGGAAACCATGTCCCTGCGACGGCCGTGGAGGCGTCCGGGCCTGGCGGACCGACCGCCACGGCGCCGTTCCTGCGTGATTTTAGTCTCGTCGCGGAGGCGGCTAAGAGGGCGCAGGTGTCTGTCATGACGCGGGATTTGGAGAGTGTGACGCTATAGTGGTTTAGACGGTGTCTAGACGGGTAATTAGACGGGCGGTCTCTAGACAGTGGTCTCTAGACGGGTCGAGTTATACTAGGTGTCAGGAGATCATCTCTCTGCTGCACTGCGTTGTGGGAGCAGAATGGGGCGGTGGATATATACAGCATGATGGAGGTGAGGTGAGAAGGGAAGAGGAGAGGAGTGCAGAGTGAGGTTGGACAGTTTGTCAGGCTGTTACACGGCCCTGAGACTGTTTGGCTTCTTTGGTTTATGTTTCTTGTTTATTGTGCTTCTCTATCTTCTGTCTTTCTTTCTTTCTTTTTTTTTTTCTTCCTTCTTTCCAGCGTGTGGAGATGGTGAGGCGTATTACCTTTCTTTTTTCTTTTGATTTTTCCTCTTTTTTTCGTTCATTTTTCTTTCATTTTTTTTTTTTCCTGCTTGGATGGTAATTTTTGGATATGGATAGATACCATGGTTGATGGATGGACGATACTACATACTGCATACTACTATACTACACTACACTACACTACACTACACTACCACCCTGCTACTTGTCTTATAATCTGGAACTAGTCTGCGATTGTCTTATCTACAACGGAAAAATTTTAAAAAACTCGAAGAAAAACAATTAAAAAAGAAGACAAGGAAGAAAAAAGACCAAAAGTAAACGAATAGAATCCAACATTCCCACCCACCAACTCCACCATCTAGTTACCGATAACCTCACCAAGGTACCATGTATACAGAACCACCTAGTAGCACCTACTGACTCGACATAGCCCACAAGGCAAAATCAACAGCTGCGCCACCTCAGGTAACCAGCCACCTAACCACCCACCTAGCTAAAAACGTACCCCCAAACGAATCATAAAAACCCAACCCACAACGTGATCGGTCCCTCCGTCCATCCCAATCTTCAACCTAATGATTAACTACCTTCCCTACACTCCACTACACACACTACACTCACCGACCGACTCACGCACCGCTAATTAACCACCTGACTGACTCGGTATTAGGTTGGTAGTAGGGACTAGGAAGTACCCAGGCATTAGGATAGTCAACGATCAATTGAGATACCCAACTATTAAACTTAAACCTCGGCCTAGTAGCCTTGTCTTTGATTAGTCAGTCAGTCAGTTAGTATCTACCCACCCAGTAAAATGTACAGAGCTGGAAAATGGATACTACCCAGGTATCCTCGGTACATACCAAGGTGGAATGAATGACCCTACACCCCGACAACCCACCAGACCAACCGGGCCAATCAATAGGATAATCCGAGTCGGAGAATCCAAGCTGAATCCCAAAACTAACCCCTTCAAGCCTAGTCACCCATCCCTCAGCGACCGTGAAAATAACCTCCACATCGCAGGGTTCTCGATGGCGCCGTGCTAGCCCGCTTTGGGGCGGTTGATGGCGCTTTGGGCGTTGTGGTGGTGTGCTGCTGCTGCACTCTTATGGAAGACGGGCTACACGAGGTACTAACTAACGCTACACTACTACATGACCAGAGCTGGAAGGTGTGGGTTCAGCTGGGATGTGCTGCGCACGCTATTGTTGTGTTGGGCTGGGTGGGGATTTTTTTTTTCTTTCTTACCTCTGGGGGGTTCTTTTTGTTGTCGTTGTTTTTGTTGATGGTTATGGGTTAGGATTTGTTACTGACTACAAATACTATCAAGTATAATGTAGTATGATGTGTTCAAGTCAAGGTTGGAGGCAGCACCAATACATTACACATTGAAGTGTGGGGATACCCCGTGTTCATCTCTCTATACCCATGCAGATGCAGATAAACAAACAAACCAATCATAAACAGAACCACAAGGTAGACATAAGCATATAAAAGGTACAATGATAAAATAATAGTAGTAATAATAGGATCAATTGAATGAGTAGATCATTCTGGTTGGAGCTAGGAGAACGATAATGCCGGACATATGGATGTATGCTTGTATGTACGCTGCCGGCGATATTAAACAGTCGAGTCGAATCAGTGGAACCGGCAGATAGAATAAAACAAGAAGAAAAAAAGAAAAACAAAGCAAAAGAAAAAAGCCAACGCCAAGCTAATGCAAACCTGTATGTCTAATGAGCGAATCGAATAATAGAGCGAGTAGATGGTGTCGACGAACGCCCCAAAAACCAAATGAATGAATGGTCGAAATGAAGGACTTTTTTGATATATGGGCGTGATACCAACAGCGGTTGGAATCAGAAAACAGAACGAGACGAATGAAATGAAAGACCAAAATGCCCTCCCGAACTCCGAGCGAGAATTATAAAAAAGTTTCACACAAAGCAAAGATGCATGTTGAAGGGTGGCGCCAGACAATGCTCCCGTGAATGGAGCATATGTGAGTTGTTGGTGTTCCCGCATGTGATGTGTTCGAGTCCTGTCGATCCTCTCTCTCCCCCTGCTTCATCTGCAAGACGCTGCTGCATCGGAGGAGGACATGCAAGGCACCAAAGTATCTCTCCTATCTCTCCCGAGAGATGGGATGGGAGTACCCTCAAGTGTTTTTTGTGGTTGTTGGAGGCTAGATCTGCGTCGACGCGCCGATCAGGTTCGGCTGCGAGATACTGGCGCCCTGGCCAGGCTCGAACTTCCGACGCTGCGAGGTAAACCGGAACATGGATAGGCGGCGACTGAAGCGGCGGGCGGGCGGGGTCCAGGCTTCGAGCGAGAGGATGGATTTGGGTCGGCCGAACGGCGGCTGGGGGGTGTCCTCGGTGAAGGAGCCGGCGCTGGAGGCGCGCTCGGAGCCGGTCCCGTCGAACATGACGCTCGACTGGCGCCGTTTGGTGCGACTGCGGTCTGCCGTCGCGCGCGAGTCGATCTGCAGGGTCAGATCCTCCTTGATATCGTCGAGGGCGTGCGAGAAGCGGCGCAGGAGCTTGTTGTTGGCGGGGCGCTCCATGATGGAGGGTTCGCGCTGTTCGAGTCCGTACATGTGTAACGGGGTTGAGTCGGGGGAGTCGTTCCTCATCGGGGTGGAGTAGTAGCGCTGTTGATACTTGTGCTGTTCGACGGGACGGCGGCGGGGGATTGTCGGCCAAACTTGAGTGGGAGCATGTTGAGAGATGGGACTACCAGAAGACGAGGAGGTCGACTCGATGGATGAGGAGGAGGTAAACATCTTTGGATGTGAATGGAGTAGTGTGGTGGTAGTGGTAGTGGTGGTCTTGTCGGTAGATCTATCAGATATATGTACAAGTCGTGTACCAAGGCTGAGGGAGTAGGAAGGATGTAGGGAGTAGTAGAATACAAGAATGTACAAGATGATCAGGGTGAAGTCACTGGAGAAAAGGAAGATCGACCAAAACTCCCTCGAAGTAGACCGTTCGTTTGATTTCCGGAGTAGAGACGGGGATTGGGGGGGAGTAATTAATTATAGCAATGGAGGGAGCAAACTACACTAAAAGAAAAGGGAAAAATAACAAAAAAAAAATAAAACAGAGAAAGAAACAAAAATAATAAAAAGAAGAAAGAGCATTAAATGGAAAATCCACCAAAAAGGCTAAAGGGGGAACAAACTGAGAAGGTGGATCGGTATAGAAAAGGTACATCGATACCAACCAAGCCGAGCACTTCTAACTGCAAAGAGAAGGTCAACTCGGTCATCACTGATTCAAGGTCGCCGTTACTGGTATGGAATTATGGATCATTGTCAATCTGACTAGATACTTACTACTGAGATACCTAGTAGGCAGTGTACGGAGTTAGGTGGACGGGTACTTCGAAGTACCTCGAGTAATACTGCATTACCACACATTCTGATGTACTTTCTTGTACTCCTCGATGTCTGATGTGGAGTGGAGATTTCACCATCCTTTCTCTCTTCCTTTTTCTGTCTTTTTTTATTTTTCTTTGGTTTCTTTGATGTTATCGTATTGATTATTATTAATATCGATTCATTTAATTAGATATATTCAAATTATCAAAATTCTGTTGGATGTATTATTCTTTTGTCCTAACGATGTTGGTTTTCAGGTCCATCTCTCCCCCCTTCCATTACCCACGGATTCATTGTTTGGTTGTGGTGGATAAAGAAACCCATTCTTCTCCTCTCTACTCCGACCTTGTCCACTTCCCTCGAACTTCCGAAACGAAAGAAAAATAATCATAATAAAAAACAACAACCCTTTCTTACCACAGGATCTGTATCTTCCGTATGATCTCCTATCCTTCTTCTTCTCCTACCTCACCTACATACCAACCGTCCCTTTTAGGAACAAAACCGATTGGAGTTGGCCAGCCTTGTCTGAGCTGCTGATGGTGGCGGCGTCGACTAGTATCATCCTAGTTCCCCCTCCGTTTTCGCCAACGGACGGGAACACATCTATAAATAAGAGTCAATCTGAAACATACATGCATTGACGGGCTGGAGCTCCCGTAATCCATCGGTATTGCTCATACGAACCGTCGGATCCTCCCCTCTCCGTTCATCATTGACCCACGGATCCGAGGGAGACCGCCAGGACCGAGAAAGAGGGAGGAAGCTCTAGAGACCCAGGGGATGGAGAATCTACTGTGTCTCACTGCCTCCCTGGGACGATGTACACAGGAGGTAACATTCTGGAATACCCCATACTTCCCTGACTTGACATCATCCCTTATTGTGATGTGGTGATGATGATGTTATTCCTGTCGATCTAGGGAAATAGTCCCGTATTCTTTACCCCTGACCAGGGAGAGAAAAAGAGGAAAATGAGGTGGTAACGTTACGGTCTCCTATAGTGACTGACTTACTCGTCACGTAATCTAACACAAACATCCCGCAGCTGAAGACTAACCGAGGGTGGTTTAGACCGAACTATAGTTAGTTGCTTGCCTGCTGAACGAGCCACATTGGAAAAACTCTTGGCCTGCAAGGTGAAACAATCCCCTCCCCATCCGCTCTCCATGCCAATCATACTACGCAGATCTGTCCACAGCCACAGGGAGAGAGCTCAACATTGGCTCAAATCAATCCCCGAAAGAGGGACCATCGGTGGATCAACGAGACCGGTCATGGACAATGGAGATTGGAGAGGACCTTTCCCTGGTGTTTCCGGCCAACCAACACGGGAAATCAAGCCATCGTGATGGACCCGGGCGTCGATCTGATAACATCCGACTCGAACTCCGTAGGTACTTGCCGTTCCACGGATCCCTCCTATTTGGTAGGAGAATGAATGGCCGTACCATCAACCTCAGGGGAAGAGAGGTTGATCATCCGACCAGAGTTGTTCGTTCCCCTGCAAGGCATGCCTGAGGCTCTCAGATGGGTTTCCGGAGTTATGCCGGATGCATATGCATGAGTATTAATCGGGCCACCATGTTTCGTGCGCTTCTTTTTTCTTCTCTTCCTTCTGGACTCTCGGTGTGGTCGCACCCCGACACTCAATCTCAAACCCGCTAGACGGAGAGTCAGGAGAATATAGACATTGATTCATTTCGCAAAACTTGGTTCGGATGGACACCCTTCTTATCCTCGCGGTATTGCCAATGTCACCCGTGCTCGCCAGGTCCGCCCCGTTCTAGATCCATGTCCCTCGCCATCCCGGTCGCCAACGTCGTCTGGTCATGGCGCTGGTCCCCACTTTCATCGGTGATCGGAGACGACGGATATGACAGCTGCAACCCCATGACAAGATTCGTCACAGATGCTGGCAATGGTGAGACATCCTTGCCTCGATTGGGCACAGCGCCATGGATGGGTCCACTCGGCATGGACAATGCTCCCCACCGATACAGGTGCCTGCATAGCATGGGTATGGAAGCTGGGTCCCCAAAACGAGCCTGAGAGTCCATCGCTGCCGATCCATCGTCCAGCCTTCCCGGTCTATCATTCCGAACGGTGGGGAACGTTGGAATGCTTCGGGGACGCCGCAAGGTATTAATGGACATGGGAACCCCGACACCGCTGCTGCAGTGCCGCTGTCCCAAGGCGGCCTGGACCTGAAGGCCCACGCCCCATCTATGGAAACAGACCCAGCCAGAAATGGAGGGGCCCTAGCATGCCAAGGGTCTTACACAAGTGGACAATCTCAGCCAACCATATTCCCGCCATTGGCGGGATTGTGCTACAATACGGCAGCAGCCTGTGCACCTGTGCAAGGTGTCTCTTCGTTCGCTAAATACCCATCGGCATCTCGTTCTGTCCACCGCCGGGACAGCCGAAAATGTCTGACTGGCCTTGGAAAAACCGCTTGATTTGCAATGTTTACCTCGATATGTTGGTTGACAATGGTCCACCACACCCTCTTTGATCTCACGTGGCGACCCCGCTGCGCAACCAGCTTGACGGGAGTAAGAACTGCGAGCTTGTGAGGTTCGTAAGTCGGGCGCCGGAGACAAAGTCGCCAACTACAGATCTATGTTCCACAAACCCCAAAAAGTCCAAGAAAAAGTAGATTAAATTACACACCACCTGAACAAAAGTGTCTCTTACTTACAACAAGTTGGGACGCCAGGCGTCCTGTGTGTAGCGAAGACCGTGGGGATGATCGAGTTCATGCTACGGGCATTACTCTCCGTTCGAACCAGTTCTGCACTGGCATTTAGACCGGTGTCACCAACACCATCTTCCCTGTCACTTATTTGCTGACTACGAGACGCCGAATCGCCAGGCCACCCAGAACCTTGGCAAAGGGCGAGATGGCCTGTGCGACCTACTCTCTACACCAGCGACCTCAAGTTTCCTCCCAAGGCCGCAACCATTACTCTCCATCCCTGAAGTGTGATACCTCCTGCACAGCCGAAGTGCTGCGTCCAATGATAGTATATCGGCAGGGGTCTTGACGACAAAGCGAAGAGGCGTGAGAAGGTCGCTCAGTCCTGCATCAGACTGACCCTTGCCGCTTCGGCGGTTGTAGCCAAAGATGAATTCCTCGTCTTGAATGATGACGCATGCTGCGTAATCAAGCTGTCACCGGTTGGATGTGGAAGGTGCGTAAGATCCCCGAGAGTCTATATCCTGCAACAATAATACTTCCGAATCGATGAGACATGGTACGTCCCATGGAGTATGCACCGCCTATCCTGATACAAAATAAGCTTCATCGTAAGTTTCAAGCACCGCCTAATTGCCTCGGGTATGGACTTCCTTGGATAGAGTTTGTGGGACGCAAGGGATGCCCAGGAAAAACCACCACTTGATGCCAGGGATCGATGCAATTTGCGCCAAGATAACAACATTCCTCATCTTACGAGATCTAAGCACCGCCTTCGAGCCCCAAGAGGTTGCATCTTCTCTTACTCCAGCGCTTCTATATATGTCACGCAGTGCGCCTGAAACGAAGGGGCTGGGCTGCGGACATCTCTGCCGGAATAAATACAAGGGCCTAATGGTAAACAACCGAATCGGTTTCAAAAGTCCCCATGGACAGTTCATACATCAGGACTGGTTTGAAGAAAAAAAAATCAGAACGCATAATGCCCATCTATTCTCAGAACGGGTGGCAATTTGACTTCCTTGCAGTTCGTGGAATTGGGTGCGGCTGGAGGCGCATCGTGCCTGCATGTACTCCGTGATAACCACCAGATTAAAGTCTCCAGCCATGCTTTCCAATATCATCGCGCAAGGGTGCCGTGAGCTGGCACCGGCCCAGCGTCACAGATAAACAGCCTTATTATCTGTCCAGCTCGTAACCCGTGGAGATAGAGTGATCTCCGACGGCACGGAAACGCGTGTTTGAAAGGGATAAAGCGTCTAGGAGAACGTTCGATGGCCCCTGTCAACGTGGCTCGTCTCCTGCAAGGGGGATGGATGTCTCGGGGGCGGTCGTGAGGCAAGTGTTTACTCAGTTCCTTCGTCGGAGCATGCGCGTGCTTGCCGAATACAGGGAGGATTCATACCAAGGGCCCTGGTGTAGCTCGGCTCGCAGGGTTGGATTCCATTTTAAACACTTCATCCATTCCCTTTCTGCCCACCGTTGCCCTCCACTCTCCTGCACGCAGCCTGAATCACTCACATACTTGCGATGGCTTGTGACAATCCACCAATCGATAACAAGGCCTTGGCGGAGACTATCGACGAGACGCAGCAAATTCCGGAGAAAGACCTTATCTCGCTACTCGACGATGTCGCCGACCGATTCCCGCATCACGATGCGATTCTTTCCCTGCACCAGACGGACAATCTCGAGTTAGGGGGGACTGGATCTCCTCCGAAGCAGACCCGATGGACATATTCGCAGCTGCGGAAGGGGAGTATCCGGCTGGCGGCACACTTGGCTGCCAAAGGGATGCGCCACGGAAGTCGCATCGTCGCGGTGTTCTTCAACGAGGCCGAATGGGCGCTTCTCTTTTGGGCGACGGTGCGGCTCGGATGTCAGTTTGTGCCGCTCGACCCTCGCGTCCTGGATCACAAAAAGGATGCGCTACACGTTCTGAACAAGGTGCAGCCGGCGGCTGTCTTTGTATCCAACTCTACGATGGCGGAGCGGGTTGATGGGATCGTGGAAGACATGGAACATCGACCCTCTTTCAAGTGCGTTGCTTCGGCGATCGATGACGTGAATACTGGTCAGGGATGGACGACGATGTTGAAGGCCCTCAGCGACACGACGGATGGAGCGCTCCCGGCTGATACAGTTGGGCTGAACGATATTGTTCTTATCCTCTTCACGAGCGGAACCACATCACGACCCAAGGGGTGTCCGCACAGTGCGATCACAATTGGATCGCCCGCCTTGATGGTGATCGACCAATTTGGGTTGGATCCAGACCACAGCCTCTGCCAGCACCTACCGTCCTTCCATATCTTCAACATCTTCCTCAGTCTTGGCTTTTGGCTGAGCGGTGCGACGGTCGTGCTGCCGAGCGCGTCATTCGACCCGGCCAGCTGCTTCCGAGCCTTCGCGACCAGCCCCAAAATGCATGTCCCGTGCGTCCCGTCGATGGTACAGGCGCTGACAACCTACGCGTCCTCGACTGATAAAATGGCCACCTCCTCTCCCTTCTCCATTCTTCTAGGCGGCGCCCCTCTTACGCCGGACATCCTGGAACTCAGCCGCACCCTACGAGCAAAGAAGATCACAGTTGGATATGGGACAACAGAAGGCGTTGGGACAGCGATGAATGTGATGGACGCCAACAGTCTCGATGTTGTCGACGAGGAGGTCTGCCTTGGGACAGTGAAATCAGGCGCCCGGCTGCGGTTCTGCCAGCCGGGCAGCCGCTTGCCGATATCGAGGGGACAGATTGGTGAGGTGCACCAGGGAGGCCTCCCGGTGTTTTCGGGGTACCTGGATGGAAGCCCGGAGGAACTAGCCATGTGCTATCAGGAAGAAGGGGTCAACTGGTGGGCCTCCGGGGACCGGGGGTATCTGGATGAGGAGGGTCGCCTTTTTCTCCTTGGAAGGTACAAGGACCTGATCATCCGCGGGGGCGAGAATATCTCTCCTGTGAAGATCGAGAATTGTCTTGGGAGGATGACTGGAGTTCACGTATGTACATCACTTAATTTCGCTGTCTGCGTCTTTGACTCTGGGACTAATTGCGCTTTAGAGTGCCTATGTGGTTGGCGTTGCTGACACTGTTGCCGGCGAGGTACCGGTGGCGGTCATTACAAGAGACAGCCAGAAACAGGTAGCTACCAGCGACCTTCAGGCTGCTGTACTCGCAGAGCTTGGTCGATCATTCTCGCCCACAGTGATATTAGATTTGCACAAGGATCTCGGGAGAGAGGAATTTCCGACGACGACCTCCGGGAAGATACAGAAGCCCAGTCTCCGCCAATGGGTCACGGACTACTTGGAGCAGCACCGCAGGATCGAGCAGTCGTCCCACGACGTTCTCACCGAGCTCCTTGAATGCTGGTCTGCTGTGACAGGTCTGGCGCGGGAGGCGATCGACCCTGATGCTAGCATTAAGACTTTTGCGGACAGTATGATGATCATCCAGTTCTTCAACATGGCCAGCCGGAAACTTCCCCGATATGCCAATAGCACGCTCACGATATCCGACACCGTCCGCCAGCAGGCCGAAATGCTACAGCGGAAGAAGCCAGAGCCGACCGAGGTCATTGTCGGCAGTAAATGTCCCGACCATGAGGCCGAGCCCCTCGACCAACTCCGGGCCGAAGAGGTAACGACCTCTAGATTGGCACCGCTCGGCTTTGGATGGAACGACGTCGAGGAACTCATCCCCATGACAGACTACTTCAGTCATTTTGCCCGGATCCCAGTCAGACCATACCATTGGAACCCACGCATCGCCCTGGTGGTGGACTCGTCCATCAGCGAGGCGGAGCTGAAACAAGCTCTCTATCAGTGGCTGGAGCGACACCCCCTCTTTCGTGCAACGACTGTCACTTACGACGACGACTTGGACCTGTACGTAGTGATGAGCCCGAGCTCCGGCTGGTTGGAAATGCAAGTGACCGACGGCTCCGCCGTCGACAACGTCGCTGCGCTCAAGACTTATCGCCTGAACGACGCCTCCTGGGACTGGCTCTCTCGGACTGGACCTCTTTTGAAAGCCACTCTCGTCCCCCTTCGCGATCCTCCGGGCGCAACTGGAATCGTCCTCCACGTCCACCACATCATGTTCGACTACCACAAGATCCACCGTGCCCTCCAAGACCTAAGGGACCTCGTCAGTAATCTCAGCAACAACAGCAACGCCCCCCTGCGACCCTTCCACCACTACCGCTCTTTCGCCCGCAGCTATAGAGCTTACCGCAGCAGCTCAGCCGCAACGGAAGACGTCAACTTCCACGTGCGCCGCCTACGCGAGATCTCCAAAGACCCAGCAGCCATCTGGCCTCCCCTGCGCCAGGACAGCGACCTCCTCCCGCTAGACCCCTCCAAGCGGCGCGCGTTCGATACCGTCAGCCGATCGGCCCCCTCCCCGAGATAGGGCACGTCCAAGCCCGGGCGGGCGTCTCAGCAGCCATGATAGGCAAGTGCGCCTGCACCCTCGTCAACCTCCGACACACAAAGGCATCAGAAGCGATATTCACCACCACCCATTCAGGACGCCTGTGGCCCACGCTACCGCCCTCACACGACGACCACAAGGCCACCGCCCCAGCCCACCCACTCGAAATCGACGGCCCAACCCTCGTCTGGCGCCTCGAGCGCGTCCCCGCGCCCTCCTCCCACGAAACAACCATCCAATTCCTCCGCCGCGTCTCCAAATCCCAAGACGAAATGGTAGCCCACACCCACGCGCCCCTAGGCAAAGTCCTGCGCGGCCTCCTCTCCCAACCCCCACAATCAGAAGGGGAAGAAAACAAAGCAAACAGCTCCGCAGACACGACCCTAATCAACCGCATCCTCTTCCACCAGCTCTTCAACTGGGTCCTCGAGAAAATCAACAACGGCAGCATGAGCAGCACAGCGGATTCGCCCCTCCGAGTCGTGGACATGCTCTCGCAGGCGGATCTGAGCCTCGTTTGGGCGCCTTGTCTCCGCCCCGATAATGTCTGTGGGCTGGATATTCGCTACCGCCATGGGCAGTTCGAGGCGGGCGAAGTTGAGAGTCTTGCGAGGGAATTCTTGGATACTATGGCTTGGTTGGCGGAGCCCGGGAATTTGGATAGGTCTGTTGTGGAGTGTGTGGTTTCTTGTGGGGATGTTGCTGCAGCTGCAGCTGCTGCAGATGGTGTTGGGAATGGTGTCGCAGACGGTGTTGAGAATGGTAATACGACCGCAGCAGACGGTATTGGGAATGGTACAGTGGGAGACGGCGCTGGAGACAGTAATGAGAAGGATGAAGATGCCGATAATGAGGGTCGACGGAAGAGGAGAAAGCTGTGTACTTGATTTAGTTTGATTTGATCTGCTTGTTCGTTTACTGGTTGGGTTTGTGTGCTTGTGTCTCGATTGTATACTAAGAGTGCTGTCTATCGTATAATGTTACTATTGCTTGGTGAGTTGTTTGATTTGAATGCTGTAGACGCAATTAGATATGGTACTCATGCTTTTCACGGTCAGTCTACCATCTTAACATCTATCTATCTATTCATCCACTTACTGTAAGTAACGAAATTGCAAACTAAAGGAGGAGTATACTAGAAGAACACAACAACAGTTAAAAAAGAAAGAAAATACCTAGAAAATTTAGAACAAAAAAAAAAGAAATAAAAAAAAAAGAAATAAAAAAAAAGAAATAAAAAAAAAGAAATAAAAAAAAAAGAAAAAGAAAAAGGACAGTAAAAAAATAGATCAACTCCTCCCAGGAACCTCCAACTTCGACTTCTCCAAACATAACCTCGCCAACTGCGCAACAGAAGGACTGTTCGTGATATCAAACAGACTCAGCGACGCCTCCATCTCCCGAACAATCCACTTCCGAACCCCAATCGCCGACAGCGAATCCACCCCGCTGACCATGATCGGTTTGCCCCGGTCGATGTCCTCCGCGGGACACATGACGACCTCTGAGATGCGGTGGACTAGGGCCGTCTCTGCGGCATGGAGGGCTTCGTCGTGGGTCCGGGCTGTCTTGATTGCTTCACCTGGGGATTGGATTTTCGCTGCGATGGTGGCGGCGGCGCCGGCGGGGAGGTGGTCGGACTGTGTGGTGGTGGAGGAGGCGGCGGCGGCGCGGACGAGGTGGGAGAATTTGGGATCTGAGAGCCACTCGAGGCGCTTTTGGTCTGTTGGGTCTGCCGGTACGGTCATCCCTGTTATGATGTGGTCGCTGACCGGGCGGGCTGGGTTGTTGGTGAAGATGACGGCTGCGAGGAGGCGGTGGAATTCTCTCTCCGTGATGGCTTCGCTGCCGAAGGTGTTGCGGACTTGATCGCGTTTGGTTGCGTCCGTCGCGAGATAGCCTATGTCCCAGAGCGGGGCGAGGTCGATGGTCGTGAAGGGTGTTCCTTGGGCGCGCTGCGACTTGGCGAAGGCGTCGAGGAAGGTGCTCGCTGCTGAGTAGGCCGCTTGGCCGCGGTTGCCGATTATACCTGCGATAGAGGATAGGGCGATGAAGAAGTCGAGTGTGCATCCTACTGTCTCGAGGACCTGGCTTACGTTCCATATGCCGTGAACCTTGGGGCGGATGACGGTGTCATATTCTTCGAAGGTCATGCGCTCGAATAGGACGTCCTGATTTGCTGTTAGTGCTGTGGTTTTTCAGTCTATCAGTTGAGGTTGTACTTACTCGTAGGATCATGGCGCTGTGGATAACTCCCACCACGGCTGGCATCTCGCGTAGCTGACCCAGGAGTACTGTTTCGACTTGGCCTTTGTCGCTGATGTCACATTGCACGGCATGGACGTTGATGCCTTTCTCTTGCAGGCTGTCCATTTGTCCCTGGATGGCTGCAATGCTGGTTTTTTGACGGCACACGAGAATGATGTTTCGTGCGCCGTGGCTGGCCAGCCAGGACGTGATGCTTTGACCGAGGCCCCCAGAAGCACCGATCACAATGTATGAACCATCTTCTCTGAGATGCTCCACCATCCGAGTAGCCGGGCTCACCTATTCCAGATTAGCAAGGAGAACACATGCTACATTTTGTTGTATCGGTTGTTGGGGAGGAAAGAGCTTCGGGGCTGTAACCCGATATCTACATACCTTAATCATAGACTCCTTCCGAAGCGAAACCACAACCTTGCCAATGCTGCGCCCACTCTGCAGCATCAGGAATGCTGCCTCCACATCCGAGACGCTGTACCGCTTAATCGGGATAGTAGGCTTCGCAAGCCCATTCTCAAACAGCCCGAAGACATTGGAAAACAGATCCTGCATCAACTTCGGCCGGTCTCGCGCAAAGACACCCATGTCTACAGCCGTGAACGAAACATTGCGGTCAAAGGGCAGCATTTCCATGTGCGAGTTGGCCATTATGTCCCTCTTGCCAATTTCGACGAATCGCCCGAATGGAGCAATGCATTCGAGAGAAGCCCGCATGGCATCTCCGGCAAGAGAGTTCAAGAGGACATCCACTCCTTTCCCGTCTGTAGCGAACTTGACACCCTCAACGAACGACAGATCACGACTGAAGAATATCTGGCTGTCCGGAATTCCATAGGTTTCCATAAGAAACTGCTTCTTCTCGACACTCCCCACCGTCGCGAAGATATTGGCACCAACAGTCTGTGCCAAGATGATAGCTGCCTGGCCGACGCCTCCAGCGGCGGCATGGATGAGCACGCTCTCTCCTTCCATAAGCATTGCTGCGCGGTTCAAACTGTAAAACGCCGTGCAAAAGACGACCGGTATGATTGCAGCAACCTCCAATGGCATTTCCTCTGGCACAACCCACGCGCCTGCTGCCCGACAGCGAGTCTTGCTGGCTAGACAACCCTCGGTGATGGCGCAGATTCTGTCCCCAACCCGGAAGCCTTCAACGTGCTTGCCAACCGCTGTGACCACTCCACTGCATTCGATACCAAACCCATCGACTGAGATTTGGTTATTCGCGTGCATCACGTCTTTGAAATTGAGTCCAACAAAGTGAACATCGAGTTCGAGCCAACCATCTTCCAGGGGTTTCAGGAGCTTTTCGTTGTCTGTGAAATAAAGAGAAGAGAGCATTCCGTATTCTCTGATCGCCAACTGAAGGGGCCTACCCTCCTGGTATAGCTGTTGCTGCACGCACGAAAATTCATTGGGATCTTGGTACACTGCGCGGTTGGTAAGAGTGTCCTGTTTGATGCGTGGCACAGAGACGATGCCTTTTCGAGAAACAAACTCAAGATCAACCTGGTCTGTGGAAGCTTCTGGCCCAAATACGTATTTGAATACGTTGAGTACATCGTCAACCACATTTTGTGTTGGGGATGTTTCGTCAATATCTGTGTCAAGCGTGGCCAAAGGTAAGCCTGTTTCCGAGCGGACTGTTCTTATGAGACCGGCAGACATGTTGGCGGCAGCATTTTTACATCCGGCATATGCGTCACGAACAATCCACAGTGCTCCAGAGGCTGTTGTCAGAAGATCTTGGATGGATTGGAACACCTCTGGTGTCGTTTCCGACAGCAATGGACGCTCCACTTCCCCGACAAATATACACAGGTCTTCAACCTTCGTGTCTTGGGTCAGCATCTGTATCTGGACTGTACTGCCGGTCATAGCCTCGACTCTCTCTGCGAGGGCAGATAGAGGGAACCATTCCAGCTCTTCATGAAACACGAGGGCTACCTTTCGGCCCCACAGTGCGTTCTCTGACCTGACAGCGGTCAAAACACTCCAGGTGCTTTCCACAAGATCCCCAGGAGCGTCATTGACAGAAGTATCCGCACCAGAGAATCCGGCTGTCTGCAGCATCTTGGCATATTCTGCTGCGCGATCAGAACCGTTTTCGGTGTCATCTTGTCTTTCTACCAAACACTCAGGCGACAGAAGAACTTGAGGCAGGTGGACGCTCTCTGACAGAGAATCTTGAACAGCGAATAGCTTTCCGCCACTCTTGAGCACTTTGTAGATATTTTGCAAGACCTGCTCCGTTAGACAGGTACGATGAAGATGGACAACAGCGGCGTCGAATGACCCCGCCTGGCAATCCTGGCTTAAAAGATCAGTTGCCAGGTCTAACGGCTGAACGCTAACAAGATCAGCCCATTCTTGGATCCTAGACCGGGCGCCTGCCAGTGAACTTTCGGGGACGTTTCCTAGGATGTATTTTTGAAACTTCGGGGGCTGCCCTGTTCCTCCACCGCCGAGGCGCTCCAGAATAGGAAGTACTGCGCTGCCTGTTGCAGCTCCAACCTCGAGGATAGCCATTCCCGGATTTTGGTTCGCCATCTTATCAATGCAGTCCGCCATCTGCTGATAATTTTGATGCAATGAGCCCACGTCCACGATGTACTTCCCCAGCCCGCCGCGCTTTTCTATAATAGACAGTGCATCCAATTCCCCTTGGAGAATCTGCGGAAGCTGGTCACCAAGGTCGCACACGATTTCTCCGGAACCTCCCAGGGCATACACCTCTTCGACGTTCGGGGGTATATCGGATGCGGAAAAGCTCGGATTGGAACACCACGCCAAAAACTGGGGGTGGCCTGCAATATAATTCTCTCCTTCATCTTGAGACACAGCCCTCACAGCTCGTTTGACGTAATACTCTGACGCCTCTTTGAGCAGCCTCATCTTTCTACTGTTTGCCAATTTGTTTCCTTGACAGCCGGGTCCGCCGCTTGATAATTGATCCTTTTTCATGAACCCAACATGCGGAACCATGTCAAACTTGTAGCATAGCTGGCGTTCGAGCACGGCGCTCCCTGAAGTATCCTTATCGAGAATCGGTGTCATGACAAACCCTTCGGCTTGCAGTATCAGGCCTTCGGGATTCGCATCCGAAACAGCCCATATATTCAGGTTCGCGGGCTGGTCCGTGCTTATCCTACTGGAGCATTCTCCATAGATGCGCAGTCGCTCCCCGGTAGACACACGAGTCTGCTTTGGGACTATAAGGTGCTTGATAGAAGATGGGAGATACTGTTTACCAAGATCTTTCGACCCAGCACCTAGCACTGGCCAAACAATCTGGAAGCATATATCAATCGTCGTCGGGTGAAGAAACAGTTCCATTGGGTATTGGTGGGAAATGTCCGAGGCAAGGTCAGGGAGTACAGCTGTGGCCATTGCATTATCTTTGTGGACATAGCACCCATCCAACGCTTTGAAATAAGGGCCATACTTAATCCCGTGGGCAATAGCCTCGTCATAAAGAGCTTGCGGGCTGATCTCCCTCTTGCAGGCTGTCGTGATGGTAGATAGCTTCTGGGTAACTGCTTCTGACTGGCTTTGGAGGAGCATCTCGCCATTGATCGGATTCGATTTCAATGAGTTCTGAACAGAGATAAGCCCGTGGCAGTTCTCTTCCCACCCTTTATTTTCCGTCCACGACGTAATGTGAAATTCAGTCCATGTACTCGATGTATTCCGTGTCCCTTCTGCATGAGGCTGCAGCGAGATCATGACCTCCACAGCACTTGTGTTGGGGACAACAAGTGCTTTGCTGGCTGACACCTCCCTGAGATTGAATGTGTTGTAATCGATGTTGTTTATGATTGCTTGTTGCGACACTGCCTCAATTGCCATTGCGACATAACCAGCCAAAGGGTATACGTTGTATCCGTCAAATTGGTGATGTCGTACCCAGGGGTGATCGTCTGCACGAAGGATCATCCTCCATTGAGGGTGCAGCTCATTTGACTCTACCAATCGTGCCCCGATCAATTCATTGCGCGGGAATCGCGGGTGGTTAGTGTTTTGACCGATTCGCGTAGAATGCCAGTAGGGCTTGGTGTGGTTCCACGAGTAACGTGGAAGGTCAGTCAATAGACGGGGCTTTGGCCCGTCAGCCTGGGGGAAGTTGATCGCAGGGAAGTTGAGCGCCTGGCTATGAAGAAATAGCATTCCAACCATGTCGTGGACTGCTTCCACGGCATCTTTGTCCTTGCGCAAACTGGCGATATAGCTCGGGGGGTCTGCAATACCGTCTAGCTTGAGGATGTCCTTGATGGGACTTTCCAGAGACGCCGACGGGCCTATCTCCACGAGACAACTAATTTTCGACGCGGACGAGGATTCTTTCAATAACGTACTCAAACCCGTAGAGAACAGTACGGGGGATACGAAATTTTCGATCCAATACGAGGGCTGAAGGCTAGAGCCAGCGAGTCGACGCCCACGTGCAGAGGAATAGAAAGCTGTATCAGAATCGGCCGTCACTATATCCTTGATAACTGCCTGATACTTATCCGCAACTTGTTCCATGTGGTGAGAATGGTATGCCACATCGACCTTCAGCCTTCGGTAGGATATCAACCTCGAATCCGCTAATTTCTGTAGTTCCGCGAGGCCTTCCTGGCTACCTGAGACCGTAATACTGCGTGGGCTATTGATGCACGCAATGGACACACGTCCTTGTGTGACATCGCTCACTAAAGCTTTGGCATCATCCAGGGAGGTGCGTACGACCACCATCCCACCCTTCAAATTGGCGTGATCCTTTCGTAGTGATTCGGCAGCCAAACCACGCCCGAATGCAAGGGTCAGGGCGTCACCGAAGCCTACGACACCTGCGGCGTATGCGGCTGCAATTTCACCACTTGAGTGGCCGATAACAGCTTTTGGAGTGACCCCCCATGAGCGAAGAAGGTCCGTCAGGGCAATTTGGATAGCAGTGCATGCAGATTGGCCGATTTTGGGGCGCGATAGCAACGACTTGAGCTCATCCTTGAAGAGTTCATCTAGATATGTTAGATCAAGCTACCCAGCTGAGAAACTGGAAATTACCTGTCAAAGTAAACCCAGCACGAAGACCGGAGAGATGCTCATCTGCCTTGCGCATAGATTCCGCGAAAACTGGGTAAGCACTAAAGAGTTCCCTCCCCATGGCGTACCACTGAGCTCCCTGGCCCGTGAAAACGAAAGCAACTGTTGCTACCTTGATAGATCGACGGGCTTGGATTTTCCCATCTAAAACGGAAATCAATTCTTTCGTCGACCGAGCGGAGACCGCTGCTTTCCATGGCAAAACTGTGCGTCGCTCGCAAAGTGTATAGGCCAAGTTTGCGATGAGTTGATTGTCGAACTGTTCCGGATGAGCCTGCAAGTAGGCCTTGATTCCTTTAGCCTGACTGAGTACCGCGTCTTCGTCAGACCCTGAAAAAACGTAGGCTCGACGTATCGGTGGACCCCTTTTCCGCGGAACAAGAGAGCGTCTTTTCTGGAGGACAGGGGATTGCGCCGGCTCGGAAACTGGCGCCTTTTGCAAAATTGCCATCGCATTCGTCCCTCCAATGCCAAAGTTATTGATACACGCGTATGACTTTCCCTTGGGCCACGGGACTAACTTTGTGGGTACCTAGACTCCTCATATTAATTATCCCAATCGCTTAAGCTTTTTGAAGAGCAGTGTTGACTTACCCTCAAACCCCACCGATCCATGGGAATGTCATCTCTGCACCGCTCGAAATTACAGTTCGGTAGTACGAATCCTTTCTCTAGCATCATCACGGTCTTTACTACCGAGACAATACCGCTTGCCCCCTCCGCGTGGCCAAAATTCGACTTCACCGATCCAACCAGTAAGGGTGTCTCCCGTGGTCTATCATGTCCGAAGAATTCGTGCAAGGCACGAGCCTCGATGGGGTCTCCAGTCTTGGTGCCTGTTCCGTGAGCTTCAACATAGCCTGTCTCGCGAGGGTTGATACCAGCGGCCTGGTATACTGTCTCCATAAGTCTTTTCTGAGCTTTACTACTTGGAACGCCGATCCCCGGCGTATGACCATCCTGGTTGATTCCAGTGTTGGCTATGACCGCGCGAATGGTATCACCGGCGGCGATGGCATCATCCAACCGTTTAAGCATGACACAACCAACGCCTTCACCTCGGCCAAAACCCGAACTTCCTCGATGATCAAACGAGAAGCACTTGCCGCTATCGGAGAATAACCTATGCGAGGGTTTAGCATGTGTCAAAGGTCCCACAGTCGCGGTCTCCAAACTACCTTAATAAAGAATATGAGATGTAATAATCGGGCGTCAGGTTCAGATGAGAGCCCCCGACCAGGGCATGAGTAGACTCGCCGCTCTTCAAGCTTTGACACGCCAGATGCAAAGCCGACAGACTGGAGGAGCATGCTGTGTCCACGGTCAAACTCGGCCCCGTGAAATCAAAGAAATGCGAGAGCCTGTTTGAGAGAAATGATGCGGCACAGCCTGTCGCCTGAAAGGTTGGGGTATTCTGGAAATCCCGGAAGTTGCTCAATTCATAATCGCTGAACGAGCCAGCGGCGAAGACTCCAACCCGTTCCCCTGCGACTTTCGCTTTCGAGATCCCGGCACTCTCGATGGCCTCATAGGCGCATTCCAGCATCAGACGCTGCTGGGGATCGGCCGCCATCGCCTCCTCCGCAGACATCTCAAAAAAGGCGGCATCGAAATGCGCGACATCGTCCAGGAAATGACCACCCCGGGTATTCGTGGCACCCTGCTGGTCAGGGTTGGGGTGATAGTATGCATCGGCTGAGAATCTGGAAGAAGGGATCTCAGACCATGCACTTCGGGCTTGACAGCAGAATCGCCAGAATTCGTCAGGCGTGCTTATCTGTCCGGGCAAGCGACAGGAGACGCCGATCACCGCGATGGGGATCTGGCTCTTCTGGGCCTTATTTTGATTTTGCATGATGACAGTCCTCTGAACTCGATTTCATGCGTATTGGGTGTTCGCGAGATACTCTCGAGGATGCAAGGTACCGAAGAGGAGGTCAATGGATTGTTCTCAAACCACGCATCACAGACAGAGAATAACAGTCAATAAAGGGATATATCTTTCCACAAATTGTTCGTGACCCTGCGACCGAGTAATAAAATGACGATTTAGTGGTATGATGAAGTCAACCCAACAAGATCACAATACGGACGGAGAGAAAAGAGGGAAAGAGTCCCCGCATACCAGCCGATATCAACTCCCTCGGGGTGGACTGTGGAGGAAAACAGAGCGTGGTGGATCGTCCTGTTCTTCAGAATTTGCCATTTGGCTCGACGGAGCGAGTACTTTTCTTCTAAGGGATGAATAGTGGATGCAGGCTGCACTTGGTATGCAGATAGCATCATCGTGGAGTGGTCGCCTGTCCAATCTTTGGCTTTTCTCCTTCCAACTAGTGATCGCCGTGGCTCTTCTTTCCAGTAGTCTTCCATACTAGCGGGCATTCTGGACCCCTTAACTTTATCGCGCGAAGCTAAGGGACCAATTTGTAAGCTCATTGGATCCAACAGAAGCCTACCGTTTTTTCCCTTTTCTTTAATTGTTGAACCAATCACCGCCGTTGTGTCATAGTTTTCCAGCTTCATGCACGATGACCTTGCCTTACGGTTTCATGCCCCAACCACGTCAGCTGGATGATCCGTTGGACAGTTGGCTGCGTAGCTTTATCCCTTGCAGCTCCGTCTCCACGGTATCCGATCAGAAAGGGAGTCTGGAAAGGAGCGGTGAAAGCGAGCGCATGAAAGGATGAAGAAACAAGAGTCGACCGAAGCGAGTTGATACATCATCGCAAACGGTCCGAGAGTAAACTCGAGTCGAGACAACAACCCCAACAAAGCTGGATGCCCATATCCTAACGCGAACTCGTCACGACAATGGCCTCACGTCGCCCCGAATACAACCCCGACCGGTTCAACTTCACCAAAAATGTAGTGGACTATTGGAGTCAGAAGGGCGATGACCCCGTCGCGATGGTGTGGAATCCGCCCGGCGCCCGGGAGCCCGGCGACACGGATTCCTTCCACTTCAGCCATTTCGCCCAAAGAGCACGCCAGGTCGCGGTGGGCCTGCGACGTCTGGGAATCCAGAAGGGAGAAGTCCTCCTACTGGTGTCCTCGAAAACCCCAGACTGGTGAGGAAACCGGTCGCTGAACGAGAGGGGTGGAACATCCCGGACTGACGCACTCGCAGGTACGAAGTTGTCTGTGGCGCAATTCTAGGGGGTGTGGCGATCTGTCTCTGTTCGTCAGCGCTCGTATCGTCGGAAATTGCGCTGCGGGCGCAAAAGGCACGCGCGTCGGTGTTTGTTGGGGACGCCGAACAAGTGAGGAGGTTTGTGGGAGCGCGAAAGTGTCGAGAGACCCATGATTCCGTGCGACAGATCGTCCAGATCGGGCAATCGGCACCTCCTGCTGCCCCTGGAGTCAACATCTATCGCTCATTTCTCGCTGGCATCAACCCCCAGCAGGTGAATGTTGCAGACTTTAAGACTGAGTCTGGTGATTTCTGTTTGCTGTATTTTACGTCCGGGACAACGGGTCAGGCGAAGCTGGTCAAGCATACCCAGGTTTCATATCCGTATGGTAAGTACAATCAACCTACGCGATCTCAAAATATTCCAGTGGCTAATAGCAATGCAAGGCCATGTGATTACTGGGGAACATTGGCTGGATCTACGTCCAGGCCAAATGCTATGGAATCTGTCCGACCAGGGTAAGGAAGCCCACACCTACACTTCTCAAGAAACCATGAATATCTAACGCCAACGGGGATAAAGGATGGGCCAAATCCATGTGGGCCTTCTTTGGAGCATGGAGTCAAGGCGGGACCATATTCCTAGACGCCCACGGGTCGGCCTTCGAGCCAGAACGAACCATCAATCTACTGCATCAGCAGCCCATAACAACATTCTGCGCGGCGCCTACTATATTCCGCCATCTAGTGACAGAGGCAAGCAAGAAACTGTTTGCCGAAAAGCCCCCGAAAGCGCTCGAGCACTGCACCAGTGCGGGAGAGCACCTCGGCGCGCACATCGTGCTGGAGTGGTATGAGATGACGGATGGGCTGATGATCTGGGACGGCTTCGGGCAGACCGAGACGTCGATCCTTTGCGGGAACTACCCCTTGGTTCCCCCGAGATTGGGATCGATGGGCAAGCCTCTACCGGGGGTGCCCCTGTGCGTGCTGAACGATGAGCGGCAGGTCGCCCACCCGTTCGAGGAGGGCGACATTGCTGTCCGGGTGTCGGACGATGGAACTGGCTTATTCCGGGGTATCTTCGAGGGCTATATTCATGACGACGGCTCAGTGGTCAGACCGACAGTCACGGATAAAGAAGGACAGTCGTGGTATCTGACGGGCGACCGGGCGCACTGCGATGAAGAGGGATATTTCTGGTATAAAGGACGCGGAGATGATGTGATCATCTCGGCCGGACACCGTATTGGTAAGGACTCACTGATGCACCCACCGTAGTTGACGATGTTCAAACGACTAATGATATGAACCAGGCCCAGCTGAAGTCGAGTCTGTCCTTCAGGCGCACCCAGCGATCCGGGAATCTGCCGTCGTCGCTGCACCAGACGAGCAACGAGGCTCCATAGTAAAGGCCTTTATTGTGCTACACGACCACCCTGGAGATTCGACATCCACGGTGCGGCTGAAGCAGGATATTCGCGAGCACTGTCTACATCGCAAAGCGGCGCAGTACTGTCCCCAGAAGATCGAGTTCGTGGACCTCGGGTTTTTACCGAAGACGGTCAGTGGCAAGGTCATCCGTAAGGAACTTCGAATGCTAGAGAGGCTTTGAGGTTCGGTCATCGGAGTCAATGAAGTTGACTGGCGATTATACCGTGGTAGATCCGCAGCAGAGTAGAATATTCAAATTATATATGTGCTCTTCGAACACCATTTACTGCTGTTTTCGATCTCGGATCTTGATTACAATAAGAACAACCGGACTCTACTGACTATGTACTGTCTTACTTGCGAACAAGCGTCGCTCCAAAGCGTTGAACCACCGCGCTGGCTTTGGCCGGATCAACACAACATTCCAGCAATGCGAGTGCCTGAGGTTGTTCGCGTGCCCGAGAAAAAGCTTCATGGAGTTCCCTCTGTGAAGTGATCTTCGTAGCAAACATCGCGTGCGGTTCAGAGTCGGATTTTGAGCATGAGCCCTTCCAAACAGCTTCTGCAAAGGCCGTGTAGTCCCAGCCTCCAATCCGGTTATATGGACCGTGGTGGATTGCATCCTGCAATGGTGAGAAAATTAGCGACAACAAAAGGCTATGGTAGGAACTCACTTCGATTTGATAACCCGAGTTATTGACAATGACGACAATGGCATTGAGCCTATAGCGGATCATAGTGCTGAGTTCTTGGCCCGTCATTTGGAAGCTGCCGTCCCCAATGACGACGATGGCCCGGCCATCTGGCCGAGCAAGTTGGCATCCCATCGCGGCGGGCAGAGACCACCCGGTGGATGAATACAACAGTTGGACCTGAAAGTCTGCTTGCGGGGGCAGCCGAACGCGGCTTGCCGCGAACCAGCTCTCACCAGCGTCGGCAATGATTGTATCTGCTGGGCTAACAAAGCCAGTGAGTGCTTCCACGATGTCGTCGAGGCACACTTCAACGTCGAGGGATGCATTGTGCTGTTTCGCCGTGCCTTCTCGGCGATGGTGCTCGCAGATATTGCTGTGCAGAGTGATGTCCGACGCATAGCGGGCCGGGATGTCTGACATGATAAGAGACTCTACAAATGTCTTGGTGCAGATATTGGTGAGCTCACGCCCATCTGGAAGCTGTATTGAGCTCTCATCAATAGCGAGCATGCGACTGCGCTCTTTTTCCAAATCTATCGCCTTGAGGGTGTGAAGGTCGTTCCAGCGGCATCCCAGGGTGACCCACAGGTCAGCCGCCCTGACTGTTTCTTCCACACCCGGATCAGAGACAATGGACCAGAAAAGTTTTCCACATTGTGGATGGGTCTCGCTGATTCGAGATTTCCCGTCCAGTAGATAAAACGCAGCACACCCTAGTGCACTGACTAGGCGATCTATAGCTTCCACAGACAGGACGCTGCGCAATCCACTTCCCACTAGAATGACCGGCCCTTGCGCAGCCATCCATGTGTCCCTGAAAAGATCAATCGCTTTCACGTTCTGATCCAAAGTTGGTGCAGCCTCAGCGCAAGGAATCGGGGCGATGCAGGACGTCTGAACAAAATCCCTATGGACAAGGTCGACGGGAATTTCAATATAGACCGGCAATGAGGCGCTGCGGCACTTCTGCAAAACGTTGTCGATATCCTGGGGACAGCTATCATTGTCTAGACGAATTGAAGCACAGGTGACGTTGCGGAACATGCGCAAGGACTGTTCCTTGTCTGCGAGACCCAGCGAGTGGTGGACCCTCCCCCCGTGGCCGTAATTCCGGGAATCAGGACCTCCGCAGAGCACAATCACCTTCAGGCCTTCCGAGTAGGCTCCCGCAATGGCGTTCAGGACCGACATGCTCCCAACCATGTATGTGACTACGACAACGGCGATCTTGGTATCGCTGGTACGGGCGTAGCCGTCCGCTGCGTATCCGGCGTTCAGCTCATTGCAGCAGTTGACCATGCGCAGGCGAGGGTTGCGGAGTAGCTGGTCCAAGAGGTCGAGATTGTAGTCACCTTAGAATAGACCGTTAGCACCCACATATCTGTGGCCAGGATGATACAAACCAGGAACAACGAAATAATCCTTGACCCCCAGTTCTTCGAACCTGTGGGCAAGTAGATCTCCGACTTTTCCCTCTTGATGCATTTTTGATGTCATGGAATTTAGATACTGGATCCGGCGCCCTCAGAACGAGAATATGTGATCCAAGGGTCAGGTTTCCAAGGCTAAAGGCACGTTGACCACCCTGTGCTCGATAGACGTCGTTAATCAAAGGGGCTTGACCGTCCAAGCCATCATTCGTCACCTGGAAGCAAGGGAGGGCTCCCTTGCCCTGCGACAGCTTTCTCGACGCGGAAAGTCGTCGCCGAGGAGCTTGACGCGCGAACGCGCATCTGCTTATTGAGCACATCTGGTGAGTTTGGCAGGAGGATGCGCTGGGAGTTGGTCATTTAACACTGGAAAATTGTTGGGATGTCAGTCAAGTTAAGCCCTATACCAAACGTTGGTCAACGTTTTGGCGTAGCGGTCTTGAGAAACAACCCGCAGGTCTCATATGGGTTCTCGCAGCGCAATAGTAAACGCGTATTACACCCAGTTTAGGGCCTCCATCGCAGCCTTCGATTTGTTTTCGCATTACAGCTCGAGGTTCCTTGAATATCAGACTGTCGGTATACCATCCTGATGGTTTGACTGAAGTAGAGCGACTTCTTCATTCTTGGTTGGTTGTCGCCGCGGATCTCACGTGGCTTCCGATTTGGGAACGACAAACAACGACCGCCCTGGACAGTTCATCATGAGCCTTGAATCGAAAGACTCCCTTCAACTTACACATCCCTCGCTTCCTATTTACGAGGCAGCCTATTTTACCATAAAGCAACTATTCTACCACTAGTTTCGTCGTAACAATCAACCGATGCGTCCTCAACTCCCAATCCTTCTCTCCCTTTCCCTTACGTCCGCCCTCCCCAGCCACCCTCAGACAACCGAACTCACTCCCCTCCCACTGATCGTCTGGCACGGCCTTGGAGATGACTTCCAACGCGATGGCATGAAGGAGATCGCCTCGCTGGCCGAGACCATCAACCCCGGAACCTACGTGCACCTCATCCACCTCGCACCGAGCGGATCAGGCGACCGCCAAGCGACCTTCCTCGGCAACGTCACGGAGCAGATCGCCTCCGTATGCGACCAGCTCGCATCGGACAATATCCTGCGCACCGCCCCGGCCGTCAACGCACTGGGTTTCTCACAAGGCGGTCAGTTCCTCCGCGGCTACATCGAGCGGTGCAACTTCCCGCCCGTGCGCAACCTCGTCACCTTTGGCAGCCAGCACAACGGCATCGCCGAGTTCCAGAGCTGCGGCTGGTCGGACTGGATCTGCCGCGGTGCCGAGGCGCTGCTCCGCTCCGGTCGCTGGTCGAACCTCGTGCAGTCGCGCCTCGTCCCCGCGCAGTACTTCCGCGACCCGGCTGAGCTGGACGCCTACCTCGAGCACAGCAACTTCTTGGCGGATATCAACAACGAGCGCGCCGTCAAGAATGCCACCTACGGGGAACACCTCGCCTCGCTCAATCGGTTTGCCATGTATCTGTTTGAGGATGACACCATGGTCCACCCGAAGGAGAGCGCGTGGTTTGGCGAAGTGAACGCCACCTCGGGGGAGGTTACACCGTTGCAGGACCGACAAATCTACAAGGAGGACTGGCTGGGTCTGAAGCAGCTGGATAAGGCCGGGAAGCTGGAATTCAAGACCACTCCCGGCGGACACATGCATCTGTCGGAGGAGGTGCTGGGCGAGGTGTTCCAGGAGTACTTCGGACCCGTGGAGGTTGAGCTTCCGCCGGTAGAGGCAGCGGAGAGGCCAGTCCTGGTGAAACAGGGGGAGTGATATATTATACATTGACGAAACTTCAACTGGAGTCAGTCCAGGCGCAGGCGAATGGTTTGATCCGAGTATGTGACATGCTGAGCATGCAATGATAGCTAGCATCTTTAGATCGATAATATGGACGAGTCGTGTCGAACGAAGACAGGGGAGACCAGAAGACTGACTACCTACTACGGAGTACTGCGATTTTCTTGTTACTACCGTGTATATACATACGTATGGTAGTGTAGACAGTACGACAGAACACTAACGAAGATCGATCAACTCTTTGAAACCAGCGACTAGCTAATAATAACCAGTAGTAATACACAGTATATATATCCCCAAACAGTTAGAACTAATAACCTAAATTCATATTCCAACTATACAAAAAACCCCGCTATCAACGCGAGGTATAATATAACAAAAATAAAACATATTAATGGACACGAGCGAGCCCTTCCCTATCCGGACGCTCCCCCGAAGACTAGATCCATGCACATATTGATAAAAAATGATACAAAAAAAAAAAAAATCAAAGCCAGCTTGAACGGTAGAATGAAACATGAAGGCTCTCTCTATTTCCGACGATTCGTGGAACATGCAAATGCCAATGCTAATGCCAATGCCATGTCGAGATGGCGGTGCATTGGTGAAATAAGAATGAGAATGAGGATGAGAATGAGGATGACATAGGAAAAGATAGAGAAAGAAAGTCTAGAATGATATGACACGGTGGACGAATCCGACCTTTGTTTTTCTCTCGTGGAGAAAGTAGAAGATGAAGGTGGAAGGAAAGTAAACCAAGATAGAGCCAAGAAGAAAAAATGGGAAGGAATGGAGAGGGATAGAAAAGAAAATATGTGCAGTGAGATGGACCATAATATGCCAATGTGAAAGAAATAAAAAAGAAGAAAATCAACAAGAAAGATATCCACAAAACCAAGAGCTGCCAATGTAATGGTGATCAGGCTCAGGTCGATTTCTAATAAGGCGGACGTCCGATCCCCCCGCTGACGCTCCGACGGCCGTTATAACCCCGTCGCACCCTGGCAGTGCTGGGACGGGCGTCGGAATTCATCGGCGAGAGGAATCCATCCAAGAGCTTTTGGACTTCGCGCCGCTGCTCCATGTCCGCGTCCTCGCCAGATCGATGGAGAGACGTGACGATGGAGAACTCGGCACCGTCGATGGTGGTGCTGGCGCCGTTGGCCGTCCCGTTAAGGCCGGAGCTGGAGCGGCTCTTGTGCCGGTCGAGCGTGTGGTTATACTGCGCGTCCGGGGCCCCTGCCGTGCCGTTTGCCAGGAACATGTTGGGCCCGGGTGCGGTCGACGGCCGGTCCGAGTTAAGGGATCGCTCTGAGTCGTTCGGGAAACAGCCGGGGATGGAGAGCGACGGGGGCAGTGGGGGCACGGGGGGGATTTGGGCTCCGTTTGGCAGCCGCTGAGACTGACGCCCGTCGGTGTCGGTCACGGGCATTTTGGAAGCCCGCGGTGTTTCCACGCCGTCTCCATCCATCTCCCATCCATCGCGCGTGATTTGCGGCCGGACGGAGCCGCCGTCGCCATCGAGTTGGGACAGCGAATATCCACTGACCATGCTCTCACTGCTGGAGGAACGGACGCTGCCCGTGGAGGCGAGTCGGCCCCGAAGGGGACTCAATCGTCGGTTCTGGTCGTCTTTGTTGATGGTGAGAGCCCGTCGCAATTCGGTGACATGGACAGGAGAGTCCCGGCTGGAATGGAAAGTGGACCGGGAATCAGTAGCGCTCATCCGGCGGAAGCTTTGCAGGCCTGCTGCACCTGGGTGGGCGGAGGCCGGGGAGTGGTTGGAAGAGGTGCTGCCTTCATTGCCATTCAGGTGCGCATGATGCCGCGCCGCCAGCGTGCCGGCTCGGGAGCCAGTGATCGACATGGCCTCGGTCTTCTCCCTGTCGGCAGCCGCCAAACAGGCTTCCCGGGACCACGTCGACAACATCTGCTCCTTAGCGACCAGCGGCAGAAGATTGCCGCGGGGCGGGGCCCCCGCCCCCGTGGCCGACACATGGGGCAGAACCGGCGCAGCGAGGTTTCGTCCCGGCGATCCGGGAGGGCTTTGAGCCGAGGAGAGGACGGAGTCATTGTATGCTTCCTCAATGCGGGACACAAATTCTGGGACCTCGCGGAACGGAGTCATAAGAGCCGGGTTCCCCATACTACCTTTGACGGCCGCGCGGCCGTGGTGCTGGGTGATATAGTGCAGGCTCTCGGCCGGCAATCGGATCTGCTGAAGCCACAGACACGATCGTTGCCTCTTTCCAATCTCATTCAAGATGTCATTGGTCACCTGGGAGCTTCCCAGCTGGAACCGCTCCGACAGCGCCCACAGATAGCCATGGACCAAGCTTCCAAGGTTGATCTGGGCCTCCGATGAACCCAGGCGGCCCATGTCGTCCTGAAGCCTTAAGATCATGGGGAACCCGAACCGGGCAGCGTTCACGCCGAGACGGTCAACGAGACTGGTGAGAAGGAGGTGAAGGAGCATGATTTCCGCTTCATCGGTGGCACACTCCAGCGCGATATCATACACGGTCAGATGAAACAGACGGAGGAAGTTCGACTGGGCCGCTTGCAGTGCCTTTTCCCTGTGGTTCCCGGACGGCCCACTGCGCTTGCCGGGCTGCTCGGCGATATCGGGAAGATCGCGCCGTGGCGACGGGCTGGAGAGTCTGCCAGCGCGATCCTTCACGCTCAAGTCGTTGTGGTTGGTCTCCAGCACCAGCCACGCCAAAAAGGCATCCGCATAGGCAAAACGGACCTCGCGTTCCGGATCGCGTAACAACCACTGGGTCCCCTGCCACGTGTGGATGCCCACCGGCTGTCGCGTCTCGACGACCGCTGATTCGGGCCTCTTCGAGCTCGCCACCAGTAGGACGCTTTTGATAGACTTCAACGCCGTGCTCTTGGCGTCGCCCTGGAGCGCCATGTGGTCGGTCTCTCCACCCACGACGGGGGTGGGTGACAACCCCACCGAGTCGGTCTGGATCGGGACCGATGCCGTTGCCGACTCATCCCCCGACGACGGATTGATGCGGGTCAGGATCGCCCGAATCATGTCGCTGACTTGCTCGCCGTAGTAGATGTGTGTCGCAAGGTCACCGATGCATCGCTGGAGGAGAGCGTGTAATTCCGACTTCCGAGCCGACAGTGCTTGACGATCGCGCTGCTCGAGTTCCTTGGCGGCGTCTGCTTCGAGGGCGGGCAAGGACGACACGTACCGCAAGAGGCCCAGCAGGATGTCAATGACGCTCAGCCCGATCATACTCACGGGGGATTTGAGCAGCCAATCGATCATGAATACGACAGTGAACCCCGCATCCAAGGGCTTGTCGGACGGCTTCGTATCCAGGAGGAATTCCATCGCAGCGGCCAGAATGATGAATCGCACTTGCACGGGGCACCATTTGGCGACGAGCTCGATCAGCGCCGTATCCCAGCTGTCCTTGGCGTCCAGCGACAAGCTTTGCTTGCTCGCCTGGCCCCTCCGGAGGATGAAGTCCAGCACGACCTTGGTGGTCACCCGGATCTGGCCGCGGCTGCTCCCGGTGACCACGATGCGTTCCAAGCATCGGAGGGCCAGCAGCCTCATATCCATCTCGGCCTTTCTATCGGCGTCGGCCGTGGAGCGCGCTGCCAGGGCCGGGTCGCCTTCCACAGTGTCCACGGTCTCCACGGTGGCCGTGCTGATCCTCCGTCGGTGGGTCGGGATGGGGTCTGGCCGTTCCGCCTCATGCAAGTGGTGCTCCAGGGTGGTGAGCAAGTCATCGTCGCCATTGTAGAGGTTCTCCAAGATCACGGGCAGGATGACCTTGAGCGAATCCCCCCCGTCGGCCGCGAGGCCCGCCTCCGAACTGACCACCCCCTGAATCGCCTGCAGGCCCACGTTCTTCCACCGGATGGACATCTGAGGGGTCTGGACCGTCTTCGGCTGGGGTAACCGTTGGGAGTCGGCAAAGCTCGCGTAGGTTCGCACGACTTCCCGGTACTGGCTGGCGAATTCTTGTTCGGCGGACAGCGCGGCCATGTCCTGATGCTGGCAGAGGGTCTCGAAGGTCGGGATCGAATCCTCCACCAAGGAGACCTCATTGGATCGGATGACGGTTTCGAGGACGGTCAGGACGGAGCGGACGTAAATCGGCAGATCGCGGGGGACTTTTTCGATCAACGCGCTGAGGATTTGAAGCGTTACCTGCACGTTTCTATGGTGGTTCACCCTGGTCAGCAATCAATCCATCCCCTATTTCCTTGCGACACCGCGGGACTGGTGCACTCACCCAATTTTACGACGCCACACGTCGCGAGCGGCCCGCTTCTCCAGGAAGGCGCCGACCTTGGTCAATTTGCTGCGGCGGGTGCTGACATAGTAGAGAAGGTAGGACAGTTCACTCGGGTTCGGTTTGACTTGCGCGATCCCTTTCTGGTATTGCGGGTAGCATTTCAGGACAAGGACCTGATGTTTAGGTCGACATTTCTGGCGAACGCCCTCCATTGGCGCGAGGGGGGAGGGGATCGGAAAAGGCTATACAAAAACGCGTGGTATACCAGGCGTGGTGGGAGAGACGGCGAAAGGCGTAATTTTGAGCCAGGGGTAGTCTGGAGGGAAGAAGAAGAAAAGCACTGGTCGAGTAAAGGAAAGGAGAAAGGAAAGGAATGGGAAGAAAAAAGTCCAGTGGGTGAGAGAGAGTCGTTGAGCTACGTTGGAAACCCTCCGTGCAACATCAGGGAAGAAGAAAGGCTGATGTCACCGCGACGGATAACGGTCGACGTGGAGGCTGGCTGGATTGAGGATGGGAAGACAAAAAAAAGGACCAGGGGAGGCGACTGGGGTGGGACTAGGGTCAGTGCGATCACGATGGGCGGGGTTGTCCCATCGGAACCAGATGGGAGAGAAGGAGAGGATTGAATTGGTTATTATTAGAAGGGAAAGGCAAAGGGGTTGACTGGGTGGAAGAGCTGAAAAAGAAAAGGATGTCAGAAAGGAAGAAGAAACCAATGATAGATTGAAGGGAGGCTTAGATGGGGTCGAAGTGGGTTTTGGGTATCGAGCTAAGACAGCTAGGGGAGGTGATCATAGCTGGTAGGTCGTAGTTATTGTCATCTTAACGATTGTAAATACTTACAAGATGGAAAGAACAAGAGGAAGAGAGAGAAAAGATTCGCCATGGAAAAGTGAAGATGAATTAATCAACTCGAGATACTGGATGGACGGCCTGAGGCGGCAATATCACACTATACGGGTCACTTCACCAAGTAATGGAGGTAACGATTCAGTTCGATCACTATATTCAACCACACTTTCTACCCAGATGAATTCATATGCATCTACGGATTACTCCATACTCTGCATCTAGATGCATATATCTTCCATCATTGAAAGCATTCTATACATCATCATCATCCAGGCTAACAGCCAAGACCATCCCATCCCAATCGCATCATTTTCCTAATCGTTCATAGCCACCCCACCTTTCCGTGGCACGGATTCTCAAGCCACATGATCCACCATCGCCTTCCCCTCCATCTGCCTTCTCGCCATTAAACGTTAATCGACCGGGAATACCAAACGCTGGCACTCCACAATCCGGGGTGAGACGGAAGGCAATTGGAGCTTAATTCCAGAGGTTGAGCGGGGCAAGTACTGAAGCTCTGGGGAAGCATCATCCTGTTGGGTGTATTTCGTACCGTTGGACTGGCGTCAGTCCACCATAGCCGATCCCGCGCATCGTCCAGGAGTACCTCGGTCACACATGAATGATGCGCCCGGGGGTTCTCCGACCCCACGGCGCCCGCCTGAGGATGCGCATATCTGGCATGGATCCCGTCGCGGTCGAAGCGTTCGGAAAATCTTTCACTCGACCAAGTCGAGAGGGTAAAACCTCAAAGTGTCGTGTGTGGAGGAGAAAGAAAAAAAAGTGAAAGTAAACAAAAGAGGTGAAGGGAAAGCTTCCCGGCCCCAAACGCCGATCGCAAGGACCAACCGTCTCTCTTTCATCGGACCAAGTGCTGCCTCATCACCGAGTCAACCTCCTTATGATATACCCCCATACCCTGTGGCTCACGCAACGCAAAAGCCACCAAGTAGACAAGACAGACACTAAACTTTGACGGCATTGTCAACCCCTTGCATTTCCTCGGAATTCTCCTGCTTCTCATCCGCTCCGTCCGTCTCCCCGGTCGGGACAGCCTGATCGCCCGCAATGCCCGCCAACCCTTCAATGACCTGGGGGCGGATGATATCCCGGCGAAACGTCTCCTCCTGAAGCAGTCGCAGGGCGCGCAAGGTCGCTCCGGGATGGGTCAGGAACTGGGCGTATTCGGGCGTCTTCCAGTAGGAGTAGAGGTAGGCGAGGTAGGAGGCAAAGGCCTGAGCGTCCGGATCCGGCGCGTCATCGTTATTGGCGTCCGTCTCGTCGGAGGTGCGCGAGATGCCCAGCAGGTTGGGGTAGTTCACGGCTAGGTGGGAGAGGTAGTATGGGTTGGCGAGGGCGGAGACGAACTCGAGCTCAAGGGTGAAGCGGGGGTGCGTGAGGGTCGGGGGAGGCTGTTGTTGATCCATTTTGTGAGATTCGCCGGGATCCCTTGGGGAATTGGGAAATCGTAGGTTTAAAGATGGGTGGGGGGGTCGGGGTGCCTTGAGATGTCGTGGTGACTAGCTCGGCTTGAGCTGGTCGGAGCTTAAGAGAGACAAAGAGAGAGAGAGAGAGAGAGGTCGGCAGTGCCAAGCCATAGCGGCTGAATTCATTGCGGTCCACCTGTCCCAGTTACTTCCCAGTATCCCCACTCGACCACCATTGCCATGCTGTACCGCTGATTGTATTGGATTTTGTGGAGAGGATGGTGTGCACTACCTGCTTTTCTTGCATTCATTCAATTCTGAACATGGCTCAGAAGATACTGGTTCCAGCCATCCGACCTGCCGAGCCTGATCTATATCAATAACGTTAATGATCATCGGGCAATTGACGCGTATGAAAGCAAGACCGGACGTGATTTCTCCTCGACCGTCTCTGTTTTCTACTACAATATGTCTAGAAATTGGATCGAATCTGATTGCGCCGTGACATTCGCTAACATGCATACAATCTCGATGGATTGCGATTTAATATATCCCGAGAGACAACAACGGTTCATGCACTATGAAATATTATCCGAACAACGCGCATGACTCAAAAGGAAGCTTCGAGGATAGAGTCTATTGCTCTTTTCTTCCAATCTACCAGGAAATAGACCTCCATACCAACAGGACAAGGATCTGGATATCAGCCAACCAGTTTGCAAGCTGCTCCACGTGCCTTGGCATGGTGGACGGAGCCAAGACCGCCGTGGCTTGGCGATGCCTTCCAATATCCTCAATACAGCGTCTTGTTTCGGCACGTGGAGGGCTGTCGATCTTTCGATTCGTTCGTGGATGAGTATCGAGGTCTTTGAGGGTCCTGGAACGACAAGGTGGGATTGGCATTGCTTCTGCCGTCATGCCTACGATGTCCCCTACCACGGTACTGTGACCACAAATATAACTAGGTAGTACATGGTATGTACCCGACCTTAAGCACTGCAATGTGTACTAGACCTACCATGCAAGAGGAACCACGACGGCAGTGGGGACTCCTTGGCAGTCATTTCCCCATCGTGCCAATCTCGATATAAAGCGCCTTATCCTTCGATCTTACATCTCTCCTTCTCCTTTTCTCGCACTGTCCGTTGATGCGATCTCCAGCTGCTATGAGGTTCCTACAATTCTCCGGTGTCGCCGTGCTGGTCTCATGCGCAGCGGCCCAGACCTTTCAGCGTCTTGGTGGCTGCCCGGATCTAGGCTGTGTTTTCCCTCCTGATCAGTATGTCAATCATGACAAAAGGAACCATGGTGACTGCATAATGAACTAATGCATTTCTCCTTCCATAGAGCAGACTTCCTCCCCGGCCAGTTCTTTGACATTCGTCTCGAGGTGCATTCGCCCGTCAACGGCTCTGAAGCTCGCAAGGGCGATCCCGACCCGGACTTCCAGTTCACTATCAACAAGAAAGGCGAACACCCCGTGCCTGTGACCGATTTCTTTGACGTCAAGGAGCCAAGTTTGGAAGCATGGACCTTCACTTGGTACGAAGGTGAGCTAGAGTGAGAGATCCCGCGTCGCCTCAAGCTAAATCAGAGTTAGACCTCTTCGCGGAGGATGCACACACACCATCTCTCGTCAACGTTACGTCCAAAGCCTACCGGCGGGTGGCGCTCTCCGAGCCCGGCGAATACGAGGCCACGTTGACCTACTATGGCAACCAGACAACCGTAGCCAACTGGCTCGTGCGAGACCTGTCGAGCAAACGGCGCGCGAAGAACGTGATCCTATTCATCGGAGATGGGATGACGACCAACATGATCACGGCGGCGCGTCTCCTAGCCCACCGCAGCATCAACGGCAAGTACATGACCACGCTGCAGATGGACCAGTTCCCCGTCCTGGGCCACCAGATGACCCATTCGATGGATTCGTTCATCACGGACTCGGCGAACTCCGCCACGGCGCTGTACTCAGGCCACAAGACGACGGTCAACGCCCTAAACGTCTACGTGGATTCCTCAGCGGACCCCTTCGATGACCCGAAATTCGAAACCATCTCGGAGATCTTCCGTCGCCGCTATCCCGACGGCGGCGTTGGTATCGTCTCGACCGCCTTCCTGGCAGACGCCACCCCCGCGGGCCTAGCCGCGCACACCAGCGACCGCGGAGAGTACGACCATGTGATCGGCGCCTTTCTGGAAGGTCTGCACTCACACGCCTGGACAGACTGGAACGGCCCGGATGTCCTTTTCGGCGCGGGGGCGGAGAACTTCCTGACGAGCAAGGACGCTCCCCGGGACTACTACGACCTGTTCGCGGAGAAAGGCTACAGCGTCAGCTGGAACAAGACGGCGCTGCAGTCGGCACCCAACGACCAACGGGCGCTGGGGGTCTTCCAGACGTCGAACCTGGCGACCTGGCTCGACCGGCACGTCTACCCGGACAATCTCCGCAACCAACACAACCACCCGGACGGGTCCGAGCGCGACGCAGACGACCTCCCAGGGCTCAAGGACATGACCCTCAAGGCGATCGACGTGCTGCACGAACGACACGGCGAGCAGGGGTGGTTCATGATGTCCGAGGCCGCCAGCATCGACAAGCAGATGCACGCCCTAGACTACGACCGGTCCCTAGGCGAGGTCCTCGAGCTAGACGACACGGTGCGGGCCACCATCGCGAAGCTCGAGGCTCTGGGCGAGCTAGACGACACGCTGATCGTCGTGACAGCGGACCACGGGCACGGGTTCGACGTGACGGGGTCGGTCGACACGGCGTACCTGAACGCGCACGACGACGACCGCAGCAAGCGCCGGGCAGTGGGGTACTACGAGAACTCAGGTCTCTCGCAGTACGCCGCGCGCGGGCCGGGGCGCTGCGGTACTCGGAGGGGGAACACTTCCCGGCGCGCTGGGACCCGCGGTACACGCTGCACTCCGGGGTGGGGGCGTTCCCGGACCGCCGGGAGAACTACCAGGTGCACCGTGAGGGCCGCGCGAGCCGGCGGTGCCGGGTCCGGAGGGCGAGTCGTCGTACGTGGCCAACTATAAGGACGCGGTGACGGGGTTCCTGATCAACGGCACGCTGCCTGTGGATGCGGCGGAGGGGGTGCACTCGCTGACGGATGTGCCGGTGTTTGCGCGGGGCCCGTGTCAGGAACTGTTTGGTGGGGTGTATAACTCGGTGGACGTGTTTTTCTACATGGCGGAGTGTTTGGGGCTGGCGGGGGCTGAATGAGTTATTGCTTAATATTTTATCTATGGCATTCGTATTTTCTCGCGTACAATGTGGAATATAAAGAGCGTTTGGTCATGCCTAAACCATGATCGAATGAAGAAGATTGATAATCCGTAATCATAGATGTGAAGAAGAGAGAGCAAAAACCATTAGTTATCAAGGCCATGACATTCTGATATATGTATCCGTACATCCACTTGACTCATACCGAGGTGGACAGACATCTATTTATCAAAGGAAAGAATGGATACAATATAATTAAAGTCAACCTAAATAAATCACAATAATATCGATTGATTATGGAATTGCAATCGGTCAGCATGTCAGCTGACCCGTTGGGCTTTCCCACACTATTTGGGATTCCACAATTCTTGCAAGCTTGCAACATCTTTCATGGCTTCAAGATAATCAAAGTTATCATCATTCGACTGTTTTCGGTGGTACTTCCACGCCAATCAGTTATAAATCGAGGGAACCTCTTAGCCGATACGCCAAAACGTTGACCGGCCTTTTATGGACCATCGCGCACTTCAGAGCGCGTGTCAAACCCAACTTTGAAGACTGGTTAGGCTAAGCACTCCGTGCCGATCCACGGCGGGCGCTGGAATGCGCTTTGCGGCCTCGAAATATTTCTTTCAACCTCCCCTGCCGTCGGCACCTTCGGTGACGCAACTGTGACCACGATGTGGCATATATGCGTAACTCTACTTACGGATAGGAGACAGGACACGAACTGTTTTCTACTTCCTACGTAGGTGATGCCTGGTGGATGGGAAAATGGAACCACGGTGGGAAGTGGATTCATGACCTAGCTAAAGAAGCTCTGGGACCGCGTAATTTCGACCCCGGTTCCCTCGGAAAATGCCAATGCATTCGGCTTCTCAACCAGGGCGGTCACCTGGCTGTGGCCAAAGTCCACAACGGCAATGCGGGCCACCAGGGTCGCCAGCGCCTCGACGGACTGAAAATCAGTCTTGTCCACCGTCTGCTTGACCGTTAGTACTAGAACTCCAGGTGCCTTCCGGCGCCCCGATCAGGCAGGTCGTCTTTGACGGTGTCATACCTCTGCGATAGTCCGCGTCATCTCCGGGTACGTGCGCAGAAAGTTTGATCTCCACTCATTCTGCGCGGGGCTCTGAAACGTCAGGGTGATCAGCACGGCTTGCTTCTCGAGACGCTCGTGGGGGTTGATCCCGAGGATGGCGAAACATCGGATGCGTTGGATGCGGAACTCTTCGGACAGAATGACGGTGGTGATTGGACCACCGCCCCGGACCATGGCCGTCTGGGCGCGGTATATGAGTCCACCATCGGCGCGGAGGAGAGCCTTGGGAAGGTGGAGATGGACGTCGCATCGGCCAAAGTCGCCCTGGAGGGCATCTGGTGCCTGCGCCTGAACTTCGACTAGGAGGTCGAAGGCGCAACTGGCGATGATGCCCGCGGTGCAATGAAGGTCCTGTCCCGCGTCGTCCGGAGTCATTCGCTCGGGAAGGCTACCGTCTTGGTTCACCAACAGTCTGGCACTGGTCGAGCTCTGTTGGAGGCCGCTTATCGCCTGTTCGGCTCGTCGGTAGAGCTTGCCATAGTCCAAGGATAGAGACACATCGTCGGCTGCGGCGGCCCCCGTCGCTGAGGAGTAAGACAGTCGGACGGAGACCGTGCATGGCTGACGTTTCCCCAGCCGGTGCCATGCCTCGGGCGCCGATGGGAGGGGTAGCTGGACATTGCGAAGACTGATGGTATCAACGATCGCGGGGACCGGGGAAAGCGAAATTGCCCTTCGCTGCTCGCTCATTGTGAATGGCTTCAATATGTGCCAGGTAGAATTTGGTGGTCCGTCAACGTGAACGAGTGAGCACGAAGGGTCATTATCCGCTGGGCTGACTCGAACACAACACGGAACACGGAGGACATATCATCTTGACACCCGGCAATCCCCCCAACCGACGAGGATGAATATGCGAGGGGTTGAGCTGGCGGTGCAATATGGCGACACATCTTACAATGCAGATCAGATTTTGCATCGTCATGCAGGGGCGGGGTTTGCCCCTTCGAACTCCAGAATGCTCGCCCTGCGCTGGGAGCCACCACCCACTTGCACCTTGTGATACATATACCTTACACTGCCCAGCTGGTCTGAGCCAGATCGGTCTGACAGCGCCGTGACTCCGAAAGGAACAAACGAAGTCTGAAACAATGCAGATTGTCTGGCGCAATGAGCCCGATATGGCCGAGTATGAGGCCGCGCGGTGGAGGAGAGTGTTCAACCAGCGCCGGCCGGAGCGGTTCCCTCGGGCGGTGGTCAGAGCGACCTGCCAGGCAGATGTTATTGCAGCCGTTCAGCTCGCCATCAAGCTGCAGGTGAAAGTGGCGGTGAGGTCCGGAGGGCATTCGTTCGAAGTGTGGAGTGTGCAGGACGACTCCATCTTGATCGACCTTGGCGACTACAAGGGGGTGGAAATTCGTCCTGCCGAGGGGACCCTGACTGCAACACCCAGTACGACGAGCAAAGAGATCAATGAACTGCTAGCCGTGCATGGAATGTTTTTCCCCAGCGGTCACTGCCCGGATGTGGGTCTGGGAGGATTCTTGCTGCAAGGGGGAATGGGGTGGAATTGTGCGGTAGGTTTCATTGACCGCTCTCTCACACGGTTCTGATACATCTACTGACACCGTAGGACAGAATTGGGGCTGGGGCAGCGAGTTCGTCGAGGGGCTGGACATCGTCACGGCTCAGGGGACACCGCTCTACTGCGACTCGCAGCAACATAGCGATCTGTATTGGGCTGCCCGGGGCGCCGGACCAAGTGAGTGAGCCGCTTCTTCCCATCAGACGTCAGACCCCCACCACCTGGCGCTAGGGATTAGCGAACCAACTGACTTTTGCTTCCAGGCTTCCCTGGACTCGTGACGCGCTTCCACCTGCGGGCGATGCCAAGTCGCCGGATTTGGTCGTCAGGCTACATCTTTCCCGCGGCGCTGTATCGAACCGCATTCACCTGGGCATTATCCCTTGAGCTCGATGCCGACACCGAGATCACCGCCAAGGCCTACTACCAGGAGTCACAGCTCTGCTTCTCAGTCTTCCTGACCACCTTCGAGGGCACACCGGGAGGGGCGGCGAAACTCCTGACGCGCTTGCACGCGTCTCGCCCGCGCGGGACGCTCGTCGAATGGTGCTGTCAGCCCGAGACGCTCGACAGCCTGTACGAGTCTCAAGCTCGGTCTAACCCCCAAGGACACCGCTACGCCACAGACAACGGACTGATGGGGAATGAGGTCGACGTGGTCTCGATCCTGGCGGAGCCATTCCTGTCACTGCCCCACCCGAAGTCCTTAGCGTTTTGGACTTCCATGCAGCCCTGGAGCCGGCGGCGCCTGCCTGACATGGCGCTGAGCCTGCAGGCGGATCATTACTTTGCCATCTACACGGTGTGGGAGGACGAAGCCGACGATGACCGGTGCCGGGCGTGGTTAAAACAGGCCATGCGGCCGGTCGAGGGGGCCTGTATTGGGGCATATCTCGGTGACTCGGAGTTTGCCAATCGCATGTCGCATTACTGGGATCCCAAGAGCACTGTCCACCTGAGGCAGGTGCGGCAGGCCTGGGATCCAGAGGGTCGAATCGCTGGAGGGTTTCCGAATGGGACTGATCGATCCGTCTGCCGGGATGAGATGGGAGCACACCACCACCAACACCCGCTACTTGTTGGGGTACCAGTAGATGGGAACAAACAGAATGATTACTCGGAATAGAATATGGCTTGGAATATGATACGGTTTCGAATAAATAGACAGCCACTACACCAAACCGAATCGGTATTTGGTGGGGCTTGATATCCAACATCAAACATGGCATTACTAAGGGGTCAATAACCTCTGTAGAGGGGTTTTCTAAAGGGGTCGGACTACTAGTTCCAACTGGCATCTTCGCCTCCCTGCTCTAATTAAGAAAACCGTCTGGGGTTCAACAGAGTGTGAAAGCGGTCCTCCATTCTCTGGTCCGTCATGAACACCCCCGTACTGTGCACCGTGGTGGTAACCGCACCGGTCTTCTGAATGCCTCTCATCACCATACACATGTGCGTAGCCTCGGCAATAACAATCACGCCTTGCGGGTGCAAGATATCGTCGATGGCGCGGGCGACCTCCTGCGTCAGACGTTCCTGGATCTGCAGACGACGCGCAAACACCTCGGCGATGCGAGCCAGCTTCGACAAGCCAAGGACGCGGCCATTGGGAAGATAGCCGATGTGAATCTATTTTGGTCAGCCATCAAGTCGGTAGGTCCGTAGATAGAATGACAGCAAGCTCGGCTCATCGCCATGGAATGGGATGTATGTTCCGTACCTTGCCCATAAAAGGCACCAGATGGTGCTCACACATACTGAACAGGTCAATGTCCCGGACGATGACGATATCATTGTGCGCAACGTCAAAGACAGCATCGTTGATCTTCTCGCCGATGTTGTCCGAGTACCCCTTGGTGAAGAACAGCATAGCGCGCGCATAGCGTTCCGGCGTTTGGAGGAGTCCTTCCCGCTCGACGTCTTCGCCTAGAGACTCCAGGATCATTCGCACGCCGACAGCCAGCTTGGCCTCTTTGGCCTTCTGCGATTGGGCGCTGGGCTCGTGGCAGAGAGATTTTTCCGTGACGCTGGGGGGCCCTACTGGTTCAGTCAGAATGGGAATGAAGTACACCTAGAAAGCAAGAGAGCCAGTCTGTATCCTTACCAGCGTTGGATATGGCGCTCCCCGTGAGAATATTCTCAGCACTGGCTAGCGGGATCACCTCCGCTGCAGGCTTCTTTTCGTCGGGGATGGCCCCCGCTGGGGAGGGTGATACATGGTTGGATACGGGGGCCCGTGGGACGGCGGTGCTGCGGTTGACCATGTTAATCGAGGCGAAGACGGCGTCAGTCAAAAAAAGGTGTGTGTGTGTGTGTGTGTGTGTGTGTGTGTGTGTGTGTGTCCGATAAAAGATTATAATGAAGGATTATATGGCCTGAGAGAGGAATGTAATGGACTCCATAGACCTTAATGTACCATCTTGAACTGGATCGGTGAGCCTTCCCCACTGGCTGACATTCTACACCGCAGCCACTCCCTTACCATTAGATCCAGATAGAAAACACCAAACACCATCGAGATCAGTCATCTGTCAGGATAAAGCAGCAGGTATGTGAGAGATACTTTTTGATTCTCCTGACATGAGATGCTCTCCCTCCTTACAGCTCGCATTCAGCCACACCGAATGTTCGGTGATGTCCGAGAAATCGGGAAAATCTCGTGCCACGACCTTGCATAGATCTGTTGGGGACACTCTATAGAGTCACCTGGCCTACTTGTGTTGGCATATCATAAAAACGATGCCGCAGATTGCTGCCTATCTGCGTCAATGACACGTTCCATTCAGCTCCGCATGCCCAGCCGTAGCTCTCCTGGTGATTTCGAGCATATTCTTGGCCGATCTATTTACGGAAGCCAGATCTAACGGATCTACTACGACAGGAATCCACTACGACCGTGGCAGTGGACGGTGTATATAGAATATCGGGTCTTTTTTGTCACGTCATCCACCGAAACCCGGCATCTGTACTGACCCTCCTAAGCCTAAGAGTTGCACGAACCATTGAACCATGTAATAACTCTCCAAGACAGTCGGATAAGGAAGAGAAATTTCTAGCCAATGCACCAAAAAAGCCCGAACGGCATTCTGGGAGGGCATGACCTGAATGATATCCCCAGTAGATATTGCTGTATCATGGTAAACAGCACCTCTCGCCGTAGAATAATCAACCACATCCCCTCCCCTTTGGAGATGACAAGTTCACCACAGATTGACAAGACAACGCTTTCCCCGCGGAGACAGCAAAAAGTAAGAAATCTGGTCCATGTCCGACACGGACATGCTCTCATCGATGCGAGCTTGTGGAAAGGCCCGGAAGAATCGAGCGGTGGCCAGACGGATCTCGGTGCGCGCCAAATGGACGCCCAAGCATGTTCGTGCGCCGCCGCCGAACGCCATGAATGCGTCCTTCATCGCTTTGGTTGGCTGCTCCCATCGGGACGGATTGAAACTATGCCATGGGTTAGCTTAGAGGCGGGAATAGTCCAGGTTACGAGAGAGAGAAATACCATTCGGGTTCTGGGAAGACGTCAGGATTCCGATGCAGGGAGTATGCTTGAGTCGTGATGACCGTGCCGGCTGGGATCCAGAGACCAGCCAGGGCCACGTCCTGGGCCGAAACGCGGGGCAGTCCCGACGGAACGCCGGAAAAGAGGCGCAGGGTCTCGTCGATGACCTGGCCGAGATAAGCCAGGCCTCGGAGATGGTGGTCGTCAAAGGCCTCGGGCAGCGTGGCCAGCTCTTGCAACAGTCGGGTCCGGATGGCCTCATCTCGACAGACGGACCAGACTAGATAGGTCATGGTGTTGGCGGTGGTGTCACTGCCGGCGATAATGAAGCTGATGGCCTCGTCGATGATACTTCGATCGGAGAGTCCGCCCTTGTCTGGGTCAAAGAGCTTGGTGAACAGAGCCTCGGTGCGGTTTTCGCCCGCGGCCATGAGTCGTTTGTAGCGCTGGACTGATTCCGCGGCGTAGTGCTCCATGCGCTGCCCAGCCTTTGCGGACTGGTGAAAGTATGGGAGTGGGATCACGTCGGCCAGGCTGACAATTCGTGGGAATGCGACTCGGACGGCTTCGGTCGCTGAAATGGATTCGAGGTCTTGACAGTATTGATTTTTCTACGGGGAAGAATGGATTGCATGTTAGATATGAGGCTTTATCATGTCGGATAAAGAGGGGAAGCCCACCCGGCCCTGCTCCAGCATCCGGAAGGAATCGCCAAAGGAAAGCTCTCCAATTATATCGGTAGCCATGAACATCCACCACTGAAAGACATCGACGACACCGTGACGGTCCATCTGCCGTTGCATCTGCTGGATGGCGAGCTGCACACGGGCATCGATAAGAGGATGCGACTTGCGCAGCTCGGCATCGGAGATTGGGGAGGACAACAATCGTCGACGGGTGGAATGGAACTTGACGTCGCTGGTGTTGAAGAGGTTCTCGATGTCATGCCGGGTCAAGTCGCGGTACCAGGAGGACTTCATGAAGCTGGTCCCAATTCGATGGACTTCCTTGACTGCGGCCAGGTCGGCGACGTCTACTTCTCCCGGGCCGACACGAACTACGGGGCCTGATAATGATATGATCCAAGGTTATCAGAGAGGGCCTAGCCAAATAGAACAGTGCGGCTTACCGTACTGCTGGTGAAGACCATGAACGTACTTCATCCGATTGCCCCGGAGCCAGTGAGACTTGAGAACCACGTCGCTCCATTTGGTGAACCATGGTCCTGGAATGGGGGATAGTGGATCAGACCACCATCGACGGAGGGCCTGGCAATCGGCCAGTCAGCTCTCGAATGCATCACAAGGGAGTGTGGGGGGGATGTTTACTAGAAAGGTCAACAGAGCAACAGGCACTGCCCAGTAGAGGAACCCCATCGGTGCACCTGGTTTGGGTTGAGGGACAAACTACGTAGTGGATGGTGAATGCCCAAGGCGAGGAGGATTGAAGGATACGGACGGGGCGAGTCACCACTTCAAGTGCCCTGTGATCTTACAGATCTGACGCATGGCTCTCGTTAACAGGCTCATACAAGGGCTACATAAAGCGGAGGATGCCACGCCCCTTGCTTCAACACAGACCGACAATCAACATGACCTTGCCACATGCGAGCTGGAGAAAAGGGTGAAGTACGTGCAGGGGAAAAGGCATCTTTTACGATTGATCACATACAGGGTACATGACAGCCACTGCACCAGAAATGGCGAATCAACATTTCGGTTAATCTCGACATCCCAACAGTACATGTAATCGTCTACATTATGATCTATCATTTACCACACATTGTGGGATTTGATCACCTCCAGGCTTGTCGCCTGCACCTCGCTGGGCAAGGAGGCAACAGACCCTTCCTCTGACTGATGGAAAAACCGGTCCCGGGCAGCTAGGAGATCGAACTTGCCCGTAGATGTCTTGGGAATCTCCTCGGTCCCATCCAGATTCCGCAGCAGGGTGGGCAGTTTGTAAGATGGCAGCCGGGTTCCCAAGTCGACCCTCAACGCTTCCAGGGTCAGCGACGACTCGACACCTCGACACCGAACCAATGCCGCCGTTCGATTTGCCGTCGAGGCATCGGGCACGCCTAGCGCGTAGGCCTCACTCACGTATGGAAGGGCCATCAGGGCTTCTTCGACCTCCATCGTCAAGATTCGATGCTGGAAGAAGCGGAAGACATTAATGGAGACACGGCCGTCAATGATGTAGTGCCCCCCCTCCACATGTGCGAGATCGCCAGTCTTGTAGTAGCCCTCGTCGTCAAAGGCGTCGCGAGTCGCGTCGGTATCTCCGATGTACCGTTGAAACACTAGGGGGCTTCGAATGCAGATCTCGCCGTGGTCCCCCTCACTCAGCTTGACCGACACGCCCGGCAACGGCTTTCCGATCACGCGCTAGATAAAACGATCATTAAGCCATCAGACGGGCGACGCGGGGTCAGCGGATAACTCACCTTGTCGACGAGGTCATCGTCCGTCTCATGGGTTCGACTGGTCGCGATACTGAATTCGGTCGCGGCATAGTTCACCCCGATGGAGCGACCGCCCAGCAGCTTGCGCCAGAACCGCTTGACCTCGGGGGTGAGCGCCCCGGAATCACTCTTGGCCAGCCGCAGTCGACGGACTCCGTCCTCAAAGGGCTTCCGGGTAGACGGGGGCAGGGGGGCCAGCTTGTCGTCGTAGAACTGCTTCATCTGCGACCACATCAGCGACTGGCAGATGAGGAAGGCGACGGCGGGACCCTGTCGCAGGCGATGCCAGAGCCACTCGGGCGTCGCTCCCTGCGTTTTGATCTCGGTGCACACCCCGGCCAGGATGGCTGCCGTCAGGTTGCGCAGACCCCCGGACCAGTAGAACGACCGATAGGTGAGATAGACGGCGTCAGGACCCAGTAGCTCCGGGATACCGTCAGCCGGTCCCATGGGACATCCGAAGTACACCTCGACCTGCCGGTAGAAGAACTCGCGCGGGTGGACGACCCCCTTGGGCGGGCCCGTGGACCCGGAAGTAAACTGCACCATGGCAGGACGCGTGGCCGGAAATCGTAGGTCTGGGTCCACCGTCAAGGCCCCCGCGGCACCCTCCGAGCCATTCGGCGATGGCGCGTCGATGGTAATGGGGATCCACGCCAGGCTGCCGACTCCGGTCCCACAGGACTGGAGCCAATTGTGATGCCCACTGGTGTAGAGCACGCCGCTCACTTCGCTCTTCTCCATCAAGTAGACTCCCTCCTCCGGGGAGATGTGGCTTGCTGCCATTTGAGTTAGGGACCCTCACCTCGTCGGTAATAATAACACCAGGGTACGAGCACTCACGAATCAAAACAGCCGCCCCGCCAGCGGCGAGGATAGCAAAGAAGGCGACAATAAATTCATAACTTGACGGAGCAATGACCGCGATGTAGGTGCCTTGGTCACTCGCTCCTTCGTCCCCGACGGCGGGTCGACACACATGACTCCAGATTTGCTCCCGCAAGCCGAGGACATCGTGGAGAAATCGTCCATATCGAATCTCCCCGTACCTATCGGGATCTCGAATAATGCATCGGTTGGACGTGTTGGCAGCGCGCACCAAGGTCTGGAAAACGGGGTCGTCGGGGAATCCGGGGGTCGTGATGATCGTCATGGTGAATAGTTGGCAAAAGGAAGAGGAGTTGGTGATAGTTCAGGCGTCTATCAACACGATACATAGGGACATGTCAGAGATGGACGAGCTGCTGACACCCTAGGGACCCATCCTCCGGCCTTGCTCGCTGGTCCTGGAAGTGTCGGTGTGCATGGTTAGAAACGCGATGTGGGCCTAAGACGCCAGGGAGACTCGTCCGGTATGTAACCCTAACCGTGCCCTTCAAAAAGGGCCATGTCCCTTCCGTTCGGTGTGTCCTTGCAGAGCAAGTGTCGTTCATAATGTTGTACATTCACGCCACCATCATCACAGTCGACCAAACCCGCCGGATCGTGTCCAATGGGGCCATCTGCGTGCATGGGAGTCGAATCAAAGACATCGACAAAACCCCGATCCTCCTGCAGCGATACCCCGAGGAGGAACAATATGATCTGCGCGGACACATTGTCATCCCGGGCCTGATTTCCACCCACCTCCACAGCGTCCAGGCGCTATTTCGAGGCACGGCGGACAACCTCACGCTCCAGCCATGGCTGTGCCAGCGCATTCTTCCCTTGCAGAGGACCGTCACCGCGCAGGACGCCCAGTCCGCCGTGCGACTCACCGTGGCGGAGCTGCTCAAGTCAGGCACTACCTGTTTCTTGGAAAGCATGGTGCGTGCATCGTGCATGCCACTATCTCCTCCCCTCCCCCCACCATCATGCGTCGCCAACACTCACGGTGGAGTAGTTCTTTGCGCATCACGATTTCGACGCCCTGTGTCGGATTGTCCAAGAATCCGGAATCCGCGGCTGTCTCGGACACGCCGTCCTCTGTCCATCCACTTACCCCGCTCATGTTGCAGACGGTCTATCGATCGACCGGGCGGTCGAGGCCTGGCGGAGATGGCATGGGGCCGCCGACGACCGGATTCGCGTATGGTTCGGTGCCTGCACGCCGGGATTGTCAGTCGACTCCTTCCCTTTCTTCTCTTTGCATGCTTTCTTCCCACTTCCCCGTCTCATGCACGCACGGGGGCCATCCTAATGGCAATCTGACGGCATTCTCCATCCAGGGCCACGGAGGACCAAATCCGCGAGTTGACCTCGGTATCACGCGACTTGAACATCCCAATCACCATTCACCTAGCAGAAACCCACGCCAACAGGGCCTATCTGTGCACCAAGGCCTCCAACCCCATAGCCTACGCCGAGCAGGTAGGACTACTAACGCCCAAGACCGTCCTCGCCCACGCGGTGCACCTAGTCAATGATGACGACGGCCCCTCCGCCCTAGATCGCCTGGCACGCTCCGGGGCCCAAGTAGCCCACTGCCCGACCTCCAACGCCAAGCTCACCTCCGGGACTAGCCCCGTCCCCCAAATGCTAGCCGCCGGCATCCCCGTCAGTCTAGGGACCGACGGCGTCGCATGCCACAACACGTGCGATCTGCTGCAGGAGATGAAATTCGCGACGCTGGTGCACCGCGTCACGGGGGGGAGCGCGACCGCGCTGACGGCAGAGACGGCGCTGGAGATGGCCACCGTGCACGGGGCGATCGCGCTGGGGTTGCAGGACGAGATTGGGAGCCTTGAGGTCGGGAAAAAGGCGGACTTTGTAGCTGTTGATGCGGACCAGGTTCACTTGCAGCCGGCGCTGGATCCGGTCAGTACGATTGTGTATGCGGCGACGGGGCGCGATGTGAGTGTTGTTGTTGTTGATGGGCGGGTGGTGGTGGACAAGGGACGGCTGCTCAGCTTGGATGAGTCTGCCATTGTGCGCGACGCGAAGCAGAGGGGTCGTGACCTTGTCAATCGCGCGGGTTTGGATGAGGTTGTCCGGTCACCGTGGCCGTTGGTATAGACCGGGGGTGTAGATCGTCGTTTGTAAGGATTATCTCATTTCGGCTACAAACGACATCATGATACTGGTGGCTTCGGGAGTAGCCCTGTTTTCAATGCGACATGTCGTTGCCCTAAGGATCTGTATTTATGATGCTACGGACTGCTCGAGGCCAGGAAGATGGAAGACGGAGACAAGACACACTGGGTGTAGGCATCTATTGCGCGCTCCTCAGGCCATTATCATTCAGGATTCGTAGCACTACTCTAGTGGATTATATACCTCTTCCTCCCACGGATAAGAGTGTTGATTAGAAGTATTGATAAAAAGTACTGCTGGAGCAACTCCTCGGTGAATTGCCCGATCTGAGACGAATCATGGGTTTGGAACGTAGCCCCCGTCCAGTAGGTGCGTTTATACCCCTACAACGCGGTCAATCGCTCGTAGAACCCATCGGCGATGGCCTGCGGCGTCACCCGCAAGGCGTAGGAGCGTGGTTTCGAAAGGCGACGAACTCGGGGGTCGTGCCTTCAAACCGGCGCACGGCCTCGAACATGGCCTGCTTCACCTACTCGTCCGCTTGCGAGGACTCCCCGCCGTAGTGGACGATCTTAGATCCGCAATCGAGGTGGTATACAGGCTATAGACGGCGGGTATATGCGGTTCGCGGTATCGGGTGTCGTTGGCCTGGTTGATGATATTGACGTCGGGCAGGCCGTCGGTCCGCACGAGCGCGGTGTAGAGGTAGCCGTGGTGGAACTAGGCGAACAGGCTCAGTTCCTCCTCGTCCAGATCCAACGCTTGCAGGTTCGCCGGCTGCGGGGGAACGGCCACGATGACCCGTTTGGCGCGGATCTGCCGGCGCCCTGACGGCGTGGCCACATCGATCTCGGTCCACTCGGCCCCGCAGCGCAGCGACAGACGTGGCTCTCGAGCAGCACGTCGGCCCCGAGGGACTGCTGGGCTAGCCGCGTATAGTTCGCTGTTGTTCTTGGTGACGGGCCGGATGAACCCGTTCAGGGTGCCATCCAGCACGCCGGAATTGAAGAACTTGAGGGCTTGCAGGGTCGGGTACCGCGATCAGTCGCCCATCTGCTGACAGAATCCTCCCAGCGTGCTCAGGGCGGGCTGCGGCCGGTTCTTGTCGACGAACTCCCCGAACGGGAGGAGTAGGTCACCCGGCACCGGCCGGGAGAGATGGTACCCCAGCTCGAGGAAGGGGTATTTCGCCAGTTGGGCGGCGAATTAGTCCAGCGCAGCCCGGTCATCACCTTAAATCGGGGCGGCGGCGTCTCCGGTGCGAAAGTCGAAGGCTTTGCTGACCCAGCTAGGCGGTTGGGCTGTTCACGGAACGCCCAGGTGATCCAGGTAGGCTTTCACCTCGGCCACGTTCTCCCATTTCAGAAACCCTATAGTCGATGGCGTCTCCTGAGCCCGGATCGAGGTACGTGTGGGTGTGGCCGCCGTGGTAGTCGTTCTTCTCGATCACAACCCCACTCTGCCCTCGCTGCTGGAGCCGAATGGCCGCGTGCGTCCCGCCTGGACCGCCACCAATCACGCACACGTCGCGCATCAATGTGTCGGTCTCATTGAAGATGACACGCTGCGAGGGGCCTTGCTCCGCGCCAGACACGCTAGGCCACGCAGGCGATGCCGGCCGGCCAGTATCCCAGGATGTGGCTGGACTTCATGACGTGGGCAAAAGTGTGGTCAGCGGACACTTCCAATAGTATGTTCTGTGGGGAAGAGGATGGGCAACTCAGGTGGGCAGAGATATCTGGGAAGCCAACGGGCAACAAGAGGACGCTGTCTCTCCAGTCGCCTGGTTTATCTCTACCGCTTTTTCTCTTCCCCTTCGTGTCATGCAGATCTAGCCTGGCGAACGGGCCCAGAAAAGGGCAACAGCCTGGCAAGGGATGTCATCCAGCATTTGCGTCCCCTTGCATCGGGGCCTTACTCGGACTCCGTTGATGGGCAACGATCTTTCTTGAAAGAAAGGTCCTGCGTTCCCTTGACGTCGTCACTAGATTTCATGCTGGGATAGTCATATCAAGGCCCACCAAACGGCATGCAGTGGCTGAGATATCATATTTTGATGAGTTCCATCACTCAAACCTCCCCCAGCGTCAGTTTCCATCTCTCATCCTCTGTCGACACGCGCCTGGCGCCATGACCATCACCGCCGAGTACGACAGCCCGGAGTTTCTCGCCATATATGCAGAAACTCCCTCGGTGGACGGGAGGGCCAGCAGTGACGCACAAGTAACCCTCGATGGAGAGCGCCATCTCCTCCGACGCGAGACAAGCGGCTCTGGATTTGGGATGGGGTTATGGATGGTTTTGCAGATGGGTGTCGTCGCAGCAAGGCGCGCAGTCGGAGTCGACATCTCGGCGAAGATGCCAGCCAAGATAAATTGATGATATTCGGACTATGTAGAAGCTTGCTGGTTGTTCAAATACAGAATAGTTCGTTGTGTGGGAACAGGACTGCAAATGCTGCAGGTCAGCTGATTATCTAGCCGATTGCAGTCACTGCTCTTTCACACACCCCCTCAATCAGGTAAACATGAAGCTATTTCAAGATCTAAAACATGAAAAACAACATAAACGTGGTGTCTCCAACAGGTAAAGTGTCTCTACATCTCGCAAATAATTCTGTAATTATGAGTGTATCCCCGCATCTCGCAGTCAGGGCTCAATATATGTATATACTTGCCCCCACATCTTGCAGACGAGGCCTTCCCTTCCTGTCCGGATGGATTATCTATCTTTGGTGATGGATGTATAGTATTTGTTTTTGGGTGGACTACGAAATACGAAGGATGTTTCGTCAGCAGGAAGCATGGTCAAGGGAGAAGATCCACCGGAAGTCGTGCGTTTGTTCGGGAGGGGGAGAGAGGGAGAGAGGGAGAGAGGGAGAGGGGAGGGGAGGGGAGGGGTGGAGATCGTCGGGTGCCAAGGCCGCGGCACATTCCGATGTACGTACGTCTGCTTGGCTCGTGCCGAGGATTATCAAAATTTAATAAATAGAATCAATAGAGTATAATCAAGATAAAGATAAAGATAAAGTAGAAGACCAAATACAGGGAATAAGATCAAAGTAAAGCAAAAAAAGACAAGAAACATCAATCAATCAAGCACAACCAATCGTTTCCAAGGCATAAATAGAGAACCTGAAGCATGGTAACAGGATCAGACATTCCGGAGTGGACACCCACGTCAACGGCGTTGCTGTGGAATGTGGTTACCAGATATCGATCTCATGGATGATGTTTTGTCTGTATAGGATACACCATATGGGACAGTGTAGACGGAGCATATGTGGAAAGTGTTTCTATTCCGGGGTGCGGGACATGTGGAGACTCGACAGTCAACAGTTTTTGGATTGATGTAGTTTTGAGCGTTTGATAGTTGGTATTAATATGATAGTAGAATCATTAAGTTTAAATGGTAGTGTCATTTATCATCATTAGTATTAGTGTTATGGTTATTATTATCTGGATGATCTTATAATATAGAGTCAACCAGACTTATAGAATGGCCACCCCCTGAATCCTGTTGCGTGGATGTCGATCCGTGGGATTTGGACTCCCCTATATTTATGGACAAAAAAGAACAATCTGTCTGAATAAAGATAGACGGATAGAGTCAAGAAGAAAACAAATAAAGTAAAATAAAGTAAAAACAAGAATCAGTAAAGAATAAGACAGAATCGGGTCATGGGGAAAAGTCCCGTGCCATTCATGCCTCAGTCATAATCCTCGGTCGATCTTCCCTTCAAGGTTTCTTCTTTCTCTCTCTTCTTTCTCTCTCTTCTTTCTCTCTCTCCTCTCTCCTCTCTCCTCTCTGTCTTTCTTTCTTTCTTTCTCTTCTCCTTCTCTCAATCTTTCTCTCCCTCTTTCCATCTGCTCTTCTCTTCTCACACTCCTTCTTCGTTCTTTCTCTCTCTCTTCTATACTCTGTCACTCCCTTTTCTTCTCTCTCTCTCTCCCTCCTGTTTGTCCCTTCAATCCTACGGTCTCCACCCTGCAAGCAATCTACCCCTGCAGAAACACTGGGAAAAAGCAAGATTGCTTCAGATTCCCCCCAAACAACTCCTCTCTCTTCTTCCTTCTCTCCACCTTTCCTCCTGTGATCCATCAATCCCACCCCTCTCGATCCCTCCATCGTCGCATCGCCGTTTCATCGCACTTCGGGGCACCCACGCCTCCCTCCTCTCTATTGCGCCCGACTCTTTGCGCCCTCTCTCCGCGACTGCTCTGATCCCGCTGTCAACTCCTCAATTATTGCCCCCCTGGACGCACCTCGCCGTTGCCACCATGAGCGCCTCCCAACAGTCTGCGTTCGCTAACCCCTATGCCACCTCCATGACCATGGCCCCGCCAGGTATGTTGCCTCGTCCACGGCCTTTGTCCCCGCCCCATATGCTTCATCTCCCAGCTCGTTTCAAGTGTCGCCCGGGTCTTTCCCCCCTGGGATCAGACAGACCTTATTTGGCCTCGTGCACCCATCCGACCTTTGTTCCCTCTTTCTTTCCCTCTTTCTTTCTTTCTTTCTTTCTTTTCTCTTCGTCTTTTGTTTCCCCCTATTTCTACTTCGTACTGACCCAGTGGTCCCTCAAGCGTCCCCCCAATTGCCCGTCAATTTGGGTTCCAACAACCCCTTTCGAAACCGTGCCCTGTCGCCCGCCAGTTCCGCCAACTCGGGCTCCCGACCGGAGCGCCCAACCTCCACCAACCCCTTCTTGGACGATACCGACCCCTTGTCGCCCCAGTCCGCCCCCGTTGGTGTCACCCCCTTCTCCCCCGTCGACCGGCCCGACATGACTGGCAACACGCGCGAGCTCTTTGTAGGTGTTCCCACCGTGGCATGCGCTCCCAACCTCCCTTCCCCAGCTAACCGTCAATGCGATCGATCCAGGCGAACCTCTCCCTCAACCCGACTCCCCCCCAGCCCGCCCAACCACCCACGGGCTTCCGTCAGGCGCCGCCCCGGCCGAATAATCCCCCGCACAAGTCCTCGAGCACCCGGGCGCCCCCCTCGAGGGAACGCGCCGAACGCCGCCGGCCCAAGGATCCCCTCGACATCTTTGCCGATCCCCCCAAGACCAGCAGTGGCAAACCCCGCGGAGACCGCGAGCGCCGCCCGCGTCGCAACTCCGAGTCCTCCGTCATCGACCGGGCCTCCAAGCTGCTCGACACGGAAGATGATCAGCGCCGACGGGAGCGCCGGCGTCGCGAACGCGAGGCCCGTCACGGCAAGTCGCGCTCGAAGAAGGCCCATTACCAGCTGGATATCATCGATAAGCTGGATGTGACCAGCATCTACGGAACCGGCAGTACGTACTCCTTCAACAAAAAAAAAAAAAAAAAAAAAAAAAAACAAGTCATACTAACCACTGCAGTGTTCCATCACGACGGCCCCTTCGATGCCTGTAACCCCAGCCGCAATCGCAAGGGCCTGCGGGCCGCCCCCATGCAGGCCTTCCCCAAGGACTCGAGCAACATGGCTCTGGGTGGCGCCGGACCGAACAACGAAAAGATCGACCTCAACCTGTTCAACGGCACCATGCAGGAGGGTTACAACGACTTCGCGTCCACGGGCGTCTCCAGCCGCACCGAGGGCGGCAGTTTCGACCCGAAATCCCGCATTGAACCCGTCCACGGACCCAACAGCATGGGTCTGGGGACCAGTACCTTCCTCGAAGGGGCTCCCGCCAGCAAATTGGCCATGCAGCGGCGCGCGAGCGAGAATGAGAACCAGATCGCCGGGGGCATGTCCAACGGCGGCGGGCTGCAGCGCAAGAAGAGTCTGGCGCAACGTCTCCGTGGCATCAACCGGGCCCCGAGCGGCCGCGTGGCCTCGCCCGAGGCCTCCTACACCGTGGCCGCCGGCTCCGCCGCCCCCGGATCGGCCCGCGGCAATGACAAGAATCCCTTCTATCAGGACTACGACGATGCGTATGAGAAGAAGGGCGCGCAGATCGCCGAAGGCCCGACTGAGCTGAAGCGGTCCCAGTCGGCTGGCTCGGACAAAGGGGCCGGACTGGAACGGCGCCACACGAACGAGCCCACCCGGTCCTACACCACCACGTTCGAGGAGGGCAAAACCGGCGGTGCGGCCGGAGGTGGCTTCCTCAACCGCATGAAGAGTCTGCGGAAGCCCCGTCCCGAACGACGGGTGACGGACGAATGAGCGGGGAAATACGACATCTATATTTGTGGTGGACAGATGACCCGACCGAGCGGCGTGGAATCAGAGAAACCTTTCCGAGAGCGAGCCCCCGCCCGGGACCGGCATGGAGGCACCCACCGGGCGGCGTATCAGACAGCGATGCTCTTTTTTCTCCCGAGGATGATGGGATGATTCGTTCGGAGTGCAGGACCCTCCAGACAATCGCCTTGGGCAGTCTGGTTCGATGGATCATATGACAAACCGCACCGAACGCACGGGGCATAGGCGTTGGCTGGTGGATTTGCGCGGACCGGATGGGAATGGTTTTTGTTACGTTACTCTTACTCATTGTATGCATTTTAGTTTTATGCACCTGATTATCAGAATCGAGTAAATGCCGAATTTGCATTGTATCAATTTGCGTATCTACCTAAGCGAACAAATGTCCATAAATCCATAGTCTTGTATTTTGTATTTCTCCGAGAGTGGCAGTAAACAAACAGATAGCACACATTTATCCAAGATCATATCATGATGACCTTTTGTTCTTCTTCCACATTGATATCATAAGTAGTAGGTAGTAAGTAGGGTAGTATAAGAGTAAGAATAGTGCAGAAGTACCAGAAGCAGTGACAACGCCGGGAAAGCAAAAACAAAACAGAAAGACAGAAAGGCAGGAGAAAGCATGGCTCGCGCATCACGAAAACATAAACGTGGATGATAATATGATGATAAGATGGACATGCATGGTGGGTGGGTTTATTGGTTGTTGATGGGAGGGTAGTAAGTGGGATGGAAGGGAGGAGGAGAGAGAGGGTAGGTACTATATCATTCAATCATGGATGAATGATAGATATGGTTCGAAAAGAGTAAGGATGAGACCTCTTCAAGATGGGAGAGACAAAGCGAAAAGAAGAAAAGAGAGGGGAAAGAGAAAGCAAGTCTACGCGCGCAGCTGAGTCCGCGATCTATACGGATCAGGAGCAGCGACGCCTGCTCTGCGGTTGGAGAGGGGTTTTGGGCGGGAGAGGGTGTATCTATTATTTATCGTTAGTAGATATTCATATGATATATGCAGTGTGATGGGTGGGAGTAGATTGTAGATCTGGAAGGGGAGAAGGAACAAACATACTTGGCAAAAGCCCTCGAGAGAGCCTTCTTCGCAGACACCTTCTGCGAGCCGATGAACGACTCCACTGTCACGGCGATGGCGCGGTCGATGTCCTGCGCGGAGCAGTACTCTGATAGACGCATCTTGCAGAAGGATTCGGCGATACGCATGATTGCTTCGAGGTGGCGGACCTGTTGGTTTATTGGTTAGTACTTATTATGAAGGATATATTAGGAAGAACTGGAGGAGAGGCATACAGTAATCGGATAAGCCCCCGTAGCCAACGACTCCCTGCGCATATCCGCAAACAAGCGGGCGACCTTATCCTGATCGATCTGGTAGAGCTTGGGGTGGCAGCGTTCGCGCGCATAAAGGATATACTTGCGCAGCAGCTCCTGAGGGATCTCGCCCTCCTTTTCCTCGTTCTGCTTGCGGGCGGACTCCTCGCGCTGGGCGACCTCTTCGGGGCGTAGAGGGAGACGCACGCCGTGGTTGTCGACGCGGTAGCCCTCGTCGTCGATGCGGTCGCCGTCGGCGTTGATGGGGTGGCCCTGCTGGTCGTAGATGGGGCGGGCGGGGTTCGCGCGGTGGTGGGATTCGACGACGAAGTTGGCGAGGCGCTCGTCTTCGTCGGGGTTGACCATGTCGCGGACGACGCAGAGGATGTCGAAACGGGAGAGGATGGGCTCGGTGAGCTGCACGTTCTCGGAGAAGGGCGCGGTGCTGTTGTAGCGCCCGCCGGTGGGGTTCGCGGCGGCGACGACGGCGCAGCGGGCTTGGAGAGTGGTGACGATGCCGGCTTTGGAGATGGAGATGGTCTGCTGTTCCATGGCTTCGTGGATGGAGGTGCGGTCTTGGTCGTTCATCTTGTCGAATTCGTCGATGAGGCATGTGCCGCGGTCGGCGAGCACGAGGGCGCCGCCTTCGAGTGTCCACTCGCTGGTGAGCGGGTCGCGGCGCACGCTGGCTGTGAGACCGACGGCGGAGGCGCCTTGGCCTGTGGCGAAGACGGCGCGGTGGGCTGTCTTCTCGACGTACTTGAGGATCTGGGACTTGGCGGTACCGGGGTCACCGAGGAGGAGCACGTTGATGTCGCCGCGGATGGACATCTTGCCCTGGGCTTCCTTGGGGACACCGCCGAAGAGGGACAGCGCGACGGCTGTTTTGACGTCCTCGTGTCCGTAGATGCTGGGCGCCACGGACCGCACGATCTTGTCGACGATGTCCGGGTCGCGGGACAGCGCGCGGATCTCGCGCTCGTCTTCCTCCGTCATGCGGAACCCGGCGAGCTGGTCGTGCGACTTGACGACGTGGTTCGCTTCGATGATGGTGGCGAACACGGGGAATCCGTTCTTGTTGTTGAGCTGCGCGTCGTAGCTGTTGCGGTAAATGCCCGTCACCTCGATCTCGTCGCCGGGCTTGGCCGAGTCGATCAGGTCCGCCAGCAAGATCACCTCGCGCTGTCGCGGGAGACGCCCCGCGGGGACGGTTCCTGGCGACTCCTGCAGCGTGAGCTTCTGGTAGTTGCGGTAGACGGTCTTCTCCACGCTGATGTTGAAGGGGCCCTTGGACTGGCAGTTCTGGCAGTAGGCGATCTTGACCTCCTGCCCACCTTCCTGCTGGAAGGGACCCAGCGTGATGTTGCATTTCGCGCAGATGAACATCACGTATTTGAGTTGCGGGAACACGCCGCTACGCCGGGTGACCACGCCACCCACGCGGATCAGGCAGTTCAGGTGCGACTGTCGCAGCTGGCGCAGCGTGTAGGAGATGGGAAGGTCGATGATTCGGACGTGGATCTCGTTGTGGATGTCGTGGTACTGCGGGTAGTGGAAGAGGGTCACGTCCAGGGCGACCTGGTCGAAGACCTTGAGCATCTCAGTCGGCTCGTTGGCCAGGAAGTAGGACAGAGCGGCCTTGGTGCTAGCCAGATGCTCGTAGGAGACTTCCAGCGAGGCCGAGTTAACCTCACCGAGCGTCTTGATCTTGTTACCGTAGACGGAGCTACCGGCCTCGTCCGTGAACTCGGTCAAGAACGCCTTGAACTCGCGATAGATAGAGCGCAGCACCTGCGACTGCGTGACCCAGTCGGTGATGTTGGCGGCCTTGACATCGGACAGCTCTTCGAGGGTCAGCTCTTCCAGGCCGTCGTCTCCCATCTCGACATCTTCCCGATCCTCGTCGTAGTGATGACGCCGCCGGCGAGGCTGGCGGGTCAAATCAATGTCTCCGTCCTCGTCGTCTTGCAGGAATGCCGCCGGCATGCGACGACGTCGGTCGAGTTCTCGATCGCGCCGGCCCATGCGCGCTTCCAGCTGACGCCGGGCGCCAAGGTCCATTTCTTCCTGGTCGTCGTCGTCGTCAATGTACTCTCCCCGGTAGTGATCATCTTCCCCGTCTCGGTAATCTCTTTCGAAGTTGTCTGCAAACAGATCGATGCCATCCTCATCCTCTGCCATTTCCTCAATGTCGTCGATATCTCCCAGCATCTCTGCCTCCTCATCACGTTCGTTGTCCTCATCGTCAAAGGGGAGCATAGGAGGGGAAGAAGGGGGGGCTATCAACGAGCGTCAGTCGACTCACTTCCTCCAAGACCGGTGGACAAACGGTGAAATACGTACGACTCGAAGGAGGGGCAACCGAGGAGGTCTCATCATCGGGCTCTCTGGATCTCTTGCGGCGACTTAAATTTCCTAGCCCCCGATTGGCGGCGGAATTGCTGGGACGAAGTGGTGAACTGCAGGGATTATCATCAGTAAGGGTGGATAAAATTGAGCCATAACCAGAGCATCAGTATGAGACATACCTCATTGTGACAGGAATCCAATCTCACAGTGGGGGTTGTGAAAGTGGATGGTGTGGGTGGTCAGGGTTTCCGAGGAGATTGAAGATAGAGAGATGGAAAGATTGAAAGGGAGAACTGGATGCAATTTCGGCTTGGCGGGAAACGCGTCCAGGCGCGACTTCACGCGTCGCTCAACCGTGAACCAATTAAACCCCAATGCGGTTAGCTTTGTACAAACCAGACAAACGGTCGCGGCGCGCGTTATCTCAGTTGGATCGATTGGAGGTATCGTCGTCGCTTCATGCTCGTGGCGATTATCAGAATCGCTATCATTGCATTCTTTTCAGACTATCTTTTATCTTCGTTCTAGTCGCTTCAACTACTTCTATTATCCGCCATCATGAACCCTCCAGAAACTGTCAATCCGCCTTCCGGCGCTGAAATGCTGAAGAACGGGCATGCTGGGAAACGCCGAGAGAGTGTTGGATCGCAAACCTCACAGACCGCGAAAGAGTGAGCACATCGTTTTATAGAGTCTCGTTATCTTTTTTTCCCCCTTACATTGAGGATGGGTATTAACTAACATTTCCATCAAGATTCATCGAGAGTCAAATGCAGCTGGAGCACGACGCCCGCGAAGTCCTGCCATATGTATGCACAACCCCCAATATCCAACCCGCACCAAGAAATAAGGCAAGCTAATGTGATGCTTACAGTCCTTTGATTCCTGCTCTCAACCCCTAGGCCCTCTCCGACAAGTCCTCTTTGCCTGCCTCACATGCAACCCGCCTCCCGCGACGCCCGATGCGCCACACACCGCGGCCGGTATCTGCTACTCCTGCTCCATCTCCTGCCACGGCGAACACACGCTGGTAGAACTGTTCAGCAAGCGCGACTTCGTCTGCGACTGTGGGACAACCCGTTTTCCCGCATCTTCTCCATGCACCCTGCGCAGCGACCCCAATACTGGCCGGAAAGGCGTGCACTCCCAGGAGGCTCGCGCAGGCAATCGTTACAACAGAAACTTCCAGAATCGATTCTGCGGATGCGGCGAAGACTACAATGCGCAACAGGAGAACGGCACCATGTTCCAGTGTCTGGGGTTGGGGAGCGCGGAAACGGGCGGCTGTGGCGAGGACTGGTGGCACCCCGAGTGTCTGATCGGGCTTCCGCGGGACTGGTACAAGGATGCAAAGAAGGAGGATGTGAAGAAGGAGGGTGATGAGAAAGAGGCTGAGAAGGGCTCTGATAATGAGGATGAGGACGAGGAGACGCCACTCCCCCCGGGCTTCCCCGGCGAGGATGAGTTCGATACCTTCTTGTGTTACAAATGTGTCGACGCAAACCCCTGGCTGAAGCGCTACGCCGGGACAGCAGGATTTCTGCCGCCGATGTACAAAGATGGTGGCTTCGCTAAGCCCCCGCAGGAGACCCAGTCCACGACAGAGCCTACTATTTCCAAGAAACGCAAAGCAGAAGAGGGTGAGGAAGAAGACAAGGCCAGCAATGGTGGCAGCGGACCGTCCGCCAAACGGGCCAAAGAAGACACCCCCACTGAGACCGTTCAGTCGGAGTCCCATCCAGAGCCGACCACCACCGAACCTTCACCCACAAAGCCCAAGCACGAGTCTCTCCCCACCCCAGCGCCATCAGGCACCTTCTCCCTCTTCATGAAAGAAGACTTCCGCGAGCATTTCTGCCGCTGCCGCGACTGCTACCCGCACCTAGCGCAACACGTCCAGCTCCGGGAGGAAGAAGAGACGTACGAGCCGCCTCTCTCGGAAGCCGGGGACGAAGCCGACGGTGCGCGCAGCACAGGGACGGGCAGCCTGCTGGACCGCGGCGAGGCAGCGCTGAGCAACATGGATCGGGTGCGGGCGATCGAAGGCGCAATGGTCTACAACCACCTCCGCGACAAGGTCAAGGAATTCCTGACGCCCTTTGCGGAGTCGGGCACGGCGGTGGGGGCGGAGGACATCAAGGCCTACTTTGAGAAACTGCGGGGTGATGAGCAGCCTATGCGGGATGCCGCGGGGCAAGCGTCTGGGGGAGGGGGAGGGGGAGGGGGACCGGGAGCGAACAACGATAAGGACGAGGAGGATGGACGCAGAGAACAGAGTGGTTAGTGGGTTTGATTTCCGGTGTCTGCAAGTGGCTAACGGTTTCTTTAGGGTTTTGATTGGCGATCTATGATGTTTACGCTGGGAAATAGGTTCTTTCTTTCTTTTTCTTGCTTCTTCATTTTTGAAATTCAGGCGCATAGGTGGTCGAAGGGGATATTACATACTTATTACTATCTACTACAGTCCATTTAATGCCATCCAACGTTTTCACACCTGTCTCACAACAGACAGAATAAGTCACCTACAATCAAACGCTTCCCTCATGTATCCCTTCCCCATAGTACCCCCACTCCGCCAATCTGAACGATACGAACGAACCAGCAAGCGTGTCCAAGCCCAGCTAGGCGATCAGATACCAGTTCCCTTATCATAGACATCAGACCGACTCCAGCCGCCCTTTCCCCTAAACTGAGAAAGCAGGGTCTCTATCAATTCATTTAGCCTAAGCAAGATGTCCACCAATTAGTTGGATACTTATATACTTGTTTCCTCCCATCGCATCTGGTTTGGGACGGACTAGTCGTGATGATCGACATAGCAGAATTGAGGTCGTATCGTTTCTTCAATGTTGATGGAGGTGTATTGCCTACAAAAATATGATCAAATACGCGTACTATCCAACCCATATATATACGTTTTTTATATGAGGATAGATACTTTATACCCCGTCGTCTCTCTAACCTCATACCTTGTGATGTATCAGAAAGATCCAACCAAAAAAAAAAAGCACGTCTCACCGACTGTCAGATAAATCGTCCGACGCGGGGACACCAGTCCCCACCAGGGGCGTCACTAACTTCAGAATCCATCCAATCCGGATCCACCGGTTCGTTTTGTTGAATTGATTCGGACGAAAGAAGATCGGGGGGGGGGGAACAGATGGAAGAACAGAGCGAGGAGGGGGGACTAGTTTCAGATGGTTAGGGGAATGTAGCACCTGCTGTGCCACTCTTGACCAGTGGCCGTGCGAGTATTTATTATTTAATCTTTAATATAAGTATTTATTATTATTCGGAGAGGGAGGATTGAAATGCGCGATTAATCTTGTTTTGATCGCGTTACCTGGGTAGTAGTCTGTCTTGATGGAGTACAGCATCTGTAGAGGTGTATATAGGGTAATAAGGGAGAATGCAGGTCAACCACTAGGCAGACATTTTCCAGTAACTTAATGTTCCAGTGTTCAGCATTATATAATTCTACAATCTTACAATCTTATCCATAGAGTAAATCAAGACAGTTAGATTAAGTTGAGAACTTGAGACTGACAAGTGGATCATGTTCCAGTCGTGAGATTATCTTCCTGATTCTTTTGACCGGAAATTTCCATTCTAAGAATCAATAGTTTCATCTTCTACACTACATCTATTTATATCAAGATATAAGATATATACCTGGTATGTCTTTATATTCTGCTCAAGTTGTATGGTTCACTCAATTAACTAGTGACTGGACTAGTTCTTGACTCCGGTTCCTCTCCGCCCATTCTCTTTCTCCTGTTCTTTTCTTCTTTTCTTCTTCTTCTTCTTTCTTCTTCAAATACTATCTATCCAACAAATCCACTGTTTCTACTGTCTGCACCGCCTAGAACAACCCAAGTGGTATACCTCTTACCTATCATCTAGTGGCTACCGTGGCTCCGGCCAGTCCTTTTCTGGATCGTCCCGCAAGCCGATCGTCGATCGACCCGGGCCTCGTTCTGGCTCCCTCAACCACCACCGACCGACCTCTCCGCCCCGGTCGGATATTCTCTCCTCTCTCCTTTCACCTTCCTCCTTCTCACTCTCCTAATTTTCTTCAATCCAATTCAATCTTATCTGTCTTTGACGCTCTCCTTCGATTGATCCCTCCCCCTTTCCTATCGTTCCAACACCGGTGTCCGGGTCTTTCCCCTCCTCTTCTCCCCCCTCTTCCCCCCCCCCCCCCCCCCGCACCCTTCGTCATGGTGCGGTTACCGTTACCGCACCGGTTGAGCTCTCACCTGAGCGCAAGGAGTACCAATACGACTCCGGGTCAGAGTAGGAGTACCAGCCCCATGAGACCCGCCGAGTCCAAGCCTCTTCTCCTCCGCGTCTCGGTATTACAGGTGAGTGACCGCGTTTCCTCTCCCGTCCGCCCCTCTACTTCCGTCGCCGTCCCTAACATATTGGTTCTCAATAGGGGAGAAACTTAGCCGCCAAAGATCGAGGCGGAACAAGTGATCCGGTACGTGCCCTTCCACTGCGAATTGGAACCCGACTGAGAGACGATATCGATAGTACCTAGTTGCCACGTTAGGAGACTCGAGGCAGTCGACCCCCACGATCTATAAGAGCCTGAACCCGGAATGGAACGTCACCTTCGAGATGCCCGTCGTCGGCGTGCCCCTGCTGGAGTGTATCTGCTGGGACCACGACCGGTTCGGCAAGGATTACCTGGGCGAGTTCGATATTCCATTGGAGGATATTTTCGCCCACGGCGAGGTGCAACAGCAGGTGCGTCGTCAGCCTCACGGTCCGCTTGACTGCGAGACTAGATGTCGTTATGTTTGGTGCTAATCCATTTCCGCCATCCCAGCCAATGTGGTATACCCTCACCTCGAAGCGGAAATCCACCAGGAAGAATAGGAAGAAGGATAGCAACATCTCCGGCGAGATCCTGCTGCAGTTTTCGCTATTCGACTCGTCCAATCCCGACGCCCCCCCGAACGAGACATACAGCAAGTTCAAGAGCCTGGTGCGTTCTGGCGAGGAGGAGGACTACTTCCCCCAGATCCCCGGGAACGTGTTGAGCAGCGCCGATCAAGACGAGCCGTCGTCGGACGAGAATGACGATCCGGATAAAAAGGAGGTGGTCGAGAAACGGCGGAAGCGGCTGCGCTTGGCTCGACTGAAACGCAAGTCGCTGGCGCAGCGAGCATACCAATTCTCAGGGCAAGGCAACGGAGTGCAAGGCATGGTGTTCATGGAGATTGTGAAGGTCACCGATCTTCCCCCGGAACGAAACGGTATGGTGGTCGCCCTGGTCCCGCCGCGAAATCCCCCACACTAACGAATATCACCACCTCTCGCCAGTGACCCGCACATCCTTTGACATGGATCCGTTTGTTGTCACCTCGTTGGGGCGCAAGACGCTTCGAACCCCGGTCGTCCGTCACAACCTCAACCCCGTGTACCACGAAAAGATGGTATTCCAGGTCATGAAGCACGAACAGGCGTACACGATGAGCTTCACCGTTATGGATCGCGACAAGTTCTCCAACAACGACTTCGTCGCCTCGGCGAACTTTCCGCTCCAGACCCTGATCAAGTCTGCGCCGGACGCCGACGCGAACACCGGGCTCTACCACTTCTTGGATCCCGCCCTTGATCCGACCCAGGATCGCGGATTGTCCGACAATGCGGCCGGGATTAAGATCGGGATCAGCCCGTCGCCGTCGTCGAGCGGCCGCTCGAAGATGGTCAAGCCCACCACGATAAGCTCGCGAAGCTCCACCACTTCCCTGCAGGCCGCGCAGGACATGCCTGCGCCCACATCGTCCCCGTTGCTGGCGCCTTCGTCGAACGCGACAGATACGGACAGCGGGGCATCGTCTCCAGTACCGACTTCGGTGCCGACCACCATCACTTCGGAAGCGCCCAGCATGCCCCCCCTGGAAGACGAAGGTCTTCGGCTCTATCGGATCCCGCTAGTGCTGAAGAATAAAGAGCGATGGGAGGATAAGCACTCCCCCGAGCTGGTGGTCAAGGCGAAGTATATGCCGTACCGCGCCCTCCGCCAGCAGTTCTGGCGGCTCATGCTCAGCCAATATGACGCTGACGATAGCGGCCGGATCGACAAGGTCGAACTGACGACGATGCTCGACACCCTCGGCTCGACGCTGAAGGAGTCGACCATCGACAGTTTCTTCGAACGCTTCAGCGCGGAGAACCAGCCCAGCGACACGATGGATCTCACGTTCGACCAAGTGGTGATGTGCCTCGAGGATACCCTGCAGGCCCTGCAGCGGATCCCCAAGCCCATCGGGAAACAGCTCCTCCAGACCTCCTCCGCCGGCAGCCAGGATAGCGACGAGCCGTCGAGCGGCGACGACGATCTGAACGGGGACCCGCTGGGAATCTCCGTCCCGACAATCCCCGGCGACGAGGAGACGCTCCCGCAGCGAAAGGTAGCCGTGCCTGGCATCGCAGCCGAGGAGTCCTCCTCATCCAACGACGACCTCCACCCGGACGATCTCGGCGACGAGCGCGGCGAAGAACACGTCGTCGAAATCCTGGAATGCCCGCTGTGCCACCAGCCGCGGCTGTCGAAGCGATCCGACGCGGACATCATCACGCATATCGCCACCTGTGCGAGCCGTGACTGGCGACAGGTCGACAACCTTGTCATGGGCGGCTTTGTGACGTCCAGCCAGGCCCAGCGGAAGTGGTATACCAAGGTCATCACCAAGATCTCTTACGGCGGTTACCGGCTCGGTGCCAACTCGGCCAATATCCTGGTCCAGGATCGCATTACGGGGCAGATTAACGAGGAACGGATGAGCGTCTACGTGCGGCTTGGAATTCGGTTATTGTATAAGGGCTTGAAGAGTCGGGATATGGAGAAGAAGCGAAGTAAGTTTTCCAGGAGAACTCGCAATCAAAGAGAGAGAGAGAGAGAGAGAGACTGACCCTCACAGTCCGTAAAATCTTAAAGTCCCTCAGTATCAAGCAGGGCCGGAAATACGACGATCCTGATTCGGCCAGTCAGATTGAAGATTTCATCAACTTCCATCAGCTCAACATGAACGAGGTCCTGCACCCGATCGAGTACTTCAAGACCTTCAACGAGTTCTTCTACCGGGAGCTCAAGCCAGATGCGCGGCCCTGTTCAGCCCCCGATGAGCCCGGGATCGTCGTTTCGCCAGCCGACTGCCGATCCGTCGTGTTCGACCGCATGAGCGAAGCGACCGGCATCTGGGTCAAGGGCCGGGAGTTCTCCATCGAGAGACTCCTCGGCGACGCCTACCCGGAGGACGCCAAGCGCTACAAGAACGGGGCGTTGGGCATCTTCCGCCTGGCGCCGCAGGATTACCACCGCTTCCACATCCCCGTCGACGGCGTGATGGGGACGCCCAAGACGATCGAGGGCGAGTACTACACGGTCAATCCGATGGCCATCCGGTCCGCACTGGACGTGTACGGCGAGAACGTGCGGATCCTGGTGCCCATCGACTCGCCCGTCTACGGCCGCGTGATGGTCGTCTGCGTGGGCGCCATGATGGTGGGCAGCACGGTGATCACCGCCCAGGCGGGCGACAAGGTATCGCGAGGCGACGAACTCGGGTACTTCAAATTCGGCGGGAGTACGCTTCTCCTTTTGTTTGAGGAAGACCGGGTGAAGTTCGACAAAGATCTGGTAGACAACTCGAAGGGTCCTTTAGAGACATTGGTAAGTACTTTCTTCACCCCCCACTCTCCCCTCCCCCTCCCCACCCCTTACCGACGCGCATACATCCAAAACCACCCCTAACGCAAATCCCCCAGATCCGAGTCGGCATGTCAGTAGGCCACAGCCCTGGCGTCCCCCAATTCGAACCCGACATGCCGAAGAAGCCCGAAAATGTAACGCTGGAGGAGATGCAAGCCGCCCAGCGTCGGATCGAGGGCAGCCTGGCGCCTCATTTGGAGCATGAGCAGGAGCAGTAAGCAAGCATTGGGACATTTATCTGTCGAATTTTTCCAGCGGTCTGGTCTTGGTCTGCATGATCTCGTTTGTTTCTAGCGTTCGGTTTCTGTTTAACTTAGCGATCTATTCGCACATAAATCTTTGCTACGTGTTTGAAGATGTGGTTGGTTTTACATGTATACAGGAGATATAGGTAATATATGCTAGGATGAACATACACATGATTATTGGTAGAAAAGGAGTGGCTAGTCTGGATTATTAGTCTTGGGTATAGAATTTTCAACATAAAGCTGTATCAATTCATACTATAATATTCACCATCACCAGACCATCAATTTTAGCAATAGTCCTATTATCTACCATCCTATTCTCGCAAAGTATCCCGATTAAAGGAGAAACATAATGCATTTGCATTGCATCCATTATCCATCTTACTAATCCGCCATCACCCAAAACAGCCTAGCGGCCAGTCCCGCACCACGCGCCACGACCAAAACAAGCGCGTGCCGCCCGAACCACCAAAGTCCCATCCCGAGTCTACTATCGTCGCCCTCATTATCATCGTCACCGTCTGCGCAAGTCAGCGCTGCTACCTCTAACGACGCGACACTACACGCCCGCCCCGCGATATACTCGAATCGTTAAGCCAGAGAGCCACGAGGTGAAAACCGCGCGCCACGCTAATTCAATCGACGAGAGGGGGGGGGCCGCTGCCCGACCGACCGACCGATAACAACACCGATTCTTCTTCTCCTCCTTACCTACACCCGGCTGACGAGAGTGGGTTCGGATTGTTGCGCCGACGGATAGAGATTGTTGTTGAAGGGATTATTACGGAGGGGACCGCGACGCGCACTGGATTGGATTCGACATATTTGGTCTTCCTGTCGAGGTCGGATTCTTGTTGCGGTGTGTGATTTTTACCCACCGGCAAAGGCAAAGTTCGCGACGACATACGCTCCTCGACGCCACATTTCATTTGTCGATTGGGGGGAATGGGATTAGCACTTGGAATCTTCCACACAACAACCACAATCAACATCAAGCGGTGAAAGAAAGAAACAGAGAAAGGAAGAACAAAACGGTCGCCCGACTCAATCAATCGCAAGATTCATATTGTCTTCCCCCGCCGGCCTTGACATGACCGTCACTGTTCTGGCTACTTCGACGACCAAGACGAAGACGAAGCTTCGCGATCCGCTGCTTGCGCTTGAGATGGCCCCGACCCAGGCGCAGGCGCGTCATGCCGCGCCTGGTAGGAAGACGACTCGGTCGGCTGCGCGACTGAGTTTGACGAATCAGGAGAATGAGGCCCCTGCGGGGCCGCCTAATGGTGTTGAGAAGAAGAAGAAAGGTGCGGGTGCGAAGAGGAGTGCTGGTGAGTTTTCTCTTACTCTTTCTTTTTTCTTTCCTACAATCCAGCGCTTTTTGCTGTTGGGTGTTCTTTCGTGTTTCGTTGCGCGATGCTTACTTTATGTGTCTTCAGATGTGTTCGATGAGGATGTAGAAGGTTTCCAGTTTACCCGTGTTACTACATCCAAGAGCAAAAAGTCTAAACCATCGGATAATGCTATCCCTGAGCTTGCTCCGCCACCAGAGAAACCACCGCAACCGTCGCCGCGGCGGGGTCGGCCGCCGAAGAAGAAGGTCGAGCAGAAGCCCGAGGCTACTACGGCAACGGAATCACAACAGGAGCCCACCAAGCCCAGGAGTACAAGACAGACGCGAGGCGCCGCGAAGCCGACTGCCCCCGAACCGGAACCGGAGCCGGAACCCGTGAGCGGGACGCGCTCGTCGCGAAAACGCGACAACGCCGAAACAGTTCCGACGGAGAAGAAGAAACGGAAGGGCGGGCGGCCTAGCAAATCCCACGCGGAGGAGCAGCGCAATGGGTTCCAGTCACCGGAGCCGCCTCAGTCGGGGACAGCGACGATTGCGTTGCCCATGGCGGATACGCCGGTGATCCAGCGCAACAAGGAGATGCGGGGCGCTGGAAAGTCCGGAAAGGGCAATCGGCGGAGTAGTCTGGGGATGAGGGGGCGGAGAGCCAGTTCGCTGATTGAATCTGGCGCGTCGAATGGTGGGTATCGCTTTCCCTTTTGACCTGCACCGTGCTAACAGACAACAGCGTTACCCCATAGAGAGGTCGACACGGCGGATTTCTTCAAGCACATCGCCAGCGACGGATTACCGGAGCCAAGACGGATGCGGCAGTTACTGACGTGGTGCGCCACGCGCGCCTTGAGCGATAAACCTACGGGGTCTGGTGCCGAAGACGCGAGTGCTCGATTAGCAGGTGGGTGCTTCCGCGACAATTGCACGTATAGCGCAATGCTGACGGACTATAGCGCGTGTAATCCAAGAGGAACTACTCAAGGACTTTTCGCAGAATTCGCAACTCTCCGACTGGTTCTCACGGGAAGATGTCGCGCCGTCCGTGGTAGTGAAAAAGCCGAACCCGAAAAACACACAGAACAGCGAAAAGATCAAGGAACTAGAAGAGCAAATACAGAGGTGGGCTATCCTCAGATCTGCACATACAACATATCACTAACGATAAACAGGCTACACCAAGAGAAACAGTCCCTAAACGCCTTACTACGACCGCCGACTATCCCCCCAATCCAACCCCCAGCCGCGCAACCAGAGCAACCCACCGAAACCTCCAACGCCAACGAGCCCTCTACCTCGATAGACACCTCCTTATTAGACCCGTCCCAACAACAAATATACAACACAATCAAGCCCGCCCCCGCCCCCGCCACACACCCACCAGACAGCACCGACACCGACACGGCCGCTCCCCACACAGAAACCGCCATCTCAGCGCGTCTCTCACGAATCACAGGCAGCCTAGCACCAACCCTCGACACCTTCGCCGCTGGCATACACGACATCGACCTCTACCGCGCGACCTCAGACCGCGTATCCACCCGGGTATTACAAATCTGCGCAGACCGTCTCGACGAGCGCGACACGCGACACGCGCTCCGCCGCCTCGCACTCGACAACGGCAGCGAGGAGGACACGAAGACGGTCCGGCCGCGGGAAGACCTGGGGTTGATCCTCGGGGCGCTCAGTCGGATCGAGCGGCGGTGATCTCATCCTTTTTTACTTCTTCTTCATTATTTGACCCTTTGTATCTGGCTGGAAGGGTGGCCGGTGGGTAAAGGTCGTTTGTCTGTTATTAGTTGTTGTTTGTTTGTTGTTGTTGATTTGATTGGCGGCATGCAGCGAGCAACGGAGTTGGGATTGGGGAGTTTGGGGGATGTTACTTAGGGTACTTAGGTAGATAACTGTATGATTGATTGATTGATTATTGATTAGAGGTTGGATGGATTGAATCCATTGAGCTATTCTGATTATGTGTAAATTGCGAATAGTGTAGTTTTCTTTGAGCCTGGTGTAGTTTTCAACTTTTGGGGGTTCGATTGGGAGACCTATCTACGGTTGTCTAGGTATCTACAATCGTCTTCCGAAAGCGGATGATTCATGTATATAAAGTATATATCCAGTGCTCTAGCAAGTGACACTGATCATAGGCTTAGAACCGAGTACAAGGTATAGAAGAATCAATTTTGTAGTAAGTAGGCAGTTGGTACTAGGTATGTACATATGGAGAGGGTGAGGTGTACTGCCTTGGTACATACATAGGTAGCGGGGCATCTCTGTGATATATAGATAGGTAGGTAAACTCAGGTCAAATTTGGTAGAGAGGTAGGTAGGTATGTAAGATATGTATGTATAACACTATCTCATACATTTTCCGGAAAAGGAAGCTGTGTTCATTTCACATTCATTATAGTTCACTTAGTAGGGTGGAATATATGGGGGAGTTGAAAATAAATAATCGCAGAAGAAGGAAGCCTATAGTAGTGGTTGTTGTGGTGGTGGTAGTAGTAGTAGTAGTAGTAGTAGTAGTAGTAGTAGTAGTAGTAGTAGTAGTAGTAGTAGTAGTAGTAGTAGTAGTAGTAAAAGTGATTAAATGAACACTGAAACGACAGTTGTCAATGGATTAAAGATGTCTAGTTCTTCTATATTGTCAATCGGGTATTTAGATATACCCCAGTACCAGGAATCTGGGAGTGTGATCAGATTGTGACAGTTGTAAGTGGCGAGGTGATGACTATATATAGCAAGCAGGAGGTAGGTAATCAGCAGTCGATCAAGGTTGATCACGAATGAAAAGAGAAACACAATCGGGTCTAGAAGGGAGAATTAATTAAATAGGCAATTAGATAAGGTACTTCATGCCTGCTTACGCAAAGATAGCTGCGCCTCCGGGGTATGTATGCATAGCATGGCGTAATGTCTTGCATTGGTCTGATTTGATATTTCGATGATTCTTTGGGTTTTCTAGTGCTGTGGGGTGATATCAGCGTACAGGAAGGGTTAGCTTATATTTTCACGGAGTATGTATCCGAGTGTATTGAGTTATTGATGCTGCGACAGTTGGGCAGCAATTGACTAATTCCACTAGAACTAGTTCATTGACCGGTAGACTATCAGGTTTATTTTTTATAAAAAAGATTTATACTAGGGATCTAGGAGAGATGAAAGAAAAAAAAAAGTGGAGTCCGCTAACGCCGTCCGCAGCCGGTTTATTTTCCGGGCTGGTCTGGCCTGGTTTGTGTCTGACCGAGTCTACAGTATATACTAGATACTATATAGGTATGGACTACAATAAGATACCAACTACTGCTAGACCATGTGATGGATAGATCTTTCTAGTCTGTTTCTTGGCGGTGGAAGTTGAAGAGTTCGGCTGTCAGCTGATCCTATGGATCCTCTGGAAGTCTGGTTCATTATGGAGTCTGGTGGATACAAGACATTGATAGAACAAGGTCTTGTCCATACCATGAGTCAACGGTAAGTCAAACAAAGAAATCAAGACAAACGATAATAATATAATAAAATTATGATTACAGACCATCCCTTTATCATTATATCATTATTTCATATATCATATATTATATGCTCTCGCCACCACATTAAGCATACTACACAGGTAGGACAAACCCTGACCAGCCGGCTTGCACCTCTCTTCCCCGATCACAGTCTCACATCACCAGCTTCCCTGCCCGGTAGAATGGATTGGCCCCTGCCTCGGTCTTGGTTCCACCGCCATCCTCGGGACGTACAGCATGCCCGTCTGACGGGAATCACGGACAATCCGGCCAATGCATGAGGTCTAGAAGGTTCAGTCATTATCTGCATAATCTTCGGATAGAGTTGGTAGGTCCCTACCTATACCTGCCTATACCTACCTACTGAGCAAGTACCGGTTGTTACCTACCAGGATGACATGCATCGGTCCTGCATAACAATGGCATACCGCCAAGGAAGGACAATGCCGTGTCACGCCCCGCGACGGGTGGAAAGAGAGCAAGACCACCATGCCAAGGGAGCATCATCTGAAGGTGTACAGCACACCCGCCGACTGGTCCAGACACCGCGGGCTCAGGGTGACCGCGTCACAGTCTGCCATCTTGTTTGATTCATCCATGCAGGTCTCCCCATGTAATGAGCAAACCTTGTAAAAAATAAACCACATCAACAAATCAACAAAGGAAGAAGATGACCTCAAACTATATGTAATGATTAATCATCCTGAAAATCATTGAAAATCATGTCTGTGAGAGTAGTGGGTCAGAAGAGCAAAGCCACAGAACCTCAACTGCAACCGTTGTGGGCGGAGATAAGAAGCCTGACCAGCTGAAACAGGGGGCTGGGATGTTCGGTGGATCTGGGCGATTCTATCAGGAGCTTGAACTCCCTTTCAGACGTGGAAATGTTATCTGTATGGACTATGGAGTACTTGAAATATTATCCAAGACGATTCCCACCTATTAGCTAAATCGCCTAAAATAAGAAACACCGGATCAGAAAGGGGTTGACTCATGCTCATCGGTAGGAGCTCTGATCTTTCGGTGCCCAGTGCGCTGCAGACAATCGTGTTGATCAGCAGGATGGAACAGGGGGCATTGACTTTAGCGTGATGATTCTTTTTATCTTTTTTTTTTTGTCTTGTTGTCGTGTTCTGTGGTTCAGCCTTTTTATCCTGGTTTGTTGATACAGCCATATCCAATGGAAACTGCCTCAGGCTTCTCTCACCTCAAACCTTCACTTTCACTTTCACTTCTTCCTTCTTTGACTTTCTTTCATCCTCCTCATCTCTCCACTATCAGCCTCCCCCCTGACTGATCATGGTTCCACATGGCTGATTTGGTTGATCACCTCCTCCCAGAGCTTCGTAATGCCAACCTCTTATCAAACCGTCTTGCAACTGACTGCCCCACCTCTCCTGGATGGTGACGACCCCCATGGTGTGATAGGATAGACTTCTCCAACTAATCTACAGCAAGGTGAGCAAATCCCTCATCCCACTTCTTCTATTCAAGTGGATAGGTGGATAGATTCTCCTATCCTGCATCTATCAATTTATCATCCCTCGACCGGGCTTCGGGTAGCCGACTGACGTGCCCGCGACAGCCCTCTCATTCGCCTGTTGTCCTGCCCCTCCGACCCCTCAACCATGGACGATCATCCACACCGACCGGCGCAGATGGACGGTCCGGTTCGGGCGCTAGAGACTAAAGGTTCTGCTGATAACCTGGTTCCTTCGGGAATGCAAGGACCCACTCGGCTTTCTGCCTGCTGCACACCAGATCCTCTTGGTCTCGTTTGCCATGCCGATTAGTCTTTTGTTTCTCACTCCAGAAGAGAGAGAGAGAGATCCAGACGGTTCTATCGGTGGAGAAAAGATTGGCGTCACCTTCGAAGATCCATCACGATAGACGAACAAAAATTTTCCTCTCCCCTAAACTAAAAAAAGAAAGGGTCGGAAAAAGGACGCGAGGCTAAAAAAAGAGAAAAGAAGAGAGAGTGTAAGAGAACAAGGCCCAACGGCAACAATTGATATCCACCATCGTCCACTCTCTTCCAAGTTGTTACTCCCCTCCCAACAAGCTAGGACTGAGCTAGGAGTCTAGCACTCCAGCACGCTGACCCAATGTGACTCCCCTGTGGCCAAAGTGGTACATATCGTGGAGCTCGTGGAACCGCTTCCGTCGTCGACCCGTGGTCCCTTTCCAAGATAGCCAGGAAAAAATGATGCCTGAACGCCGTTCTAGTTCTCTTGGGGGTTGGGTGTCACCCTGCGCCTTTGGCTTTTTTCTTTCCAAGCGAATCTTTCTGGGTCTACTCGTGGCTAGCATGCTGTATTATGGGCAAGGCTAACTGATTGGATGAAACAGTAATCCCTAATCATGCTTTTTTTTTTTTTTTTTTTTTTTACTTTTACTACATCTTATTTTCTTGAATTTATATTTTATTCTATTTTTTTTTTAGCTTTGCTTGGGACCCACGCCGGTGATTCACCTGCTAGCTTTGCTACTGATATCAAAATTATCTCCCCTCTTACCCCCCCGATGTTTTATCACGGTGGCGATTGCTTGCATCATTTGATACAATACACCCGAATTGCCCACCCCCGTTCCTTAAATCAAGATCTATATCTCTTCACATTCCTCTCTACCTTGACGTCCTGTCCTGGGTTGTCCACAAGCATTGACCCCAAAATATTGTCATTCCTCCGCAGCCCTCTTTGCTACACAAACCCCAAGGCAGATCGCTCACTTTCCTGTCTTCATATGATTAGTGTCGTCTTTCCCTCCCCGTGATTGGATCTGGCTTCCTTGTCAGGGCTCTCCTTCTCCCCCAAGATCGGCTGCTTTCATCCAGCAGAGGCGGCTTTTGTGACCTCGATCCCATCACCTGCCTGGCCGTTTAATTTAATTCCATTCGATTGTTTGTTCACCGTTATCCCCCTTTGGGAAGTCGAAGACACCTATAATCAGAAATCTCCTACACGTTTCCCTCTCCCCTCCCTTATCTTGCAGCTGGTCCATTGCCCCCCGACGTGACAGAGACGCCGCCAGTGAACTCGACTATGCCTCGGTGACGTATGATCATTCTTTGAAGCGGGACCTTTCACTCCCTTCCTTCCTGCGCGCCACCCTCCACCGACTGGTCCTCTCATCATCTTGCCGTTGGCTCGTTGGCCATTGTCTGTGCTTCATTCCCCCGGACCGCATACTCTCTTAGCTGCGTGAGTAGCTGCGAAGTCGGTTTTCTGGCCGGCAACCCCCCTGGCGCGATCCATATCTCTGACTTGTTGCTAGGGTACCCTTTTTTCGGGCTTTGGTGATCGTGATAGAGCCATCAGCCGGATCCGAACCATTGGTTGAATAGACCGAAGTGTAAAACAAAGGAAGAAACGAAGGAAGAAGAAGGTTAATAATTATAATTATAATTAACCAGGAGGAATCTATTGAGAGATTCCCAAAGGTAACACAACCAGGCAGTCAGTGTCCTCTGGATCTCCAGCGCCGTCACTCGCGCCCAGGAATTCATCATGGCTGGCGGCTACTTCGATCTACCTATCGCCTCCTCGCGACGGTCAAGCATTACTGATGTACCTGGAGAGACCGGTCGATCTTCTGCAGGGCCGCGTGTCTCTCCCCTTCCAACTCCCACTGAGGGTGTGGATCCCGACGGCGCTCAGGGTAGGAGCCGGAATGCCGGCATTCTCAAGAGCTCGAATCGCGTCAAGTTTACGGTCAACGAAGCTTATCTAGGCCATAGCCAAACCCTCCCGGCCTCTGAGCCCCCACAGTTCGATGGCAGATCGCTACCCCAACGGCCTTTGCCCACCGCCAGCAGCATTCCACCGGCTGAAAAATCCATCGCCGACTCCCAATCGCTCCCTCTGATTGATATCGGCTCTGGATCTCCTATCGGCGCTATGGGCCTGACCGTCCACTCACGAGCGAGCTCCCCAGGGCTCATTGGTGACGATGAGATCGGCAATGAGAGGGGACAGAGGGCTATCCACTCTGCGCAGGAGCGAGCCCAACGACTCGCATCCCTGCTGGGCCGCTCCACCAGATCGCCCCGGCCCAGTCCTCGATCGAGTTTGCCGTCATCAGTTGCGTCGACCCCCACAGAGGTGGCGCTGCCATCTGATTACGGTGACGAGATCCCTATGATCAGTCTCCCCGAAAAACAGTTCGATTTTGACTACGACGACGACGAAGAAGACGATGAAGCTGGCCTTGTAAACCACCGCCGGCACACCACACGCGCCTCCGAAGCTCATCAACTTGTGAGCCAAATGACCCGAAAGGAGTTCAGTTTCCTAACCAGGATCCGCGCCCCTTCCCCGGGAATCCGATCCGGACAAGTGACCCCTCTCGAGGAGAGAGACCCAGACGCCTACGTCGAACCCCCGACCCACTACCGGGGCGGTATCCTCGCTTCCCTGCTTAAGCTCCACGATCAACCACCCACATCGCACGCTTATCCCTCCCGTGGCCGGTATGGCCATTCGCGCCAGAGTAGCTCCGGAGGACTTAGCAGCCGGGGCCTGTCTCCTGACCCAGGGTGGCGGCCTCAGCGGCCCAGAAAGTGGTACGAAAAGTCACCCAACCAGTCCAGCACCTCCCTGTCTGGATCCCTGTCCGGTTCGACTGCGAAGAATTCGATGAGCTCGCCCACCGCCATGCTCAAACGCTCGCAGAGCAGCGGTGCTGTGCCCAGCGTCCCCAAGCGCATGGACAAGGCGCAGCTGGCCGACGAGATCCGCATCACCGTCCACATCGCCGACCTGCTGGCCCGCCAGCGGTACCTGATCCGACTGTGCCGGGCCCTAATGAAGTACGGTGCTCCCACCCACCGCCTGGAGGAGTACATGAAGATGACCGCTCGCGTCCTGGAGATCGACGGCCAGTTCCTGTACATGCCAGGCTGCATGATCATCTCCTTTGACGATGTCTCCACCCACACCACCGAAGTGAAGCTGGTGCGAGCCCCGCAGGGGGTCGACCTCGGCAAGCTGTCCGACGTCCACATGATCTACAAGGAGGTCATCCACGACGTCATCGGCGTCGAGGAGGCCATCCAGCGCTTGGACGAGATCATGAGGAGGAAGAACAAGTACCCGATCTGGGTGGCCATCCTGGTCCACGGCTGTGCCGCGGCCAGTGTCGGCCCGTTTGCCTTCAATGCTCGGCCCATCGACATGCCCATCGCCTTCCTGCTCGGGTGCCTGCTGGGCGTGCTGCAGCTCGTGCTGTCGCCACGATCCAGTCTCTACTCGAATGTCTTCGAGATCTCGGCCGCGGTCCTGACCTCATTCTTGGCCCGCGCCTTCGGCAGTATACGTTATAATGGGGAGCGGTTGTTTTGCTTTTCTGCCCTAGCCCAATCCTCCATCGCGCTCATCCTACCGGGCTACATGGTGCTGTGCGCCAGCTTGGAGCTGCAGTCGCGCAGCATGGTCGCCGGCTCCGTGCGCATGGTCTACGCCATCATCTACTCCTTGTTCCTGGGGTTCGGGATCACAATCGGAACCGCCGTGTACGGTCTGCTGGACGCGGACGCCTCGACGGAGTACACGTGCCCCGCCAGCCCCATCACCAACGAGTATTTGCAACGGTTCCCCTTTGTGATCGTCTTCACCCTCTGTCTCTCGATCGTCAACCAGGCCAAATGGAAGCAGATCCCGATGATGCTCGTCATCGGGTTCGCCGGTTACGTGACCAACTACTTCGGCACCAAGCGGTTCTACTCGAGCACGCAGGTCTCCAACGCGCTGGGCGCCTTCGTCATCGGCGTCATAGGCAACCTGTACAGCCGACTGCGCCACGGGTTCGCCGCCGCAGCCATGCTCCCAGCCATCTTCGTCTTGGTGCCGTCGGGACTCGCGGCCAGCGGGTCCTTGGTGTCAGGTCTCCAGTCCGCCGAGCAGATGACCTCGCGGGCGGGGCCACACTCGGTCATCACCAACGGGACACAGGGGTTCGTGGACGCCGCCAAGAACATGTCGCAGCCGACTCCAGGCCAGGAGCACCAGGGTGTTGTATTTGACATCGGGTACGGAATGGTGCAGGTTGCTATCGGCTTTACGGTTGGGTTGTTCCTAGCTGCGCTGGTGGTGTATCCTCTGGGGAAGAAGCGCAGCGGGCTGTTTAGTTTCTGACTGACTGATCTTTATTTACCCTTACTCGCATTTTTTTTTTATCTCACCCTCTCCTTTACCCTCATCCTGTCCTCTCGTCTTCCCTCATTATATCTTATAATCCACCCCCACCTCATCACCCATGTCTTTTTCCTTGTGTTGTTTGTTTGTTGCATACGATTGGCGTCCTTGATCAGCGTCCCGTCGTGTTTTTCAGCGTCTATTTTTCCTATCTCCTGGCATCATACTCATTACTATTTCACACAGCATGTACCTTGCATTTCCTACCTCACGATCAGTTATATACGCACTTTTGGTTTGGTTTGATCTAGCGGTATAACGACGAGGGACCATCAACGATCTATCTGTTTCACATCTCATATGTCATGTCATAATATCCTGTTGGCTCTTTTTATCAATCATGGACGGTCTTTCTCCCTCACTGGGTTGTCATTTCATTTCTTTTTATCTTTTGATTCTTCAAAAAGCAAGCAAGCGAGTGCCTACTACTGTTATTATATCCGATTATTCTATATATGAACGATGTGCTTGTTTTCTATCACTTTATGGCATTTCACGTACAAGAACCTTTCTAGATGTGAAGACGAATTGAAATAGGATGGATAGAGGGGTGGATGGGTCCTATTACCTATCTACAACCTATCTACAACCTATCTACAACCTATCTACAACCTACCTACAATCTTCCTATAATCTAAACCAAGCCAAACCAAACTATAGCAATCAGCCAGTCAACCAATAGATAAATAAATGAACCGATAAACACACACACAAGTCAAACCTAGTTCCATCCAAGCCACCAAAGGAGTCATTCTGGTTAAAAATGGTCCTTCAAGCTAAGGAAAGGCAGAGAAAATCGAGGTAAATCCGTACGGGGAATGACTCCAAAACTAACGATTCCATACCGAACCATGACAAAAGGGAGTCAGTCACCAATACAGTCAGAAGATGATTTAATGGCTCATTAGTCTTTTGGAACCCTGGACGTGGTTTTGTAAAAGGGCTTCATTTGGCTATCTCTGACATACTCTCACCACTATCATATCACTATTACTACTAACTGTTATTATCTTCTTCTTCTTCTTCTTCTTCTTCTTCTTCTTCTTCTTCTTCTTCTTCTTCTTCTTCTTCTTCTTCTTCTTCTTCTTCTTCTTCTTCTTCTTCTTCTTCTTCTTCTTCTCCTCCCTAATAGCCAACATCATCCAACCACTCCAGAGATATCCCAACCCTAGCAGCCATGTGAAGAAGAAGAAAAAAGCAACCAATCAAACCACAGATACAAACCAGCAAACTACCTACCTACCCAGCAGGCGATCTACTTCCACACATACCAACCATCCAAAGGAGGCCTCCACCGCCAAAGTGCAAATCAACTCTAAAGAGTTCCCAAGAGGGCATCAGACCCAAGGTCACCCTGATCGGCCGAATCATTCGGCAGATCGTCCAGAGGATCCCTTCAATACCAACCATTAGCTTCTAACAGATCCAAGCGCACGAGTAGCAGAAGTAGAAAAGAAGTAGAAATAAAAGTAGAAAAAAAGAATCACCAAACTCACTTATCTTTCTTGTTACACCAGAGCAACTTCCATCCACTCCAGCACCAGTTGCCATAAGCATTATAGCAATCCTGGCCGAGCTCATTTCTGAGATCCCCGATGTCGTGCTTTTCGGTCGTCCACGCGAGGTACTGCTCTGGCCTATGGCCTCTGGTTGTGCCCGGCGGGGGCGCGTGCTTGGGGCAGGAGGGCGCGTCGCCCTCCCAGTAGCAGTCTGTGTCATCGTACCTGCAGGCAGAAACTGCGGTGGGGGCGAGAGTGAGGGCCGTGGCTAGGATGGTGGCGGCTGCTTGGAACTTCATGATGAAGAGGGGTTGATTCTCAAGGTTTATCTTTGTGGAAAATATCTCTTGTAGGTAGAAGAGGTATGATGATTGTTAGTGCTCTGCAAATCAGAGAGGGTGGAAGGCCGGGGTTTTATATCCGGTTTGTAGATGAATGAATCCCAATCGAGTGTTTGGTAACGCCCCTGGCAATGTAATAAGCAAGGGAGAACTAGTATGTAGGGATATATCTATCAGGTCAGATTCCCGATATAGATGGACTTTCAGAGCCAGCTGTACAGTTAGCATGTCCCGGAAGCGCGGCACAACATTCCTCTAGGAGGAGGTATGTGTTAGACAATCAATCATGTAGGTCATAAGGCATACAGTAGATAATGCAATATACTGGGGGCATGTCCGTCCCAGGAATCTGGGCCGGCATGTATGTATATCATTCTTATCTGTTGTTGGACTCTCGTTGAAATCTGTTTGCCTGCTCGATGCCTCCTTTTTGGTATGGAGATGTTCGCATACCAGCCACTGCCGTACTAGGATATGTCTCATGGGGGCTTCACTTCCTATCCATTATCATAGACTGAGCATAGTGTTGAAAATACATCTTCTGGATTCCTTAAATATCCACATATTCAGACAAGCACAGGGTAAATCCCCTATATCTGTGACCTGTGAGTACTTAACCATATTAGATTCAGACATCTCCAGCCAAACCATCAACCCCATCCACTCGTGTATAACATACTGGCTATTCTCTTGGTGGGAGGGGGGGGGAGTAAAGACAGACTTACTTTCTCCTGATTCCCGGTGTGGCTTAATCTCTGTATATTCATATACACACATACTTCCATTCATCTCTCTCTCTCTCTCTCTCTCTCTCTCTCTCTATTTACTTCTGTTTAGTTCGAGTCGGCCCTAGAAAGTGTAGACTATAGGAACCGAACCGTCTTGTCCCTTGTACTTGAGTGACAGATATCGAATATCCCCTCTGTCACTCTCCCTCCCCCTCCAATTTCACCCCCGGCAAAAGCATCCACTACTACTGAAAATCCATCCAAAAACTGCCTGGCTATCTATCTATCTATCTATCTATTAGCCCACCTTAAAAGAACCAACAACATACAAGACAAAAACAGGCCATACACATCTCCAACCACCCCCCTAGCTTTTCTCGTTGTCAACTGCAGGAAGCTTTCATTCAAGTTGTTTAGATAAACAGGTAGGTAGGTAGTGCGTAACTAGAACAGTACGTAGTGACACGTGTGTTTTCATATGGGTATATAGGTTTAATCGTGGATCTTGTAGATGGGTGGGATGTACCTACTCGTGTGGTATCTATCTATGTGCAGAAGTGAGCTACTTACGTTTTCATCGGTCATATAGGGCTGATAAACGACTACCATTCATTCTTCTGATTACTGTGTACTATACTATAATCTTTACATTCAATAAAAACTAATATACTAAGTGATACTCTATAGGTATGATTGATGATTGATTGATGATTGATTGATTGCACTACATACCAGATGTAGCATACAATGCTGATCGTGACTGGTATGGACATTCCAAACTCTGTCGGTCTACGCAGTTCCTCCCTCCCGTCCGCGGATCCAGCCAGTTGCTAGCAACCAGCCGGTCCGAGGATGCAAGACCGAGATAAAAAAAAAACGGGAAGAAAAGAAGAAAGACAGAAGAAATAAAAGAGATAAAATAGAAAGAGAAAAGAAATCAAGAAAAAGAAACCAACCAACACCATGAGATTCAAAACCTCTCAAGTTCATGTTTCATCATTCTGATCAAATGCTTTGTTAAAGAGAGAAGTAAACACCACGGTTCATCCAACACTTGATTGTGCTGAGTACCACCATCCAAACACAGTATGGAGGGCAGACGAAGAGAAAGAACATGGGGGCAAGATCACACTCAAGATCTTGCAGTCAAACAAGGAGCGAAACGGATTAACCATTGGTCATGGACCAGCAGGAGTGAACCGAAAAAAAGGAAGAAGATGAAAAGAGAACAAAAAAGAGAACAAAACCAAAGCTAATATCAGGTCATCCAGGGCTGTGTCGTCTCAAACCACATTATGTACGAGTGTTCATATTACATGACAGGGGTCTTGCGCTTCTCGGCGCTGGAAAGCACAAGCATCGGCGTCTTGCGTCTCTCCGGACCCTGGGCCACCGTCTTCTGTCCTGCGACGACAGCAGCCACCGACGGCGATCCGACGGGGGACGACACCTGGTCCATCCGGACGTCAGCGAACTTGCTCCCGAAGAACCCGCCGTCTTCGCTGATCGGGGTCGTCGTGTTGTAGGGGCTGTCCTGGGACCGCCGCTCCCGAGAAGACCTCTCCTTCCTCTCGGAGCCGATGGCGCCGTTGGCCGCCGCGCGGAGACTGCCTAGACTCGGCTTGCTCGACAGGCTGCCACTCCGGGCGGTGCCGTCGTCGCCGTCGGAGAAGGTGAATTCCTTCTCGCTGGCGGGCGTATTGGAGCCGCCGCTGCTGTGGCATCCAAAGCTGCGGGTGTCGCCGCGGCGCTCGATGCCCGCACGGACCAGGTTGTGCACGGCGCGCCGGCGCTGACGCGTGGCGAAGTTCTTGCTGCCCTCGTGCTTCGCAGTGGGCTTGGCGACCAGTTCTTCCAGCGACGGCGGACCCCGCGGCTGGCGGGTCGGGTGCTCGCCCGCGCGACCCTGGCCCGGGCCAAAGGTGCCCGTGGCCGGGGTCGGGGGCAGCGCGGCGGTCTTGGGAGCCGGCGGATGACCACCGCCGTTGGCGCGGGCCGTGTCGATGGGTGCCTTGGGCGCGGGGGACACCGACGAGCTCTTCTTGTGACCCCGACGGAACGCGTTGGCCGACGGCGGCGGCAGGGGCGCGACATCGTGCGAGGGGGAGGGACTCGAGCTCGGAGGCGACACGGGCTGAGACGAATACGCCGGGGAGTGGCGGGACTCGGGCGGCGGAGAGACCTCCGCGCGGAAGGTGGGGACCTGCATCGCGGGCGACTGGTCACCTGGGTAGGGGGCGGACGACGATCCGTCCTGGGCACTGTTGTCGTAGATGTAATTCTGCTGGCCCGTCAGGGGGTTGTAGACCGAGTAGAGGCCTGGCTGGCCGGGCACCGGCTGCACGATCGGCTGGACGCCCTGCTGGAGCTGCTGCTGGTAGAAACCCATGCCCGGGAGCGACATGGCGGGGAGCTCCGGCTGCTGCATCTGCATGCCCAGGTTCAAGCCCTGGAACTGCTGGGCCGCGGCGGTGACGCTGATCAACTGTTGCTGCAGGCGCTGCTGCTGGGCGGCCAGGAACAGATTGGTGGACATGAGCTCGGCGTACATGCTCTCGTCCATGGGCGCCTCGGCGCCCATGTCGAAGGTCGGCGGGGCGAGCACCTGCTCCGGCAAGGTGTACATGGGCCGGCCGGTGTTCATGTCCAGGCCCTGATTCATCGCCATCGAATGGCGAGGGAATCCGGTTCCCGTCGCCGTCTGAGGGATGCGTTCCGCGGTGCGGTTCGACAAGTTTCCATATCGATCACCCTCCACGCCGAGGTGTTGCTGCCGGGCCGCGGCCGAGGGCACGGTGGCGGACTTGGGGGCGGTCCTCAAGCCGGCCAGCAGGTGCGAGCGGCTGGTGCGGGGGGTCTGGAGGGGCGCAGACGGTTGGGACTCATCGATGGTGGGAATGTGCGGGGGCGGCACACTCAGACGCTTGATGTGGGAGCCCTTTCTGCGGGATGCAAAGCCGTTGGAGGGAGCTCCGAGGGAGCCCCCGTTATTGAAAGACGAGGGATAGGTCATTTGAGCAAGACCGCCAGCGTCCATACTCAAAGGTTCAAGGTTTTCGAGAAAAGTACAATCGAGAGATGAGATATACGGAACGGCAGATGTCTCGGTCGGGGGAGAGACAGGAGTCGACGTTCGATGGGGGATTATAGTATTATGCAAGATGCGAGGCGATTAGACAAGGAGCGGAATAGACAGGCGATGCCTTGTATTCTAGGAGAGCCAACAGGACTTGATAGGAGTTAGTGGAGTGGTCGACGAGCGGTTGGGCAGGAGCACACGGTACCTTCCGAGAAGAATGAACGGAGGCGCGTCTCAACAAGCGAGAGCAGACCACAAACGATAAAAGAACAATGCAGTGTACAAGAAGGAATCCAGCGAGCTGGTGATGGAGACTGAAAGGCAGCCTCGAAGGAAGGATTGACGACAGACGCGACCGGACGTCGGCGATGGAATCGATGGAATGAAACGCGGTGACTCCGTCGGGTGGAATTAAGGACCGAATAGGATGGGCCAGGGGGGAGATGCACTGCAGCTCCCGATGAAAATGATGAATAGGTGAGAAGATGAATAGATGCAATCCGATGCAATACACGAAAAGAAAAGAAAGAAAAATCGAATGGAAAACTCAAGCCGGTGACGATTAGACCTGGAGGGTGGAGGAATGATGGGATCCCACAGCAACAGAGCCGCCTCGGAGGGGATGATGGAAAGTAAGGGATGGATCGAGTGAACCTTGAGCCTCTCTGTTTGATAGTCTTTGTCTGGTGTTTCGATCTTGATGTCTTTGTTGTTTTTCCCTATTCTTTTTTCTTGATCTTTTTCCTTGTTTTTCCTTTTTTTTTCGAAATTAATTCCTTGTTTTTCTTATGAACCGGAAGAAAGAAACGAGGACCCTTGTCAAGGGGGTTGCGAACCGAATGGGAGGCGAGAGGGAGAGAAAAGAAGAGAAAGTGAGAAGGGGAAGAAGAAAAAGACAAGAGGCGGATTGGCGATGGTTTGTCGGGCTTTCGTTTCGGATCCTCGGCGCCTGTATTTTTAGGTTCTCTTTTTCTGGTTTTTTTCTTTACAGTTACCCGCGCTGTCCCAAAGACTGGCAGTCCAGTTTCCAGGGGTCCACGACACGACTGAACTTGGATATGTCTTCAGATTTGGATTGACGAAGATGAAGTAGGTCGAAAGAAGAGAAGAAATTAGAGAAAAAGAAGAAAAGAATAATGCAGGAAAGGAAGAGAAAGAAAGGTGAGTGACAGGTAAGAAGTGAAAAGGGGGAAGAAGAGAAGTAGAGAAGAAGAGAAGTTGGAGAAGAAGCGGAGAGAAGAGGAGGGGAAAGAACCAGAGGGGAGAGAGAGCAAACTGAAGAGAGAGAGAGAGAGAGAGAGAGCGAAAGAGAAGGAGAGAAGAGAAGAGTGGGTAGGAGATGAAGGAAAGGAAAGATGGAAAGAGGATAAGGAGGTGGTCAGATATACCAATTAAGGTACCCCGATCAACTCCCACCCAAGGAACTCTACAGGCCCGGGAACTCTGGATATTGCCAGAATACCTGATATTACAACAATCATAACAATACCATAAATTATAGTAACACCTAATAATAACCAGTCAGATCAATGAACAGAGCAATGAATGAAGATTCACCTTCATACCCACCAATCAGACTGTCCCGTCCCGATGAACAGATCAGTCAGCACACCGCGGGAACCAGGGACGTGCGCTGACTGGTTCGCTTCTACGTTCCACTAGTCTGGATTAAGGTTAGCGGATCTGGTTCCGTGAGCCTGAGGTGGACTCGAGCTGAGCATGTCTTTACTTTAGACCTGGTACTTTCCCAGTACCCAAGTAGATAGATACTAGAGGGACCTGACGAACTAGTACCTCCCTGATGAAGGCCTCTCGATTGATCTATAAATAATATAGCAAGTATTCATCAACAACAAAAATCAATCACGAATATTCTTCTCACTAAGTACCAACCAATAGGAAAAATACATCTCCTCATGTAGATCAAGTTCCTCAGAAGAATACAACTCATCTACTCCAAACGACGCCCAGTACCAAACGGATACTTACCTGCTGCAAGTGCTCCGGTACCTCAGCTAACTTGAGCCCTTCCCCTCCTCCATGGATTGCCCGTGGAAATCACCCCGGTCTAGCGCCTGTCAACGTGGCTCTGCTCGCCGCCAGCCAACCGCTTCCGTCCCACCATTCGCCCACGAACCGCCGACTCCTCTATTTCTTCTGCTGTCTTAATACGGGGTATTTACAGGTACCGGCTGGTCTGGACCTTTCAATTATGATTTGGGCGAACTTCACAATGGTTGAAGAAACTAAACTAAGGTAGTTATCAATGTATAGTCCCTACAGCATTATGTACACACGGTCCCGTCACTCCATGTAATGTAGGCTACAAATCGAATCAAATCAACATGTCACACGCTGCCTCCTGATCACAACGAAAAAGAGTCATAGATAGGAAAAAGTAAGAAATGAAATAAGAATAAGAATGAAACAAGATTATTCAACGCAAAATCAAGCAGAGAAAGATCCGGGTATCTGCTGGCAACAGCTAGTCTCAACAAGACCGCCAGAAGTCGAGGAACACGAGCGTCGATATCGTAAAAGGCGAGACATCCATATGATGAGGACAGAGATGGAAGATATAGAATGTCAGAGAGGGGAGGGAGAGGAGAAGAGGGAAAGACTGGATGACTGGTGAGAAAGAGGAGAATCACGCATCAACAGACACCGTCGATCCCGGGAACGGAAACGTCGCCGAGTCCTTCTGGTCGGGCTCCGGCGATTCGCCCCCGGGCCCTTTGCCAGTCATCCGGTCGAACTCCAGCGTCTCGGCCAGCTCCGCCGCCATGGGGTCCAGCTCCTCCTCTTTGAGACCCGTGGCCAGCGCCACCAGTTTGCGATGGACATCGAACTTGGTGCTGACCCCCGCGTCGGCCGTCTGCTGCGCGAGTTCCTTGACGGCGGCCCGCCGCGCCTTTTGGGCGACGTACAGCTCCCGCGCCAGCTTGAAGGTGCGCATCAGCGGGTTTTGTTCGCCGTCGGTTGTGGGGTCGTGGGTCGGAGGCGGTGCCGCCGCGACACGCTCGCGGAGACGAGCTTGCTGGATCCGCTCTAGCAGCGACTCGTAGCTGCCTCGTAATTCCTCGTACCGCGCCAGCTGCGTGTTGATGGATTCTTGCTCGGCCTCTTTGGCGCCCATGGCGGCGATCTGCCTCTGAATCTTCTGCCGATCGTGCTCTAATTGTTCGTGGAGAGCCTCCGGGTTGGCGATGTCGTCTGTGGCCTGCTGGTTCGCCTTGGAGTTGCCGTAGCTGACAGCGAGCTTGCGGTTCGCGTCGTCCATCAGGGCGCTGATCTTCGACAGGAGCGCCGAGGTGGCTGAGGATGTCTCCTGCGGGGGTGCGGCCGATTGGTGCTCGGAGTGCACAGGCGCAGGGACTTCGCCATCGACGTGGTCATTCCCCATAGTGACGGACGAAGGAGGTGGCGGGATGTCCCGTTCGGAGTAATGGGATCTCTGGATGATGTTGTTCGTGGTTTCGCCCTTCTTGTTCAATAGCTCGCCAGCCCGCGGGCAGTGCATCAGAAGTAAGTTCACCAGCCGGAACGCTCCATTTCGCGCGGCAACGAGGCAGGATGTATCTCCGTTGGAATCTTGGCACGATAAGAGCAGGTCAATTTCCTCTGCGGAGCACGTCTGGCGTAGCTTATCGAGGAGCGTCTCGCAATAGTACCGAGAGCTCTTCCACTTGCCTTTGCTGCGAGTCGTCTCCGCGATGTGGTGGAAGATCGTGGCACCAAACCAGTCCCGGAACGACACTGTGTCTAAGAGTAATTCCAAGATAGCCGGGAAAGTGCGCTTCTCGTAGTTGTTGGTGAAGAGAACTGCACGCACGAGGGGCGTCTCCTCGTGGATCGACTGGGCCTTGACATTTGCTCCCCGCCGCAGCAGATCCCGCACGATCTCCAGATCCCCCATGGCGCAAGCCCAGTGGAGGGCCGTATTGCCCGAATCGTCGATCGGGCGATCCACCTGGAAATTCATCGGAGGTTCCGGTGGAGGAACGCGTGTGGCTTCCGGCGCATCCCCTACCGTCATAAAGAAGTCCAGGAGTTGATCCCCGTAGAGGATGTGCTCCTGTTCGCTCATCGACATGGCGGAGACCTCGTTCGGTCCGCGCTTGCGTTTTCGCGAGAAGGGGCCACTCTGCGGCATGGGCACCATTTCCTCATCCGCCATCATCGACGACGATTCCAGCGTGGTCTGCTCCGCGGATTCATCCTCGTCGAACCCGGCGTTCATCTCATACTGCTCGTGGGTGAAGCTCGGGGGCCCCATGGGGCGTTGGGGTTTCACAGCGCTAAATACTTCCTCTCGGGGAGCCTTGCGATTGGCCGCAATCTTGGGAGCTCTTGGTCGGGAGGCCGTCGTGTGCTTCGGAGCGGGCGGGGGGCTGCGGTCTCCGGATACGTAGTCCATGATTGGCAGCAACTTCTCCAGTATATTGTTGCGTTCCGCAAGCTGGCGGCCTTCCGGTAGTGGTATCCATGTCCCTAATCTTACCATTAGTCACATAGTAAAGCTAGATGGGCGAGTTTCTGTGCCGTATCGCCGCTAACCTTGATATTTCCCATAGCCGCCCTGGACTTTCTCATGAACACCTTTCTGTACCTCACGCTCGAGAATCCGGGTTCGGGCGGGCTTATCGAACCCGGCAAGCTTCAATATATGTGTCGCATTGATCCAGTCATCGGCCTTTCTTCGCATAATACTGTCATTGGTCTCAAGCTTGAATTCATACACCGGAACCTGCAAACGGTCAGAGGGATAGCACCAGGGATAGGGACGGACGAGCCCTATCTCCCCCGGTTGAGAAGTACTGACACTGCTATACGTCGCAGAGTAGATCCGCGAAAAATCCACCGTCGACATGATGTGCGTCCCCGTCAGGCAACGGAATTCAGTAGGTTCCCGGACAGCACCTGAAGATCTGGGCACACTCTGCCGGATTCGCCCGGGTCTCCAAGAGCCAGTATTTGCCGTTCGTCAAGCGACAACTATGCTATGTTGTGCAAAGATCCGAAACATCACAGATCAGGCAAAATAGGATCTAGAACTGTCAAGGGATCAGCCACTGGTGGCTCGTTATAGGCTGGGTGGCATCTGAAAGAACGCGGTGGTTTGCACAACTGGGTCGGGGCGTGACGCGCCTCTCTCGGGAGACGGTGGACCGCGTTAAGTGGAAATGGCCGCGCTATTCCGGTTGCGGAGGGCGTAGTCAGGTGACAGCACGTGATCGTATCGGGACGGAAGGACCAGCAACACTTCGGGATAGCTGCAAACCCTCACTGCTCCGTTGCTCCCCTCCGTCCCCCCATTAAGCTCTATCTACCCCGCCGCCTTCCTCCAACATGACTGTCGCCGAGTCAGTGAAGAGTGCCTTTGGCCTGGCAGACTCCCGTAAGACTCAATTGCCCATTGTGGACCGCAGCCGAGAGCGACTCGCACCAGAGGTCGTCATATCCGGAATCAAACGTTAACCTTGCAATTAGCTGCCTCCCACCAGGAGATGTCGGACGCCCGTCTGCCGATGCAGTACCGGGACTCGTGTGCCAACCTGCTCATCCCGCTGAACCGATGCCGACAGGCAGAGTATTATTTGCCGTGGAAGTGCGAGGTATGAAATGACACCGCCGTGGTCAACCCTGCGTTCCTTTCCTCCACGAAACCGTTGGCGCACTCGACTAACACAACGTTCTTTTCCCTCTCTTCTCTCAACAGGACGAGAGACACAGCTACGAAAAGTGCCAGTACGAAGAATTCAAGAAGCGTGTGGCCAAGATGGACGAGCTGCGGGCTGCCAAGGACGGTGCCCGGAGCAATTGATACCAGACCAATTGGCACGAGCGAAACAGCGGGTTATGTACATAGAGATTCGAGATTTGTCCGTCCATGGAACCGAACCGACTTTGGCGTTGGGACTCCTTTGAGATTTCTCTTCCTACCACGTACTGCGCCTTCCGGACCTGTCTCCAATTCGGATGCACCTGACATCGTTTATATGAACCAGAGGTTGGAGCTGTCCAAAATCGCTATGGCACTTGCTTCACCACTGCGGATGCCGTGCCCTCTGGGTCGGCCTGCCCTCTGGGCACGCCTGCCGAGGTATGGGAAGCTACTAGCCGGGGTTGGACAAGTCCAAGCACTCGTATAACACTTATAATCATCTCAGCGTTCAGGCCCTTTCCCTTCGTATTCCTTGTTTTGCTTTTTCCGTTTTTCTTGCGCTTCAAACGTACGACGCCGATCTAGGATCGGCATTCAGCCATGAATGGCCAGCACGAGACCGTTGATCGCGTTGGACAACTGTCGTTTAGTCATACGCATCATCAATAGAAATGTCCAGAGACTGCATGCTGGACTTGCCCCTCCTCCATACAGCATCTCATTTAACAGACCTGAAAACTAAACAAAGGGCAGGGTCCTCATGCGTTGGGACGATATAACCTCTGCACCAAAGTCGACGCTGTGCAACTCCCGACGAAGATCATGTTGTACCTGCTTAGAAATGCATCCCCATAACTTACTCTCCTCAACACAGTAACTAGACCATCCACAAAAGTCCCAAGTAAGACAAAGCCTTCAGTCACAGTAGTAACTCAGTAGTAAGAATGGAATATCATCGATCGTAAGCGGAGTCCATGCTTAGAAATCAACGGCGTGGATTCCGCGGGAACAGCGTCTGTCTACCTTAAGCCCCGCTGGACAGGGAAAAATTCCCCCCCGCCGCCCCCTCTAAATCAATTCATCTCCAATCATTATTGGAATCTCGGTTTCTCCTCCGATCGGTTTCCCTCTGCGTCATTTGGCTATAAATCCTGCTTTCCCCTTCTGCTTACATCTTGATCTTACCTTTGCTGGGAGTTTTCCGACGACATCACATTGCTCTCGTCGGTTCCTAGAGCCAGGCGCATCGCGCAATCTTTTTCTCCCCTCATCGCGGCGGGGCACTTTTTTGCCAAGCGCACGGCACTCCATTGGACCACCGATTCAGACTTTCGAGACTTCGTTTATGATCGGGATACTTGTTTGATGGCAGGATGGGATTACTGTACGTGTGGATTTACTCGGGTCGCAATATCCTTGCAATCGCAATAGCATAGCTAACACTTTGTCGCTGCAGAGCTCTCGGAACAGCGCTCGATTGGCCCGACGCCAAATTGCGGGCGGATCAGGTGCGGAAATGGGGAATTGAGGTTGGTCCTACTATACTTATATGGATGCCGTTTGTAAGGAGGTGGGATATCGTCTGACTGGTAACGACAGCAATTACTTGCGATCTGGGGTAGAGCCAAGGGCAAGGAGAGGGATGTTCTGCTGTGGGGAGACGAGGTATGTCTCTATACAGTCATTGGATTGCGACTGAGGGCTGAGGCTAACGGGCTGTCCTGGCTTAGGTCGAGTACCTCGTTGTAGCCGTCGATGAAGAAGCCAAAAAAGCCCGGCTTTCTTTGGCGCAGGCCGAGATTCTCAAGTCGTTGGCCAAAGATGAGGCACTCTGGAACTCCGGAACCTCTCCGGTGTCGCAGAACAAAGAGCAGTGAGTCGCTGCGAGGGTCCCGATCCAGATATCTTCTAATAGGACCCAGCGACGGCGAGGCGCCCCCTCACTTTGTCCCGGAGTTTGGACGGTTCATGTTGGAAGCGACGCCCGGGCGGCCGTGGGGAATTCATTTCAAGGATCTGCTGAAAGTCGAGTCGAATATGAAGTGGAGGTATGCTTTAGACTGTCCGACCTAGGAGCTTCATCTGACAATGCTTAGACGCGAGATCGCAAAGACCCACATGGCACCAAACGAATATCCCATCACCCTCACGACGTTCCCCCGGTTGGGCACGAAAGGCGACTACATCCAGCCCTACTATCCGCCGTCGGGCCCGGCACTGCGATCGCAGTTTGTTCCAGACGAGATCGCCAACCCGCACATCCGGTTTCCGACGTTGGCGGGTAATATCCGATCGCGCCGAGGTCGGAAGGTCGAGTTGAATGTGCCTGTGTTCAAGGACAAGAACACCCCTCAACCGTTCAAAGATCCCACCGTGAACTACGATCTCCATCAGTGGCCCGAGGATGATGACGTGAGGAACGGCGCTGCCAAGGACGACCATGTCTACATGGATGCCATGGCATTTGGCATGGGTAGCTGCTGTCTTCAGATCACATTCCAAGCGAAGAATATCACCGAGGGGAGGACACTGTACGATCAGCTGAGCCCACTCGGCCCAATTCTTCTGGCGCTTACTGCGGCAACCCCGATCTACAAGGGATTCATGGTCGACACGGACGTTAGATGGAATCAAATCGGCAATGCCGTGGACGACCGAACGCGGGAGGAGCTTGGCGAGTTGGTCAGTCCTCTTTCTTTCCCGCCCAGTTATCCCCCACTAACACCGTATAGCCCCTTAAGAATGATAGATGGAGGATCCCCAAGTCCCGATATGCGTCAAACTCGACATACATCTCGCAAGACCCACGATTGCGGAAGGAGTACCTGGACCCCGATCTCGTCGTCGACGAAGACATCAAGAAGCGGTTAATAGAAGGCGGCATGGACGATCTCCTCGCAACACACTTCGCACACCTCTTCATCCGCGATCCCCTCGTGATCTTCTCGGAAGACCTAGAAGAGCTAGACCTAAACAAAGCCGACCACTTCGAAAACCTGCAGTCCACCAACTGGCAGCACATGCGGTTCAAGCCGCCGCCGCCAGGCACATCCGACATCGGCTGGCGAGTCGAGTTCCGCTCAATGGAGATCCAAATGACAGATTTCGAAAACGCCGCCTTCAGCATCTTCATCGTGCTCGTCACGCGGGCCATCCTCAGCTTCGACCTCAACTTCTACATCCCCATCCAGCGCACAACAGAGAACATGGAGACGGCGCACGCCCGGAACGCCGTTCTCGACCGCAAGTTCTACTTCCGCAAGGACCCGTTCTCGCGGATCCCCCGCCGACAGCAGCGCCAGACGCCCAATGGCACCAGGGCGCCGTCCGCCGCGTCGTCGTCGGGGAGCAGCACGCCTCCTCCTCTGGGGCCCGTGGAGTCCGAGTACGGGCTGATGAGCATCGCGGATATCATCAACGGCGCCGAGGACGGGTCCTTCCCTGGCCTGATCCCGCTCGTCGAGTCCTACCTCAACAGCGTCAACGTGGACGTCGAAACGCGGTGCTTCCTCGCCCGCTACCTCGATCTGATCCGGCGGCGCGCGAACGGCACGCTCTGGACGGGGGCGAAGTGGATTCGGGAGTTTGTGGCGTCGCATCCGGCCTACAAGCACGACAGCGTCGTGTCGGATGAGATCTGCTACGATCTTGTCAAGGCTGTCGACGAGATGTCTGTAAAGGAGGGGAAGAACGGGAGTGTGGGGTGGGAGCTCCTCCGGGGGAGGAAGTGAGCGTGAAGCATTTTTTGCATATATAATAATACCTATAGATTGGGGGGAACCATATCCGTCCAGTATCTAGCATGACCGTTTATTCGCTGACATCTATCTTTTACGACTACTACCACAACTAGAAAGCAATGACCATCATGTATTATCCACTTGAACATCTTAACCCTATACCTACACCCCCCCTCCCAGAAAAAAAGATCAAAGAAGCAACTCCCTCTCCTCAACAGTCGGCCACCGACAAGAATCCGCCAACCCCGTAACCTTCCAAACGCCCTCAATCTTATGCAACACAAACAGCTCAACGCCCACATGATCCACCACCCCATTAACCTTCGCCCTGAAAGGCGCCCACACAGACGCAATATCGCCCAGCTCATGCACCTTCACCTCCGGATCCCAAATCCGCTCATCAAGATGGTCCTTGATCTTCAGCACGTGCTCGACGAAGGCCCCGATGGTGCAGAACCGGGGCGACGTGGGCGGCGGCGGGCGCAGCGACATGCCGCCGGCGCGCACGCAGTACCGCTCGAAGTCGACGGCGGATTTGGAGGTCAGTGCTGAGAGGAAGCCTTTTGCTGCGGCGAGGATGGCGTCTGTTTCCGGGGAGGGGAGCGTGTAGGGGGGTGGGGCGGAGGGGGGCGCGTGGGGGTTGGGAGGGTCCAGCCCATTGCTTTCTTTCTTTCTTTCTTGGTTTGGATGTGACTTAGTTTAGATGTGGGGTGTCTTGGGTTGGTTGTTGTTTCTGTGATGTTGGGTTCAGTGATATAGGGGTCTTGGATAGCCGTGTTTAAGTGTATCTTCTAGGGTTGGTCTGGTCGGTGAGATAGAGGACATATTTGGCTTTTGGACTTGTAGAAAGACTACAAAAGTCTACGTGGTGATGTTTCCAACCGTCGTACAGCACTTTTGATACTTTCTTCCTTCTATATTTACATATTTACTCTATACTTCCCCGTTCCTCTTCTCTTCCCCATCCCATACCACAGCAGACACACAACCAAAGCATCTCCCAGCCACGTACCGAACTATCCCCCAACACCAAAAGCTAGATTGCAACCGTTACAACGCCAAAGTCATCCTCCCGCCAGAAAGCTCAAAGGTCTCACAACGCGTGCATCAGACCGGGCCATCTGAGTCCACGGGCGGACGAACAGATCCGTCCGGTTGCACAATCGGGGGGCGAAGTGGCTTGACTCATGGGAAGTTTATCAGTCGATGGGTCGATCTAAAGAGATCCAGACACGGAAGTAGCATAAGGTTGGTATATAAATAAGTTAAGTTCTGTTCTTCACGGTTTCTTGTCATTGAGTCTGCCCAATGATAGCCAGCTTTGAACGTGACAGACTATCTAACCTCTGGGTAAGGTAATACCAACAAGATCGATGCTGTGTCACCCGCGACCTCTCGTCGAACCTGGTCCAGACATTGCAGGTATCCTGCACGACCTTAGTCGCCCCTACTACAGACAACAAACCTAGAAGGGATAGATAGATGGATTCTACCCCCATGCATGATCAGGATGACATGCATAGTTCATGACGTCGTGAAACACAATCTTGTGAGAACTGAACTGATCATCTTCTCCAACTGGATCCATTCCGTAACTCTTCATCCCCCCTTCTTTCCCCTCCCCGACAAGCAAGAAGGGGGTGGGCATTCGCCTCTGCAGCTATCCACCACCCGACCCAAGACACTGTCACCATCCGTCGGCTCACACGCTCGTCGTGTTACCGGGAAATCCTCGGGTCTGCTAAGCTTGATGCTTCTGGTTATTAGTTGATGTCTGGACAGGCATATACTTGCGTCGGGCTAGTAACCCTACTGCTGTATCTCCCTACGGAAAGACATCGGCTTTCTCTGCAGTAGCTCCTGTTGCCATTTGGGGCGCAGCGAGGTCTGTCTCGCGACCATGCTCTGATAGCCGCTGTCTTTAGTCTCTCTTGGCTACTGTGCGTACCGTTTCCACAAGACATTTAGCCCAAGGCTCACGTCCGTGGTGGAATTGACTGAAGTTAGGAACGCCCACTACCAGCAAGATCTTTCCCCCGGCATGCCACACGATACCCAGTGAGACCTACAGTCTGCAGTCCCAAGTCACCGAATAGAAGTTGTACTGGGGAAAGCAATGCAACGCACATTCAAGCAGCCCTGCGGGTTAAAGAGTTCCCTCCCCTACCTTGTAAAACGATCTCTCCATATTTCAAGCGTAGAACAACAGACAAGCTCATCCGGTACCCCATATCGGAGACATGTCTTACCTAAACGTGGCCAGGTATGCATCCATGAGCGAGAAAACAAGACTGTCATGCGCGTCTAAATCTGTTCACTAAGAACCTGATGTGACCAACAAGCACTAGCTACAAATTATCTGCAATCATGTCCGACTCGTACAAGATCGGTAAAGTACATCCTCTCATCACTGCCTGTTCCAATCTGCGCACTAACCAAAATGGAAAACCAGCAGACAATCCCGTCATCAGCGTGGTGCTCCCTTGCAGAGTCCTCAGACTTGACCAAGTCCGAGACAGCAACAGGGCAACACGAACCGCCACTCCACAACCAGCGACTAGCATCTCGATAAACCCAGAAGAGCATCGCGTCCTCCAGAGAAATACTCGACAAAATCACCGTCTAGGACGAATGGAATTGACTATCATCTGGTTGCGTACAACATTGCAACGACAAACTGTCCTGCACAGTGATCATGTCATCCTGAAGTATGATCTCGCTCATTGAATACAAATATACAGATAACGAGGAGCTATATATACAAGACTTAGTGTCGAACACGCTTATCATCTACTCCAGTGCAGTTCAGGTCGCTAAGCGTGCATCCCACGAGACGACGGAGGGTCGTGTGAGTACAACTTCACGTTCATCGTAGACGGAGATATCATCCGCACGTGGGGAAGTATACAGCTAGCTCAGAGGCACCAACACGACGCAGCACTACTCATACCCCATCAGTAATCTCCATCATCTCTTATGTACTCTCCCTACGCAAGTAACCAAATAGTTACAGCCCACATACAACCCACCACCAACCCGTATCCTAACAAACAAGCAGAAACCAAAAGACACCTCCTTCACATGCAAACCCCTCCCTCCAGCATGACAAGGCGCACCTCTCCACACCCCAAAGACCCAGCCGGGACTTGCAGTGGCGGCATTCGACTCGGTAGCCACGCTCGCCACCTACTACCGGGTTAACGCTGCGGGGAGGGCACACTCTCCAAAGGTGGGCTCTACGTTTCACACATGGGGGGATGGATTCGAGGAATCACTATTGAATCCATCTGTGGGGGCGATAGCACCGTTTAGTCGGCTGGTGGCTGGATGTGGGCGTCGTCTACGGAGTATACACGGGTTGGATCCCACTTACTGGGGGGGGGGGGAGGGGGTTGGTGGGACGGGGGGCTCTTGTGTTTGAGAGTGATGACGGGAGGGGGTGTATAGAAGCGGATAAGGAAGGGACGAAGTGATTGGTTTTGACAACAAAGACTTGAAAGGCGAGGGCTTTTTCAGCGGTAGTTTCAGATTGTGCTGGGTTGGATCACCGACCCAGGTAGTGAGACATGATGGGTCTGTATCTCTCTTTTTGTCGTCCTGCTGCTGTTGCATCTTCAGCTGCTTCAGCTGCTACAGCCCATCGCCTACTCCAACTCCTCTCTTCCTACTCATAGTCACACTACAGCTACTCCAACACCTACACATCACAATGAATGAAAGTACCAGACCCTCCAGCCCAGCTCATCTCCATCCCAGCTAGCTAGCCAGCTAGGTAGCCATCCATTCATCCATCCAACCAGCTAATCACACCCACAAACAACAGTAATACACATCACCCACCATCTAATATCAACCAACTCCATAATCGTACTATTTTAAGCACCCACTCATTTCCTCAACCGAACATTGTCCAAAGATCCCAGATCCAGCCACGCGGTCTCTACCAAGTTTCCCACCCCCTCAGCCCCAGGCCCCGTCCTCCTGGCCCGAAGATCATCATTTCACAGTGCCTGTCAACAGATACAGCCCAGACCCTGGAACCGCCGCTCGACTAGTATCTATACACTAGAACTAGACTAGACTACGGGAGACAGATGCCGATACAGATCGCGCATAAGTGGCATAAATCATGGAGATTGGATTGGGGATCTGTTTTATCTTTCATATTACCGTGGATCCATCGTTTAGTTTGGACCGGAGTAATGAAATTCTTAACAGTGAGATAGAAATAGTAAGATTAATAAAATGATAATAATAAAATAGAAAATCCAATGATAAACAATGGAATAAAAAAGAAATCAAACCCAAGCGTTGCCATCAACGGCGACAACCCACAGGATCCGGAATTCCAAATACCAGACCCTGTCTGCCTGTCCCTAGTCCCTACCATGCATATCTATCTACATCATACCTACTCCATGTACGTACTCCGCTCCGTACTTTCAACATCAAGTCAACAAACCCAGCTCCGTGCCATATCCAAAATAGTAACAATCATTATACACATAACATATATCATAGGAAAAAGAAAGAAAACAATAGTTATACAGGGGGAGGGGCAAAGAAAAAAGAAAGAAAGAAAGAAAAAAATAATAATAACACTGGAGAACGATCGAACCCCGGCGGCCGGGATTTGCAACGCCCCCTAAAACTGGAAAGGCGCGATCCCAGATCCCGAACTTAGATCCAAGCAAATGCCGATCGGGGGCCCGTCAGAAAATTAGTCGAATCCTGTAGTATGATAGTTGGTTTCCGTGGTCGAACGGGCGGTTCTTCATCCCGATTATTACTGACTGGTAATACTCACCAATCCGTACGGAGTACTTTGGACAATGACAATCCGTACAACAGATCTACGTCATACGTTCAGGCCATCCATCTCGTAATTGACCGGTTCAGCTGGGTCAGGTCGATCATCGCCATCGGATTTCTCAAAATCGATAATAGTAATACACAACGATGATCAGATGACAATAGGGGGTCTTTTTTCGAAGCAGGGTCCCCGGAGACACCGGGTCAAAAGTAAAATCCTTTTTTCTTTTTTCCTTTCCACTCGGCCGGGCGGGGAGGGGGGCAGATGTCGGACGGACCCAGAGGATGGATTCCCTGTCTGTTGGAGTGGGTGGAAAGACTTACTCGACAGGTGGAGTTGACAGTTGACAGTTGACAGTTTCCGGTGGCAGCTGTCAAACTCTCGTCAGGGGTGTTTAAGCTGGTACCATGACAGGTGTCATTCAACTTGGCTTTGTGTCGTGCTGGAAGGAAGTATTGGGTGTCTAGTTTGATAGGTATATTCTGCTTGTAGTCTCCGTGCTCTGTCACTAGATGGAGGATGGCACTTGGCGATGGGAGGCTTGGGATGAACATGTACTTAAATCTGCGGACTGTATCTGGATACCACTCGTTTCTGTTTCTCTGACTGTATCTAGTAATCTACCCTGTAACCAGTATCTACTATGACACAACTAATCAGCAATGAATCAGTCAAGATGTCTCCGTACCACGGACGCAGCAAAGATCCAAATCAAACCAGAATAACCGAAGATGCATCAAGCGCAGGAGACCGAAAATCATACACGGAAAAGAAATCCCACACCTGTAATTAAAATAGAATAAAAAATAGATCAAAGAACGGAACAGAAGAAGAAAGAAGAAAAGAAAGGAGCCCGACCCGAGATGACGAGTTTCCCGGTCCACCTCGCGTGGCCGACCATCTTGATTAATCTGGCTCGATCTCCACGAAAGAGAAATGGGGAGATGTCCCACCGAAGGACTCTCAGCGGCATCGTTGATTGGGGGAGCGGCTGATTCGATCGCGTTGGTCTGCCGCGGGTGTATCCATCCTGTTGTACTAGCATCGCAGGGGGGGCTCAATCTCATCTTAATCTGATGCTGGAATGGAAAAGTTAGCACGCGGCTGGTTCTTGAGGATCCTAATCTTGGACGATGGTTGAGTTAGAACTAGACGTAATTAATGTTAATTTAATAGTGTGGCTCAGTCCACGTGTTGAGATGGGACGAGCCGTGGTTCGGGAGCGGGTTAGTCATGTATGTTGTCATTTGGTTTCGTTTTGTTTTTATGCTCGAGTTATGATCATCCTGTATTGAGTGGCACTATCTGTCGAGTGGTCTGATCTATGCAATAGTACCTACCTAGTTTAAGGTCCTTCGTATTA